GCCGCGTTATCCTTTTATACGAGTCCTATATAATTCTCGCTCTAAAGCTCTCTATAGAGTTCTTTAGCGACCTCCCTCTTTAGAAAGAGTCTCTATTCTTTTCTTTAATACTATTTATCGTTAGTTTAGAGCTCTTATAGACGAATAGTAAGCTTCTTATATCGTATTCGTACGATTTCGGCTTATTTCTTATTCTCGTTTACTTCTAATATTTCGAGGGTTTTAGAGAGTAGTAGAGTTACTATATTATACTTACTCTTAGTAGACTTTCTACTATTCTAGACTATTACTCTTATTAGAACGTCTACTATAGCGATTCTCTTCTTTTATATATAATTAGTATACTTTTCGGCCGCTTCTAGAACTCTCTTCTTAAGGAGTTTAACTAGGAAGTTCTCTATAAATATCTCGTTATCGGCTTTATAGTCTAGACGGCGGGATAGTCTATTAGTTAAGTTATCTTTCTCTCGCCTCTATTAAATATAGAAGTCGTATATAACTAGTATCTTAGTCTACTATATCTACTTCCTATTTAAGACCTTTATAGTTATAAACTCTTATAGGGCTTTATAATTAATAAGTACTATTATACTATATATAGATACTTTAAGGTAGTAGCGCTATATCTTAAAGGTCTCTATAATAGCTAGTATCTTATCGTCTCTCGTATAGTAGTTTCTCTCTACGAAGTTTAATTTCCTTAAGAAGAATACTATAGACTTCTAAATCGTACGTTCTCCCTATATCTCGTACGCTTAAATAAATACGTCTTCGATTACTACGCCTAATATGTCTATCTCGACCCTCGATTACCTCTTAGGATTAAAGTAGATTAGTATTAGTACGCTAGTAAAGTACCGCTTAAGCTCTTAAAACGTAAGCTTAGCGCTATCGGGCTACTCGAAGGGGCTACTTTTCTTATCTACTACTATACTCGTAAGAAGACTTATAATAGACGCTATAATCTTTAAGTAATTCTTAATAAATTCTCTATAGAAGTTAGCGAATTCTAAGAAAATCTAGATCTCTTAATATAATTTTAGGGCTAGCTATTCTTATATCGCTTAAACTCTACTAGAATCTATCGATATATCTTTAATCTTACGTAATATTCTAGAAAGTTAACTTAGATTATATAAAACTTATATTTTAATAGCTTTATATAGAGCTTATATTTCTTAAGTCGTTCTAGAACTTATTATATATATTACTTATACTTCTCTATATTAGTACTATAAATAAGTATATCGTTTATATATACTATATAGATATTATCGAGAAGGTCTCGAAGCGCTTCGTTAATATAAGTCTAAAATATTATAGGAGTATTAGTTAATCTAACTAGTATAACGAGATACTTAAAATACCTATATCGCGTACAAAATATAGTTTTCTAGCGATCTTTCTTTATAATCTATATATAGTAATATATATTTTAAAGATTAAGTTTAGTAAAAATCTTCGCTCTACTTAGGTAATCGAGAATTTTAGAAATTAGAGATAAAGAGTATCGATTCTTACGAGTAATTTTATTAAGCGCGCGATAGTCGACGTATAGTCGTAGCTTCTTATTCTTTTTCGGGACGAATAGAACTAGTACTCTAGTAAGAGATTTACTTAGCTATATCTACTCTTTACGTATACTACTCTCGATATACTCGCGTAGTATCTCGAGCTTCTTTTTACTAAGGGAGTAGAGTAATCTATATAATACTATTTCTTCTTTCTTAATAGAAATCGAGTATCGAGTTTTAGTTACTTTTAAGAAGATATAGGCTTTCGGCTTATCGAATATATATATATACGAGCGGTATACTTTAGGGAGTTTAACCTCGCCTTTCTATATAACTATAAGTATTACGTCTACGTTCTTTATATAGATAACCCCTTATAGTAGTACTATTAGTATTCCTATTAATAGATTATCGAGATTCGCTATAAGCTTCTTTATTAATATACGTAGTACTTACTCGTTCTTTATATCTAAGTAGCTTTAAGTATCTCTTTCCTAGTTAATATACGGATTTATTTCTTATAGCTAAGAATATTTAAGAATTACGTTATAGGCCTAAATATTAATAGCGATATATTTATATCTACGCTATCGGTATTCTTCTTATATATTAGTCGTATATATATTAAGTTTATACTTTCTATATACTTAGATAGAGTATTCGTTAACGGTATATACTCGTATATTTAAGATATTAGATTTCGCTCTATACTTAGCGATAATAAGTTACGAGATAAAGTTCGCTTATATTCCGCTATTAAGTAGCGCGCGTATCTTAATAGGTCTCTTTAGCGTATTAACTTTAATTTCTATTATAAGTATCTTTAATACGGGGATCTTCTATAAGTCCTCTCTAAATAGTTCTAGTACTATTACGATACTTAATATACTAGAAATTAGTTTTTTACCTTATTCTTCTTCTTTATAGACGCCTTATCTACGATCCTCTATTATCTTTATCTCTTACTACGATAGTCTTCGCCTTAATAGTCCTTTTTTCTATAGATATAATACTCTTTTAGAAAGGGTCTTAAATATCTATATTTCGATTTATTCCTTTTTTCTATCGCTAATATCTTCTTCTACGTCTTCGATACGGATTAGTTAGACTTCTTCTATAAGGTCTATCTCTTATCTCGAGATCTTTAATATAGTTTCTAATAGAGGCCGAAGATTCGAGAGTTCTTCTTTTTCTTATATTACTCGCTCTAACGTCGTTATATAATTACGTTCTTATAGCGTAAAGCGAAAGCTATAATTTACTCTCGAGAGAGAATCTCTTTATACTTATATATAATTTCTATATAGAGTATAAATATATAGCTATTAAGTAGTATTTATACTCTTCGCTCGTTATCTATTATTAGCGAGATCTTCTTCTTAATCGTCTCGATCTTTATAAGAAAGTCCCTAAACGACTAGTTTAGTCCTTACTTCGTTTCCGCTAGGCGAATTAATATTTAGCTCTTACGTATTATAGAGGTTACGACTACGCTCTTTAGATAGTCGATAAATTCCCTCTAGCGTATAAACTTAGATTTATCTCTAGTCTAGACCTTCTTAGCTCTATTCTCTAGATATATTACTACGTACCTAATACGATAAGTATAGTAGTCTTTAGTATACGATTTTATAGTTCGAAAGAGCTTTCTCTATCTAAGGTCGAACTTTCGAAGTTCTTTAATAGATTTTTCTTTAAATTTTAGTAAAGAGGCTATCTTAATATATTTAGCTAAGTATTTCTTCTCCTCTTCGAGTAAGCTCTAGCGTCGCTTACGAAACGGTAGCGTAGTACTCTCTACTTCTACGTATCGAGTAGGTTTACGGCCTTCTAGTTTAGTCTCTATTACTCGTATCTCTTTCTTTAGCTATTTTCGTATTAACCGCGCCTTAAGTTCCGTATAGCGTCGGTAAAGCTTATTTATCTCGTCGACGCTTACTAAGAAATAACTAGCTTTAGGGGTTACTTTCTCGCCCGCGGCTCCTATAATAGGATTCTCTACGATACTACTTAATCTTCTATTATAGTATTAGCTATTTCTCTCTTAAGGGTTTCCTCCCGAGTAGGCTTAGCTACTATTAGGCTAGTTATACTTCGCGTACGAGAAGCTATTATTATCGTATTAGTCGCTTAGCCGATTTAGTTTAACTCTTCGAGAATATTATAGATAGCCTATAAGAATAGACTAAGCTAGGCAATAAGTATTAATAGTAATATCTAATATAGATATATTATATAAGACTTAAAGAGTTAAGGAGTTTAACCTAGTATACGAGAGGTATACGTATACTATATACTCTATGTGCGTATATATCTTGGCAGCCTTGGCATGTATGCTCCCTTTAGCACTCGGCCACCTTGCCATTCGTGACATAAGTTAAATAACTCTTTCTTATTTACTAGCCTTAATTACGCGCTTTCCTACTCTTTAAGGTAATATCTCGTCCGTAGATAGGATACTAGAGCGAAGAAGAAGGAGGCGTAGTTTATATTAGCTAGGAAGTATTAGCCGTAAGGTAGCTTAAATCGATCTTTTCGAGTAGCGTCTTATAATACTCGAGTATTATAAGTAGAGTCTTCTTAATCTATATAAATAAAGGTAAACCTAAGACTAAAATTATAGATAGCTAGGACGTTTTATAATAGAAAGTCTTTTCTATTACGCTAAGCCGATTACTTCTTAACTAGGATATAAGCGTAAATTTAAGTACTATTAAAGGCGCCGATATAGTTCTTAAAGGCTTTAAATTTACTATTATTCTCGATCTTAGACGATATAGAAGATATCTTTATCGATTATCTAATAATCTTATAATATAAGTCGACGAGGGCGAGTAATATACTATTAAAAGAGCGTAAGATTAAGGAGATAGAGCGACCGAAAAGAAGTTAAGTATTTCGATAACCGCTACTAGATCGATAGATATTAAGAAATATTACTAATCGCTCTTCTATCGTAATAGTATAAGTATCCTTTACTCTACTAGTCTCTCTTAAGCGCCGCGCGAGTATAAGAAATATCTTCTTCTAGAGCCTAGTATATAGATATAACTAAGTAGGATATTCGAGCTATTTAGCTATCTTCTCTTAGCCCTATAGAGGGTTTAAAAAGATCGATTACGGCGGCTTTCGTATTGTTTAGGCGCCGACGACAAGACTAACGACAAGATAGATAGCTATACTCTATAATAACTTAAGTAACTCGTTAATATTATCGAATTTAAGCGACTTATCGAAATCTATAATTACGCTATCTATAATTATACTATTAATAATAATAATTCTATTGATTTAATAGGCGTAGTTTTACGGGCGTAGTCTCGTAGTCTATAGATATCGAGCGTATTATCGAGCGATTCTATTAAAACGCGAAAAGGTGGAGCCTAGGTGGATTTTAGTGTGAAAATAGCGCGTAATTCGAACGGGGTATATCCCTATTAAAGTGGTTGAAAACGCGGTTATATTCTGGCGGTTCGAAATGCTGACGGGGAACAGGCCCTTATAGTGACGGTATTGCCCTGACGTCGACGAGGCATCCCACCCCCGAGTCCCGCACTGCAGTGCCAGTTACTGTACGGCTGGCTGCACGAGTGTAGCATCACTGAGCTACAAGCTGAATCATGTCAAGAAGTCGAGAAGGCTGGGCATGACCACCTCCTAGAGAGCATACATACATCTACATACACAACTAAGAAAAGAGTTTCAACATCCAGGATACGATATGTGATGCATCGCTCGGCACTGGCGCATGCGTCTTGAAGTTTATGTAAGGGCGGAATTGTTGCTCTGATGATCATGTAATAATCATCCCACATCGGATACTGGGTGGGATACCAGTAAGCAGCAGCTGAACGTTCCAGCCGCGTGGAGCTGGGAGCTGAGCGATCAGCGACGTGAGACGCCGCGGGACACGGCTGACCAACACGAACTGCAGTGGCCAGAGACATACTTCAGGCCCGTGATGACTGTTAATAGGCACTGGCAGTCGGGTTTGAAACTCGATTCCTCTGCGATTCAAGGTGCCGATTGAAAGACCACCACCACTGCTACCTGGCCATCTTGCCATTTCAATCGTGACCGGCCGCGGTTTTCGCTCACTGCAGTGGCACGACGGCTTGTCAAGTCGAGTAGGTGCTACAGAGGGCTTCGTCCTCCAAGGAAGGAGCGAACGTGCGGTCGTTGTTACCTCCTCACCATCCTGACACTTCACTCAGAACTTGAACCTTAGTACATCTCCCTTCCATTTCGAGCCCGCTCAACCCTCATTCCCGCCGAAGAATCATTGTCTCGATATACCATCCGTCTAGCAATATGGGAGATTCGGTACGTAAATGTACCTCAGCCTTGTAATGCCCCACACAGTGCAGAGCAGAGCGGCTTTATTTAGAGCGCCAATAAATGGATGGGATGACCTGACTGAGCAATTGACTGAACTGACCCTGACTTGGGCACCAGCGCCCGACGCACAAGCACGCCGACGAAGACGGGCACTTTCGACGACAAGCAAGCGTCTTCCGCGACTGGATCTCGAAAGAACCAGGTGCCAAGTTCGCTCCCGAACCCAACCGTTACGCCATCTATGCGAACCTAGGATGTCCATGGGTAAGTAAAGAAGAACCTCAGAATATACACCAGGGAGGACATTGCAACTGACAATATGATCCCATCTAGGCTCATCGGACCATTCTCGTCCGCGGTCTCAAGAACCTCGATCCCCTGATCCAACTCATCCTCACCGACTTCGACCTAACGGAGAATGGATGGCTATTCACGGGCCGCAATGGATCGGCGGACAAAGACCCTTTATATGGGTTCACGGGTCTGAAACAACTCTACCTCAAAGCTGACCCAGAGTATACCGCTCGCTACACCGTGCCGGTCTTGTGGGACAAGAAAACAGAGACCATCGTCAACAACGAGTCCAGCGAGATCATCCGCATGCTGTATGACTCGTTCGACGAGTTTCTCGAGCCCCACGAGCGTGAGGCCAACAAGCCCGGCGGCGGCTTTTATCCGCCCCATCTACGCAAGGAAATCGATGAAATAAACGAATGGGTTTACCACACGGTCAACAATGGCGTGTACAAGTGTGGGTTCGCCACGACCCAAGAGGCCTACGACGACAACATCTATCCACTATTCAAGTCGCTGGATAGACTCGAAGCCCACCTTGCCGACCCGGCCCATCAGCCCTACTTGTTCGGCGAGTACATTACTGAAGCAGACATCAGGCTGTACACCACTATGGCTCGGTTCGACGTCGCGTATCACAGTATATTCCAGTGCAATCTAAAGATGATTCGGCACGACTATCCTCGCCTATCCAAATGGTTGCGAAATCTGTATTGGGACGAGTCTGAGCGGACAAACGGTGGCGTCTTCAAGAAGACCACCTACTTTGATGTCTATAAACATGGCTACCTGCGGGCAAGGTCCCGCCAGCTGTGGGGAGGCAATGACCAGGACAAGCCCCTCGTCATTCCGCGAGGCCCTCTGCCGGATATCGAGCCACTGACAGATGAGGAGGAACAGGAGCTCATCAACGGCACAGCGAAAAAACTCGTCGGCCTGGATATCGACACAAAAGGCAGCAACACTGTATCGAGCCCTTCGAGCCCAGACAGCTACAACCACTTTTCTGCCCAGGGCGCGAAGAGCGGCATGGGTGCCCTCTTCGGCGCAGACGTCGATTCGCCGGCATCCGATCTGAAATATGAGTCGGGCCAAAAAGGCGGCGATGATGACGCCGGCACTGGAGTCGATGAAAACGGCGAGTTCCATCCGCGCCGGGTCATTCAACACCGTACCGCGCACAGCGACGAGAATGCAAAGTGGTACAAAGCGGCGAAGAAGGCCGAGAAGAAGTCCGGGGCCCCGACCGTGCACTTAGCCTCATCATAAGTGATGTTATGCCCTGGAGATGATCTCCTAAGCTGGACCGTTGGATGAGAGGACATGTCATTGACACAACTGTAGTCTTATCATGACCGTGTTGGAGCAGGATTCGAGTGGTCAACATTATGTAACTGTACGCCGTTGCGCACGAGATCATCCGTAGGGGGTTATGGATGGACCCGATGTTACCGCACCGTCCACAAACTAGGCGTGTCACTTCATGTGAGCATGAAGTGATATATTCTCAGCTTCCATGGGTAGTCAGCTGATTATCTCGTTGTATCGATTCTCGAATGCCGCAATGCGCTCACCGAAGTCCGAATCTGTTGGCAATCTCGAGGAAACCGCCGGCTTCCTGTTCGATCCACATATCAACCCAACCGTCCGCTTTCGCCTTGGCGGTTTCCTCCCCTGACCACGATTCCTCTTTAGGCCTGTCAATGTAGATTGTCTGGTAACCACACTCGCGAGCGGCCTTGAGATCTCCTAGGTGAGCAGCGACCAGTGCGCACTCGTTTGGTTGCAGACCCAGCTTTTTCGCCGCGCCCAGATACACACTCGGATGAGGTTTATAGGCAGCAAAGTCCTCGGCGGATATGATGTGAGTATAAGGCAGCGAGCCATGTCTGGCCAAGTCCGTGAGCAGACTTGTATTCCCATTGCTCAGGGTGGCTGTCTGGAACTTCTGGTTCAAAAGCGCAAGGCCCGCGGACGAGTCGGGCCACGGGTCGAGAAAGTGCCAGATCATACTTATCTTTTGAATTTCTTCATCGGACCAAAGGCCCTCGAGGCTGTGGTCTACAAGAATCTTATGCAATGCCTCCACGTGGTGTTGGTCCACGGTCTTGAATTCTCCTTTCTCCTTGGCCGCGGCGGGGTCGTAGCTCCGGGTGAATTGATGGTATGATTCCCGCCATAACTGCGCGACAGCAGGCCAGGAAATGTCCGAGGCAGCGGTCCGTACAGTGCTGGGAATCGAGCGGGTGGAGGAATTGAGGGCTTCAGAGGCTGAGGCGGCTAGGTGGTCCGTCACCGTGGTACGCCAGTCGACGACCGTGCCGAAGACATCGGTGAGGAGGGCTTTTGGAGGATTGTCCGCCGACATCGTTGTTCCAAGGTGCGCCAGATAGACAGAAGATGCCTGGGGCCTGGAGGTGTGGACGGACGGAGGGGACGAATTCAAGCAGTAGTGTCTGTTGCAAAATTCACATGGGACTTCCCACGATTGAAAGATGTGGTACAGCAGTGACCGGAAGTAATGTAACTTACCCAATGGATAGAAGTCCGAACAATGGTGAGATGCAGTCTCGAAGCTCAGGCTGTCGAAGTTGTCGCAAGTCGAAAGCGTGATGACGTTCAGGCGGCGAGTTCGGAGCAGCGGTTCGAGTTCAGCCAATGACACCAAGTACCGCAGGTTGAGCCGAGGCAAGGACCGTGTGTTTCCAATCCAAGCCTGAGCATCCTCGCAAAGGGACGCTGCGCAGGCTCCAGCTGTCAAGTTGCAGCCAACGCTGCCAGTGGTGCATTGACGAGCCCCAGAGTGAAAAAAAAGAGTCCGTGCGTCCTGTCCGGGGTATCGGCATGCTGATCCTCAATCACTGCAGTTCTTTCGTTCGCTAAAGTGATAACAGGACGATAGCAAGACATGGATGGTCCTTCGTCGGAAGCTACAACAGCATGTCTGCCTGGTCCCATGCATGGCCCTCGTGGCGAACGGAAAGAGAGCTGTCAATGTGAGACGATGACACTCCAGCAACTTTATGGGACATTGGAGGCTTCATGAATACGAAGTGTCACGCCCTTGGTCGAAGTTGAATGGCCAGAAAGACCAGGGACGAAAGGAATCGAGACCACGCAGGAAATACGCGGACCTTGTCAACTTATGGACGCGGCAAAGCCACGCACCGCAGGTAGCGATATGTAACGGCGAAGGGTGCCGAAGAGTGTTGGAGGTAGACACCTTCGTGGAGGGTGTGATGAATTAAACAGCACATGCAGGTGACAGCTGTAGCGGAAGGTCCGTCCGAGATTTAGTCTGTGATGAAGCAGTTGACAGAAAATGTGCAATCAAAAGACTCGGGTACAAGTTGAACCAGAACGATGACCACCATCGCCTTCGAGCTCCGTCTAGATACGGTGACGAGTACGACGGCAGAGTGTGAGGTGCTCCTGGGCATGGATATCACATCCCCAGGGCGCAGTGGCTGCTACAATTCTGTACCTTGTAGGTACCAAGAGCCTTCCTAATCCCAGGGATGAGAAAGCTCCCGGGCCTCTAACTTCGCCCGCAAGTATGTGCCCTGCTAAGAAAATCGTATAAGAGCCTGCCCGCTGCTCTACTTCATTTGCTCCGGTCGTCCCAATCCACAGGGGGTTGGAGATCACTAGGCTCTTCCGCATCGACTTCAAAGGAAGTAGGAGATGTAACGGAATCAGTAGGATGTCCTAAGCGAGAGTAAATAAAGAGCAGGCAGTGTATAGGTAGAAAAGCACCCGGTTGGGGTTATCGATCAACCAAAAAGAGTGGGAACGGTTCATGCTGCAAGGCGACGAAGCGAAAGACTCCCGTACAACAAGTACCCAACCTAACCTCAGTACCTAGCTAGCTTATCTTGAAGCCCAAGTCATGGACCGGGTTACTCGAGTCTGATGCATCTGTCCCACATGTAAGCACTACGTTGTACACTGCAGTAAAAGCATTTCATCACAATATTGTACACGGGTCACTGCAATAACGTGCTGAAAACACAATATTCACTGCAGTGGCAGTGGCTCCCTGCCTTTCCGCAACTGATCATCTCCCATGTGAGGTTGACAGACGGCACGACGTACATGGATCCTTGATCAAAACGTGATAGACGTGGCACGGGGCACTTTGCAACTCTGAAATTTGAGTGTGGCCCAGCCTTTCAAAGTCTTCGCTCCACTGCTGGTGGTCACTTTACGGGCCGTGGGAGAACAGGTGGGTGTGCGGGCTTCGAGGAATCCTCCGATGGCAGGGATTGTGAAACACGCTTGTGCCTGTGATGGGATGCCAGTGTGAGGCTTTGCTTTGGTATGTCACTGCACCCAGGCACAGCTGGCTCATGAATAGTAATGATGCTTCATGCTTTTGGTCCTAACGAAACGTGGACGTGTGAGCAAATAATACAACTTGAACGAGGCATCTCCTGCAGAGACCAGCAACATTTTATGAGGTCCAATGCACTGCCCGCAGTGCGCTGCAAGGTCGGCTACAGGGGGATTTTAAGGCTCTGAACTAAGGTCGATGCTATAACACGGGCAAGCACTGGCACTGCAGTGTCAGTTCAGTGGCAGCTGCCCGAATGGTCGGCCCGTTTCCGAAGCTGCAGTGTGGAGGGACCGTTGTTGGCTCCTGCCGCCTGTGGGACACCTATATCTTACGCCTGCGACTTTACATCCTTTTACACTCGACACATATCTTACCACACCAGAGCCAACGCCTACACCGTCCTACTTAGTACAACTAGTATTAGCAGGACCCCTTCACTTGGGTCGCCAGCAGTGCTACTAACGAGCCTGAATATGCCCAATGCCAGTGGCCGTGGGTAAATTGATGCCCGAACCCTCACTTAGGGCCTTCGCCAGTACTAGCAGGTGCCCCAGTAGCCTCTCTGCCTGGCCCATGTCGGCTGCCTTACCAGGGGGCGCTGCACGCTTGACTGCAGTGCTGCAGAGCTGGTCGCGAGCTGGAGATGCGCGCATGCTGCACCGCACCTTCATTCTCCTCAGTTGTCTTCGCATGCTGCATCCTATGTCCTGGTGCTCAGGTGTCGAGACAACATGAGCGAGTCAAAGGATTCCAGCATTTGGCCTCGATGGCCCAGACTCAACGTAAAGTAGCCATCCGCACTTGGACGCCACCAAGAGCACCAACTCTCCGTGGATGCCGGTCTGTGGACGCGCCCTTGTCGAGGCTAAATGAGGCCCGCCCTTGGCCTCCTCCAACTCGGATGCGGCTTTTCCCTCTAGAGGCTCAAATTACTTTCGCTGCCTCACCTCATCCACTTGGCCCTGCAATCCCTGGCCACAAGCCTTCCTCGCCCGCTCGTAGCTACACCCCTGACCACATGAATCTCCTCCAGGTCCGAGATACCATGGAGCCCAATCATTCCTTTGCTCGTACCTGCGCCGGCGCCGGTCGATCTCCTCCAGGGCCCCGCCTCAGACGCGACCGAGACAGACCACAAAGAAAAAGAGCCAGAGCATCGCTCGATCAGGAGAGCGCCTGGGTAGGTCTTCCCAAGGTAAGGGTGCCGTTGTCGCTTTGATGTCAACGGGCTCTCGCTTCTGCCAGACCATTCTATCTTTGAAGAAGATGTACAGGGACTAGACAGGGACATCGGTCCAAAATTGACAAGCTTCTCCTGTCCATCTGTCATTCTTTCGTCAACGCCTGCACTGACCGTGTCGACGTGTGACATGACTTCTACCTTGTTGTTTTCCGTTGCGCCAATCTGCACCTTGCATTGAACACTTATTATGTAGGCCAGCCTCTACGCCAACAGAGCCAGTAAACCCCCTCCAGACAGAGGGAACGAGGTGATTGATCTGCGGTTGACGTCGTACCAGAGCAGTCTTCTCCAGAACATGTTGGCTGGTCCGTTCTTGAAGAGACGTTGAACGCAGTGAAGCTTTTGCTACCATCTGATATATTCCCCGGTCCGCCTTCACTGTTTGACCGGTGGAGCATGCCCTATGCAGGCTGGTGACTGGTTTGAGCCCTCTGTGGCAGAACGGCGGTCATCGAGAATGGATGCTGGAGCCAGCTATTCACTGCCATCGCCAATAGACACCCCTCATCGTTCATCTTCGAGTTCACAATCCATCCAGTCTCGCACGTGGAAAGATATGTCACCATCTTCTACGCCTCCCCCCGTGTCCGATGAGCGATCCCACAAAAGACGGAGTCGGGACTCGATTGACCCGGCCCTCGACGAGAAGATATCTCCTCTTGACCCTAGAAGATTTACCCCTACTCTTCATGCGTCGCTAGTCTCGGAGATTTTGTCGCTGCGACGGGATCTCGAGGTTCGCACGAATGACATCGAAAAGTTGGAGATCAGTCTTCACGCGGCCCAGACTCAAAATGAGGTACTCAGCGACAGTCTGCTCCAATCCAACAAGGAGACCAGGTCGGTTAAGCGGCAGATGCAACTTCTTGAGGGTGGGACGATGTCAGCAATCAATGATTTGACAAAAGAACGAGACGACGCGTTGAATGATGCCTCTGAACTGCGCAGGCGCCTGGAGCAAATACAGAACCGAGCCAGGAATCAAGAAGAAGCCGCAGACAAAACTCGTGAAATGTGGGAAAAGGACAAAGAGTCATGGCTGATGGAGAAACGACGCCTCGAGACCAAAGTTCACATTGCTGAAGGTCGCCTCAAGGTTGTACTCAGCGAAGTTGCCAATGCTCAGCAGCCAGCGCCCCCGGCCTCGCCAACAGAGCGTGCTCAAAGTCGCAACAGCATTGCAGAGAGTCCCAGCAAGAGCTCCATACTAAATCGAAGGGGCCGGAGACATAGCGCCGCCTCAGTGAACAGCGACGGTCATGGAGGTCGAGTCTCGGTACTCAGCTTCCACAACGGAATGACCGTGAACCTGGCGGATGAACTCGCATTTGATGAGCTCGAAGAGGACCTAGCTCACCCAGATGATGTCGAAGATGGCCGCATCTCTCCGGATGCGCTCCCCGAAGAGCAAGTCCGACCTGCCTCGAGTCTGTCGTTGAAGGCTCGAAGAGTACTGGGGCTGTCCCTGGATCTGAGTGAGATGGAACGCAACGACAGAGGCAGCGTGAAATACGTCGATACAGCCATCCAATTCTCCCCTCCCCCGTCTCCGTGGCCGACGCTTGACACAGGCTCGAGGCTGGACTCTTGCTCCGGAAATGACGGCCGAGTCACCAGCAACTCAGATTACTTCAGTCCCATGGAGAACACAGACATTGTGAAGGAGAGGCCGCCACCTGTCATGGTTTCATCGGCTTGCCAGACGATTGAAGCCCTTCCCAGTCCTCCTCTAACACCGGCGAAAATCGGTACCACTCTGGCCACGATACCTGAGAATGTCCCGGACAGACCTGAGACGGCAACGATCGGTACCCAGACCGAGTCAATGGTACTACAGAATGACAGACATGGTCACAAGCATTCTGAGAGCGAAGAAACCGTGGATTTTCATGTTCCATTGATCACGATCATTCCCCCAAGATCGAGACCTGCCACTCCTGAAACCACGACTGTTGTCCTCCCCCCTAGAACCAAGAACGCGACTACTCAGGTAACAGCCCAATCTCTCGGTGGGTATCAGTCGACATCCGTGCAAACAGAAGAGATTCGCGTCGATCAGAGAGCCGGTGTCCCACCCTCCGAAATGCCTGCGCCAGCGCCACCATTGGCAATCGAGTCTCGGTCACGACTCTCGTCGCAGGCCGTGCCTGCACCAATCCTGCGAACGAGGGGTCCTCCTCCGGCTCCCCCCTTTTCTTTTAGGCATGCATTGGCTGGGCCTTCGAGAGCGTCTGCACCCCCTATGAACGATAACGGGCCCCTAGCAAGAGGATTAGGGTCAAATGCTCCTCGGCCTGTCCGATCGAGCAGCATGTTTGCAGGGTTTGAAGACGATAACAACTGTTATCGGGATAGTCGGTTTGAGGAAGACGTCATGCAAGAGGACGACATATTCAGCCGCCCGACTGCTCGATTTGTTCTCAAATCTGGCAGAATGGTCGCCCAAGATTCCCAACTTGAAAACATAGGGGAGAGCCTGGCAGCGAGCGCAGGCGAAGCAGCAGCCCTGGAAACCCTTCGGTTGTCCGAAGATGGCCTACCGCCTGGCGTTAAGGCCATTCTATCCCAGTCACGAACAAGCCCTCGTCGGGGAACGCAACGGCAGAACATGAGCATGAAATTGAAGAGGGTGCCCTCGGCGAGATCGAATAATATGAGACGGGCAGCCATGGTTTCCAGTGGAGCTGCCGCTCATCGGTCATCGCATTCCCAATCTACCACCGGCTCTTTTGACAGCAGCAACCCTCCTCCTTTCCCGGTGCCTTTGCGGTACAGTTCGGCAAAATTGGCGAAATCCGCCAGTGAAGGTGGGAGAAGTTCACCTGGTAGTAGCAATGCCTCCCCCACGAAGAGACCTAGACAGCGACATGCCAAACCCATATTGAGGAAAGCCAGATCGGGACCAGCGATCTCCCCTCACTCTCCAGCCCGTCGACCGCGGAGTCGGTCGCCACCCCTTGACCCACGAGTCTCAATTGTTCCAGAGATGCCCAGCTTTCAGATGCCGACGACCACGGCGCCCCGGGATTTGGCTGCACTGTCCTCAGATCTTTATGAAGCAAGTGCACCTCGCCCATCCATCGCTACTGGACCGGGTCGGAAGGGAATCCACACCAAGACGAACTCTGACGCGGTTTCGATGCACCAGACTTCGGTGGTAGATTCCATTGCACAGACAATGGTGGGAGAGTGGATGTTCAAATATGTCAGAAGGCGCAAGTCATTTGGAGTGACTGAGAAGAATGACTTCGACGCAACTAAGACGGTGGAAGAAATATCTCAAAATGTGACGAACAATGGAGTCCGTCACAAGAGATGGGTTTGGCTCGCGCCTTATGAACGCGCTGTTATGTGGAGCAGCAAACAGCCGACTTCTGGTACAGCATTGATGGGGAAGAGTGGTCGGAAATGTAAGTGATGCGGGTGTCTTCAAGGTAAACTTGCTTGCTAATGTCAAGACAGTGACCATCAAATCAGTCCTTGACGTCAAGGATGACAATCCTCTCCCCAAGGGTGCCATCCCAGGTCGGAATTTCAATCGATCCATTCTCATTTTGACGCCTGAACGAGCATTAAAATTTACAGCAACCTCTCAGGAGCGGCATTACGTTTGGTTGACAGCCTTATCATTCTTGTCCCATTCCCCTCTGAGCGTGAATGAGCTCACGGCTGTACCACCACCACCACCACCTCTTCCCGAACACGAACCATTGGAGCAGCCTCCACCGTCTCTTGCTGGTTCGCTCCGACGCCGGCCGATACGGGACTCGATTCGGATTGCGAAGAATGCCGTCAGAAATGGCACTGGCCCGAGATCATTCACCACCGATGGTTCATTACCAGTGAGAGATTCTCGACCACCCACTCGAGACTTCTACGATCCAACACAGGACCCTGCTTTACCTCCTAACATTCCCCGACATTCACGAAAGCGAAGTAACACAGCCCCACGAGCACCGCCAACTTCCTTTAGAAGCTTTTCCACCAAAGACGGCATTGCCAGCACCGCAGGTCCCGGGTCGAGTTACTCACAAAGTGTACATTCCACCGCAGTGTATTCGTCTGACCGGGGATTGTATACCCCTAGTGCGGGTATGCAAAGCATTGTGAGCAGTCGGAGGGGTAGCGAGGCAAGTGCTTCAGGACGTCCTCCTATACCCTCCTTGCTGATGGACAACGCCCAAAACGCGACCATGAGGATGGATGCTTTCATCGAGAACAAGCCTTCAACCTCATCGGGTAGGCCTTCCTTTAATGTCATGCGGACAGGTCATTCAAAGAAGAAGGATATGGGATACTGGGGGTTCGAACAGGGCAGAGATAGCATCAGTCCTGTGGACTCGCTGCTTCTCGGCGAGATGATGGCAGCGGGTTCCTCCACTCGCGGCAGTACCGAGTCAAGGGACCCTTGGCGAGGATTTTAAAACGTTCTACTACTATGTGCCGAAGCGCATATGTTCAGAACAATGTGCACGCCAAACGGCGAAAAATTTTGTACCAACAATGGGATGGATGACAGTACGAGAATGGACCTGATTTGAAATCTGTACTTCATAGCCGGCTTCTTGAGGGGATCAGGGCTGTGACGGGCACGTCAAAAAGGCCGGAATGAGAGGCGCAACTTGAAGGTTTTGTGGACCACCAGACCAGGGTATATTGGAGTTGAAAAAGCGTTGCAATTGTATCTGTTCCTCATATCCCATGATTTGAAACTGTTAAATGGACCGGATGAAGCGCTCAAGCCGGATACTGGGAGTGTGAGGTCTGTACTTGCGTTGCCCTGGGATTGAGAGTGCTATAAACTCAGTACTTTATCTCATGTAAACATCACAAGAGAGAATCCCGGGACAAGGCTGCGGAATTGTAAGGATTGGAACTTGAACTCGGATGAGGTTCTGATAATTGACAGCCTTGCTTAATAATAAGCGACGTCTTCCCCCGCAGCCTGATATCCTCCGAACCGAGTTCAGTTCGTCATTTGCAGTGGATGCCGTGCTGTGCTTGAGCGTCACTACTACCAAACTGCGGTTCCCTCCACAGACAGTACAACTTACAAAGTACAACATACATCTTCCACGACCTGAAACACATTTGTACTCACCAACCTCTTTCTCGATCAGCGTGCAGCGAGATCATCGTTTTCTGCGTTTTGGCCCCCGTCGCGGAACACATTCATTCAATCCAGATTCGACTGGACTTCAGTCGCCCAACATGTTGATCAAGTGAGAAAGACATCCCTAGCCCCGATGCTGTTGCCGATGCTCCTGTCTCCGTGTGCATCGGAGTCGTTTGGCCGTACAATACAATAAACAAAGGAGAAAAAGGAGAAGACAACCTTGACTGACGCTTTATCTTTGGCGAGGCCAGAGTGCGGACGTTGACCGGAAAAGAGATTGAGCTCGACATCGAACCGGATTACAAGGTACAGCACCCACCTGCTCTTCACACCATCTCATCCTCTCACCGAACCTCCTGACGGATGGACGGCATGGGAGTGTGTGGCTTTGAACTCCCCTTGAGGGGAATGGATCAAGCCGAAACAAAAACGGACGGGCTGAATAGGGCAAATAACATAACAGGATAGAGGACACGATGTGCTGATAATTTTTGGGATTGGTAGGTCTCGAGAATCAAGGAGCGAGTCGAGGAGAAAGAAGGCATCCCTCCTGTTCAGCAGCGGTTGATTTATGGTGGAAAACAGATGTATGTGGCTACCTTACATCCCCAATTGAGTTCCACCCTGGGTACCCGAAAAGGAAGTGTTCTAAGAGGCTCACGACTGTGTTATCACAGGGCGGACGATAAAACAGCTGCAGATTATGGTCTCGAAGGAGGGAATACGTTACATTTGGTGCTGGCGTTGAGAGGAGGAGACAGCTTATGAACCACTTGTGTGTGCGTGCGTGCTGCTCGTGCGGTATGGCATGGCCGTGTGGGATGCTGAGGGGACCGGACCGCCGACAACTTGAAGTTCGTGCCCACCCACCGCTTGTCAGCCTCGGAAAGATCAGCCTGAGATACTCATGTACTGTACTGTACCCTGGCTGCAGTTCTGTCATTGTCTCGTCCACCACTGCATCGATCGACGCGACCCCGAAACTACATAGATGGTCCACTGGCAGCAGCACATGCACGAAACGAGATTAGAATTTTCGACACAGTCACATCACGAACATGAACAGCAAGTCAGGGGAACTCGGTTGCTTGGAAGTGTGCAGCAACTTTCAAAAGGCATAGGCATATCAGACAGCACGGTTTTGGGTTGCAATCCAGTCAAAATAACAATACCATTCAGTGGACTCCGAGTCGTCTCCGTGACATGGAGATGGCTGAGGGCTCAGATAGACCAGAACCTTTTACACATTCAAGGGCGATTAGGGACAGGCAATGCAGTGGTTTAGTTTTGATCAACAGAGAAGCACATTTTCATGATTGTGCAGCACACCACATCCTGTGCGGTGATTCTGTGACATATCATTCCCGCCGTGGCCTGAAGACTTGTTATCTATTCTCCAGATATCATCACTGCACCAGTATCATCTCGCTCTCTGTATCTTGGATGACACTGTCCGTATCATTATCATAATTATCATTTCCACTCATCACTTCCAGATCCGCCCAATTTCAGCACTATCACTGATGTCTTCTCAAGACTCGATTCATGGCGATGGCCGGCCTAAGATACTGCCGGCGGCTTTGTGACTGGCCTCTTCGACGACAGGAAAAGTGAAGGAGCCATTTTTCGCTTCTTCATTGGTGGTTGTGTTGTCGTATTCAGCCTCACAGGACTGGCCGAAGTTTGTTGTCTGACGTCCTCATTACTCACCTTTCGCATTTTGCGAGGTGGTTCTTCCATGGCATCATCCGGTCCGTCGTCATCCTCCAGGAAATCGAGAGTGAGATGATTGGCACTCCGAGTCTGGCTCTGTGCCATTGTTGAACTTGTTGTCGGGACAGGGGTCTTTCCGGCCTTCAACGCACGCAGTCTGGCCTCACGATCCCTTGTCAGATCGTACGAGTCGTTTGGTTGTTGTGGGCGTGGTGCGTGCAGGGGAGGTCTCGAAGTTGGGATGGGTCGACGAGACGCAGCGGGAGGAGAAGTTACCGTCACAGTCTTTGCAGCAGCGGCGGCCTTCTGCTTCAAGTCCTCGACAAAGCGCTGCGGCGGCGTTATCACGGGCGTGGCTCGTTTCGGCAACTCGTGCATGGGCCGGTTCATCCGGGAGGCCTTCGCATCGCGAGCCTCCTTGCGGATCTTCTCCATGAGCGTCATCTTGTTGGCGCCCTTGCTCCCCGTCCGGCCGGTCACGTAGTTGTTGAAGATGCGCGCCCGTCTCGAAGGCCCGTATGAACCGGGGACTCTGTTCGCGATCTCGACCACATTCTGCTCTTTTTCTTTTTTGATGTTTGCCAATGCCGCTTTTAGCATGGCTTCGTCGGCCTTCGAGTCCTGCTCTGCCTCAGCCTTCAGCTTGCGGTACACTTTGTACCAGTTCTTTGGGTCTTTGGGCTCGTGAGGCTTCAGGTGCCAGTCTGGGATGTCGCGTTTGATGAAGTTTAGCCAGAGTTCGGCGTCTAGTCCTATGATTTGGGGAGAGGCTTGTTCGATTTGGTGCTGTAGAGTAGAACATTGTCAGTCAGTAAAATGACGGAAGGGCTTCCATACACTGGCATCCTTCAGATGGGGAGGAGGCATGTGTCCGTATGTGACTTACCAGTTTCTCGGGGTTCTCAATCTTCATAAGGACCGGTCGCACGAGTTCATAGTCGAGGTCTCCGATGTCTGTGATCCGAGCACTGTATCGACCGCACGCCCGGCGGGCCATGGCCAAGAGACTGTCGGCTGGCATGGTGAAGAGATTACTCTCTCACCTTGATGTCGGGATGTTTGGAGCAACAGGAGTTGAGGTCGGAGAAAGAATTGTATTGTAAGATTAGGCGACTCAAACGCTTTCTCCAGTAAAGTAGAGGGAGGTCGTTTGGCAGCAGAGTTGTCTGAGGTAGAAGAAGGGTGCCTATATACTTAGGCGGTGGAATGGTGTTGTAGTCCGACTACTCCTTTGGGAAAGTGTCAGATGCGGATGCGGAACAATTGTAAGAGTTCAAGTTGGAGTGAGCTTCCAAGGTCCATGTGAATCGAGTCGCAGAACAATAGGTCCTCACCAACTATTGTCCGCCAAACTTGAATAGACCGGACCTCGTGAATTATTTATATTATTCCTGCCAGTGTCTGCCATTATTCACCGCCCTGATCAGCCATTGTCACCCGGCAGCCTGAAGTGATTCCCCGCGGACGCCTTAACTTACAGGAAAAGCTGCAATACAACCTGGCCTAGCCTCAACACGAACCGTTCTAATTTATAACACTACCACCGGTAACAGGAAATATGGCAAAGTTTACTGTGCTGGATCAAGCTGAAGAAGGTTAGAGTTTGCGCGAACCATTCTCTCTCGCGCAAAACCTGACGATCTCATGAAACTAATTGTTCTTTGGCTTCTAGACAAACTTCATGCCACGCGACTTTTGGGCATCGAAGAGCGCCCGTTCAAGCGTCTAAGCAAGCGGCTTCTAGCCCCAACGACTCCCATCCACACGTTTCTCTCGCGGCCCAGCCCCTCCGAAGAGGGTGGCACAGAAAATGAAACAGAAACAGAAAGTACAGAACAGTTTCTCCAGGATATCCAGCGGTTCCGCGAAGACGTGATTCTAGACTTTGCCGCGTTCGAGAGCAGCATTGCACGTATCCAGCTGCTGCGAGCGGCCAATGAAAGAGAGCGGGAACGTTACGCGGCAGAAAGGCTCAAGATCGAAGTCACGGCCGCCGAGGTACGAGAGAACACGGCCAAGCTCCGCGTCCAGCTGGACGAGGCACAGAAGACGCTGGCGATCCGCAAGACGTACGATGTGCTCGCGGATAAAATCACCAGGAACCCGGCTCTCAAGCCGCGTGACGAACAGCACGTCAATATTGAAAAGCTCAAGGCCGAGATTGAAGAGTTGGAACGCGAGGCTCAGGAACACACGCAGGCGTGGCTTGAGCGGCGCGAGCAGCTGGCGAAGGTCGTTTATGAAGGTCAGAAGTTGAGAAGGCTGATCCGTGACGAGAAGGAGCCGGAAAAGGACGATACGGAACATGATGAGGATCATGATCATTTGTTGGGAGGCGTGTCCGGAGGTATTGGTAGAGATGGCCTCTCAAACGCCGGTACGCCACGCCCTGTCGATGATGCTTCTACCCCGTTGGCTGCCGCGCGTGGAAGTGGCGTGGGAACTCCTGGGGGTGCCACGCCTCGTCCTGACAGAGACGAAGACGTTGATATGGACGCCGGTCCTGGTTTGGAGACGGGAGATGGAAACAAAAATGGCCCGGCAAATGTTGTCATTGACAAACCCGGCGACGATATGGACACCAGTTGAAGGGCCTCTAGCTTATCCCATCTTCCAAAATAACAAAACAAGGGACGACAAGACATGGTCCCACGATTGAGCCCTCAAGTGAAAGGGTCTACCAGCGAGCTGAAGAAGGCGATCTTGTGTGAGCAAGAGGGTCGCGCATTCAGGAAGTCCCAGAGCTACAACCTGGTGGATGGCCGAAGCCAGGGGATTAGACCCGTCCCAGCTCACTCACTCACGAGCAAAAACGGGGCCAATTGTCATCTTTCATGGATATGATTGGATACGGTCGCTGCTCATGAGGTCTTGTACTCAATTCCCCCTCTCGTGGCCAGCAAGAAGATGCAGTGGCACGTATAAACGACATTGGACCGTTCTCGAATCAAAGGAATCCGAAGCTTCATTTGGATACAAGCCTTCATGGAGCATGTAGGACAATAATAATGGGAACTGCCTTAGCAGTCTCCGGTATGAATACTAGGTACCGGCCTCAATACGAGCACTGATGAAACCTCCAATTGGACGCCCTTGGTGACAATGGTTCTTGGTGAATTTGATTTTGTTCATGTTCCTGCCACCTTTTGAGGTTGACCCTTTGACTGCTGCTTTCCTCGATTTCCATTGCCGTACCTAGGGCTGCTTCATTGCATGTGCCCCAATCCGTGCTCAGGAAGCAAAAGGAGACATTCAAACGCTTTGGAATGGCAATGCTTTACTCCTTTGCAACCAACCACCTACTGCTGTCCGGCAACCGGGTCATCCTTTTGCTGCTCCTTTGCCTGTTTCAAGACTTCGACTGCCTTGTTGCGTTCCTCTTCGTTCGTGGCCGTGTCCTATAAACCCACCAAACCGAGATTGCTAAGATTAGAAAATGATTTTTACTGAACGAAAGAAACAGAGAACTGGGAAGTGATTTGCATTCGCGACGGCACGAGGTTCTTTCCTATTGAAAGGGCTTGCGGGATTCGACAGGACGAACGGAGCGCTGGCAAGGGCAAGGGCATGGCGAAGAACAACATAATTGCAAGCTCGAAACGTAATGTAACGTACCAGGTAACTCTCCAGCTTTTCTCTCGCGCTGGTGATTCGCTCTCGGAGCGTAGGGATCATGGCCTTGGTCTCCTCGAGAGCTTTTTTCTGAAGACACAAGGTCAGCGAATGTTTGCGGAATAACATAAGTATATGCGCGTGGCAAAGAGAACGGAACGGTGTAGGTGATAAGCAAACAGGGCGTCTTGATAGGCTACCCGGGTTGCCGATATTGAGGCCGTCGAACATTGGAGCCAGGGTTCATCACCGCGGTCCGGGAGGGCAGTGCAGGCACAGTATGTTGAACCATACCTATATCTTGTATAGGCACGTTACATAGGTAAGTACCTAGGGACTGGACGGCACTAGGGGACCAGGGATTTTAAGGCAGGGACTCCAAGGCAATGAATCCAAAGAAGCGTCGAACCGAACAAAATAAGAGATGATAGATGATGTTGTACGTACCTCCTGCTTCAGTTGAAACTCGCGATTCCCATCGTCGTCGTCCCCTGTACCCTCCTTTTCCAACTTGGCGATGCGGGCCTCCTGCTGCGATTGTTCTTTGTAGTACGATGCTTCTTCCTTGAGAAGTCGCTGGAGCGACGAGATGGCGATCTGGAGTTGAGATGGAGGAGCCATGCTGGGAGTCTATTTGCTTGGGAATCCTGTTGGTGAGTTGCTGGTTCTGGCTTGCACGACGGATCAAGCATCAAACAGAACTTGTGTCTCAATGGCCTGAGTCGTTGAGGAGGGCTTGTTTATACTAGTATTAATCGAGTTGACGTCGGTGATGTTGAGGACCAACTTGAAGGGAAATGAAAAATAAAGTTGTAATGACCGAGTGATGGTTGGACTTTACATGGCCGTTGCGCCGAAAGATTCCAAAATCGTCACTGTCACGCTGGAATAAATTGTGAATGTGCCGTGAGGGCTTCTTCACATGCACACGAGCATTCACTACCTACCCCAGGTACCTAGATTGCTACTAGTTAGATATGTCCTCCTTATATTACAGGTACTTCTGTGCCACATCTGTCGTCACTAGGCGTTGGTGCCCTTGAAACATAAGACAGGAAAGGACCCTAGGCGGGCGTTGGGTTCCAGAAGGCCATTACGAATTCTACGCTGCGAGTGGACTGCCATGAATTCGGCAGGGCGCAATTATGGATGAGTACAGTACATAAGACGAAATCATAGCTCGTTGTTCAAAATCGTGTTCGAGTCAACTATATACCAACCTCAATCTCCACCCATATACACTTGACGGTTGTTGTTTCCAGCAGACCCAACTCGCTCTCCGTCCTGAAGCTCACGTCCCGCAGTATGGTGTTAACATCAATCTCGTCTGCACCCAAAGGCCTGGTTCGTGTTCTGGCCGGTATTTCTCCGAATGACGCTGCTTGGGTGGCAGAAGGATCTGTCTCCTCACGCCAGCCCAGCTTCCATTTTCCAGTCTCCCCTGTCGGGTCGTGGTCGGGACCAGGAAGGACAAAGGCTCTCTTCAGCCAAGATTTCTTGTTCATACGTGGTGGGAGTTCGACGGTGTCGTGTTGTGTTTCGCTCTGTATATGGGGCATGAGATCGTTGATTCTCGATCTGGCGAGCTCAGGAGGAATCCCATCGGTGCCCGTCAAGAGCCACAACTGTTGCCGCAGTATCTGATCCAGCTCATGGACCACGGCACGCTGGGTCCAGAAGGAAGACCGAACGTCGTCCCCACTAAGAACAATAACGCTTGTGGTGGTTTCGCTCGTCAAGGGAGGTGCCACGATGTTCTGCCCAGTTACTTCACCGCTTGTCCGAAGACAGTCCGAGGGCACAACCGCGATGGTAAGCTTGTTATATGCATTTGAGAGATATTGGGTGAAACAAGGAATTATTGAGTTCGCTACGAGGTTCGCAATACGTCTCGTGCGTTCCTGGCGTATTATGGACGGACCTGCGCCCGACTTCTCTCGTGACGTAGGTTGTAAAGCAGGTCTTGCTGCGATGGATTCTTCATAGCTCGGCACAGGATCTGAGACAGGATCAGGAAACTCCCAAGGATTTGTGGTAGATTTTGACATCGTGGATTGTTGACCACTCTGTGGTTTGGATCGGGACCTTATATCTAATTGATAAGCGCTGCCTATGGATGCAAGGCAGGAGACACAGCAGGGCTGTTGCGCCTCGCAGGGGTGATGGACCTCAAGAAGAGGGTCGTGACAAGCCGAAACAAGGGGGCAAGCGTCTCAGCCTGATAGTGCTCATCAGTTACGGGCGGGTTGACAATCCGAGCAACCACAGAAGAGTATCGCAATAGTCAGGTCGGAGATTGTGGTTATCACGACATGCCAGTACAAACTGCCTCTGATTCGCTTTGTCTTAACCGGTGAATCGGGATTGAAGGCAAGCTTCGGGCTGGTCCTGCCGATGGCTGTCGACCACTGCCGAGGAGTAAGTCCTAAAAGCGCTCACCCAAGAGAGATGACCATAGCCTGTATTTCCTAACAAATGATGCAAGAAAGCGATGCAGGGCAGAAAGAGGATGGGCGCAAGCACTTGGCCGTATCACTCGTTACCTATAATGGATCGTGGATCTCGGCACACGCCCCTGCGTCAGGTCAGTTGACCTGCGGGTGTATCGTGCGTCGATGCCGGACGAAATTGGGGAGATCAACAAGCCCAGAGCAACCAGGACAAAAGCAAGAGCAAGTTGAAGGGAGTCATGAGTCCAGTTACTGGCGGATCGGCTATGGAGGCCTTCATTCTGCCTCCGTAGGGGCGCGCAAGGCTGACTCTGGCTGACGCCGCTTTTGGCAGTGCCGTTTTTCCAGCTTCGGTCCGAGTTGGTGACCGAGCCTCCAGCGTTGCTGAGGACTCCGTCCAACCTCCCTGAGGATCTATGGTACGTGCTTTGGATCGAGGAAGGGACAAAGTGTGTCAGCTGAGATGCGGACACGGTTTCGGCGGGAGGTCAGCAATAGCAAGAAAGGCTCTGCAGGCAAGCAAGCTCGCGGCTGGACGGGCGCCCACAGAGCGAAAGACCTGCCGCAAACGCTCTATCTGTCGACTGCAAGAACGCAATACTTGTGCACTGTAGGATACTAGGTACCGCCCTGATTCAGTGGTGCATATCATTGCCAGTCTGTGTTTGTTGAACCAGTTAAAGACAAACGACCTACAGTAGGGACTATTTTGCCGGCACCTTGAGAAGGGAGACATAAAGATGAGGGCTTCATGTTCGAACGCACCATTTTGGCCGATTCCATTGCTGCTTTACAGGTTGCGCCTCGGTTAATCAAAATGTCCTTATTTGCGAGGCTCAGACAACTTCCAAGAACACGCCAACAATATGCCAATGCTTCTAGCTCTACGACTAGTACTGGCACCGGGACACTTGTAAGGCAGACAAAGAGTCGATAGCGGATGTCCCAAGACTCTCTCAGCCTTGAAGCCAATGACAGAGTAGCGTCGAGACGAAGATTGATCGGCTCTGCATAGCCACCTGGCCAGTGTTGGCACAAACACATCAAACCATCCAAACCGGTCAGTGACCCCCACGCGCCAGAGCAAACAACAAATATGGACCCAAACAACGACGTACTCGGAGAAACTAACAGGCCAGGCTTCGGTTACCGTTTCTTTCTTCCATCCGTCCTTGTCCCTGTGACCATAGACCCGCAGTATTGGCGTCTTGTCGGGGTCAATTAGACTTCTTCTAGAAGCCGATGCTGTACCACGCCCTGCGTCCGACTGCTATTTCAACCATTCTCGGACTCCACTTCCCGGGCCGTTGGCACGTTGTTGCACAAGTCCTGCAGTGTAAGATATGGCTGCGATTTCAGCCTCACGAGGTCGAGAGGTCGGAATTGTGTGGTCCTCCCTTGCAAATCATCTCATCATCAGTATCTGCTTGCTTGAGTGGGCGCGGCTCCTCTGTCGTCGCCAATTTGGTTCGCATGGCAATATCGGCACAAGGCATTGACTCTACTGCGCGATAGCACTGACTAGCATGCCACAGCCTTCCTGGGCGGAATCCCACGAGAGCCTCGGGCTGTTCTATCATGCACGGGATTTCTTTCTTACATCCGGTAGGTTCAAGCACAGTCATATCAATGGTCCTCAGTATCTTGGACAGGAAGGATATATTTGTCTCGCGTCCTCAGCCTGAAACTCCTACGTCTTCTTCCTCCCGCCAGCGATCAACCACTACAGCGGCACTACTCCGGCCAACTGTCCTGTAAGAACTCAACAGCCTTATCATTTCTCACTTGTTTCATCCCGTCTACTCAAGTTCACAAGCAAAGACCCTTGTCCCCCTTTTCTGTCGTCAAGCATCGGTGTTCGTCCCGCCTGAACACAACTTCGTTCGTTTTGTGCCAACCGCTGTTACTTGCCCAGCATGTGGTATCAAATTTCCAACCCCAACGAATACCTCGTCCTTACGGGCGCCGGAATTCAAGATGTGCGGATCGTCAAGAAAGCACTGGTCTATCCATGGCAACGCGTGGCTCGCATCTCGGTGTCGCCGTTCGACTTCTCACTCAACCTGCAAGCCATGACAATCGAAAAACTCCAGTTTGCATTACCCGCCGTCTTCACCATCGGACCGGACAATGAGCCGGAAGCGCTGAAGAAGTACGCACTCCTGCTGAGCGGAAACCCTGACGGGTCGTCGCCGAACCCGAAGAGGGACGGCTTGACCATTACGCCGACGCAGCGGAGCCATGTCCAGGACATCGTCAAAGGCATCATTGAGGGTGAGACTCGAGTGATTGTGTCGAGCATGACCATGGAGGAAATCTTCAAAGAGCGACAAATGTTTAAGGAGAAAGTAAGCTCAAATATCTACTTGCCCTCAACTCCTTTCCCATCACGAACCGCGAATCCATGATTTACTGACAATTTCGGGTATTTTCAGGTGATTGGAAACGTCCAAAAAGAACTTGACCAATTCGGCTTGAGGATCTACAACGCAAACGTCAAGGAACTGCAAGACACGCCAGGGTCCGAATACTTTGCATTCCTGTCGCGCAAGGCCCACGAAGGCGCATCGAACCAAGCGCGGATCGACGTGGCCGAGGCCCGGATGCGCGGCGAGATCGGCGAGGCATCAAAGAAGGGCCATACAAAACAAGAGATCTCCAAGATCGAGGCCGAGACGGCCGTCCTAGAGACGAAGCGCAAAGCAGACAAGGCCCAGGCGGACGCGGAGCTGACCAACCGACAAACCGAGCTGGACATGGGGATCCAGATGGCGCAGATCAAGGCACGGCGAGCTGCCGAGGCGCGTGACGCCGAGCTGCAGCGGGAAGTCGAGACCAAGAAAGCCGCCACGGAGCTCGAGCGACTCAGAGCCAAAGATCTCGTGCGCGCGCAGATTGCCAAAGAAACGGCCCAGCAGGACGCCGACGCCCACTTCTACCGCGAGTCCAAGAAGGCCGACGCCGAGGCCTACAGCGAGAAACAGGACGCCGAGGCCCAGCTGTACAAGCAGCAGCGCCAGATCCAAGCCAACGTCGAGCGTCAGATCAAGGAGGCCGACGCAATGTACCACGCCCGCATGCGCGAGGCTGAGGCGACCCAGGCCCAAGCCACCGCCTACAAGGCTCTCGCCGAGGCCTTTGGTGGTCCCCAGGGTTTGTTGTCTTACATCATGCTCAAGGAGAATGTCTATGAGAAACTCGCCCTCGCAAACGCAACCGCCCTCCAGGGCTTACAGCCGAAGATTACGGTCTGGAACACCGAAAATGGTGGTGCCGGTGGTGCCGGTGGTGCAGCTGCTGCCGATGGACCTATGGGGCCTATCAAGAATATCTTGCAGTCGCTGCCGCCTTTGTTTACCACCATCCAGGACCAGACTGGCATTGCTCCGCCAAGCTGGATGCTGCAGATGCCGCCTCTCAAGGGTGACGATGCCCCTGCAAAACTCAACGGCGGTCTCGCTCTCGATGAGAAGGCTTGATGAACGTGGCCCGGTGAGGAGTCTTGACATAACGACTATTGCTGTGTCAAAGGTGGTGGTGATGATGGAGGGATTGAAGGAGGGCGGGGAGGGGCTGCTGCTGCTGTTGCTGCTTGCTTCCTTTCCTGATCATATTTCCTATGTTTGTTGGTGTCTGCTTGTGCATTCTTGGCATCAATATATCTATCGGTCTGTTCTGTTCATGGGGCTTGGCTCGTCTGGGAGTGAGTGCTATGTCTGCCCATTTTGTGAACTGTGTTGCTGGTCGGTTTGATTTTGGCTTCCTGTTTCATCAGCTCCGGCGTTTGTCCCTTTTCTGTTTTTGCATCATTCAACATGCAGTGCCAGTGTGGGAGCACCGGCCAAACATGATACCATTCGTTTATACCTTGGTGCACTGTACAAACAGTAATATATACATATGTGTTGGAGACACTCTCAAAAACACTGCGTTTTGTGGCGAACAGAACGGGCTGTTGTATTCGAAGCCTGTGAGTTGACTAATCGATTGCGAGACATTGCAGTAGGCACGAGTCGCAGATCAAGTTGGATCTTCTACTGATACCGTGACGGCGGAACAGGGGCAAGCAGCAATGCACAGCTCGCCAGCACATCAGTACGAGGGACGACGATAGAATTGATGGGACTCAGAGAGGCCAGCGGTAGCCAGCGACAGCCAGCCAGCCAATCAACCGGCCATGCACATATTTCTGTCGCAAAGGACTCTCTCTCAGGCCTTCTTCTTGCCTCTGCCCTTCTTGGCACTACTCGTGGCCGTTACACCGGCATCCTCGGCCACAGCACCTGTAGAGAATGATGACGGTTCTGCCTCGACGGCTAAGGGTATCGACGTGCTGCCAGTATCTTTTGTCTTCGTTTGCATTTCCTTCTCCGTCTCCGCCAGACCAATCACTTCAATATTCCCCGCCAACCAAGCATACAATTCCTTCTTCTGCAGATATCCATGTGTATTGAACCACTGCGTGAACGAGCCTTGCATTTCCTTGTCCTCCCATCTTTTGCCCGAGGGCGCCTCGTACGTCACTTTGAGCTTGTATATCGGCTTGTACTTTTGTGTTGAGGACTTGAGGGTTAACTGTAGGTAGTGTTGCGTTAGCAACACGGAACATAAACAAGAGTGTGCAATGCTGCAGTGTTGCTTGTGTTGTACCTTTTGTCCCCCCTCCCTAATTCCCACGAACACCGTGCCGGCCTCGACGGCCCAGATCCAATATGTCAGGGCGCCATTGAGCACAAAATACGCCACGCACGCGGGGCCAGTGTATGCCTTGGTCGCGGCCCAGCCGAGCTTGTAGTCTGCGTAGAATAGGACGGCAGCGATGAGGACTGCTGTGTATCCGAGGAGTAAGTGGACGTCGGTCTTGGTGTGCTGTTGGGTGAAGGTGTATGGTTTGGGGAGCGTTGTGAGGTATGGTGCCAGAGAGTCGTCGGTCGCGTTCTTGAGATCTATCAATGCCGAAGGAAAACAGTTGTCATTGTTAGTGTCAAGAGAGAGGAACGCTGCAGTGGTGGGAGATGGAGAGATATGCATTGAGAGCGAGAGTGACACTGCCGCCAGGACCGGAAGAGGAAGAGAACATACCGTTTGTCGAATATAGCGACACCTTTTGCGGTGAGGCCGAAGACATCTTGCACTCGGAGTCAGATGTACACACTGGGCGCGCCTAGTGTACACGACTTATCACTTTATTGTAGGGACTCTGCCAGTGTGTGATGTTTGATGTTGGAGATTAATCAAACGTACCAAGGACCTACAATAGTCCGAGGAACCCACCCTTCCTTCTTAGGTTGGCGGCCGCGTGCGCGGCGCCACACTTACTTTATAAGCAAGTGCCTATCGGTAAGTACGTTAGGATACCAAGTATGTCGAATTTTTATAGATATTCTAGACGTCGACTTTTCACCTAATCATTATAATGTATTTTTTATGCCATAACTGTGTTACATAAGCTATATTAAAGTAAAGGATATAGATTAGGGGCTTATGATTTACCTGTTTAGTTTTATAGTAGTACATTTTACCTTCCTATTATGTATTGATCGACCTACTAGTATCTCGTTCGTATCCGTTGCAACGGCACACCTCTCTGTGGCATCGGCAGCCACTCCGTCCAAGGTCTAATTCTTGTATGATAAGGTTTGGCTATGAATGTACCCTTATCACGAACGCTGCGGGTTAGGGGATGTTAGCCAAGCTGCCACAGGGTTATCCGCGCAGACGGCGCTTGTCGCATATCCCGCATTCCGCGCCCACATACTTTGTTTCCAACCCTGTCGACGCAGAATGACCATGGTACCATGTCAGCAAGCAGCAATGCTCGTGAGAAGAAAGTGCGGAGTGCCTGTCAGCGGTGCCGTGAGCGACGAGTCAAAGTTAGTCCAATAATCCCTGCTCCAGTGGTACATGTAAGGTATACTGATTGTTGTGGTAGTGCGATGGCCGGACGCCATCGTGCTCCAAGTGTGAGAGGGCGGGTGTACGTTGCATCGACGTCGTTGCTGTAGCGGGCCAAGAGAACGTACCACGGGGCTTTGTTACTGATGCACTGTCCCGCCTTACATGGCTGGAGAATGTGGTCAAGACACGCTTGCCCGATGTTGACCTCTCGACTGGGTCTTTGGCGAGGACAGCAGAGACGCCGGCCCCGATTCCTCCAGCCAGCCTTCTCCGGACCACAGGATCAGGCGAAGTTGGGAACGATACCACACTCAACCAGCTTTCTCGCACCGCGGGCTCGACTGCTCCAGCAGAGCGTGTCCGGACCGTGGGAACAGGAGAAGGGGACGAAACCACATTGAGCAACCACCTTGATCCTTACCCGGCGGGCTTGGCTCCTCCAGCAAAACGTTTGCGCACTACTAGTACAGGTACAGGACCTGATGAGGGTGAGGGAGATTCAGTAAGCATCCAATTCGATCCTGGCCTGATCTCTTTTCATCTCGCCGTGCCACGCTTGCATTATCTCGGCGCTTCCTCCGGTAATTTGTTCGCCCACTTGCTACCTGGCGGACCTAGCACCATACAGCAAAGGTTCCAAGTCCCTAACACGAGAGACCACGACGACCCGACCGCGGAGCGTGACGGTGACAGGAAGCTCCTGGACGATTTACGCGCCGTCTTGCCTCCCCGAGATGAATGCGACCGGCTTGTGCGCCTGTTCTTCTCCCACAACCATCCGGTGTATCCTGTTTTGCACGAGCCCAGCATCGTAGCGCTGATCGAGGCACTGTATGCCAGTATCGCCACTCCCAACACATGTCGTCTCCAGCACAACGGCTGGCCCGATACTGTTGTACCCTTCTCTTACAATGGTGAAGTCGCTCATGTGGACGACAAGGATGTCACACCAATCTCCACAACTACTGCTGCCGCTATCTTGCTCAGCGTCCTCAGCATTGCCTCCTATGTCCAAGCACGCCGGCGTCGTTTTCCAGCCAACCCACAGCGCTACGAAGGCAAGGCATTTGCTCTGACCTCGTTGGCGCTAGCTGAGATTTCTCTGCCCTCAACACAGCTCGTAGTATTGTCTGTGATGCATGGCTTTCTCAGTCAACATAGCGGCAACGCCTGGGTGCTACTCCATTTGGGCATGGCCTATGCCGTCGACATGGGCCTCCATCGCGACGCTAACCCTGCGGAACGCTTCTCCCGCGTCACAGTTCAGATGCGACGCCGCACCTTTTTCTGTCTCTACAGACTTGATAGGTACGTAACGTCATATCTGGCCAAACATTTGGGCGTCTCTAACCCGTCGATAGATTCATTGGCGCTATTCAAGGGCGGCCATTAGGGTTCCCAGACGATGCTTTTGACCTGAATTTTTCTTCTGTCCTCTCTGACTCGATCCATACTAGTCCTGATGCTGATCAGGACTATCTGGGCTATTCCATTCTTCGATTTCAATGGGCGCAGTTGGTGTCCGAGATCAGACAGCATCTGTACCGGTCATCCCCTTCATTACCTGAACCGACACGCTCGAGCTTGCAAGCCGACATGCTCACGCGTTTAGATGCCTGGCTGGACGATGGCTTGAGACAAATGGATGCACTTGCCGTGGGTCAGACGCGACGGTTTCAGACCGAACTCCAGATCGACTACTACTACGCAGTGGGCCTTCTCTATCAGCCTTCTCCCGGCAGCCCGCAGCCCGACATAGCTGCTCTTCGCCGTTGTTTCGAGAGTGCGGCCAACCGCCTTCGGCTGTTTTGGTCCTTGTATGATGAAGAATGCCTCATCCTGAGCTGGCTCACTGCACAAGGCATCTCCCTCGCTGGTTCTACCCTGGCCTATTGCATCTGGAGTTCTAAAGAGATTCGCGCATCTGTCTCCATCACACAGCTGTCTGCAGACCTGCGCCTTTGCTCCAGCCTACTGACCGTCGCGGGCGAGTGGTGGCCCTCCGCGCGGAGAGGAAGCCGCAGTTTTCAACGTCTGGCCAACGTCACCATGGATTTGATGTCTTATGATAAGCAATATACTCGTGCCAACGATCCGACAACATGGACACGTTCGGAACGGGCTAATGACGCTGTCGACGAGGTGCCGTTTGTGCCTCAGACAAGCGGTGAACGGGGCATGGAGAACATCGAGGACATTTTCAATTCATTCCTTCATGATGACTTCCATCTACCAGATATGTTCGGGAGCTTTCATACACCTTTTTTCGAGCCACCGAACGATCCGATCTGGGAAGCACAGGCCTATGATGTATGAGTTATGTGGTACATTTGGGCTCTTGTAGGAAAAGTCTCAAAGACATATGGGCAATTGAAACAAGTATTTATGGAACAAAGTTGACAAACATGTAGTTCTAGAACAGGATATATCATATCTGAAACAAGAAGATTGCCAATCGAAGCGAAGCCCTGTGCAAGTATAAATCAGCCAAGTATAAACCAGATGTCCATCGCAGGATTCATGTGGCTGGTGGATTTCCCTCCATGTCTACCGCCATGCTTCCTCGACGCACGCGACCTAGATAGGACACTTGAAGTGGATGTTCTGATCGCCGCGAGCCGCGTCCTCGTCCTGCACACCATGCTCGACCTTTTTCTGCTTCTCGGAATTTTTCTTGTGGAGGAGGAACATCATGGCCCCATGTGCCGCACCATGCAATCCAAGGTACTTGTCAAGCCTGCGGACAGGCCTTCTCTCTTTCCCCGGGTCGATGGTGACTTGCGAGCCAGCCTCAACATCGAAGTTTTCCCTGGCTCGGAGCCTGCAGAGCCTTCTCCTAGGCCATTGCGGTAAGGTTGAAGCTCTATCGATGATTTTGACGTAGAGGTGAAAGGATCGATGGACATGATAATCCAGTGCTGGTGCAGTGGCCTTATCAGCACCCTCACCTATCAATCTTACTATAATTGAGAGGCCATGCTATTCGCATGGCAAGAACTTGATATCTGAGGATGTGATGGAGATCCGCGGAAACGTACGTGCGTGAGGTACTCACGGAACACTCCAGTATCGGCTTGCTTCCGGAGTCATTCGAGACTGCGGCAGCGGAACCACCCATGGGACCGGACTACTCCTCTCCGCTTCTTCTCAAGAGTCAATACCAATTGATATTATGTAACAATGCTACATAACACTTCAGAAAAAAAAATACCCCTTACGGTCTAGTTATCTTGATCGTTAACGTTCTCCACCGTCATAGAGCTCGATATCCGACTGGGACCTCATCCTCCGCGGCCTTTGGAAGTATACTTGATGATATTACTGCCAACGGAACAGGTAATGGTCTGGAGGCCAAGTGTTCAGAGGCGTGAGTGCTCAAAGCGCCCAGGAACACTGGACCAATGTGGGAGTATTGACAAAGCTCTAACAATATGAGAGTCGCTCCCGTCCACCACTACAGACTTGCGACGCAGATTTCGACTTGGGAAGCCCCAAATGATAGCCAAAATGATACTACAGCAATTTACACCGGGGACGGGGGACCAGCACTCAGAGCAGCATGCCGAGGAACAAGTATGTGGTTCGGAAATGGCCGACAGTCTTTCGGCACCTCGGCAACACCTCTTCTGCAAGGTCTGTTGAGTTCGAGGCCCTCATGCGTGCCTGGCATCGTTGTGATTGTGCGTTTATGGTCAAGTCTAAGAAAATTGGTAACGGATGGGTATGAATAGGGAAAAAACTCAACGGTGTGATGGACCAGTCAAGCACTTTTTGCGGCTAATCGAGGACTTGCTCGAACTGTTGGCGATTGAGAGTTTATGACGGAAGCTGTTTCAAGATTGGATGAACTGGCAGAAACTGATGACGAAAACAGGGCGTTTTACGTGGGAGGAGACTGAATGAGTATGACAGCTGCATAGCAGAGGACGCTTGACCAATATACACTTCCACGGGTATCACGGTGACTGCTCAATCGTAGACCTGCCCTGACCGACCATCGTGCTTTGCCACAGCTATTTGAGAGATTTTCTCGAGGTCTATCTAGCTTGCCTGCTGGTCAGGAGGTCAAGGATGAGTCTCTTGGGATCTGCTCAGAACAACGGTCGTTTTGTGATCGTGTTCGGACTTCTGGACTAAGTACTCTGGTGGCAGCCAAAATATGCCGACGCTGGCCGCGCTTGTGATTGGGATGGCATGTACTCCAGAGAATAACTCCGTGCCACGGTCTTTGCTTCGGGGGAAGTTCGCGGTGACTGTGTTGGAGCGAAGACTATCTTGGCGACCGCCTGACTGCAGCATCTATGGCGCGTGCCGTGTACTCGACGTTCTTGGTGGTCACTGTGGATATGTCAGCACCGCAGTCGAGTCGAATCCCAGGCAGGGCGAGACTTACGCCCCGCGATGTTGATGCGTCCAGATTTCAGCATGTAGACATGGCTGTCGGCCTGGATGGTTGCCACTTGCTCCGGAGTGAGGCCGGTATAAGAAAACATGCCGATCTAACGAAAACACCTCAGCATCAACACTGCATCGACTTGCACATGTTCTTCTGCGGTCGAGATAGATCTTACCTGCGAACGAATGTGTTCCCAGCTGCCAGGAGTTCCCAGAGACAGCAGTTGATCGTAGAGCGCGCGACGCATATCCTGAATGCGGCCACTCATATCCCTGAGATCAGACAGCCACTCTTGGTATAAGCTCGGGGAGGTGAGGATCGTTGCGGCGATCCTGGCTCCCCTTCTGGGAGGCTGCGAGATATGGCCGCGCTGTAGGCGGGCCAGATGGCCTTTTAGCTTGGAGGCGGCGTCGGCCGTGGCGGCCAGCACATGGAGGGCACCAACCCGCTCGCCGTAGAGGCCCATATTCTTGGAGAAAGACTGGGCCACGGCAAGTTCCATGGTCCCTCGGGATGCGAAGTGTCTCACGGCCCATGCGTCTTTGTCGACGTCGCCACTGGCAAACCCGAGGCTAATATATGGTCAGTGTGTAATCCTATTGCTCACTTTAGGACCCCTGTCACTTACTAGGCGCAGTCGAAGAATGGAAACAGGCCTTTTGTCTCGCACAAGGTCGCGATCGCGGTCCACTGCTCCCTCGTGGGGTCCATGCCGGTCGGGTTGTGAGCGCAGGCATGCAAGATGATCACATCACCCTTGTTGGCCTCGCTCTCGAGAACTTCAAGTAGCCTTTCGAAATCCAACGCTTTCTTGGTAGGGTTCCAGTACGGGTACGTTTTCACCTCGACACCAGCGAGGCTCCAAATGTTGCGGTGATTGACCCATGTCGGATCAGGCACCCACACAGCCGACGGATTGGTTGCCTCTTTGAGAAATCGAGCTCCCAGACTGTTGGCGCCTGTTCCTGCAATGGTGTGCACCGAGACAACCCGGTCCGCTTTGCCTTCCAGGCCTCCGAAAAGGAGATCCCGGGCAGCAGTGTAGAATGGTGCGTAACCCGGAATAGGTAGATATTCATACCGGCCAGGATCTTGGAGGTTGTTAACGATCTCCTCGGCCTGTTAAGTGGACGTGAGTGTTATATTCCCTCTTAAAAAGGCGGTATAGGCGCACCTTTTGCACCGACGGCAAGACCCACGGCTGCGATGCATCATCTCGGTAGACGCCAGAGCCTAGGATGATCTTGTTCTCATTGCTGTCTGCCGCGAAGGTCTCCTTGAGGGAATAGATGGCGTCTAGAGGAATGGGGTCGAGATGTGAAAAGGACGACGTTGGCGTGAAAGAACCCATCTTCGATTGCCGAAGCGAGTCGACCGTCTATCTGGGCAAAAGACCTTTATCGAAAGGCTGCCGCCAAAAGCCATGGGTTGTCTAGCTCCCTAGTAGTGCGTGTTGTGTCGTGTGTGCCCTGCCCTGGTTATATAACGACTTCTGTTGTCTTGAGGTCACTGCAGGTCCAGGGCTGGCGCGATGAGTGGATCCTACGTCCTTCTCGAGGCTTTCCGCGAGTCGAAGCGGAGCCAAGGAGCCTTCCGTGCCCCCCTGAAAGCACCAGGAAGATTCCGTCAGAGGAAAACTCCGCTTACAGGATCCCTCCGCGGGTGGGCCGCAAGATATCTGCTTGCTGCATCATGACCGCCAGCGCCTTATCTAGCACTAATTGAAGGCTGTGTTGGAAAAATGTGAGTCTTTGTCTTTATGGGATGAGGAGTTAGCTCTGCTTCTTTAGCCCTGCTTCTTATCTCTACCCCATGGACGACTCCGGTACAGCTGCCGACCCAATTTTTCCCCCTCGGAGACCACAGTCGAGCATAAGGGGGACTCTCCCGGACGCGAACACCATATAGTATAATAGACGTGGTCATCCTCTCCAGACACGGGTCTGGGACATCGCTTCCTCCCTTCACCTCTGACTCCCTGCCTTTACATTGCTGCTACTATCCCCTCGGAGTCTACCGAAGATGGCTCATGAGGAACCACGTATTGAACAGGACGTGGAAAAGATCTCCGTCATACGTGTGCAAGACGACGGCGAGAATGTACAAGAGATATGGTGTCATAAAGAGGAAACACCTCCCCGGAAACAGCTTCGCCGTGGCCTGAAGCCGCGTCACTTGAGCATGATTGGTATGGTGAGGAAGCATTCGCCGCGGACGCATGTCGCTGACAAGAACGCTATAGCTCTGGGCGGCGCCATTGGGAGCGGCTTGATCATCGGCAGCGGCCAGGGTTTGGCCAACTATGGTCCAGGGTCACTACTCATCGGATATGCGGCCACTGGACTGCTTTGCTTCGTGGTCATCACTGCCCTAGGCGAGATGGCCACCTGGCTGCCTCTGGGCACCAGCTTCCCGGGCTATGCCAGCCGTTTTGTCGACCCAGCGCTGGGCTTTGCTCTAGGATGGTCGTTAGTGCTGGACTGGTCATTTTGACTCGCGAGCTTCGTCTGCTAACCGCCTCTCTATAGATATGCGTTCAAATACTTCTTCGCGGCCGCCAACCAGCTGACATCCTTGGCTCTGGTTATTCAATTCTGGGTCCCGCGTGACCATGTGAATCCCGGGGTCTTCATAGCCATCTTCTGGCTTTTCGTGGTGATTGTCAATTATCTCGGAGTGCGGGTCCTAGGAGAGGTGGAATTTTGGCTCTGCACCATCAAACTCCTCGTCCTCGTCGGCTTTATCATCCTAGGAATTGTTCTGGCCGCTGGCGGAGGTCCAAACCGGCACGCCACAGGCTTCGAGTAAGCGACAGCCTCTCTCACACGGTTGTTGTGTGTACCCGCTAAAGGTTCCCAGATATTGGTCAAATCCGGGCGCCTTCAAACCCTACATTGCTGGTGGGCTGTCTCAAACCCCCAAACAATTCGCAAGCCACTAACCGTCTGCTTCAGAAGGTGCAACGGGCAAGTTCCTCTCCGTCTGGGCCGCTCTCAATTCGGGTGTGTTCGCCTACCTAGGCACCGAGATGGTCGGGGTCACCGTAGGCGAGGCGCAAAATCCCCGTCGAGCCATCCCTCGTGCGATCCGCATGACCTTCTGGAGAATTTGTATCTTCTACATCACTACGATCTTTCTGGTCGGTCTCCTGGTGCCGTACAACTCTTCTTACCTTAGCTTTGCCCAAAAGTCGGGCCACGGCGCCGCTGCTTCGCCCTTTGTCGCCGCTGTCAAGGTTGCCGGGATCAAGGCGCTTCCCGGAATCATCAATGCCGCCGTGATGGTGTTTAACCTCTCAGCGGCGGTCACCGATGTCTACGTCGCTTCGCGTACCCTATACAGCCTTTCAGCTCAGCATCAGGCCCCGGCTTTTCTGTCCTCGACGAACAGTAGAAAAATACCCTTCTGGGCCTTCACAGTCGCAGTGTCAATGACGCTGCTGGCATTCATGAATGTCTCGGACGAGTCGACGCGGGTATTTCAATACTTCGTGAACCTGAGTAAGCACTCTGACTGCCAGCCAGCCTTTTTTTCTTCTTTCAACCTTTGCTGATGACGGTCTCTAGCGACGAGCTTTGGCTTGCTTACGTGGGTCACTATCCTGATCAGCCATATCCATTTCGTCCGGGCACGAAGGGCACAGGAGGTCACTGATTCATCGTTGCACTTCCGAGCTCCTTTTGGTCTCTGGGGTTCCGTCATTGCCTTGTTCTTTACCATCCTCGTTCTCCTTACTAAGAACTTTTCGGTCTTCACCCATGGGTCCTGGGGCAACTTCGACTACAAAAACTTCCTCACCGGTAAGCCGTGCAGACTTCCCGTTCGATTTCGGTTGACTGACATGGGGTACTTTGCAGGCTACTTGGGCGTGGTCATATATATTGTTCTGACGCTCGGATGGAAGATTTGGAACAAAACCAAATATGTCAGGTCGTCAGAGGCGGATATCTGGACAGGTAAGGCCGAAGTGGACCAAGACGAGGCCGAGTTTCTTGCACAACAAGCTGCAAGGACAGAGAGCCACGGGAAGTTTCATCGGCTCTACCGCCATACTTTAGGTTATCTTGTGTGAAAAGTGCACCACAGGACGGTGGCAAAATTGTCTTCTCGACGATCCATTTGCGACATCTGGCCAAAAATCCCTTTCGTTTCAAGACCATAGCAGACAATCTTCACAACAGGGATGTTCCAGTCGGTCTGAGGCGCTTTTGAACGTCATATACTCCCAGACGGATGTAGCGGTGAATAGAGGTATGGAAGCAGAAATATAGATATCTACGATAAGAAGGAGATTGCAGGGGACAAGATCGTGGTATCCTAGACGTTTTGGGCCTCTTTCAGCCCTGTTCCCTTCCAGAGCACTGTGCTTGCGAAGCCTTCGACGGAGAACGTGCTTCCCAGTTGATCAAATCTGGCTCATAGAGCGTCCTATGCCTGACTCAACGTTGTTGCAGCCATGAATTGCTGGGCAAGGATGTGTGGCACCGTGGCGGCATCTGGAGTGCTGCATCGTGCCTCTATGGGTCCTTGTACAGCCCGAACCCACCTGTCTAATAATTGCGAGCGAGTCTGGCTTGCAGTAACAATTACATAACAAGTCACGGAAGGCTCCGGGTAATCGGAGGGCTCCGTACCAGATGAATCTGGGATGGTCACGTACCAGCTGACCTTGTAGAGGCGTACCGTCGAGTGTCTACATACTATAAGATATAATATGAAGCATCGGGCTCTGCTCGACTACCTGTACCACATCAACGATCAGAATATATCCGATCCAGAGTGGTGGTCGCACGCCCGATAGCACCTCCGTTCACAAGATCAGGGATCCGCACTTCCGCAGCTCGGAAGACACCCACATTTTCGGCTGACCAAGGGGCGGTATCAGGGGAACAAGTCTCTTATCATGGCGGCTTCCGACCTAGTCACAGAGTTACAACATTATACATCCAGTGATGTGCGTGCCTTGTCCAAACCCCCACTCAAACGATCAGAAGCCTAACTAGACTGAACCGGCAGGTTGCAGATGCGCTGGTCAAGCTTGGGGTGCGGTATGGAGGGTACCTGCACGGGCTGAAGATGTTCTCGCCGGAGCAACAAGCAGGGAGCACGAAAATCGTGGGTCCTGTAGTCACAGTGAGTGTCCAAATGAGGAGACACCGGTCCGCTTGGTGATACCGACCCGGCCGCTGTCGTGTTCTGTTCCGTCGCTGAAACTTTCGGATGGCACAGGTACAGATGGTGGACGCTGCGGACACGACCGCGCCGACCCCCAAACAGTTCTTTGTGGACTGTGTCCAGCCTGGTGAAGTCGTGTTCATATCACAGCCGCAGGGATACTACACCGCATGTTGGGGTGGCCTGATGAGTACGAGATCCAAGTATTTGGGTGCCCGGGGAGTGGTGATCGATGGCAATTTCCGCGACATTCTGGAGCATCGAGAACTCGGGTTTCCTGTATGTCCCGACCGATCTTTTAGATGACAAAGATCGCGGTATGCTAACCGAGTTTGTCCAGTTGTTCGCCCGAGCGACTTCGCCAGTGGGGTCTGCGGGAGTGACTCGCTCTTCCAGAGTCAACGTGCCCGTGCAATTCACGTCGCCGGAGCAGAAGCGACCTTTCATCATCCATCCGGGAGATTACGTCGTAGCTGACGCCGACGGTGTGGTCATCATCCCTGTCCATCATGCACCTGAATGCTTGCGGCTCATGGCAGAACGAGCCGAGATTGATCGCAAAACTCTCGAGGCGCTACACAAAGGTGAACCAATGGGCCTAACAATCGCCCGGCTGCGTGTGTAGTCTTGGAAACACACACCCCTGCTTGTTGACACTCCTAGCGAGTCTCTTCTCACTCCTGAACTCGTGGATAAATTGTCTCGTGCGGCTACTTGTTTGGGTGCCACACTATGTATCTATCGCTTCCGACGTCGACACATCCAAAAGCGCAAGATGAACAAGGAAAACATCATCCCCGGCTCAGAACAGAATTTTTCAAAACGTGTAAAGTTCAGGTTGCTCCAGTAAACACATGCTGTCTCGGCCCGTTACAGTCACTGACCATCATGCTTCATTTAACCATGAAGTCTCTCGTGGGACATGAAGGCTACCACTACTAGAGCTATCTCTCCGATCTACTTGATCGGCAGACCAAGCGTGTCGAATTGTGAGAGGATTCGGCAGGTCCATCGGGTCTGTGAAGACTCGGCTAGGAAACACGGCTTATAATTCAACCCTGGGACGTACGTGAAGGGGAGAGGCGTGGACCTGAGTGCCCAGCTCGAGGTTCAAGGGTAGAGAATGGAGCCGTCCGAGATCCTGAACGTCCTGCGCGTTCTCCCTCGACAAAAGGTTTAGCGGTCGCTCAAGCGGAACAGGCCTGGGCAAGGCCCCGGGACTCCTGACAGCAATGATGACCAATAACCTAAATCTACGATCAAGGTGAACAGATTCGAAGATTGGCACACTGGACACGTTGAGGATCTGCTTCCGAAAATGGAGATATCTATTACAAAGATGTACCTAATGTACGCCCTCTATCTAACGCTATGCCATGCTAGGCCACGCCAGGATGATGAGTCCTACAAGTCAACCACAAACCACAAGACGAGACTCCGGCACACGCAAAGCATCATGAAGCTCAAAACTTGAAATCCTTAAGAGGACGACATCGAGACCGAAGAGTAGCAGACGGAAAAGGATGTCAATGTCATCAAGCTTCTCCCGGCACGTTCTTCTCGGCTATAGCCAAACCCTCTTCGGTCTGGGAAGCTTTGTTGTTGCGCGGTTTGTGGACAAGACCCTGTTCGGTCTCAAGGGCGACATTCATGTCGTATGCTTTGACGAAGTAACTGGCGATGAGACACACGGCAGCCAAGGCGGTGAGGACGATCCAGACGGTGCGCAGACTCTTAACGTAGGCGGTGCGCAGCTCCAGCTTTCGCTGACCCGCGGGGGTGTCGTTAATGATTTGGACGAGGGCGGCGGCATCCGCGGCCAACGAGCTGGCCTGGGCAGCCAGGTCCGGGTAGTGCTTGAGGTTTTTGACCATCTCGTTCTGGAAAATTACGCCGCCGATGGCGACACCGACGGACATGCCGAAATTGCGGAAGAAGATGAACATGGAGACGGCAAAGGCCATGTCCTTGTTGGTGCTCGCGGCTTGCAGCTGGAATTGGAGGGATGGAAACAACATGCCTAGACCGATGCCCGAGACCAAATCGATGAAGATCCACTGCGGGATCGTGGTGTCGACGTCGAGCAAGAGCAAAAGCCCCAGGCCGAGCACAGTGATTACCCAGCCGGTCCAGATGGACCAGCGATAAGCGGCCGTCTTTGCGATCAGGATCCCAGTCACCACCCCGATGGGCGCGACGGTGAAGGTGGCCGGGAACAAGGCCACGCCCGCCACGACCGGCTTGTATCCTTTGACTGCTTCAAAGTACAGAGGCTGGTAGTACAGCAGACACCAGAGGATCATACCGTGCAGCGCCGTGCAGAAAAAGGCCAGGTTGGCCGTGCGGTTGCCGAACACCGACAGCCTCATCAGCGGCTCGGGCGCCAGGTATGCCTCGAAGAAACAGAAGCCCACGCAGCCCGCCGCCCCAACCAGCAGCGGCACCAACGTCCGCCACGACGACCAGGAGTACATGACGCCGCCCCACGTCAGCGGAATGAGGATACTCGTCAAGCTGCCGACAATAAGAACGGTGCCGATCCAGTCGACCCGGCGCAGCTTCGCGACCATACTCTGCGGGATGACATTGAGTCGGAGGAACACAGGCACCATGACGACTCCGATGCCGATGAAGGGAAGGTTGAGCCAGAGGAGCCACCGCCACTGTGATTCTGCGAATGCTCCGCCGATAATGGGCCCCGACACGCTTCCGATACTCCACATTCCCGCCAGTACGCCGGTCCATTGTCCTCGCCAGCGGAGAGGGATGAGGTCGGTGACCACGATTTCGGTCATGGCCATGATGCCTAGTCTATGTTAGAAAAGGTGATTGTCAGGATATATGGACAGACTCACCACCACCGCCGATGCCCTGGATCGTCCGACCGGCTAACAGAAGATCAAAGTTCTTGGCCATGCCGGCCATCATGACGCCTATAAAAAACAAAGCAATCGAGACCATGATGACTGGCATTCGTCCGAAAATGTGGCTAAAGGAGCCATAGTTGGGTTGAAAGACCGTCGAGGCCAACAAGAACGACGTCCCTACCCAGAACGCTTCGATGGCCGTGCCGTGCAACTTCTTCGCAATGACGGGCAACGCCACGCTGAACGATGTCCCGTCCAATGCCACCATCAGCGTCAGGACGGCCAGCGCAGTGAAGGCCAGCAGGAAGCTGGTGGTAGGGACGAATTTAGGAGTCTCCTCGGGCTTAACGTCATCTCGTTCAGGCTGTGAGGAAACAGACACGGACGAGGCTGTTTCATCGGATTGTATTTGCTGAGGCACGGGGCCCGTTTCCTGATGCGTTTCGACCTTGGTTAGAGGTGATGGGTCTACCGGCGTAGACATGATGAGAAGAGTAGGTACTGGTAGGTCGTGGTAAAGTCAAGGTAGGTCAACAGTTGTAGAATTGGTCGAGGCCTTCCAGGTGGTACTGGAGATGTGTTGGGAGGGGACTGACACCTTGGCGGGTAGCGAGATGTCACTGAAGTGAAGCGAGTTTTACTTCGACGAAATATACGTCTGTATTTGGATAAAGACAAAACATAGAGAACACGCGAAATGAGATGCTTGATATACCCTACCGTGATAGTACCTGTTTGCAGTCATGACGACGGAGCGCACGAATTCGGACACACGTCAAACCATTGCGCCGGTGGGATGCAGTGCTGGAAGCCCGGGCATGGACTATCTGACTTCAGCGGTAGTTGTAGTGGTACCCTTAGCGAAGGTACACGGGGAGCGGGCGTGAGAATGTGCGGACGAGGCTGAACACATTTGACCGAGCAGACTGTGGCGTTTGATTGGTCCAAAGCCGGACGTGGACGGCGCAACATTCGCCCGTCTTACCAATGCACCGAACATAATACAGTACTTTTGGTCGTAGTACAGTACTTTCGTCGCTCGATTCAAAATACCCTATACCTAGATAGGTATATGAGTTCAATGTCCGGATGAACTCGAATTCCATTGTTAACATGGTCATGGTCTTGGACGCTTTTGTTCATCCATGCGCGTCGGCCGACCTCGGTGGACCTCTGCGGATGTGGTTTCGAGCTGCTAGACTATACTTCCCAGGGGCTTGCGCAATATTCTCACTTGGTGACGAAGCAGATCAGGGGGAACCCGGGGAGAATGTGCAGAACTTGAAGTCGAACTTGACGCCCTCAGCCAGCAACTTGAACTCCATACTTGGAGGAATCAAATGCCGCACCACTACAACAGGAGACTAACAACCAATTCTACAATAATTGTATTGAAGTGACTACTGTACAGTCCACTACCTCTGTTATTCAACCCGGCCAAGGTACTGCTCTCCGCCAATATGGGCGTGCGGTAGTAGGTGCCTTAGGTAGGTAGTGACAGGTCTCTATTTTCGTCTCCAGTCTATCAAGCTACGATTGTCTTGTTCTGCCGTTGCTTTTCATCCGACAAGGTCACCTTTTCATCGGCCTTTGCATCAGTGGAAATGTTGGTCGTACTCTCCACATTGCGGCCATAGAGCTACCGATGAAACAAACAGCGTCAGTGGTATTTCTCTTGACACAGAAATAGACTTGGAGTCTTACCGGAGCACGATGATATTGGTCGATCCAAGCAATCCTGGTGCCGACTTCGTTGGCCACACGATGCACAAAGTTTGGATCTCGCAGAAACTCGCGTGCGATTGACACGGCGTCGGCTTTGCCGGAGCGAATGATCTGGACAGGTCAGTAAGGTGAACTCGACTTACAGTGTCCATCGACTAAACCACGCAGCAGGCGTAGAAGACGGGGCCGGACTAGTACAACAAACACTCACATCTTCCACCATCTTGCCGTCTCGAATCCATCCCACCGCACCGACAGTGAGTCCCGGCGTGGCTTTCTTGACCGCCTCTGCGAACCGAACCTGATAGCCCGGAGAGATCTGGACTTTCTGGTTGCGGTCTGTGCCACCGCTGGAGACATCGAGGAAATCGACCCCCTCGTCGCGAAGGATAGATGCATACCGGACCGTATCCTCCAATTCCCAGCCCTCTCCGGGCGGAAGCCAGTCGACGGCCGAGAGTTTCCAGAACAACAAGGTCGAGGCAGGAATGTTGCGGCGGATCGCGCGGACGACCTCAACTCCGAACCGGATGCGGTTCTCGAAACTGCCTCCCCACTGGTCCGTCCGGTAATTTGACTTTGACAAAAAGTGTCAGTTACATCGCAGAGAGGAAGATGAATAAGTGACAGGATCAGTGGTTTACTTACAGCAGGACTGGCAAAAGAATGAATCAGATATCCATGAGCACCATGCACAGCAACAACATCAACACCAGCCTTGACGGCCCTAGCGGCGGCCGCGCCAAAAGCCTCAATGACCTCCCAAATATCGGCCTCAGTCATTTCTTTCGGTGTGCAATAATTGTCGTTCCACGGCTCCGGACTCGGGCCCTGCACCTTGTCCATCATGCCTCCGAATTTGTCGGGCACAGCTTTTAAGCCTAGCCAGGGAGGACACACGTTTGATTTCCGCCCGGCATGTTGTAACTGGATGCCGATCTTTTGGGATTGCGAGTGAACTACGTCCACCACTCGTTTTAGGTATGGAATCTGTTCATCTGACCATAGCCCATTGTCCTGAGGTGTATTGAGGCCCTGTGACAGAAAGGTTGTGAGTGAAAATCGTAGCCGCGGAGAACGACCTTCCCTAGTTCTCTCTGTTTTGTACGCACCTGTGGAACCACGGCCGTGGCCTCAATCGTAATCAAAGGCACCCCCCGGATAGCGTACTGGCCATAATGAGCCACATGGAAGTCGGACAGTTTGCCATCCTTGCAACTGTACATGCACATGGGCGCCAGGAAGATACGGTTCTGAAACGTCACTCCCCGAATCGTCAACGGTTTGAAGATGGGTGAGATCGTGTCCTCGGTCACCCCGTGCTCCGGGTCCAATATCGCAGAGCCACATGGGATCGTGGGTTGAGGTGCGTCGAATCCAATCCCGGGCGTGTAGATGCTGCGGTAGTCCTCGTACCGTCCTTCGGGCTCATCGGTCGCCATTGGAGACATGTCTGTGTCTGATGGGCGCTAACCACCAAGTAAATTACACGATTTGGTTGCAAAGTTATGAACTGCCGGGTTTACTTACTTACAGTGAAGGACACGAGTGATGAAACCAGACACCTGGGCTTGCTAGTTTAAATATAATATCATTAAATCATATTGGAGACATGTCAAAAACACGGCACGTACTGGAACCTCGGGCAACAAATGACGAACTTGAACACTACGAGGACCCCAACTACTGTACTTGGTGGTACCAGGGGCAAGGCTCTGGAACCGGCATCGGGGCCCGGGATCCGGGGTTGATTTGTCATGGCATCGGATATAGGCGTGCATCGATCGTCCTCACTAGGCATTTTCCAGCGCAGCAGTACTTACCAGGTATACTCGTAGCAAACGAGGTTGTAAGAGCAGGCTAACAATGGCCATATATTCCATTTGACCTTCCAAGTTCGGCATGACTTTACGATAATGTCTCACACCACTGTGGTACCACCAAGGAGCGGGGTGGAATGCCGCCAACTAGAAAAGTGCAAAAAGTATTGTACATAAATAGATATACAATGGAGACGGCACCCGCTGTAGCTGGCACGTACTGTACAATTCCAGGCACTTTTTTCCCGACGACGCCTTCATTCTGAAAAAATCCTAAACATACCTCTCCGCCTTGACCGCATCGACCGCCTTCCTCGCAGCCCTCGCATTGTCCAAGGCCGTCGGCATATCCGAATGAATACAAATGCTGAACGGGTTCCCCTGAAACCCCAGAACGAGCTCATTACCCTCATTATCTTTGGTCGTATCATGCAACCCACCGGACTTGACACGGTCATAGACCAGCTCAGCCGTAGCCTTCTGCGACTTGGCCACGGGCAGAAGCCTTCCCTGCCTGTCGTAGTCGATGTCGACGTACATTTCCTCCTGGAAGAAAATGCCTTTTTTGTCACAGTCGGCCTTCCACTCCGGGTTGCGACATCCGTAAACAGGAACATGGAAGTGCGCACAGGCGTCCAGGACGGCGCGGCGGATTTCGGCGTCGCGCATCATGTAGAAGAACAGCTCGCCGTGCGGCTTAACGTGGTTGAGCGGTACGTCCTCGGCGTCCAGCATCGCTTTCAGCGCGCCCACTTGGTACAGGATCATCGTGTACATGTCCTGAGGGTCGATTTCCATCTTTCGCCGGCCAAAACCGGCCAAGTCTGGAAGACCAGGGTGTGCACCGGCCTTGATCCCATGTTTCTTCGCCAGTCGAACCGTCTTGAGCATCAAGCTCCGGTCACCGGCATGAAACCCACAGGCGATGTTGGCCGTGTCGATGTATTGCATCAGCTCCTCGTCGGGTCCCTAGTAGAAGCAAGCCCGCAGTAAGTAAGCAATGAGTACTGAGTACTAGCACTGGATGGGGATTGATGGCAGTGGGCGCAGTGCCAGTATGGGTGGTTCGTGTAAAATACCATCTTCCACCTCCCAAACCCTTCGCCCATGTCACAGTTGATCTCGAGCTTGGTGAGATGGCTCGCCATTCTGGAGGAGTGAGAGAAGGAGTAAACCGCCTTTGGACATAATGGATTGGCCTGCGGAAATCGGACAGACCTGGACCTCTGCGCAACCCGCGCCAACACCCACCTCGCCGCACACATTGCTATGTCCTTGTATCCTGTCAACAATGGCAGTCAAGGAAGTAAATACAAGTTTGTTCGAGATGATAGTTGTTCTGAGGTGAGCATCTACGACACTTTTAGACAAATGCAAGATCAGTATCAATGGTCGGTTTTCTCCACGAGCCGACAGCCCGCAGGAGCCCCTCACGGTGTGTTGATTAGTCATGCTGAAATCGAGGTTGAATTGATTGCGGTTCAACCGTCTAATGACCTACCGTAAAGTACACGTGATGATGGCCTTCGCAGCTATTGTGGTTCACCGTAATTCCCACGCGTACTTCAAACCGCGCTGTAGGGCATCCAATTCCATACGTTACCTTGAGCTACCTCAAGTTGATGGCATGCATCGTGAAGGACGATCCTCACCATAGCAGGGAGTGAACCTTCCAGAGAATCTGGCCATTGTTTCATCCGCTAACATCCCATTGACTATTTCAACGCCATCCGCCAGAAGAGATTCGCCTGACTGCCAGTGCACGATGCAACACGAGATCCATCTCTCGACATCCCTCATTGTGGAAAGGGGTATTACCTTATCCAGGATTAATAAAAGCCAATGGTGCCTTTTTGGCGAATGAACTATCACCGCCATCCCGCTGGCCAAGGCGCTTTCAAAAGGCCCGGCCAGACAGCGCAGTGCAGCATCCTGCGCTTTGACTCCTCGACAGCTGTCATGCATGTCATGCTTTGCAAATAGGCGAGATCATCCAGCCAGCGATGAGGCCGTTTTTCCACTTTTGGGTTCCACGAGTTCATGGAGCCCCGGACTTCAACAAAAGTCCCTCACTGCTGATCTTGTACACCTGCAGGTACCAAAAGAGTCGTTTGAGGGTCGGATCCTCTATCAGACATGTATGAGAGGCGGCGAGACTTTGCTAGACGGCCAAACTGAAAACAGCTTCGGCTACTGATCCTTGTCTTTCATAATGTCAGATACATAACCTGAAGCACGTCGTTACAGGGTGGCGAGGGAGAGGTTGCGCCCTTCTCTGTCTTCGCTTCGGCTCGTCTGTCACTCGGCTGCGTGAGCTTTGAACATCGAAGCCTCGAAACCCCGCCCCTGAACGTCTGTCCTTTCTACCTTCCGCCAGACTACTGTCATTTTGGCATGGGGAGACACCGCCAGCGAAGACTTTGGTAGGTACTGGGGTTTGTATGGCCTGTGCAAGATTGCTCGCTTCTTTTGACACGAATTGCTTCCCTTTGGGGTTCACCCTGCATCACAAAGCCACGGCCAGGGGGTTGCCACTGTACCGGCCCGTGCGTTGAACTCTCTATGAAATATCATGACTGCTCTTTTCTGCCTGAGCAGCTCTGCGTCTCTGCACCACCTCGCAGTGAGCAACCGCGGCCGCTGTCCCTTGCAGAAGTTTTGCATATACTGTACATTCTTGTTTCTCTGTTTCCATGGCAGAATACACACGCCTCGTGGGGTCGACGAGCCCACGGCTATCGGGTGACTACCACCGTGATCATGACCACGATGCCGATGCTTTCGAGCATGACAATCTTGCTTTCCACGACACGGAGCTCGACGAAAAACAAAAGCCCCTGTCCACAGTAGTTATCAAGGAAGGAACATCGGCTTCAGATCTGGACACGGACCCGGAAGACAATCTCGACGTCGAAAAGCAACATCAACAACGACAAGAAGAACGCTCGTCCCCCGTGCCGAAATGGAAGCAATACAAGACATACAGCTCGCTCATGAAATCTTGGTGTATCGCCGCCCTACCAACGTTCTGCCAGCCAGGTGGCCTGCGGCGCAAAGGCCAGCTGCGTCCAACAGCCTGGCTTGACGCTCTCCGTGGGTATGCGGCTTGGATCGTGTTCCACTATCACTGCTTCAACAGTTACTCTCCGTCTTGGCGGAGACAACCATTCATCTCATTTTTTTGGGCTGGCCCTGGAATGGTGGCTCTCTTCTTCGTCATCTCGGGTTACGTGCTGAGCTACAGCCTGCTCAAGCAGATGCGAAGGCGACAATCTACGGCCATGCTGGAGAGCCTTGCGTCATCCTCGTTCAGGAGATACATTCGACTTTATGCGTCTAGCGTTGTGGCGACCATGTTTCCGTTGATGCTGGTCCGGTTGCGGCTCTACAACGGCGCCGGCTCGTTACATGTTCCGACGTTCTTCGGACAAGTTGGTGACTGGCTGTACAACAACCTCTACTTCATCAATCCTTTTGCCGACATTCGAGGCTGGTACCACCAAGGCACCATAGACAGCAAGTATCTGGGTACCCTATGGACGATTCCGGTCGAGTTCCGCGGCAGCATGATTCTTTTCGGATTCTGTGCCGCTGTGTGTAAACTGACGACACCCTGGCGCATGGGTCTGACTTGGCTTATCATCATTCTGTCCTATGTGTGGAACACGGTCTTTGTAGCCGAGTTCCTGTTCGGCATGTTCGTTGCCGATGTGTCTCTGTCGAGAAATCCGGATCTGGTGCGGCGTCAACCGCTACCTACGACGCACACAGCGCCTGCCGGGACCACGCGCGATAGGGTTGACCGATGGGTCGAGAAGTCGACCCGGAGGCAAAAAGCACTGCGCATTGCCCGTAACGTCGGGTACGTTCTGCTATTCATTCTGGGCGTCTTCTTCCTCGGCCAGCCCGATGGCGTGGATTTGGGTGTCTGGGGAAATTTCCCCTGGCAGTTCCTGAAATCGTTCATTCCACCCTACTACGGCAACGGCTCCGAGTACTATTTCTACCTCTCGATGGGTGGCTTCTTCCTCCTCTTGGCACTCGACTCGCTGCCAATCTTGCAGCTCCCGCTTAATTGGGGTTTCAGCCAGTATGTTGGCGAGCTCAGTTTCGGAATTTATGCCCTTCACCCGCCCTTGACATTTGCCTTCTTTAGGGACAGGATGGAACCATGGCGTGCCAAACACCTGGGCGACTCGCCGCTCGCATTCATCCCCGGGTATATCTTGATGACACTATTGGTGTTCATCACCGCGGATTATTTCACTAGATTGGATAAGAAGGTCGTCAAGGGAGGGAGATGGCTGCAGTCCAAACTGTTCCGGACGTGGGATGATTAAAGAATGAATATACACGGTCACAGTGGCGATGGGGAAGTATTGCTCAGCTGTTTATGTTTTCCTTACCGGCTGCTCGGGGTGAAGATGGAATTCTTGCCAGATGGTGTGTGCTTTTGGGCTGATACAGTGCAGCGGAATAAATTTTGTTTGATCACGTCGACTTGGTATACAATCTTGGGCATTACGAGTGTATATGATACTACTGTTACTCCTACTGTTTGGATCCGGTGGTAGTATTGGCCACTTAAAAATTTAGCAAGATACAGAATTTAAGATATAGCATTTGACTTCCTAGATACCTGACTGGATCCTGTGGAGTGACCATTTCTCTCTTACCCCAGGCTGTCTCGGCCATCAGCTACCTAATCGTACTACCGTAGGTTCCAAGTCTCTGACACATGCTCAACCACACTTGCGTAAACAATCTTGACTTGTAGCCCAGGTGAAGGCGATATAGGTAAATGAGGTTAGCTTGGTGCCTCCCCAGCCTCGGTACATAAAGTCCCAGCAACAGCGCTAAGTAGCTAGCAAGGACTCTGCTGCTTTATGCTCAAGATGTCGGATGTACCACAGGTGTAACCATTGTAAGGGCTTCTGGAACCACTTCAACTGACAGTCAATGCCGTGGCTCATATACAGTATACACCATTTGCAACCACGTTCTCCACTGCTTGGGGGATTTCTGACTCCCGTCTGTGGTACAACTGACTCGCACAAACTTGGCCTGGCAAGATTTTCATTAGCACAACCACCGCTCCAGTACAGTATGATTGCCGAACTGCGTCGAAGCCACCGGAGAATAGACGGCATGCAACCGGCTGCCAGTGCAACAAAGGACAGTGTGTGTGTGTGGTGCCAGTGGCAGTCCAACGCCCAAAGGAGAATTATGTGATCGGCGGCGCTAAAGGAGCGCGCTAGTCAGTATGAGACGTAGCGTAGTATTTGGTGCTAAATATGGCTGCCCAGTGCAATGCTGACTGATGCTTTGCAGCCAATGAATGCGCGAGTAAGCGAGAGAGCCAGCCAATTCCTATTTGCTCTATAACAGGCTTAGTCCCAAACGGTGCTTGCACCGCGAAGCACTGGCACTACTACTGGACTGGCACCCTGACTGCGCTGCACCGGCTGCCACACTGGCACCCACTGCACTACTACTAACATTGTAGTACTACTACTGGCGCTGGCATGGCACTGGCACTGCACGCCAACCACTGCACCAACTGAATTGAACTGACTGACTGACTGGTTCATTGCAGTGACTGGCATCACAACGAAAACACATCAACAGTCCAGCAGAGTACAGCACACGGCGTACAGCTTTCCATTCACGCCCTTGTCGTCGCTCTTGTCCCAATCCTCTTGTTTTCCTTTCGCGGACATTGTTCTCGTTGCCTCCCTAAACTGGACGCGTCTCTGTCAATTGCTCTCCTTCCCCTACCGACGCCGCCTTCAGACCAGAAACCCAACCACGTCGCCTCCTCTAGCCCGCTTCTAAGGGTGTCGCGTTGCCTTGTATGGAACCCTGCCGGACATCCAAAGACCCGTCGCCCATATCAACGCGCTATTGAGGCTGCGCCCTCTAATCAAGAAGTCGGTCTCAAAACCTCGGCTGATCCCCAAAATCTCACTACCTGAGCCTCTTTCCGCTGGTTCGGTATTCTTCCCACAGTTGGCGTCTCGCGTGGGTCTTGTGTGGGTGGCAGAAAAGAGACAGTTCCAGACCTTCACGACCAGGGACAATTGACAAACCAACAAGGGGTGGATTGTGTCCCCGACCGAAGCGCTCTCAGCTGAAGACCCAGGGCGACGAATGTTTACTCAACTGGACTCGCGCACATACATGCAAGAACCGCCTTGAAAGATCAAACATGGCGGCACCTGTTGACGATCCGCAACAGGGGAACCCTGGGGTAACGAGATACACAATAGGTGCACCTCGAGACCAGAGTCAACCTGGCCAGCAGACGTCGTCAAACGCGCAATACTCCCCGTATGGTCAACCGGTTCAGTCCAATGGCAGTCCAAACGATGCACAATATGACAGTGATGCCAGATATTCCACAGACAGCAGGACCGGCAGAAAGAGATCCCCAGGCGGGACCGGTAACAGTGCGAGAAGCAGATCACGGACGAACGGCAGCGCTGGGAAATCGCCTAGTAGATCAGTGCGGACGTGTAAGAAGTGTGGTGAGGCTTTAACCGGTCAATTCGTACGTGCGCTCGGTGGTACATTTCACCTGGATTGCTTCAAGTGCGCCGACTGCGGCCAGATCGTCGCATCCAAGTTCTTTCCTGTTGACGCAGAGGACGGGTCCGGCCAATTCCCTCTCTGCGAGACAGACTACTTCCGACGCCTGGATCTGTTGTGTTTCAAGTGTGGAGGTGCGCTTCGGGGCTCATACATCACTGCGCTCGACCGCAAGTACCACATTGAACATTTTACCTGCTCTGTCTGTCCAACCGTCTTTGGTGCGCAGGACAGTTATTACGAGCACGATGGACAGGTCTATTGTCACTACCACTACTCGACGCACTTTGCCCAACGCTGCAACGGCTGTCAGACCGCCATCCTTAAGCAGTTTGTCGAAATCTTCCGCAATGGGCAGAATCAACACTGGCATCCTGAGTGCTACATGATCCACAAGTTTTGGAACGTCCGCCTTGGACAAAATGGCCCAGTCGCAGTCAAGAAAGACATCGACGCACCAGTTACAGAAGATGAGCGGGAAATGGTCAAAGAAGATGAAGACAAAATGGAAGACAAGGTCTACCGGATCTGGAGCACTCTCTCCACCTTCGAAGAGTCCTCAGCTTCTTGCATATCTGACATGCTCCTGCATGTAAGCAACGGAGTTTATGTGGACGGTGTGATTGTGGCACGCAAATTCATCTGGCATGTTGACATTCTCTTTGGTGCAATTGATACACTCGCCGCCCTGGTCGTCAAAGCTGGGCTCAAAGAACTGGCCTATGGTCGCGAAGCGAAACTTCTATGCAAAAAGGTGGTTGCCTTCTTCACCCTTCTGTCTAGGACACAGGAGACCGGTGTACGCAAATTAGGAGTTACACAGGAGCTGTTGTCCTTGGTTACTGGTCTGGCACACTACCTGAAGCTCCTCATTCGGATCGGCCTCCAGGGAGCTCTCAAGCTTGAACGTGAGCGAGGCTCGCCAGAAGGTCTCCATGCCTTCCTGGATGAGCTTGCAGACTTGGAGACGATCAAAGAGCAAGAGATGAAATCGCTAGACCTGACAGAGAGCGTGGCTGGCCTTGCTAGTCAAGAGTCAGATTGTTGTTCAGCATGCTTCGAACCGATCGACGATGAATGCGTCATGATTTATGGACGGCGCTGGCATCTAAAGCCACCTCATCTGGCATGCATTGTCTGTCAGCGAGATCTTACGACCGACCTCCCTCAAGCTGTCTACAGCGAGAGAGACGAAAAAGTCTACTGTGTAGACCACGCCGGTCGAGCTCAGGACACCGTTTCTGGCTTCTCTCACGTTACCAAACTGCAACAGTATGTCTTCCTGCTTCGTGTGGCTTTGGCCCGGCTGCTTGAAGTGCTCAAGTCGGGTGGTACTTTGCCGCACACATCGGACGATCCAAACCTGACACCATACGACACCACGGAGGGCCATCGAGTTTCGCCGATAGGTGAACAAATGACACCTCACCAGAAGATGGGCTCACGGTCGCGATCTTACGCAGGTGCGTCAAGTCAGCCAGAATCTTCGCTCGAACAAACCGTCGGAGAGATGAAACGACTGAGGTCGACTCGGAACGAACGAGCTCTGTCTACGACTTTCCGCAAAGCTCGAGAGTCAAAGGTGCTGTATGGTCCCGGCGGAGTCCGGCCAGGGTCTGCCGGTGGAGACAGCCAGGAAGCCAGGAATCGTGGTGGCTTCCAAATCGTAGAAGAGCGAGATCTGGACGGGCGGATGAGACCCGAATTGACGTTTGGGAACCAGGACGGTCTAACTCTGGACGATATCCCGCGGATTGTCGCTGCTGAGCAGGCAAAAGAGCAGAGACCCAATGCATTCCGGCATGCAGGGACCAACCTCATTGGCCACCGAGGCAATGAACCGAGATTGGTTAATGGCCATCATCGGGCATCCTCACTCGGCAACGATCTTCTGGCGGGCGAACCGAATCCCCTGCGTACCAAGCGGTACTTTTCGGAATTGTCTGCATTGGAATACTTCATTGTGCGACACGTGGCTGTTCTCTCCATGCAACCTCTTCTGGAAGGCGAATACACTCTCGAAGACTTGCTCGGCCTGATCGAGACGAGAAAACAAACCTTCTGGGGCAAGGTCAGCCGGGCGCTTCGTAATGATGGGAAGACGAAGAAGAAAGGCATTTTCGGAGTGCCACTTGAGACACTGGTCGAGCGCGAAGGGGCCGAGTCAACCAATGGAGTTGGGCCTGGGGCCCTGAGGGTCCCTGCGATTGTGGACGATTGCGTCTCTGCCATGAAGCAAATGGACATGTCAGTCGAAGGCGTGTTCCGAAAGAACGGAAACATCAAGCGCCTGAAAGAAACGTCCGAGTTGATCGACTCCAATCAAACACCCGACCTGAACCGCGAAAATCCCGTGCAGGTCGCCGCGTTGCTCAAGAAATTCTTGAGGGAGATGCCAGAACCTCTACTAACCTTCAAGCTGCAAAAGCTATTTATCATATCTCAGAAGATTCCGGAGGAGGAGCGCCGAAGAAGAATCCTCCACCTGACATGCTGTTTGATGCCCAAGAGTCATCGTGACACCATGGAAGTATTGTTCTCTTTCCTTAAGTGGGCAGCCTCGTTCTCGCAAGTGGACGAAGAATCGGGAAGCAAGATGGACATCCACAATCTTGCCACGGTCATGGCACCCAACATCCTGTACGCGAAGGACAAGACGCCCAATGCGAAGCAACCGGCGGTTCCGCAAGTCGACGACAGTTTCCTAGCCATCGAAGCAGTCAACACCTTGATCGAGTACAATGACTACTTCTGCCAGGTAAGGCGCTTTTGGTTTGGGGCATCTTTGTACAGTATCACTAATTATTGTCATAGGTCCCTGAAGACTTGCAGTCCATCTTGACCGATACCGGCCTACATACAGGGTCGGCTGAGCTAACGACCAAAGAAATCCTGTCTCGATATGGCCATATTGCAAAGGGCCAGATTCAGAAACAAACTGTGCAAGCTGCGGATGCTCCCGTGCATAGTCCAAGCTCAACAAACTCAATCGGTCCAGTGGCAACACGCGTCGATGTTGATCCTTCTCAAGCCACCGCATGGCAAAAGCAAAGCTCGGTCCGTCCTGTGCAAAACGTGGCATCGACCACATCTGGGCCAGCCAACGAGTTCAACTTTGGTACCCCAAATAGCCCGTATGCTCGAAAGAGAGCGGGTAGCAATGACAGCGCCGGAAGCCACGGTGCAGCACCTACTGGGCGTCAGAGTTATCAACCCAGGCCTGGCCAGATGGGAATTGCAGGTTGACCTGATGACTGTTTGAACATACCTCATCGAAGAAGTCATCATGAGCTGGTGCTGTCGAACTGTTGAGTTTATCACATTTCGAGCTGGCCTTTCGTTACAGGGGAAGAACTCAAAACAAGGGATCTCGATCCTGAACAAACTCACTTGCCGTTGTCGAAAACTTGCTACACCACACTTCCTCGAAGGACAACACTACCAATGAGTCAGTTTACCCTTTCAGAAGGAGATCTATGTCTCGACACCGGCTTGACACTTTTGTCTCTACCAAACCGGCGGTCGAGGAAGCGGTCGTGGAAAGCAGTCTTTGCCAGCTTTACTTGTTTCTTTTTTTCAGCATGGATGTGCTATGGCAAAATTTCACATGGCAGTCCTGGGCTTTGGGCGCACTCATTCTCTTCTCTCTCTTTGCGTGGCCGGAGCGTCGCTCTCTTTTCATGAGGCAGCCAATCCGGATGCTGGCTTTTTCCTTCTTTCGACAATGGCGGGATTGACAGGTGCACAGTCTCGCTCGCTTTTCTCTTTTATTTTTTGCATCTGAGCTGCATTGGGCGTGGACCCTTTGGTGTCAAGTTGAAGATCAGGTCAAAATGGTTGGGCTGGGTTCAAGCCTGAAATCATTTGGTGGGTGTTATGATGTTGAGCATAGGAAGGGCAAAGGGTTGGAACGATACGTTTCTCCAGGCTCCTGCGCAAGAGGGCATTGGATAAGGCTGTTTCGATTCGAGGACTCAACTTTCATGGCCTTTTTGCAATGACAGGAACCGGTTGGGTTTGGGTACCAAAGACAGCCAGGATTGCTGCTGGAAAATTGTATGGTCAAGCCTTGAGCTTAGGTTCTGGTGGAATGGAAGATGGTTTTGTGCATGTATGCAGTGGGCGATGTCGAGAGTTAAGGAAACAAAGAGCCAAAGGAAAATCGATATCGAACGCCCTGGGACATCAAGGTCTAGTATCCGGCAATGCAGGACGTCAGGTCATGAGCTGTACTACTAGCATCAAACCAAGAGCTGAGGCTGCGGAAAACCGACTGCACTGCACTGGCATGGGAAGCAGACGACAAGACACTGCAGCTTGTGTGAACTGAAGTGATGCTCAAGCCAAGCGCTGCGCTCTTGTTGTCCAGACAACTTGAAGGCTTGCCAGGCCATAATGTACTAGTACTGTAACTTGAACCCCAAAATCCGATCTTGAGCCTACTGTAAAAGTAGTCAACCGAAAGAAAGAGTGTGCTGGGATTCCCAAGAGATGGCTCAAGTAGAATCAGAGAGAACCCATGGTCTCAGTTTCTCTAGTAGCTCTATCCAAGATCTATCTATGTATGGCCACTTGGTGATGGATGATGGTACGTATAGTACGCCTTTCATGTCGCCGCAGAACCTCGAAGCTGTTCCCCATCTTTCCCGTACTACTTACTTAGTAGTAGAAGTAGACAACACCTCATCCATAACCCTCCCAAGGCGCTCAATGGCATCATCACAGATCTGGTAATGAACAACCAACCTCCCACCACTGGTCTTGAGACCCTGGGCGGCAGCAATTTCGACAAAACGGGGGATTGAGACATTGACATCCTTGAGATCAAGCCAGACCATATTCGTTTCGACGGGTTTCGCAAGCTTGCCACCCTTGTCGCGCCACATGTTCGCAACTTTACGGGCGCGAGCATGACTGTCTCGCAACTTGCCCCCTTGGCCACGGGGACCTTTTCCAAAGGCCTCGTCCACAGCGACTTTTGCAGCGGCGGAAATAACGCCGGCTTGTCTCGTGGCGCCGCCGAGCATTTTGCGGATCCGGCGGGCATGGGCAATGAAGGATTTTGAGCCGACGACAACACTGCCGATGGGAGCGGCGAGCCCTTTGGAGAAACACATGCTCACGCTGTCGAAGCAAGACGCATACTCGGGCAATGAGCCTGCGTCGGCGGCGACGGCTTCCCATAGACGCGCGCCGTCGAGATGCAGCCGGATGTTGTTTTGTCGTGCGAACTCCGCGATTCGGCGCGTTTCCTCGAGTGGCATGATTGTGCCGTCGAGGGTGTTTTCGAGAGATATCACGCGCGTCGGACACGCGTGCACGTCGTCGCTGAGGATGGTGTGTTGTTGCACATCTTCGAGTGTTAGGTGGTGGCCGTTGGATGGTCGGACGGCGATCAGTTGCGCTCCTGAAATCGCGGACACGCCGCCCGCCTCGTAGTTGTAGATGTGGCCGCGGATGTCGCATAGGACGGAATGAGGAGGACCACCGGAGATGGCAAGGTGTGTTCGCAATGCGACCTGGTTGCCCATCGTGCCGGACATGACGAGGAGTCCGGCCTCGTGGCCTGATAGTGATGCCATGTCGGCTTCCAATGAGTTGGTCGTCGGGTCTTCCTGTACGACGTCATCTAGGAGGGTTGTGTGTGTGATGGCCTTGAGCATCGCTGCTGTGGGTGTTGTCATCGTGTCGCTGCGGAAGTCGTAGGCTGCTGGCCCGGGTTGTTGCCAGGCGTTGAATTCTTGCTGGGTCGCGGCTGACCGGTTCGCTTCGGTGATCCGGCTTGAGTCAGACCCAGGACTGGAATTGGCGTTGGACGTTGTCCCCGTCCCGCTGCTGGAAGTCATGGTGCGTGACTGGATGGAGTAGGGTCGGCTTAGTGAATGTGAGTTTTGATGTCGTGGTAGTAGTACTGCTGGGGTAACTAGTCGAGATTTATACGGATGGTTATGATGTTGAAATTGAGCTCTTGGTTCTGATGCGACCTGTGATCCTTGAGATGATTTTGTTCGGGGTTCAAGTTCTGGGTTCGGATATATATGCAGCGTTGGTGGTGAAAATGACGGTCGATGGTGGTGGTACCACTGTGATCTCAATGAGAATGTCGTGCTTCTTATTACGCCGCGGGGACAGTTGGCTGGGATGCAAGATTGTGTAGCCGCCTTAAGTTGTGCTAGCATGCTAGTAGCTGAACGCTGTGGTTCATCTAGAAAAGACCGAATCCCGCAAGGTGCAGCGTGAGGTGGTAGCAAGCTGGATCCGATACTGTACTTGATGAGATCAAAGTTGATGGCCGCCGCGCCCTTCACACGATCCATCAGACAAGATTTGATACGATTACTAATCTGAGGACCTTCCCAAATCGGCTAGTACCGTATAGACATAAGCCAAGGCACAATTTCAAGTCCTACCAGGTAGTACACCATGTTTTTGCGGTGGCCTCAGGCTTGGAGGACTGTCATAGCGCTTACTGTAACCAAGAGACGATAGTCCTATAAGACGGGGCAACTTGAACGGGCACGAGGTCACAAAGGCTCCGAGTCTCACGGTGGGTTGCATCTGCAAGTGACTTGCCCGGGTACCTGATACAAGAGGTAAGAGCAATGGAGGGTTTCAATGTCTGCAAATTGCGGATGAGCTGCCACTGTGTTGCAAGACACTATTCCAGTCTCCAGACCATTTCCATGCACCCGTGAATGGTGCTTGTTGGGCCCATATCAAGTCCCAACCATGAAATTTCGTTTCCGGGGAGACTCTGGCACCAATCCCATCGCCGAAGCAGATAAGCCAGCTGCAGCTGCGTCAACTGAGGAAGGTTTCCCTCAGGCTCAGCCGCTCTCCGGTGATGATGCACGTCCAACAATCGCACCAGATTCAATGCAGACGGAGACCGAAAAGGTCGATATTGATGCTGGTGAAGTAGATGGAGGAACGTGGTCCACCAAGAACTTGAAGCTATGGACCGAATACGTGTCTTTGGCCACGCTCCAAGCTGCCAATCGCGACCATCTCTGTATGCTGATGCCTGCGACCACTGCATGATTACTTGTCTTTCCTGCGGCTCAGCTAACTCGGCGAGTCCAGCCAACGAACAGACATTCCTTGCCTGGCTTTCACTTGCGGATGGCATGGCAATCCTCGGAGTGGTTGTGGCACAAGTCTCCAGGATTCAACAGGTTCTCCGTCCCTACGAGGAAGACTCGATACGATATCTCCTGTTGGGCAAACCGCAGGCATGCCTTTGCTATGGAACAGCCTGTTTGATTCTTCTAATTGGTGCATATCGATTCTTTCAGCAACAGCATGCAATGAATCGCGGCTTCACAGTTGTGGGTGGATATGATGTTCCGTTGCTTGGAGTGTTTGTCGGGCTGGTTTGTTGACGCTCCTCGGAGCTTGTTATTATCGCATGCTAAACCTTCTGCAGTGCCTCCTTGCCTTCTTTCTACTGCTGATCCTGGTAGATATCGCTGGTGTTCAATAAGTGTGACAGCAAGAGCTTTGTCGTCGATTGCGCAACAAGATTAGAATTCATTCCTGCTCGGCGGTGCTTGGTCCTTCATACCTTGGACCTACGGGCTGCTCATGGACCAGGCACAGCGCGAGAGCATCCATCTCATCACAACCCCAATGGTATAAAGGTATCGTTACACCAACTTCCCTGTACAGTAAATAGCATACTAGTACGGTTTTCAACTACAGCTTCGCCTTTGTTTTTGCTTTCTTCCTCTGCTGTTCGTCCGCCAACGCCTGGATGGCCTGTCTGGCTTCCTGCCCTCTCGCCGCTTCTGTTAGTAACTTCAACTCCGCCTCATTGGCCCTTAATAGATCCTCTCTGAACGGTTTCGTCATCAGCTCCTTATTCGCCATCAAGCTTTTCGGGGGCAGGCTTGCAATCCTGTACGCAACAACCATGACATCCTGCAGGAAATTTTGGGGGTTGATGATTTTCGTGATCAATCCTGCCCGCTCGAGTTCGGCTGCGGTGACGCGTTCATCGCCCAAAATCAGCGCCGAGGCCTTTTGCCGGCCGAGCGTGCGGGCGAAGGTGTAGCTCGAACAGGCTTCGGCGCATAAACCCCACTTCACGAAGGGTGTGAAAAAGTAGGCGTCCGGCACGGCGTAGACCAGGTCAAACAGCGCGATGCTGCTGGTGCCGTAGCCGATGCCCGGACCGTTGACGGCCGCGATGAAGATCTTGTCCGTTGTGGTTATGAGGAGTTTGTGGTATGCGCTGGACAGGGAAAACAGGAAAAAGATAGTTAGCATGACTTGACGTGCGAACAGGCGAAGAGGGAGGGTGATAGGCAGGAAAAAGATGGGAACGAGCCGAAATTGATGTGCCAGTGTTTGCAACAAGTAGTGATATTAGACTTACTCCAGATTCCTGATGGATTCCTCAGGAAGGACGGTATTTGGATCATCGTTGACTGCGTCAAGTAAATCGAGACCTATATAAAGAGAAATGGGTCAGTGACTCGACGGCTGGGGGTAGGAAACGGGATCTCTGTTCAGCGACTTGAAACTTACCAGCCGTGAAGAATTTCCCTTCCCCGGATTGAACAATGACTCGGACTCGAGGGTGCGAGACTGCCCATTGCAGGGCCGCCAACATGTCCTGGTAATGGTATGAAGTCAATGACAAGTTCATTGATCACAGCCATTCAATAGACTAGCAGAGTGAAAAAGAAAACTGCCATGCCTGCCGTGACGGATAAAACTGAGTGATTGGGATTCAACATCGTCATATTGTTTTCTTTTTAAAGCCACAAATAGTAGAGAAAGACCCTGACACTTCTGGATGTTGTAAAGTAACCGAACGGTCCATGGTCCCCAGCTGGGTACAAAGTTGCCACTGGCTGGCGGGCCAGGCACGTTTCATGTGCTGGACAGCGGATTCGCATAGCCGTAACAGGAACTTCAGGAAGAGAGAGACAATGGCAAGGTCATGCAAGGGTTCAACTGCAGCATCGATGAAGTGTGAAGTGAAGCAGGGGAAACAAAAACCAGGCCATGAAGCTTGAAGGGTCTCAAAGGCAAAATGGAATATCAGATAAACATTTATCTTGGAAGCCAGTACTGGTAGCAAGCAAATCCGACCAGATAAGACACCTGAAGGCTGATCCTGCAACATAGGTTACATACCTTGAAAGCGGCCCTGTTCAACGCATTTCCACTCTTCGGCCGATTGAATTTAATCAGGACCACGCCATGATCGGCGTCGAGTTTGATGGAGACGGTGTCGAGTGTAGGAGGAGGATTGGAGTTCGAGTCTTGGGCGGCCATGTCTTGTCCTAGTGACCGAGTCTCGGATGTCGATGCCAGACAGGATGGCTTAGCCACTTTTTATGAAGGTTCTGCTGGTTCTGGCTTTGTCTCGAATAGCTGGTAGATGATGGAGATAGGTTCGTTCGGCTTATAAGCGTCGGATTTGGGAGGGTGTCTATCTTTGTCCGTGAGTTGATGTTAGTGCGTATATTATGCTTGAGATCCGGGGTTGCTTGTGTTTACAATTGACCTGTTTTTCACAGCCTAGCCTTGGATACCAGGTACATTTATCATATTTCTGTACTCCGTAATACTAAAGCAATCGGTGACCATTCCTCTTGGTGCCGTGGAGGTGGGAAACAACCACGTAAGGCTGAGATTTGAGGACCTCGGTCCGAATCGGCGGCCGACACAGCACCGAGTGATGGCAAAGCAAAGCAATTCCACACACAACCTCATTCATTGTCGAGCCACCGATTTATTGAGTCTGCGATGACGTGAGGTATCCTCATATCACGCAGGGAAAGTGGTGTTAGCAGAATATTCACCGTCTATAATAGCGACTGGGAGATTACCTAACCACATACAAGACCATGAGTCTTCACAGATGCAAACGTCGAAGACGGTAACACATGGCTTATCGGCGGCTCAAGTCCAGGGAATCATGGATTTCAATGAAACACGCAGTGTCACACTACTCGGGTCAACCAGGGGCAGTAACATTGTTGACTATCAAACGTCTGCATATACTGTCAGAGTCCCTTCCAAACAAGATTTCTAGACTGCTGTTTGCACACTGGCATTCATTGTCCGAGATGAGCTTCGTCACTTCCAGCCCGGCTACACCATATGACTGTACTTGTGTTGCACCTTCAATCATTATTTATCACTCGTCACTGTTGACTCATCGCTTCTCGCTCCCACCTGACCCGGTCTCAATATGAGTTGCAGCAACACCAGTCTCCTTAGGCCCTGCGCGGTGGTGGTCGACAATAGTACGAGTGACCAGATCGACCTCAAGGTCTCTCTGATAGATGGCCACTTCATCGGCATCACCGAAAATGGCAGCGACCTCCTCCAGCGGCAAACCATTGGTGTCCGGGAACCAGATCCACATGGCGATGGCTCCGATCGTGCCTGGAATGATAAAAGCAAGGTAGAATTTCCAGCCAATGTTTTCAAAGGCGGTGGGAGCACTTTGAAGCCAGATGATGTTCATGAACGAAATCATAGACACCCCCAGACAGACACCCTTGGCGCGAAGGTGAGTAGGAAAGACCTCACCAAGGTAGGAGAATTGAGTGCCGTCCAGACAAAGTGAATAAAAGATCTGGAAAACGAAAAACATGGCGACTGCGGCTTGAAGAGCCGAATGGTTGTCGGATGGCACGAAATTGGCCACAAGGGCCGCCTCGACGATCAGCGCTGCCATGCAGCCCAAAACTCCAAATGCCATGTACTTGTTTCGAGGGAACCGATCGACCAGCAGCATCGCCACGGCGTTGAGACCCGCAGCAAATGTGAGCCAGGCCGCCGGATAGAGAAGCTGTTTGACGGGCGAGAAGTTTAGCTGCTTGTAGAGCGAAGGTCCGTAGTTGTTGATCACCAGCACACCCGAGCACTGAATGATTGCTGTGGTGGCGAGTGCCAGGAAAGCTCGCTTTCGGTATGATGGTTTCCTCCAGACATGAGCCCAGCTGTTGCCCAGAGTTCGGTCTATCGCAATCTGCTGTTGAATCTGGTAGAATTCGGCCTTGGCAGCATCGTTGTCCGGATCGCCGGCGTTCGCATGTAGTTTAAAGAGAACCGCTTCCGCCTCGGCTTCTCTCCCTTGCATGACGAGCCATCGGGGCGACTCTGGAACGAACAAGAGTCCGATCAATAGACAGATAGGGAAGAAGCACTGTATGGCCACAGGCGGCCGCCAGCTGTTGGTGCTGCCTTGCCAGAAGTAGAACCCGAACCCAACCCAACCCTGAATGGTGTAGCCTGTTACCAGCATGAACCCATGAACATCCACCAAAGCACCCCGCATGTGGACCGGCACAATTTCGTTCATCAGGATTGGCACCGCTGCCAGAATCATGAACGCACTGGCACCGGCAACGAAGCGAAAAGCAATGAACATCCCAACATTGACACTTCCCGCCATTATAGCACCAGATATGACCGCGAGGAGCGCAGACTGGCTTCCCGTGTGAGCAGATTGAGGGAATTGAGAGCGGTCGGCGTAGATTCATCAACTTACCACAGCACATGCCCACCGCCTACCGTACTTGTCTGCCACTTTAGGGAGACATAATGTGCCAATCACACCACCAGCCTGGAAAAGGCCATTCATGGTGGACATGAGGTCGGTGGCATTGGATCGAGTGTCGAGGTCGAAGTATTTGATGAAGGACGGTTGGCCTGTACCAGTCAGAGCCAGTTCATTTAGACTTGTCAGAGATAGCCACCTAGAGTTGTGCCGATGATGGAGGCAGTATAACCATACGTCAGGGAGCCGAACCCAAGAACAACGAGCACAGCACAAGTATGCACATTCAGCTTTTGTCTCCGTAGAAGACCTTCCTCGGCATCATGACGACCCATGCTGCGATGGCTGTGTTAAAATATCTCAGAGACCTGGGCAAGCAATGCAGACAGTGAAGGCTCAGAAATGGCCAACAGCAGGATGGGGAGACTCGCGTCTTAAATACATTGTAGTTTGATCAATTCAGCGAAGGATGGCTGTTCAGTCATGGTCAGCCTCTCCAGGATATGGGGTCACCCTGACAGCGCCTAACCGACTCCGCAGAGGCTTGTTTCCTTACCCCGGACCCGGTGACATCCAATGTCTCGCATTACGGATCCGGGGTAGAGTGTGATATCTGAAGAAGGGGGCGTGTTATGCCCGAGGAATCGGTTGAGCCCTCGGCAAAAGTCGTCTTCCTAGCGTGGTTGACTCAGAATGGATCGAGTCAGAAAGACGTGGGGCTGCATAAAGACGCGCATCCATCAACAGCTCGCAAACGCCTCTCTCGACGGGCATAAAACTCATACGCCAAGCGGTGGACTCTGAAAGTAGCCCAGCATATATGCACCTTGTGGACCTGATTTCGATTAGCCCAAGTCGTCTTCTGCATGTTGATGTCGCATTAGGAACGCGAACGTGGCGACCTCTCTGCCAATAATGCTGCTGATAAGGGTGTTTTCGGCCTGCTTAGAACGAAATAGAACGTCCTTTGATGACTTCAAGGTATTTTTTCTTGACGGTTGCATTGCCGTATCTGTAGGACCCTTTACTCTCCATGTACTCGGCAACCTGCTTCCAAGGTACCTTATTCGCAAACTGGCCTATGGCCACGGCATCGGAACCGAACTCCAAAAGTGGGTTACCCGTGGTCGACTTGGAGCAATGAGCAACGCCCTCAAGAAGTAAATCAACCTACAAATGCAGTCAGTTAGCGCATCATTCGCCAAGGTGTTGGGAGAAGACTCACCTCTCGCGGGCCCCATTCCGGCTTCCTCAATCTCGCTTCCCTCGGCTTCGTCAAGGCTCTGTAACGACCACGCAGAGTCGATTCAGCCTCGTCGAAACCGCCAGACTCTTTGATCTGCTTGTATGACATTCCTTGTTCTTTGCACCGCACCAAGTACTCGTCTTTGGAGGTGTCTCTGATAGCATTTCTTGTCAGGAGTGGCCTCTTGCCAGTGGACGTTGCCGAGGAGCTGCGTACGGCTCTTCCCTGTGCTTCTGTGTCCCACAGGCCTAACGACCGGCATCTTTCTAGGTCAACATACGAGTGTGTTTCCTCCATCAGAGGCCCGGTTCGCAGATAGGGGTTATTGGTTGGGAAAAGAGGATTCATCGAGAGTTCTGGCGGTCCTGTCATGAGTATCGTCCCGTCAGGGGGAGGTGGGTATGATGACAACGCGGTGTTGATGCTGATTTGCTCGGGAGCGATACAGTCAGTCCCCAGCTCGAATAGATCGAAGTCACAACTGAGGGTGGGCGACAGAAAGTCGGCAGAGGACAGTTCTGGTGCTCCGGATATGCCTGCCGCGTTATGACCAACCGTCCAAGGTGATTGTCCAGTCCAGGAGGGCGTGGCAGGTGCCAGGAAGGTATTTGGCGAGGTCACGGTGTCGAAAAGGGCATCCCCATCGGGTCTAAACACATCAAATGCTGGGTTGTTGGCATCTTCTGGCATCACACCGTAGTTGAATACATCCTGGCATTGAGGGTCTGGCGTGATCCATGGGTTGACGTTGCTCGTGGCAAGGGAGGGAATACTTCCATTGTTAATTCCAAGATAAGAGACTGGCAATGGCGATGCTGGCAAATCCTGTTTCTGTACTGTAGGTGCCGGCAGCATTGTACGACTCCTCTCATAAGACTGGTACGGGGGTATGTCCTTCTGGGAGGGAACGGACAGCGCACCTGAAAATGATACTGGCTCAAAAGGCGCTGTGTTTCTGCCCCTCATATGATGTGGTAGACTTGAGCCATTGCCTCCACTTTCTGGAAAAGCGCATTCGGCATTGAGGGACTGATACCAAGCTGGCTGTCCAGTGTACTGTTCGGCAGACGAATCATGGTTCTGATACAGTGGTGGATGCATTGTAGGTGAGACGATCGTCGTTGGCTTTTGGGGGTCAGGATAGAAAGAATTGCCGTTGGACGTCGTATGCGATACCAAATAGCGCGCAGTAAGAGAGTGATAGGAGTACTCTGTGTCAGCTGCCACTGGGTAGTGTCGAGTTGCAGCAACAGTGAAGGTGTTCGGGGAAGCCGGTGCAAATCTGTGACATGAACCGCAATGACTCTGTTCGCAGCGCTGTGCATTTTCACCGTTGTCAGTTCCAGAATACTGGCAGTCATACTTTGTCCCTGACATATTTCCTGCGTCAGCCTCACAAGAAGATATTGCCCCTTAAAGGTGACCATATTGGGGCCATGAATGACTTGCACATCGAGGTCACGATTGCTTGAGCGCGCACCCTGCGTTTTCATTCCGAGTCATTGGCCGGTACAATCAGCTGTCCTGCCTGGTCACTCATAAACGAGTCTACTCTGTTCGCTTTTGCAAACAAAGGCATGCCGCGGCTTCTATAGCAAATGCGGAATTCCAAAGAGAAGGCCGGATGCGCCTGTTCTGAAAGTGCACACTGACCGGCACACCATACTTGAGGAGAGCTGACCAGCTTTTTTGGGCCGAGCTTTTGATGCATTGGTGCGTCATCATGTGAGAGCCTCTGCGGGACATCGAATAGAAGAAGCTGTGGCACCTTGCCCTGCAATAGCTGGGTCAATGAGCCGAGAAATTCATCGGAAAAAAAGAAATGATCGCATGAGTGGCCCTTCCGTTCGGACGAGCTCAAGGCACGCTTCAAACAATTTACCTGCGACTGACCAACTGTCTTCATCCCAGTCCCAAGTGCTTCCCGAAAGTCCAAAAATAGGGAGCAGCACATGATGGACACCGAAGCTGCTTGTTTGAACAAACGCTTGAACACCAAGACGGTCCCGAGGTGGCAGTGCTTCGAAGTACTCGTTCTAGCTGCCAAAACTGTAAGGACGGAAAACATAACAGGTAGCTCTGAGGGTGCTCAACCCGTTGTATCTCAGTGCTTCGAATTGAATCCGAAAGAGCAGCCGCAGAGATATCAATCCCTGTGAGCTACACAGGATAAGCGTGATCGGAGGGTGCACAGATGTAGGCCTTTCGTCCCAATGAGGCGCTGAGCCGACGACATGCCGCACGGAACGCCTGGCAAGAATGTTAGCAAACATCAGGTACATTGTGTGACTGTAACGCGATCGCTGGTTGCAATCTCATATCCATGCGACAATCTGGTATGCTTTTCTTTCCTACTGTCCCGGAGCGCTCTTTGGCTTCAATGCCTGAGCAAACAACCAACTGCGCGCTTGCAATGGTTAGGAAATGCTGCAGGGCCTGTATTGGACATGTAATTCAGGAAGTAAGTAGTCGGTCGCAGGGCAGGCTCTCACATCTTTTGATACTGAAGGGCCAGGACTGCGGAGCTCATAGGCTGGACTAATGCAGCGGGACGGAGACGGGTTGCCATTTGAGATTTCTTGGTCGAGATTCTGACAGGTTATCCAAACCCTCCAGTATGGTTCGACAGGGCCATAAAACGTGGCCAACGTGCGATGTGTCGCATTCGCGACAAGTTGCGCAACCAGAAAACCCGACGCTCTCTTTCAGCCTCCCCCTTATAACTGAGATCCAGCAAACGTCAACACAGCCAAGGGACATCATAGTGGCCCGTCAGTATTCCGGGTGGAGAGCAAAGGACACCGGCTGAGGTGTCATCGATTGTCACACGGAGGGGACAGCCCCAGCTCAGTTGAACAAGAGGTAACATGAATCGTTCGAGCGGTGGCAGAGCGTGATAGCATTGCCTTCTAACAATGCCAGAAACAGTACCTTAGCGAGGTACCGGGCAGCCTCGTCGAAGAGACTAGAAGCATTTGTAGTGAGTCTGGGGACACCAGTAGGAGGTCACCCCTAGTTGTCGAAGCAGCAATTCAGCTGCAGACAAGGTCGAGTAGGCAGTCGACGTTCGAGTCGCGTCCCTCTTTCAGTTGCAGCTAGAGCTGAAGCTCGACATAGTGTCCAAGTTCAACTACATAATACCTGTAGGTACCTACGGTACGGGTTCACGTTGTCGACTTTGGACTTCAGGTTCCGCCAAGGCATGTCGCCGCTAAACCCAAAATAGACCGGGATAATTTTTATCCGGAGGTCGAACTTCCGCTTCGAGCTCAATAATCAATATATACAAAAAGCATAACCACCGCAGCCACGGCTTGTCTGCTCGATCGTAACCAGTGCATGAGAGTCTTCTTCCTGGTGGGTGATCGTTCATTTCATGATTCATCCCACCCGCTCTATATGGTTGCCTGAGTACCTCGTCTACTACAAGAGCTATTGGTGATTTGAGCCAAAGTTGCCCCGTCAAAAGGCTACGAAATGCCCGAAGCCGACACCATGCTGGGTCTTTCAAAGCCTCTGCGGAAGCTCGTTGTCGACAAGTTTAGCACTGCCTGCAAACACAATAACGTGCAGTTCTCAGAAACCAGAGTGGCGCTACTTCGAAGTCAAGGGGCAGCCCCTGTAAGTGCCTTTGCTCTTGTTTTTCGCAATCCTCGCATTAGATTGACTTACACGCATCAAGTTTCAATTAAGATATTGTCCAGCGCTGGCCAAAAAGACCAAAGAGGATAAAGGCGACGCCAGCTCGAAGGAGTCCTCCAAATCAAGATTTGATCCCTTTGCTGATCCAGCCGAAGAATTGCTGGTTGCCAATATCCCTGGCGGCAACGCGTCTCATATACTGGTTTTGAACAAGTTTCCCGTTATTCCTAACCATTTCATCATTGCCACCAAGGCAAACAAACCACAGACCGCTCTCCTGGAAGAAGACGACATCGGGCTAACCTACGCCTGTCTACGGGCGTGGAAGGACCAGAATCAGGAACAGGCACCCTCGCGTCTGTTTGCCTTTTTCAACTCTGGAGAGCATAGCGGCGCAAGTCAACCGCATCGCCACCTTCAGTTTCTTCCTGTGGAGGATATGTCAAGTCCACAAGCTCCTGGCTGGGATTTGCTCCTGGACCGCATGACGAAGCCTGCGCATCCTACATTACCTCTCTTCCGAGACCCTTCGCTACCCTTTTTGCATTTCTCGACTCCGCTTGAGGGAACGCCATCCTCGGCAAGCTTGCACTCCAAGTACATGTTGCTGCTGAAGGCTGCACTGTCTGCTGCACTGCTTCCAGGAAAGTCTCTCGAACAAGATATCGAAGTTGAAAGAGACGGTCTGGCAGTGTTCAGTTACAACCTAGCAATGACCACTGAGAGAATGGCCATTTGCCCGAGAAGAAGAGAGTCCGTTGCCATCCCTGGGGCTGGACCTGCCAGCTCTGTCGCCCCAAATGGCACAATACTTGGTGGTACTTTGATGGTGAAATTTGAAGCGGAATGGGACATTCTCCAGCAAGATCACTCAATCTTGGACGGCATGCTTACCACTATTGGTTTTACGCCCATTTCATGGTAGACCCTTCAGTGGTTTCGACTTTCCGACGAGATAGGCCCAACTCTGCATCGACAGCCATCAGGTCAGAAGCCTGGATCACAGTTACCTGTAACGAGAGTGAGCACGATGTTCTGCAGCTGCAAGGTTGCACCCCCAGCGACAGATTTCCTGGACAGATGTGATGTTACAGACTCTGTGGCCACTCAGCCCAGCGCGGGAAATGGGCTTGGCCTGCTCACTCTACACCCGCTGAAGTTCACTCCCCCAGCAAATAAGCCGTTGTGGCGGGCTGAAAGATCCGACAATGCCAATGAGAGCGTTCCACGGTTCGCTCGAAAATGCTACGTATTGCTTTCAAAAGTACAGCTCAGTACAACTGAACGGTCTTTGGAGGTGTTATGACCCGAGCCTGGACGATGACCATAGTATTCTACGCCAAAGGACAAAACGTTCTGGTACATCAGAGGGGGTTGACGTCAGATAACTTTGGTGGTGGACAAGGTTTGCGTTAGCGACCTCGACATGCTGCCGCGCGACTCTCTACTGCTGAAAGTCCGCTTGACGAAAGCTTCGCGTTGTCAAATTTTGAATCGTTGCAGTAGCGCCAAGCACTGCACGCATATGCAGTCGTCACTGGGAGTTGGACTTGACGAACGAAACGAGTTAGTAAAGGCGCTGGTGTGTGTCTCGTCAAGGGCGATTACCCGAGGAGAGCACCATAAAAACTCCCAGCACGACCAGCATTGACCGGTTCGTAAATGCACAGCTGTCCAGGTCAAGACACATCAGGTGGATGCAAAGAGCATCGCAAGCGACCCAAACGCCGTGGGAGATGTCGACCAGAACCAATGGGCGGGCCCTTGTTGCTCGTACACTGTAGCACTCGTTGGCGAGAATCGTGAGTACCAGCGCATTGGGAAAGCAGCACTCCAACATCCCGCTTCCGCTAGGTTGGGCAGGGTCCTTAAGAGTAAATACGCTGCTTGTAATTGGCGGCAATCGCTACTAGCGAACCGTCGAGCTGGCTACAGGCATCTCCGGTATCGATGGCTGAAGCACTGCAGGGCAGTCAGACACGCAACGATGCCAGGCGGCCGGTTGAGGGAGGCCAGGGCAGCAATGGCGCCCGATTCAGTTCAAGGTTGAGAAGCGGGCGGAGATGGCAGAGTCCAGACTTCGAACTCTCGCTTAAAACGCAAGCCACAGCTCTCAATCCGGCATGGCCGCATTTCAAGAAGCCCAGAGAGGTTAGTGACGGGATACGAGACAGAAGAAACAGGAAGGTTGAGGGGCTTCCCTTTTTACAAGCACAGAAATGACCCGACGAGGCTGATGGCAGTGGCCGGGGAGTTTTACAGTACCATCCCAAGGGAACTCTGCAGGCGGGCAATCTCGACCGTGTCGCCCTGCCCCCGTTTCAATCCCTCTCGACCCCCTTCCGTCATGCCCATGTGGGTGTCGGGCGCGGCGCTCTCGCTACCTGGCCGCGTGTATCCTTTTAGTATGCGCCCAAAACGCCCAGCTCGTTACCGGTACCCAAAATGTCCCTTCCTTGGCCGTTTACGCAACAGTCCTTAGTAAAGCCCCTGTTGATGCCGCAGCTCACAAGCTTCAACCCTCCATCCCGGCCGTCGGGTCGGTCTAGGCCTTCTCCTGTAAACAAGGGAAAAGTCATGAGCAACGCCATAGTGGACCAGCACATACATCTCCGAGAACACCATTGAGTACCAAACGTTATGTACCAGTTGTTTCTGTCCATTGGCCCTATGCATGCACAGCGCGTTGGGTTATAGTGACCTAAGTTAAACTAGACTGGAGCAGAGAGGTCTTTAGCAATGCCTTTGGTTGGCACGATGTTCCTCCATCTAGACCTGAGGCTGCACGGACACCGCTGCATGGTCCTGAAATTTGATCACTTGGTCGCCCGCTGGCAAGGGTGCATGCCGGGAGAGAAACGGTGCAGGGGCAGAAGTTGAGCGGTCTGGGAGGGGTTCCTTGCTATATGGCAAATCCCGCCGCAGGATCGACCAGCACCAGACCGCTGCCAGAAGGGAGAAAAACCATCAGATGCATAGCCCAACCCTGTGGTACGGACCACCATGGGTCTGGCAAGCAGGGCTAGGAGACCCTAGCTGTATACAACTTGTGATACCAAGAAAAAGCAACAAGCTCACATGCTCGACTACCTCCAGACCGACAACAGACATGCTCCTGCACTAGGCTTTCTCAAATGAGCACAGGGGACCAGTATATTGGGGCATCTCATGTGAGAGGCAGTTGATTGTTTCCCAAGGCCTCGCAGAAAAACTGGGCTTGATGGCGATCGGTTGCACGCGCCATACTCGGGGACCCCAAATGCTGATTCCTCTGCAGCCTTACAATGAGGCTCAGGCCTGCTTACGGATATCCGAGGAGATGTAATTACCACTGTTACGATGAAGAAGGCTAGCCGGAGATCAAGGGTTAAATCAGTATGCAGCACAACACCTCAGACGATTGGAACGAAAAACTGGGTCGGTAACAATCTTGCTGCGATGGAAAAAAGGTTGCATGTGTGTTTGCGGTACAGTTCTGGGGAGGCCTGGGAGGGTTGGTGAGGGGTCGTTCGTACAGTAAGCACGCTTAGCCCTGCTAAAGACAAAAGTCTGGAATGGTCTAACTCAAAGGCGATAGGATAGGCGACTTATGACGGATGAGAGGCACAAGGGGAGTCGCTTGTGCAGGAATAGGCACTACGGGGCAATGAAACCCCCCATTGCTCACATGGTACCAGCAATCGAAAGAGGGCGTCAAGCTGCTGACTACTAGAGTCGATAAGTGACCAGGGGTCGTCCAGTTACGGCCGCGACCTGGTCCGCTACCAACAGGCAATGTCCTTTTGGCAGCAGAGTTTACGAGAATGAGGAGCTGCCAATAGGAGGAGCAGGAGCTGGGAGGAGACAACAACATGCTAACCCCTTTTCAAGTTATTCGGATCCCACGCCAGCAAGCCCCTACCAAACTACAACAACTTCTTGAAAGCTTTTTGGCAGCCACCGCAGCTTTCGAATGACTTGTGCTGTGATTGTTTTTCCTGTCGTGGACTCTCGGAACACCGGTCCCTTGTGCGAGTGCATGGACCTGATGGATACCCTTTCCACTGGGGCATGATGGGCCACTTGTCACGGTGAGTACCGAGGCGTGTCGCTGGAAATGTCAGACGGGCCGTGAATATCTAACCGAGAGGCACATGCCACCACGACGCAACCACTGGCAGGTCGCCAAAGTCAATGGCTAGTAGTGACTAAGTCAACTCATGCCATGTCATGTCAGCCTGCAGTGCTAATCAACTGAAGAGTGAAGGGGAACGGTTCTGCTTCATGTCTTGGGCACGGATAAATGAAGAAGAGCACATGCAATAATAAACGAGAGGGAAAGTAAGTGGTAGTGCAGTCCAGTCCTCAAATCTTACAGTCCCTCTGGAGCCGAGCCAGACAATTGAAATTCGGTGGTTTCTGCAACGTTCCTGGGTCTGCAGCGGTGAGCAGTAATCCTGGCGAAGTCTCCTTGAGCCCCAATTGACCTCATCATGTCGTCAAGCGATAGCGAAGGTAACATCATTGCCAGTGACGGGCTCAGTCACTACGACTGTGTGCATCATAAGATGATGACCGCTATCCCGGGCAAAGTATGGCTCGCAGGGCCCATAGCGAGTGACAGGCCACAGCCTCACTCTGGCCCACAAAGGCGGTCAAAAAATAGTGGCAGACTCCGCCCATACGTGGCTCAGGCGTTCAATGACCAATAGAATCAGACCAGACAGTGGCTTGTGCCTCCATCCTGGCCGCTCCGAAGCTCGGCTGCCAATGACAGCCGCTTGTTGGGTTGTCCACGTTTTTGGTACCCTGAATCCGGCGTTGGTCTGACCGCATCTGCACGATGGCGCCAATTGCATCGGCTTCGCCTACAGAGAAACGGTATTACCGCTAGGCACTGCTAGCGGCTGCTAGTGCGCCACTTGGCGGCGATTAGGCCCACGCCAACCGGCTTTGGATTTGCGCTAAGCCCGCCCGGAGATGGTCCAACTTGAACTTTCCCAAGAACCAAGCTGCAGCAAAAGAACCAATAAACCAAACCAAGCAAACGACGGGCTGAAGATCGCTCGAACAGGCAGTCGGAGCAATTCGTGCCAATTCTCATTCTGCGCACCACTCAAAGAGTGACCTGATCCCTGTCACATCCGAAGTCACTCTTCCCAAACCAGCATCTCCAGCCTGAGTGCCCCTCTGTCATCCACCCACTGCAGTGCACCACGGGTGTCAAACGAGATTCAACTGTCTGGGTGCTGCGACTGGGGACGATGCGATCACCCCCGGCTGCTGACAGCTATGCCAAGTGGTCGCCGATAGCTTTTGGGACTTCAGGTTCACCATGAGAACCATTGCTACCTACCTAACCGATGCTTCGTCATGCCGCTTGAAGTTTGCCGACGGCGGCTACTACTGTTACCTTGGGAAAGTGGTCAGAAAAGAGTCTCGATATGAATAGCACAATGGAATATTGGGAGTGCCAATAGGAAGATGGTGGACTATTGCTGCATAGCCAGGCAATGCATGCTGCAGATTGCAGGCCATCTACAGAGACAGTGGCTTTGGCATCTTATCCCCGCTGTGGAAAGAGTGTGTTCGTACTGCATATTGTTCTACGCCCCTACGAGCGATATTCGACCAGACACGAGTCACCTCGATCGACTCGTACGTTGGCAGCCCAGAGAACTTTTCCGGCATGTTCCTCTAGACAACTGCTGAACTATCATACCGCCCTTGCACCGCGGACTTGCTGTTGAGAGAACCGGAACTGTTGTGACTAACGCCGCAACTGGCGCCTTGACTGGCTTGTCTTTGTCCCTCAGGCTCAGACTCAGGCCTCCCCGAAAGCTAGTTTCACTAGCACATGCATTAGCTGTCACATCGACACTTTCTCCTACTGGGCGGGGTATTTGACGATACAGCCACCACCACTACACCCCGAAGAAACGCTACGTTGACCCGTCCCCCTGCTTCCCTGGCACCAGTGACCAGTTGCATCTCATACTGGAGCCCCTGCTCGTATCATTGCACAGACCCTGGTGAGCCAAAAAGTATAGGGCTGTGGTGGGCTCCTCCTTTGGCACTGAGCGACAGGGCAGGCTCCATTCGGTAAGATCCATCCGTCTGGCTTTGATCCAGACGAGTATATCTGATGATTTCGCCCCCTCAGTCATCCAGCCTGAGATCAACTTTCAGGTTCGGGACACCACTTGCACGTAAGCAAGTCTATCCAAACATCGACTACGGCATTGTGTCATCAAAGACCATCAACATCATCCGCTACCAAGAGCCTTCTGTTATAAGACTCCCAACGGCCTGCCGCCCGTCCCTTCGGCTTCCTCCCCCTTCCGCCGCCGGTACCGTTACCCCTTCCAGTATTGATCGACATATCTTCAGCAAGCCTCCCGGATATCTCTTTGTTTCCAATACGCCTCATCTTCCCCTTGTATGGCTCTAGGCCCTGAGCCTTCCCATTGACAAACTTGACGCGGTCGCAACAGACCTAGAACACGCACCTCGTCACAGCTGACCCGTTCCACGCAAGGCCAGGAAAGTTGTTGACACTGCGCATTTTCAGCCTGACCATCCACTCCCATTGTTGAAACAACAGCCGGAGCAGACATATTACTCGACATATTCAGCGTCGTCCTTGATTCCGTCTCAAGTCCTCGCATTGCTTCCATCTTATGCTTTGCCCTTGACTTGAGCCGTACACCCCACTGCTCACGATGCTTGCTTTTGAGCATTCGAATCGTCAACGATTTGCGGAATCGGTGTATGACAGCGAGAACGGCATCCGTTCGCAAGCGCCTTTTTCTCGTTCAACAATGGAGGCTTACAACGTGATCGACCCCCTACTCAACTTTCACCCTCTTCCATACCCATTCTTCGAGAACTCGACCCTGTTCCCTAGCGCACCAATGCAAACGACAAAGGACGACATGTTCCAGATTCGTGAATTACCCCCATCTCTGGTCTCATCAGACTCGATTCCATCAATCGCCAGTGCCTCATCCTCCACCATGGGGTCTCCTTACTCAGAGCCTTTGCACACCTTCTCTTCTCAGGATGGATACGACCATGGCTCATCATACGGGCTTGGGGCCATGCCATGCATTGTCCATCAAGAAAGCTTCCAGCAGGATTTGCTGGGAGAATCAATGGAGGCCGAGCTGTCTCTGGGGAGCGATCGAAACCTCGACGACAAGGTGTCGGTGGACAGCAGCTTTGTGGGTAAGTCTGCGCCTCTGTGTCTTCTTTGTCCAGCGCCTGCGTCAGCGACTATTATTGCACAATCCACTCCCAATCCCGATCTGGACGACTGCCTCCACTTGGGCGCTCCCGTCGTGCCAGTCAGAATGCGACGTGGACACCTTTAGCCGAGGGTTTGCCCATCCCTGCCCGTTCCGAACCCGGGTGACCCACTGTACCCAGTTATCACGTCCCCTCCGGCTCTCCGGGTCTGTCCTCCCACTGCCCACTGGCCCAGCACCCCTCTGCCACTATTGACCACAATAATATGCACCCTGCCACCAGGCCTGAAATCACCCACAACACCTTGCAAGCACGTTCAAGATATTTTTTTCCCTATCGCTTCTCCGTCAATGCATCCATTGAACCCCCTTCCCCCAACTGCAACCACATGGTGTCCATTGGACCCGGTGATACTCCAGGTCAAGCACCTGTCACTCCCTTTCAACCGCATTTCTTTGCCCGAAATAGCGATGATTTCGTCCCATCGGTTGCATCATCCTGTTCGTAACTACCAGGACGGCCACCTTGAACACAATTTCACTTCTCCTCTTCCTGCTTGCCTACCCCGTCTCGTCATCCACGTTGCTTTGTTGTTGGTCTCACTGACACCCTGGTCGCAGACCCTGCTTTGATCCAAACTTCGCGATCCTATGCGGATCCATTGTTCCGTCCGCAAGGACTCTATCCATCTGGCATGCAAGGGTTCTCCAACATATCGCCGTCAGGTTCCCCAGCTCCCTCGCCGCAGGCTTATGGATTTTATCGCACCAACCAGTTCGCCGACTCTTTCCCTGACAACAACAACTACTACCCACAACCCGGCTTCCTGAACCGAAGGCCGTCCCTTGTATCTTATGACTCCAACCTATCGCACTCCAGCCCCTCGTCCGAACCCGATGGCGAGGGTCGAGAGAAAGGACGTTGCCCACATCCTGACTGCGGCAAAGTTTTCAAGGATTTGAAAGCACATATGCTTACTCATCAGGCTGAACGGCCCGAGAAATGTCCCATCGTGACATGTGAGTACAACCAAAAGGGCTTCGCTCGAAAGTATGACAAGAACCGACATACCTTGACCCATTACAAGGGTACCATGGTATGCGGATTTTGTCCTGGGTCTGGCACTCCCGCCGAGAAGAGCTTCAACCGCGCCGACGTTTTCAAGCGACATTTGACTTCAGTGCACGGTGTCGAGCAGACAGCCCCGAACAGCCGGAAACGTAGTCCCACCTCCAGCACTCGAAAATTGGCCAGCTACTGCCCGGATGCCACCGGCAAATGCTCGACTTGTTCAGCCACCTTCAACAACGCGCAAGACTTTTATGAGCATCTTGATGACTGTGTCTTGCGCGTGGTGCAGCAGGAGGAACCTAGTGAAGCCATCAACGCACAGCATTTGGGTAATGTCGATGGTGACGCAGATGTGCAGGAGACTTTGGATCGCCACATGTTGAAAGCGGAGGATGTCTCGACCTCTTTTGAGGATGAGGAGGACGACGAGGATGATGAAGACGACGACGACAACGATGAGGAGGACGATGACCCATCATTCACCCGCCGTTCCGGTAAGGGTGCCATTAAATCCAACAAGCCTGCGGTTACATCCCGCCGCACAGTTCTCAACGGCGGTGTGTCCAAGTCCAGCAAGGCAAGCAAGAAAGGCATGACCTGGTCAAGAGGTGGTGTTGCTCTTCTCGGCAAGGGCCGCAAGAAGAGAAAGCATTATCCACCATCCTGGGGCATGCCTGCAGAGAAGATGCGGATGAAGAAGCGTGTGCTGTGTATTTATGACGGCCCCCGTCGGCTATGGAAGGACGACATGATGCTGCACAATGAATTCGAGGTTCGCATCCCACTACCCGACGGCAAGAGCTACGTCACCGATCTGGACGTGGAGACACTCAAGAGAGCCGAAGCTTTCCATAATGCTTCTCCAGAGGAAAAGGGTCCCTGGGTGTCGCGGGCCGAAGAGGCTGGGCAGTCGATTGACTTGAATGCGTTGATGGCTTGAATTTTTCTTCTCTCTTCATGATGCTATTGCTTTTGAGTCTGCCGTCGGCTTAGCGTGGTTTGCCTTTGGGAACAGGGCTGACTGATTTTGGATGTTTTGGGCTGGTGGTTACGTATGGCGAACAGCTCTTCTACCGTTGGGTCTGTATGGATTGATGGATCATGTCTTGGATCAAGCGGAAGGCGATGTCATGGAACGAGCTGGGCAATGTGAGATTGAATACCTTCCCAGTTCGGAATTCTTGATGGGAGGAAACGAAACTTGTGGAACCAGACCACCCCTTGGAAGAAAACAGACGGGCAGAGCCAGGACGAGAGGGAAAAGTGCCTAGGTTTTGGATATGGACTCTCAGAAAGGACTGCAAGCGATCGATACCCGACAGTGACTGGTCTCCTTGATGGAGGAAAAAGCTGTGCTTGTGTATGTATGATAGAACTCCACACACAGGGGGTACATGAAGCGCTGTGCGCTCGAATAATGAACATCTTAATGTGGACAATAGTTGTTGGTCACGGTTGACGGCTCACTCACTGTTTGTACCTGGACGGCGCGGCTTCTCAGACTAGATTCTAAACTACATTATTTATGGATGTCTGTTCGCCCTGTCTTGTGCTGGCTTGTACAGTTTGGCCGTTGGCCTTTTGGCACAAAGAGGATGGAGATCAAGGGGTACAGAAGGTGAGAGCGACTCCGGGGGATGGGGATGGGGGGTGCCGGTGGCGGTGGGATAGAACTGAGATCCAACAACGGTGCAGCATTGCGTCAACTGCAGCATATTCCGCTTTAGCACTACGGTGGTGGATACGGCACGTCAACGGCAGTAGTGACGATCGCAACCTGCGACTGATCGATCGCTTTTTGGAGGCACCGATTCACTCACTAAGCACAACTAACAACCACTCCGACTCTCTGCCCACTGACTTTGTTTACCACCACCACCAACCGCGACAATATTTCCTCTGCACCTGTCTCCCTTCTGTAGCATTCTCCCAGTCTTTACAGCATCCCACTCTCAGACTCACCGAAATCATCTGTCTGAACACAGCGTGGGACCTACTTGATCTCTCCTCTGGTACCAACTCCCCACAGAGAGCGGCTTCCTTGCCGCGCAGGCAAGGCCACTGTTTTCCAATATGGCAGACGAGGACCTTTCATCGGAACACCCCACCTACGGTGTGGAGGTACATGGTAAGCCTACTTCTTCGCGATATTGCGATCTAATGAATGTCGTACGGAGGAGCGCCTGCTAACTTCTTGCGTCGCATCTACAGAGACTCCTAATTTCGACCTGCCTTCCTACATTGCAAACTACAAGGGTATGCCACAAGGTTAATACTGTAAGGGTCACATATGCTCACCGTACATCTCATTTCAGGTCGGACTGTCTTCCGCAGACTTCACCTCATTGCCTCGTGTTCTATCCCGTTGCAAGAAGAAGCCGCTCGGATGGCGGTCGCGGAGGCCAAGAAGGGCAGCGATGTTCGAAATTACCACGAAGCAGTGGCACTGTTGAAGAAGGCATCTAGGGGCAAAAATGTGGACAATCTCGTGGATCCCGTCTGGGCTGCACAGCAGGAAAAGAGAAATGCGGCCGAAACCGCCCGTCTGGAGAACGAACTCAAGGGGTACAAGAACAACCTCATCAAAGAGAGTATACGTGTGAGTCTGCAAGCGCTCTACCCGAGGGTGCATTTGTACTGACAATCTGGCGCAGATGGGAAATGAAGACCTGGGCAACCACTACTACACCATCGGCGATCTTAACAACGCAGTCAAAGCATACTCACGCATGCGGGATTACTGTACCACAGCAGCGCACATTGCATCGACAGCATTTAGGATTGTGGCTGTGGCTATTGAACAGAAGAACTGGCTGGCCGTCCAGTCTCAAGTGCACAAGATCCGCAACCTGCAGATGAAACCGGAAGACATGGCCCGAAACCAGCCCAAAATCTACGCAGCCATGGGTCTGCAGCAGATGTCAGTCGGTGATTACCACAATGCTGCCATCAGCTTCCTCAACACGGAAGCCAGCTTGGGAGACAGCTACAGTGAGGTCATCACCAGCAACGATGTCGCCGTCTACGGCGGTCTTTGTGCTTTGGCTTCCATGACACGCTCGGAACTCCAGTCTCAGGTGTTGGACAATGCCAATTTCCGCAACTTTCTTGAGCTCGAACCTCACATCCGCCGCGCCATCAAGTCCTTCTGTGCAGGCAAATACAATCAATGCCTCGACATTCTCGAGTCCTACCGCCCCGACTATCTCTTGGACATCTATCTGCAACCCTTGCTCGCCGACATCTACAAGAAAATCCGCACCAAGAGCATGATCCAGTACTTCGAACCCTTCAGCAAAGTGACCTTGGCCAACATGGAAAAAATGTTTGGTAGTCCGATCAATCCGCAAGCATTTCAGGGTGTCGACAATGATGCAGGCTCAGCAGCAACGGCTGGCCCACAGAGTTTCCTGGACGAAATCATTGCCCTGATTGAGGAAGGAAAACTTGATGCGCGCATTGATCTCGAGCATGGCACTCTAGATGCTGTGCAACATGACCTCCGTGCTGAAGCCCAACGGGCTGCTCTTGACATGGTCAAGAGATTCGAACGCGAGGCTCATCAGAAGCTACTCAGACTGCAAGTCATCAATGCCGGTATCGAGGTCAAGCTTCCGCCTTCCAAGAAGAAACCGACCTGGGATGGGGACTCGGTGGACGGTGGTGGTGGTGCTTCGTTTGACGATGGTGCTAGAGACATCATCGCCAGTAATTCGCAGGGTTCAAGCCGTCGAGGCGGTGGTTAGTTTGGACTGGTCTGATTGCGGGCACAACAAACTAGTCGTCTCAGCTCGGCTTAGCGATTGGGCCGCCTGAAAGGTTCACTTCTTCGGGGCTAGACTAGGGAATACTTTCGGGGCAAACCTTGATGAATGATTGAATGCCGATAACGAACGACATTAAGGATGACGAATCATCAAAAGAATCAACGTCACACAGCATGGCGGGCTGGAAGGAAGCGTGTTTGATAACTTAGCATTGAGTGTACGGAGTACGGAGAACAAGGGCGAGAGCCAGAGCCCTGGCGAAAGAGAGCCAGAAGAGGGCAATGCGCAATTCGACTGCGAATGCTGGCGGCAACTAGCATAGCCTAATTAGACACCGAATGCCCATGTTCAAAAAAGGATCATGGCCATTACTTGAAACGATTCCAAACTGCGAGTAGATCTATTGTACTCAGCCTGCTTGCATCAGAAAAGAATATTTCGGATGAATCGGGCAAGTACTTATGCTCGATCTGTTATGTTCTTGACTGCGGCAGGCTGCGGTGGGGTCACAAGGCAAGGCTGCGCACCCCCTTTTTATTCTCCCTTCCTGTCTCCACGTCTGCTCTGGACTGGACTATTCGAACTGTTCAACACTAAGGTAATATATCCTTAGTAGTCTGCTTCGCACGAAATGATTCGGATTCGGGATAGGAGTAGCATGCCTGTCTGTTCTGGTCTTTGTGTCTGTTGTCTTGTGCTTGAATATAGATACTAGTAGAGACTCAGCCTTGTCTCCTGCGTGCACAGCCTTGTCGCATCTCGTCTCGCCAAGGCTAATTCGCTATATAGGTTCACTTCACTGTCTAGAAGTCGTCGCCCAATAGCAATTAGATACTAGTACTAGTAGACAGTGAATACTCCTGTCTGTCGCACCGCATACAGATATCTAAAGACAATAACAAAATCATCAACAAACCCAAAAACAGAAACAGAAGAGAAGTGACGCGACACTGTATCAACAACAGTCGATCATGATTCTTCTGTTCCCTATGCCAGTGCAGTCTCCTTTCCTCTTGCTCCCTCTTCTCTTCTTTGACGACCAGGACCAGCGCTTTTCTTTGATCGAAATAATCGTCGCAGTCGTTACAGTGGCTCGGCTCTCTGCGCTTCTTCTCCTCCCTAGGCTGGCTGGTTGACTTGCCCATCTATCCTCTCTTCCTCCCTTAAGACGACAACGACAACAGCGACACTGAACACACTGCGACAAGATTAAGTCACCGATCTATCTCTCTGGCTCCCTTGTGACAACGACAATAGCGACACTGGTTCTCTGTCCTAATCTGCTTTGCTCTGCTATAAGGACAACAGCACCCAATCTTTTGGTAAGTACCTACTCACCCACCTACCTGCTTCCCTACCCGATCTTGGAATATTGTTCAGCAGCCGATCTGACTTGACTCTCCACCGCCAGTTCTCGAGAGACACAATCCCTTCCTCCTCTGAACACTAAGTTGCGACGAGTGGTCTTCAAACCTTCCTCTTCTCTTCCTTTCTTCTCTTGGTCTTGTCTGTCTGTCGCCGCGCAGTACAGCACACTTGCTCGTAAGTAACTTACCTACTCTCCAGCCCTCCTTTGAAGAACCCCCATCATTGTACCAATTCGAGAAGAAGAAGCTAATATATTCCCTGGTGTTCATCAGCAGTCACCCAGAGATCGACAGGCCAACCGATCTTGCTTATCCTTTGCATTGTCGGCAGTCACAACTAACTCAACGAATACTCTTCCATTGTGACGATTCAGAGACCTACCTTCACCTCCGTTGAGAAGAACACGCAAGCAAGGACACAGACAAGAACCACCGCCTCTTACCTCATCAAGAAGAAAACAAGCAACAACACAAACAACAAACAACAACCACCACCACCACCATCTCCTCCTCCTTTGTCTTTTCTCAACCATGCCTCCACCAAACGAGACCCCCACCAACCCTAACCGGCGCCACATCCAATGGGATGAACTACCAACAATCGACGGCTTATTCCCCTCTGAACGCCGTATTCTTGACCGTCCCCCACCACACATTTACGACATGATGCGTGAAGTGACGATGCGAGTGCAGAGAGACGACCGTATGACGCCCGAAGTCCAGCATTCAGTCCAACGTCTCGTTACAGCAGTCGAAGGTCACGTGGAAGCACACCCAAGCCCTGTAGGCCGCAGTCTTCCAATTTCAGTCACTCGACGTCGGGGCATTCGAGAAGAGGAAATTGGTGCTGGGACCGTGGTCTTTGGAGCGAGGCCGTTATCACGGACTGTGTACCGTGAGATCAGAGCGAGTTTGTCCTTGAGACCTGGGGCGACTCGACATGGATTGGGGTTGTTTTCTGTGGTTGATACCTTTGTTGACACTAACACTGTCACCAACACTGGTGCCAGCGTTGTTGGTGGCGTTGGTGGTGGCACAGTCAGTGTCACTGCTGGCAGCGTTGCCAGTGGCACCACTCCTGCTTATTTAAGGGACACAACAGCCTCAACTTCTCCGTCCTCCTCTCCTTCTCCTTCTCCCCTTCTCCACCGCCACGGCCAAAGGTTTGGCCGCCGTGAATTCCTCTTGTCTCTAGAGACAAAGAGGTCGGGCCGGCGCACACGACATTATGTCGTGCTGCCAGACGCCCAATTCACGGTGGCCATGACTTGGCACCGTGGTAGCCGGCGTGTGGCGGTGGAGATCCGCGATTTTTGGGAGAGGGAGGGCCACAGGCACCATGTGTTCCTGGTCGCGCATAAGGATGTATTTTTGCCCTGTCCTGGCTCGTCTTGTGAGCGTTTGGTATCTGCCGAAGAGGCAATTCGGCGTTGGGTCGGCGAGGAGGTTGCATTGGGACCAGTTGAGTTGTAGATAGGATTCCTACACCTCGTGGTGAATTCGGTAGTTGGCCGGGGCACTCGGTACCATCTGGTGTTCTTGTATGAGAGGAAAAGACAGTGAATCCATGGTTGACTTCATCCTTACCTTGTCGCACGCCTGTTAAATATTGCTTGTGAGTACAGCGCCTGCTGGAAGGAAAGACAGAAATAGCAGACGTCGGCTTTTAAGAGTCCGCTAGGTGTAATGGATAGACCTTTGTTAGCAATAGAGGGCGCTGGGAGTATATCGCAACAGAAGTGGTTTCGAGGAATATTGGACGATGGGGAATATAGTGTAAATCTTGGTTAAGGATAGGGGACACACTAGATCCAAGAAGATTAGAATAAAATATAGTCGTAGGGAGGGTATTGGGCATAATAAGCTTGAGTAAAGTTGGGAAGAGGGGGAACTGCTGATGCAACATCAAAAAAGAGGATCTTAATATTCAGGAGGTTATTGGAGGTGATAGATCGGAGATGCGCTCCAGACTCAAAATAAGGTGACCCAATATATGCGTAGAGTCGACCGGGACTCTAATTAGGTTAGCAAGAATATTATTATAAAGGAGTATTTTATACTTACCTCCCTTGACTACCCTCACACACGTAAAAGCTTGGCTTCGTACTTGCCGCCAGGAAGCCCATCCAAGACAACGGGCCCCGGCCTGCCAGATGACACCTGAGTCCTCTTTACAAGAGACTGGTCCCCAATTCTTGTTGCCATGACGTGACCTTCGTGGCCAGCTTCAGGTTGAAACACCACACTGCCAGATGTCCCTGGTGGGGTTTCGAACATCACACTCACACCTCCACCTTCTAGAGCAGTGACGTTTGACGAGAAGCTACCCAATGGAGTTTCGAAACCAGCTTCAGCGTTCTGCAAACCTCCAAGCTGAGGAGCTATTTTCCATGTCTTGCCTGCTTCGCTGAGCACTTGAAGCCCGGCGGCGTAGAAAGTCAGGGCGCTCGTTGGCCCTGTAGCCCAGCCATGAGCATGGGAAATGCGTGGGTCATTGGTATATGGTGCATAATGTAAGTCACCATTGGTGGAATATCCTTCGATAAAGGTACTGTTGGTCATACGAGGGTCATCAAGCATGAAATCTCCCCACATGAATTGCATCAGCTTCACAGCATTGCCAGCCTGACCAGCGATATAGTGCGCTTGTATCTCAAAGCCTGAGATGAACGGTGACACTGTCGCACCAGCTTCAGGCGCGGGGGCACCATACTTGCCCCAGCGTGATGCTAGGGCGGTCGAAATGTTGACGTTCTGCGCAGATGATAGAGTCAAGTTCGACAGGATGGCCCATGCGTTACCGTCTTGCGGGTGTAGATCTGTAAGCGGCGTTGTGTCGTTATCGCGATATAGGTTGGCTGAAGCATCCCATAGCTGAGCATTGGCTGCTTTCTTGATCCCAGCCGCGTAGCTTGACCAGGCGGCCACTGTCGTGTCGTTCATGATCGCGGCGAGGCTGATTCCCAGGTTCAAGGTGTGGTACAATATCGCGTTGGCTTCAATGTTGTGTGCACCCATCCCGAACCGTAGCCAGTCTGCTGACGAAGTCACATTGGCCATTCCCGAACTATCAATAAAACTTGCCGAGTACTTGAGGCCGAATTTGAACTTGTCCCAATTCGCGGACAAGTACGACCAATTGCCTGTATACAGGTAGTGGTCGTAGATACCGATTAGCGAGTATAAGTGATAAGTAAAACTCCAAACGGGTAATTTCTGACCGAATGGGACTCCAGCATAGGGCAAGGCGCCTGTCGAGCTGTTTTGTAACTCCAGAAGCGAGTCCAACGAATTTTTCACCGTGGTCAAATCGTTGGTCGAGACGAAGATCGATGGTACTGCGATTGACATGTCTCCCGGCCATACAAGCCGGTCACGCTTGGCTCCATCAACCAGGACGCTTTCCCCTGCCGAAATAGTGTAGTTCAGGTACCACGGCAAGGGAGTCGTTACTGTGTCGTTTGATGCGACGCTGCCCAAATATATCAAGGAGTCTCCAGCTTTTGGGTCAATCGTGCAGAGTTCATTGGTGTACGCTCCAGCATACCAAACTCTGTTGAGTTGCTCATCGCTGCTGTGAAAATAGCCGGTGTAGTTCTGTAACGATGTTTCTGACTTCTGAGGTATGGCTGTGAAGTAAATGGTGAGGTTGCTGACAGTTACCTCCCCGCTAGTATTATGGTAGACATTCAGATAACGAAATGCTCCGCGTTGATGTTCATGTGATGCTTGTTGACGACCACTGCCAGCAGCCAAAGGAAACCAGAGCGCCTCGTCAATGCCGGCATCAGCTGTTGCATCACAGCCATCGCTGTTGATCCATAAGGAACTTTCAGTAAAGCTGATCCCGATAAACCCTCCTTGAGCACCAGAGCTTGTATTGTAGTCGAAGGAGACGATTCCTGCGATGTTCTTGCCGAAGTCATATGTCACTGCTGACTGACCCACGAAGGTGGCTGAGCCGCCTGTCTTCACCAACGCTGCTGCATCCTGAACTGTGCCATTGACATTATACACCGTGGTTGGGTACAGCGTCCTTGAGGAAGGAGTCACTATGTATTCCGAGTAAGGGATGGCTAAGACATGACCGGCCAGGACTGCCATCAAACGCAATGAATAGAACATGGTGAGCATCAGTATCCTTGGAGTACCTGTCGTTGCCCGTCCAGCTCCTGCTATGGTACTTACCTCAACTACTGAGGCAAGTTTTATATCGGCTTTTGGGACTGACGAGGAAACGACCGGGCGGACAGGCTCACTTCGATACAACTAGGGCCGAACATTGTCATAGCAGGTGCCGCCTTCACATACCTTCAACCCCAGGACTCCACAGTTGCGGGGGATAATGCAGGGATTAGGTGGAGAATGCTATTGCCTATTGTGGCAGGTGTGAGGTATGATAGCTGGTAAACATCGAGCGACGGAACCTGGGGACGCCCACTGATTATGGATGACCATTCGGGTGACACTCTCATGCAGAAACATTCTTGACTTTCTCGTCGAGTGCGGAGGCCTGTCCTGGTCAATGTTGCTGATTCGGGGAAGTTCACGCCGCACACCGGGTCTTTTAAGAGCGAGTGTCAGGTTGTGAGCAGATGTTCATCTCGAATGCAAATTGTCCTGGATGGTTGGAAGGGCCGAGATGGCTTAGGTCGTTCCGGAAGGCCCGCGAGGCTGCGCTTTCGTGCCCCCAAGCCATAAAGCTGCACAATCAAGCATCAATACTGCGTTGAAAGCAGCCATGATGTAGAAGGGACCGGCTAAAGACACCTTGTCAAATAGAAGACCACCCCCTTTGGTCAATATCAAAATTGCGGCACCCCCGTAGAATGAGTATACACCAGCAACAGAACCCTTGACGGTGGACAAAGACACGTCTTTGGCTGGCTGTCCCACCGAATCCAGAAGTGGCTGATTCTCTGTTGCAGCAACATCGTTGTCACCGGCAATCCCCTCTGGAGGCCCAGCTGGGCCGGGTTCTTTCCGAAGAATTGCACTGCTCAAAGTGCCCAAGGAGCACACAATTGCTCCAATCTGGCTGAAGCCAATCAAGGAAACGGAGAGGAAGGCTGCAATACGGCGAGCTGTGTTCTCGCCATCGGGATCGAATAAATTGGGGAACAGCGGATACCCGATTAATCCAGCGATTGAGGAGCAAAGAAGAGGAATTTCCTTTCTTGAAGCTCTTGCTGACCAATAACCAAATAGGGGAGCGGCAACAAGAGCCACCATTTCTGAAGTCCCTGTCAACTCCGCTGCGACAATATATGCGCGCGGACACTTTCTTTTAATGTCTGGAAGACCCGCAGGGCCTCCCTCGGAGATATTGTCTGTGCATAGGCCGGAGGACATGAACATGGCATTGACCAGGAGTGGAATAAAGAGTGAGATACCAACGGACGAAGCACGAGCCACAAATCCCCCTAGGTAACCCAGCGCTATCTCAGGACGTTTGAAACCATTGGAAATAGCTTTAACGAAGTTGTCGAACATGTCACGCAGATACCTTCGAAGCACTGGCATGCTTAGCTCAGGCCGAGGGCTCGGGTGGCCTGATCCATGTTCCTTGGATGTCTCCTGAAGATGCCGGAGACCAATGAAGCACCAGACGGCCAAGATGAATGCTATGAAGGCCACAATGTAAAAGCTGTACTTCAGAGAGTCCTTCATCCCGACTCCAGCATATTGAAACTTGGCCGGGAGGGGAAGGAACACCATCAGGGCGATGAGAGCACCGCAACCAGTAAACATTCCGACGAAACCAGCGATTTGATTCGTTGAGCGGGAAATGTCTGGCTCAGGCTTTGTGGTACTAGGAGGACTGCGACGTCTGCGTGGTTGAGACATGAATGTTGCAGGTGTGATCGTCAGTTCCGAGGCAATGGAAGGGCTTGAAGCGTGTCCAGCGCCGCCATCAGCGTGGCCATCTCTCGTCAAACCGGGGTCAGTCAGCTCGTTGGAAGTGCCTGCAGCAACGGCGGGAAGGATAGCCGTCACCATCGTGGATGCCGCCGCACCTCCAAGACTGAACAGGAGTCTCGTGAGTAGCAGCTGAGGGTACACATTGTGCGCCTGAACAAATAACGCCAATGCTAGACATATGATCAGATATCCGCAAACACAGACCTGGAAGCCGTCAGTAGAGTGGTCTAGACAGTGGTCCGCATAGAGGTCTCACAAAACGCAGACCCATATAATCGGACAGAACGCCCCAGATCGGACATGCGAACATCGCGACCAGCTCGTCAGCGAATCCCAAACTGCCAACGGCATCTCCGACGCCATGGCCCCGGCCGATGATATCTGTGATCACAAACGAGACCGTTGAGTTCAGGAAGACCAGGAAAGCGATCGAAAACGGGCAGACCCCTAGCAGGTATGTAGCCAATTGAGACTTCGTAGCTGCAAACATATTGAACGGGGCCAACAAAGTCCTGCTCCGGTTGATAATTCGGTTCTCCTACGAAGTCCACGTGCTGTCCAAACGCATGTTGTGAGATGCTCCAACGACGCCTGAGGGTTTGACAGAGTGGTAGAACAGGAGTCGTTGTTGTCATGACTGCATTGATGTTGAGGATGAGAGGCTCCATACCGTTTTTGGTTAGCTCCGGACGCAGCCGTGTGCAACTTGGGATTTGTACTATAGCGGCAAGGATAAGTCCCAACGAAGTATAGCCTGATATCGGCAACGTTTCCTTTTGTTCTCTGGCTGCTGGGCGGATTTGTCTCATTTACTCAGTTGTCAAACCTTGCAAACATCTCTCACTCACGTCTCGCGTCGCAAGGCTGCCTGTCTTGCCTCTACTTCTTTGATTTCCAGGTTCTATCTTGAACCCAGCTGCGTCAGGGCAGGCCCCTGCGCTCAGCAGGCTCGGCTGCCTGCTAACCATTCTATCATGGCAGACACAGATTATGCCGATGATGTCCACTTTGCGGGCTTGGTGCAAGCCGCGACAGCTGCGGCAGACGAACAGACTAGGAGTCCAACGTTACTTGGGAAAAGGAAACGAACGGAGAGCATCACTGCACACACGTCGACATTGCCAGATCGCAAAATCAGTGATGCATCCCCCGAGATCACATCCCCTCAGCTGCAGAGTTCAGCATCTGTTCTCTTCCGAGAGCCATCTTCGAAGAGCAGGAAATACAGCAGGCCTCCTCTAGGCAAGGTCTTTGCATCTTTGGAGCTGGCTCCAGAGAATTTCCTCCGACTCCAAACCGCTGCCAAAGCCTTCATGCTCGACGAAGCCCACCCTGAACGTCGAGACGTTGTGGGTCATAAAAAAGTCACTGGCGGCACCGACGTGGCTAAGCTGAAACTGTGGAATTGTGTTGAAGAGTTTCTTGCAGTGCACGGATATGGTGAGAAATACTTCGGTCCAGGGGCAGGAGAAGGGATTCCTGGTGCCCCTCCTAGGACTTTAATATGGCCCCAAGACAGTCAAACAATCATCAAACTGATGATGCCACTGATGCGCAAGATGGTCACGAATGAGCGCCAGCGAGTCTACGCTGCTGCGACCAGAAGACAATGCTCTAACAAAGAGAACAAGGATGATCAGTCATTACCAGCAACACCAGCAGACGACTCTCTAACTTCACACGTCGACACGCATGAAACAGCCTTGTCAACTAATGGTCATCAAACCACTTCTCCTGATCCTGTCGAGCAGCATCCATCCACGGTATCTGCGAGTGAACCTCAACCTACAACACCTTTTAAGCAATCAATCGTTCTTTACGTCAACGTGGTCTCGAATACTGGTGGTGCTCTGAGGCGAGTAATACCACGATTTACGTTGACACCTGAGGCCGCTCCGAGTCTTTCCAGCCTCGTCGCCGAAGTGGAGAAGAAGTACAAGAAACCGCAGCAAGACAAAAGCCCGGATAGTGCATCTCGCCCAGTGGTGAAAGTCTGGCTGCCTGATGGCCTGGTGACGGTGACGGAAGATGGGGAATGGATGGTTGCTTTGCTGAGTGCTGGTGTTGTTGACTGGATGGATGGAGAGGTCAGGGTTCTTGTTGAAGTATGAATAGCCATTCCACAGTCGCCTGCTCGACGTTTACCATAGTACCAGGTAGACATGCAGACTACTATCAGCTTGGAAAGGATGGTCAGTGAGCTCAATTCTTTGATGAGACATCTCAGCGATGATCCTACAACCTCGTCCACTCATGATGCGACACAACAGTAGGTAATGATAGAAAGGCGCCGCCAAACACGAAAGGTAGTCTGCGCGACTTTCCGCATTGGTGCATATGGGAGACGATCAGCATAACGGCTGATTAAACCTGCTCCTGGGACCTCTCAGTCCTGGGAACGTTTGTGGGCTTGATCGACGCTTGGATCTGGGTCTGGAGAACCCCCAGTTCACGACTGGCTGAGTGCTCGCTTATTGCCGAATTTTGGCTTTGGAGCCCTGTTCTGCTGGCGTTGCCGGCTTCAGAGTCTATCTGAATTCGGAATGGGATTGAATTGCTGGACTGTATTTGGCAAAAGCGGTGTTGAGAGAAGAAGTGTGTGCCGCTCCTCGACATCCAGTCGCGACCTAGTAGCGTCTTCCAGGGCGATGGGTTGCCCCAAGTTGACGCTGTACTCAGCCAGCCAACGCACAGACATGGTTACTCGGAGTTGAACTACCAACCATCACCAATAGCTTTTTACGTACTTTTACTCCGACCCTAGCATGAGATGTGGTGTTGCCCTGAAGCATCCCCTCTGCCGTCCTAGGGACATCGCTTGTAGAGTCGGGAACTTTCACTCTGCCTGCGAAGGCTTCAGAGTCGTCTCTGAAGTTTCGTAGCTGTGGATTGAAGTGATCCTTTTTGTTCAGGGTTCCCATCAAAAAGGTTGGAGAACAAGGTTCAACAGTACCACTGTACATCCATGATGCTTCTGCTGGGGGATGCCCCACTTATCTCCATAGATCTGTAGCTGCCAGGGGGATTCTTTTCTCAAGGAGAGAGCGCTTAGGGTGGTCGTCTTTGTGAACAGTGGTAGCCTTGAGATGACAGCTCGAACCCTGGCAACAAGCTACCCCCATCGACGGCCGATCGGCGTTGGACGGTGCATTAGCTGGCCTCAAGTCGTTGGTAGCTTGAGAGGCGTCAACTAGAGGCAGTGTTACGTCGACCTAAGTGCCACAGAGCCACAAGTCTGGCATGGCCAAAGGGCGACGGCACCGTCAGAGGACATCGCAGGCGGAAACAGTAATGAGCGACGATAGAAAAGTGTGGTCGCTCCGGCGGCCGCCTCCAGCTTGAGCCTGAGCACATCAAGGGATCGAGTTGTGCTTTGACGCGTCCTGATTGTGGATGCCGGGGGGCACAACAGCTGGCGTCGGGGGATCATGAAGAAATGGAAGAGCTCGAAGGGGTCGACCTGCGTCAACCCTGCGGTCGGACATTGAGTCTCAACGGTCAGTGGTCAAGGATGGCGGGCGGATCTACAATGCGGACTTTGGATTCGGAACGATCGGGGGTCGGGCATAACCTTGACAGGCACTTACAGGAAACCTGACGTGACGATGCCTGTCGACCGCTTGAACTGGGCGCTGAGATGGCTGCGATGGCGTTGAGATGGTGTTGAGATGCTACAGGCACCTGCTTCTGACTGGACGCCACCGGACATCGCCCTGTCCTCCGACACTCCAGCTTCATCCATTATCGTCATGATTCCGCTTTGGTCCTTGGGCAAACAATCAATCCGGCGCCTGCAGGGTGCAGGATGTAGGCCCTGGACGACGATGGCTTGCGTCCGTGGGAGATTTCGCAGCTGCCCCAATACGAACCTATTTCCTCAAGCAGTTCATTCCTGACCTACCCATGAACGCTGGTACCAGTGCTCGACTGTCGTCAGACAGGGTTCTCTGTCTTCCTGTCCATCCTTGCTGACGATCTAGCTAGCCCCCTGCTCAACGCTCCTTACCTGGTGCTGTCATTCATTCAAGGTTGGGTTCTGAAGTTTACATTGAACGCGCCGCCTGCGCAACCCTTACAACTGCATAAACTGGGGTCGAGGCCCTCGTCGTTCCAGTCATCGACCGGCCGTTGCACAGAAAAAAAAAAGTCCGGTCGAGCTCAAGGAGCTTCAATATTGTGATTCCCTCCTTCATCTTGCCCTTTACTCCCGCCTGCTGTTCTCGCTGTAGGGATGAAACATACCACCCAGAGACAGAACATATAGCACCAAAGCGTGAGCGATGGGACATTCAACTCCAGCAAATATGAGACGCATTCAAGGTCGAGTGACTCGCGACGACATCAGGTCAGCTGGTCTGAGAAGATGGGATGGTCGAGCAAGAGTCACTACCGACTGGGTTAACCTCTTCCATGTGAGTACCAAGACACAATTTGAAGGCTAAAGCTCATTGTGTCTCACAAGAACCTGAACTCTGTTGGCCCACGGGCGACTGTCTGGTTTACTTGCGAGAGCCTGGCCAGTCGAGCCGAGGTCCTGCCTTCCGAGTCCATACCGCATTTCTCAAAGTAAGGGGATTCGACTCTCTCCTCGACCGCTGCGTGACCAGGAATTCGGTCCACGCAACTGCTCAATGTGTTCTTCCAAACTGTCCGGGATGCGATCCTCATCAAGCGCTGTGTGAGCTGTACATTCCAGCACCTCACGGCGCCGGGCTCGAGGAAATCTTCGACCATCATATCATTACTCGGAATTTCTTTGCCTGGCTCTACAACCGACCACTGACGGGTAGGGCCTTGGGAAGGGCCTTGGTATATTTGAAAGCGAGGATTGATGTGTACCGCCCCGGCGATAGCACACAAAATACCCTGGAAGTCGTGTCATATGCGGAGAATCAGAGATACCTTGACTTCAGAGAGTGTGTTGACCATGCTCTTGCAGCCCTTTTCCTGGCGGAGACGCTCCACATCGAGGACCTATGGGTGGATTCGTTCGCCCATTGTGTGGGTATGAGCCATCGAGGCCTACGCTCAAGCATTGAATACCCGGTAGGTTTTGACCTCTGCCGCAAGTGGTTAATAGCCAACTGACCAATTTGCAGCTGGTGAGCACCAAGTCCAAGGGACTGATCAATCGAGCTCGTCAAGAGATGGACCTTCGGCTGGGTCGAGTACATCAGTCGGTCGCCGACTTTTTCGAAACTGAAGTGACCTGCAGTTTCCTAGAGCTTCCGCAACCAGCCAGGGACCATCTGATCAAGTTCCGCTCGTTTCTCAAGCAATTCTACGTTGACAAGTACGGCTGCTGGCCGCCTAACGACCTCGAGGATGAAGCCCTCCAGCAGGTAATATATTCCACTGTCTTCAGTGAATTCGAGATCCTCTATCAATACCTGGTTGATGCTGGTTCGTCCACTGGGTTGGGCGAGAGCGACATTGCTCAGTCTGGTGGAATATGCATCCATCAAGTCATCCAGGTATTTGACACGAAGCACAACCACGAGCCGGTTGCCCACCCGCTTCCTCTTCTACCAAAAGCCAGGCAGTCCAGTGCCAGTCAGCGGCAGCCACTCCAAAGACGAATGTCTTGGAATCCAATTCAAAAGCGTAAAGCAGATAAGGAAGCCCGGAAGGTGCAAGACAAGCAGGCTTTGATATCAGCAACCAACCGAGACTCGCTGGTGACGGATTGCTCTTTGGTGCACAAGTTTTCGGAATTCGAGGAAAGGACGGTTGATGATGACCTGGAGGGTCTTTCGCTAGTCGAAGGCCGAAAGGTCCGATGGCTCTTGATCTATGCTATTCTGCAGACCTTTCACGCCATAGCACAGCCGCCCCAACAGGTTCGTAACACCGCGAATCTCACCTATTCTCTGTGCTGCCAGCCACCGAAACGAATGCCATGGCAGCTCGCAGCAATCCCGAATGTGCGGAGCATCCGGAGAACCCCAAGCGAGCTGATCCCCGATACAAGTTATTCTCATACGAACATACTCCAGTCTTCTTCCACTGGTGAGAACACGGCGGCAAGATCAAAAACAGTCAAAGCACGACGCCGAACCACTCTTCCTGCCCATCTACCAGGCTCGTTTGTGGGGTCCATAACCAGCAAGACGACGACGACTCCCACTTCTCCATCATCTTCAGTTCGGAGGTTGATGTCCCTGCGTCCTCATTCTTTTGTCAATGAGATGCCACCGAAGCGGGCTCCCTTCTGCGAGATCTTTGTCGAGGGCTACGGCAACGGGCTGAATGAAGTCAACCAAGACAAATCCATCCCGGCCGCGGCCATGGCGTCTACGGCAGAATCAGAGACAACGGTGACTGACCATGTCGTCGATGATGATCGCAATAATAACGAACCGCACGAACTCCTTGGGGAGTCTTTACACGAGCTTCCATCCAATGAAATTGTGAGCACAGCTATGTCATCGCCTTCGGGTGGCTCGGCGTCAGTGTCACTGTCAGTGTCCCGAGAATCATCCACATCGTCCACCAGTAGTAGCAGCAAATGGTCCAAGACCAGCGATCGGAGTGACTGTGACGACCTTGATCCGATGACACCTGCAAGTGATGTGGTATGTACACTCAGAGAAGTCTTGCAGATGAAGAAGCCTGGTGCAGGGGGAACCAATCAGGCATCATCTCTGCCGGATGGAGCAGTCGGGGATGCTGCCGCCGTGGACTCGTGTCATGACGACCCGATGCAGATGCCATCAGTCCATTTCAATACCCAGACTTGGGATCGCATCCTCGGACAAATACCGGTGAGTGCATCTGCATCTGCAGTAGGGCCGCCAGTCCCCACATCTGTGGTTTCGCCAGTAGTAGCAGGAGCTTGAAGGATCTTCATTCGTGATCGAAAAGCACAAATTATATGTGATACGGCAGTACACATCAGAAGTTGAAGAAAGCCGGGAACATCAGGCCCGAAGACGGCGGTTCTCATCGAGAGCCGAGGGCAGCGGTGATAACGACGTGCAGATAGCCTTGTTGTCTACTGGACACACTCCTTTATTTAGTGCCAGCGCCACAGCGTACACGATTAGCGAAAAGGCGCATTTTCCAAGTCGGGAGGACATGAATTTATATTAATTGGTATAATCTCTCCTTTTGGTTTCCTTTGACTTCTTCTCTGTGGCCATAGTCCTATTCTCAGAGTCAAGAGCGTACCCGGGTTTGTGTCCTAACAAAGTTCGATTTAGATGAAGACCACATGGGTAACCATGAAGTATACATCTACTCAGTCTAGACTAAGTTGTTACACTACATTCATCATTTAGGATGATAGGTGCTGGATCGGGTCGTATTTTGGCAAGGCCGACTTTCAACGCATTTATTGTCCGTTTCTTCGGAAGGGTTTATGTAAATTTATCAACCCCCTTGTGTCCTTTTCCGCCACGCATCATCCAAATCACACTGACGAACCTCATACGCCCAATGATGACAAGTCTGATGTATGACGGGACTCACTTTTCGGTCGTTCTCGTCATCGTCGTCCCCATCATCAAAAACACTCCTGACACCCAAGTCGACATATTTTTTCAGTAACATACGTCTCCACCGGCCGCGGGGACCTACACATCGAATCCACCGACCGACCTGCCTATCATCCTCATTATCACCGTCACCGTCACCGTCACCGTCACCGTCACCGTCATCGTCGTCGTCGTCGTCGCCTCCGCCGCCGCCGCAACGCCTCCCCAGCCAAAAACGAATATACCACTCAAACCAGCCCCTCGGATCATAGTCAAAATTGATCCAGCCGGCATCCTCCCACTGGGACAAAGACTGGCCGCACGCCACGCCGAATTTGTTTAGACTGGCGTCGTACGTGGGGGATGTGATGTACTTTGTGGCCGGGCGTAATTGGTCCAGCCATGACGGAGGTAGTGTTCTCAGGTAGTCGTCCTGTAAAGTCAAGTTGAGAGTGCGGCTGTGCCAGGGCGAGAAGTAGCTGCCTCCAAAGGCGCCTTCGAGTAAAATGTCCAAGGGGGATTTGTTGGGTCGGAAATCGGGGTGAGATGAGAAATGGTAGGTTCCGTCGGATAGTAGTATGGGTTCGGGGGCGGTGGGGGGCCAGGAATTGTGGGTGTCTAGAAGGGCTGATAGGGATAGGGATGGTGATGGGATGGGGTGGGAGTGCTGCTGGTAAGATTGGGATTGTAAACGGGAGCTGGTTTTGGGTTTGGTGGTTCGTCGTGATTTGGGCCTGTGGATATCACCAGGATTTGGTCCCTCGGATTCGGACTCGTGCTCTTCGCCATAGTTGATTCTGCTGGCTGCCGCTGCTGCTATTCTTGCAGAAGCCCTCACTGGGCCCGCCGTCACGGTGGGCCTCCCACTGCCAGTGCGTGCATTCAGTCGCCGCTTTTTGGCCGCCGGCCTAGTTGTCTTGGTGGTGTTGTCATGTCTGGTAGGTTGCGAGAAGTTGGGCAGGTTAAGCTCTTCTAGGAGTTTTTGCTTCTGTTGCAGGTTCTGGAGCCGTTGTGCTTCGATGTCGAGGATTGCGGACATGGGTGCTTCGCATTAACAGCTGGGGGCCGTGATGTGGACGAGGCTGAGAAATCAAGGGGCGACAGCGATGAATGGATCGTGATTAGGACCTAGTGTTTCCTGTTGAACCCTTGCAGGGTTTTTAGCACTTCTTGTTTAGAGTTGAGAATGACCAGTGAGCTAGTAGTGCTTTGGATAATTCAATGTTTTCCTGAGAGTTTAGTTTGTCGCCGCCGTTCAAGTTGGACATTCCAGACTGTCATCTCGCCGCGTCTCAAACATCGAAGTCCGGTTGATTGAATTTCAAAGTGACGTCAACAACTTTTTGCGTTGGCAGTTGACATAAATGACTCTGTGACGGACCCATCCAGGTACCACTACTACATGGTATGCCTGCTTTAGATAAATGAAATGGTGACGGACTCCGTGTCTTCTGGGGAAGTAGTGTAGTGGATGATCTGCAGATTGATCATGACAAGGATCGTGGATCTGGGGGTTTGTACCCACCGCCTCAAGTGGTACAGGTATGCACAGACTTGAAGTCGATGATGCCCGCGATATGACCGAGTTGGCATTTTGACAACCTCGAGGTATCTACCTTAGGTTGCTCCTGGTGTAGCGCTCATTGAAGCCGGCGATTTAAATGCGAGAATGCTTCTCTATACCAAGGTTCAGTGCTACCAGAAAGTACGGTTGCTAGTCCAGGGCTTGCCAGCTCCATCGGCGGGTATACTATTGCCAATGAAGTATAACATTCGAACTGTTTGCGCATGAAGAGTCAGGGGCCTAGTGATTCGTTCGTGTCCATCCTCTGCATTCCCGTTCTGTGGGCAGCGGCCGCGCTGCTTCATGGTTACCACTAGTCGTCGTCTATTTGTAGTTCATGTTGGGATTTCCCCAGAGATTCAAGTTCACCTCGACCCCTGCCTGGGTCCTACTACCCGCTGTCAGACGAGGGACTAAAAGTACCGCTATCGCAACTTGAACGACTCACTGGCATGCCAGCTTAGAGCTTCGCTCGTCCGAGTTCAATGCCGACCGCCAACCTCGAGCTCCAGTCGTGAGCCTCGCAGTCCGCACTCGCTGTAGATCAAGGCGCCTTGACGTCCGTCCTGTGCCGCCTTCAGAATTTCCCCAGCACCGGGAACCTAGGGGTCTCCTAGCCCTGCTCGAACCGGTCGAAGTGGACATGACTGCTACTACATCGATCACGAACGAACCTCCAGTCCTTTCCACGGCCCCGCAGCCACCTCACGATGCACACGAGCGACTATCCGCCCCGGCGTGGAGGGCTTCCCCTGAGCGCGACTCTTCCGACCCCTCTATAACGTACTCGACGGAAGAACTGCTGCGCGCGTCTCAGCAGGAACGCGACATGCCTGCCGGCACGCTGGCGTCGCTCAAGGGCCTCGGACTCGATGATGGGACACCTAAAGAACTGCCCCGACTACAAACCAATGGGTTGCTGGACAATGGACAGTTGGGGAACGGTGACCGACTGGAGCCGGTGCTTGACGACGATCCCGCCTCCTTCAACCTTGTGTCTCCGCCGCCGGCGGCGGGCTACCACGACGATACGTTCTCGTTGGAAAAACAGACCCAGGCTCTCTTCTCGAGAGGTCATCTACAAGTCATCTTTGCAGACCCAACATTTCTCTTCCGATTCACGTCCTTCCTCGGCGTCCACCGACCGCAGTCCGTGCCCATCCTCGTCCACTACCTCGATTCTCTCAAGTCGTTGCGCGCCATCCACTACGCGAATGCCATTTGTGAAGGGCTTGACCCTGTCGAGGGACTCGACTTCACCCAGAAACCCATCAAGCCGACCATCAACACGTCGTTGGAAGAGAGGGCGTACAAGGCTTTTGACGTCCTGGTGAACGAGGAACTGCCGGCATATATCACACACCAATATATCCAGATTGTCAGTGCTAGCATAACCGCTCGAGTGACGGGATCTCTGTCGCAGGAACTGCGTGAAGCCTCCGATGGACTGGCGGAAGTGTTTTGTCTGACGGACCCGGCCAGGCACGACAATCCCATTGTCTTTGCATCAGAAGGTTCGCCTGGCCCGAGGGAGTATCTTACGATATAGACACAAAGCTAATGGTTGGCAGAATTCAACCGTACAACCCAGTATGGGCTATCATATGTTCTTGGGCGAAATTGCAGGTTTCTGCAGGGGCCCATGACCAACCCTCATAGTGTCCGCCGGCTAAAGGAGGCAATCCAGGCGGGGAAACAGCACCAAGAGGTGTTGCTAAATTAGTAGGTGTCATGACAGATGTCCTATTTTGATATTGTTTCTCTGACAGAAAACAGCCGACGAGATGGCTCGCCATTCGTGAACCTGCTCATGGTTGCGCCTTTGGCCGACACTCGGGGAGTGGTGCGGTATTACATTGGAGCCCAAGTCGATGTCAGTGGGCTGGTCAAGGATTGCACAGAGATGGAATCCCTTCAGAGGTTGCTCGAGCTACGCGCACGCGGCGAAGACCCGCCTTTACCTGAACGGCCTTCTCCCGAGAAGAACGACGAGTTGAGGGAATTGAGTGAGATGCTCAACCAGGGGGAGCTGGACACTATCCGGCGGCACGGCGGGAAAATGCATCGAGAAGTGACGGAGGAAGAAGACCTAGAAAGCGTTTCGTCGCATCAACCACGGTTGCTACTGAAGGATCCAGAGACACTGGCGCCGCCGTCCCTTGGACACATCAATGGCCGGCTCAGTGGCATTTACCAACATGTAAGTCTTGTGGAGTGCTTATATACGATGCAAAACCAACTGATTGACTCTCGCCTGCAGTATATGCTGGTAAGACCGTATCCTTCGCTACGGATCCTGTTCGCCAGCCCTTCGCAGAGACTACCGGGCGTCTTGCAGTCGCCGTTCCTCAACAAGATTGGCGGCTCCAACCGCGTGCGCGAGGAGTTACGGGCGGCGTTTGCTGAAGGAAGAGGAGTCACGGCGAAAGTACGCTGGATCACCCGCAGCGACGACCAGGGCAAGAACAAGTGGATTCACTGTACCCCTCTCGTAGGTGCCGGTGGTCAAATCGGTGTGTGGATGGTGGTCATCGTCGATGACGACAGCCATGAAAAGGCCGGGAACGGGAGATGGCCTCCTGCGGGTGGTCGATTGCCTCCCACGGTGGCCACGCCGGAGCCAGAGCGGAGTCGTACTCCCGCCGGTAGTGTCCAACATCGCGGGCCACCTTCCAGTCACGTTGGTCCCAGCGGCGGCGACATCAATGGCGCCATGTACGGCCGGAACAGTGGTGGCAGTTTGCTGAGCGGCAGCGGCAACGGCAGCGTAAACAGCTTCAGAATTGGATAAAGGTGGAAGGAAGATGTTGCTCTTGACGTTGCTGCCGATGTTTAAGAGTGATCGAATCTGTTTCATGTGAAAAGCAGGCTAGCTATCTTCAAGTTGTACCTTTTGAGCGCTGGGCGTATATGGGGTGGAAACTGCTTGACATACTGTCCTTTCAGCTGAATATAAAATCTTTATGGTCGTACATGCAGTACATACCAGACCTACCTACCTACCTACCTACCTACCTGACCTGGTACATAGCGAGGTATTCCTTGCCTCTAGCGAGAAGGACTCATTATTGTGCCGACCATTTCACTAGTGGAGGCGAGTCTCGACGCAAAGGGGCCGTAGGTACAGTACTGTTGGTACCTTGGTACAGCACGTATAATGTACTTCCATTGGAAATGCCACCGGGTCAATGCTATTTACAGGGGATGGGCGACCACTGACAGTTTCATTAGTCGGCACTTCATATGATGGTGACGGTGACGGTGATAGTGGTGATGATAATGAGCGTCCATAGGTGAAGAGCATGTTACTATTCCTGTGCTGGAGCAGCATAAGCGAACCCTAGGAGGGTATACCAGGACCAGGACCAGGACCAGTACCGGGTGTATTGCAAATCAGGGGATCCCTAAACAACCCAAGGGGCCAGATGTTGCAACGATCCGGGGCAAATAAGATGCGGATTTCGTCCACACTGCAACCAACACTGCAAATCGGGAACCATTGCTAACATTTGCTTTTATTGTTATTATTGTTATTGTGGGCTGAATTATTTATTCTACTACCTACCTAGGTAGGTATCCTGTTATGCTGCTCCGACTGTCGTCGTCAGCCTCTATGTCTCGAACCCCCTGTCCATCCTTTCTCTTTGCAATTGTTGTGGTCTCCACCGCCTACAGTATAAGCGGAGACAGTTATGCTTGTCGCAGACTGACTCTATCTCGTTACAGTATGCCTACTGTAGTTGACCTAGTAAAGGATGATCAGGGTTTCCTTCGGCTTAGAGACGCCTAAAAATGACTGGGGCGACAATAACAAGACACTCAGGTACCACAACATTGTACCCAGCTGACTTGATTGACTAAAACTCGTCAACAAGTGAGCGGTGCGTGCACAGAGTTGCCGCTCGACTCGCAATCATCAGTTGTGATGGAATTCGTCAACCGCCAAAGACGTGCATTATTGAGCTGCGTGCGTGGCCCTGCGCTGCAATCCATGTTTCATCGACGACGACTGTGGATCTCAATGTGGAACTGATGGGCGCTCGCTTTCAACGCACCCGCAACCCGTTTACTGTTTGCTCGGTACTATTCGTTTGTTCGTTCGTGTGTTCGTTCGTCTGTTGCAGTCTGCAGTCCAGTCCACTGCAGCCGGGACCAGGGATGAGGATCATGCTTTTTATTAGCCTCAGCTCGACTCATCAGCTTTTTTCCGGCATGCGAGGATGACAAGGCCTCCTACGTACATACATACCTAATAGGTACCACCTAACACGTTCGTTATTCGCCATTATTGTTATTGTTTGTTGCTGCGCCCGTGGCCACCACTGCACTGCATTGCATGTTGCATTTCATGGCTTCGGATTAATTCAAAAAGTCTCATTTGTTTATCTACTGTACATTATCTACACGGTGCATTTGGACTGCAGAACTTGTTCCCGGCCGTTGGTTCTCTTACACGCCTCATTCGAAACACGACCACGGTTGATCATCCACCGCTTTGCCACCTCTTTCTTCAGGCTGATTTTTTTACGGTGCTGTGCTGTGCTTCCCTTGAGCCTTGACGGCGGCAGGGTTTCAACTTCTTTTTTCATTTCGGGTGGTGACGGACAGGACAAAAAAACACCGAGATTCAGTTGTTGTAATATTCGACGCTGCAGTACGCTATTATTTACCCATTGGCACCCGGTTTCACAGTACACCACTCAACTTGTCGAGATCCAACAAACCAAACCAAAATAATTCGCCGAATGAGTACCTCAGGCTGGCGACCCTCTCTCGACCATGATGCACGCGAGGCGCGTTGCCGTCTTCCTTGCTTTGGCAGCCTTATTTAGCCTGTTGGTCTACTATCGGTCGGCCAGTTCGGCCGTCACCATCAACACGTTACGGGGCAGTGTTCCGCAAGTCATTGGTCTGGGCGACTATTTCCACGATGATGCCGAGGAGGATGATGGTACGAGTACGGGGCCATGGATGGAGGAGACTACCACGCCGCAGCCTCAGCCTCAACACCCTCACACCCCGAAACCCACGACAGACACAAACACCAGACTAGACGAGGTAGACTCGGATGCCGTGTCAGTATCTCCAAACACTCCGCGAAACTACACACGAAACCTAGTTATGGCGCGGATCAAAAAGGAAAATGTCGACTGGCTCGACGAGGTTGATCTTGGGCCCGAGATCTCCAAGGTGGTCTATGTGGCCGACGACCCGAATGCGCCGCTGCACGTACCGAAAAACAAAGGGCACGAAGTGATGATTTATTTGACCTACATTCTCGAGCACTACGACAACCTACCGGACGTCAGCATCTTTATGCACGCGCATCGCTACGCATGGCACAACGACGACCTGTTGAACTTTGACGCGGCTGAGATGATCAAGCGGCTCAGCAACGAACGGGTCATCAGAAAAGGGTACATGAACCTCCGGTGCCACTGGATGCCAGGTTGTCCCGAATGGATCCATCCGGGCCAGATCGAAGAAGATACAGAAAAGCTGGAGCAGTCCCTGATGGCGGATGCCTGGGCAGAGTTGTTCCCGCTCAAGCCTATCCCGCAGGTCCTGGCTCAACCGTGCTGTTCGCAGTTTGCCTTGAGTCGCGACCGCATCCGGGAGTTGCCGCGCGAGCGGTATGCACATTTCCGCGACTGGCTGTTGCGGTCGCAGATCAGGGATTCCATGAGCGGCAGGATCTTCGAGTACCTGTGGCAGGAGATCTTTACGGGCGAGAGCACCTTCTGTCCGAGTCAACGGACGTGCTATTGCGATGGGTTTGGGGTCTGTTTCGAGTCCGACGACGCCTTTGACAAATGGTTCGAAATCCGGTTCAATATGAAGGAGGCCGAAAAGGAGCTGCGCGAATGGGAGCAGATGGCCGAGGAAATCGAGGGGTATCGAAAACATGGCAAGTTGCAAGGCATCGAGGCCGGCGACCTCAAAGTGCCCGAGATTGGCAGGAAGGAAGAATTGCAGACCTTGATCGCCGACCTCGAAGCTGACCTTGAGAAAAGAAGACTCGAGGCTCTTCAGAGAGGAACGAATCCCAAAATCCGAGCGGAGAGCGATGGCCGTGCTTGGAAAGAAGGAGATGGCTACTGATGCAAGTCTGCATTGATACTTGTGGTGTGCTAATATTCACGCCTGCACACCCGAAACAGGAGCGGCCATGGCTTGGGCTCGAAAGGCTCACACATACAGACACGCACACATATTGACTGGAAAGCCGCAGGTCGCAGGCTCTAGTCGTCGACTGGCCGTATTCGCGGCCGGATTGAACAATTAGAAAAACCACGGCGCATGGAGTTTTGGTGGATTGGCTGTTCAGAGCCTGTATAGATTCAGGGTGAAATGACAGACATGATCATGAGATGAAAATACCCGGCCATAGATCGCCTCTAGAGAGGCTTAGAAGGACAAATAGTACAGTACATAGAAGGCATCGCAGGTTGAATTCAACCTTGATTGTGGATTATTATGAAACATAGAACTGTATTTGTTGTTTGTAGCTGTTCAGGTACAAGTTGGATGCTCCAAGTCGCTCGCGTGACGCCATTTATTTGTTAGTTGCAGTCGCCGGTCGCGGGTTTCGAACGCAGCTTGGAATCAGGAAACCGGAAGAACACCTTTCAGTTCAAGGTTCGTCTTCGCAATCAGATGCCACCACTACATCAACCAGACTGCCTACTACGATAATCAATCACTTCCCTGCACTTCGCCTTCCTGCCTGTCCTTGAATAACGACATTGCAATGCCTGGCAGTGCTTGCGCTTACTGATCCGCGTTTGCTACTGCGTTGCGTTTCCTCCATCGGCAGAGAAATGGCCGCTGACACAGAACCCCAACTTGAACTGCGATAACTCGTAACCCTTGGACGAGCCGCAACCTGTCTGCACGATCAACTTGCCTGTCACGATGCCGGTCAGAATGCGGATGAGATGGACGGCTTACGCTGGGGTACGTTGCATCACCCACTGCCATGGTTGCTCTACATCGACCCGAATGAAGACGGCGGGATCAACCATCTCCCACAGTTCTCTCAGATGCTAACATGTGTCCGTCGCTTGTAGGCTTCTACCGCCCTGGCCGCCGGGGTCATCCTCAAAGCTCTGGCACAGCGCCCGAACTTCTACTCGGCCGCGGTCTACTTGTCGCAGTCCTCTGCCAACCTGATGATCTTGACCAATCTCCTCTTCGTTGTCGCCTGCACCTTCTTCATCGGACTACAGAAACTCCTCTACGGAAGCCTGCGGCCGATCGAGATCGAACAGCTATACGAGAAAGCCTGGTTCGCCGTCACCGAAACATGTCTGGCAATGACCGTCTTCAGAGGCGAAGTCGGGCTGGGGTTCCTTGCCATGTTCTTCGCTCTGTTGACTGGCAAGGTTTGGGGATGGATCGGTGAAGGTCGGGTCGAAATACTGGAGCAACAACCGCCTCGGAACCCAAGACTCTTTCATACCCGGTTAGCCCTAAGTCTCGGCCTGAGTGTCGCCTTCGACCTGACCATGCTCGAATACGTGGTTAAGCAGGTCATGAGAATGGCCAGGCCGGACATGATGGTCATGTTTGGATTCGAGTTTGCCGTCCTGTCCATTACCAGTATCAGCACGGCGATCAGGTACGCCATCGATTTGGTCGAAATTGGAATCGTCCGTGAACAAAAGAGGCAGCGCATCGAAGAAATCAAAAGGGAACGGGTACAAGCAGCTGTATCCGAATTGCAACAAGCACAGAACGCCCCGGCAGAAGGTGCTGCAATCCCCAGTGATGCGCAGGCAGCGAGCTTGCCCACTCCGACCCAGCGCACTGTCGAACAGGTGTCCCAAGAGGTGATGAACCAACCTGTGGACGAGAACGAGGTCGAGGTCGAAGGTTGGGAGGACAAAGGTCGATACATGTTCTATCTGAATCTGGCCACGGATTTCTTCAAACTTGTCATCTACCTTGCATTTTTCTTCATCCTGCTTGTATTTTACGGCCTACCGATACACATCTTACGAGATGTTTTCATAACCATGCGCTCATTCGTCAAACGGATCTCGGACTTCAGAAAGTACCGGGCGGCCACGAGAGATATGAACGCACGTTATCCCGATGCCACTGAGGAAGATATTGGACCAGAAGATGTCTGCATAATATGCAGGGAAGAAATGCGACCGTATCAGCCCCCAGCTGCCCAGGACGGCCAACCCGCGCCGCGAGGCACCCCGGTGGCGGAAAGGATGAGACCGAAGAAGCTCCCATGTGGGCACGTGCTTCATTTTTCTTGCTTGAGGAGCTGGCTCGAAAGGCAACAAATCTGCCCTACTTGCAGAGCGAATGTCGTCCAGGGTGGAAGAACCGGGCCCAACGGCAGGGCGGCTGGCCAACCGGGCGCTGCTGGCGGAGATGATGCACAGGGTCGACCAGACGGACGACAAGGCCCGAGGATCTACCAATTCGGGCCGTTGAGGATAGGAGTCGGCGCAGTCCGCGGACAGAACGTGTTCGAAGAACTCCAGCAACAGCTACGGGAGGTGCGGCAGGCCGGTGTCGAGCCTCCAGCCCACGGCGATGCCAATGCCCCTCGACAGTTCGGCGTTGGAATTCGGTGGGCTGCTGGAAGGCGGCCCCGGCCAGGAGATCAGAATCAGAATATGACAACCCGAGAGCAGCTTGATGCACTGCGAGGTCAGCTAGATCGGGAAATGCAGGACCTCGCCCACAGTTCGGCCGAATTGAGCTTGTTGCGGTCAATGCAGACAGAGATGCAGAGACTGCGAGACCTCAGGCCTGGAGAAGCCGCCGACAACGCAAGTGCAACCGGCCCGGGCACAGGTACAGCGTCGGGAACAACTCCTGCTCCGGCATCGAACGCGACACCCGCACCAGCGATACCCCCGGCTCCAATTCCCGGTCAGCAGACTATAAACCCTTCCCCGTTTCCCCGGGTCACTCAGACTCTTTCTGCTGGCGGCCCGCACGATGTGATATTTGCGGGAAGCGACAGGCTCCCTCCCGGCCTGACACTGCCAGAAGGGTGGTGTATGATGCCCTTACGACCTACACAATTCGACGCTGCACGGACGATGCTGCCTCCACACATGCGAGCTTTCGGATCGGCACCTGATGTGATGCAAAGACACCACGCTGCTCATGACTTGTTGTTTCAAACACCTCAACCGTTTCCGCATCCGATAACCATGAATGGAGTGAACGGACCCGCCCGGGGCCAAACATTTACAACCACAACCTCGGGACCCCAGCCCAATAACTTGCCCGAACAACATCGACCGTCTGCGTTTCCGGGGTGGCCAGGGACTCCGGACTTGCAGCGGCCCGCTGGAGGTCCTGGCACCGAGGCTAATGCTCGGCCAGAAGTTCCGAACACTACAGCCGGGACGAATGTACAGACGTATGGCCCTCCGGGTAGCGAGCAGGGACATGTGCCCACATCCGGAATGGGAACACAGACTCAGCCTATCCAAAATTCCTCTAGTGCTTCCTCCATTCCTTCAAGTGCTGTCCCAGGCGTTGAGTTGGGGCAATCTCGTCCTGCTGTGCAGCCTTCAGATAGTCAGCATACGCCTGCTTTTCCTACCACCCAGCAACAGGCCGTAGGGGCCGCATTGCCTAACTGGGGTACTGGATCCACGGGTAATGGCGAGACGAGCACCATATCACAACCCTCCGGCAGCGGAAGCAACGTGGCTCTCCAGAACAATCAGGAAGCGCTAAGCGTGCCGCGAGAGGGGGCTGAGTGGACCGACGGGGCAAGAATACCTTCACAAAATGGCGGAGGCAATGATCACAGCAACGGGGAAATCAATGCTGACCGCAGCATGAATGGAATCGACCATACCGGAGCAGGCCCTCCTCCCAACGGTTCTCGTCCTCAAGCAATCCCGGGAGGAGAACAAACTCATGTTGGGAGCTCCGAGAGTGAGCAAGCGGCACCATCGAAGGAACCGCATCATGCTACGGTCGAGGACTTGGTGGAGGATCCGGACTGAAACCTGCACTTTCCATCTGAACTGTTTGAAATTTTGGCAAGCCAGCGTATATTACTGGTCGTAAGTAGTAGTAGCTACTTGGTTGCTATCGAGAGCAAGCATTGAAATAAACTTCTTTTTGGAAGTCTGATTGGAAATGCGAAGGGCAGCCCATGTTGTGTCCTTCAAGTTGCCATTGGCCATCTGGTACATCTTTTATTGCAGCGTGCGACTTTACTACCAAGTAGAGATGGTGTTTAAGGCAAGGAGTATACAACAGGGCTCGGAGTCCAAAACGGTTTGGAGGGCGTACGTAGGAGACGGCACACTGCAAGGCGATGGCCGCACTTTGATTTTGTTTCAAGTGCGTGGCTATGCTTTTCTGAGACACGTTTCAAACACAATGATGTGCTGGAGGTGCTGTACGTGTCCAGTGACAAGAACAGGGAAGTAGTCGAAATACAACGGTAGACTCGCCAACGGGCTGCTGCGCCACGCACTACGAGTACGGCACCACTTGCAACTCCAGCCTTGATCGAGTAGTCGAGTTCAAGTTCTATCTTCTGCGCTGCGCGGCCTCTCTTGCTGTCAACAAACTTGAAGTGTTCGTCACCTCATCTGCTGTAAACTTTCGAGTTCAAGTTGACAGACGTCGACTGCAAGTAGTGGCAGCCTGTGACAGCTTCATCCCGAAACCACGGGCATCCGCCTCCACAACCACCGATCCTACAACTGTACAACTGGCACTGCGGTGCCCGTCGCCCGCCACCCCTGCGTTCAGCAACGAACGCATGCAACAGCCTTCGTTGGTTGACACTGCAGTTCACCTTGGATCACGAAACTCTTAATTGTTCCTCGATCCTACTACTGCTCACGACTATTCCGGCTACTGTCGTATTCGCCGCATCTGTTTACTCCAAGCGAAATCATCTGCTTTCCGTCCCGAGTCCGGCAATTAACTACGCCTGTTCTCCAGCCTTGACCGTTTCTCGTTGACCACGAAGCCACTGAGGATTTCCGAAGAATCGTCCATCAGCGCGTCCTTCCGATTAGTCTCTCAAACCGACTCTAGACACGCCTTCCTTTCTATCCCGTCCTCGCTCTTTCTCTCGCCCGAACGAGTTCTCCTATCCCCGAGAAGACGGAGCCAAAACAAGAGACCTCCTAGGGATGGTACCAGGCTGAAAGGACAACCGATCAGACAAAAGAACTGTCTCCGAAGTCACAAAGTTCAATCTGCAGTGGGCAGGAAGCGCTCATCAAGGCATCATGGACACCCTAAAGATCTTTGGTCGCCAGATCACAGATGGCACCTTTAACGGCAGCAACAGCGATAACAACAACGGAGATGATTTCGACAACAATTACTACTGGTGGTACAGTCCCGTATGTATAGTTTTCCACGACATATCTCACCAATCATGAATACGCACGGAACAAGACTGACAAGTTCCTGAATAGACGGCATATGCCATCAAATGGGCCGTGATCGCCACCATCCTAGCAGCATTGGCTCTGTACCTGGTCGGAGGCTATCTACACGCGAAGAGACGTATGCGAAAGGGACTCCCTCCCCTGGCTTATCATAGGGTGAGTCGGTCTGATGTTAATTTCATGTCTCATTATTGTCTTTTTGCTGTGTCTGTGGCTAACATCTCGGTGCGAATAAAGTGGCTCGTTTCTCGTCGACAACGAATGGCTTTTGCACACCAGCACCCGCAATACGCCAATCAGTTTTCCTTTTACAGAAACCAAAACACCCCCTATGGCTATGGTCAAGGCAGGCATACTCCCTATGGGTACGGCCAAGGACAGGCTTATCCAATGGGTGCTTATGGACCACCTCCTCCAGGTATGTTTGTGTCTGAGTGTGCAATTCAGCGCAGTTTCTGACCATTGTTTCTTTCTGCAGCTTACGGCGAGCCCGACTATGTGCCGGCATATACGCCTCCCGCTGGCAACAAGGTCGACCCTGACCAGAACTATGCTCCACCGTCAGGCCCGCCTCCGTCGAATGACGCTGCTGGTGCCTCATCAGCGCCTCCGCCTCCCCCGGCTGACGGACCCAGTCCGCCGCCTCGTGCTCATTTTGGGGGTTAAAACCTGATGCGGGAAGCGGCAACGGAAACGAATCCGGGCATTACTGGCAGTTAGCAATGTGCAGCGTTAAACTTGTTTCTTTCAGTGTATGTGTGTGGTGCGTGGCAGCAAACAAAAAAGGCGTTTGGGCATCCAGTGGCAGGTATAGTATGATAGCGGCAACAACTTGAACAGCCACAACTTGAACAACGACGATCTGGCTCAATTCAATTCCATTCAATATGTTACACTACAACGCAATACAATACGTATGGATGGCTACTTGGCTCCGGGATGCTGACCGCACAATCTGTTAGCTGTGGTTTCGGCCCGTACACATTTAACTTGCAAGATAGTATGTGTGTTCGCTCGGTGGGACCCAACTCGGGCCAACAAATGAATATTGATGGGAATCATGCACATGTGTGGCTCGATCTTTCCTTTTTCGTTTCGTATTAACTATTCGATCTCCATTGCATCTACGTCTTCTTGATCCGTGTCTATACCACGACCGGCACCTCCTCCAATTCCGGCTCCCACGCCAGGTAATGTATGAACAGGAGCGGGGATTTCCTCGACAATTTCGTCATCTAGATCTATATCATTATTGTCTGCGTCTGTTGACCCTGGCGTTCGTGTTTCTTGTTGTGCCGCCCTGAATTCTTCGGCCTGTTTCTGTCTTGCGCGTGCTCTCGCAGCAACAATTGCCTTTCTAACCACATCCATCTCCTCTGGAATACTTATACTAGTAGGTTCACGGTAGAGGACCAAAGCGTTGGTTGGAGGAGGTGGTGGTGATGATTTGAGATTGTTGTTCAGGACCCGTGAAGGAATCGACGACACCTTTTTATCGATATCTGGTAGAAACACGGCGGAGCGGGCCTCGGCCTCGGCGGCTTCGATCTGGGCGATCTCGGCGTCGAGGTCGGAGATGATGACGCGGTGGGGAGTGTCGTCGACGGTCATGAAGTCTGAGTCGGGAATTGTTGGCATTTTGTAGAGAGGCTGAGAGGCATCTTGGTGTTGTGGTGGTGGTGATATTAATCCGGGTTGAAGAGTGTCGTTGTAGTCGTTGGGCGGAGGAGGCCGGAACCCGGGGTTGGTAGTGGTAGTGGTGATGGATGTTGGTGCTGTGGTAGTGGTAGTGGGATTGGGAGAAGAGAACTGTGGTTGTGAGGGTGGTGATGGTGGTGCTTGTTGGCGTAGTAGGACTTGTGGTTGCGGTTGCGGTTGTGGTTGTTGTATTGACTGTGGTCGACTATGGTTCAACCGCAACTTCTTGAAATGGGATGAGATGTTGGATTGAGATTCTAATGGGTCGATGACTTCGTCGGCGCGTCGTTTGCCGGTGACGCTGTGAGGGAATGGTTGGCTAGTAGTACTTGGATGAGGCTGGGGTTGCGGTTGCGGCTGGTGTTGGTGTTGGTATTGGTGTTGGTTTGAGGCCGGTAGCCAGCCCGTGGCGTAGGATGCCATTGTGGTCATGGAGTATACTGTGCTGTGCGGCGTTGGTTATGGGTAGTACCTAGGTATATGCGAGACTGTCCCGTCTGGTCAAACAGTGGTCAAGTGCATGCGCATATGCAGTTGTATAAGGTAAAGTATGGGTATGGAGATGGTGTACGCTGATCGGTGGTGTGGTTTGTCCAGCGAGACGAAGGATCAGCGTCGGCTTTGGAGATCTCCAATTACCTCATGTATGTCACCGCGCAGCTCTTCGCAAATAAGGTACTTTAGCATATGACTTTTGTACCAGCACTAGTGGTGCACCTGTGGTGTTAATTATTTGGGTCGGGCTCCGATTCTGCCTCTTCAAGTTGCTCTTCTCACCGAGGCGCGTCGAATTGCACAACTTTCTTGTCTTCAAGAGGTTGAGATTTTGGATTGGAAGGACGGTCGGTCAACTGTCCAAGCATTGATACCATCAACTGGATCTTCCGATTGATGATATAAGAATTGCTTGGAGCCGAGGATTGACAAAAGGGTTCTGCCAGTGTTCAGTTCATTTCAGTGCAGCGCGGCCAATGGTCTGGAAACTACGAGAATAATACCGATTTACCCTTTTAGTGCGACGCGCGCAAAGGGGCCTATTGAGTGGATTGGATGCGCGGAGCCGTGTGCACGAGTTGGAGAGGGAGAGTGCCAGTGCCAGTGCCAGTGGCAGTTCACCCTCAGCCTCGTCCTGTGGCTTGTGCTTGGGCTGTGGCTGCGCGCTTCTCGTCGACGGCGACCGCACCGGCACCGGCACCGCAGTTGAGGCACCAACACTGGCACACCTCGTTCGACTCGTCCAATACCACTGCCAGTGCTAGTACTATCACCGCCAGTGTCCGAATTTCTACTTTGGGCTTGAGTCACGACCTTGCCATCGCCCGACAAAAATTTGTCCCTGGACACCCTCAACATCACCCTCCTTCGTCTCTAGGGCTCAAGAAATTATCGGCCACAATCTGCAGCAGCCGACTTGCCCTTCGACACCTTCCCCCCACTCTGCGCACAACCAAAGTGCCGCAGCACACGACCGCAAGAATGGCGTCGACAACATCTGGGACGGCCCAGGAATGGACCGCTCCCAAAGTGCGGGAGACTTTTCTCAAGTATTTTGAAGAGCGAGGTCATACTTTTGGTGAGTTAGGAGTTGTCTTCGTTTCTGCTCCCCCAGGTCGATCGGCTGCTGCGGGCAGGGACATTTTGGTCGTCCAAGAATCTTACTAACGGGTGGGCTGTGACTTGTAGTGAGATCATCTCCTGTTGTTCCTCTATCCGATCCGACCCTTCTCTTCACCAATGCCGGAATGAACCAGTTCAAGCCCATCTTCCTGGGTACCGTGGACCCGACGAGCAAGGAAGGCCAACTCAAGCGGGCGGTGAATTCCCAAAAATGCATCCGTGCGGGCGGCAAGCACAACGATCTCGATGACGTGGGCAAGGACAGCTACCACCATACTTTCTTCGAGATGTTGGGCAACTGGTCGTTTGGCGACTACTTCAAGAAAGAGGCGATCGGCTACTCGTGGGAGCTGTTGACAAAGGTCTTTGGGCTCGACCCCGACAGACTATATGTCACCTACTTCGAGGGCAACGAGGCCGGTGGGTTGGAGCCCGATTTGGAAGCCAAGGAACTCTGGAAGAGCGTCGGCGTCCCAGAAGACCATATCCTGCCGGGAAACATGAAAGACAATTTCTGGGAAATGGGTGACCAGGGTCCATGTGGTCCTTGTTCCGAAGTCCACTATGACAGAATCGGAGGCGGGCGCAATGCTGCCAGTCTCGTCAACCAGGACGATCCGAACGTTTTGGAGATCTGGAATAACGTGTTTATCCAGTACAACAGGGAGCCTGATAAGAGTCTGCGCCCGCTGCCCAACAAACATGTCGACACGGGCATGGGTTTCGAGCGACTCGTCAGTGTCCTCCAGGACAAGCTGTCCAACTACGATACGGACGTCTTTACTCCTCTGTTCGACCGCATCCAGGAGGTTACCGGTGCCCGACCGTACGCCGGCAAATTTGGCGACGAGGACAAGGATGGCGTCGATACCGCCTACCGAGTGGTTGCGGACCATGTCAGGATGTTGACCTTTGCCATTAGCGATGGTGGGATTCCCAACAACGAAGGAAGAGGTTATGTCGTGCGAAGAGTGCTAAGACGTGGAGCGCGGTATGCCAGAAAATACCTCAACGTCGAGATTGGGAACTTTTTCTCCAGGGTCGTGCCGACTCTGGTTGCACAGATGGGAGACATGTTCAAGGAAATCGTGGCAAAGGAAGAAGAGGTCAAGGAGATCCTCGACGAAGAAGAGCTTTCCTTTGCGAAGACGCTGGATCGGGGAGAGCGGCAGTTCGAGGTCTATGCTCAAAAAAGCCAAGCCCAGGGTCTCAAGAAGCTGCACGGTGCTGATGTCTGGCGACTGTACGACACCTTTGGATTCCCGGTTGATTTGACTAGACTTATGGCCGAAGAAAGAGGCCTTTCCATCGATGACAACGAGTTCGAGGAAGCCAGGCTAAAGGCGAGGGAGGCCAGCAAAGGTGAAAAGAAAGCTGCCAGCAACTTGCTTAAGTTGGACGTCCACGATCTGGGCGAACTGGAGAAGATGCCTGGCGTGACAAAAACGGACGACAGCGCCAAGTTCGGGCGAGACAACATCAACGGCAAGATCCAGGCCATCTATCACGCTAAGAAATTTCACGAAGACACACGCAATGTTCCTGAAGGTGAGCAGGTCGGACTCATTCTCGACAAAACAAACTTCTACGCCGAGCAAGGTGGTCAAGAATATGATACTGGACGCATCGTCATCGATGGCCAGGCCGAGCTCGAGGTGGAAAATGTGCAAGTCTATGCCGGTTACGTGCTACACACGGGATACATGAAGTATGGCCACTTTTCGACCGGCGACGTGGCAATCTGCGAGTACGACGAATTGAGGCGGTGGCCCATCCGCAACAACCATACGGGTACGCACATCCTCAATTTTGCGTTGCGCGAAGTCCTGGGAGACGGCATCGATCAGAAGGGGTCCCTTGTCGCGCCAGAAAAGTTGCGGTTCGATTTCAGCCACAAAGCTCCCGTGTCAGACGCGGACCTAGCGAAGATCGAGGATATTTCCACCGAGTACATTCGACAAAACTGCCCTGTGTACGGCAAGGACGTGCCCCTGGCCATTGCACGAGAGATCACGGGCGTGCGAGCGGTCTTCGGCGAAACCTATCCGGACCCCGTACGGGTGGTCTCGGTGGGAGTCGAGGTGGACGACATTCTCAAAAATGTCAAGGACGAGCGGTGGCGGACAGTCAGTATCGAGTTCTGTGGCGGTACCCACGTCAGGAGTACCGGAGACATCAAGGATCTTGTCATTCTCGAAGAGAGCGGGATTGCCAAGGGCATTCGGAGAATCATCGCCGTCACCGGCGAGGACGCGCATACCGTGCAACGCGTGGCCGACGAGTTTGAGCAGAAACTCACCAAGCTGGAAAATATGCCTTTTGGTCCGGAAAAGGAGCAAGAAGTCAAAGCAACACAATCCGAGCTGGACAATTTGTCGATATCGGCACTGAAGAAGTCACAATTCCGAGACCGGTTCACCAAGATCAGCAAGCAGGTCCTTGACCACCAGAAGAAGTTGCAGAAGGAAGAGACCAAGAAGGCGATCGACACGATCACGGAATATTTCGAAAAGAACCCTGATGCGCAGGGTGCCGTGCTGAAGCTGCCTGTCAGCACGAATAATTCCAAGATCATCCCGGAAGTCATCAAACATGTACAGACGAAGATTAAGGATAAGAGTGTGTATATCTTTGTGGCTGGAGACGATAAAGATGCCGAGGGAAAGGTGCTGCATGGCTGTTTTGTCAGTCCGGTAAGTTTTGTCCGCAACTGTCCGTTTTTGTTGTTTTCCTTTCTGCTCTTCGAGGGGCTTTTACGGCTTCGGCTTGGAAGAGATTGCTGACGTTCTGTTTGTAGGCACATGCCAAGGCAGGACTTAACTCGTCCGACTGGGCCTCTACCGTCACGAAACTGGTCGGCGGAAAGGCCGGTGGCAAAGCTCCTGTTGCCATTGGAAATGGAACGGAGCCCTCGAAAGTGGACGACGCCCTGAAGGCCGCAACTGAACAATTAGAAAAGATCAAGTTGTGATGCGATCTGGCCTTGCGACAACTGCACCTTAACCTTGTGTCGGCAGCACAGCATACCATGATTGTCGCATACTCCGCCCTGTCTTGCTTTGACCTGGACGATCGGAAAATCACAAAAATTGCTGGTTGGATGGTAAAGAAGCATAAGACAAGGGGCATGCATGCATGTGGTAGTTACATGGAGTCTGCTCTGGCGACCTGGCTCGCTTTCGTGGTCATGGCATTTCACCGGTTCTTGCGATATGTGCAAATGAAATGGGAGGCAGAAGAGCCACGGAATGTAACCTTAGAATACTGTAGATAGAACCTCTGGCAACTTGAAAGAGAAAATGTATGACAAAGGTGGCAGACGAACCACCCTCAGTCCGAAGTCGGCGTACCTTTTAACCAACATGATATCTGCGATTGTGGTATTGAGACGATATTCCTTCGAAACTTTGTCGCCTTGACTAAAGTGCCAGGTACATCACAATCCCGTGCTGCTCAGTTTGTTTTGCTCCTTTCAGAGCTAGACTGCTGATCTCACGTTTGTGATTATATTCAAGTCACGGTTGGATTCACTACGTCATCAGCACTGGCGGCGGAACACTTTTTTCGTCGACAGCTCCAAAATACTGGCATTCCTTTCCCGCGGTTCCTTGGGATCTGTAACCACAATGCATTGGAGCAGGTGCTGTCAGGAGGATGATCGGGCGATGGACGGATGTTCTTGTGCAGTCCCGGCAACTTCCAGCAACGAGTCCAGGAAATTTCCCCACCACCACCAGAGGGCGGACTTGAGGTGGCTCTTAATCCTGACATCAATCGTCGAGGACGAGAGCATCAAGGGCATTCAAGTGCCATGTTCAGAGTCTGGTATCCATGAAAGCTGCATCCATGGGCTCTGCGCACCACGTATGTTCGAACAAGCATTTCGAATATGATCTCTGTTGCTGGCCGGACACAATCAGGGTTGAGCTCATGACCGTCCAATGATACCGTGTCCAATGGCCAGGCCCTGCTGGTCCATGATCAAGACGGGTCTTCCAAGGAGGCCATCATTATCAGCGGTCAGGTTGAAATCTCGAGGTATCCTTCCGGAACCTGGTGTTTTCCATGTCGGGCGGACTGCCTCGGGTCCCCGCCCTGAAGTCAGGAAAAATGTCCCGAAGACGTCTGCCGAGCGGGCTTTCGCATCCACTGCAGATTCTCGCATGTCGGCGTCCTCACTGAGTGATCATAGGATTAGCCAATGCTTCGAATACCCAGCGGACAATCATGCTGTCTCCAACAACACCCCGACCGAGCGCAGTCAAAATGCTACCGCTTCATCCGTACTTCGCGAGACTTACTAGACTACCACTTGCAGTTTCGTATCTTGGGTACCGTCCAGTTCATCTTCATACTTTATCTGCGACAAAACCTCTCCTGTGGTGGAGTAGGAAAGCAGCAATCGACCACCCGCGGAGATGCCTCTTTCGGTGCGATCTTTTCCGAGGAATGGTCGGATTATCGCGACCAGGGCGCCATCCTGAACCTCGCGCATAGCTGGAAGACCCATGGTTTCTATGCCTCTCCTTTGTTGCGGGTTTGGTGTAGCATTTGGTGAGTGGACTGTCGTCCTTGTCAGACGGTTGCGGTGCCTGCGTCCACCACGGCGACAGTCTGACCAGTACAACCCATCGAACCCAGAAGAAACATAGCAGCAAGGTAGGGTATGGTGCCATAAGCCACTACTTTACAGATGTACAGCATATCGCTTCCGATTGCACGTGATAAGTGAGGACCTTGAGAGAATCGAGGACCTTGAAGGCGAGTGGCATCCCTGTCATTTGAAAGTCGTCACAGCCTTGAGCACGTTATGCGGATGGTCTCCGCGGCCCCTCCATGAGCAAGTATCCAGACGAGCTCACCCCTCCTTCTTCAAGTCGACGCTGACAGACCAGTTCTGCCTCTTCTTTCTTCTTGTCTTCAGACACCCATCATCGCTCTACGGTGCCATCTGACTGGTCAGCTCGAACGTATATTCAACAGCCCATCAGAACAAAGACGCCACGATGTCGGTCGAGAAGTACGAACTGCCTCGTCTTCCATATGCCCTGGATGTGAGTGTGTTCATTCCTTGACTCGACCTGCTATGCATGGCCCGAAGCTCGCGACTTGACTGGGTCATTGTTGGTTGGCACCACGACATACCCGTGTCCGGCTCGCTACTATTTAACAACGGCAATCACTGACCGAGTGATACTGGACTACAGGCACTGGAGCCCGCCATTTCGGGCCAGATAATGGACCTGCACTATAACAAACACCACCAGACGTACATCACGAACCTCAACAACGCACTTGCCGCGCAGGCCGAGGCATTCCAGTCGAAGAATCTCTTGAAACAGATTGAACTGCAGCCCGCGATCCGCTTCAACGCCGGAGGCCACATCAATCACACGTTGTTCTGGCAAAGTCTGTCTCCCGCGTCATCCGGCGACTCCAACATCCAGGCTGTCGCAGGCTCGCTGCACTCGGCCATAGTAAAGAAGTGGGGAAGCTTTGACAACTTCAAGGCCAAGTTTGAGGCCACGGCTCTGGCTATTCAAGGATCGGGCTGGGCCTGGTTGGTCAAGGACACTGAGAACAGTGGCACCCAGCTGGAGATCACCACCTCCAAGGACCAGGATCTTCCACCTGGTGGCAAGCAAATCGTGCTCGGTGTTGATATGTGGGAGCATGCTTATTACTTGCAGTACTACAACAACAAGAAGGAGTACGTCTCCAAGATCTGGAGCGTGATTAACTGGAAGGTGGCCGAGAAGAGATTCCAAGGAGATGCAAAGACGATCTATGGAGAATTGATTGGTTTGGCCAGCAAGCTCTGAAAGGACTTTCGCCTCTTGGTGCTGATGCAGAGTACACCATAGTCGAGGACAGCTCCAAGTTGGTTGTTTCGAAACAAGCCGGGTCGATGAGCAGAACAACACTCATTCCATGGAATACTCGTTGAGCCAACATATGCAATGAAGAATACATTGTCCCCATGTGCCTTATTCGACTCCCTGATATGTTCATACTCCCCAGCAGCCAATGGGGAGGTGACTTGCTCTGACTAATGACATTCAATCGTGATAGATAACTCCCTGGAAGAGCTCTGGAAACGACTGCCTTGGGGTTGGCTCAAGCCTGAGTGTGGACATGTGCTTTCCAGCCTCGTGGACAAGGCCACCAATCGGATCGATGTCTCACTTGTCCCAACCAACCAATCGTGGGAGCCCATTTTCGCCGAAATAGGGAAGGTGACTAGACAAGACCTGGGCAAACGGCTGAGGGGAAACTTGCATGACGTCGTCAACATGACGTCCCACTGGTTCTGCTGCCATTGCCAGTGCTGATGCTGATACCGTTGTTGCTCTTGTGTTGTCGAACGATCAGTTCAATATTGTGGTCTCCTTCGTCTACTGGCATTTGTGATAATCCTCTTCAAGCACTGCTGGCACTCAATTGAAAAACGACAGCAACAACGAAGACTGATTCAACCGGGGACGAGATTCAAATCCTCGCTCATCCTGCGACTGACATGCGAAACCTGTTGTCTCTGACCAACACCGCCATCTCCACTTCGACTGCTACTGCTCTGCGCCGAACAAGGGCAGTGATATCACAGATCACCCAAACATTTCCCTCTCCTTCTCCCTCCTACTCTCTCATTTCTCAGCGAGGCCGTCTAGCTCTTCGATTGCCTGCCGTCTCCTCTCTCACCAACACTACAACACCAGCCAACTCGATCAGACAGTTTTCGACTAGTACAGCGACCAAGATGAAATTCCCAGGTGGATGCTACTGCGGCAAGATCCGCTACGAGATCGATCTAGATGATAAAGACCAAGCTAGGACCAGCTTGTGTCATTGCCGGAACTGTAAGGTGGGTTGAGTCCTCGAATGTATCAGCTCGGAATGGTGGCCTATGTACCACCCGTATTGTGATTGTGATTTGTTTTGATGCCATTGCTGGTGGCACTACCTCTGTTTCTTAGTTGTCACACAAGTTGTTCAGATGGCGTTTAAGACCTCGTTCTAACTCGACTCTGCGGATTCTTCGTACAGAAATTCACTGGTGGCCCCTTTGGAATTACGACCAAAATTCCCAAATCGAGCTTCAAAGTCCTCGAGGGTCAGGACAAGATCAAGACGCACGAGGGCGATAACGGCGGCGGGGTCATTTTACATCGCGAGTTCTGCTCCGAGTGCGGGAGTGGCCTCTTGGAATATGGGGTGAGTTGGTCCTTTCTCCCCTATGTCCGACCTAGAAAAGGAGAGATGGGGTTGTATAGGCTAGAAGTGCCTAAGGCTAACCTTGTCACTCGGGCTGGCTAGGCAAATGCGGGAGACAATATCTACATCTTCTATGGCACGCTGGACCATCCGAGCGATTTGCCGCCCAAGGGCGAGTTCTTCTGCAGCAAGCGGGATCCTTGGATGCCAGAAGTCCCTGGTATGTTAGCCCCAAGCAGATACACAGTGACTGGACTGACATTCTCTGCCTAGGAATCTTCCATAAGCAGAAGATCAAGGAATAAGGGCGAGTCAGACGCTATTTTACTGTTTCAAAGATGATAGCGATTGGCCGCTCTACAAAAACAAGAACACCCTCCGAATACGATGCCACATGCTGGCTGCTCGAGTAGTAGAGAAAGCAAATACCGAGCCACGATCCGATGACTTCTAGTAAAGTGCTGAAAAAGCGATACTACATACCGTGGTATTCGATTCTCACTTTAGCAGAGTTCCGTGTTTCCAATAGGCAATTGTAACAACACTCTTCTTCCTTCCTCGTCCTAGTACAGGACCTAGGTTGGTTTGGTCAAATGGTGGAGACGACGATAACAATGAATGTAGTATCGGCAACCAATAAATAGGACACATATAACGTGCTTGCGATATGAGAGAAATTTGGACTGCAGACTCGTTATGAAGCAAGTTAAGGCGAACGCTCCGCAATTTAACGAGGATATGTGCCTTCCGTCTAGCGGAAGTCCCTGCCACCCAGGTGTGAGTTACTAGTAGATGATTCTCTCTGTGGTCGAAGTCGAGAGAGGCCAAAAAGGACCTGACCTCACACCATAAACCAGTATGCGGATATCCTTGACTTCGTGACTGCTGTGATGTTGTGCAAAGACACCTGTTATCAGCCACGGAGCCACCAAGTCATGTCCAGTCACTCTCCTGGTTCCCTCCGGCCTGAATGACAACGGAAATGAAAAACCTCAAGGCCAACTTGAGACTTGAGACTTGAGACTTGAGACTTGAGACTTGAGACTTGAGACTTGAGACTTGAGACTTGAGTCCCACCCCATGGCAAGAGTTAGAGCACACAAGGTGTCCAACGTGTGAACACAGTGCAGATAGGAGCAGAGAGCACTGGGCGCCTTGGTCTCGCCCCTTGAAGCAATGTTTGCTGTTGCTGGCAGAATGGAAATGGAATGGTCCTGGTTGTGCATCTCATTCTCTGCCTTGGCTCGACCCGGATGGGATGCAGACTTGAGCTCCACCGAGGGGTGCACTGGAAGCTGCTGAAAGGCGGCTCGGCTCCTCATCAACATGAGACGCCCATGTGCGAGCGACATCCATCAAGTCCAGTCAATCTTCAACGTCACGAAGCTAAGCCAAGCCCAGCCCAACCCAAACCCTGGTGTGCTGTGGTGTTGGTGTTGTGTTTTCGTGGGGAATGGTTGGTGTTGACACATGTAAAACTCGCTCACTCCCTCGCTGTGAAACCGATACAGGTACAGTATAGATACAGGTACAGTGGTCCCAGATCTCACACTCATACCACTAGGACCAGGACCAGGACCAAGACTTGCAGTGAACCGAAAAGCATGATAAGATATCTGATATGATCAGATCACGAATACCGATGTTTCATCGACCGATACTTTTTAAGAAAATAAAGAGCCTCGATTTCCTTCTTGACAAACTCGGCCCTCTTGATACCTTGGCGGATCTGTTCTTCGTCCCTTAGGTTGGCTTTGGACATGAAGGCCTTGTGTAGACGAGGTCGGAAATATTCGTATCCCAAGGGATAATGGCGGCCCATTTCTAGTAGCTCTTTTATCCACAGTTAGCATCTGAGATCCCTAGGTCTTACTTGCAGTGCCAGTGGGGGTTTTGGTTTGTTTGTAGTGCTCTTTTGATCTGATACTAGGTACTGTAGTGCGGGAAAGGAAAGCTGAGACTTGAAGATTTACTTACCTTTGTATATATTGATGACTTGTCTTCTTAGCTCGGGGTTAGGATTCATGTTGTAACGCAGTGTTTACACTTTGGTTCAAAAGACGATTAGGTATAACCCGAACTTGAAGCCCACTGCATGTGAGGCTTTCGGAGGTACCAGTGGTGTTCGATACGGTAACTTGGATGTAAACGTACAACTTGAACTTGAACGCGGTTCTCCCCACAGGAGCCGTGACGTCGAAGAAAGCTGACCTCGGCCAAGACGACTCTGCCGGACAATCGATTGTCCGGTGCAGATACTAACCCGAGTACCACAACAAAAACAAAAAAGCCCCGACTACGAGTACTACTACAATGTAGCAGCACTACAAGTTACAGTATGTCCGAGTCTTGAGCTTGATCTCGATACACCATTCGATTTGAAAACAAAATTCGGCTCTATACCCCCCGCGTCATTCGGACCGCAGTTTTGGCTGGTTGATTGGCAAGAGTGCACGAAAACAATCATTCAGTTCTGGCGGCGGTGAATCATGATATTATCCGAGTCTAGGTGAGAATGGCTCAGCTCAGATCCCTCCGGAGCGGATATCCTCACACACCAAGCGATCACCGCCGGTGTCTTGGGGCGGTGCCTTGACATGTTCGTCTGCATGGACATCTTCTATGGACGGCCGCCGTGCGATTCTCTGGTAGGTACCTAACTGTATCTCATCAGCCTCCCGCTCCGCCGGGGCTGATTTGCCATTACATGAGACGTGCCATGACACGCTAGGTCCGACAGTTCATTTCATTTCTGCATCCCATTCCGCCGTGTCTGCAAGAGCAGATTCCCATCCCCATTCCCATCCTCCATACCAGGACTCGACAAGTCATCGGTGGCCCGCTTGCCTCCAAATTGAAACCTATGCGGGAACCACACCAGGAAAATCACCTGGACAGCCCACATCGGGCCAGCATCAAAGGCATACATGGGCCACTCGCGGGACAAGAGATAACCATCCACGCCGGAAAGGTACTCGACGACACGGAAGATTGATCTGATCATGATCAACGCGCTGCAGGCGTAGAGCATGAACAACCCTTGCCGCCAGGGGGGAGAACCATTTGTCCTTGTTCTTGTCCTTGTCATCGTTGCCATGATCACCGCGAGGTCACGGTCGTCGCTGGCGTCATCGCCATCACCATCATGATCATTGACTCTCCTCCGCATTCTCATGTGAAATAGCAATGCGACAGCCACAAAAACACCAAACAGAAGCAACTGGAGAAACAGGCCCGCGACCACGATGCCTTGTCCCAACTTCTGCTTGTCCTGATGGACAGTCAACCCGGCTCCGTTGCCCTGGACGCTCAGCGAGACTATGTCTCCGCAGACAAAGATCTTTGTCAATCGCGACGTCGGGCGGATGAGTGACAACCTTTCACCACCGGAAACGCAGCGGATCAGCCGGCTCAACACCATGTAGATGGACGCGGAATACAAGACGGGCGCGAGGAGGATCAAACAGATCTGGATCGTGTATGGAGCAATATCGTCGGTGTGATAGTACGAATATACCCGGACGAGGTAGCCGATGACTTGGACTGGAAAAAAAGCAAGTTTTTGATGTTAGTGGATTGGATTTGGAAGAAAAGGAAAAGGAAAAACAAGGACGAAGGAAAAAAAACCGTGATGTGCTGAAGCGAAACTTGAAGAACATACAAATCCCACCAACTGCAAAGGCGCTACAGAACCACGTCCGCGTCCTGACCATGCGCCACAAGTGCGCGGCCATCACGACTGAGAACAAAATGACGAAGATGACCGCCGCCGGGATCGATGGGAGGTATTTCCAGAGATAGACGTCGTCCGTGCCGGCGACGGGCTTGAGTTGGACTACCATGGCCGGGCTTGTATACCTGATCTCAACTTAAGGTAATTAGGTCTCAAGACAGACAGACAGACTGCGAGTTGAGAAGGCAAAGAAGGACCTGGTAGAGGTATTGTGCCAAAGGTTGTGTGGTACTAGTACCATGAGTGATAGCCATATATATATATACTACTGATGTATCTACTATCTACTATGTTTTTCTATATCTAGGTACTGGTATCCGTCCATCCTATCGTTCCGTCTTATCCAAGGGAAATACGTGATGGCTGAGCCCATTGAAACCTCGGCGATAGGATGAACGGGCCCAGACGAGTCCACTTGCACAACCACAAAACATGAATTATGAATCGTTGAGTCACAAAGTCATTCTGATTTGGAGGTCAACACAGCCTTCCAAGGCCTCGAAGAGGTTCCGGCGTGGGTCAACAATGGTGGTACTAGTACTGTATAGTATGGTCTGGCCTGATCCGGCTTAGTGTACGTGTATACGGCGATTTACTATAGGCTTCAAGTTAGTAGGTATACACCTCACCGTGCCAAGGACCTCGTCAGGGGAACCCACCCCTCCTTCCGAGGTTGGCACTATGAGCAAACAGGAATTGTGTCTCTTATGGAGGTGGTGAGCCTGCGATTGCGACCTCTGGTAACCCTATGTGAGCTCTCAGCAATCGCTTTTTCTCCGCCATATTTGCACCCTGCGTAGGAATACCCAGTTGTTGTAGTACAGAATCCAACTGTCTTCTTGCCATTCGTTCGAGTTCCAAGGAGGTGCGGGGGAAATCAAGGATGGCGACACCGGTAGTAACGTTGACAAACAATACAAGATTTTCGTTTTGACTTTGGAGGTATGTATTCTGCACCCGGGCTGCATTATTGTGATTCCTATAGAATTAGCATCTTGATATTGAAATAAGTCGAGTAGTACATACGATGCAGTAGTAACAGTCACAAGCTCTTGACGGACATTTGCAATGTCTTGTCGGATTGCCACCGTGTCTCTCGTTGACTGCTCCCTGATTGCCCGGAGCTCGGCGAGAATTTGCTGGCTAAGGGCCAGGGTGTATTCGAACTTCTCCCCGATAGGATGTCCATGGCCCATGAGGAAGTATTTCGGTAGTAATGATGTTGAAGTTAGCCGGCTGACCAAGAGTGACGTCGTCAGCCAATCGTGACGGTGAGCGTAAGGGTGATTGCGATGACAGTGGCGACAGTGGTTTGTGGTGTGGGTGGAAGTGCTTTGTTTTGGTTCCCGAAACGGTGAGGGCGAGGCACTCACGAGGGACTCGTATGAAGGAAAGCGCACCTCCAAAAGCGGCGGTGCTGGTCGCCAAACTTGAATTGGGCGGGAAATTTCCGTGCAACCTGCGTTGAAACTGTAGTTGTACGGAGCTTCCTTGTCCAACGAGCAGCAAGCAGTCAGAACAGACCAGATCAGTTGGATTAGGATCAGGCCAGCCTCAGCTCGGATCTCGAAGGGCGGATTTTGGAAACTCCAGCCATTTCTGCCATTTAGGTCCCAGAGTCGCGCAGATAGACTCGATCAGGAATTGACCACCATCGCCGAGCAGCCAAAAGCGGCGGCCACGATGTAGAAGGACAGCATAGTGGGCGAGGATGACAAGGGCTTGAGGCTGCCTTTGGCGCAGCAAAGCAAGATATTCAGAAGAGACGAGGACGGGCCAGGTGAAGAGCAACGGCATGTCGGCGCCGCCAGCACCACCATCAGCCACACGCCGCTGCTGCACATCAAATACGTGCTGAAGATGGGCGACGGCATCGCGATATGCCGTCCGCGACACGTCCGAGTCCGTGGCATCGATCATGTTCCGAAGTGAATCGCATTCTCCACCACCGGCAGACCGCACTGTCTGCAGCAAGGTGCGAGACCTTTCGAGGCCAGGACCTAGCTCCGTGTCGCGAAGCAGATGGGAGCTCTGCTCCACCACGGCCAGCATCCGCCCCTATATACGCTGAGACCGTGGACGAGGCGCTCGACGAACTCTTCAAGCCCGGCTCCCGCTCCCGCTCCGTTTCGCTGATAATGCAATGTCTCACAGATGGCATGGAGCCCGACCAAGGAAGAAAACAAAAATATGGGCGCGTAATTCGCCCGCGTCACTTCCAGTACCGGATGGCTTTCGTTGAATAGCGCCAGCGCCCTCGTTTGTAGACCCGTCGCGTAGGTCCGGTAGCGGTTCTGGGATTCGGGTTTCTTGCGGCTGAGATGCAAGGCTGATGAGGCGAGCAGTTGGTGCATGAGATACGGCCTCGTGAGTGCATGTTTCATGTAGATTGACGCGGGGATGACGTCGGATTGGCCCGAGGCTTCGAAATCTTGGAACTCCGCCGTCGAAAGGTTGTGGAACAGTTCGAGATGGGTCATGTCGACATTGTATGGAGAAGTGTGGTCTGGTCCTTGCTGCCTGGGGCTAGGTTCTGTCGTCGTTGGCCACGCTGTCGGCTGGGGTGTAGATGCAGCCGTCGATATCCTGCTCGTTGATGCCCCCGCGTGCGGATTGCCCCGGATCTGAGGACGGGAAGTAATACCTGGCACGAAATAAAGAGTCTGCCCGCCAAAGAATGAACATTGTATCTCGGCCGCCTGACAATTGGCGCATACCGGGTGGCTTTGGTCGCACTTTGGGTATCAAGTCAGTCCTCCAGGCTTAAAACGGTTGGTTCATTCAAATTGGAGCGAATATAGGTAACAAACATACCCTTACGTGCCTTCTTTTGCATTCGAGGCATCCATTCCTGGATTTCTTGTGCGGGCGGCGTGACATTAGTCGGGAAAATTCATATCTCCTTGTACACCCTGGCACTATGTTTTCAAGTCCCGTAGTAGGAAGGGAAAGGGCGTCGCAGATTTAGGAAGGTAGGTAGATAGGTTCTGCAGTGGTGGATTTCAAAGCCCGGGCATGGTCGACAGCCTGAGTCCCACCCAAGATGCTCAGCCTCGCCGAACTACAACTAGGGTGGATCGGGGCTGGTGTACAGTAAGGCTACCAGCGCAAAGTCGTCGATCCTGCCTTGTACTTAGGGGACAACACCTGACTATCCAGGTAACATACCTAGGTAGCCAGTCAGTTTCTATTCTACATCGCCGTCAGAATTAGACCCGATGATCTCCGGGTTTGGTGTAAAGGTCTACTCAACAAGCAGATGGGCAAGCAGGGCTAGGCAATCTCTGATACTGTCTAGTTGAGACAAGGCTGAAGAGTAATATTCAAGAATGGCTATCAGCACGTGTTCTCATATACACAGTCTTGACATAGGTCCAATTGAAGACGTGGAGAGTATTCTTGTGCGAAATAAACTCATAGACCATATGTTCATGCAGCAGCGGCTGTCTTTCTTGACGCACAAAATGTGAATATCTTTCAATATCTTGACAGTCTTGAAAAAGAGGCCCAGCTTAGGGGATGCTGTCCACTTGACTACCTAGGTATGGTCCTTCTTCGGTATCAACCCTGAAATAGGCTATATCTTCCGAGAAGGCGAGCCGTGTTGGGAAAGGATGTCGTGGTTTCAAGGTCACTTTGGAGGTATAACAGGACACGCTGGGTTATTGGGGTCCGGGGGAGATAGCCTAATGCTGATCGTGACTAGGAGCAATGTCAGCCACAATCTGATACCGCATCCATTGTCACTTGGTGTGCTTCGAGTTCAGTCGGTCTCAGGAGAAATCACACTGCAGTGACAGTGACGGGGTCAGCTTGGCCACACTCTGATCCTAGCAGTATGTAATGTGATCATTGCTGCAATAGTACTGCTAGTGGGTGGTATTGGTAGCTGCGCATGTGCACAGCAGGATGTTGTACAACTAGTGAGAAGAAGAATGCCAAGAATGGCGGGAGCTGAGGCTTGAGGTCAAGAGAGCATCATCAGCCACTAGTACTACTAGTGCTGTATTATTAGTACAGTGGCAGTTCAAGATCCTTTGCTCCACGGTATTCCACTGCACGGCAGCACGCACCCTGCACGCTGTCCTTCTCACTACTGACTCTGCCGCAAATCAAACTCATTCACGGTCGCTCACTGCATTCACCATCTTCATTGATATCTTTGGCCATATCACTTTGACATCCAGTCAACAGCCAGACTAATATCGCTGGTCGACCGCCATTCAAGATCCCAAACCCGGCCGACCCAACCTGTGTCCTTCTCCACGAGCTCTGAGCCGCAGCCAACTTGACCCCAACCACCGCAGTCCCGCTGTTCAGAGCCTTGAAAGAAAGCTTCGGCGCCAGTTGTCCACACCGCTCGAGCCTTGCGCAACTGTTCTTTCGACATCGAGCTCCGTCCAGGGTCTCATGTTGAAAAAGCGAAGACTTGGCCTACCTTACAGCCTTCCCCTAGACACCCACACAGTACTGGCAACCCCTCCGATCTCCTTCCTCTGCGCGTCCAACGTACAAACCAGGGCAAAGACAACAAAACCCTCCCTGCCTCGTTAGATGGCAGATGGTGCATTCCGGTTCCATCAGCCTGGAGCCGGGCAATTCTACCCGACGCAGCACGCCAACCACCGCAACCAAAACAGAGCCAGTTCACCGTCCGGGCCCCGACGTCCCTTCACCAACGACACGCCGTCGCCCTCTAGGTCGCCTGTGAATCCCTCTCTCGGTCATAATTTCAACATGTACTCACAAAATGGGTATCAAACTCAACATGGGCTGCTAAATGGGGCGCAAAACCACCAGCGATATGGTAATCTGCAAATGCCAAAATCCCAGCCACAACACCATGCTCACCACAATGTAACGCAACATCATGCGCAGCACCATCATGCCGGGCAGTTGGGACATCATCATAACATTTCGTCCGGTGGATTTCCATCAGCGACCCCTCACCTGCCCAGTTACGCGCACGAGCATTTGCAGAACGGCAATGGCAAAGGTTTACCGAATGACAGTCCTGACGAACTGGAGAACGAGTATTGGCGGGAACAACGACAATTTTATGAGGAGAGCAAGGAAATGACCGGACAGCATCAGCGCGCTAAGACGGTTGCGCAGCACTCTAAGGGAGTGAACTATGTGCCGTTGGGAGCAGCTGCGGAGGAACTGCAGACGGATAACAACCGGTCGGCGGCTTCGAATGGACAGAATGGAAACAAACAGACTTGGGACGAGCTCGACCTCGGCGGACAAGGTCTCTGTGCACTGTCACCTGTACTATTCAATCCGTCGTACCATTTCCTCAAACGCCTTGATCTGATGTACAATCAATTAGAGACTTTGCCGCCGGAGATTGGTCGTTTAAGGAATCTGGAGTATCTGGATGTATCCTTCAACCAACTCACCGAACTGCCCGAAGAGATCGGGATGCTTACGAACCTCAAGCACCTTCTTCTTTTTGGCAACCATATCCAAACTCTCTGTTACGAACTCGGTTTTCTCTACAAACTGGAAATGCTGGGTGTCTACGGCAATCCCTTGGAGCAAGGACAACGAGACAAGATCACGGAAGGAGGGACAAGAAAGTTGATCGAGTATCTCCGTGAGAGCATGCCAGGTTTGTTTTTGTCATTTCGTTTCGTTTGACAAGTACTAACAAACAGCAGAACCCCCACCACCGCGCGAGAGAGAATGGCACCAACTTGAAGAAGTAACAGAAAGCGACGTGGACACCATCAAGGTTCTGAACTACAATATCCTCTGCGATCGCTATGCCACCCAGCAGCAGTACGGTTATGTTCCGGAGCGCGTTCTGGGCTGGGGCTTCCGCAAGACATTGATTCTCGAAGAAATCCGCGAAATCAACGCCGACATTGTATGCTTACAAGAGTTGGACCGCTGCAGCTACGATGATTTCTTCCGCGGCGAATTGGCTGTCTCGGGCTACAAAGGGTACTATGCTCAGAAGAGCCGGGCCGAAACGCTGGGCGACAATGCGAGATTCGTCGACGGGTGCGGCACGTTCTGGAAAGACAAGAAATACGTGCTTCTCGACACGCAGCATCTCATTCTAGGACGGAAGGCAGTGGAGCGACCCGGTGCGAAGGCCTCGGCCGACATGCTCAACCGAGTTTGGCAGAGAGATGACATTGCGACGGTGGTGTTTTTGGAAAACCGCGTTACGGGCTCTCGGCTCATTGTCGTCAATACACACATCTACTGGGACCCGGCGTACAAGGACGTCAAACTGATCCAAGCAGCCGTGTTGATGGAAGAACTTCAGAAACTGACAGAGAAGTACACCAAGTACCCGCCGGCGACCAACAAACAAGTCTTCCGCTTCTCCGACGCCGAAGACGAGCCGCTTCCCGAGCCCGGCCCGTCGCTATCGTACAACTCTCCGACTCAAATTCCCATGATCATCTGTGGCGACTTCAACTCGGGCGCCGGATCAGCCGTGTACGATCTCTTTACCAAGAAAGGATTGAACGCCGAGCATGCCGATCTCGACGGCCGAGATTACGGTGCCTTCTCCCGTGCCGGCATGCAGCACCATTTCACTCTCAAGTCGTCATATGCCGCCATCGACGAGGAGATGCCCTTCACAAACTACACGCCTTCCTTTGTCGACGTTTTGGACTACATCTGGTACTCGAGCAATTCATTGAGGGTGGTGGGACTGCTAGGCGCCATCGATCCGGAGTACCTGAAACGCGTGCCTGGATTCCCCAACTTCCACTTCCCCAGTGACCACATCGCCATCGTGGCCGAATTCAAGGTCGAGAAGCAGCGGAATGTACAGAAAGCCGTCGAGGCTGACTTTGGACCATCGAGCAAGAAATAGTAGTTCCAGGCTCGAGGCTCGGACAATGTCAGCCAACAGGGGAACGAAAGCGAAGAGGACTGGCTGCTTGTGTAGGACTGGATCTCGGGGTGCTTGTGTGATTAGGCCGGTGGGGGCGTTCTGTTTCACGGGGCGGCGCTGTGTCCTGACGTTCATTAAAGAGAGAAGAAATGAAAGATCTCTGGGGCGGGCGGGGAAGACTCGAAGTGATGGAATGAATGATGGCCATGGTCAGAGTGGATGACATTTGGGATAAACCCCCTTTGGAATGGATGGGGTTTGGCCATGTATATTCTGCAGTTCTGTTCACTCAAAGTCTCTGTGTGTTTTCTCTCTTCTCTTGTCCGTGGTTCTCTTGTTCCTGCCTTCCCGCTTTGAATTCCTGCATCCTGTTCCGGGTTCCCTGCTCTACCTTGCTGAATTTCCCAAACGCAATGTTTCATCAAAGAGATTCGCAATCCTCTCCCATCGGAGTAGCGACGTATCTTCAGCCCATGGTGACCTCAAATTCAGGTCTGGGGCATGAAATCCCTTGCAAAGTGTCACTTGCTATCCCTTCTTCCCTCGCTCTGAAAAGCCTGATGTGGGATCCGAGTGGCTGGCTATAGTGGCCACCGGACCGTAACAAGGCTATGCATGGTGAAGCATGTGGGCAGCCGCACGGGCGTCGAAAAGGACTCGGGGGTTCGACGCCTTCCCCGGCCCATCCTCGCGCACTGCATCAAGACTCGGAGCCAAAACCTGGCAACTGCCCGCGTGTCGGGTGTCTCTCTGTCAGGCGAGGGAGACAAGTTCTTTCTCCGTGCAGTGTCTGCACACTCTCCCAAGATTAAGGTAATACTTCACTTCTTCATTCCAAGTTCTTTCTTGATTGCCTCCTCTTCCGCCCTTCTGCGCTGACTCTCATGGAGATCCTGGATTTTTCTTTCCAATTGGATCTTCTGACCGAGAAGATGCCCACGTTTTGTTTCCAGTGTCTGGATGTACTTGGCATAGTCGGGTTTGACTGCGTCGGCCTGCTGTTGCCGAGGACTTTCCTGCGGTAGTTGTTCAACTTGGGTCTTTTGCGGCGCCTCTTGCTGATGCTCTCTAGAGGTCTTCAATATTGCTCCGATCAGGGCTCCCGAGCATACTATGCCCGCAACGCCGATGGCGTAGATCAATGGTCGAATCTTGCGTCCGCCAATTCCACTTCCACTTGCGCCTGGAGGGATCTTCTGGGCCGGATTCAACGGACGGCCACCGCCCGAGGGTGTTGTTGGTGGTGGTGCATGTCGAGCGGACGGGGTGGGAAACGAGGGCCGGGGATGGTGATGTGACATTATTTCCTGGGGAAAGCGAAGCAGGCCGTAACTTATTGTATTCGAGCCATTTGATATAGACTTGCCGGTACGCCTCAGCTATGCCGTGCCAGCCCCGGTGGATGTGGCCGGGAATAAACGAGGTTATGAGATTACAACTATTTCATTCTTGAGGTGCTGTTAATTGCTGGTAATCGCCTATTGTCGATGAACTGAAGGAAGGTGCGGCGAGTTTGCTCGCATCCGTACCTTAGGTTGGCAATAATACAGTAATTTGGTAAAGCCAGTCTGTTCAGTCTGTCAAAGGACATTGCGGAGATGCCTACACACTACTGGCACTCGACTCTGAAAGGCTGCGGCCCGCAACCTGAACTTGAGTGCAACGCGTCCGATCAATCTCAATGATATAGGCTTTTGACCACCTCCCATCGTTTACACTTCTCGGTGCTGTCTTCGGGCACAGCTGCTTGACTTTTTTATTTGGCTCAGAATACTAGTACATGCTTCTGCTTCAGTCCCTGCCTGCACCCAGCGCGACCAGAGAATCGTTTGTCTAAGACGCTTCCAGCACCAGCACGAACACCACCACCACAATGGCAGATGAACCTGGCTCGCTCAACTGGCGCCTCAGCGCGCACCCGATCACACTTCTCACATATCTTGGATTCCGGATAGGTAAGTCAGACATCAAGTGAACATAACAACACGAGCAAGACATTGCCTCTGGACTATTAATACCCTCTTCCCCGAGTGAGCTCAACATCGGCTCTCCTCTCCCGTGAGGAACGAAAGTCGACACAACACATCTGCCCTCCAGTCTCAAGCAATTGACGCACACCTTGAACCAAACAAGCCGCCTGACCCAGATCCATTCTACATGGCAGTACATTTGAGCTAACTTTTCCAATGTGGTAACAAAACAGGAAGTCTCCTAATGTATCTATTCGGCGTCCTCTTCATCCGCAACTTCGTCCTCGTCTTCATCCTGACGCTCCTCTTGCTCTCGCTCGATTTCTACTACCTCAAAAACATTGCTGGCCGCCGACTCGTGGGGCTGAGATGGTGGAACGAAGTCAACACGGCCACAGGTGACAGCCATTGGGTCTTTGAATCCGCCCCCGAAGGCAGCCGCACCGAGAATAAGACGGACAAACGCTTCTTCTGGTTGAGCATGTATACTGTGCCTGCGCTGTGGGTGGCCTTGGCCATCCTGGCTATTGTGAGACTGCAGAATTTGATCTGGTTGGTCACCAATGGTATGTTTATTTGGTTTCCTCTGTCTCTGTGTGTTATATGCGTAAACGCTTCTCTCCGTTCGCAAGTCTATCTATTCAAATACTTACTACTTTGTGCATCTTATAGTCATCGCATTGGTCCTCACAATCACAAACACAGTCGCCTTTTCGCGCTGCGACAAGTTCAGCCAGGCCTCGAATTTTGCCGGGTCCGCGTTTCTCGGCGGCGGCATTGCCCGTGGTCTTGCTAGCAATATGGTCGGCCGATTCTTTAGATAACAGCAAAGTGGTCGGTAAAGTGGACATACTAGGTCCACGGTTAGAGGGCATCGGCCGCCCCGTGGGAGCCGGCCGTGGTCATCAGACCCACCAAGCTACCATATGTTTCAGCTACGATTGTGCAATGCTGGAAAGCTCCCTAAACGAACGACGCAATCTTTCAGCAAGACGGATGGGATACTCGTACTCCCCTGGATGGACTTGACTACCCCTGGAAGACTGTCCTGCCACATGCCATGCCTGAACGAAGTCGGATCGGACCAGTCTAGCTGGGCACACTATACCAATACCAAGCTCGCTTCACTTTGACCTGGCCTGGGGCTTAAATGCGTCTCTGTCCCTCCCCTGTCTGTTGGCAGAGACATCGGCCGGATTCTTGTCCCTCTTTGGCGCCCAAACAAAACGTGCTCTGCCACGTCGGCGGTACAGCATTTCCCCAAGACTTGTCAAGTTGGCCGGTCCATGTGGAGTGGAGAATTGGAAATTCAAGGACCTGTCGAGAGTACTTTGCTTGCAAACAGCTCCAGGCCGGTGGCGGGATTTTGAGCATCCATCCATTCATACCTATGCACGTTGCAGGAACAGAACACCAATGAGACGGGAACCCATAAGTTGAGGATTCATTGCTCGCTATACCTCTATGTATTTATAGTCCATGATGCTCGAAACCGGTACTGGTATCGCAAGAAGTCCTGCAAATGAGTCCATGACTACAACAACTTACTTTACGTACAAATATGAATGTCCCGAACCGGGGTCTTATTTGCCTAACTAGGTATCTCAGATGCACGCTGTTTAATGCTTTTCGACCACCACTGCTAAACCCAGAAGTCCCATGGGACGTTCCTCATTCCTTTAATTCTTTCTTTTACTCATTTTTCTTCCTTTTAGCTTCCTCCTCAGCGAGCAGCGTGAGCTCCATATCCTCAAAGCCCTTAAGAGCCAGACCATATCGGTCCCAGACGTCCTTATTGTAGCCATCGGCGATCTTCTCGACAAACTCATCCTCGCGCCACCTCTTGCCAATAAAATCCTCAAAGGTCTCCCCTGGGGTGCGCTCCATAGCCCAGACGGCCTTGTACGCCGCACCGAGAGCGCAGGCGTTTTCGCCGACATCGAGCTTAAACACGCCCTCGGATCCACCCAGGACCTCGCCGGCGACTTTGGCAATGGCCTTGTTGCGACTGCCGCCGCCAACAAGATACACTCTCCGCGGCTGCGGCGGAAGACCTGCGGCGGGGGATTTGACCAGGTGCTGGGAGCGGAGGCGCAGTGATAAGAATTGAGATTCGACGATGACGCGGGCATCCTGTTCGGGACTCTGGGGTACGGATTTGGTGCGCGCCAATGAATCTGACTTGGGATCGTAACTGAAATGCCATTCGCCAGCAGGTAGGTCCGGGATGATTTCGGGACGGGGGAAATATAGAGCCAAATGGTGGACTGCCCTCTCCTCGTCTTGTGCCAACGGCGGCGTAGATAATAGGTGTTTATCAAAATTGGCCCAGGTGGTCTTGTCAGTTTCTGCGACTTGCAATTTCGAGTTGATGGCGTCGCGCACCCGCTCGCGGGCAAGGCCGCCGTTTTTATAGCACAGCATGAACATGTACAGACCTGGCGTGGTGGGCGAGTTGAAGAAGTGATACGACGGATCTGGTTTATATTCCGGCGTGGACATGAGAAAGGTCGTCGACGTGCCCAGCGACACCATGGCGTCGTTGGACCGCAGCGGCAGAGACAAAATGGTGGACGGGTTGTCTCCGGTGGAGGCGATAATGGTACAATCGGAGCTGAACCCGTGCCGTTGCACGAAGTACTTTGAGATGGTGCCCAAATGGGCACCGCCGTCCTCAGGCACATCGCCCAGCTTTTGTTTCAGCGCTTCCACACCCGACGGACCGGCCGCCAACTCCAAAAGTTTCTCATGCCATTTCCCGGCCTTGATGTCCCACAGGTTCATCCCACACACGTCCGAGATGTCGAATGGGGCGAACTTGCCTAGGAAAATGGTGGCGATCCATGACGAAACAAGAGTGATCCGTTTCGTCTTGATATACTTGTCCGGATATTTGCGTTGGAACCGTAAAATCTGTGGGCCGGTGAAGCGGTGGTGCGCTTTACTTCCCGTGACATTGGCCAGTTCTTGTTGGCTACCGAGAATTGCATCAAACTCCTCGCATTCCTTCTGAGTGCTTGCGTCCTGCCAGTTGGGGCTATAGGGATGGGTGAAGGCGGCATCGAGTTGCGACTCTAACGTCTTGTTAGGGTCCAGTTGGGCCAGTAGATGTTCAGCATCGGCGTTCCAAAAGACACTGCCGTGTTGCATGCCCGAGCCACTGATCGCTTTTATTCGTTTGAAGTCGAGCCCGTCGTCCTTTAATCTGGTGAGGAGAACATCAATGGCCTGGAGCCACATGGCCACTGGAGCAAAGACCTCGTGCTCGGCCTCATTGGTCATGACCCCTTTGGTGATATTGAATCCTTTGGCGTCTGCATCGAAATCGAACTTGGCTTCGTGCACTTTCTTGAGGCTGTCGTCAACCACCAACCCTTTGAGTTGCTGGGTTGACAGATCAAACCCCAGGTACAGAGGTCCGGAGGATGCCATCGTGCCAACCGTTCGCTAGGTGGTCGTCGACGGAAGCAGGGGAGCAGTAATATGTATACAGTGATATAACAGATGTTCTGTTTGAGCCAGAACAGACTAATAATACAGTACAGAATGGTTGTGGCTTTGTTTTCTTTGAACGGCCACCACCTGTGTGACGAAAGTAGTGGAGACCTCAGAAATCCGGTAGCGAGTATGGTGGTCCGAGGGAGAGGTGCTTCAGGACCAGTAGCAAGTTGTAGGAGGGAGCAAGCAGCGAGTAGTGGCCGCGGTGGAGAGCGATGATGGGATGGCGACGATGATCATGGCGGGAAATGCTCCGGTGGGCACCGGCCTTGGCGCAATGATATCAGCCTGAAATCACGCCCACGACGCCCGCCAAAGTCCAGCAGAACTTGAACCCAGGACTGTGGTATCATACAGCAGATACGAAGGAGATCTTTTAAGAGTCGGTTGACGAAGTGATGGGCCTTGCAGCTGCTTGGTTTTCCGTCTTGGTGGATTCGTGTATTGTTCTAAAGGTGGAGCCGACGGAGCCCATCAAAAGCACACGTCAGCGGGAAGAGGACGCTTTGTAAACGATCTCTTGAATATCAGGAGTCTTTCTTGCTGCTTGCTGTAACATGGCTATGCTGGTGATCGTGGCCGTGGCTCTGGCCATGACTGTGATCATGGTCATGAACATGATCACGGTCAGCCTCGTCTTCGGGCTCTGGACTGCTTCGAACACTGATGGTTCCATCAATAAAATCATCCGCCAGCGTGACCTGTGTATCCTCCACGGGGACGAACTTTATGCGAACACGACGGACACCGCGCACTTTACTGCCAGTCCGTTCCCGGACAGCATGTTCAATGGCTTCCATATGCTCCAGCGTAAGGTCCTTGGGTACGGCCAATTCGATATCCATCAGATAGTTCTGTCCTGATTTCACGCCCTGGACATCTCGGATCTCCGTTTGGTCGCCGTATTCGACAGGCAGAATACCCTTGTCGGGGTCGCCTTTGAGAGCCCGAGTGGCAGCCAAGCGAACCGAGTCTTTGATCTCGTTGTCGACAGTGACATCCGCAAGCTCAAGCAGGGCCGCCCTGGTATTACTCCATCCAGCTCTTATCACCATGTAAGATATAATCAAACTACCGACTGGATCTAGCCAGGAAGCATTGCTAAACACATGCGCTCCGCCGATGGTGGCAAGGGCGACTATGCTGGTCATGGAATCGATTCGATGGTGGACGGCGTTCGAGGCCAGGACCGATGACTTGCGTTCTCGGGCGATCTTCATAGCTGGAGGGTAATGTGAGCGAAGTTCAAACCACAACTGAAAGCAGGAATCGACTTACTCGCCTGATACAACCATTCTTTGATCACGATAGAGCCGCCAGCCAGCCAAGCAGCATTGATATCAGGAAGGGCGCCTCCATGACTGTGGCTATGCCCAAGGAACGAAAACAGCCGGTGTGAATGTTCTCCATGCTCATGGGTTTGGGCAGCAAGTGTGGCGGCGTCGACAAACAATTGCGTGTAAAGGGCATCCAAGCTGTTGAGACCCATGCCTAGGCCACCAAACAACAACAGACCACTCACTCCCAGGGCACCCAGACTTTCGATCTTGCCGTACCCACTTGGAAACCGAGATGTAGCTGGTCTCAAGGACCATGAAATCGTGGCAAGCGTCATGAAATCGGAAACCAAGTCAGTCAAGGCGTGGAATCCGTCCGCAATCAACGCTTGCGAGTTGAAAATGTAGCCCCCTATCCCCTTGCTCAGCGCCATCCCGATGTTGACGAAGAGGCCAATCCGTGTTATCCTCACCCCCGGATCCTTCTTGTTCTTGGATGTCAAATATGCCGTATCATGGCTATGTCCATGGCCATGGGAGTGTCCCGCATGACTCCTTGTCTGTATCTGCGTCTGCGTCTGCGTTTGGGTTTGGGTTTGGGTTCCCGCCATTGGTAACAAGCAGGCTGGTGTGGACGTAGGGCGAGAAGGACGGGGGACAGGTCTCTTGGAGGATCGCAAGGGCAGGTGGGAGGGCCTATTTAAGCATAGGCTGCTGGCGAATCTGACTCCGGGTGTCCAGTATTTCAGATTGGAATTCCAACATGGCTGCCGGCAAGGGGCCATGCGTATGCGTATGCGTGTGCGTCGCGTTTCGGCGCGGAAGAAGTGCGTCAAGGGCATTTGAGGACAGCCACCGCGGCAACACGACTCGGACACGTAATTGTAGGCAAATTCGTAAGTCGACGACGGTTCTCTTCGTGTACTATTTATGATACTTTCCAGCCCATGACCCTGTCGGTACAGTCGTTGTTGTAATCGATTGGATTTCTCTACGTGGGCAGGGTGCACCCGCAGATCTCGGACTTCTTTTTTCCAGGGAGAAACCACGGAACTGGGGCCAGCTTCGCACGCTTTTGCCCTTCTCTCAAGATGACGCGGATGGCCACAATTTTTTGGTACTGTGGAAAACCGAAGCAAAATCTGAGCTCTCCTCGATGCCTTGCAATCTCGAATGACTTAGGATCAATCAGGCCTACACCGAGCTTAAAATCACAATGGCAGCCGCACAAACCCAGGCGGAGCTCTGACCGCTGCAGAGTCGTGCCCCAAACACGGCTTCTTAGGCCAATATATTGTTGCCTTGTATGCCTACATTCACACGGAATTGTGCAGCTTCCGCCACGTCGATATGCTGGAGACATGGAACACGATACCACTGCAGTCAAGTCGCGGCGTAAGCATGAATCGTCGGGGGCCTTGCAAACCACCAAGCTTTCGCTCAGGCGCGTTGGCAAGGCTTGGTTGGGAACGCCGAGACCGCATGCGACATCAAGATCTCTACATGTGACTCAATGCCCTCAGACGGCCTGAAATTCTATGATCTTTCCCTCACCTGGATATTCTAACACATGGTCTTAAAGCGACTTGTTGAGCTTGAAATTCCTCAGCTTGCCGCTGTTCAGTTTTGGTCCTCCAACTTCAATCTCTCCAGGTCTTTGATGGCTTCCTCCAGTCTCTTCACCTCGGCCTCGGCGTCTTGCAGCTTCTCCTCTTCTTTCTTTTTCGTTTCGGGGCTTGCCTTCTCCCAGCCAGCGGCACTCATAACCTTCTTGCTCTTTTCAGCTTTAGCCTTGGCATCCTCGATTCCCTTTGCCCGCTTTTTCATCTCTTCCCCTAGGTCGACTCGTCCCACAATCTTGAGGAACACCGCCGCATCGGCGTTAATGTTCTGCAAAGCACAGCCCGCAGGAGGAAGAGCACCGGCGGATGGAGGAAGGACCTCAACATCACCGGCATACTTTCCGCTGAGAGATTTAATCGATGTCTTCTCATCTGACGCAGTCTTAAAGGCCGACTCTGAGTAGGTCTGAATAATGAGGTCGCCAGGTTCTTTGAAGCCGTATTGTGCCAACAAGCTTCGCGCTCCTGCCGCAATTGCCATGATGAACTCGTACTTCTCAGCCTCCTCGGGCGCATCCAGTTTCTCGTTGAATTCGGGGTACCGCGCAATCATAATGCTTTCCGTAGTATCGCCCTTTCGGCGGGGCAGCTTCTGCCACAAGTGCTCAGTTAAGAAAGGCATCAACGGGTGGAGAAGAAGCAAGCCGCCCTCCAAGGCCGTATACAATGTCTGCTGGGCCGACTTTCTCTCATCTTCCGGAGCCTCTGGCGTCAGGAGATACTTTGAGTTCTCGATGAATGTATCGCAGAGCTGGCCGAACCAGTATTGATAAAGGGTGCCAGCAGCCACGGAGAATTCGCGGCCCTCGATAGCTTCATTAACCTGCTTGGCGGCAAGGTTGAACCTGTGCAAAATCCAAGCTTCCGCCAGAGATTTGGGCTGACTGTCTGTCGCAGTCGCGTTTGGTGTGAAACCCTCCCCAAGCCGTCCTAGAGCGAAATTGGTTGCTTGATAAATCTTGTTGCAGAATCGTCGCTTGGCTTCGATTTCTCGAATGTCAAAAGCGATGTCACCCCCTCCAGTAGTATAGTTGACAAGCGTAAACCGCAATGCGTCGGCGCCACACTCCTCAATACCCTTGGGAAACGCTGTCTTTTGATAAGCTTTGGCTCGGTCAATCTCAGAAGGGTCAAGGTTTCCAGTATACAACGTCTTATGTAGATCCTCCAACGAGATACCTTGGATAATATCCACGGGATCCACGACGTTGCCTAGAGACTTTGACATCTTTCTGCCCTCAGCATCGCGCACAAGGGAGTGACAGTACACCTCGGTGAATGGAACATCTCCTGTCATCTTGAGGCCAAGCATGACCATTCGGGCTACCCAGAAGAAGAGAATGTCCCAACCAGTCTCGAGCATTGACGTGGGATATAGCGTCCGCATATCATGGGTGTCTTTAGGCCAGCCTAGGGTGGACCAGGGCCAGAGTCCAGAGGAGAACCATGTATCAAGCACATCTTCGTCCCACTTCAGCGAAAACTTCTTGCCGGGGAACTTCTTTTCCGCCTTAATGCGAGCCTCATCTTCATTTTCAGCGCACACCCAGAAATGGTCATCTGTTTCATCGCTCGCTTCGCCCTCCAGTTGGACAAAGTATGCGGGAGCACGGTGGCCCCACCACAGCTGCCGAGAGATACACCAGTCCTGGATGTTCTGCATCCAGAAATGGAACCGACGCGACTCAGTCTCAGGCTTGATGAGTATTCTGCCATCAGTCACAGCATCATCCGCGGCCTTAGCAAGGTCCGCCATTCTCATCCACCACTGAGGCTTGAGCACTGGCTCGATGACGTCTTTACTCCGTTGGCATATTGGTATTGTCATCGGGTTGTCTTCTTGCTTGGTATAGAGGTCGAGCTCTTTCAGAGCTTTGATGACGCCATAACGGGCATCGAACCGTTTTTGGCCCGCAAAAGGTCCGGCGTTCTCATTCAGCGTACCGTCATCATTGAGGATGTTGATGAACTCCAGGTTGTGCTTTTTGCCTTTGATGAAATCGGAGGGGTCGTGCGCCGGAGTGATCTTGACAGCACCCGTACCAAACTCCATCTCAACCTCCTCGTCTGCAATGATCACAATCTTGCGCTCGGGAATGAAAGGATGAATTGCCGTCTTTCCCACAAGATGTTTGTATCTCTTATCATCCGGGTGTACAGCGATAGCTGTATCACCCAGCATTGTCTCCGGACGAGTAGTTGCAATCTCGATGAATTCGTGCTTTTTGAACCGATCCAGAGAGTCTGTGTGTCGGTAGGAGTCATCTCCGTTGCTGATGGGGTACTTGAAGTAGGTGAGTACACCAAACTCGATCATCTTCTCATAGCCCGGCACCTTCAGTTTCGTCCGGCCCTTTAGCTCCTTGTTGTCGACTTCCAGATTGGACAAAGAAGTGCTAAGAGCCGAGCACCAGTTCACCAGACGGTTCGCTCTGTAGATAATACCTTCGTCGAACAGATCGATGAAGGTTTTTCGCACGGCACGAGACAGATTTTCGTCCATGGTGAACGCTTCCCGGGACCAATCCATTGAACCACCCATCCGCTTGAGCTGGCTCGTAATATTGGCGTGATATTTGTCTTTCCAGCTCCAGATTTTCTCCAACAAGGCTTCGCGCCCAATATCATGTCGAGTCTTGCCTTCAGTCTTGTACAAGAGCTTTTCCACGACACTTTGCGTGGCAATGCCCGCGTGGTCGCAACCGGGGATCCATGCTGTTGTCTTGCCCTTCATTCTAGCGTGCCTTATCATAGTGTCTTGTAGAGCATTCGTCAGGGCGTGGCCCATATGAAGGGATCCAGTGACGTTGGGAGGTGGGATTGGGATAACGAATTTCCCTTCGGGCTTGATCTTGCCATCCTCGGTGAATTGAGGCTTGAAATAGCCTCTGCTTTCCCACCATTCGTACCGGCCGGATTCGATCTTTAGTGGTTCGTATGCGTCGACAGCCGTGGGCTTCTTGACCTTTTCCTTCTTTGCTGCCTTGGGCGCAGCGTCGGCTGGAGCGGCTTGCTTTTTCGATTGCTTTTCTTGGAATTTGGCAAGCTTCTCGGCCTTCTTACGCTCTTTCTCAACTGCAGAAGACATAAATGTCAGAGTATTTCTCTAGAAAGTAACAGTAAGGGCAGTTCGGGAGCGGTTCAAGGTATCTCTATTCGAGAGGTCGCAAGTGTCTTGCTACTTCATCCCGCTCGCCTTTGTACGTGCTTTCCCAGTCATCCATCATGAACATCCGGTGATCTGGTACTCGTATGGTAGACTCGCCCACATGAGTCATGTCATAGGGACCAGCCCAGAGCCCGCTCCGGAACAGTAACAGCGCACAGCCACATCAAAGCAATCATCCAGCGGTGCCTTGCATACTTTCTTTGGCCGTCTTTGGCTTGCCTGCCTCGCCCATCACGGTTTGGCCTTCATTGTTGCCTTTCTGGTCTTTTCCGGGCACACTCTGACCCATCGAGTCCTTTTGTGCGGCGTTTTGCGCCGTCGAGGTAATGTCCGAAGATACTGGTGGTGGAGGTCCTGATGGAGAGCCAGTTGGGTCACCAGCTGAGACATGTCAGCACAAACTCTCCTCAAGTCAAATTGTCGGTTATGACTCACTGATATTGTGCGATGCGGCATTCAACGCCATCGTGAAACGAGGCAGCCGTCTCCAAGCAGGAGGAGGGCGTGCAAGGAAAGGCCTGAGCAGTATTTTGCTGGATTGCCCGCCACTGCAGGAGATGTCGGCTTCAGATCAGACGAGATGCCTCAAAATATACAGCAGACAGACGGCAATGAGTCAGCTTGGCCACTTATTTGGTGAGTTTGAAGCACATTGGCAACTAGTCTTGTGCAGTGAGTCGCATGTCCGGCCTCTCAGTCCGAAAATACCACGACTGTGCCAAGATGAGTCAGGTAAAAACTGCCCCGAACTCTCCCCTGATTCGGACGAGGGTGATGCCGCCCAGTACAACTACGGTATTCACCCCAGCTACAGTTTTGTCAAGTATCTAATTCTACGTACTTTGTATTCTAGAGAAGGTAGCGGAGGAAGGTAAACTTTTATGCATTGCATTGGTGATCCTCCTCTTCTTCCCCCTCTCCTTCCTCTGCCGACGGAAACAACTCCATTTGAGCACCGAGACGGCTGAACAGCTCAAATTCCATTCTTTCACCTGCCTTTGGACCCCGAAGTATTTCACCAACAATATCAGAACCAGGAGGGAGGTCATGTTCGAAGCGCGGCTCTCCAGCACCCCTCATATTCGCCAGGACAGCCTGCCTGAAGTGCCATCGTAGAAGCGGATCAAGAGGCCCATCAGGGCGAGCAAATAACTCCCGATCAAGATGCTTGCCTTCAATATTTCCCCCTGCAGGGCCAAAGGCTACAACCTTGTAGTTGTCCTGTACTGAATATTAGCCTTATGCCTTCATATTGATATAAGATATTCATACATCCGGATTGATTGCGATGAGATATGCGTCGAATAGACTATGGATACCGCGTTCTAGCAACAATCCATTCTGTACTGAGTTGATAGATCCTCCTTGTTCCGGTTGAATTGTAATCCATCGACTGTAATTTCGATCGTTCCAGTGACCTTCATAGGCGAGGGGGAAAATATGCGCAGCTTCGAATTTCTCCCAGAAGGTGATTCCATTAAAGGTAGGTACAGGTTCTCCGGATATAATACATTGACGATCTCGTGAACGAATGGCCTCGGTGAAGGCGGTAACACGACTTCCGGTAGCTGGACTAATTGTCCGGACGAGCCATGGCTCATTGTTGAGCTGAAAAGAACTGGTAATAACAATGTAATACTTTCCAGGTTGAAGGGGATGGCCGTCTTTCTTAACCTTCGTTTCGTTCTCGGTTCGTAGAAAGAAACTTGAAGGGCTCTCGAATACAACAATAATCTCTATCATTGTATAGAAGTTGGCATTTGTGATACCGGGTAGGAGGAGTAGGCCGCCAATTTCGGTGGTAGGATCGTTCAAGTCGTAGATGTGGACGTTTCGCCCCGCTGAACGATCGAGTGCAGGCATGGCTCATTGCAGTGAAGAAATTCCGGATGGAGAGGCGAACGTTTTCGGGGACGCGGACACGGACGATGGAAGCCGGGGACGTAAAGGTCTCTCTCGACTTACTCTACCTGACACGTCCTCAACTCAGTCACTTTCACGTGTGCTGATTCGACATGTCCTCCTCAGATGGCCATGGCTACGAGAAGCCAAAGATGCAGATAACATGAAATCGTCACAGGAGTTGCATGGGAATGACAGATGGTAGATGGCAGGTACAAGCTTCGAATTAACAAGAGGTCACAAGAGGTTCAGAAACGATGGCAAGGACCGCGTAGCGGCAAGGTGAGTGCAGAAGAAGAGGGTAAAAAACGGCATGGCCTGGGTGAGTCGCACAAGAGGTCGGGTCGGGTTTTACACGGTGCGTGAATCGAGTATTCACAAGGGGAGAGATCAACGTCTGTAGGTTCCTACCTGTTGCAATAACCTTGAAGATTAGGGTGCCGCAGGATAAGAATAGATTGCTCAAATATACAGGTAGGTACTTATGACCAGGCACTGTACTTGTCTTTTTCCGCCAAGCCACATCCTCAAGGCCGATGATATCCTACGACAATACCTTACTACTAGTACCTAGTAAATAAGAACGTAAGCGCCACTTCTACTGCCAGTGATAGCCAAATATGAAGTAGTGTTTGACGATGTCCAATGGCTCGTTTTTGCAGCTGGAGCTGCTATGAATTTATCATTAATGAGAATGCCATGGACGCGCCTCGACTGAGCTGAGTTCGTCGCTAATACCCTCTATCGGCCCCTTCACCCGTTGCAGAAACAGACGCCGCCATTGCCTCCTAATGTGCCAGCATTTGGCACATTACGGAACTCCCGCTGTCATCCTGGTTCAATGCCCTCCACTATTTGGCTAACTCGGAGCCGGCAGAGCTTCTCAGGCTTCCCGCCCTGCTCTCCCAAGGCATCCTAGTATCTCAGCCAGCCGGTGCGGTGGAGACTCCTGACACGCATGCAACAGTCCCACTCGTAGAGATTGTTTTACATCTCGTTGATCGCTTCCGGTCAAGACACATGATTTTGCGAGTTTTGTTGGTTTGCGGCATTCCTGACTGGAGCAAAATAGGGGTGTGCCATTGCCTCCTGTGCTGTGAGACGTTCCTGTAGCCAGTGGTTAGCACCAGAATGCATGCAACAACAGAACACGGGCAGCACAAACCTGGTGATCATATCTGAGAAGTTTGTCGAGGAAGTCGATGGCTTCTGGGCTGACGAAACGCTGGTTTTCGGCGTTGACAAAGCTTTGCCAGGGCTTCTTTGGAAATCTGCTAAGAATGTCGTCGTACTGTGCGTCCAGTTCAATGTCGTACTTGTCGAGGTATTCGAATAGTTCATCTGTTCCAAGCACCTTCGCTATCTTAACCAATTGATCGGCGTTACTGTTTCCATGGAAGAAAGGTTCTTTGCGGAAGATCATGGAGGCAAACATGGCACCCAACGACCACATGTCAAGCGAGTAGTCATATTCCTGATAGTCGACCAGCAACTCAGGGCCCTTGAAGTATCGTGACGCCACGCGAACGTTGTACTCTGTTCCTTGGTGATAAAACTCGGCCAGACCCCAATCGATCAGTCGCAGCTGTACCCTGTCAGTCTTGTACCATCTCTGGCTTCATCATCTATGCTCACCTTTCTCTTCGCATGATCGATCATAACATTATGCGGCTTGACGTCCCGATGCATGATTCCCTTGCTGTGGCAGAAGTCCAGCGCCTTGAGCAATTCATAGATATAGTATCGCACGTCATAGTCGACAAACCGAGGGTACAACGTTCTGAAGTCGGTATTGTCCACATTCTCAAAAATCAAACTAGGAGTTTTGCTCTGGCTGTCGCGCACGACATCCAACAGGGCAATGATGTTGGGTCCGCCGGAGAGATTTTGTAGGATCTTGATTTCTCGCTTGATCTTCTTCTTCTTGACAGGCTTGAGCACTTTGATGACGCATTTTTGGTAATTGGCAACGTTAATGCCTTCAAACACCTCGGAGTATTTTCCTCGTCCTGAATTGTATTAATGTCAGTCACACCGTCTCAGCCGACACCTGCCGCGATCAAGCCTTACCAATCTTCCTAACGATCTCGTAGTTCTCCAAGACGCCCCACGAAATAGCCACGGAATCGTAGTCCCAGTACGACCGCGGCATTTTGGCGTTGACATCAGCGTAGACTCGCGCCATGGCTGCGGTTGTGGTCGGTCGCGGGGTTGTGTCTCATGCGCTGCAGGAGGGACGGTGAAGACAATTTTGATAACAGCCGTTGGATACAGTGGCGCCCTGGCACGCGCCGCCCAAGTGGAAGCCGGCTACGTGATGCGATACGCTGAAACAAACGAAAGTCGAGCGGATAAAGCGAGGAAATACAGTATTTTAAAAGGCAGCCTTTTGAAGCGCACTGGCACTGGCACTGGGCAGGCTGTAAATCAGGTGGTATGTACCGCATGTACCTCGTGTGGTAATGCTTCACAGTAGCAAAGTCACAAGATCTGGAAGTGGCAGTGGCCACTCCGCCTATCGGACATTTTTCTCCGGCAGCCTTGGCAACAGGCAAATCTTGAAGCCCTGCGCTGCCGTAGCCAATTTGAAGGTTTACTCCTCAGCCTTGTCACCTCGCTTCCAGGCTATGGTCTAGCCTGCCTTTGATGGATGGCAGTGTAAATTGTTTATAGTAACGAGGAACACTCAATCCTTTCTGTGGTCCTACTTTGGTCTTAATGCATACATCCTCACAGGATAAAGTCCTAGCTCTTTCGGAAATCCTGTCTGCACCTCTGTCTTGACCAACTTCAGCCCAGCCCTCTCAAAGCTCTCTCTCCAGTTCTGGTCACTGCGAGTGACGCTACTGTCTTCCTCGTCAAATATATCATTCCCAAATGCATCGGTCGATAAGTTTTCCTTCACTATGATCCAGCCATTGGGACGCAACAAGGGTATCAGCCTAGTGAAATAGCGGACCAAATCGACCATTGAAAGATGGTTCAAGCACCATTGGTTATAGATCAGGTCATACTTGGAGGACTGAGATGCTGTCGTTGAGGATGTTTCCTCATCCGAGCCAGGAGCGGAGTAAGATGGTGCCATCTCTGGCCTCCAGTCCTGCAATGGCACATTATACACTCGTTGTAGCTGTCCCGACCGGACAACTGGCGAGTCTTCCGCAGTAAGTACGTCCGTGAATTTCTTGATAGGCTCGATGATGTCGATCTTATAGCAGAGTCCGGCAAGCAGGTTGAGCGTAACGCGACCGATCCCCGCACCAGGTTCCAGGCAATGGTTGAATGGATATCCGTGCTGGTTGGAAGGCGTTTCTGTGCTAGCCCCACCACGTGTGGTCTTATCAAGGCGTTGTAGTTTGCGTAGGAAGTTCCGTGAGAACTGAATATCGATCCGAGACACCTGTGGGAAACCACCAAGCATACCATCAACGGTAGGTGTGATTGCAGACCAGTAAGCCACCTGATTGGGGACGGAGATGTTGGAGTCTGTCTCCGTTACATTGGCAGATTCTTCTGCTGGATTGTCATCGCGAATTTGCGAAGCACGTCCATTACTTTCAGGCTTGAGGGTCTGCGGGTCTGGCGAAGGGGATCCCAATGGTCGTTTTGCCGACGGCATTTATCCTGGTGAGAAGGTTCGTCCGTTTCTGTTTCTTCCAGTTGATAACGAGCTGTGTATATAGACGCGGGTATATGTGTAGATGTGTGGCCTGCAAAGCAGTTCGCTAAGTAGGCCGCATGATCAAAACGTGGAACAGCAGAAGTCAAGAGACTGCGAATCAAACGCGTCAACTTGGGTCACTGCAAGCGAGGCTGTAGCCAATGCCGTTTTAGGTTAAGCACAGCCTTGTGTACCCCATATTGGACGGGGAGGAAGCCACACTGGCGTGCCAGATATACACTGGTCACTGATAAAAGGGCATCACAATATAACACCAATCAAGAGTGATTCAGCTGGAAACGTACGATCTTCGGGACACAAACAACAGTCGTCCAGAAGAAGTACAAGGCATTCAAAATACTTGTCTCGGGAGGTTAGCTTAAAGCAGCATCCACTTTGCATCTGACGGAACAACATCGGATAAACTTTTCTCATCCCGCAACCTGCGCTGGGAATACTATTTGTACTGTACCTACTAGTAGCTATTATCTTCACATGGAACCATCACTCACAGCAGTCTATTTACCAGTCGCCGGCATGGCACAAGCCTAAGCAACCCAATGCCATTGCTTCACGGCAGAAAACAAACATGACCCTGTCGACTGCCACGGGATCGACGCACTTTTACGTGCACCACCAACGCCGACACCATCTGCAAAATGCCCTTCCACGACCTTAACGTACCGTACACCACGAACCATGCCGACTTACAACACACGCTCTTATTCCACGCCGAACTGGGCTACTCGGTAGTCGCGCTCTCGGTCTCAGTGACGGGCAAACTACCACCCACGGCGCCGACGATCCCAGTGTCATCACTGACCATTCCAAAGTCCATAGCCACGGTCCTAACCCGCCTGACGCTCACCATCTCGGACACTGGACAGAACCACCGCCTAGCCTCGCTCCAGCCACAGTACTCGATCCTGGCGCTCCGGCCGACGAACGAAAAGGCGCTTCAACAGTGCTGCAATTCGCTCGACTGCGACCTCATTTCGCTGGATTTCAGTCACCGGCTCCCATTCGTGCTGAAGTTCAAAACCGTCGCGTCGGCCTTACAGCGCGGCGTACGGTTTGAAATATGCTATTCTGCAGGCATGCAGAGCGGGAACAGCGATGCGCGTCGGAATCTGATCAGTGGAGCGGCGGCGCTGATTCGCGCCACCAGAGGTCGCGGTATCATATTGAGCAGTGAAGCAAAGAATGCGCTGGGAGTCAGAGGGCCGTATGACGTGATCAATCTTGCACAGGTCTGGGGCTTGGGTCAGGAGAGAGGCAAAGAAGCGCTGTGTGAAGAGGCAGGGAAGGTGGTGAGGTTGGCTGCTTTAAAACGAACCAGTTTTCGTGGAGTCGTCGAGGTCATTGACGGCAGAGGAGCAGCGGAAGATTACCCCACAAGTACTACTCGAACACCTAAGCAGGCGGATACGGGACGCCCAGACACGAAACCTGCCGTTGCCGGTGTAGGCACGGCAGGAAAAGCCGAACTAAAACGCAAAGAACCGAAGGGCATTACTGAAGATGTCAAAGCCACGTCGACCGGCGAGAAAGCAGCAGAAACGAACTTTCCCGACTTGAACGGCACGAAGAGGAAAGCATCGACCTCATCTATCCAACCGCCCACGACTGGTTCTGACCAGGTAGACCAAGACGCCGCAGGTAAACCACTGTCGAGACGAGAAATGAAGAGACGGGCAAAGAAAGCGAGGCTGGAGAGCCAAGTGCAGCAGGGCTGAGGGTTGAGGACTATGCCACTCGACCAGACGGAATCTGTTCTTCAACCAGTGTCACGCCGATCGCCACTGGCCCAGCTTGACTCGTGCAGATATATCACGAGCAGGATAATGGGAAAACATCACACGCCCCATTTGGATGCAATTCAAGCTCATTCACCGTCTCTCTGCTCCTTGCGCGTCTGTTGAGGTCAAGGAATCAATCACTTATTGACACCAGTTACCACCCGTCCGTGCGTACCATGGCATGGCATGATCGGAATGAGATGCGATTGAGCGCGACGAAATTGCCAACAGACCAAAGGCAGGCAAGGTGCTTAGGTTAAGCAGGGCTGGCTATTTGCCAAACGCCAACACCACCGCCATATTTTTCTCTCTTCCTGCTCGAAGCACCACCGCCATTTTTTCCGTCTTCCCGGCTTGAGGCCACTGGATGTATAGCCCAGGAGCCTTGATCACCATCCTTGTATGCGGGCACAGAACACCCACAATCCTGCGGCTGATAGATGCCATCACCGGACCCATCTTCTACCAGCTTGGGTTTTTGGTACTGTATCATAATACTGTCCTCGCGCCACAGACTCAACTTTGTATTGATCTGTATGTATTGATATCCGATATCAACCAATAAATCCAGAAGATACCATCCCAGAAAAAAGGATAATTCTTCCGAATATGTTGTTCTATACCCCGGTCAAGACTTGCAGCAGCTGCTAAATGTGGCCGTGTCATGGATATTTTTCGTATTGGATATTGGATATTTCAGCTGTTCTGTTCTGTCTAAGTATACAAGAAAAAGAAAAGAAAAGAACCATTTCTCTCTCCCATCTGCGGTCCATCCCAACCTGAGGCTCATTTCCGTAGTTCTCAAAACGGGACGCTGGAAGGCAGCCGTTCAATAAATCTCGACCTTGGTTAGTTCAAGATTGCTCCGTTTCACATACTGCCCAGAATGTCTGACCACGCAGACTTCTCGGACCCTTAGGCACGCTGGCGCCGACCGGGTTGATGTTCGAATATCCGCCTGATTTGTTTCCTATAACTTTTTTTCGTTTTCTCTTTTTCCTTGCGCCAGCCTGTAGCCTTTATTGCTTTGTGGTTGGCGCTCATCTTTCATCCCTAAGACATCAAACTTGGTCGAGGTGCTCTCTTCCCGATGCCCAAGGTATATGCATTTTTGAGCGAGAGGGTTGCTGGATCCAGTGTCTGGAATGAGCCAACGGGAAAAGTCGCGCTGGCACTGTCGGATGCAGTTGGAGACGCCGCAGCATCTGATGGTGATGCTGACACTGCAGCGGCAGATACAAGCGTAGACGCTGAAGCGGCTGCAGAATCAGAAGCAGTCGAAGCCGATGCAGTCACCGCTGAGTCTGCAGAGGACGGTGAGACAGATGAGGCTGCAGCTGCATCTGAAGAGGCTGTAGGTGTTGAAGCTGAACCGTCTGATGAGGAGGACGCAGCAGTTCCTGCAGCAGCACTGGCCTCGGACGTGATGTTAAAGGTGGCGCCGGTCACGGCGACGCTTTGAGAGGGATCTGTACCGGGAGCAGAGGCTGTAGGGCTTGAATCGGAGCCTAAGATTATAAAGTTCTTGTCAGTGATTTGTCCACCACAACACAACACTGTCAAGAAGTGAAGAATGCACAACGCTGTTGGGCATAACGGAGAAAAGGACCCCAAACAGGCAGGGTATCTTCAAGGTCTCACAACTCACCTGATGCTGAAGATGCTACCGACGCCGAGGCTGAAGATGCATCTGTAAAGAAGCTTCCAGGAGAGACAGCCGCAGCGCTAGCACTGCTTGCTGCTGGAGTGGCTGCTGCCGCGGCCCCGGCCACAGTGACTCCGGTCTTGACGGCCTGAGCGGCAGGAATCGAAGAGAGACCAGGAGTGAAAGCGGCATTTGTGGATGTGAACACCTGGGCATTGCCTGCAGCCATGACAGCCGCGGCCGCGCCGGAGCCTCCCATTGCCCAGGCAGATACAGCCGCATTAGCTGGGGGAGAGCCACTACCACACCAGCAGCCAGGTGGCGCGTTCACATATTGCGTAACGTAGGCGGTCACGGCGGGTGCTGTGCATGGTGACACGGCGGTGACGGTCATCTGGGACATCGCAAGCATGTTAGCAACAATGGCCTTATGAGATCTAGGGCCATGATTTCCTTGCGGAATAAGGTATCCCGCTCCGGGCAGGGCAATACTTACAGTTTCAGTCATGGTCACGGCCGCAGCGGCAGGCGGGCAATTTTGGGCCTGGACGATCGTGGTGGGTGCGGCATTGACTGTCATGACAGAGGTCTGGATGACCGTCGAGGCCTGGCATTGCTGCTGCTGGTTGTTGTTGTCTTTTCCGCTGCCGCTACCGCCGCCGCCGTTACCACCACCCCAGCCGCCTTTGCCTTGGCCCTGGCCTTGACCTTGGCCACCATTACCCCAGGAGCCTCCGCCGCCGCCGCCGCCGCCATTGTAGTTGTTGCCATTGTTGTTGTCATTGTTGTTGCCGCCTTGGCTATAGTCACCAGCCCAAACCTGCGTTCTGTTAGTACCTAGCTGATTCGCATCGGAGAACAAACAGGGCAAAACATACTTGCGCCAGGCAAGCTGCCAAACAGACAACAGTATAAAAGGAGCGGACTGCCGGCATCGCTGCTGTTCAATTGAATCGTATTGTAGTGTGAATGATATAGTAACGAGACTAATATCTCGAGGAGGAACGGGTTTCGTAGTCGAGAAAGAATTAACAGTGATGATGACCAGCAACAGAACGAATGACTTTGGGAAGCCTGCAACAAAAACAAGCAATCAATCAATCAATGATGGGGGCGATGAGAAAAGACGACTCGGAAGCGAACAGAAGAAGATGCGCAACCTAAATGCACAAAATTTGAGCCAGCAACAAATTTGAAAAAAACCAAGAAACCGCAGTGTTCGACGATCACAAATTGAAGGAACATGGGCTTCATCATTCTCTTTCGGTACAGAGCACTTCCGGACAGCGGCTTCAGACGGCGAACTGAAGGCAAGAAGACGACGAGCAAGCCTCGGGGTGTTCCAACGTTTGCAAATCGCCAGCCCGATAGTCATTATTGGCCCGACCGGTTTTCTCAAACGGAAGATGCGACGCGAGTTTCTTCAGTGCAGTCTCGACGTCGTGCCCTTTTGTGGCTGAAAAGTATCATGTTGAGGTCAAACGTGCCGGAAAGACGGTGCTGAGACGCGGGTGTGTTTCATGGTTGGGTGGTTTGGGCGGTTCGGAGGACCATTGGCGTGTCAGACCCAAGGGGGTTCAGACCCTGGCTGGAAGTACGCCTCCAAGTTCTTTGGAACAAACCTCTTTTTTGCGGAGTGCCCGATAGATCCTACTACTAGTAGGGTGGATGTACAATGTAGATCTCGCTACTACATTGTATCTGGACCGCTAAGGTAGTTCCTGGCCAGTATAAGGCTGGCAAACTGCAGTGATTTGGAAATGTCCTGCCAGTGCAGCGGTCAAAAACAAGCAAATCAGGGGATTATCCGCGACAGCCTTGGCAGATCTGGTTGGTTACATTGTCTGCACTATGCCCTTTTTGGTAGTTGGCAAGGCTGGCCCCGTTTCTTTTCCATCAAACTTGTTGGACACTCAAAACGAGGTGATGCAGCCTCGGTAGTCTGGACTCACCTTGTAACACTAGAGAAAGAAGTATGTACATACATGTAGATAGCCGTGTTTCTCTTAGATGAGATTTCGCTTGGCTCTTGGCCTGGGCAAGATTTGTCTACATCATGGAAGCCAACCCCTGGATTTGGCTCTCAGATAGCACAGCCTAGAAACAAAGGGCGAAACTTCAAACGGGCCAGGCTTTGATAAGTATCAGCCATTGTTGAGGACATCAAGTGAGAGACAACAGGCAATGATATTATTCCATCACAGTTGTTCTGTCTATTCTCTAGCTGCATCACGCCCTCAACCTCCGAGAGATCGAGCAGTTTGCTTTTTGGAGAGGCAGGCCTGCTGTTTCCGTCCAGCTCTAGAAACAGCCATAACCCATCGAAAGCAGAGACATTAGCTAAGATCTCAGCTGGCCCATGGTCATACCTAATATTCTCCTCCTCCAGATATACTGTCTTGGAGCGGCGTTCGAGGCGCCCATATGAGGATCAATGGTAAACATCCATTCCGTGCTGCAGGGTATGGCTAAGTGGCAGTGGCATGCCTCAATTCGTTACACAGTATGTCGAGTACATGTGAATGCTTCGATTCCACTCGAATGAAAGACAGAAGCTGTGAGGTCGCTCTCGCCGTATTCTCTGGGGTTTGTGTTCGATCAGCTGACGGCAATGGTGCCCGTTCTGGTCGTCACTTTCTTCATTTCCACTCGCTTCGTAACCTCGGCAGCAAGGTCGGCAATTTTGACGAGCACACCTTCCTTCTCCCTATAGTAAGTTAAGTCAGTAAATAGAAAGACCAATGCAGAACAAAATGTGTCCTAGCACTTACGGATGACCGTCCGGCAATCCCATTTCCTTGACTCGCACCTCTCCCTTTGCTTGCTCATCCTCACCAAGAATGACTGCAAAGGGCGCACCTGCTTGTTCGGCATTCTTGAATTGGACTTGCGGCTTGGGCTTCTTCTTGTATGTGAATTCGACCTTGAGGCCTGCATCCAATAGCAATTTGGCTATCTCGATCCGCTGTTTGGCCATGCCGTCGAAACCGCCACCTCCAAAGGCCATGATGTACACATCAGGAGCATTGGAGGATATATAGCTGAAGGTTTCACCTTTGGCAATCCTGGCTTTTGTAATGCTGAATATCCGATCCACACCAAAGCTCACGCCGACGCAGGGCAGATCTGCATTGGGCCTGAAACGCTCCACGAGATGATCATATCGGCCACCAGCAGCCACCGAGCCGATACCCACCGAAGGGTCATTGGATCGGTCTTCGTCTTCATCCAGCACCTTTTTCTCCTTCTTGCCTTGTTTCTGGACTTCTTTGGCAACCTCGGAGCCATTTGCGGTCACAGGGGCGGAACCCTCCGTGATAACCTCGTAGATGACACCGGTGTAGTAGTCCAAGCCGCGAGCAAGGGAGAGGTCAAAGGAGATCTTGTCCAAAGCGCCCCAAGCGGAAAGATAGTCCATGAGAATCTCCATCTCCTCAACTCCCTTCTTCGCTTTCGCATTGCTCATCAACGCTTCGTCTTTCTGCAAGTCTTCCAACAGATCTCTTCCACCCTTTCTGGTAACGTAGGTCTGAATCTTGTCGGCCACGACTTCATCAAGACCTTTTGTCTCCACCATTTCCTTCTTCACTTCCTCCCATGGCATCTTATCTAGCTTATCGACTGCACTGGATATCGCTCTGATCTTGTCCTCCGGAACGCCGCAAACCTCGAACAGACCATCCAGTATCCGTCGGTCGTTGAGCTTGATGGTGTATCTTCCATTCCACTCGAGCGACTCGAAAACCTCGACAATAATTGCAATAACTTCACTGTCGGCCATCATTGGATCACTGGCACCAGCGAAATCAATATCACACTGGTAGAACTCCCTCATGCGGCCCTTGGCAATGGCGGGTTGATCTCTTCGGTAAACCTTGCTGATTGCAAATCTCTTGTAGCTTTTGATGTTTGCGTTCATGGCCAACCATCTGGCAAATGGGACTGTCAAGTCGTACCGCAACGACAGCAGCTCGCCTCCTTGGTCCTTCAGGTCGTAGATTAACTTGGAATCCTCCCCGTACTTGCCCTTCAGCACTTCTTCCCGCTCAAACACTGGTGTATCGAGCTTCTTTCCACCATGGCGGCGAAAGACCCGGGATATTTGGGCGAGGATATCTTCCAGCAGATCAACATCTTCCCCCGACCAGTCACGTGTGCCTTTCGGGTTCTTGATCAGCTCTTGCTTCTTCTCCTTGTCTTTCCCCATTGTTGTGCAATGTCGAACGAGATAATGCACGGGTGGGGGACGGTGTACGGTCGCAAAACTCGGGCTAGGGAGACTTCTGGTCGCGCATATGTAAATCTGCCGGAGCACGCGCATGCGAAAAGCGCAGAATCGTGCAAAGAGCAGAAGGCGATGATCGTGTTGAGTCACTACAGACTGCAATCCAATAAATAAATTCGGGCTGCAAATGACGATGGAGAACGCTGTGTACCTCCACAAAACGAGGTCTCCAACCAACGGCCAATGGACAAACACTCGAAACACGACAAACCTGCCAAGCGCAGACGCTATTGGCTAGCTGAGAAGTCGCATAAGAGAGTCCTACACAAGTTCGACGAGTGTTGGGAGCAGGAGAAACAGGACCGCAGAAACAATACAAGGCTTTCATACATCGCATCACATTCAAGCCTATCTCATCAGGAAGCCCCTGCTGAGCCACCGACATCTACAAACTGAACATCAACCGCCATCAACCATGATCCCTTGACACTGGCCAATCCTACCACGTCGTTGACCCTGGAATATGTCCTGGACTGTAGCTGCCTCTCTGCGGACTGCGCATGGCACTACCAATCATTGCCGCTGCCGGGCTACCATTATTCTTTCCCCTACTGCCAGTGCTGCCACTCCCTTTACGCCCAGTGGCCTCATATTCGGTAGTCGAAGGCATCGGCGGGATGGGATCGGCATCTTCAAACTCGCCAGAGAAGTTGCTAACCCCGCCAGCTGACCGGTTGGTGTCGGATCTTGGTCGTTGCTGATCATTGGAAGGGAGAGTTTTAGCATAGGCAAGGAAAGGGGATCCTTGAACCTCAGTAACAGGGCTATTCGGAAATGCCTGGAAGCTGCCAAATGCGTAGGGCCGAGCAGGCTGTGGGGGAGGCCGGGTTCCTGGGAGTTCGCCTTCGGGAGTCAGAGGACCGCTGTTAGTAAGCATCATCTCGCGCTGAGCAAGTTCCTGCTTCTCAAGGAGGTCAAGTTCTCTGAGGTTTGCTTCCCAACGCATCCTGGAGTTTCTCAGTTCATTCTCCATGAAGCGGATCTGGTGTGTCAGCTCCGCTTCGCGTCTCTGCTGATCGGCGCTCTTTGCATTGGATTCGGCAGCCCTTCTTTCCTTCTCATTCAGCCCTTGCACATTGGCATGAGTGATCCGGTCGTGCTGCTCAGTCAGCTTAGTATTGCGGCTGGTAAGACGTTCTTTCCGGGAGACAATGTTGTTGAGTTCACTATTGGCGCAGGAGAGGTCGTTGCTTGCAGCTGAACGAGCCTTGGACAGTGCCTCGTTGGCATCGGCAAGCCGCTTGCTCTGTTCTTCATAAGCCGCTTTGCAGGCGTTGTGCTCTTCGATCTCATCATCGGGCGTCGATACTAGACCTTCAAGCGCTGCATCAATCTCCAAAGTAGCATCTTCGGTCTGACGAATGCTACGTTCAGCCTGCAACAGCTTCTGCCTTTGCTTGGTGTCGTCACTAGCGGTCTTCAGACGCGTGTTAAAGCTGTCAACTTCTTTTTCCACTTTTGCGAGAGCTGTTCGATGTTGGCGGCGCAGCTTCGTAAGGCGATTCCGAGCTTCATTCAGCTTGGCCTCCGCGGTCGAGATGGAATTTTTTAGTGTTGTTGTTGGCGATGACGGTCTCATAGACTGCCGGACAGGTATCGGCGCAAGAGAAAGGGGCAAATCCTTGTCGAGCAGCACAGGAGTCTTCACCATAACCGACGCAAACTCCTCTTCGCCGTCCGTACGGATGAAGGTGCAAGTATAGGTACAGTTTGGGGCCAAACCCGAGATTGTGCCAGACCACTGGGCAGGATTGCCTTCGGAAACGGACGTAGGCTCCATTGCCTCTAGGCTAACAGAGTGCCACCTGGCTCCATTGATGCGTACGTAGAAGGGTCGGTAATCGCTAGTCACGGGAGGGTCGTGTTCAGAGGATGATGCGTAGGCCGCTTCGAAAGAGATAGACGAGGGCTCGACGTTTGTAATCCAGACAATGTCTCGCTGTACAGTTTCAAAGGGTGTGCCTTGATTATTGGCAAGCGGTGGAAGTGCCTTGTTGTGTTCCACCTCTCGGAGTACATGAACCTTGGTGCTGGCGAGAGCGGCCCAGAAGGGTTGTCTGCTTCTAACATGGTTGGCTTGTCGTCTCCGTTTCTTTGCGCTCACACCCTTTTCCTTGCCTTCCTTCAGACCCGGAGTTGGAGGGGCTTGGTAGTCAATGGCTGAGGAGACACCGGCTGACGCAGACTCCAGAGCCGACATGTCCGAAGCGGACCCTGCAGAGGCTTCTGTGTCGGCGCGTTTCGATTTCGTGGAAGATGAAGACTGAGAGCTGCTAACCCTACGCCGCACGAAGGCCATAACGGCTTGGCTGATGATATGGATGGCGAATAGACTTCGTATATGCGACGGTGGTCCGGGGCTCTCGCCAAAATCGGAGTCGGACGGTAGGTACTTGAAATATTCGGTAAGTCCAGCCTGGGAAAGTAACTCCATCGGCACGAGATTTGTGAAAAGAAAACGACGGACGCCTCTGCTTCGTATCAGATGCAGCAGAAGAACTCCGATCACACAAATCACGTTGGCTCGTCCATTTTTCCCTGAACTGCCATTTCCCAGCGTAATGGCAATCTGTATCTGAGCCAAGTCCAGAGCGAAATTTTGAGCCCAGGTCCAGAGGCACACCCATAATCCAAAGCATATCACGTCGACCACGACCATTGTGGTGATGCTGGGAGCACCCGCCGAACCCTGGAAGATATCGAGCAATGAGAGAAAGGAAACCGGAGCGCCGCCTCCTGGCATCAGTGTCAAGGATGCAAACAGAGCCTGGACAATGGTCAAGATCATGGACGGCAGAGCAAGCAGTACGATCAGCAAAGAGACCGTGTCGCAGGCGGGGCGTGACCGGATGATAGTCGAGGCGATTTGCAGAGCGCTGAGCTCTTGGGGAGCCTTCGGTTTGGAAGAAGACATTTCGCCCCTTCTTTGCTGGAATACCGCCGACCCATTCGACTCGGTTTTGTTGTCCTTCTCTTTCCCTTCGTTCCCCTCCGACTCTCCGCCCTTTGAAGATTGTGTCAGCTCCTTCGCAATTTCCCGACTCGAGTCCAAGGTGGCTGTATCAGATTGGCTATGGCTCGGCGCGCTCACAGATGGGTCGGTAGAGGGAACCTGAGGAACAGGCTCGGAGGGAACAGGTCCTTTGGGCGTGCCATTGAGGTGACCATTCGACTTCTGCCTCGTAACACGTTTTCCGGGACCTACAAGCCCACTGTCATGGCGATTGTTATGCTGGTGCTTTTTCGCCGCAGGGTTTCGCGGCATGAAGGGTTTTGGGGGTCGAGTTCGCCGGCCCCGAACCAGTCAGCTTGCAGACACTTTTCAGGTCAGCAAGCCAACTGGACGAAATGGGCTTGATCGGGACTGAGGGACGCCAGGAACGGAGCAGGAGGAGATGCACAGAATATGTCGGTAGATGGTCGCCAGGGTAGGATGGTGAGTATCGCTACCTATACATGAATAAGAGGAACGAAGGAACGTATGTGGAAAAGCTATGGTCAGGCCGTAGTGGTTCGAAGATGCAGTGCCAAATAATGAGCAAAAGATGGTTCAGGTTTGGCTGCAGTGTCTTTGCGGATGTCGTGAGTTGCAGTTGGAGTTGCCAGTGCGTGCGAACCAGCGCCCGAACGACCAGTAGCCAGGAAGCTCTGCGTGGGGGGCCACTGGCAGTAGAAAGCCTCAGCTTCGGGGGGCAAGAAAAGGCCCTCGGGCTTAACACCCAGGCTAACAAGGCCCAGGTACAACATCAACTGGTCGATGGCCGATTATTTTTCGCCCAAAGGAGTCGGCATCCTGGATGAGGCACCACGGCACTGGCAGAGGGTGGGAAATGTCTCTATTATTGTGGCCCTCCAGCTAATCTCTGCCCAGACAGAGCGTCCCGATATACTGTATGCCTGCAGGCTCCAGGTCGCCTTCTCCCAGGTCCTTACTGATTGATTGATGAGCCTCTGGAGCTTCCTCTACAATGTTGTAATACCTGCAAGTACAATCAGCAGCGCCTCAGGAGTGAAGTTTAAGCCTTGCCCTGGGCGAGGCCACTACGTCCCTCTCAGCTCCTCCTACATACCACAGCCGCCCACCTGTTATTATCACAGTCCCTTAGGCACTCCTATACCCTCGGCCACCACCAGTACTAGTGATAGAACCTAGGGCCACGAATATCCTATCCTGGGCAGTTGATCATAGCGGCAGAAAAAAATTGACCCAGCAGCCACCTGACATATGATTTCTTCATCAACTTGAAAGGCGTGTAGTTGTGGACCCTTCTACTTAGTTTTTCTTTCGAAACAAAACCGACGGCCAATCAACCCTTACACTCCCTCCGGCGACAAGGGCGAATCCCAATACTCCAGGCACAAGGCCGACTACAACTACTCATGACTGACAGCGCAGCAGATCCTTACCAAAACGTCCTAATGCAATGTTGCTGGAGCCACACTTTTCCGACATCTGCCACTATAGTGGAAAGTGTTCCTGAGTTGTATCCGAGCAAATTGCACAAGCTAAACCCCTATCATTCAGACATTGCGGCATCCTTCACAACTGTGCATAAATCATCGATGCTTTCCTCTCTTCAGACCACGTCTCGACGGCCAGCACTGAAATTCACAATCGGCCCTGCTAGCTCTGCAGACGATGCTGCGAACCTCGACGTGGAAAGCGCAGGGTGGACGATTCGACAGCAAAGAGACGAACTAAAGAGGCGGAGTGCAAAGAGCGCATTGACAGCCCGCCAACAGATCCTGGACCAGGCAATCCAAGCCGTTCTAGGTTTGAGGTGAAGCATAACATACCGGTAACATCTCACCTAAGCTCGAGCCTGACGAGTCAGATTCCCTCCGACCGTGCTTCAACTCCCTTTGACGGCCGGGCCTGCGGCATGAGCGCCACCTCATCACACCCGAGGTGTTGCTACATACGATCTTCGTCCTCCAGACTAGCACCCGTCCATCCACACCCAAACTTGCGCTATCGGTCGATCATGACCTGATTCTGCAGGTCTGCCGATGACTTCGCGGTGGAAAGCATCTTCATGGCTCATCCTTTCATGGGACGTCGTTTACCTGTACACCTCCGGCTCTAGCTGAGAAAGAGTCGCAGAGGCTCAGTAGCTGCCTTTTGCGGAGTCTGGCCAACCTACATGTTTGATGATCAGCGCTGTTTCCTAGTCGTTCTCCGCTCTTTCGCCGTTGAGCTTTTCCACACCGGTTACTATCGAGGATCTGTACCCCGGATCCTTGTCTTAAGGATGAATATGATATATCTGTCGGGCTGCAGAGTACCAAGAGAACTGTGAGTTCAGGATAACCCCCACATTGCCATGTCGTGTTCCGATCATGCCGGTTGGGCCTGCAACAGAAGAGGCCTACTAGTACGAACAGTGTACTACTCCTCCTCAGTACTAGTAGGGCGTTGACAATGTTGAGCTTTGCAACCACACCGCTCATTCACTTTGGGATGAATGGTAGGATTCACACTGCGGTTTGTCGGTTCAGATCAATCACAGACCTCGCCAGAGAATCAAGCTAGCCTTTGCTTGTTGCTGCCGACTTTTCGCCAACATTTTCACCACTCAGTTGTATATCCTATCACGGGATCAATGCTTGACGACGGGGTTGTTGATTGGTACACGCAAGGGAAAAAATGGTGTGCTGGGCCACGGTTAACTGTTGCACGGCAGGTAAGTGGTCACACGTCGTTATCGATGGGGCTTGGGTACCGCAGATCACACCTAGAACCAAACCAATATGTGGTGGTCTGGATGTCTACCAGACGGTTCAGTCATTGGACGATTTTATGGCCCTCCCTGGACATGGCTCCAGTTTCCTTTGTGCTATGGACTCTGCATACTGTACTGAGTCGATGCCAGAGCAGTACGAAGGCAGGGAACCATGACTCCAATCCGGGCGAAGCAATAGTAGCGAAAATCAGTATCCATTGAATAGGATCCAAGGTAAGAATAACCCTTGTGCGATGTATTCGTTTCCTACATAACCATCTGTGGACGTGGCTCGAGAGCTCTCCAGTCTCAACACGCCGCCGTCTCCGAGATGTCACGCTCAAATTTTGCTTCTGCCGACCCCCTCAGTGTCCTCGATCCTATACACATACTTGACGGCGCTCGCCTTGCCGTTCTGCAAATTCTTCAAGCCGGTCTGCACACCTCCCAAGCCGCCCAGGACGACATCAAACGGATGAGCCTTAAACCAACCCTCCTTGAGACCCAAACTAAACAGGCGGAACCAAGCATACCCCAGATCTTCCAAGTCGTCCGGTGTACCATGCACGGAGCCGACCGTGGTCAAGGTAGCATGGACCGACTCAGGAATAGCATCCTTGACCGGCGGTAGCACTGTAGTGATATGACCATTCGGGTCCAAGACCTTGACAATATTCTGATAGCTCCCCTTCTCACTGGTAGCGTCATAGGCATACAGCAGCTTCTGTCCCTTTGGCACAGCGTTGCGAATACCCTCGACGACTTTCTCATCGCCTACTCTGTAATCAACGATAACATCGCCCTTCGACTTATCGATCAGTCCCTCAACAAACGGAATTCCGCGACCAGCCACAGCAATAATAGGGTGAATATCCGCTCTGACGAGCAATTTGACGACAAATGCGCCCACAGCTCCAGCGGCACCGTACACCACGACGCCTCCGGCCACGGCGTCCTTGCGCGCTTGAGAAACTTTAACCCAAGGCTCCGGCAGACCCAGACGGGCATAGAGCCCCACGACGGCCGTCATGGCAGCCAAGGGGATAGTGGCGCCCTCTTCGAACGACGTCGACTTGGGCAGATGGAACGTCGTCTTCTCCGGAGCAATGGCGTACTCTGCAAACGCGCCATACGGTTTGCCCATTTCATGGAACGCCGCGACCCGGTCGCCAGGCTTGAACTCGGTCACGTTGGATCCCACGGCTTCGACGTACCCGGCCACATCGTCGCCTGTGTTCAGCCCGTCTCGACCCTTGAAGAAGATCGGATACTTCCAGTCCTTGGGGTTGGTGCCGGCCACGACCACTTTGACTAGGACTTGGTCCGGTTCCGGAGAGGGAACGTCGACGTCCTGGATTCGGACTTCGAAGTCTTTGTCGCCTGTCTTGTACACGTGCGCGGATTTCATCTTGGCTGTTAAGACTTAACTGGAAGGAGGATGAGGGGTCTGTAATGCCTTTCTTCCCTTTTGAATAGGCGGATAGGATAGTATAAGGTATAGTTGCGACCTGTAGGTAAGATACCTTGGGTTGGCTGGATTCGAGACTCCTCGGGGCCGATTGTGTTTGGCTTTCCTATCCCTCAGCAGATGGAGTCGTACCTAGGTAGGTGGTTGCGATCTCTCTCTCTCGAGCGAAGCTGTATATAACTTAACCTCAAAATACCCGGACGCTTTCGGATAAGAGTCCCTAGACCAGCGAGGTACTACAGTGTACCTCAGATACAATAGATCTTCTGGAGGGTCACAAACAGGGAGCTTCAAGGACTCGGTTCACGATATGGATGGTAAAATGACCCAGGTTTAAAGGTAGGTCTTCTTCAAAGTGATGATCCTACGGAGCGTAGCGAAGTAGGTTCTAGTTATGTGTTCTGCCGAAGATGCAGTGGTGAACTGCCGGCTCACACCGGGGGTAAAATCCCACTATATTAATAATGCCTGACCAGCAGAGGTGACGATGATGATGATATGATGGAAATGGTGTCATTATCAATCAACTGTCCTCACTACTACTGGTAGCACACCACCCAAGTGCATTCAATTGCTCCTTATTGAATTGCCGGGCGAGCTCCAAACAAGTACATTGGGCCACAGCTGGTATCTTGCATTAATAGTGCCTAAATTCCCCGTTCTCTGACTATCTACGTCCCTACAGTACTACAGTATACTGTACAAATGCCGAACCTTCGAGATACCGAACTCGGAACTGCAAAAGTTGACGCAAACTCCACTTCTATCGAATGAGCTCCAGGTACAACTACGTACCCATTACCTGCTGTGACTACAGTACTCCTGTGTGGTAGAATACCCTTACATACTTGGGTCCGATTAATGCTACTAAAGGTCTCGACCACAGATAATGATTTAAGGCCCTTGTGGTTGCGTTATCCGGGGGCAGACAGGGCTGGACGCTCGCAAATTTAAACATGGAGAATCAATTGAGGACCAGTATGTGATCTAAGTACAACTAGACACTTATTTTGCTTGCCCGGCAGCCGCTTCTCGCTCACGATCTGCCATCTGGTGTCTCAACTAGAGTAGTGGTGTCCTTTTTTGACCAAGCCAGAAATTGTACAAACATCTGGAAGAGCTCCATTAGCTTTCCTCATCTTGGCCAGACCCAGTTCGTGCATACCTATGAGAAGCTCTTGGTGAAGTTCACGACAACCTCCTTCAGTTGCTGCTCGAGATCCTTGCTCAATTGTCCCTCCTTGTCAATTCTGCTCAGGAGCTCGGCTTGGTCGTTCTTCAAGTGGGCCAGGAAGTCAGCCTCCCATTGCAGGATCTTGTTGACTGGGATGCTGTCCAAGTGACCGTTGACACCGGCGTAGATAAGAGGAACCATTTCGTTAACAGCCATGGGCGAGTATTGCTTCTGCTTCAACAGCTCGGTCAAACGTTCACCACGGTTGAGAGTCTGCTTGGTGGCGGCATCAAGATCGGAACCGAACTGGGCGAAAGCGGCGACTTCTCGGTATTGGGCCAAGAAAAGCTTCAGGGAACCGGCGACTTGCTTCATGGCCTTGAGCTGAGCGGCGGAACCGACACGAGACACGGAAAGACCGACGTTGATGGCGGGACGGACACCCTTGTAGAACAACTCGGCTTCCAAGAAGATCTGGCCATCGGTGATGGAAATGACGTTGGTTGGGATATAAGCCGACACATCACCACCCTGGGTCTCAATGACGGGCAGGGCAGTCAAGGAGCCACCGCCGTGCTTGTCGTTCATCTTGGCGGCACGCTCCAACAGACGCGAGTGCAGGTAGAAAACATCACCGGGGTAAGCCTCACGCCCAGGAGGACGACGAAGCAGCAGAGACATTTGTCGGTAGGCAACGGCCTGCTTGGTCAAATCGTCGTAGACGATGAGAGCGTGCTTGCCATTGTCACGGAAGTGCTCACCCATAGCGGTCTGTTTCAAAAGATTTCGTTAGTATAAAACCAGAATTCGTCAATCGGGTACTCCCGAAATGGAACAGCTTACGCCAGTGAAGGGAGCAATATATTGCAGAGGAGCGGCCTCAGAGGCAGTGGCAGCGACGACAATGGAGTATTTCATGGCGTCGTTCTCCTCCAGAGTCTTGACAAGCTGGGCGACAGTGGATCGCTTTTGGCCAACGGCCACGTAAACACAGTAGAGCTTCTTGGTCTCGTCATTGGAGTTGTTCCATCTCTTTTGGTTAAGAATGGCATCCAGGGCAACGGCAGTCTTTCCGGTTTGACGATCACCGATGATCAACTCACGCTGGCCACGACCAATGGGCACCATTGCGTCGACGGACTTCAAACCAGTCTGGACTGGCTGATTGACGGATCGTCGGGGAAGGATACCAGGAGCCTTGAGCTGAGCACGGCGTCTCTCGGTGGTCTTGATTGGGCCCTTGCCATCAATGGGGTTGCCCAAAGCGTCAACGACACGGCCAAGCATGGCCTCGCCGACAGGAACATCGACCTGGTGGTGAATTGTCAGTTTAGGACACATCGGGAAAGGGCCGCGTTTTCCCTCACAATCTGGCCGGTACGCTTGACAGTCTCGCCTTCCTTGACCAAACGATCGGAACCGAAAAGCACCACACCGACTTGGCCAGCTTCCAAGTTCATGCACATGCCCTTGACGCCGGACGCGAACTCGACCAGCTCTTCGGCCTGGACGTTGGTCATGCCGTGGACACGAGCGATACCGTCACCAACGGACAAGACACGGCCAGTCTCAGCAAGACCAGCCTCCTCCTGCACACCCCGAATTCTCTGCTCCAAGATAGAGGAAACTTCGGTCGGGGAGGCTTTGGCATCGGCGGCGTATGATCGGACCTGTTTCGAGGCGGCATTGAAAGGTGCGGGCGTGACGACACGGGACTGCAGAATTCGGTGTTAGCCCTCCAGCTCGTCATTTCCAGGATGTTATCGCATCCAGAGGTCAGTCCAAGCTCCAGGATCGTCGCCAGCAGCTGTTTGACACCGAGCTGGGCGATATTGGAGCTTGAACAGCTCAGGGCGAGCAGGATTTGAAGCTTACAGCAGCTACTCGACCAGATGCCGCGATGGCACCGGCGATGCGGCCAGACTGGCGCAAGACGTTCCTCGACATCATCTTGCCTGCTCGCGAAGCGTGAATGAAGAACTTCCGACGGGCAGGAGGTGGGATGAGATGGCTCAAAGAGAGTGGAGAGGTTGATTTGATGCTGCGAAGTCGAGGAAGAAGGAGAGGTAGCTGCACCGGGAGTTTCAATCGAGCTTAGTCCGAAAAAACGAAAAGGCACCTTTGCCGACTCGGAGCGAGGGAGATCACGTGTTCGGCTGGGGCTTGGCGCGTCTCACGGCGTGCGATACAGTCACGTGCATGGCATGTATGCGACGACTTCGACCAGCCGATCTGATGAGGCTGTGTTCATGCACTGCGCCAGCACGACCAGCGCCAGGATGTGAACAGGATTCTAAGAGCCTATTTCTGCAGTTTCGCCATCTCTCTATCTCACTCAGAATCTGTTCCGCGACACAGCGAGCAGGAACAGCATGCACAAGATCACGACCATTAGGCTGTCTTTTTGGTCGCAATGTCGTCGCCAAACTCCCAGAACCTTTCCAATCCTCCAGCAACGAAGGCGAATGCAACCTCCCCGAAGGTGACCTCCGAAGATGTCGAACTTGGGCCTGTGCAGAATGGCGAGACACCCCCGTCCCTCCCCTTAGAAGAGGATATCATGCAATGCGCCCGTATAGGGGCACTGGAGTATATCCAAAAGATGTTCCAGTCGGGCAAATATGATGCGAAATACAAAGATGAACAGGGAGTCACACCATTACACTGGGCTGCAATCAACAATCAGTATGCCGTCTGCAAGTATCTCATCGAACAAGGTGCAGAAATCAACGCAAAAGGCGGAGACTCTAATGCCACTGCGGTCATGTGGGCGTCGCAAAGATGCCATTTCTACATTGTCAACCTTCTGCTTGAGAACGGTGCCGACCCTCTTCTCACAGACGGGCAAGGATACAACATTCTGCACCTGGCTACGATCGATGGAAATGCGCTACTCTTGACCCTTCTCCTACACCAAGATATCCCTGTCGACACACCAGATCCCCAAGGGCACACCTCTTTGATGTGGGCTGGATATAAAGGATGGCCGGCGTGCGTCGATCTACTCTTGCGCTGGGGTGCAAATGTGAACGCTAGGGACGATAACGGGTTCACTCCTTTGCACTGGGCTCTTGTCAAAGGCTCCAAGCCATGCCTGGACCGGTTGATTGAATACGGTGCGGACAGGTTCGCAAAGACTACCGAAGGCAAAACACCCAGTGTCTGTGCCGACGAAATGAATACCAAAAGAGCATACCACCGCTCTCTAGCTGATCATGGCTATGACACTTCCGGCAAGATTAAAACTCTGCCTCTCAACCTCCACGCTCTAATTCGAGATCGGTCGAAAATGGCCAAATTTTTCTTCTTGTACCCCTTCTTCATCATCCCGATCGGCTTGTACATAATCAGCCGCCTCCACATTTACACTGGAATCCCCATTTTCCTAGCGGTTTGTCTGGGGATGCAATATCTTGCGCAACGAATTGCGATGCTGGGTCCGCTCGAATACCACTCCATCCACAAAACACCATATCTTGCCGGCATTTTTGCGGGGACTTTGTTTTGGGTAGGCGTCAGCTATCTGACATCCCTTCTACCTGTAACCTTGACGACACACCCATTCATCAACCTGGCTTTTCTCCTCTTCTTTGCCAGCACCGCATACTTCTACTTCATCTCGATGATCGAAGATCCCGGCTTTGTGCCGAAACTGGCCTCCCGCAACCAACAACGGGCAGTGATTCAAGAGCTATTTTCGCTCTGGAAGTTCGACGAACTGAACTGGTGCGTGCAATGTATGGTCCGCCGGCCTCTACGGTCGAAACACTGCCGCAGCTGCAACCGCTGCGTGGCCAAACAAGACCACCACTGTCCGTGGATCGCGAACTGCGTGGGCAACAACAACCTACGCCACTTCTACATCTACATCGTCAGCCTCGAGATCGGAATCATTCTGTACGTCCGTCTCGTCCTCTCGTATCTCTCGCTTCTGCCCGCGCCTCCGGACGATGCTATTTCCCAATGTAACGTCCTCAGTCCGGCGTTATGCTCATTTGTGCTGCGCGATCCATGGACTGTGGCGCTGTCATTTTGGGCCTGTCTCCAGCTCGTCTGGGTGACCATGTTGCTTGTCGTGCAGACGGTGCAGATCTGCAAAAATCAGACGACCTACGAAAACATGAGGCGCCATCAACACGTCCAGCAGCATACTCACGGCCGCGGCGCACCGCCATTACTTCCTCTTCACCAGCAGTACCCGAACCGGCCAGGCCCCGTCACTCAGGGTGCGACCCCAGCCACCTCGTCGCTCAACGACACGGCCGCCGCCGCGACCAGACTCAACCCCGTTCCCCGACGTCCCGACGGCTGTCTTACGCGGTGGATGAAACTGTTGGGTCTCGATGCCTTTCTGGCCACCGCGTCCGATGCCTCGCATGGCAAGTTACAGTCGCGCACTGGGAACCCATACAGCCGCGGCGTGATCGGCAACTGCAGGGACTTCTGGTGTGATCCTGCTCCCATCTTTGGCAGACGGAAGAACGGCATGGGATATCTCGGTGGCGAGGTCGTGGACTATGCCCATCTGTACGAGGTGCCGCTGCGGCTTAGGAGAAGTGTTAATGTCGGCCCAGGCGGCATGGCATATACCAGAGTTGCTGGGGAGGAGGTCGACGATGATGAGGACAATGTTTGATTTGGCACAGACACAGACAGGTTCCCTAGGTACCTTTCTGGCACATTACATTTCCAATGATGTACAAAACATGGCTTGGGCTTGGACTTGGACTTGGACTTTTGGCCACACATGTGGGCGTGGATTTGGCTCCTACGGTCTGACTGTACAAACTTCCAAATCGGCCAAGGTTGACGACTTGTGTAGTAAAAGTGACAAGACTGGCCTTTTGGACCATTCTAGTTGTAATTCGCCGAAGATGTGTTGGGAGTTCCCTTTTCGTCTCTACCTTAGGCTTCACGTCTGAGCCGGACCACCTAAGCTCACCTGCCAAATGTATTCACACCGTAACCCGTATTTAACAATGTGCTCGTAATATTGTAGGCATGCGCGTGCGTACCTACGTGCGTATCGGAAGAAGAGGGCCCACCGAACACAACTTGATAATATTTATTTAAATAGTATACTTTCTTGATTCACAAGAAACATTTGTATATGTGTATAAAAATGTTTGCATGTCCATATATACAGTTCATTATACCTGGTCCTCATCTCGATCCGACCAAAAGGAAAAACATCTCACCTCATCTGTCTAGGTCCCAGAGGTCTAACGACACCGAGACCGGCACCGGTAGTAGTAGGACTACTCAACTCACCATGACGCATCGCCCTCTCCCGCTGTCGCTCCGCCTCACGTTCCCGTTCACGTTGTTTCCGACGTGCTCGTTCGAGATTGCGGCGCTGTTCTTCGCGGGCGTATTTGTCTTGGATTATTACTGCTGCTGCTGCTCCTGCTGCTGACTGTTGTTTTTGCTGCTGTTTCACATGCGTGATGACCGGGTCATAAAAGCCCGCCGTTGATGGAACTTGAGTCTGAGTCTGAGCCTGGATTGGAGGCGTGGATTGATGATGCTGATATGTTCCCATGGTCCGGTGGGGAGATGATACAGGGAAACCGAGATTGACGCCGAGTCCTGCAGTTTCGGCTGTTACTGGTTCATCACCAGCAGATCCAGCTTGAATTGTGGATTGACTTGGTTTCGTCGTCCTCTGCTTTGACGGGGATGCTGAGGGCGTGGACGGAGATGGGGATGCCGGCTGCTGCTTGGATTTCGTCAACGACCGCATTTTCGCCAGCGGTGAAGTCGGTCGACGATGATCTGATACGGGTCGTGGACAACAGGTGGAATTTGACTCTGACTCTTGCAACTCTCGTAGGGCTTGGGGACCTCCCAAGATCTCGTAGCTGTATGTCTTGCTGGCGCGACATGCACAGCGTTTCTCATTCTCGGTGTTGTTGGAACTCTGCTCCTGGTTCACCCATGGGGCGATGTGACTGTTATTGTGATTGGTGTTGTTATTATTATTGCCGTAACTGTAGCTGCTGATGGTGGTGATGGAGGTGCTTGTGTATGTCGAGGTTGGGGAATCAGGGGCTTGAAGGGGCTCGGTTTGTGATTGCGAATGGTTATAATACTGTTGTTCAAGTGGGTTTGCAGGGGGGATGATGATTGTTGGCTCTTGTTGCTGCTTCGGTTTGAAATTGTCGGTTGATGTGTTGGCCTCGTGATTCTGGTTCTGGTCCTGTTGCTGTTGCATCTGCTCGTTCTCCTGTGCTTGTCCATTTCTCTCGCCATTACCAACATATCCATGCGTGCTCGGGCTCGTGTTTGGACAAGTGTCGTCCACAGGCGTATTGGGCGCACTAGACTCCGGAATACAGGCTAGTGGAAACACGGGTCGGGAAGGTCCTTTGTTCTTGGATTTGCTTCGTTTCTGACTTCTCGGAACGACTACCGGAGGTGGCGGAGGCGCTGCCTGGACAGGAGGCGGACCAGGAGATTTGGTCTGCACGACAGGTGGACGTGGGCCTAGAGGTCTCGATGGTGGTAGGTGAGCTCTGGGAATAGGAGCGAGCGGTTGAGGTTGGAGACTTGCATCCTCCTCCGTGGTGTCAGTGTCCATTTCTTCCACGTCGTACTCGGTCACAGTCGATATCGTCGGCCAGCTGCCCTTTCGATCCGACATTGTGAGAAATGGCCGATGGGACGTCTCTGCAGAGCCACCCTCGTCATCCTCGCCGTTAGTACAAGACCTCGAAGTGGTGCCGTCGGAAGCCGTGGCGTTTGTATTCCGGTCTTGGGAGGCTGTAAGCTCGATTCCATTTTGAAGACTACCACCTGGAGACAGGCTCCTGTCGATGCACGTTACCACCGCTTCCGGGTACTTCAGAGTCGTGCTGGTGCTGTTGCTGTTGCTCCTGTGGGACTGAGCTCCAGTCTCATGAGCTGTTCGGCGGTGATGCAGGGCCAGGATGCGTGGGGAAAACTGTGTGATTGGATGTCTCAAGGACGGCAGACATGCACAGATGATTCCAAGGTTGACTTCCACGGCCGACCAAATTGTAATAGCTGGGTCGTCCTTATTATGGACCGTTGCGCCATAGACGGCGAACAATCGAATTATTGATGCAATACAAACACTGTACAGTCGTTCATTAGCAGAAATTCGGAGTTGTTCACAAGTGGTACTTACAATGCTCCAAGCACGAATATACAAGTCAAGATGGCCATTTGTTTCCTGGGGAGTTGTAAAGCTTTCAACACTGGAATAGGCAACGCACAGACAATAATGTCGGTGGCCGAATTGAAGGAAGCATTGAACAGCCAAAACGCCAGGAAATCGATACACTTGCCGCCGTGGATGTTGCTGTTCCAGCTGTACGCGATAGGTTGACATGAAAAAATGCTGACGAAAAAGGCAGAAACGCCGTAGATGGTGATGATTGCCCCCATGGCCCAACATGCGCGACGGTAACCGACATCAATGGAGAAGCGAAGGTATTGAAACAACAACGAGTCCTTGAGCAGCAGAACCGCAAGACTGTAAGTCATGTTTGACGACCACAGCTGTCGAAGCAGAGTAGCCAGTCGAACTTGCTGCTCTTCGGATTGGTCGGCTGACGAAACGTGATGGTTCTCTGTGACGAAAGGTAAGCGAGAGGCTTGAGGTTGATATATCTTGTCCGGTACGTACGTTGACCTGTGACCACGGCCAAGGCCATGGAGGCAGCCCAGGCGAGCGTAATCAGATAGTCATCCGGTCCGACATGATGGACGAAAGCAATGCGAATCAGTAGCCGGACCAGAACACAACATCCAGCCAACACCACTAGTGCAATCGCCGTCGCGGAGGCTGATGAGAAACCCCCCATCCTCCTGACATCGCTCTGATGCAAGTTGGGTGTTTTGGCGAGTTATCCTGGGGAAGTAATGGCCGCCCGGTATACTGCGAGCAGGGAACAATCCCCGGCCGGGCTTCCTGCGTGTCAGGCAAAGGGATTGAAGATAACTATATCAACAACCACGAGATGCGCGGATGGACGGCTCCAACTCTGGGAGTATATAGATCGCAAAACTCAAAATTCCGACAAGTTAACGAGAGACACTGTGATATCGGGCACCGGTGCACAGTATGCATTTCATGACACAGCACAGAATGATCCAGGAAACGAAGCCTCACCTCGATAGAAAAACATAAACTCGGATCTGTCACATGGTCTAAACAAACCAGCTGCTGAATATCCCACAGGATTGGACGAGAGACACCCCAAACAAGCTCACCTGGTCTTTGCGGGTGGCTATAGCAATACGATTTAGGGCGGAGCTGGGTGTGGAAAAAAACATATAGTGACAGACGCACAGATCAGTCCGCTTGGACAGCAGCCACATAAGCGGAGGACGTGGCATGATGTAAGTGCGTTCTGGACGGCTTCCATGTTCTTTCATGACGCTTGAAGGCATTACACTGGCCATGCGGCTGTATATACTTCTCAGAGGTGGGTTTGGCAGGAAAACGGTGGTAGCATCGAAGAAGGGAGGTTGAAGTCTGGCAAAAGTGGAAAGAAGTCAACATTGACAACAACTTGGAGCATCATCAGGCTGGTCTGGATCAAAGTAGTTCCGCCCCGAAGACTGAGCGCAGGCCAATCATCGGCATCCTTGTCCTTGTTTCCACCTGGCTGCCTCGGCATCAACTTGGACCCGACTTCCAGCTCTCGTGGCATCAACATTTGACACACATCTCTACCACAATCTGGCCCAATTGGTATGGACTTGGCTCGTGAGACAGTGTCTGCACTCAATAGGTTACCTTATTCAGCATGTATGTTCTACCAGCAGACCGACAACGCGAGACCGACAACTATAACCAACCAAGGACTGAGCTAAAACGTCAACGTCTGTGCTGTAAACCCATCAACTAGACCGCGGCGCTCAGGGCAACGGCTGCCTCCACCCTTTCAGGCCACCAGACACACTGCCCATACAACCGCCGTACACAGTACGCCTACCACTCTGCTTTCCGCCACCGGCCTCCAAAATAGCAAAGTGCCAAATCGCAGAGCCCCAGGCATGTTCCAAGAGACGACCTAGACCGCCCTACCGCTGTCTCCGTGCTGATCATGATATTTGACCATCGACAACTCATCCACAATACCTCCTTTGGCCCATGATAACCAGGAAAGGAAAGCTTTTGATCTCGCCTTGATCCGACTTGATAGGCGCGCCAGGAACGTCGCCAAATTCCCCGTCGTACTTTTCCACCCGCTTGTCCATACTGAAGGCCCGCTCGACACGCACGTTGACAAAGCCGATTTCGTTCATCATGGTCTCGACGGCTTGAGCATTGATGCCATGTCTTTCCACTCCGGCCATTTTGGAACGCGGGTGGAATCGACTGCTTCCGGGTCCACAGTCCTCGAAGTCGGTCAAGGCGAGACTCCCGCCGTCCTTGAGACATCCCAGCATCGTGGTTAAGACACCCCTGAGGTCCGGGATGTGGTGCAGAACCAAATGTGAGGTGACAAGGTCGAACTTCAGCCTTGGTCCATCGGGATTGTTCTCGTCGGCAGGAGGGAGGTGCTTGTCCTCCGGGTCCTCCAGCAAACAAGCCACTGGCACGATGTTGCGCGGCGCGTCCGGCTGTTGCAATTTCTTCTTGAGCACCTCAATCATGCCCGGTGCGGCATCGACGGCCACAATCCGTTTGGCGTAGGGAGCCATCATACATGACAGCAGACCGGTGCCACAGCCGAGTTCCAGCACATCTAAAGCTTTGTCGGGAGCCGGTGGAAGGTTCAGAGCCGGGAACCTGGATACGATCGCCTTCAATGCTTCTTTGCTAGCTTCATGGACGAATGGATTCTTGTCCCAGTTGGCCGCCTCCTCATTGAAGCGGTCATTGCCCGAGGCCGCGTGCAGTGACGCCGCAGCTGAAGCCATCCTAGTACTCGAGTCTGTCGACAGCAACGAAAAATAGACACTCTGTACCTGTCAAGACTGTCAAGGAAGCGGCAGGGATAAGGTCCGACAGGGCCGTCAGGGGTTCTTATGTGTATGATTTCGTAGCAGCTGGGATATGGTCTATTCAGCACTCAGGTATGGCGTCCTGGCCAGCTTAAGAAGCTGTGGCTTGTGGCTGAATGTCAATGACACCGTATTCGTGCACTGGCAGTGGGTGCGAAGGTCCAAGTTGGGCACCAGCGAATCAGTCTGACAATAATGATATATAACCAGCCACGGGGAGTTGCCCGCTAATCTTAAACCCCGACTGCCCCATGTCGCCGAACTCGAGATCCGTCAGACAGCCGGACATTTCTTTTCCTTTTTGCGGAGAAAGCGGGCCGGCTCAGACAATGATCATGACGCCGACATTTATCGACCAACGCTCGGTTCAGATGTCCGATGCCTATGGCAGGCTTCGATCCCTGTACGCTGGAAATGACATCTGCAGCCATTGTGGCGTAACCAGCAAACCGATATACACGTAAAGAGGTGGAAGTTCAATTGCGTAGCGATGCAGTCTGCCGTTTCAAAACCTGAAATTCAACTCGTGGTTGACCCCAATGCCGAATATTACATCCCACATTATTGGGTGGGGAGCAATGTGGATGGGATTTGCGATCTCACTCAAGCCGGCTGCCTCGGCCATCCATCGCCAATCTTCGTCCCTGAACTCCAAGTTCGGTTTATTTGCAACTAACTGGAGCTGGTATGCATAGTATACTTGGCGGGTAGCCGGGGAAAGTACCTGTGAAATGTTGGCAGCATATATATGTCGACAATCCACGAGATTTTCTCAGACAATGTCAGGCTTGTTTGGCCGTTACGCAAGAAGCCTTCTGTTCTTCTTACCAGTAGTAGAACGCTCTGAACGGCCTCGGAAGTAGAATGAAGACGGGGTTCTTACTAAGCGTCCGGGTCTGGGCTCGCTGGACGTGTTGGATATGGATCCCGTCTCGTTTTGAGCAAGCTCTCTCGCTGTGTCGTGTACGAAGAATGAATGTGTCGAGATAGGTGACCCTTCAGGCCAGGGAAAAGGGGTCCAACTTGAAGTAATCCATGGCCTCCTTCACCTATTCGGCTGTAACTCCAGCTGCCAGTCTCGGACACCTTATATTGCTAAAAGCTGCACTGTACTGCCGCGACACATCATTCGTTCGCATCCTCGTCCTTGTAGCAAATGATCCAATGCAACCAGCCAATAGGCCAAGTATGATTGACCTGACCACTCTTAAACTTCCAGCCGGCAAGATTATCGCTGGAAACTCGACTGCGAAGAAGAGCATACACCTCATCCGGCGTCCTCGTCCTCAGACACGAGATATATCCATCATAGACCCAGATAAAGGGAACAACAGGCACAAGGTAAGTAAAGAAGAGATGTCCCGGCGAGTTCCAGAAGTAGAACGGGGTGATGAGCATGGCGAGCGGCCAAAGCAAGCTGACCAGCAGAAACGAGCTGAGATGTCGTGACTGAAGTTCGAAAATACTACAACAGACATATTAGTCCAAGATCGACTCTTATTCTTCTCTTCCTCATTACAACTCATCTCCGCCTTGCCTGCTGAACAGTGTTGAACACTTACCAAAATCCATCTGCAGTCTCCACAGTATTCTCCAGCACTTTGGCCGCCAGCTCGTCATCAAAGTGATGGAAAGCCAGACTGAACAGGCGCATGATCTTGACCTTCTTTCCCTGCACGCCAGCGCCAGGGACATGTTTCAACAGCTCCTCTGCCGGCGGGGCATTGGTCGCGTCCACACTGTACGGGACGTAGGTGATATTATCGCTCTTCTTTGCAATGGCCTCCCAGGCATTCACATGCGGACTAATGTCGGTGAGCACGAATTTGACGTCCTCTTTGCCCTGCTTGCGCAGTTCCTCGTTCAAGTGTTGCTCGATGTACGGCGTCGGCCCGCCTGCGCCCGAGGCGAAGTCGACATACACATAATCTGAAACGCGGGACCCAAGCACTGTCGATAGGACTCGAGATACCAGCGCCGCTGGGGAGGTGGGTTGCAAGATCGGGAACCGGTTGATCCAGCCTAAGGTGAGATAGTCTTGGACTTTTTCTCGGAGTATTTGCGGAAACCTACATAGAAGGTATGTGGTAAGTACTTGCACCTGTTCGGAGCGAGGAGGAACTCAATTCTTCTTGTGGGATGTACAGCGGATAGAGAAAGATGGGAATTCTCTCTTATGGGATTGGATTTACTGTACGTACCATGGCTGATCGTTGACTTCGAAGTAGTGCCGTCGAGGGAGCCAGACTTTCGAACTCATTTTAGCGCCGCGAGTTCCTCCTTCGTCCCCGTGCCAGGACTTGAAATGTCAGCAGGGTATTATCATGTTGTTCAAATTGTAGGACAGCCGCAAGAGACCCCTGAAGAATAAGGTGATTCGGCCAAAATATATCAATGTTGTGGTTGGAGTGGAATCGTGATGCACGTCATACATGGATGCGCGGAAAATACATTATTAAATAATGCGGCCAATGGACTCGGAAACACTGAACATTGGCCGGGGGTATTTTATACTCGGGAATATATATTCATCAGAACACACCTCGCTTCTGGCCGGATACAGATACCGTAAGATATGTTATTAGCTCACAAACATCTGCTCAGAGATCGCTTTAGACATACACCTATTATCTCGAGATGGTGCTCTACAATGCCGGATTCCTTCTCCACGTCGTGATCGAAGTCCCAGCACTCTTGAACTTCTTTTTCTTTCCCTCCCGCCAACTCGGACAAGAGACACCTCATGCGCACGCCATTATCCGCCAATATGCAGTGCTGCTGCTGAGCTCTATCCTGGTGGCCATGGTGTATATTGCTCAACCTCTAGATGACATTTCAGGCCGAGTTGCGGGAGCACTGGCTGTCTATCATATTGCGCCCGCGACCCGATCGGTGGCCAGACTAAAGAAACAGGCCAAGATGCAACAACCACTCTTTCTGTCAGAGGCATTTCTCTATCTGGTGGTACACGCACTATGTTGCGCTGCGCTGCTGCATCACTTCTTCGTTGCGGTTTATACAATCCCTCCATGAATCCATTTCACATCGTGACTTGGGTCTTTCAACATCCATCCAAAAACAAAAATCAATCCACGTCTTCTGCTACCAATGTCTCCGTGGGACTCTCTGTCCCAGAGCCCGACTCTTTGCCACTTCTCTTGAACATCATCATCTCGACGGCAATCCCAGGGCCAAAAGCACACCCAACAATGTGATCCGTCGTATCGCCCTCCAGCAGCCTGTTCAAGACACTGAAGATGGTGGCGCTAGAACTGTTTCCGTGGGTGATATATATCTCATAACTGGCCCTCAGATGCTCGGGCGTCAGATGCATGGTCTTTTCGACCCCTGTGATGACGGTGGAACCGCCCGGATGAAGGGCCCAGTCGTACTCGGAAGCCTTGAACTTGCTCGCGTCCACCAGCTCAGGTATGGACGCGACCAAGTCATCAAACATGGCTGGCACAGCGGCGGCCGCCAGTTTCGGGACCCTCTGGGTCAAGACGACCTTCCAGCCTACAACAACAAAGTCAATGACCCAAGAACCTCCCGCTCATAAGGTGGCTTGGCTTACCTAGAGGATCCACATCAAAGCCCAAATCCTTTTCAGTATTCTCAATGATTCTGTGATCCCAACCCAAAAGTTCCAAAAGGGGCTCTTCATCAAACCGATCACTAAACCCGTTGCCCAACACCACCGCTGACGCACAGTCACTGAACAAGGTCACCCCAATCCTCACCTCCTGGTTCTCATGGATAGAGTCCAACTCAGAGCGCACCAACGTACTCGAAATCTCACACGCCACGACCAGAATCCTGGCAGGTTTCCGTCTGAAACTCGAGCCGAGAGCGATATTTGCGGCCGTCCTCAGAGCCGCCAAACCGCCAGAACACCCCACGCCATGCAGCAGTACCTTCTCTATACTCTGGTTGAGACCAAGCTCCTTGACGACGTAATGGTCATAGCCCGGATTGGCCGAGTTAGTACAGGTGGTGGCGACAACATGCGTGATTTCAGACAAATCTCCTCCCCATTGATCCAGGGCCTTGCGACATGCCGCCACCGACAACTTGACGCCATGGTCGAGAAAAACATCACACAACTGAGCGATCGTGGGCGCCTCGGGCGCATTGGCGATGGGGTGGTCGATATTTCCAATCGCCGAACGAGAGTCGATCCCCGTGTACTCGTTGATGGTTAGCACTTTGTCGAGACTATAAGAGAACAAAAGTCAGAACATGTGGGTTTCCTTTCGGATTGTACAGTAGGAAACTTACGCCGGTGAACTGGGGTAGAACCGTCTGGCCAAAGTGGCCAATTGGTCAGGCTTGATTTCATAAGGAGGGTATTCCACCCCAATGCCGTGGATGTAGAGGTTTGGTCTTTGGTATGGCGGGGTGACCTTGTTGTTACTGCCGACTCGGACTGTCGACGGCGACATTTGAATTGAAGACACAAAAATGTAGACGACAGCGACAAGCCAGCAATGGCACTGGCAATGACACTGGCACGGTCGGTCGCGTTCGACTTGACTTCTGGTATGTCGTCTGGCAGAACCGAGGCTGGGATGGGGCCCAACAGTTTTTCCAAGTGATGACGTTGTGATTACTAGCACTGTGGCGGTCGCAGCATCACTTTTCTGGTTGTGAAACACCTGTGAAACCAACAATCAAGGCACGAGTCGTAATGAGAAAGTCGAAACGAGAGACAGAATAGCAGATATAGGAGGCTTCTGGACAATGTGAACGAGTGTGAGTGAGAGTAAAGATAGGAGAGTGAGATGCTTGATAGTAGTTGGGTAGGTCGTGTGCATTGTTCCGGAAGAGAAGGTGTCAATCAATGCAGGTCGTGGCGATACAGGGATCAGCTAGTTGGGGGTCTAGGTAGAGCTTCAATCAATAATGATGCCGGTGGCATGCCCCTCGGCCCTACTAGGTGCCCATTGGAAGGTGCCTAATCAGTAAGCTGACCTCTAACAGCCGCTGTCTAGGTGCCTAAAAGGTACCGGGAGCAGGTGAGGTGTCCTGCCCTGACCTCCAGTTGGCGGATTGTGTAATGCGGCTAACTTGAGGCCGGCGTCTTCAAGTCCAGGGACGCAATTCCCACGAATCATGCTGTCGGTAGACTGTCTGACCTGGCCTGCAATCATCGTCATCGTCCTGGTCACGGTCCTGACACTGCCACCAAGAGTGAAGCTCGACATACCATGGCAGCGGCGTTGCTTTACTACCACCATCGCTGCTTTGGGTTGAGTAATGCCCTCAGGCATCAACCCGGCGCCTCTGGGGGTCCTCGTATCCCACTAGCATTACTGGTATTGGTGATAGGTAAAGACGTTGATCAAACCCTCTTCTACAGTTGAGTGACTACTAGCATTGTAGTATGGTATTTGGTACATGCGTGATGACCTAGGCCGTAACCCTCGTGATATATACCCAGAAATCCTCTGGGTCTCTAATCAATAAGGATCCCATTCCAATCTTCGTTCCAAGAAGAACGACTCGACAGGAAGGCCCCTCCATTTCTTCTTGCCATCCACAATTTCATAAAATTCCGGCACAAAACTCACCATGGACCAGCCATGGATCAGTCTTCGCCAGTAACAGGCCTCAGCAGCAGGAGTCAGATAGCGGTCGCGGAATGTTTGCACACTGTTTGAAGCGATTCTCTCGGCGTCCCTGTCATGCGCTTGAAGCCATGCCATCTTCTCCGGGAGATCCTCATAGCTGCGCTCGACTTGGACGTAATTTTTGTCTGGCCCGTCCGATCGCATCAGAGGGTGGTGATGTTGGATCCAGTCCATTTTGTGCGCAACCACGACCGACTTACAACTCTGAAGATACTTCAATCGTCCCGAGTAAGAATTGCCTTCGGTATGGGCCAGGTATTTGTACTGGCAGTGCTCAGGCATAGACTTGAGGTCATGGGCCATTGACTCCTTGTTCTTCCATTCCAGAGCCTTGACATCGGCCCAAGGTTGGTCCGCTGCGGCTTTGAGGAAATTCTCCCGTAACTCCAGGCCCATCGTGGCGCCTCGCCAGAGCAGCTTGGGTACCTTTGACGACCATGACCAGCCATCGTCCTGTTCGGTCTCCACGGCTTTCATCTGCACCTCTCGCATGGTCCCAACTTTGGTCTCGGGCCATGACCAGTAGCCAAAATCAGGAATCAGCCAGATCTTGGTGTCTTGCTCCCGTCTGGCATAACCCCAAATGGCCACTGACGGAATGCGATCGTCGCTGTTGAACACGAATTCGATGTTTGGCAAAGGTTCGGGGGCCGAGATAATCGCCCGGTGCAAGGCATGGAGTGTCGCAAGTTCGCGTGAATAGATGCCGCCTGTTTTTTCGATCACATAGAGCTGTAGAATAGATAGGCCGATGTATCAGCGACTGAACGCGGGAACAGTAGATACTCAATCCAAGGGGGGTTGCATACCTGTTGGTCATAAATCATGCCGCGAACATATCCATTTTGTCTTGGAACCGAGTCCAGCTCCTCAAGAGTGATGGATGAATTTCTTCTGTCTGCCAGAGGCCTTTCGACTTCCTCAAACAGCCCCGGAAAAGCCTGCTCGCATTGTCGCAAATCGAGCCTCAGGTTATTCGCATCTCTTCTGTAATCCCATGTTGATGGCCTTGGCGGGCCGAAACCATGGGGCACTGCGGGCAACGGTGGTCTTTCATGGCCCGATAACAGGTACCATGTCAAAAGTACACATGTAGCCAGGCCGGAGATTGTAAATATCAAGGCTCGGCGGTTGAGCGTCGCCATGAACACAATCTATCGTTCGATCATGCGAGTTCTTTTCGAACCCGTCATGTTTGTCGCGAACTTCAAGTGCAACCAAGGTAGATTGGATTGTGCGACCGTGCAGAACTCGATGTTGGAAACTTGGAAGGTTGGCAGAATAGGATGACGGAGGTGCCGTTGCCGTGCGGTGGGTGGGAATGGGTGGGAATCCGTGGTCAGAATTGGCATCTCTCCAGGCACGGATTGGCAGGCCTCGCAGTCTGGAGCCACACTGACGGATGGCAGATCGTGTCAATTTTGATGCTAGCAGAAGTGGTAGATGGAGCCGAGGGGTTCTTTTACCTGCGCTCGCAGATTATCTCATCGAGATCTTCGAAGGTGCTTTGGGCGGGCTTCCAGGCAGGATTTCAGCGCCGGTGTTGCATTTGTGCCACCCATAAACACCCCAAAGTTTCAATTTTAGGCTGGAAATGAACGGCAACTAGTTCTTACCAAACCATGGCTAGACAATTGATTTTCGACACTGAAAAGGGTAGAGCGGGCGCAAGAGGTCAAAACTAAATTCGAAGGGAGGATGATGTGTGACAATCGGCAAGGCACACTGGCAGGACTACAAGATCTCACCCCAGACGCTATAGCGCCCCGTTATTGGCCCCTAAGACAAGTTACTTACGGGCGTGCTACGGGCTTCGAAGTTCCGTCTCCGCAGCTCGCATCGGGGCCCAAAAGGCCAGGATATGGCTTGCTTTAACCGCCTGGGCAGTCAATCGCCTATTGGCCTGGGGATGAACGGCAGGCCAGGCACCACTGCACCCACCGGCCAGAATGCCACATCCTGACCGCAATCCACTCATGCAAGGCCTTTGGAGGGGTCTCCGGCCAGAGTCCTCGCCATCAGCAATCGAAACCAATGCATGGTTCTCTTTCCCGGAAGCTCAGGGGTGAGGAAGCCTCCCAAGCCTATCGATGACAGCGCTCACGGGAGCGCTGCCACCCTTGTGTTCTTTCTGCCCGAGGGCTCCTTTGCACGTCTGCGTACAGTACGTGGCCTCACCACCACAGCAGCAATGCTACGGAGCTGGAAAAGCTGTCTAGGGACAAAAGCCTCGTATGAAGAAACATGATGCAGCAGCATCCATCGAGGAGTAGATCGACAAGAAGCCTGCAGCAGTGCTGGTGAATCTGCAACGTTTGGTAAGTTGCACGACTGGGCACCGATACTTATCTGACCAAGACTCTACTGCGATGATGGGGGTTTGCAAGGACACAAACAATGTGCTACTGGTACATGACGATCACTGTCCGCCACAAGCACAGGCGCTGCCAGCCAGCCTGAGTGCTAGAACACTGCCACTGCCACTGATGCTCCACCGTCGTTTGGGGCTTCAGCCACCACAACGAGGGAGCGCAGTCAACAAGCACAGGATTAGATCTCATGTAATCTGACACGTTAAACGAATTATGTAGAGGTAGGTAGGTATGTACCCAGGTAGGAATGAACACGAATAGTAGAGAACGTGCTGTCTACGATGCTACCAACGTCGTAATGGTCATCGAGGGGCATGGCGTGAATCTGTGCTATCAAACTGTGCCAGTCTATCGTTGCACCCGCGCAACAGTCTAGGATCCTGTGCAAGCCATCCTTCTTAAGTTGCTCAGCTAAAGCATATAGTACCTGGTAAGGAGTATAATAAGACATGATGATGGAGCATCAAAGTCACAAGGCTGGTTGAACAATGTTTAAAGCGGCATGGCTCGAGGTTCATCTGTTCAGCCAGAAGCAAGACGACTTGGACTTGAACCAGGAGTTGTTATATATTTATTCTAACACTTTTACGTCTTTAACAACCCTTCGCCTTGTGTCTCGCTCGCCAGATCTCCACGGCCTGCTCACAAAGGCTAAACCGATTTAATGTCCTCTATGTACGCCGCCAGCTGCTCTATCTTTTTAGCAACCGCAACTTGAAATGCTCTACTAGGCTATCCACAGGCCTCATCGGGCTCGCAACTCCGCCGAAAGAACAATTGGAGACATGGCTTGAACAGTGGTAAGCAGCGAAGAAGCACTCAGCATCGCTCTGCAGAGTATTGTCCTCCTCTGTAAGGCTATCCGGCCAGCGGCCCAGATCGAGAATCAGCATGATCTGGACCACTCTCGCCGCGGCAATTCTTTGTATCTTGGTCCTGTGGTACACGACAAGAAAACCCAAGATCCATTGCAATGGCCAAAGACTCAGGTAAGTTCAAGCCACCGAATGACCATTACTACTTGCGCCCTCAACATCTACTCCCTGAACTCCCCTAACATCCAATGCTATCCTATCAGGCGTCCTCCGGACACGCTACCGATACTGGGAAACGCCATCCACTTCCTAAAGCCTCGCCACGTCCTATTCGACTGGTTCGTAAAGTGCCAACAGCGATTCGGCAAGGAAACGTTCCAGATCTCTGTTCCATCACTCCCACCGGGCGTGGTGATCAATAGTGCCGAGAACCTCGAATTCGTGCTCAAGAACGAAGCGTCAATCACCAAGGGGGATTTTTTCCGAGAGCGATCATGGGATCTTTTCGGTATGTTGCTTCACCTCCTATCCCATCCATATCCCTTCACGACACCTATATTGACAGGGACAATGAACTTTAAGGGTATGGCATCATCAACGCCACCGGAGACCTATGGCGCACTCAGCGCAAAGCAGGGTTGAAATTCTTCAGCGGCGCCAATCTGGACATTCTGATCGAAGAAGTCCTGCCCGAAATCTACGAGGACAACACACGGAAGCAATTGCTTCAAGCAGCCAAGGATGGATCCGTGATTGACCTACAAAAAATCTTTCTGGACCTGACTACTACCGTGGTGGGACATATGGCTTACGATGTATGCGTTACCCCTTTCGCTTCCACCATCTCTTATCATACACAATCCTTCCTCTCCCATACCACATCTAACAATCTTCTAACTTTGATACCCTATAGATGGAAATATCCGCCTCCTCACCATTCAGCAAAGCCTTCGACCACGCATCCGACAGAATCGGGCTCCGGTTCCAAAACCCACTATGGCGACTCACCGAGTTCTTCTGGGGTGGAACCGAACTTCGCGCTTCGTTAGCAGAAGTCAAACGCTTCGGCCGCCAAATCGTCGCCAATGCACGTAAACGCCGGTCCCGCGCCGCCTTTGAAAGTCTTGTGACCGACGACGAGACCCTAATTGACGACAGCTCAATGTTTGGAAGTCTGATCGATTCGCTGATCGAAGCCTTTGCTCAACCTCAAGTGGTCGCTGACGCCGCTTTGAATTTCTTGTCTGCCGGGAGAGACACCACGGCCCAGTCGTTGACTTGGACGTTCTATGCGCTGACGAGACATCCGGAAGCTTTGAAACGGGTACGGGACGAGATCGAGGCGAAGTTCAAGTTTGACATTGACACCAATAATTCCAAATCTCAAGGTCGCGATCCCGATACTGATCCCGCTTTTGGCTCTAGCTCTACCAACACCGACAAAATCGTTGGTGATGACGACGACGACATTGACAATGAGAAAGATAATGCCAGAGATCCCAGTACCCGGTCCACTCACGATCAAATCACCATCTCATCTCTCCAACCGACATCTCTGCCCTATACCATGGCAATATTCTACGAATCTCTCCGCTTATACCCACCTGTCCCATTTGAACTGAAACAAACATCCGAACCTGTCACTCTTCCCGACGGGACATTCTTGCCCGCTGGCGCCATTGTCGTCTGGTGCATCTACGCTATGAACAGGTCCGTCGACACATTCGGCCATGATGCACATTTATTCCGTCCCGAGCGATGGCTCGACGGCCACGGTAAGCTCGTGCCCAAATCGGCATTTGAGTTCCCCGTGTTCAATGGTGGGCCGCGCGCTTGTCTGGGCAAGAAGATGGCGGAGGTCATGGCTGCTTGGGTTTTGGTTAGATTGTGTTCCGAGTGGGAGTTTGAGGAGGAGGTGGTTGACACGGAGGACTCGAAGGAGATGGCGCCAACCGCGACTGCGAGTGCGACGGCGTCTATGACAACAGCGGCTGAAACAACGCACAAAAAGACCGTGTTGAAAGAGAGGGTCAGTGCTAATAGTCTTACACTGCCGATGGAAGGCGGTTTGCCTTGTCGGGTCAAGGCTAGGGACACGGAAAGGAACAGAAAGAAATCATAAATAACAATCGGACGCGTTAGTCCAAGGTACTCTCGGGTACAGGTACCTACATAAAGCACATGATTCAATCACATCCATTCACCCCATTTGATTGATGACTAGGTACCTAGTAATCACAATATCTAGATAGATGCCACCTACTGCCAGCGAGCACCCTGTATGCAAGGGGACACCTATTCGTGACTTAGCCAGAAGCGAAGAGAGATCAGAAGGGAAAGAGAAGAGAAGTGTTCGTGCTCCGCTGATTCGATTCCCAATTCCCAATTTCAAATACTGCAGCAACAACTTGAAGAAAATCCAAGCTGGCACATCTATTGTCACGCCGCGGCCGTTACCATCGCATGCTACTAGGGGATACCAGTAACCCTACAAACTCAAATAATGAAATCAGACAATGAACGCTCCCGACTTTCTCAGCTCGCCTTCATTTTCCGCCGTTATCCCCTTCCAACCACGTAACATGATCAACTCTGCCCCAGCGCATTCTGCTGTCACTCTCTCACTCGCCAAGGCCACTTCCAGCCAAATCAATCCAGACAATCAATTTCAGGGTGTTTCCAATGTGAGCGAGAAGGATACACCAATCATAACAGCCATAGAGGTCGATCACGATGTTGCTGTTCCGCACGACACAACGTCTAAACCTCAACGAGAGCAGCCTTCTCTTCCGTTACACCGGCATCGACAGTGACAGCACCGGGAGCATGCAGGGCAGCAACAGCAACGTCATTCATAACCTCACCCACACCCTCTGCTTTCTGCTTTCGAGCAATCCGCTTCTCCATCTTAAACTGCATCAACGTCCCGAACAAGATACCAAGATTGATCTGGACCGGCACAACAATAATGACATACTCGAGGGGTTTGACGTGGGCGAGATCCATATCCGCGAGAATCTGGAAAGCGCCGTATCCACCGGTGGTGGAAATCAATACTCCCACGAGCAGCAACAGACGAACAAGCCAGTTCTTGCGGGTGTTCTTGGGGAATTTTTTGGAGCCGATGGTGCGGTGGTCAACATAGACCAAAGTCTCGAGAGCGTAGTAGACGTAGGTGACGAGGTGGACGACAATGCATGCTGGGAGTAGAAGCAAGTTGAGGCGGCGTAGGTAGTTGATGACTTTGTCGACTGTTGAAGATGATGACGGTGTGTTTCCGGAGAGTTTCGAGGCGGATGAGATTAGAGGGACCCACCACTGAAAACAGTGTTAGAACCAGTTCACCGACAAATGTCGATGGAGGAAGTCCTGTGCAGGGGTGTTGACTTACGCTGAAGAGTGGTGTCCAGATGATCATAAAGACGCACAGGTACAGCCAGCTGAGGAAGTATCCTATGCTATAGGCGATCTGTTGTAAGTCCGTCGTTAGTTTATGTTTTTGATTCGGTATTCTTGGGAATCGGGACTTGTGGTTTGGAATTGCGGCGGTCAGGCTGAAGGCTGTACAGCCCTGCACAGTCCGTTGTTATATTAGCCGACCCGTCTTCCCGACCGCACGTGGAATAACCAGTATATCAGTACGAGAAGTGTAGGTAGGTGAACATACCCCGAAATCTTCTGGCCCGCGAGCAGACTGTCCCTCGCGTCCGGCAAAGACAATATCAACCGGCCCGATACGAATGACTTCAATCAATGCCATCAGCAGCACAATGGTGCGGACTTGTTTCCTCATCATGCGCAGGTTCCGTCTGCGGATCAACTGCCAACTTTCGACATCGGGGCTAGAGGAAGGAGAAGGGAGGGTGTTGTCGACGGCGGTGTTGCTGGTTCCGTTTCCATTGTTGCCGCACCGAGAGGACCACGGGCATGATGGTGGCATTTTGACAGACTCAAACTCAGAGATACTGGGTTGACGGCGGTGAGAATCGATTTGCATTGGGGAGGAGACGACAGACGACGGGCAGAGTGAACTGATCGACCGTCGTGATTGGGACTTGGCAAGAATGAAGACGAAGAGATTCTGGTGATGATGGATGGATGATTGAATAATGGGTGTATGAGATGTAGTTGAAACAGAGACAGTGCTGCGCTGCCTGCGGTGAGGCTGATTCTGATACAGACGTTCGTCAGGCCGGGGTTGGGGGCGGAGTTCTATTTGACGGTTGCCTGAGGTGACTTCATACTTCACATCCCGCGCTACTACTCCGCATTATGAACCCACATGCTACCGACGCTCCACCGTTTACTGAGTACACAGCCTTGCGAACAAAACCCGCCGACTCAGCCTCGATAGAATCAACCACGGTTCCGGTCGCCTGCCATACATGTACAACATTGTAGACGACAAACATTGTCTTGTTAAACAATACCAATAAGCAGCCCAGTTCTGATGTATATCCCTGTCTACTTCAAAAACACCGGCACTCCATACATGACCGGAGCCGCACCATTCAAATACTTCAAAAGACACTCGTCGCGCGCTTCAGCCACGGCCTGATCAAGAGACACGGCTCCCATCTTCTCGCCTTCTGTAGACCTTGTCTTGCCTGATTTCCCGGTAGCGCCTGTCTTTGCAGAACTACCACCACCTTCTGTTGTGCCCTGTATCAATCCCCATTGATTCATCAACTTCATGGCAAACCGGTCAATGTCCCTGTCAGTCACGTCCCACAGATTGCCTACCACGGCGGGACTGCCGGCTTGAAGGTAATTCCAAGGCATGCCATACGGCTCGTACACGCCACACTCCGTCAGTTTGGCACTGCTGCAGCCCATGAGCAACGTCACGGCGCATTTGTCCATCCGCCGGATCTTGCAGCCTCGGATGTACTGGGCGCCTCCGCCATGGCCGAAATAAAGCATCAAAGGTCGGTTGTGCAAGGCTTCCTCAAACTCGCTCTCTCCAGGTGGTCGATTCACAATAGCCTTGAACTGCGAGAGTTGCGTCATGAATGCCTGGCCAAACATCTCTTGCGTGGATGTCAAGTCGGACGACGGATTAAGAATATACGTGCCTTCTGTGGATGGTATCGTATAGCCGTCGTTTTGGCTTGATTGATCCTGTATGACCTTCAGCCTCTGCCATATGGCACCCAACGATGGCATCCTGGAGACAGGTCGGCCTCTAAGGCATGGCATAGATTCCCACGGAAATGCCTGCAACTCCTTATCCAGAACCAAGATCACGTGTGAGTTTGGATTCTCCTGTGCTCGTCTGCTGTGCTCTTCATGGTATGAATGCAAGGCATCCAGTACCTCAACCAACATGGCGTCGAAGTCGATCTCGTCGTAGGCGTTCCGCTCGCCGTTGAACTGAAGAATATCGATGACAAAGTAGAGCAGATCTACGATGGCGTCCTCCAGCTCGGCTTCTCGAGGATGACCCAGCGTCACAAAAAGCTCGAGGACATGGCTGTGGAGCTCGATTTTTGTGTCGACCGATTTTGAAGCTTTCCTCCGTGAAGGAAGGTGTCTGTTCAGCATCTTGGAGAAGCTCTGGCCGAACCTGAGGAGTGCGTTGTCATCTATTTCAGGCGCCGACAGCAGCCCGCGGAAGCCTCCAAACCACACATTCTCCATATTGTCCAGAAGTGTGGCAAGCTGTTGATCCAATGCCTTACGCTCATTGTACCATGCTTTTCTCAGAGACTTATCGGCTGAACAGCCCCTGGGATCGTGGGAGCTTGAGTTGGCTTGGGCAATGATATCTTGCAACTCTGCTTTGGCTTTGTCGAAGTCCAGGTCTTCTGTCTCTGTTTCGGATGCTTCTGGCCGTGTCAATGGTATTCGGACGATGAATGGTGACCTTCCAGCGTTCAACCGGGCAACAAGGAGCTCACTACGGTCGTCGCTTAGACCAAGAGAGACGATGGACCAGGATGCAGGTAGGCTGTCCAGTTCAATATCCAGATCAATATCCAGATCCTCAGAGTCTTGAGAGACCTGATCCACCCCCACGCTTGGCCAACATTGAACGTTGCCGGGGTCGGTCGTGGCTTGTTCACTCAATGTGATCAAGCGTTCTCGTTTCCGCGCCAGATCCAACGGGAGGCATTTATCGAATACCAGCTCCTTGGATGAGGTCACGAAGGGATGTCCCAAAGCCGTTGACAATAGGCTGATCTGGGCCAGGATCTTGTGCGTAGTATGGATTATGTCGGAAGAAATCCGACTCTGTGGACAATCCCTTAATCCAGACAGTATTTGGTATGCTTCCGAGATCAAAGCTTTGCCCTCCCTGCCTCTGCTCTCATTTGCACGCTTTTGGCCTTTTTTCTCACCCAGCTCTGGCAGCTTACCCGCTCTAACCAGTAAGGCAGGGTCCTGCACAAATGAAACCCTGCCGCTTTTCCTTGAAGAACGGTATCGCACAGGCAGTGCCATGGCTGTCTCTGCAAGTACATTATTGTCTGCATCCTCGGAGAAGAGCTTCAACGCTGTTTGTACGAGGGCCAGGGCGTCCGCAACTGACTTGCGCGGATTTTGGGGATCCGCATCAGCCACGCAGTCCGGTTCCATTTCGGCACTGCCGTTGCGTCTGTTCGTGCACAGCTGCAGACCAGATTCCAGAGCACTCAAACCTTCGGCCAAAGCCCGTAGCTCCACCGTCGGGGTTGGGAGACATGCTTTGGCCGCCGTAGCTTTAGCAGCCGCTTGAGCGGTTTGCGTCCGTGATCTGGCGGTCGTCTTCCTTGCAGGAGTCTTTGCCACCGTTCTGCTGGCCTTCTTCCCTGCACCTGAAACAACCGGAGTGCATTTCGTAGGTGTCAGGTCGGGTTTCAACAGCAGTCGGGCCTGCTTGACACAATGCTCGGCCGAGCAGAAGTCTCCTAGAAGGAGTTGGACATCACCTCGATTTATCAAAACGAGTGTCTGGTTGGGCGGGCGCAACTTGTCGTTCGGAATGAGGGCCAGGTCATCAAGGTCCTGCCGCGCCTTGTCAAGCTGGCCGGCACGCGCATGCAACAAAGCTCTGTTGCTGATGACGCCCGCTTCAAGATCATGTTGTCCAGCTTTTCTTGCCACTTTCAGACCCTCTTCATAAAACCATGTGGCTGCCTGATACAGGCCACAGTGTGCATTCAATGTTGCGAGATTGCTAAGCACCGAGCAATACAGGGCTATCTGTGGCCAATAGGCCACTGCGCTTCCTTTCAGCGGCTGGGCCGAGTGATGCGACAGAGTCAGTCTCGAGAGGTCAAGTGTAATTCCCGATACATGTTGGTCATCGGCCGACGACTGCATTGATGAACTGTCAGCCTTGCATGCCTTTTCAATGGACAACCAGATGACTCCAGCTATCTTGGCGGCCTGTCTTCCGCAGACAGTCGCTTCAGACAACCGGCCTTGGAGGAAGGCAAGTCGTGATGCCAGGTGGGCCGCGGTACAGAGCAACGTTTGTTCCTTTAGACGAGACTTGCTGGAGGAAGATTCCCCTGTTCCCTTTTGAGCGTCCCATGCATCTCGGGCGCGATCAAGCCAATTAAGGCATTCCTCATATGTTTCGACGCTGAGGCAATGCTCAACGTGTGACAAAGCAAGCTCAACCTCTAGAAGTGCACGGCTCTCCACAGTATCCAGCAGCTTGTCCGCCCTTGCAATCGTCGTTGCAGCAGATCGAACGTCTTGCAGCGCATTGTGTATCTTGCATAGCTGAAGAAGCACACTCAGCTTGGCCTCTGGAGGATGATTTGTTAACTCTATTACATGGTAGAGTGTCTCTGACGCGACGAGCGCAACGGCAGGGTGACCAAATGTCATGGCCCAGTCGATACTGAGCCGTAATGGGAAGACAGTATTCTCAATATCCGCAAACACTTTGTCTGCATCCTCGATCGTCTTGCAGGGTTGGATGATTTCGGAAAGTCGCTTGATTTTTTCTTCTAGAGGGCCGTTCGTGGTCTGGCCCGTAAGGAAGGCGAACTGTAGAGTAAATATCGCAACGAGCCCTGACTCAAACTCGTGGAGAAAAGGCTTTTTGTCACCGCTTTTTCTTGAGGCGAGCAGCGAATTGGCCTGTTCTGCATCTATTAGGAACGCTGAACATGCCATCCTTTTCCTCAGTGCGAGTTGCACCATCATATTGGCAAACCGCAATCTGTAGACACGATATTGAGGCTCGTCAAGGAGGCTGAGAATGAACTGCAGCCGCGTCTGCCAGTGAGACAATTGGTGTTCATTTAGGCTACTTTCGCCCATCGCACAAATTTGCTTCTCCAACAAGACAGCACGGTGTAATGGAGGTAGTGAAGGGTCGTCGTAGAGGATATCCGAATCTCCGGCTGCAGAAGGGTTTTCAAGCGACCATCGAACGCGCAGGACGAGGTTCGCTGCTAAGGACCTGCCATGTAAATCATGCCGGGACCATGCTGAGCGAAAGTGACCAGACAGCAGAGATTCCACCACATCGTTGAGAATACCGTCCTTGATGTGGAAGTCGATTGCGTTCTGAAGCATTGACTTCGCCGCTTGATGATCACCCAATTCCTGATAACACACAGCTAGTTTCTCACATTTGAGGCTGAAGTAAGCAGCTTTCTGTTCGGCCATTGGCAAATCCGTTAAGCCCCTGAGCGATAATTGCAACATTGCTCTTTGTTCCACCAACTCCCATCGTTCTTGCACCATCTGAAGCAAACGGACCCAAAAAGCGTTGGACATTCGAACATTCAGCTGGACAACGGCTGTTTTGATCGTCTTATTCGAGACCAGGCTGGAATACTTCCCACGAAGAAGCTGGATCATGGTAGAGCACGATATGAGAGCATCACGTGCTGTAGCTTCGATTTCTGGAGCTTGTGAGACTGGCCACTTCTCGGCAGTTAGAACAGCCTCTATGGTCTTGACGACAGTTGTCAAGAATCCAAGAGAGGGTGCTTCTCCTGAGCCAGCTCTAGCATGAGCGAAGGATACTTGCATGTTGTCAAGTAAAAGTCTGGACGAGACGTAAATCAATCTGGCGGCGGATAATTGCAAGCTCTTTGCGGTTGGCAGCGCGTTGTGATCGTTCTCAACATTCTTTCCTACCGCCATAGCCTCCAGAGTTGCTTTGCGAAGATGAGCGGAATAGACAAGAAGCTTCTGAAAATCTGGTGGCGACATGTGGGACTCTTCACGAAACTTGATGATGGTACGCTCAATCGAGTCGACGGTGACATCCAGATCCTGCGGAAGCATCTTCAACCGGGACGTTGTCAGATAACAACATAAAATGAGAGACATGGTGCCGCTTGCTCCCTGCATGTGCTCTTCTGCAAGTAGTAAGATTTCTGTATGCGGTGTGGAACCTTGTGTATGCGTTATCACTGCTTCAATCACCCCGAGAGGAATCCCCGGATTCGCGCCACCAGCTCTCAGAAGTTGCTGGAACACACGTAGATGCTGGACAACGGACATTAAAGGCGCTGACGGAGTGCTTGTGGCCAGTAATCTCTTGAGAGCGGCATGAAAATGTCGCCAAACATCCACCTCCGGGTCGGGCGAATGGTGTAAGTGTTTCCATGACTTGAATTTCAGTCTGAGAGCAAGGCAAAACAGCTCGAAGAGGTCTGTGGGCGCAACCTGATGCCCGTCCGACTTTTGTCCAATCGAATATAACTTGGATAGAGCCAGAGAAATCGTCCGGAGCTGTTTGCCTGCTTGTTCGGCATTATGCAGTTTCTTCTGAAGGCCTTGGATAGTCATCCAGGCAGGACTCCCGACGGTCTCCGGCTGGAGTGCATGAAGCAGTTGTCTGGTAATTGCTTTTGGTCCTAGCAAGATAGCTAAGCGAAGGCCCTGGCTTTGCATCGACGTGGTAAACCCGAAAGCCGAGGTGTCGTCCACAGCATCTGGCCGACCCAGTAAACATCTGGCGACACTTGCGTCTTCCGTGACAGAATGTGCCTGTGTTGTCTTTGCTCTCATGTATGATAGGTGTATCTCGCAAAGCTGGCATTGCGCTTGGGCTACAAGGTGCAACGTAATGGTTCTGTCCAGCAATATCAAAGAAGCGTTGTCCAAGCTCTTGTCATTTGTACCGGCCTTTGTATGCTCTTTGTCCCCGCATTCCCGCAGATACTTCAGGGCGACGTGTGAAACATCCGCTATCACAGACAGATCTGGGGCAGCGCATTGTTTCGAACCCTTCTTCGGAGATACAACATCCTTTTTGTTCTCTTTATTAGGTGACAGTTCGTCAAGGGCTCGTTGCACAGTGGGCCGTCGTAGAGGTGTAGTCCCTGTGGTCTTTGACGTTGAAGCGGTCTGCCCACCCTTAGCAGCTTGACCAAGGTGTTTAAGAGTGGTATTGAAAACCTCTGTAGCGATCTGGCGGCGGTCTGCCGGTGATAGTCTTGGGGTCTGTCCGTCGCAACTTTCATGGACTGGCACTCGCGAGACTCCATTGCGGCAGGGTTTACCTGCGGTCCGTGAAGGATTACGGGCTCTGACAGGTTTATTTGGGACGTCTTTTGTCGTGGCATGGATATTATTGTGAGGTTTTGAGTCGTCCAGACCAAGGATTGCTCGCAGATACCTGAGAGTGTGCGGTGTCGGAGCAGGCAGGTTCAGTCCGGCTCGGATGTTGTCCACCTTGGAGGGAGGTGAACAATCATTGGCGGCTATCATGATCGCAGAAGGATGGTCGATATACGCATGTTGGAGTATGATATCTCCTGTGTTTGTAATGTGCGACGATAACCAAGTTGAATGCTAACTGACACTACAACCTTGAGATGTGGAGCGCGTAATGTTCCCAAAAGGCCAAAAAGTAAACACGGAAATGTCCCGCCGCTGCAGCCGAGTCTGCAGCATCTGAGATCCACTTCCAGCGAGGCTGCATCTCAGCCTCGCGGCTCGGTCGTGCTCCACCAGAAATGCTTAAAGTAGCATTTTAAATTGACCACACAAGGCTAGATGTGCCAACCTATAATAAAACAGCGTCACTATTTTCCAAAGCGAAGTTCCGCTTGGGGTGTCTATATTCATCTGCAAAAGAACCAAGATTGATCCAGCCGTAACTTGTTGAGCCCTCGCCTGCAGCACCTGTTTGATGTCTTCCCTGATCTGTTGACAATCTGCATTCATCCAGTATGAATCCGCTATCCTCACATCATGGACTATATGCTCGCTTGGGACGAGATATAACTCTAAGAGCATCGAAATCCCGGGGCATCTCGAGTCCGTTCCACCCGCGACGTTGTCAACATAGCGATTCTCGATCAAGTCACCTACCGCGTCTTGCCCAACCCTCAATTTGGCACTCAATCGTACCAAAAAGTCTCCGCGATAGATTCTTTGCGTCTGGCCGACGGGGCAAGAAAAAGCCGACAAATCCGGCAAGCTATTTCATTTGGATATACCTTCTGATAGGCTCCCAGGCGATCCGGATTATGGGGCTAAAAAATGACTTTGCCAATTATACGCGACAAGCGGACCTTAAATTAGAAAAGCTCAGAGAGGTGGTTCAAAAACTGCAGCGAGGAGAAGAGGTGGATGTGGAAAAGGTCCTTGGGACCGGGGACGAAATCCAGGAGCAGGAGTGGGAAGAAGCCTTACGACAATTGCAGGAGGAGGATAGGATATGGCAGAGCAATGCAAAGAAGCGCCGCGAAGAGCAGGAGCGAATGCTCCGGGAACAGCAAGATGCTGATCCGGTCAACGCATCGGCGAAAACCTCTCCAGAGGCTGCTGGTCAGACTCCTGAGGCCAAGCCATATACACCGACCAGTCCAGGCTTCTACTGAGCTTTTGAAGATGTTTTCTCTTCTCTTCGGCAATATTGCTATAACCCAGCATGTACTGGCTTCCCTGTGAGGGTTACTGAAATGCGTGCGGACGTGCCTTCAGGGGTGCCGGATTCAATGCACGAACATCTGCTGCACAACGCCAATGTGTCTTCTGTCAAAAGGACTGACGGTCGCACATTGTCTAGAAGCCAGTTCGCCGATCCGTCTGAGGCCTACAGTGCTTCTCAACAAGATGCTCCTCCACCAGGGTCTTGCAGGTTGTGAGCCTATCCCTCGGCGTCGGGCGTGCATGGGACTGAATCTCTATTCGCCCTCTGTGGTATGTGGTGCGTTCGACACTTTCACTCGAGTAGGTGTCCTGTTCACTGAGCTGCTCCATCAAATCAGCGGTTCGATAGCCTGTGATGCCTTTGGATGCTTGTCACTTTGCGCACTCTCCTCGTGGCTTGTTGGCATCGGCTCCCCTGCGAAGGAAATGTCCAGGAAAATCTCGAGGAGATGGATACGAGAGAATTATGAAGATCGGCAGAGACCTTACTCCTCTCTGCCGTACCCTTCACTCAGAGACTGGCAACGGATCCCACAATGGTCCGGCAACTTAGATGGACGTGAAGCCATGTTCAAGACGGATAACGACTACCTACATAACCGGGATGATCCGGTTTGCCGAAGAGACAGCTCGTACCGACGGCAGCAAATACAGATTATTGAAGATTTCACGCAGATGGACTGTATGAGTGAGGATCGTCGGTGGAACGGTCCTCCCATAACTGTACCTGGCCAGGTCAGTTGTTCCTTCTCTACTATTGATGGATACCTTGAATCTCGCCATCTCCATGGCTCAGGCTCAGACTTCTCTCGGTATAATCTCATTCTGAGCAGTTGACCGACACATTGGCATACCCACATCCGGTATCCGCTTCACGGTACAGATTGGTCAGCATCGGAGATTCTCTCCGGGCGGCGGACGGGATCTTGATATATCGTCTTCTTTGACTGAGACGGCTTGCCTCACACGCGGCATCATTGTCGTCGGATGAGCGAGAAATAATGATCAACGCCGACACACTGATATCCGATGGGGCAGATTGTCCCAGAGTGGAATCGAGGCCGCCTTAACTGGCTTACCATTTATGAAGAGCGAAATGACAGAAGAAGCAATCAATACATACTTGCACTGCTTCTCGGCTCATTTATTGTCGTTATCATATCCAACTACCTTGCCCGACCGTCCTTTCTAACCACCTACCACTGTGATCTTATCTCGTGTTCAGTCGGGGTATACTATCACAATGTCTTCGCCACACAGCAATCTCGAAATCATGATTGCCACCGCGCCTGAGAAAGAGAACAAGGAGATCATTCCAGACTAGACCTTCAAGCAGAAAACAGTGCCTACGCCGTCAGCGTCCGACCTCCAAGCAGGACCGCTGCTGGTGGAAACTCTGTACATATCTCTGGACCCGGTATTGCGCAAATGGCTCAGCGTACCCAACAACTTCCTGGGCATCAAAGTCGGCCACCGAATGCTTAGTCTGACCATCGCCCGTGTAGTGGCATCGGAGTCACCCGAACACCACCCTGGCGACCTAGTTTCAGGCTAGATAGGCTGGGTGAACTACGCAGTTGTTGAGGCCCGCACGGTCAAAAAGGTTCATGTTCCCGAAGGAGCGAAAGTGAGCGACGCACTGGGACTTTTCGGCCACACGGGGCTTTCTGCATATGTGGACATGCTTCGGATCGGTCGACCAAAGAGTGGCGAGACTGTTCTCGTTAGCGCTGCCGCTGGTGCCGTCGGCAGTGTTGCTGCGCAGATTGCCAAAATCCAGGGTGCCAGGGTCGTCGGCATCGCTGGAGGCGAAGACAAATGCGGATTGCTTCAGGAAGAGCTGGGGCTGGATGTCACCGTGGACTACAAGGCACCTGAATTTGAGCAAGACTTTGCCCAAGCCCTCGATGAAAGGGGCACTGCTGTGTACTTTGACAACGGTAAGTGGTGATGACGGCCGTCATGAAGCTACAAGATTACTGCACTAGTCGAGCTGCTCGAGCTGGTCTGTTGAAGTGGCTGCACGAAGGCCGCCTGCGCCGTGCCGAAACTGTACTTCATGGCGGTCTGGAGCTGGCACCGACTGCCCTTGCGGATCTATTGGCGGGCAAAAACGTGGGCAAGATGATTTTGGAGATCAAAGCCGAGTAGTTGACCAGTAAGCGGTTCAGATCAGACATCAGGAAGAGCTATCAAGTCAGCCTGGATCCGCTTGTTAGGATGTCAAGAACATATTCTATCCCCGGTCGCTCCATCTACCATAGATATTTCAACCATATATAATTCAAAATATTCGACTTTCAAGTAGTCCCCTTGCCTATATATCATCACCATTACCCTCCTCCTCCTCTTTCACCCTTTCCCTCACTCTTCTCCCGTTTCTTCCTCTCCGTAAACTCCCTCATATACCTCCTTGGCTCCGCCCCTCCATCCACCCACATCCTCGCAAACGCCTCAATACCCTTTTCAACACCCTCATTCACCGTACCACACTCCTCCCACTCCCTCACCAAACTCTTCTGCACTCTCATAGCGATCGGTCCATTCTTCGCGATCAACCTCACCTTCTCATCAACTCCCTTTTCCAGCGCTTCAGCATCATCACACACCTCATCAATCAACCCCCACTCCAACATTTTCTGCGCAGAATAATCGCTTTTAGCAAAATACACCAGCTCCCTCGTCCGCTGCCACCCAACAATATTCGCCAATAAGCGCGCCTCAATCACGGACGGAATACCATATCTTGTCTCGGGCATTCCGAACGTTGACCGAGCGGTCGCGTAGCGGAAATCGCATGATGCCGCGAGTTCTAATCCGCCGCCGAAACAGAGGCCGTCGATTTTCGCGATGGTGATTACGGGTAGACACCGGATGGCGTGACAGGCTTTGTGGAGGTGCGTGATGAAGTGTTTGGCTTCGGCGGGTGTCGAGAGGTCGGACATTTCGTGGATGTCGGCGCCGGAAGAGAATGAAGGTGTGTAGGTGCGTGTTGGACTCTGGGAGTGGTTTGGGGAGTAGGAGTTAGAAGGAGATGGAGATGTAGCGCCTCGAATCACTACGCAACGTAGGTCCGGATAGTAACGCAAATCGGATAGGTGATAAAGTGTGTTCGTGAGTTTGGTGATTAGGTGGCTGTTGAGGCTGTTGAGGCGTCGAGCGTGGGAGATTGTGATTGTGGCGACTGTGCCGGTATCGCCGTTGGTGTTGGTATCGGTATTGGTGGTAGTTCCAGCAAGGATATCGTTCAAAATAGGTCTAACATCGCAGAGGATATCGCCTTTCCCTTTCGTCTTATCATCATCGGTACCGTCGTGGTTGTTCGAGCTAGTCAATCCTGATGAAGTGGTCGTGGTCATATATCGCACCCCAAATCCAGCACCAGCACCAGCACCAGCGATCCGGTTGACAATAAGTGTCGAGAATTGGTGTCGTCGTTGCGAAGTACCCAGTCCAAGTTGACGAGTCCCAACACCAGCACAAACATGAGCATGGTTCACTCCGAGTCGTCGCAAGCCGACACCGACACGGCCTGCAGTCGCAGCAACAGCAGCACTTGTTGCCGTCGCCGTCCTCATCATGATGGACAAAGTCATCATCGAACTGGGATCCCCCGTTTACCACCACACAAAGACAATTTCCGAAATTGATAAGAGAAAGAAATATATTACAGAGATGAAAGCCGCTCCACAAACCGGTCACTTTGATCTCCGATGGAGTGCCACGGGTACGGGTACGGGTACCAGCGTCACGAACCCATTTCAGTCACCCCCTAACCTGCTCACAGTACCTTCTACCTGCCTTGTAGCCAGATGATATGGAAGTAATTGGGTGAGATGAGACAGGGTACAGATACCGGGACTTGAATAGAACATGAACAACTCGATCATTCAGACTTCAAGTTGCTGGTGCCCTCGCACTGGCGGTTCGGGTACAAAATGTTGGAGTTGATACTGTACCTTCCTAGGTACCTAGGTAAACCCGCCCCGTGAAGGGGCCGAGATATGTAGAGGCGGAAAGTGGAGAGAGCCGGAGAGGAGAGGAGACAAAATGGAGAAAAAAAAGACAAACAAAAGTACCATGCCGAGGCTGTAGTGTTCATCAACACCTACATCGTGTCCCTATACTGGTACCTGCAAATATAAGTATACGTCAATAATACAATATAATCCGAGTCCCAGTAGCTATATACAAATTCTCACCTGAAAACCCCCTATAGTCACTATCCAACCCCAAATCGGCCGATGGTGAATCACCCGGGCCGCATCCATCAACCGTACAATACAACTTCACTTCATTTTCACTTCACCATACCCATCCCCCAGTAGGTAGTCAGCATACATATATTTCCCACCCGCATAATTATCCTCAACAATCACCACTTCACTTCACCTACACACCATCGGGTCCTATGGCCTAGGTGGTTAGCGGGGGATTTGATTTGGGATTGGTGCCTAGTTCCGAGCGCAACAAACTAGGTCGGCTATAAAATACTTCTCAACCATAATTGTTCGGTCAAAAAACCTAATGGCATAAAACACCGGGGTTTTCAATCACGCATACACCTCCTAGACGACTGGGGCTTGTGAGACCTGTTTTTTGGCCTTTTGCCTTTTTGCAAAAGCCCTTGTTGCCCTTTGCCCTTGTTCCCAAACTTAGCCCTATCAATATATTACAGTCCATTTCATTCTTTTGCCTATATTACTGTGCCTACTTCGCTTCGCTCCGTAGGCATCAATCTTCACAAATCCCCTTCTCCAATGCCGCCAAAGCCGCCTCATACCTCCCTGGTGAATGGTCTCCAAACATATCACGACCAAAGCGCAACTCTCCAAACCGAGTCTCGACATCCCGAATCAATTTGAATTGCACACGGGTAGCCGGCCGGCCTAGAGCCCGATAAAGCTTTTCCGTCCTATCATCCTTGGAATCGTCGGGCCCAAAGACAGCTTCACGAGCGACGTCCGGGTCGAGTCTGTCAAAGACACGCGTTGTCTCAACGACAAACACTTCACCTGGAGGCACGAGTTTATCGTTGATCATGGCGGCGCGCAAGGTCTTGAGAGCCGCCCATGCCCACGTGTCCTCACCAAGTCCATCACCAGCCATATTCTCTGGCGGAGGTGGTCCCTTGGAGTAGTTGTTATAAAAGGACGATTTGACGGCGTTCTTGACGCGCTGCCAGACTCTCGTCTTTAACGCACCGAGAGCGTCCGTCGTGTCCGTCTTGAGATGCAGAGCCACCGTGCGGAAATCGTGCAAGATCCCTAAAGACAAACAGGGGACAATGTCCGAGTGGTTGACCACCGTCGTGATGAGACCTCGCGTAGCAACACGCAACAGCTCAGACATGCATGCTGGGGTTCCGTAGGCATAGACATGAATGGGCCGACCGGCGGGCAGAGTGATCGGTGGAACATACGAGGACGTGTAAGGCCCCGCGCCGCCGGTGGTCTTGTTGTGCGTCGTTATCAACTTGGGCATGTTGCCCGCCGTCACAAACCGCGTCTTGCCGTCCCCGTCAAACGAGGGCTCCGAAATCAAAATGGCGAGAATGGCAGCAACCGCACCCCCGAGAGAGTGTCCACAGAGCACGAGCCCGTAATCGGGGTATTGCTCCAGAGTGGCTTTGATCGTGGCCATGACTCGACTGCCACTGCCACCGAGTAGTCGCCGTGCTGAAGCATGCACTCCCTTGTGCACTTTGTATCGTTGACCCTGCCACACCAGGTCATCGTAGTCACAGGTCATGTCGGTCAAGACATCCTCAAATCCCAAGGTACCACGACACGTCAGCACCACCGCTTTGGAGTCATCGTCAATCGTGATGAAATGTATTAATGGCGATATCGCAGATGGCGACCAGTCCGTGTTCCCGGTCACGCCCTTTGGATCGTAGAACGAAGACAAAAGAATCGTATCTGGAGGTAGTCCAGTATGACTTGAGAACGAGCTATGTTCGTGATGGACGTCCAATGTCATGAGTTCGGTAGCCTTGCTCAACTGTGCTTCAGCCGAAGATAGGCCCATTACCCGTAGAAAGTTCGATCCGTACGATGCGGATGCAAATCGGGCAAACCGTCGCACGGTTTTAACCATGTGGCGGTCCGGGAAAATTCCTGGCACTTTGCCTTTGGATATTAGATCATTGAGTATGTTGTGGTCTTCGTAGATGGATTTTCGATGCACATGTGTCTTGGGTGCTAGAATGATGGCTTCCTGCGAATCCTTGGTCGCCATTGAGTATAGGCTGGGCACAAAGGATCGCGACCGGCGTCGATGCACTGTCCCGCTGGCCGTATCTATTCTAGATTCGGACTCATCGAGCGTGAGCCCAATCTCGGATTTACTCTGTGTGACCCCACTGACAACTCGCGTGTGTGTTCGTGTGAAGGTTGGTGAGCCGGGCCGACTCTCAACCGAGTGTGCAGAGTAGGTCTCTGTCGTCTGAGATACAGCCGAATCCCTTCTCCGGTGATGTAAAGCAAAATAGCTGGACGATTGGTCCTGGCTTAAGCCACGAAGGAGGCTCGGACTAGTCATGGGGGTGGCGCCGTGGCTCAGAGACGTAAAGTTCTTCCGTGGACTCATATCGCCGCGTACTGTGGAGGGTACCCGCGTGCTAAACGGTTGCTGTGCCGGGGCTGGGATAGGAAGCTTCCGCTGGTGAGGTGGGTTTTTGTGGATATCCTTAACGCCTGCCGAAGAATGACTTGGACTGAGCGTCTTCAGGGCCTTCTTGATGACTCCATCTTTGTCGTCCTGGCCGGTCGAGACTGGTTTCTCCCTTTTGTTCTTGACCCGAGGTATCCAACTTGTAGCCTCCGTGTCGGGCGGAGATTTACTGTAAGAGAAAATGGGACGTCGACTTTTCTTCTGGTTAGCCACTGGGCCAACGTCTTTCGGCGCCGTCGTTTCCACAGGTTCCTCTTCGTGGTCGGAGTTGAAAACAGCGGCATCTTCCATCGGCGCAGGTTCATCCACCACCGAGATTCGTTTCGATCCAGCATTCTTCATATACAAACCGTCCCCATCATGATGATCAACTGGAGATTCGTCGCCACGCGTCAGCCGCAACTGGTCAACCATGGACGGAATATCCCTACTGCTGGACTTCTTCAACGCAGTGCGGAAGATGACAGTTTGGTGAGGCTCGTTTTGTCCGCCATTTCCGGCATCGCCATGGTGCAAGCTCTCGGCAACCATGACAGTACCAGGTGGAGGGTCAATATGTGTTGTTTGGGAATCGTAGATGTCCACTTTGATAGTTTTGGCCGTGATTGTCTCCTCGGTGATGACGGCTCGGGTCCCAGTAGGCAGCTGGCTCATGATGCGTTCCCGGATCTCCTCGTCGGTCAAGTTCGTCTGGGTCTCAGGTACTGAAGTCACAGCCGAAGGATCAAACAATGTGCCACGCTCTAATACATCAAACTCGTCCTCTCCATCGGGAGATGCGAATGTCATAGGCGGTGCCGTGGGATTGGGCTGGATGCTGATTACTCCTTTCCTTCTTGTGCCGACTACATCGGCCTTGAAGCCTTTATCGTCAATGACAGCATCCCAGATGGTTTCCTCGCCGCCAGCATCTCTAAAATCCAGCTCGGTCTTCCGACGACCCCATCTCTGTAGCATGACAAATCCGATCGTGCCGATGATGAGGTCCAGATATGTAACCACCTCCCCGTTGCTTCCAGGCTCGGGCTTGTTCAATTCATCTTTGATCAGCGTGATTATGGCAGCAACCGCGCGCGAGGACTCCGTCGAGCCGAGTATGGCATTCAGGGTCGCCAGGCCTTGGATTGAGAGACCGGAGATCGAGTTCATGGACGCTTCAGTGAGGTAGAAGCCTGCCGAGGCCACAAAGGAAACAGTCGAGATGGTCGAGTGCAACGCAGATATCTAGATATGGTCAGCTGAAGTTGTTTGTTGTTTATGTCTTGTAGAACCATACGCTTCTCTCCAGCAAGTTCTCTGCTTCACTCCTCCCCAGATCTCCATGGCTGCGAGCAGAGACATCTCTTCCTGCGGCAACCAGAACGGATTCCAGAGCACTCCGGCTGACGGACAAGGTCTTCAGTGTGGCCTCTCGTCCAGCGTATAGACCCCATCCGCCGACTTTGGTGCCCGCACGAACATAGAAGGATGTCAAGCCGGTGATGCCGCTGATGACGGCCGCGGCGGGCGCAGGCAAGAGGGTCCTCCCTTGCAGCGGTGGCGCGAGGACAATTTCCTTCAGTTCACTGGCATCCTGGTCATCTGCGGACTCTCCCGCAGTTATGTCGGCGGTAGCATCATCGGGCCCGGTCTCTTTGCTGCGCGCCCAAAACATGGTGCCGGGAAGCGGGCAATTCGAGGTCGGAGGACCGTATGAGGGGCGAGGCGGGTTCCCGTTTCACGTCGGGCTCCATGAAGTCTTCGACCAGTGCAGAGGGAACAAAGAGAATGAAGTAGACACAAGCAACTCAACAATCACTTGTGACCATGCAGGTACGCGTCAGGTGCCTGGCATGGGAGACATGTGGCAACACCATCATCGTATTCCAATATTGCCGACTACTAGTAGTCCCAGTCCCGGGCGGTCCAAGCTGAGTGTTGTTGGGCGTTAATCGACAACTTACACGAGTCACGTTGGACAAAAATGACGTGGATCGAGGCTTTCCATCAGCTGCCCTGTTCACTGTTCTTTCGTCCAGTTTCTTCACACCCATAACTCATGTCGTTTGCTGTATGACCTTCAAAGAAAATATTACCTGTTCCAAATGCCCGATCCCCTGGTTCTACTATTGGATGCGGGTCGGCATGGCCTGTCGATTGGAGTTAGAACCTGGTCGTAGCCCATGTCAAACGCCAGCCTGATTACAATCCCTGTTCACAGCAAGGCAGCGCACCCTTTCCGCTTGTTCACATGCTCTCCTGCCTACGCCGACATGTGAAAGGCGGAGGGAGGACACCAGAAACCTGATGAATCGAGTGCTGATCTGGCATACTAGTAGCACTGGTCTACCAAATCCACGTGGAAGATCGATGCTGATGTGGCTGCTACAACTATCGGAGAAGTCATTCTACGCGGGAGAGAATTTGAGGAACGCTTTTGAGTGGTATAATGTAATGAATGAACTTTTGATTTATCGCCTTCGTGGGCGGGCTCCGTAGAGCATCTAGACTGAATAGTCCGACCGTGTTGGTCCCATGTCCCATATATCCCAAACTCCCAGATTCCCAATATCCCAATATTTGCCATTCTAGAGGCGAAAGCTTCACAGACGCCATGCTAATCAACGACGAACCCAACCATAATGAAAGACTTCAAGTATCTCCGACTCCACTTCCTGATATCACCATTGTTTCCCTTCCAGGTCACGGCCAGCGTGAGTCCCGGGCGATCAGACCGCGAGGAATGCGTCTGCGGGTATCTGACCTTGTTCCTTGAGTTGCATGAAGTTTGCCATTGCCGTGGGGTAATCCCAGTTGTTGGCAGAGAGGCAGTTTTCGACCCATTGTAATTTGAGGCGGGTCTCGAAGCTGAATTGAAGGCCCATTTGTTCTTTGAGCAGAACATCAGCGGCCTTGTCTGGCGTGGCGACTCCGAAAGTCGAGCCAGGTGGCAGTTCAGGGTGAACGACCGGTTGAACGGGAGCTGCGGTGGCTCCGGTGGTTTGTGGTTGAGTTGGCGATCCACCAAAAGATGGACCTTGTTGTTGCGGGGCCTGGTTCAAGGCCTGTTGAACCGGTTCATTGTTGTACATTTTCAAGTTGGGGTACCATTTGACAAGCGTCTGTAGCGTGTCTGGTTTCAAAGCAACCGGATTGCCGGTGAGAATGAGGTGCTCGAGCTCCCGGAACTGGTTCTTCCAGAACTTGAGAGCACCGAGGTCTTCGAGGTTGTTGTTTGCAAGGTCCAGGTTGTGGACATGAGGAAAGACACTGGCAAGAGAGATGATGTCTCGTACAGTGGCGATGCCATTGTCTCGTAAGCTTACGCTCGTGACGGCATCAGTTCGTTTGGGTTCAGTTTCCCAGATCTTGGTTTCGCAGATGGTAAAGATGGCTCGGTACACTTTGGGTGCATCGAGCGTGGAAAGGCCGGAACTCAAGAGTTCCGGGTCAGCGACCAGCGCGTTCAGGATGAGATGTTTGTCACCGGGATGGTAACGTTTGTGGATGACGGAGATGATGATGTTCTCGATCTCAGACGTCAACAAATCCCTTGGGTTGTTGCCGCGGCGAGTATTCTGGTTGCGAGGCCCAGTAGGGGGCTGTACTGCACCGCCATTCTGGAAGCCGTTTCTTGTTGGTTGCGAGATTCGCCCTTCAAGAGGGGCATTATGAGGTTGATTGTGAGACTGAGTTTGTTGATTGCGCGGAGGTCTGGCGTCTTCGACGACCAGCGTCGCTCCGGCGAACGTGAAGCCGTTCAGATGGAGGTAACGAGATTTCTCGTGTGTGTAGACTGTGATGAGGAGCACAGTCCGGCCGGCCAAGCGATGAGAGATGATCTCGCGGCCAGATTTCTTTTCGAGGAAGCCAATCAAGGCTTCGAGGCCTTGGTCGGGCTTGTTTGACAGTTTGCTCGTGGTCCATCCTTTGACGGCCACTTCAGTGGTGCTCGAGTAGGGAGCCATTGTGTAGATGAGATGGTTGAAGTAGTGTGGAATCAATGTCCGTTGTCAAGTAAGAGTATGGTGCAGAGCGACTCTGATGAGCAGCTCTGATGATTGATTTGTCTTGCTTCAGATTGAAGCAGATTTGAGAAGTGGTAGAGGTGTAACGTGCTTGAGATTTGCACAGATTTGCCTGGAGGCTTGAAAGACTGATGTGTAGATTGCACAGAGGCTTTGAAGACTGTCGAGTACCGACTTGAGATTGTTTTGAGATTGCAACTGAGACTTGGATGAGCGTCGAGTACCGACTTGAGATTGTCTTGAGATTTGCACCGAGGCTTTGTCTTTGTAGTGAGAGTGGTAGAGTGATGGAGTGATTTGCACAGAGGCTTGAAATGTGATTGTAAGATTTGCACAGAGGCTTGTAAATGTGATTTGAGAGTGAGTGAGAGTGTGAGAGTGGTAGGAAGGAGGAAGAGAGGGAGAGGGAAGAGGACGAGGGAGAGAAGTGTTCTTGTAGTTCGAGTCGTGGGCAGTGCTGGAAGTGAGCCGGACTCGAGAGGAAACGAAGATCAAAGTCAAGAGTTGGTGAGAACGCGGTACGCACGTGATCGGCAGCCACTAAACCCAATCCGGCTATAGAACCGCTCTTTTGTAGAGTTTCTTTCAACGCCGCCTGTTTGAGTGCCTGAGTTCCATTGGCACTCCTTGTTACTAGTGATTGTTGATTGTCTGGCAATGGGTGGCATTCGAAGTCTAATTGTGTACAAGTGTCCTTATCGGCTTTGTTCTCCAGCAGTTACTGCCTCGCTATATACATTGTTCATGTTGTTGCTATCAGTGAGACCTCCCAGACATTCTCGACAGCTCTGGGGAAGTATATGGAGGACGCAATCATTGCACATATGCAGATACCTTTCACTGCTGCCCTGTATACCCCATTGACAATGACGGACTGAAACACTCGCCGCCTACAGAGTCAACCCAGCCTACAATGGCCAAGCCAGTACCAGAGGGTGTGGTGGGTCCCAATGCTGGTGGTAGTATAGACTTTGCAAAAAACGCTCAAGTTTCAATGATACTTGTCGTTTGGACGAGCCTCTAGGATACATCCGACCTATCGTCCATTCATCTTTTCCTCAGAAGGGGCAGAACTGGCTGTCTTGTTACTGCCGAACCGGCCGATCCCTCCAAATCCACCCAGGTCACGCTTGAAGAATTTGCCAATATTTCTGAGGTTCTCATTTAGCTTTGCACCTGCTTCGCCTGATCCAGCCGAAGATGTGCCGTCTCCTACCATGGCACCGCCAGCTGCGCCTCCACTAGCTGGTGGTGGACTGAGTGCCCCTTCTCTGGGCGTCCCTATGCCTCCCAGACTCGGGCTGCTGAACCGGTCGATAATTGCGTTGCCTAGCCCAGAGGCATCGAACTTCATGTTCGCCGGCAAGTTGGCCGTGCTCAGTGAGGCAGCTGCTGAATTGCCCAGGGCCGAGAGATTGTGCAAAGCAGTGGCTGGGCTAGAGTTGGCCATGTTACCACCACTGGTAGATGTCGAGCCAGACAAGTTCAACGAGGTGAGCAGGGGAGACTTCTCCACCAAAGAGTCTTTGTACCGTGGACTAAACTTATGCATCTGGAAGAGTTCCACCAGATGGCTCTGCTCTGTCTTGCCACGTATCCCTTTCAGCTCGAGAATCTTGCGGAAATTGACTTCTGACAAGTCGGCAATGTGAATAAGGTAGGCCTGAACCAGAGCTTCCGGTGGAGACGGTCGAACTTGTAGAGTCTTCAACAGTGGCTCGATTTTGTTGAAGGCTGCCGCAACCCTTTTAAGGAACAATGTGGGAGGCGTTCCGGGCAAGATGTGACTTAACGTGTTTCTGATTTCATGGGTGTCCAGTAACATCTGCTCTGCTCCACCCTCAGAAATGGGTTTACACTGTGCAACATTGGAGATGTAGGTCGATGCCAGCAGTTCCACCAGGTTGTCGGCAAAGGCCCGGGCATATTGCTGTTTGTGAAGCATCCCCAAGATCTCGCCCGATTTGTCTTTGATGCGGCTCTCTAAGCCAGTGATGTAAGCGCTCTGGTTCTCGCAGCTTTCAATCTTCGACCACGCCATATTGCGCATTTCTCTCCAGCTTGGCTCGAGGTCAACCTCGACGCGTCGAACGAGGCCACGGACAGCAGCACTAGCTATACCCATAAAGGCATCCGCCTGACTCTGTAGATCAACATTATCCTTCAGGTTTTCGTCGATGCGACTCTTGATCTTTTCTTCGAGGGAGTTGCACGTGTTGAAACAGTAATCGGCAGTGTTGAGGACTAGAATCATGTCTTCAACAGTGGGGATCCGAGATGGCGTCCCACCTGACGGCTTCTCTGAGATGTAGAACAGCAACACCTGCTGAGCGTACTGATCCAAATAGCGGCCAAATACCCTTGATAGATCGAGCAACGGTTGTCCCGTGGAGAGCTTTGCACACTGTGCCAGGGCATGGCGGTAAAAGTTGAACAGCTCGGTAGAGGAGACGATGACTTGCTGAGAAGAAAACTCTTCATCTGGCAGCCTAGCCGGCCTTTGTTTGTACTGTGGTATCAGTGTGGCCAGCTCTTTGTCTTGTGCCTCGACCCATAAGCTCAGATACGGCTCGAAAGCACTTGAGATGGGCTGACCGAAAACTTGAGCATCGTTAGCGGAGGCTGTTGTGTCAATGGACGTTCGAGAAGTCTGATTAAATCTCCTTTCGAGACCATGCTCGAAGTCGAGAGTCTGTTGAAGGCATGATACCAATAGCTTGACATCAATTGTTTGCCCATTACGCGTTGATCTGGACAAGATGCCTTTGAAGTCGTCTCGCGTCCCTTCGGCGAATACGTTGGCCAGGATTTCGTTGACACGCCAGTGTGGCGGGAAAATGGCCGCATGCTCCTCATCATATATCTTCAAGGTCTTCTTGAACCACGCGTATCGCCGATCGATGTTGTCGAGGGACCCGGCTTCCTGGTCCCCCTTGAATATATGGCGGTACTGTCGTAACTGGGTGTTGCAGTACCAGGTGATCAACCTCGATCGAGCCGAGTCACCAAGAGCGTCTACTACCAGGCAGGCTTCATGCAGCAATCCTCTCTTCTGCGGCACCTCCTCCTTGGTGAAAGTGATCTCGAAGTCCTCGCAGACCTGTTCCAAAAGTTCCCGCTGCAAGTCCGCCACGTTTCTACTCAAAGTGGCGATCTGGTCAATGGAGCGGTACGATTTGAAATATGCCATAAGCTGGATGACTGCCTGCAAGAGCTGGGCACATTCTCTGTACTGCCTCGGTTTGATCAACGCCCTCAGTTGCTCATATGCCGTTGTCAGCATCTGCAACCTCTTCAGAGCCGTCATAGACAATGTAAGATTCTTCTTCGTGTTGTCCAACTGCTTGATATCCGCCGTCATTTCGGTGATGTTGCGCTCCGTCTGTAACGCTCGCTCGCGCACGTGTTCGATGCGTTGAAACAGGTCGGCCAGTTCTGCTTTGGCCGCCTCCATCCGCTCCAGACATTCAGCATTTGACCGGATCTGCTCATCCTCGAGCGCCTCGATCTCGTCGTCAAGATCATCTTGGTATGCTTGAAGAGCCTCGTAGGTCTGTCCAACGGACGACAGTGTGGAAGGGTGCGAGAAGATCAAATCCAGATGTTCCAAGGGGTCATAATTGTCTGTTGAGGACATATTAGAACGGCACAACCACCGGGTTCACGGGAACGACACTTGCCTGAGTCGAGCAGATCGACCTCCTGATGCACCCCATTGACGGGCATGTGGACTGCGTGGCCGAGGTTTGGAGTTGCTACAGGAGTCGTAAGGGGAAGAAGCCAAAGGCATGGCCCTTTGGTTGTGAGAGAGAAAGGTGTGTGAATCTAGGAGGTAATCCTCCCCGGCCTGTGACAGCTTGGCCTCTCGTAGAAGTACTACAGGCTACCGGTATACGATCAATGTACGTGCTGAGGCCAGTTGTATCCCTACTAGTATCATACAACTTCCCTCTCCATGGCGCGCACTGGAGACGTCAACTAAAATTACGCGCCGCTTTAGCAGCATTCAACTGCATCACAACCACGAAACTCAGAGTAGGATGTCGGTCTATACTGAGTACTCGCGCACAGAGGGCTCAAGATTGCTTCTCCGGAATACAGACACAATGAGACATGTCCACACCCTAGCGAGACTTTGAATGCATTGTTTACAACTACTACATTACCCGTACTAGTACCCCATACCTTCTTTGGTGCTGCTACAAATTGACGCCGCTGAGCCCTCGCGATACCTTCCGCATAAAATCTGATCCATCCACCAATCAACCAAATTTCGACCGACTCCCTATTATTTTCACTTAAGTTCGTTCCTTGCAACAACGGCCACGACCAGCTTCTTTTATTTTGTTTTCCTCTAGGAAATTTGTTCACTCCTTCAGGAATGAGGATCATGTCCTTTCAACATGTGGGATCAGCCATCCCACAAATTGTAAAGACAGAACAATCCATGGCGATTGGTGCCTAACCGTGGCCCATACTCTACACCTCTCTTGACAAAATGACATTGACCTGCTACTAGTGCTAACAACATAAATACTCAAAACCAAAAAGAAACACACATACAGATTACATACGCCAGATGACTACAGCTATGTCAAAGTTCAACCTGATCTCGCCTAACTAACTCATCAGCGCATGCTTTTGCTCAACCTGCACAGATCAACCTTCCACTGGTTTCGTTCCCAGGTAAGCCTAACAAACCACCCTTCCCCATTCCAATATTCTTCTCTACATACCCCGATCTACAATCCTACCTTCTCTCCTGTCTCTATGATGAACAAAGAAACCATATGGCATTAGGAAGAGCCGGAAAAGGATGCTCCAGGGTTTTCAAAAAGAAGCAGCCCCTGCCATTTCTTCGAAGGAACAGAAAAAACAATTCAGGTTGGCGTTACAAAAGCGCCGGGGGCCGGGGTATCGTCAAATATCCCGCTTTTTGCCCTTTTCTCTCGCCGCTTGATGTCGTCTTTCTGTTCTCTCAAGATGTGGTTTGGGGCACCTGGAGACGTCGATGCTTAGAACTGGTTCTTCTGAAAGAGACGATAAAAGAAATATCGCATATGAGGTCACATGAAGGCGGAGAAAGCCAGCCCTTCGCTTGTCGCAGAAATGCGTGGGATCCCCTTCTGCTCACGTACCTCCTACCTTGCCCTCGTCAGATTCCCGTTTTGATTCTCCAGTTCCACGAGTGGAAAATGCTGACGATGCCCACCCGTTGAAGAAAACTTTAGGACCATATTACATGTGCATGTATGCACTTACAAGTTCAGAGGCAGGGAGGTCCACAAACCCCGGACAGATACTGGCATGCTAGCAGGCCTGTTTATAACCCGTGTTTTCAACTTCTAGGTACTACTTACTGTACAGTAGGTTAGGTACAACCCTACATAATCTATATTGTGTCTCTGTTGCTTGTGGTATTACCGCATCTTCTCCTCGCTGCAGTTTCTGGACCACCTCTCTGGGGTCTTCCAGATTATATCCTCTCCGAGTAGTTGCCATGGTAGGTAGGGTAGTGCCTGGGAAGCTGCTATTAGACTCCGTAAGGTAGACGACTGCTAGTGTACTACATTTGTAGGTAGGGATGAAAGGGGTGGAGCACTGCACTGTCGGGCGCAGGAATTCTCCGAAACACGCGCGGGATTCTTGCGACTACCGCATGGAACATGTTGTCCACTTCAAGGTCAACTTGTTAGCACTCCTAGCACTACGACTGTCATTGTGCCACGTCTTGATGTCCCCGTCTATGCCAACATGTCACATTATGCTTGCATGACAGGTTTCCCGGAGTCCTAAGGTTTCAATGCCTGCCTGAGCAGAACTACATTGGGTTACTGCAGGCGGCGTAATCGCAATCGCGCTCAGGCTCTCGACCCGACCGACCACTGACTGGGGCCCCTACATCTGGGCTTGAAGTGAAGATCCTGCCACCTCCGAGTCGAAGATGCCAGCGAAAACGAGGTTCACACGGCTTGACGCCTTCACCAAGACAGTCGAGGACGCGCGGATACGAACGACGTCCGGGGGAATTGTGACGATAGTATCGATCCTCGTGGTGATATATTTGATTCTAGGAGAATGGGCAGACTACAGAAGGATAGTGGTGCAGCCGGAATTGGTGGTTGATAAAGGACGAGGTTAGCAGAAGCCAAACACAACACAAAACACACGTATACACCCCATATGTACTGGTGGTCGAGTGGAATGCTTTCCTTGGATTCGAGCAAGGAGAGAGATGTGAATAAAGGATGTTTCGCTGACGTTGTTGAGTTCTACAGGAGAAAAAATGGAAATCCATCTCAACATCACATTCCCCCGAATTCCCTGCGAACTCCTCACCCTGGACGTGATGGACGTATCGGGCGAACAACAAAGCGGCGTAGTCCACGGCGTCAACAAGGTCCGACTAACCTCAGTCGCCGAGGGATCACGAGTCATCGACACGCAAGCACTCCAACTCCACCAACAAGCCGAAGTCTCGTCCCATCTCGACCCAGACTACTGCGGTTCATGCTACTCAGCGCCTGCACCGCCGAACGCCAAAAAACCAGGGTGCTGCAATACATGCGACGAAGTGCGCGAAGCATACGCAGCCAACAGCTGGGCATTCGGCCGTGGTGAAGGAGTCGAGCAATGCGAGCGCGAAGGCTACGGGGCGCGACTGGACGAGCAGCGCCACGAAGGATGTCGGATCGAAGGAGTCATCCGAGTCAACAAAGTAGTAGGCAATTTCCACATTGCGCCCGGGCGGAGTTTCAGCAATGGCAACATGCACGTCCACGACCTCAACAATTTCTTCGACACGCCCATCGAGGGCGGGCATACATTCACACACGAAATCCATTCACTCCGCTTCGGTCCACAACTATCTGACCAGGAAGCGAAATGGACAGGTGCTGATCACCACCTCAACGCCAACCCGCTGGACGGACTGCGGCAAGAGACAGATGAACCAGGCTACAACTTCATGTACTTTATCAAAGTTGTCTCGACGTCCTATTTACCCCTTGGTTGGGACGAGGACAAGTCCATCCAGCAGCATTCCAGTCTAAGTGACTTGATACCGCTGGGAATGCATGGCAAAGGTGCGGGCAGCCAGGGGTCCATCGAGACACATCAGTATTCCGTCACGTCGCATAAGAGGTCGTTGGCGGGCGGCAACGATGCCGCGGAGGGCCACAAGGAGAGGTTGCATGCCCATGGTGGTATTCCTGGTGTTTTCTTCTCTTACGATATCAGTCCGATGAAGGTCATCAATCGCGAGGTCAGGCCGAAGAGTTTTGCTAATTTCTTGACTGGTGTTTGTGCCGTTATTGGTGGCACTTTGACTGTCGCTGCGGCTATTGATCGTGGCCTGTATGAGGGCGCTACGAGACTCAAAAAGGTCCATCAGGGCTGAGTGTGAGTGCTGGGCTGCCATAGTGTGTGATGATGAGTGATGAGCGAAGGTGAGAAGTGGAAAGGGAGAGGCGTTTCACGTCTGAAAGCAACGGAGGGGCTTTGTTTTAGATAGTTCTTCAAAGAGAAGCCCAAAGAAAATTTTATCCAAGCGCGGCATTGCAGTTGAAGAGTTGCCACAGAGAGCTAAAGAAAAAAGCTTGCGAGGTGGTATTGTGTTGAGCAGAGCTGTGTTGAGATTTGGATACCTAGGTGCTAGTACTGTCACACCGCATTGATACCCAAGGAAAGCGATCAGAGTAGAAGTCGTTGGCGAGTTGAGATTATGATGAGGGCCGACGGCCTTTGAAAAGCGAGCTATGGGGTAAAGAGATAGGATAGACGAAGCTTTTGCATCTTGTACCACTACTACCTAGGTACGATACTCGCCAGCTGAGGCTCTTTTATTTTGGTTATTATTTCGCGTGAACGATAAGGCTCATCGAAAATTCTCACTGAATCATAATGTATTCAGCTAACTGCGGACTACAAAACTGGTAGCTTCTATGCCTACCGAAGCTGCAACTGCACTCCATGTGCCGGTCCACTTTTGCCCATTCCATTCGTCTTTCAAACCATTGATTCAATGCAAGGAATCGCTGAAGAAAGAAACCCAATTCGACACCGGACGCCTTAGAAATGATGATACAATGACCAGGCTCAATTAAGGCATGTCAATGGCACATCAACTAGGGGCGAGACGTCTAGTCGACTTCCTCCATGGCAGTCTCGCCAGTGGTAGCCTCAGCGGCAGGGGCCTCGGTCTCGGTCTTCTCCTCCTGAGTCTCAGTATCCTCATCGATGTTCAAGCCGAGAGAAACCAGCTTGTGAATGCGCTCAGCGAAGCTGGCAGGCTCGTCAATGGTGAAGCCAGACACCAACAGCGACGTCTCGAAGAGCAGCTGGGTGATGGACTTGACAGTGCGGTCGTTCTCGCCATCAGCCTCAACCTTCTTCTTCAGCTCACGGATGATAGGAGACTTGGGAGAGATCTCAAAGGTCTTCTTGGACGACATGTAAGAGGACATGGAAGTGTCACGGAGAGCCTGGGCCTTCATGATACGCTCCATGTTAGCGGACCAGCCGAATTGGCCAGTGCGGATGGCGCATGGGGAGCCGATGAGCTTGTGGGAGACGACGACCTTCTCCACTTTGTCGCCGAGGATGTTCTTCAGGCTCTTGGCAAGACCTTCGAACTCCTTTTCTTCCTTTTCACGCTCCTTCTTCTCCTCATCGGTCTCCTCAAGCTCGAAGTCCTTGGTGATGTCGACAAGTTTCTTGCCATCAAACTCCTTGAGCTGAGTCATGGCATACTCGTCAATGGGATCAACCAAGAACAAGACCTCGAAGTTCTTCTCCTTGAGAGCGTCAAGGAAAGGAGACTTCTGGACAGCCTTCAGGGACTCGCCGGTGATGTAGTAGATTTGCTTCTGGTGCTCCTGCATGCGGGTGATGTAGTCGGTAAGGGAGGTGGTGTCCTCACCAGACTTGGTGGAATGGAAGCGGAGCAGCTTGGCCAGAGCCTGGCGGTTCTGAGCATCCTCGTGGATACCAAGCTTGATGTTCTTGCTGAAGGCAGAGTAGAACTTGTCGAAGAGCTCACGGTCCTCAGCAATCTCATTGAAGAGCTCGAGGCACTTCTTGACAATGTTCTTCTTGATGACCTTCATGATCTTGTTCTGTTGAAGGGTCTCACGAGACAGGTTGAGAGGCAGATCCTCAGAGTCGACCACACCCTTGATGAAGCCAAGCCACTCAGGGATCAAGTCGGTAGCATCGTCAGTGATGAAGACACGTCGGACGTACAGCTTGATATTGTTCTTGGTCTTCTTGGTCTCGAAGAGATCGAATGGAGCGCGCTTGGGCACGAAGAGGATGGCGCGGAACTCTAGCTGACCCTCAACCGAGAAGTGCTTGACGGCAAGGTGATCCTCCCAGTCGTTGGACAGCGACTTGTAGAAGGCAGCGTACTCCTCTTGGGTGATCTCTGATGGGTTGCGAGTCCAGATCGGCTTCGTCTTGTTGAGTTCTTCTTCTTCTTCCTTGATCTCCTTGACCTTCTTGGTCTTCTTCTTCTTCTCTTCGCCTTCGTCTTCGGCTTCTTCGACCTTGGTCTTCTTCTCGCCGTCTTCCTCGACCTCTTCGGCCTCCTCGTCAGGGACCTCCTTCTCGGTCTCCTTCTTCACGTGGAGGTAGATGGGGTAGGAGATGAACTCGGAGTGCTTCTTGACGACTTCCTTGATCTTGGACTCGTTCAAGTAGTCGAGTTGCTCATCCTTGAGGTGCAGGATCAGCTTGGTTCCGCGGCCAAGTGGCTCGCCCTCGGTATCTTGCTTGATAACGAAGGTACCGCCTGCGCTGGACTCCCAGATGTATTGTTCGTCATCGTTGTGTTTCGAGACAACAGTGACCTTGTCGGCAACCAAATAGGCAGAGTAGAAACCGACACCGAATTGACCAATCATGGAGATATCAGCACCGGCAGACAAGGCCTCCATGAATTGTTTGGTGCCAGATCGGGCAATCGTTCCGAGGTTGTTGACCAAATCCTGGGGAAAAGTGTTAGCAAGTCGCAGATAACATTATTGGACGTTCGGGCCCACTTACAGCTTTGGTCATGCCAATACCGGTATCCCGGATGGTGAGGGTCTTGTTCTCTTTGTCGGGGATGATGTCGATTCTGAGGTCCTTGCCCGAATCCAATTTGCTTGGGTCCGAGAGGGCCTCATATCGGATCTTGTCTAGTGCATCAGATGCGTTTGAGATCAACTCTCGCAGGAAGATCTCTTTGTTGGAGTAGACAGTGTTGATGATGAGGGAGAGGAGTTGAGAGATCTCAGCCTGGAATTCAAATGTTTCCGCCATGGCTGCGGTTGTGTGGGAGGTATTAGGTCTATAGGAGATGAGTAGTTAGTAAGGCTGACTTTCAAGCACCTGGTTTGTACTCCCGCGCACAAGCAGGACGGGTGTTCAGGCAAAGGGAAGGACTTACAAGGTGAAGGGGTATCTCTAAAGTACAAGATGAACAGCAAAGATCGATTCGTGTCTGGATTTGCTGAAGGTTGAGAGGAAGAGATGCTGGAAGTGTTTATGTAGCCTTTCAGAAAAGTTAGCGCAGCCTGGAGCTGAAGGCATGGAAAGCATGGAACCTGTTGGAAACTACGATGGAAAGGCTGCGCTACCTTCTGCCGGGCGGACTGACGGGCGGTGATCCTATTGGTCTGTGTCACTGCTAAGATCTTAACAGGACAATATGCTTGTCAGACGGTCGCATTTCGTCAGGCACGCTACGGGGAGCCCCAGGCAACCGCTAATATATTGCTGTCAGACAGACAGTCACTATATCAGCCCTGCATGCACCTTGCACATGCTTGGTCGTGAATGGACTCCGCCAGTATCTGCTAGAATCCCTTCAGAACCACTTCACCTCAGCCTCGTCCTTTCTGCACAGCGACACTACCACCGCGGCAGCAAGCCAAAGAAAACAAAATACAGCATCCAGAACAATCAGGACAGCACTCTGACTTCCTTCACAGGATTGCTTCAAAGTGACTTGTGGCGTACAGCGTTGTACAACGCAATGCACACAGACCAGTATTGTAGATTGTACTGTGTATATCAAAACGCCCTCCCTTTACTGCTTAAGGTATGTATCAACCCTATGAGAGGCCAATATCTTGTACCCTGGCCAGCTTACACGTCCGCAACGCCGCGCCCCTGCACTTCTGGGGTAGTCTCCTGATAGCTCCAGAATTCGTCAACCATTAAGCCATCACACCATTACGTTGTAGATCTTTTAAAGGCCACACATCGCATGTTTATCCGTCTGAAGCGCTTTCCCCACTGCTGCTTGCTCCCTCGGCAAGCTTCTTCTCCGCCGCCTCTAATTTGTCCTTGATGTCCTTGAGTTCGGTCTGTAAGCTCTTGATGTAGACAATCGCCATTTCCACCGTGCTGGCTTTACTCGCTCCTTGACCGGACGGGGTAGGCTTGCTTTCTCCCTCGTCGTTGTCCTGGGAACCCGCTCTATCCTTCTTCGATTGTGCGGCCAGAATTGACGCAGGCAGAAGTGCTTCGATCTCCTTCAATGCAAGGTTGATGCGGTTTCGTCGCCCCTGTTCGGCAAGTTTATGCGATGTTCGTTTGGAGGTGAGATTTTCAGCCAAGGTCTCTGGGTAAGAAACACCAGGTAAATGCGTGCCCTCCAGTATGTTCTGGTAGTTTGATTTGGATGCGAGATACAATGCGCTGGTTTCTGGTGACAGATGTGCCATTCCTGGACCTGTTGTGTTCAGCTGATTGTGACCTAGAGTGAGATGAAGGCCGAACCTACCTGGTGCAGGAGCTAAAGGGTTGATGTTTGGTGAGATCTTAGGACGTATGGCGGGAGATATCGTCGCGGAAGAAGTGCTTTGTCTCTTCTTGTTGGCGCGACCTGACCCCCGGCTCTCCACCTTCCCCGGTCTTGTAAACGTGTCCTGTGAATTGCCCTTGGCGAGTGTCCCTCTAGGAGTACTTGCGGCACTCAATTTCGCTGACTTGGCCGAAATGGTTGGCGTGTTCTCACTGTCGTCACCATTCTTGCTGTTATCGATCGTGGACAAAGATTGCGGCACGCTTGGAGCAGCGGCATCCGGCAACATAATATCCTCCAAAGGTTCCTCAGCAGCTGTCGTTGAGCCATGTACCTCCAAGTGCTTCGTTGTCATTGAAGAATCACCAGGCATCCTCATCAGCGTCGCGGGCGTGACTGGATTGTTGGAAGCGACGCCATGGGGCGTCATGTCGGGTTGTGGGGACTTCCCCATATGAGGCAAAGGCGGCGGCCCCATGGCACCTTCTGACAATGATTCGGGGGAAACCGAGTCATCAGCCGGACGAAGCACAGCACTGTTCGGGGCTGACAGGTGTGAGCCTGCTGCCTGAGAACCTTGCGAGGGAAGGCCCGCCATCTTATCCAGGCGTAGCGAATTCAAGGATGGATGGCGTCGACGGGGGTGGGCTTTCAGCGCTGGAGACTGCTTTACACTTCGAGCGGGTGTACGGGTAGCGCTGCCAGCCTTGCGACGGGTTCGCTTTGTCCCGGCCATTGTCGGCTGGCCCATGGCTCCGGATTCGCCCAGGTCGATTGGCGAAGCGGTGGTCGCCGTAGAGCTGAAACCCCCTTGGGCCTCGATGGCAGGAGACGTCAAGGGGCTGAAGAAATCATCGGAAAGACCGTAATCAGCCATAGAGAAGCCACCGTCCAACGGTGTTTGCGCAGGGGAGACCAATGGAGTGAACGACAACTGAAATAGTTAGAATGCATGCCACCCTATCGCGGTAATGCCATACCTGCTGATGATCGAAGATGATTTGCCCATTGTTACCCATATGCGAGGCGTACTTTGCCGCATGCATTTCCCCGCTCACGGGCGTAGGAGGGATATGATACTGCGGTACCATCTGCATCTGCTGATACTGTTGATACTGCCCATATCGCTGATCCGTCGCGGCGGGGTTCTGGAAGCCCATTGAGTCGGTGCTACATGGCATATTCACGTTCATCGGCTCGGACTCGCTGTATGTCAGGTCGAGCGCACTGTTGCCAAAGCCCAAGCGTCCCATCGGGGTGTCGAGACCGGAATGCCCATTCTCCATGGAGGAGAAGTTTTGAAACTCATTGTCCAAGTTCAGGAATTTTGTGAAGTCATCGTTGCCGACGCCGGCGACCATGGCTTCATCTTGCATGTCCTGAGGCCATACCGCATTTTGCTCGCGCTCTTGGCTCATCCTCTTGGTTGGAAAGGAGGTACAGGTAGGTTGCGCCCGCAGGTGGGCTGCGGGAGATGATTGAGGGAAACACGACAATCAAAGAAGGTCCATATCGTCAGCGACGAAGGCGGGATACAGGTAGTCGACCGGACCTGTCTCAAGCTTGGAGAGTACAGGTAGGCAACAGGCGTCACGGCTGGGTTGTCGCTGGGTTGTGGCAGAACGGTGCGGTTGTTGAAGAGAGTCGAAATGCAGCCTTGCTGAGGTTAGGTCAAATGGAGATGAAGGGAACGGGTAACGGCGCCTCTCGCTGAAAGAACAAAATTCGAGGTCGGGACTGCCGCGACTAGGACTCGACTTACTGGTCGGTGACTGGTGGCCGCCTCAGTTGATAGTTCGCTCCCAACTTGGCTCCAGCGGCGGGGTTCAGCGCCTTTGGGGATGGCGTGGGTATTTTGAGCTTCTCACACGAATCGGTTCGCAGATAGACGTGCAGTAAGTCGACACTGGGCGTGGGTCGAGACCAGGGGGTCGACTCGAGGTCAGTCGCCAGGGTAATCGAGGTGGGCATGTCACCAGCGGAACTGAAGTATTACTACGAGAAATCCTCGGTCGCGACTTTTGCCGAAGCCTGCGGGAGCGTGGGCGACGGCGGGTCAATGCTGGATGAGACGCATTATCGGTCAACTTAACTCGAAGTTGTTGTGGCTCATGTGGCTCAGTGTACCGACCAGGATCTGGAAGGACTCTGCGAACTGCTTACGTTGTAGAGACATGGGAGTTGTGGGGGTTTGAAACGAGTTGCAGAGTGAAGTGATTTCTTTTTTAACAGCCTGCTGCTCAGTGAGCCTGAGGAGCGTACATATGCGAGGGGGCAGCTACAGAAGCACAGCCTGAGTGCTGCCATACATTGTAGTACTGCAGTGTGCCAGTGCCAGTGGTGCAGTAGTACTCCAGGCTGTGCAGCATAGGTGGAAAGAGTCCCTAGACCTACCACTGGCACCTACAGTAGGTGCCTATAACGAAGTGCTAGGCACCGCTATACTGCTGCTACTAAGTACTGCCACCGGAGTGCACCCTCAGTTTCTACTGTGTACACCTCCCGCCGGCTCAGAGGGGTCGATGGAGCTTTGAAATGTCACCAATAGTCAATACCAAACAGCCTAACATGAACCCTGTTCAAGTTGTGTTCCACCATGACTTCCACTTTGTACAACTGTATAATCAATGACACTGCACCAATATCACGAATCACTTGAGGAATACCGACTTCCATCAGATGCCATCATTGACCCTGCGAGTCAGAAAAATTTTCGACATCCACCCTCCCGCCGGAACTAATAACAGGGTTACCTGATTCTGGGTATCAGGTGTCCACCTTGCGGTGACCGCTGAGACGACACCATCTCCGCCAGAAGAGCGCTTGGACCCTCGGCTACTTTCCTGCTACTGGTCAAAGTGTCCCAAGCATTATAGCCGACGGGCTTGTTCACCATTTGCCAGTCGAGACTTTCGTTCCGCAGCTCCAGCTCACTGTTAGGCTGGACATAGCATCTCTCGCTGCTTTATACACCCTCCCAGGTTTGATCCGCGGATTGATGAAGCGTCCATCTGAGGACTAAGTTCCACTCGTTTATATCTTACGAGTCCGTCCCCATCATGTCCGCCGGACGGCCAAAGGCATTCCTCAAACAAGCAAAGGGAAAGAAGAAAAAAGAGCAGGTAAGATGGCGCCAGACGCCTATGTATCGGGTGGACAGCTTGGGGTAACAGTGCATGTTAAAGATCCTCGAAAGTGCAGACGACTTCCTGGCAGGTCCGTGTTAAGACAGTCTAATCTTGAAACCAGACTGAGTAGCTCACCATCCAATAGCCGGAGTTGAATTCGAGGAAGCTGCGGGAAAATGGCGGGCTGGCGATGCTGCAAAGTCGATGCGGTTCTTTTCCAAGGCCATTGATGTTTACGACCAGGGTCTGGCGAAATTTCCCCAGAGTCTTGACCTTGCATATAACAAGTCGGTCCTTTTCCGCTGTCCTTCAGCAGCCATCCGGAAGTGCTAACACACCCCTCAGGGCAAGGGTATTGCTCGAAATTGCGACTCATCCCATTCTTATAGGCCAGCTGAATGTGCCGCTAGTAGAGGTGTTGCAACAGGCACTCAATGCGCACCGATATGCCCTCAGCCTTGATCAGGACAATACAGAAACTCTTTTCAATACAGCACAAGTTCTGACGGCCATTGCTGAAGCATATGCAAACGATTCGGATCGTGCCGACCATGAGGCATTGCAGCCACTGGAAGAAGCATTAGAGCTTCAGGATCGATGCTTAAATCTGCAGGAGATAAAGCTAGAGGAATCACTGCTCGAACAGAGAGAAGCTGAAGCTCTATTTGAAGCAGAAAATTCGGAGCCTCTGCCTGCAGAAGCAAATACACAGGTATCTGAGGATACCAACAACTCTCCTCGAAACGGCACCGAAGATCAGTGGTTTGCGGTAGTGGAGCCATTGACAAAGGACACCCTCATCGATACTATTGTGGCAGAGCTTGGGACCCTCACAACATTGTGTAGCATTATAAGCTCATCTCCAGGTGCGGCTCCTCCGTCTATACTTGGCTGGATCGAGGAATTTTCTACCAAGTTGTTGCAAACCAAACTACCGCCCCTCCTTCAAGATGCAGAGATTGAGAGGCAACAGGAGGTTGCCCTAGCCAAAGCCAACTTCTCCAGTGCCTTGCTCGAAGCAGGTTACCGGTCGGGGGCAATTGACGCCAGCACGTACAAGCGTGAACGAGACGAGGCGTTTCGGGCTCCAGAGTTAGGCATTGAGAAGAACTTTGCAGCGCTCCTGGCCAATACGAATAGTCTCATTGCATTCAATGCTGCACTTGCAGAAGGTGATGCTTCTGGTGATGCTTCTCAAGCTTCTCTGAGATGGAACGCGTTGTCTGCGGCGATCGCCAGCATGGCCACTGCGTCCAAGATCTCCACCTCGGTGCCAGACGACATTGCAGAAACCCATTTTCTGCGTGGAAATTGTTCCCTTCTGCAGCACAGATTGAGTCAGCCACCGATATCTTTCCAACCGGCCGTAGCAAATGCTGCTCAGCTACTCAAGAACGCCGATGTCTTCTACCGCAACGCTGCGAAACTGTATCAGAATGACGAGCAGAAGGCAGTTTCTCAACTACGAGCCGCCGTTCCTCAGGCTTTGCAGATGGGTCAGGACATACTGTCAGTATCAAGTGCGAATGTCCAGGGAAGAGATAGAGCATGGATTGTGAGCCAGCTAGAAGAAATGGCAGACGAGGGATTGATCTCAGTTCCGTCCAACTCTACCTGAACCGGTTTTTGAGACATCTATCCGGCTGGTGCATTGATTATAAGAAAACAGTCGCCACATTGTCAATTCTGGGCATAGCATGGCCAGTAGTGGTGCAGGATGCAAGAGATGTTGACCATAATGTACGGTACCAAGGGGATGGCGTTGAGGAGGTTGTCATGAATCCAGTGTCTATTGCACCGGGCGTCCTCCGGGGATCTGTCCACACTATGTCCGTTATCTGCTGAGGTGGTTGACTCCGGGGACCGTCTCTCTTACCATAGTCGGGTACCACGGAACAGTCCTCTATTTTGCGAGCGAGCAAGGTCGGTGTCTCTCAGTCGCCCAAGATCGAGACAGTCGATGCACCGCCCATCATATCCAAGACACACAATCACCATCATGCCGCAAACCCCAGCACATGTCAGGCATGTGTATGGACGAGACGCGCGGATCTCATCCTACAAGAATCAGCTCGTCGAAATACAGAACCTGTACCGCGACCGTCGATACAAACAATGCATTGCGCTGTGCGAGGAATTGCAAACACCGGAAGTATGGCCGTTCCGGAGTCACACTGGAGTTGTATATCCTTGGAAGTTTCTAGCTCTAACAACGCGGCAGATCCATCCAGTCCTCAAAGTGTACCTCTGGTTCTACAATGCGATATCTCATGAGTCTATCGGATTGATTGCTCACGACTATTCGAACAACAAACAACGATTCCTCGAGCTTGCCAGACAAAATTTCAAACTGGCTTTGAGCGGCCTGCCTCTCCCTTATGTGTCTACCGAGACAGGCGGGTACGATCAACCTGAATATTCACCCCTGGCTTCAGTGTTTGCGACGCCATCGATCCAACGTGGTTGTCACACGAGCCATAGCGCCTCACCGTCGAAGAGTGTCACAGTCATAATGGTGCCGTCCGCTTCGACTTACAGTGTCTACTCGCCCGAGAGCATTATTACTAGCCCACACACCGGGGACAGTGTTGAGCATTCTCCCGCCCAAGAAGCGGAATATCTGACTACACCTTTGACGAAGAAGGGAGAATTGCATGCTACTCCAGAGACCAACAGACCTTTACCATCTTTAAGTCCCGGCACGCACACATCTCGATTGAGTCAGAGCCTCAGTCTAGAGCACGAACTGGCCAAAGAGCTCGTTCCATCGCCTTTGTTCAGCCGTACGCCCAAGCAAGCCCGCCTGACCGAACCAAATGGCCGGCCACTGCCTCCTCTGCCGTTCAACCACAAGTCCGACTTCGAAGTTCAGGGGTCACGAATTGTACAAGTCACCGCTGGAATGAGGAAGACGGCAGTCCAGACTCTTATTGCGCGGTACGAAGGCGGTTTGCCTCTGACCTCGAGTCCTGGGACGGAGTCATCACTTGCGTCCCTTCCGAGTTTTCAAACTTCGGCGGACGTCGATTCTCCCGTGACGCCGCGGTTTAAAGCAATTGGCGATGCATTCACTCCAAACCCAGTCAACGCCCATCTCGAAGCTTATCTCTCCTCGCCTGACTTGACACGCTACAACGCCTGCCTGGCAGATTTTCGGATGCAGCTGCGCAACCTCATTTCCTTCCTCGACAGTGAGATTGCCCGCGTCAACCAGGTGCAGACCGAGCGCGCTGCCACCAAGGCGCTGTCCAAGACCCGGTTTGCCAGTTTCTGGTCTTTTCCAGATCCTGCTGTTTCTACTTCTGCAGGCAGTAGATCGAACCGTAGTGGTCGTGGCCGCCGGGGGACTGATGAAGGAAGAATATCCAGTATATTTGATAAACAGACGACCATTGGCCCCGGGACCAGGATGCAAGAGAGGATCGAAAAGCTGCGGAGTGAAGGCTGGCATGTGCGGAAAGAGAAACACGGTTTCAAAGGGTCACAGTGGTACCAGGATCTCAGCATGCGCGTCGAGAGCGAACTTGCTGCTGCGGCGAGGTTGGCGTCTAAATACTAGTACCGACAGGACACCACCATCTCTTCGATCGCAGGCAGCCAGCGGCTTTGTGGTGCAACCAACCGTGCACCGCTGAGACACGACATCTGAACGGACCTGCCAAGGTATCGCAGTGTTCGACACCCCTGTTTTTGCCTGTAGGGAAAGAGGGAAGATCCGTCAGAGTCAACTGGATGGTGTAGAACCTTTTTTGTTTTTCCGTTTCGTCGAAACATTGTATTCCAGAACCTGGTTGTTGAGGGCTCTACGAACCAAAAATTTGTATGTTCCTAAACCTGCTGGTACTAATGCTTTCTGTTTCAGAACCATCCCAATCAGGATGTGAAGCGCGGGCACACGCTCCTTTTTTGTGAATGAATGGTCAGGGTGCAAATGAAGCGGCAAAAGCGAGTAGGTAATCAAGAGTTTGAAGTGATGATCTGGATTCTTGTGATTTTGTATCAAAAATTTGTCGAGTTGTCCGACGCAGATCGACAGACACACAAGACTGTAAATGGTGGTAGTAGGAGAGTCCCCCATAGTAACTCCATTGCTATAGAATGTCCACGGAGTAGTGGAGAAATAAGTAGAGCAAGATTCACAGTCTGATCCAAGTCCCGCCAATGTTCCCCACTGGCAGCTTGCCATATTTCCTTTCCCACACCATATCCATCGCCGAAGCACTGCCCAGGCCCGTCGGAGGTGAGAGTATTGTCCACTTTTACTTTTCGACCTCAAATATGTTCGTTCGCCTGGTGCAGCCACGCACGCCTCCCTGGAGCATTCTTCCGTTCCTGTCAAAAGGAGAAGAGACTTCCAGAGAAGAGAACACACCGCATAAAATCTCATAACGTCGTCATTAACTCCCAGCAATCAATATCTCGTTTCACTGCTTGTTCTCGACACCTCCGTCTTTTTCTCGGTTGATGTTTCAGTTTTCAGACGGGTGGAGTAGTGAAAATCAAATGGAAGAGCAAAAGCACCAGCAACCTGGTAATTTGTACAGTTGGCAAAGCAGGGAAACCCGCAGCCAGTCAGAGAGAAATCTCTGTAGATTTGTTGTTGCCAATCTAGATCGGTCTAGTTGTTCATGTCATAGTCGATAAAGTCGCTGTCATTCCAGGCAGCATCGAACATGGGGTCGTTGTCCAGGCTAGCAAAAGCCTCGGGACCACCAGGGAACAGGGTCGCACTGGCAGCTGCCGGGTTGGAAAAGGCAGCGCTGCTCTCGCCACCAAACAGGGAGAAGTCGGCACTAGGGAAATCCCCATCCTGTCCCATGAGTGTAGGATCGCTAAAGGAGTGTCTGGACGGTCCGGCAATCATTGGAGAATAGTCCGAAATGGACGGATTGCGCGAATGGGGCTGAAGGAATGAAGCCGGTGTCGGCATGCCTGAATTCCATGTTGTGGCGTTGCAGTCCATGGTAATATCCATTGATGTTTCGTATGGTGAGGGCTCGGTTATATTGCTGTAAGCCGGGGTGATCGGTGTTGTCATCATGTGAGGCGTGATCGGATTCGTGTTTGTGGGCGAGATGTAGGCATGAGCCGGCTGGAAGGGCTGATTGAGCGACGTGGAGTTGAAATCAAATTCAGCGAGATGATCGGCAGAGGTTGGCTGTGCCACTCTTGGGAAGATTGGGTTGGAGTATGTGACTGGAGTTGACTGATAGGCATCAAAGGAGTTGGTGGCCGGCTGCTCAAAGGGCGTGGAAGCAGAGGCACTGCTGCCTACAAGACTTCCAGCAAGGGAGCTTGTGTCATCCCAAGTCCTGATCGACACAGCAGGACTGGGAGAGTAATCCATGCTGGGTGTTTGGGGTGTATGGGCCGGTGTCATTCTGGCTGGGCCGACCTTGTCTTTGCCCTTCGCGCGTTCGTAGTGCCAGCCGTGTTTCTTCTCTTGATGTTGCTTGCAGTTACTCTCTCGCTTGGTTCGAAACTCGCAGAATTCACACTTGTAGAAATGTGGGTTCTTGGAGTGCTTGTCATTGTAGTGGCGTTCTCGCTCCTTTTCGGTAGGTAGACCAAGTTCGTGATACTTGCAGTCCGGTTCAGGACATTTGAACGGACGGGAATGCGTCTTCTCATGTTTGGCCAGATCACACTTCCGCGTGAAGGTCTTATCGCAGGTCTTATCATGGCACTTCAGCTCCACAACCTCAGGGATGTAGCCCTTTTTCCTGCGAGCCATAGACCTCTCAACATCTTCATCCAATGCTTCACTGTTCTGTCGCTTGATTCCTGGCGTGGGCTCATAAGGTAAGCCAGTACGGAGGGAATACCCTTTGCCATTCTTCCAACGCACAAGCTCAGCCTCATTGCCGGTCTGACCGAGACCACCCTCCAGGGTAACCTCGTCATCGATGGAGAAGGCCATTTCGTCGTCTTCTTCTCCAGCAGCACCAGCTTGCTGGGCGCGACTTGACGAACCAATATGAGAGGCAAGCCGGTTGACTTGCTGAACAAGATCGAGGAAATAGCCGTTGTCGTACGGGCGATCAGTCACTCGTCGTTGTTCTGACTCAGAGAGATGCTGGTAGGTATCGACAACGAGTTGCACAGTGAACTCGCCGAAGGCGCGATACAAATGCCTCGACACGTCAAGCGCCTTGTGGAGGACGTCAGAAGGTGGTAAACGCTGATAGATAAGTGTGCTTACCAAAGGCTGGAAGATGAGGCTTTGTTCAAGATCACGCAGGCATCGGACGGCCTTGTTGAATGTTGACCCGAGGGCGGTGACGAGAGGATAGAAATCCTCGAATCGCTCGTCACGGAGTATGGGAGAGATGATAGACTCTTTGATCCGATTGCGGGCGGATGAACTGAGAGCTGGATGACGAGCAGAGACTCGAGGAGAAGGAGGAGCAATGCTTCGTGTGACAGCAGAGGGTTTAAGTAGCGATGGCAGTGCGGATGAGGAGCGATTAGCTCGTGGCCTGAGGCGTTGTTGCGTTGAATCTGGCTGGTCAGCTTCTGTTGAGGGATGGTTAACATCGTCACACATCAACACACAGCGGGCAATCCAACCTTGAATCAAGTCTTTCACCAGACTGTCTTCTTCAGAGGTGTTTCCCACAACCTTCTCCACTGGACCACTGATGGATGCCCCTAGTGCACTGTCCTTGTTCGACAACAAATCCAACGCCCTTTCAAAAGACTTGGCCAAGCCTTTGTCACTTGAAGTGATGATCGACGAGCCAAGTCCTTCGTCGGACGGTGAGGAGACACGCAGGATCTGTTCTTCCAAGGCTTTTGCAGACCGTCGTCGACTCGAACCTCTCTTGCCACGAGCGCCAGAGAACGTCTGTTCGAAGTCGGCAATGGACTGAGCGACGTCCTCTTTCTCGGACAGCCAACTAGTGAAGGTGGCCGTGGAGCATGTTGGAGAGCGTCGAGTGAGGTGAGGGATGCTTAAAACCGGATCATCCGCCGTGGCGGGCGATGATGACTGGTGGAAAGTGGCCCCTTTGGACAAGGACATCTTATGAAGAACGCATTTTGATGACTCTGGCGACGCCGGTGGTGATGGAGGAAGATGGCTGGTGATGAGTCGATGCGTGCGGCGATGAGCAAAGGGAGTAGGAGGAGGTGGCATGGCAGAAGAGGACATGGTTGGTATATCAAGTCTCGAACAAGCTGGGGGAGGATGCAGATGACACGCGAAGCGCTAGCTCGAAAGTTCAGCACGCGGTCTATTGGCTGATATAGAGCTGCTCCCAGGGGCTTATGACTCACTTATTCCAAGCGACATATGCCGACGATATAAGACTGATAAATGCGAAGTCGACTCTACTCACAGTTGTGGTTCTTTTTTCCTTTTCGGGCGGACTTGTGTGCTAGCCGGTCGAAGGTATTCCGTGCTAATGGATCGGGGGGGTTGACAGGCTTGTTTGGCGTACCCCGTGAGGAAATATCTGGTACTGCTATAGCATAGCCCAGGGGATAGGATGTCCGCGGGAACGGAGGCAGGAGCCGAAGGTCTTGAGGGCGGTGCCAGGGAACCGTCGCGGTGCCAAGTAACAAGAGCAGGCGGAGGTTGAGTGGAGGAGCCGGACAATGCGCTGGGTTCAAATGAGCGAACAGATATGCGGATAGCTGTTTAATGGTTGAGGTGAGGGTGAAACCGAATAGAAGACAGATGGGTGTAGGTGGTGTTCAAGGCAATTGCGGATGGAAAGTCAACGCCTGAGGCCAGCGTGGCGAGTATCTGGCTTTCTCTCTTTCCTCGTGGTCTGGTCGACCGGATGGACCGCGCACCAGAGAACGTGAACGAGGAAACGGAGAAGGAAAAAGACAAGGTGGTGATAGTAGGATGAGTCGAGCAGTTGTCGCGGTGGTGGTGATGACGGCCGCTTGATCACTTGCGGTGGTAACGAGTGATGCCTACTTTGCCAAGACGATGGTGACAGGGATGCGCGCCGCCTGAGCACGGGGTCTCGGACTTTGCACTTTCGTCTCTCCTCTTCCCTGTCCTTCCAGTGTGGCGCGGACGGCTCGGAGCATGCAAAAGCAAAAAGCCGGGAGACTAACGACTGTCACTCTACACTCTTGCAACGTATACAACCACTGCGATGGGCCTGTGGTTCAATCGATGAGTCCTCTGCCCTTGACCCACCTCCTCCTTCGGCCGCAAGCGTCTCCTCGTCGGCCGAATCATTCCTCCAGACTCCGTCGAGCGACTCTCCATGTGCTAGTATCACTCGCAGAGTTCTCTTTCAGATATTGTAATATACATTGAGTCGCGGCATAGCAAGGAACAACGACATTGAGAACGTCCAGTCTTTTGCAACAATGACTGCTTCGAGTGTTTGAAGAGTGCTTCGAAGGCCATGCTTACAGTGATAAAAATACGACATACGATCGATTCCACAATTGGGCGCAATGCAGTGGGCGCAGTCAGCCTTACGCAACTTATCCCCATCGTTGCTGGCTCCGCATCTGCCAGGAACATGCGGTGATTTCTCCCACTGGCAGCACTAGCACTGCAGTCCTACCTGTCATTGGTGGGTTGGACAGAGGTACGCAGATCACGTGCTGCGGAGACCGGGCCCGAGTTCATCCGTTCCCAAACCCAGAGTTCGACCCTGGATTCAGGGATCGCGCCCGCTGGAACAGGGAGAGGGTACGAGTGATCATAATCACACAGGACACTATTTCTCCATCCTACCACTCCCGCACGCATGAAACGGATCAGATGATACTATCCTGGGTGTAGCGACTGGCAGTGCTGACCCTTCTTCAACAAATAATATTAACCTACTCTTTTTATTGGCAGGCCAATGCAGGTATGCGTCACGACTACACTGCATGGCACGCCTGAAAAGCCCCTGCCACTGCTGCCAGCGTCTTTTTTGGGCCAACCACACTCGCCGGTCCTTTTAGCTGCTAATCAATGCATGCCGCCTGAATCCTTCGGAAATCGTTTCGAAGTTCGCGTGCTCGACTAGTTGAGCTGGGGAATACTCAGTGTCTCCGGGCATGAGCTTGTTGCTCTGATAAAATGCTTAGCCAGACAGATTTGCATCTTCCGCTCTGAGCCATCCTCCGATACCCAGTATGCCTCCGTCGTGGTTCCGACTATCCATGCTCCATTTCCTGACAGGGGTGCATCCAAGGTCTGTGTGATAACCAGCTTTGAACATCTCCATCCCAGCCCACGCTATCATGGCCGCATTATCTGTGCAAAGTTCCACAGGCGGAAAGACAAGGTCCACGTGCTCAAAGTTTCGTAGGTCGAGCGTCTTTCGCAGATAGTACCGGAGGAAGTCGTTGGCTGCAACCCCTCCGCTCACCACCAGTGTAGAAATGTCAACACCTTGATTTTGAAGAGTCTCAAGGGCAAGAATCATGCGAGAGGCTAAGTGCTCGAATGCGGTCGCTAGGGCCGACCGGGCAAGCAGCACGCGTTCCTCTTCGTCCATTTGGTTCTGACGGGCTAGGAGCACGCTTCTGACCTGGCTCGCAATCGATGCAAAGCTGTAGGCCAGCGTACGAGTCTTGGAAAGGGGAGGGACCAGGTTCCATCCATATTTGTTCAATGGCTTTTCCACCTCTTCTTGACGACTGCGAGGAATTTCCCAAGCTGCATAGTCATCCGCAGTCTTGAATGCGTATGCTGAAAGATATTTGCCATAGGAAGTGTCGGGTGTACTATCCAGCAATTTCTTGGGCAGTATAAGACGGCCACATTTGTCCAGTTCATCCCCGATGGCAGTATCTGTGGTCGAGGCCAAAATTTCATGCTCCACTAACCCTTTCGAGTAGAGAAGCATCGTATGACCGCCACTAACCAACATGGTCAGAAACGGGAAATCGGGTTTCACTGCATCTCTCACACTCTTTTCGTCTTTGTGTAGTGCGCTGACAAGCCTGGGCGTCAGTGCATGTCCTTGCATATGATGGACTCCCACCATTGGTATCTGCCACGCTACCGAAAGTGCTTTTGCAGTATTCAGGCCAACCGCTAGATTGACCGGCATCCCGGGGCCGCGTGTAGCGGAAATGAAGTCTGGCTTCTGCCTGATGCTTCCATCCCGGAGATGAAGCTTCTGAAAGTCGGGTAAATGACCAGAAGCCTCTGGCAGTGACGGCAGAGCCCTCTCCAGCAGTTTGGCCAAGTGTAAATCGTGGCTCTTCAAGGCCTCAACTGGGACAATACCGCCCTTGCCAGTATTTTTGGCCGTAATTCTTTCATTGAAGTGTAAGGTGGTCTTTCCAGAGCCTAACCTCTGAGCACAACCGTACTTTGAGAGGATAGCCACGCAGGTATCATCGCAGGAGGATTCGATGGCAAGTGTTAGGAGATTGCGCCGCAGGACCGGGACAAAGACGCCGGCCGCACATGTTGTGGAGACATGCTTCACGCGACAGAGACCATGCAGCATTGACAAAAGACACGGTACATCAAGTCTGCGTGTGTTCGCCGCCGACGCAGACTGTCGACCGACTGATTTGGCACGAGGTATACACTGTATTGCATGCGTGGTACAATTATTTTCCGCCGAGGCCGGCAGCCTCGCCGCTTTGTCAGCAACCAGCCTTGTCATGGTTCGTCTCAATGCTCCGCCGTGCTTGCGCAGGTCCGGCAGGAGTAGAACTGGGGATCTTGGTCTCTGTTGCACACCTACAATCTTCCTCCACAACTGCTTTCGCTCCTCCACTCCTCATGGCTGTACGCAGGCCCAGGGAACAAGATCTCGTCTTTTGCATCGATGTTATGACTGACACGATGTGTCTGAGGCTGATCAGCATAGCGACGGATAGAGCGCTGCCCTCTGGAGCGAGGGTGTAACCATTCACACAGGACACGTCAAGCATTACAATGACAACCAACGGAAGGCCTGGATTGAATCGAACATGCAACCACTTCAACTGGCAGGCAAAATTTCCTTCTTGAAAACCTGACTGCAGTCATTCTGGATCCGTGGCAGACCCCAACGCCACTCGAACAATGTTCCGGATCCCCTTATTAACCTCGCCAAATAGTGTCACTCCATGTACAGTGTGCCCATGTCAGGTTGCTCGCTCATCCTAACTGCACACTTGGCAACCAGTTTCACCTCTGTGCAAGGTACACCCGTTTCTCTGTCTGCCCTGCATTGGCGATGACAGATCTTCCCCCCTTGCCTACCAGGCTCGTTCATGATATCCCAAAGCCAACCGGGGTAATTGGTCACCACCACTCTTGCTTTCTGGAAAGACTCAGGTATCCGCTGGGCGGTCCAGACTGGCTGAAATGTACTTCCCTTCTGTCTCAAAGTGTGTGCGTATGCCTCCAGATGAAGAACGCCAACTGATACCATCGCTCTCTCCCCCGGGTGCGCGAGGCTTGAGACAGGGATAGCCTGTCTCAACTCATGACCACGGCCAACATTGAGCTGGTGAGGACGATGGGGATCTTATATAAGAATATGATATTACTGTCGTTGCCTTCGTTCTTGGCCTGCCTTCTACCCGATCTACTTCATTCTTTCATTCAGTCCTTTGGTTTTGGACACTCTTTTGGTATCTACACACTCGCTTGTCAAAATGCGCTTTTCACTACGTTTTTCCGTTCGCTCATTCGCTGCTTTCCTCCTTTATCTCAGTCTAATCTCTATACAATGGGTCAATGCCCTTGCAAATACAGACACCATTACTTGGGGCGGTTCCAACGACAGAAGCGGATATCAAAACAACCACAATATGGATTCTGCGGTGGTTGGGAGTGCTCAGTTTGGTCTACTATTCAGAACAAAGCTACCTGGTACATATCCGATCAATGGACAGAACGTGCCCGAACAGATATTCTCTCAGCCCTTGGTGTATACCGGTTCCGATGGTGTACAATATCTTTACATTGCGACTACCCAGAACAACCTGTACAAGATCATTGCCAAGACTGGAATCATTGTGGCTTCTCGGAACATACATCGGCCTTTCCTGGTCAGCGACTTGAATGGCTGTGTTGATATCAATCCAACGGTGGGCGTGACTGCCACTGGAGTCATTGATCCTGACACGGTATGTCTAGCGCCTTATTACCAACATTGTGTCAGACACTAACCCGGCGGTCAGGACACATGGTACTTCACTTCCAAAACTTACATCGACCAAAATCTCAATGGTCCCACTGGTCGTCCGAATGGTCGATACTATATCCATGCTGTCAGCACTGTAGATTTGTCTGAGCGCCCAAATTTTCCTGTCAACCTGGAAGGTATGGTAGCCAGGAACAATCCTGAGCGATCCTTCAATGGTGGCATCCACCATCAGCGTCCAGCGTTGCTTCATACGGGCAATTTTATTTACGCCGGATTCGCCAGCCACTGGTACGTATTACTTTGCTCGCATTTGCTGCATAAACACCCTCTCTTGTTGCTTTTTGAGCGCTCGAGCGCTTGAGCGCTGGTTAACTGTCTTTCGCTTCAGCGTCCAATGGAACTTTACTGGCTGGATCGTCGGTTGGGATAAAGGGACTGGTCAACTCGTGGAAAGATTTGCAACAGAAGGTGGTAAGTGAACTCGGATTTCTCCTGCTCATTGTGCCGTCCTACATCTCTAACATACTTAAGCTGGCGTTGGCCCGGACATCCCTGGTGCTGGCGTGTGGATGTCAGGCGGCGGGCTTGCCACTGATGGAAAGGGTTCCATGTTCTTTGCCACTGGTAACGGATATGCTTCTCAACTCGATGGCATACCAGTCAACGGTAGAAACCCACCTACCTCCCTCGAGGAAGCCGCCGTGCATATGGCCATCAATGAAGATGGCTCGTTGACTGTGGTTGACTTTTTCATGCCCTGGGAGAAAACTCAGCTCGATGGCGCAGACAAAGGTGAGGAATCTTCTGTCATTCTGATTTCAGCCTTCTGATACTGGCAGATCTGGGGACATCGCCTCTGGAGTTACTCCCAAGTCAGTTCTCTTGTGGAGATATCAAGCGGATGGGCGTTGTCACTGGTAAGAGTGGGAAGACCTACTGGCTCAACCTCGACAACCTTGGGGGCTACCAGAATGGCCCAAACAAACTGGACAATGTGATTCAGGTCTATCAGAACGAGAACTCGGTCTATGCGGGAGCCGGTGTCTATCCACTCGAAGGAGGTTACATCTACATTAACGTCATCCAGTATAAGACGCATGTGTTCAAATTCTCATGCAACAATGGTGTTCCATATTTCAACAAAGTGGCAGACTCGCCAGAAAAGAACGCATATATCCTCGGCGTTGGGCATGGCACTGTCACGTCGTTGAATGATCAACCTGGAACTGGCTTGGTATGGACATCGGACGTGGAGGGCTCCAACCTGAGAATCTATAATGCCATTCCCAACAATGGCATCTTACAGGAAATCAACTCATTTGTTACTCCAGGAACTACAAAGTTCACTCGGCCAGTTTTTGGTGATGGTATTGTCTATCAAGGAACCACTCAGGGATACATTTATGCTTATGGCGCCCCGGTGAATCTGCCCCTGAATTGTACGGGCGTTCAGTTTGGCACAGTCAATCTCAATGCGACAACTGCCCCAATGACGGTCCAATGTTTGGCCAACACTGCCGTTACAATAACTGGAGCGGGACTCTCCGGCAACCCGAATTTCGCAATTAACAGTCTACCAAACTTCCCGATCACCGTGGCCCAGGGACAGCAATTCTCCTTTCAAGCCACTTTCAGTCCGCAGATCGTGGGACCTTTGTCATCATCTGTCATCCTCAACACGACGCAGCAAGCCGCCGGTTTCAGCATCAATACTCCTGTACAACTGAAGGGTACTGGCCAGAGTCAAGCGCCGTTGTTGATGATTACACCGAATACGGTCAGTTGGAATGGTGTTATTACCGGCCAGGAGGCTGGCGGAGTCAATCAATCAGTGATAATCAGCAACGTTGGAAATGCCCCTCTCAGCATCACCAAAATACTGTATTCTGTGGTTGGTGAGACCGGACCCTGGATTACGCCCAATGGCACGCAAACAGTCACGGGAGTGTCTGCATTCACATTCTACAACATGCCGCTTTCGGTGGGACCGAATAGTGCCATAACAGTTCCAATCAACTTCAATCCACCCTCCAGCGGAAACTATGGCGTCTACGTACAGGTTGTGTCAAATGGGGGCACAAAAGTCTTTGATGTTCTCGCCACTGGCTCGGATGAACCCAGAGCTGTTGTCGAATTCCAGACTCCTGGGGGAGGATGGATTCGGTACGACAACACGACCGCCTTCAGTTTTGGCAATGTGACCGAGAATACAAGTCGGTATCTGAAGATGCGATTGACCAACAATGGATCACCGAACGCAGCAGCCTTATCTGTGACCGTTAGTAAACCACCATTCGGCATTCCTGGGAGCATTATTGGAGCCAGTAACCAGGTCGACCTCGCCGAAGGAACGTTGGTATATGCTGGGCAGAATTTGACTGCCACTCTGTTCTGTTCAGTGCCAAAGAGTCAAATCAATGTTGATCCATACGTCGGCACCGCACAATGGACCATGAATCTCAATGACCCGATGTTTGGAAAGCAGCACATACAATTTCTCTGCAATGCTGTATCTGAACAAGGACCGCCTCTAAACCCAGTGACTCAGCAAGGCATTTACCGATACGCCGGCTGCTATACTGAGAACAACCCAGGCCGACAACTACAGGCAGCCATTTACAGTGGTCCGCTTAATACTAATGAGCAATGCATAGCCCAGTGTTCTGCTGCAGGGTACATCTTTGCCGGCACACAGTACAACCAAGGTAAGTCAGTTCCCAGCATTATTGTACCATTGCTGACATGGGAAGAATGTTGGTGTGGGTATAACCGCCCAAAGACTGTTAATGATGATGCCAATTGCAACTTTGCATGTTCTGGCAACGAGAACGAGATCTGTGGAGGCAACGGTATCACCGGCTCTGGCTCTTTCATTTCACTGTTTGGCGACATAACTCGCTGGAACGGCAACGCGACAGACTCTCCTGGTCCCTACGTCAACCCTGGTGCTCTTGGGTTCCGATCTCTTGGATGCTATACCGAAGGATCTCAATCTCGTGCGCTCAATGTGCAAGTAAATGCCAACAATACGGTGACGGGGTGTCTCGCAGCATGTCAAGGGTACCTGTACTCCGGCGTGGAGTATGGTGGTCAATGTTTTTGTGGGAACTCCCTGTCCGCTGGTGCCGTCAGTACTGCAGCTTCGGATTGCAGTATGACATGTAACAACAATCAAACAGAGTTTTGTGGAGGTCCAAGTCGTCTCAACATGTACATGTACGGCAACGGCAGCCTTCCTACTTCGACTGCCACATCAGGAACCGGGAATCAGAATCCGCCTGGCCCAACAGGACTGGCAATTCCATCAACAATCGGCAATTTCAGTTATGTCTCTTGTTATACAGAAGCCACCGCAGGTCGAGCTCTCAGCGGCTATACGTTGGCCGACAACAGCATTACCACACAAACTTGTGCGAGCAATTGTACTCAGTACCGTTATTTCGGCGTGGAGTACGGTCGGGAATGTTATTGTGGAAATACTCTTGGTGCCGGCAGTGCTCCAGCAACTGACGGCCGATGCAATATGCCATGCTCTGGCAATTCGAGCCTTGTATGTGGCGGACCGAATGGGTTGACCCTATACGTGAATCCAAACTGGACGACAACTACACCCCCACCAGCACCCACGCCGTCCGGGCCGAGCACTGTTTCCAATATTGGCAATTTCCGATACGTTGACTGTCACACCGAAGCCACCAATGGTCGTGCACTCACTGGAAATGCTGTCGCCTCAAACGATATGACCGCGCAGTACTGCGCCGGAAACTGTACTGGCTTTATGTACTTTGGTGTTGAATATGGTCGTGAATGCTACTGTGGGAATACTCTATCTGCTGGGTCGACCACTGCTACGGATGGCCGCTGCTCCATGACGTGTGCCGGGAACTCCTCGACTGTGTGCGGTGGACCGAACGGGTTGTCTCTGTACCAGTACGTGATCCCGTCCAATTCCAGCTCAAGCTCGACCAGCTTGGTACCGAGCAGTACCTCTGCCGGCTTGTCCACCCTGTCGAGCTCCACCTCGACTGGAAAGACATCGACGGCAGGGTCATTTGCGAATACAACCTCCACGACTGGGTCGCGTAACATACTGTCCGTGACCAGCAACAGCATTGTCACATCGACTCGCATTGCGACATCCACAGCTCTTTCATCTACCCCGAGCACGTCGTTCAGCACATTGCGAGCTTCAGCTTTGGGCAATTCAAGCACGTCGAGCAGTGCCTTGTCCTCCTCGAGCACCTGGTTGACCTCCAGCCGTGCCGGTATATCATCTACATCATCTACGTCATCAAGCTCATTCCTGGTGTCAAGTCGAAATGGAACATCTTCATCGACAGCCTCGCTGGTGTCGACTACATCTTTGGCCTCAGACAATTTGATACGGGTCATCAACGGCTCAACCACAACGAGCACGGCCCGGCCGGGCTCTTCGACTTTGACCACATTGAAAGGCAGTCTTTCCGTCAACACGACCCAGGTGACATCTACCTCCACTGTTCCAATACGTTCTCTTGTGTCTATTACTTCTTTCAATGTCCCCACGACAACAACAGCAAGCAGAAACACAACCTCCGCCTCCTTTGCTTCAACCGCGTTTATGAGCTCATCTACAAGCAGGAGCCTTGCTGCAAATTCGACTTCGATGTCAAGCACGAGCAGAAGCCCCACCTCAAGCGTCACCTCGACATCTTTATCAAGCCTGACCGTACTTAGGACTTCGGCATCCACCATGTCTTCAGGGTCAAGATTGGCAAGCAACTCCACCTCAGCAAGTTCACTAACTTCGTTCTCGAGCTCCGAGTCGTCTGCAAGTCGAAGTCTTGCTTCAAATTCAACTTTGGCCTCAACCACTAGCCGAAGCTCCACCCCGAGCGTCACTTCGAGATCGTTACCAAGCTCAACCACAGCTAGGACTTCAGCATTCACCTCGTCCTCAGGATCAAGCTTGGCAAGGAACGCGACTTCAACGAGTCTTTCACCCTCGTCCTCGAGCTCGACTGATGCGCGGCCCTCTACTTCGTCCGGTGGTTCACCGTCAAATGTGAGCGGGTGGACGAGCTTGACTAATCCTTCGGGCCCAGTTTCAACGGCAAGCACGGCCAGAACTTCCGGCGCGGCTCCAGCTCTCATATCGACCTCTTCACAATCAGCAAGTACCACCGCCAGCACCGCCACCAGCAGCTACTCGAGAACTTCTTCCTCAACCTCTGGCTCTAGCACAGGCTTCAGCACGAGTTTCGTCTCACGGACCTCTTCAAGCACGGGCTCGTCAATGACAATTTCAGGGGCGACACAGAATACAGGGTCCAATTCGAGATCGACTTCTTCTTCGATTTCCACATCCCAATCTTCCACCAAGCCTTCGTTAACCACCATTTCCCGTACCCTTTCAACTGCCTCACCTGCAACAACTTCAGCTTCAATTTCAACTTCGAGTGTAACCCCAAGTCCAAGTCCAAACTCATATCTAGGTCAATACTACCCCAACACCACATATATCGGATGTGCAGCCGAACTGCCCAGTGGACGTCTCCTGTCTTCGTCATCCATGACCAACTCCTCAATGACCATCTCGACATGCATTGCATTCTGTTCCTCTCAATCATTCCCCCTCGCAGGTCTGGAATACGGTCGAGAATGCTACTGCGCCCCTGCTCTGCCTGCAGATACTCCGCTCAATGCCACAGGATGCACAATGCCATGCGGCGGTGCGTCTAGTAGCGAGATCTGTGGCGGCCGCTCCCGTCTCAGCATCTACAATAACACAGCCGTATCTGCACCATCTGGCCCGTCTGTTCAAAAGGTCATTGGGGATTATACTTACCAAGGATGCTATACCGATCCCTCGGCGGCACAGCGAGCGTTGAAGGGGTATTCTACTACCATCGCCGAAGGCAGTGGAGGTCAAGAAGGCATGACTCAGTCCCTCTGCGTCTCAACCTGTGCGGACCGAGGATTCAGATATGCCGGTGTCGAGTATAGTCGCGAATGTTATTGTGGGAACGAACTCAATGTATCGCCGGCTGCTACTACTACTACTGCTGCCACCAACAACAAGGCTGTGCAGCAGACATCGGAAGCAGAGTGCAACATGCTTTGTGCAGGTGATAAACATCAGCTGTGTGGAGGCAGTTCGAGGATCGGGGTCTGGATGGCCATGGCTATGAAGTAGGGTGACATACCTGTGTGCCCTTGTAAGGTCTTACTGGATTCGGATGAGGCTCGCGCGCCCAAGTTGAGTCAGTCGTACTCACTCCTATTTCTCTTATGTTGAATTTCTTATGTTGGAACAGAACGGTTCTTTGGCCTGTCCTGGAAGTTGGTGCGAAGTGCAGGTTCAGGTTCAGATTTATTTTTTCACATTCATATTCACATTTATGGTGACGGGGTAGAAGGACTGGGAATCATCAAATCATATAATTCCTAGATACTCTTCTGTTGTTCAATTCAAATACCCGTGGCCCTATTGCAGGGTGTACATCAGCTGAGTGGCACACTGTAACCGGTCTTGTAACCTTTCTTGTAAGAATATCGAGACGAAGATCTCACTTTATCTTATATTTCTGCTAATGATAGGCAATGATAGAGATACATTTACAGCCATCCTCATCACGGTGCCCAGCGGTGATGATGGTATCTGGGAACAACAAAGAGAAGCTAGACCACAAAGCAGAGTCAAACAAAGGAGATCGTTCCTTGGATATCGTCATTTTCAAGCATGGTCAGCAGACGCCAACCCAATCTGACAATCAACGGACACGGACACACAGACAGACAACCAGCGACAGGCCATTCGGCAGATAGATAGTCTGGGGTCGTACAAGGTAGGCACAACGCATAGACGCAACACAACACAACACAACGCATTACTGCACATCACATCTTTTACAGACGGAACAGTGGTGGCATCTTATACCGCCCAGCCCAGGTTATTCAGCAACCCTCAGTACAATATCACTCCCCACAGTTCAGCAGCTCAAGCATGCATCAAACAACCGAACCCGACATCGTTGGCCCCGTCATTTATCATGTATCCCGGCAATGGGTTGTCAATGTCGTCAAGTCAACCGTAACCCAGACATAATCCCCACCCATCAAAAATACCATGCAGCGAAACGAGCAATCAAAACTTCAACACGGCCTTCTCATCCAAAACAGCAAACGATGAGCTCGTTTTCACCGTCGGGCGTTTGACCTTTACCCGAAACACGGCATCCTGGTCCGTCATTCTTCGACCTAGGGCCCTCTCGACTTTTGCGCCCAGGCTCAATTTGCTCAAGTCGTCGGTTTTCTTTTGGCTCGGGATAAACCGCTGTTGTGAGAGATGTTTGTTTTCTAGTCGGTCGAATCCCTGGGTCAATTGCCGGATCTCTGTTTCGGGGTTCGCTCTTGCTGCTGTTGCCGTTGCAATCTCCGTAGCCTCGGCCGCCGATGGCAGCGTGACTGGGTTGGAGTAGGTGGTGGATGTAGTCATGAAACTCGGCGATGTCGAGTATGTGGAATAGCGTTTGGATGTGCGTTTCGAGGTAAGCTGTAGGAAACAACAGGCTGAGTTAGTCATTGTAATAGAAAGGTTGTCAGGGTGTCGGTCGGCACGGACTGGCAAACAAACTGGTGACAATGGAATGGGATGTGATGAAAGCAGATCAATCCTGTTGACAGGGAGAAGTGGGGGGGGGAGCATAAAACATACACTTGGTGCCATTATAGGCCGTTGAGACTCAAGAGATCTGCGAGACATGGTGACGATAGCAGGTCCGTCCGTCGTCCTGGTTGCGGAAGTGTCTCTCGGTGGAGCGAGCCACTACAGGACTCTTGTGCAATGGTGTCAATGGTGCGTCTCGCAGCGGATCCGTGCGTAGGAGCTCTCAACAACAGTGTCTATGACTGTTCTCTTCAACCGTTTTTAACAACCTTCTCAGGCGCGAGACAGGTGATCCAACACCGCGGGAGATTCTTGTGTGTGGTTACGACAGTACTTTGCTCAGGATGGTGGCTTCGGGACACAAATCGTAGTGACACAGGCTGGAGTGACAAAGACAGCGAATGCCTAACGGTGAGAATGGGCGACAGTGACGGTCCGTCCGGTCTGTAGAATTGCGGGTGGTGTACTGTATATACAGCACGGCCGACTGCTTGCTCCGCGTCGTGGTCAGGCTAGGGCAGGATGGATAAGGTTGTTGCGACGATTGTTTGTGGCTTGGAGATCCGGGATAGAGGTGACAAGATGCAGGAAGACCTGGGCCAGAAGCTGAACAAGACGAACTGGATAGATGAGGACCGCCAAGCTGAGTGAGGGAGAAGGGTGAGTTGAGGACAATCAATAATAAGCGCGATGTGGATGGAATGTAGACAGTATTGTTCAGAGCGAAAGGAGTTGATGTGAGTTGGCTACCCGCTTCCACCCCGGACCATGATCGGGACCAGCACCAGGACCAGGATTTAGTGTGTTGCGTCGCTCTGCAGGTTCCGAGTCCTTTTTGTTTACCACGCAACCTGAACCACGAGAAATGCAGTGGGTGCAGGCAGTGGGTGCAAGTGGCCCCTGGTGGAGCGAGCTGGGAAAATGGCGCGGTTTGAAAGGCAAATCCCGCCTACGACGCCCCTACCACTGCCCGTTGCTGGCTCCTATTTGGCCTCAGCATAAGGTGCTGCGTCTTGCTGGTCCCTAACCCACGGCACGGATAGATTGCCGCAGGTGACAGCGGCTTAGAAACCCCCCTATAAGCCACAGTGCTCACGCCCATTTGGTTCTAGGCTCTGCCACGGGAAGCAAGTTGTAGCATTTGGCAACTCAGTTGTTTGAGCTTGACAATCAATATTGTCTACCTAGTACTTTCCTTGCCTGCCTGGAGGGTACCTACAGAGTGCACTTCCGAGATATGTAGGTTGTATAAGCCATGCACCCACGGTTAGTCCAGCGTACAGGCCTTATCCCAATTCCTCAGCCCAAGGCTACCGAAGTTACAGGATGCAGCACAACGGACGCCTTGGACTAGTCCTGCAACCTGTGGACAAGGTTGGTGCTACTCTCGAAACCTGAAACCGCGCCATGCTCGATCCCCACGTGGCGTGCGACAAACGTGCCGTCTCCTTTTCTTGTTTCTATACAACTGCGACAGCCACACTACCACCATCTCTCCTCCACCTCCTGCTGAACTACAACTACAATTCCTTCCACACCCGCTATCGTGTTGCATTTGACAAACAATTCTTTACAATAGCAGGCCTGGAAGCGAAGCCCGTCCGCCTGCACCCCTTTCTATCTGCTCTATCGTCCATCTCACCTCTCCGAGGATCATGGCCCAGACCATATTTTGACAGGCGCCACATCCATTCTGGCCCCCTCCCCCCGGGGTCTATTTCATTGATTCTGCCCTCTTCGGTGCTGGTGTTGCGCCCTGCTTTGAGGGCGGGCGGAATCATACTCGCGCTACACTTCCAGAAGGTTTATTGAACATAGACACTACTAGCACGTCTTGCCTTGTATCACTCGCATATCCGAAACCTTATTGTGCAGTCCCAAGGCTGCCTGATGCCATGTCAGAGTCAGACGTGCACTGGCAGTTGTGGTTTGATCCATGCATACAACTACTCGTATGCTATGCCATGCAATGTATGCCAATGTCGTGCCTTCCCGCTCGGTCACACCACCTTCTGTAAATCATTGTACTTTACGGTAGGTGGTTATAAATGGGCAGTCAATACGTACCTCTGATAGAAATACCTACTGTAACTTGCCCGTAACATGCGTCCAGCAGCAGCAGGTTTTCCCTTCGGATATAGCACTACCAGGTACTAGGTACCACTGGTGTTGTAACTAGTAGCTACAACTACTGACTAGTTACAGCACCAGTACTTCGAGTTTCTCGAAAAGGACTTGCAAGGAGGGAAACTTGAAACACCTTCGGTCATCGTTCGATACTACCTAGCACCTTCCTAGTACCTTAGGTACCTAGTTCTCTTCCTTTTTTCCTTCTTCTTCTTCTTCTCCTTTTCCTGTTACAGCAAAGTAGTTGTAGATAGCTCAAGCCAAGCGAGACGAGATAATAACACTAACTGGGACAAATCCCATTTTCGACTCCGAGTCTAGTAGCATAAGGTACTGTAGGTAGTTCCATCTCTTTGGAGCCGGCGCCGGCCCCGGCGAAGATCAATCAGGTCGACCGCACGTTTCGGATTTGCGGTGTACTAGTTTGCACGGTCGGTGACTCAGTTATAATTGCGAACATTGTAGGATACGTACTGTCCTGTAGGGAGAATCATATATTAAACCATCATTCGCCTCTCCCAGACACAAGACACAACCAGAAACAGCACCGCTGCGCTGCGATGCCATGCCATGCCATGCCATGATCGTCAACTACTCATCATTAAGGTACCACCCCATTCCAAAACAACCGCGCCCCTACACCATATAGTAGCGCCATCTGAAGTGCTAGTGCAATGAATTACAGACTCGCGTCCATCCTTTGATCCATCCATCCCATGCAGCATCCGTTGCAACATGCTCTCATATCAATCATACCCGTTCGCAGGTGGCCCTATAGGGGAAGAGAGAGATTGGGACCCGCCCGCTCCGGCTCTGATCACCTTCTGGAATGAACCTGCTTCTCACCGCCTTCTAGAAGCCTGATGAAACCTTGCGTCTTTCATCTCCCTGCGACACTGGCGCGTGGGGTCCACCGTAATTTCGGTCCCGGACTTCGTCATTTTCGATCCATAAGTTCTCTTCCACATATCATTCCTGCCCGAACGCCGACATGTGCAAGCCTTGCACCCAGTCGTTGATGCTGGCAGTCAGTCCCCACGTCCTAGCAAGCCAGAAAGCAAGACCTCCCACCACACCGAAACTGCCTACCACCTGCAGAGCAATCCATCCACGAGTCCGCATGCTATCTTGCCACCGGAGAAGTCCCAAGGGGTCATGCATCTGATAGCCGGCCTTCACGTCGTGGTGGTCCTCATAATCATCGTAACCCATCCCGTTCTTTCTGCCCTTCTGCAGCAACAAAGCCTGCTGATGTTTTGTCGGGTTCAAATAGTCCCCCGGATATAGAATACGACCATCGCGAACCTCTTCTCCCATCCGTTCTACTAGCCACACTGCCCGCTCGCCTCGGGCAATCTTTTCGTATCTCTCCCGCTCGCGTTGAAGACTGAGTTGTAGCTCGCTCGCCCATTTCGACAACCTGACTTGAGCCAATCGTTCTTCTCGTTGCGTATGATCCGCCACTTTCGCCAACGCCCAACTGTTAGAAGTGTTGAGCGAAATGTCGGACCCAACGGGTAGCAACGCCGCGGAATTGCTTAGAGAGGATTGCACCGGAGACGCCAGTGTGGAGTGATGGATCGAGGGAAGCGAGGGTGATGGCACTGTTGTTAATCTGGGATGACGCGCATGCCATGCAACCAGTTTCCGCGCCGACGTATGCCGTAGATAGGCAACGGTCTCGGGTTCGAAGAGTTGTTCCACGAGAAGACTTAGCTCCGACGGGACAAGAGGCTGGATATATTCCGGCGACATGAGCAACGACGCATCCATGGTGTCGAGATCTGGCCCATTTGCCGACGTAACAGTGTAGGGTACTGTTGCCGTCGCTTTGACCTCGGTTTCGGAACAAAGCGATACAGGGAGTCGTGGCAGTGCTGCCAGAGTCGTGTCCAAACTTTGTTTGATCTCATCCTGCTCCGTCTGAGAAAGAAGATCCGACTTTGCAACAAGTGGAACAACATTGCACAGCTCAGAGAGTTGGCGAATTCGCTCGCAGTCATCTCTAGTGTGGTCTATACAAGTCAGTGGTGTCGAAACTGGCCAGTAGGGGGATTGCATACCTTTTGAGATGAGATATAGGATGACATCCACATGTGATGATCCTCGCCCACTCAACAAGCCCGAGAACTCATTTGTCAGCCGGTCTATCGAAACCATGGCATTGACAAGCTGCTGTTCGACATAATGAATGATCCTGTCGAGTTTGGTGGCGTCCGGAGCATCGACAAAACATATGTTCCTCTCCAGGACCGAATCGCCCATACTCTTCCTCCGCCTCAATATGCGGCTCTCCTCGACGTTGGGCCACCAGGCGGGGTAAGGTTTGGTGCTCGCGTAGACTTCGCTTGCCCACTCGTCAGAACCGTTGCCCTCACGTTGAGTTGCCTTCATAGAATTCGACAAGCTTGGGTCCACATGTACGATATCTTCACAAAGCTGAACGACCGATTTGATGAGGGAAGTTTTGCCAACGGCTGCATGAAGTTAGCATCTGTCAGTAGAATATCTCGTAGCTGTACACACCTTTGCGGCCCGCTACCATAATTTTGAACCTTCCCAGTCGTTTTCCACGTTCAGTAAAAGGTCTCCGACTTGGCATGGTGATACTCGGCATGATAAGCTCGGGTTGGCTGTCCTGGACAACGCCAGGTGTTTCCCCTTCATCTTCCTCACTAGAGACCACTACTTGGCTCCCTGTCTCATCATTGGTCAACTCATCGTCGGATTTCTGAAGTGATCTCGACGAAACCGACTTGGGACTACTGGGAAGGGAGATGTCTCGTGATGGAAGAGGGGATGGTGTCGTTTCTCTGTTAGGCGGTGCTTGTACAGCTTCAGCACTGACGTTGGACGAACGTCGTCGGAAATGTCCTTGCCCGTCAGGCTTGATAGTAGATCGTCTCCGGCTCACGCTCCTGGCCTCTGCCGGTCGAGGGTCGGTGTGCTTGATGGACCGCTCCGCCTCCTGGATGGTATCATGTAGACTGCTCACAACCGGTATTTGGGATGCTACACCCGCACTTCGATCATTTGCCGTTCTCGGAGAATCAGGATCTCGAGCCAGGAAGAACGTCGTGGGAGATGCGCTGTAGCGGTCACTGGGCAGGGAGGGAGAGTCGACGGCGGAGTATTTGCGGGGACGGGGTTCCGTGTTGTCGAGGCCGATTCCAGGCCTCATGATTGCAGACCCGGGGCAAGTGCCAAAAGTATAGAAATATAGTAGAAGATGTCGTTCAGGAGCTGCGATTCATTGCAAGAAAGAGTGGCAGTGGCAGCGGTACGTAGCGAAGTCGTCCCGATTGCGGCCTGAACGAAGGGGTCAGTGAGTGACCAGTTGCGGTGAACCTGGAAGTTACCCCACGTACGCGGCGTACAACGCTGTTTCTACGCGGAGGCCGCCGGCACGTCTTATCATGACAGCCTGATGCATTTCCCCCTCCGCCAATGTGCTGCTCTCCACGTGACATCGCACTGCGACTTGCCTGCTGATGATTCATCAACCCTGACCGAATGTACGAGTATAGCATTCATGTGTCTCGCAGAACTTGAATCAGTCAGTATTCATCAGGAAGGCTTATTTCGACCACGGCCATTAAGCTTGTATGTCTCGAGCTGAGGACTAATGTACACACTAGGCGCTCTCAAGAAACCCCAGAACCCATAAAGACCCCTGAGTCAGACAAAGGTACATGGCTCCGCTGAAAAAACACACTTCTTCCCACCATCACCATCACTATCACCGTGACCATGACCATGACCCTGAGCTGTGATGCAACTGTGCTGATTCGACTCTGAAACAATTCGACTCTGTGCTGTACTTTGGTCCGAAACTCGCTATGCGAAGACACGGGTTCATGAGAAGAAAAATGGGGCAAAAAAAGAAAGCCACTTTTTTCCAACTGCGCCGTTACAGATTCCACATCACTTTTGTATCGCAGATGCAACCGGTAGAGTGAAAAGTGGCCGGGGACGCGAGAAAAGGGTCACTGATCGGCCGAGGTTATCGTCAGATGTAAGGACCTCAAAAGCAAAATGCCTTTATGAGGCTTGGGTCTGCCCACGTGCCTTGGGAGTGACCGTGCCGGATTTTCCACCTCGCTGTTGGAAACCACCACCTCGGCCGGCGTCCTTGGGGAAGTTGCTCTGGCTGCCACTTCGACCGCCTTGCATTCCGCCTCGGCCACGACCGGCGTTGTTACCACCACCACGGCTGTAGTTGGCGTTGCTGCCGCCGTAGGCATTCGGACGAGGACGACGTTCCTCGACGTAGATTTGCTCTGTGCCGACAGTATGCGGGTTTGCTGCGACTGCCGCGGCATAGCCAGCAGGATCAGCAAATTCGACAAAAGCGCAGTTCTAAGATGATGGGTTAGCAGGTGACATGAAGAGTTCTGAAATAAGTGCATACCTTTGGGCGAGACACGTCGAAATACTTGAGTTCGCCATAACGCTCCAGAACCTCGCGGAGGACTCTAGCATCCACTTTATCGTTCACATTCTTGATGTAAGCAAGGACAGTCCCCTCGGAAGCGGGCTTGTTCTGCGGCCCCTTGCCCTTCTTGCTGTGCTCGGCTGTCTGCCAACCGTTACTCTGGGAGTTTGCATTACCGGTAGCGGCGATTGTAGAAGCAGCAGGTTCAGCTGGGGTCTTTGCGGGTTGGGCAGCTTGCGATGGCCGAGGAGCCTTCTGCTGCGCTGCTGGAGTAGTGGCGGGGAGAGCGGGAACTGCAGGAGCTTTAGAACCACCTCCAAGCATGCTTGCCCAGGTTTTTTTCGCCGGTGGCGCTTCAACCGGAGCGGGAGCAGCAGGAGCAGTCTCCGTGCTGGTCTCCGTCTTGGGAGTAGGCTCTGGCGCAGCTTGTTGCTGCTCTGGGGCAGGACTGCTAGCTGCTTGTGCTTCAGTTGCTGGGGCAGAAGTTGCTGGAGTCTCGGTTGCTTCGGCAGGTTGTTCGGCGGGAGTTGGGATGACGGCACCGTTGACTTCAGTAGCAGCCGCCTCAGATGACTCCTTCTTGTCTTCTTCAAGCTTCTCGTCCACCTTCTCGGCCGCCTCTTCTGTGGCAACAGTCTCCTCGACGCGCGGCTGAGGATCAGTCAAACCTTCGGCTGGGGTGGCTGGTTCCTCGGCAGGGACTTCTGGTTGCGGCTGTTCATCTTCAACGATCTCATCAACATCATCGCTCAAGTAGCGGAAGATGTCATTGAGGACAAAGTAGCCGTTGGGTTGCTCAGCAAGAACGAAAGTCTGGACAAATTTGTGGTGAGGTTCGGACTTGTTGGACATCTCGCCAATGACTTGGACAACGATGTTGGAGTAGGAGGATTGGGAATCGACATTGAGGACGCGCACTTTGCAGTCCTGGAAGTCAAGCGCCTTGATCTTCTCGCTGATTGCCTGCATTCCTATTAGCATTTGTTCCGCGCTGTTTGTCGATCGGGTTATCTTACCTTAGTACCAACCGCAGGGACAACCTTCTCGGCTTCAACACCAGTGACAAGCTGCGACCTCTTGGAATAAAAGAGGTGGATCTTCTCTGGACTCTTGGACAAAGTGGTATAGTATTGTTCGACAAAGTACCAGCCGATCTCTTGCGGGTCAGCCTTGGGAGCGTTCGCGGAGGTAGTGGTACTCTGAGACGCAGAGGGGTTATGGGTAGGCGCAGAAGGCGTAGAGGCAGCAAGTTCAGCAGGTTGGCCGTACTGGTTTGTGCCATACAGGCCGTTGGTGGGAGCAGTTTCGGTCGCCATAGTGATTGTCAGCCTTCTGGTGGCGTCAAAACCGGTCTGGTGTCGCAGATTGGACGGTGGACAGATGTCTGTTAAGCTTCAGAATGTGATATAATCCCAGGGTGCGCTGTTTGAGCTTCAGACACAATGTCTACAAGCGCAGTCGGTGCACAAGTGGTAAGGTTGAGATGTGGGAATTTGTCACACAGTAAAAAGAGGGCAGGATTGTCAGCGCGTCAACTACCGCAGACAGGCACAAATAAGACCTTGATCAAGTAAGGAAGAGGCGCGGCAGAGGATGGTGATGGTGATTAAAGCTGTGAAGTCGGTAGAAGGTGGTGGATGAATTAAGGGTTGAGGTTGTCGGATTCGCTTTTGGATTTTGGACGCAGTCAGTAGTGCAGGTCAGGTTCAGGAAAATAAAAAGGTGGAGAGGGAGCAAAGATTTGGAGCAGTACGAGCACAACCGCAGCCTGCGCACTGGCGATGGAATGGAATGGCGACACTTCACTGGGGTTCTCGCTGGCTGCAGTCACGTGTGGTTTGTCTTGGCGACTTATGTCACTTCTGGAGAACGCAATGCCTTTTTTGGGTCACTTATATCAGCCTCATACAACGTTGTACCTTATCACTAACAGCCTCAAGTTGATCATAAACCTTATCACTGACCCGCCGTGAAGTCTTTTACACTTGATATACTCTATGAATCTAGTTGCACTATCGGATGACCTCTATCCAGGGAGGGAGGAAATGATAGCTCCTCATTTTGTCGTACGGCGACCTGGGTGATGTCAAAGCCCAGCATAATCAGTCTCGGCCTCGCTCACAGCCAGGTGCCCTTTGTCTTTGCGCAGCGTGATTAGCTCAAGAATCAGAGACCTCCTTATCAAGTATGCAAGTATATGGCTTAATAGGACACTGCCACCAAGAAAGGTGTGCCGTGTTGATGGGGCTCCAGGAGGTGTCCATCAGTACAACGTTGTAGCTGGAGGAGGACCACCTTGGATTGCTGCGTGGTGCTTCAAGTTTGAGCAACTCCTGATAGTACTTCCTTTTCGGCTTTCGCACCTCTGTCTTGCGCTCCAGCGCTCCAGCGTAGTAGCTGCACAATACCATGGTGTTTTCTCTGCTTTTCCTTCTTAAGTGGTTCATTCTGGTAGGTGCTCGTGCTCGCTTTTGAAGTTTGGCCTACGGATTGATATCAGCTTTGCTTAATCATCAATCGGCTGCCATGTTGCATGTGGTTGTCATGTTGTCAAACCGGTAGGTCCAGCAAACAAACCTCTGCAGAAAGGGGTGTTAGCTTTCCTATATAAACACCGTGGAAAGACAAGGCATGCCTATTTCTGCAGCAAAAAGCTGACCACAACGAGCTTCGAGCATAGCAGTGATCAAGAAAGGCAGACTGCAATACCCGAAGGAAAATCCCATCTTAGGACGCTGGCAAATCCCAAGAGGTCCGACCGGACAAGAGCTAACTTCCAGCGAAAGTTCATGCAAATGTTCACACAAGGCATGAACAGGAATGCCTTGTCCGATGCCGTCCTGGGGCCGACGTGTCTGTCTGAAATGTGCTGCTATCTGCAGCCAAACCAAGGCAACGGCTTATCATGATGAGAATTCGCTGGGTACAAAGTTCAGCTCTGCCAATCAGACTGCTCGAGGACGTCCTGGCATTCACAACACAGGACACAGGGCAGACTTCACAGCCCTCTGTCCTCTCAGCAAGCCACCTGATCTGTCAACTGGATAGTGACTTCTTGCAAAGGCCACGCGCACGGCATGGATTGCAGGCCTGTGTCAACCGGTGGAGTTGACACTCTTCGTGATAAAGGCCAGGACACTCCAGGGGCGGTCTCGTGGACAAGGCTGAGAGTCAGCTGTACGAAAGGAGTAAATGCTCGAAGAAGGGATTGGTATAAATAGGGGTGAGTTCAGGCCTTGCTTCTTTGCTTCTCCTCCCTTGTCTATCAACAGAAACTACAACAGATAAGACAGAAACAATTGCTTCGAATGCTCACATTTGCTATCCTTCAACAGCAGAATCATAGAGACTTGTACGGGCTCTTGCTGGGAGAAATAAATAGAGTCGATATATCTGGTAAGTGGCAAAGGCAGGATGTATCGAATGCAAGAAACCTAACCTGGTACAGCATTGCTTGACACAACGCATTCTCGTGCGGCTTCGATGTCGAGAACGTGGAAGATGATGTGCTTCCTAGTTCTCCTGAGTCTGTGTCTGGTCGGATTTGTCGATGCTGGAGCAGAAGTCGCCAACAACTGTCCCGTTAGCATCTGGTGTGCCATTGTCATGGGCTATGATCCTACAGATCAGACGCCAGTTAACGAACGTCTGGCCGTCAGCTGGGTGAGCCAAAACCCGGGACAAGTTCTCAGCTCGAACTTCGCAGACCATGCCCAGAACACAAGTATGGCCATGATGTGTACTCGAGACCCGGGAGCAAACAAGCCATTGGTGACGCAGCTGGAGTACACCTGGATGCGAGATTTGGGTCAGACATACTTCGACGTTAGCAATGTGGAAGGAGAGCCATTTGCGGATGAAGGTTTCATCATGACAGTCAAGGACCCAAAGACGCCATTGTTCAACACCTGTTACGGTGCTCACTGCGAAGCGGGGGACACAAGCTGTAACCAGGTGTATGAGAAGTCCAACGATGACTTCCAAGGTATGCGGACTTGTTCGGACTCTGTTGACATCCTTTTGACCCTTTGTTCTGGCTAGAGTATAAGGAGGTCTTGCCAGAGTTTAGATGTGTTCAAATGTTTGAGTTTTAGATGAAAATAAATTAGCCTTCCAAAAGCCCGGCGGGTTGGGATCATCTGCAGTTGGGCGACATATGTATAGTCCATTTACCAGGAGCCTTGCTAGTTGAGGCCTTGTAAGGTGCATAGTACAGGCCAGAACCAGCACAATTCCGGCAGCATCTGCGCTTGACACGGCTGATAAGAGTCATATTGATGACTGACGAGGCTGTGACGGGACAGAAGAGGAATCTGGAAGTGGTTGGACCGAGAAGATGATGAGTCGAACGACGTCGTCCGCATTGTGGTAGTGGCACACTAGGGGTGCTAGTAGGGTACTATGACGCATGTGGTAATCCATGACATGGCTAACGCATGCCACAGGCACCGCAGAAAAATTGGCGAGGGGCATTTTCTTACTGTTAATTCCAGGGTCCAGGATTGCAAATGACTGCACCACAGCACTGGGCTTTTTGCCATTACTCTTGTGACTCGCTGCCTGCATCTGACTTCACATCCACCAGCAAATCTACCTTTTTTCCCGCGCTATCAAACTACTCCAAGTCCACAGCTGGGTTCTTTTGATCGATCTAGAACCAGCACTGGTGGCCAAACAGTAACACTCGAGAAAACACTTCGGAAATCATACAGAACCCGCCAACCACCTCCTCCAGGTCGTTCGCTTTTCACCACCACTACACCTCCCGTTGCCTCTCAACAACCCGCCCTCTAATCCGGCGTAACCTCTACATTGTCGACTCTCCCCCTGCCTTCCAGTGAACCAAGAACCCAGACGGTCACAAAGCAGAAGACGACCCAGCGCAACCTAAACAAACCCAACCATGGCTGTGCGAGCGCAATTTGAAAACTCGAACGAAGTCGGCGTCTTCGCCAACCTGACCAACAGCTACTGTCTGGTGGCGATTGGGGCGTCGGAGAACTTCTACTCGATCTTTGAATCCGAATTGGCAGACTTGATCCCGATTGTGCACTGCACGATTGCGGGCACACGCATTATCGGCCGGTTGACGACGGGCAATAAGAACGGCCTTCTGGTCCCGACCTCGACGACCGACCAGGAGCTGCAACATCTGCGCAACAGTTTGCCGGACAATGTCAAGATTCAGAGAATAGAAGAACGGCTTTCAGCTCTGGGTAACTGCATCGCGGCCAACGACCACGTGGCGCTCGTGCACCCGGACATTGAACGAGAAACGGAGGAAATCATCGCAGACACTCTAGGCGTCGAAGTGTTTCGACAGACCATTGCCGGCAACGTGCTGACGGGGTCGTACATGTCTCTGTCGAACCAGGGTGGCATTGTCCATCCCAAGACCAGCATCCAAGACCAGGACGAATTGAGTTCTCTGCTGCAGGTGCCCTTGGTCGCCGGATCCGTCAATCGAGGAAGCCCCGTCGTCGGTGCCGGTATGGTAGTCAACGACTGGCTGGCCGTGACGGGGATGGACACCACCGCCACTGAGCTGAGCGTCATCGAGAGCGTCTTCCGACTCGGCGAAGGTGCCGGCCCCGGTGGTCTCGATGCCCGCATGAACGCCAACAAGGAGAGTATCGTCGAAAGCTTCTACTGAGCACTGGTAGAAACCATCCAAAAGCCGAGAGCAAAACCGAAAGGAGCATCGCTTTCTTATTACCCATCATTATCGTCATGTGCGGCCATGATTTACGACCTTCTGCCTGCGCCGTGATGACTGACGCTGTGCACTAAAACGGCCATTATCCCTTCCAGCTCATCAACTGCTCCCCCTGGAAAGAACTGGATGCTCTACCCAAGACGACAAAGACCTACACAGTCATATTTACGGGATCCCCGAATACCGCCCTTGACGTTTTCACAGAGGGAAAGCCGACCAATGCCACCTTTGTCTCTCGCAGCGCAGTGGCGGCGCTTTGCCTTTTTCAACATCGCTTGTCAACGGAGCGGACTCAACATTATCCTTGTCACGCCGCCCCCGCAGGCCCTGTCTTCGTGCTCTTTTCTGTACAGTTTCGGTTTCGATCGTCCGGCAGCAGGTAGCATTGCATTGGACTGCATCTGCATTTCGCTGCTTTAGTCTGCAGATGGAAGGAGAAAGGAATGAGCATGATAATGCAGCTGCTGGGTGCATGAGAGCATAACACCGCGGAGATGTCTGACAGGTCCACGTTTGTTTTTCATCCATTGCATACTTGAACAGGATCGTGGCGAGCGTAGCATGCGTGGTTTGATTGAGCCTGCAGTGGCTATCTTTCCGGCCTGATCTGCTGCATGACCATACTTGACTTGACCTGGCATGATCCCTGAGGAAACAGAGTTCTTCTAACTACCTAGGTACCTGTATCCGGTATTGGCCAGGTAAAAGGTGGACCAACAGATAGACACCGTAGCTAGACAGTTTCGCCCGAGACCTCCTCCTGGGTAGGAAAGAAAAGCAAGCTGAGGGACAAAAATGAATCTTCATTTCTGCCATTCCTGTTCAGATCAAGATCCCTTCCTGCCAGTGTGCCATACTAGCAGTGCCCATACCAAGCTATGGATTGTATGTACTATCCAAATGGTTTCGAAACTGAAGTGGTGCAGGTAGAACTCGCTCGAGACGCCTCAAGCAGGCACTGCATTGCAGAAGAGATAGGACGAATATGCATTTCTGGACTCAGACTCGAATGACTGGCAGTTTGGTTCATGCTGGCAGACACCAGCGGACAGACCCCGGTGGCACCTAGCGGCTGCGATGTTTCCCTGCGCACTCACTATAGTTTTTTGGTGCGGAAAGGACACCTCGTGCGCAGCGAAACATGACAACCACGAAGTGAGTGACGATCTGCTTCCAACCAATCCTCCGGGAAGGCGCATGCCAGAGCCCTGAGACCCTAGGTAGGCACCTAGTCGGTGGTGGTGGTAGCAAGTCCCTAGGTAGCTGCAGCTGCAGGTGTGTATACCTCAGTAGGGAGGCAGGTAGGCGAAGCTTGAATTTGTTCAACGACTTTGATTTTCTTTTCGTACAGTATCCCAAGGTAGTGCCACTGGTGGATGGCAGGTTCGCTCAACTTGTAATGCTGGCTCGCTCGGTCAGGAACAACTTGAACCCAATACCTGGACTCTGGGTAACCCGCGGCCAGGCCTGCTCCTATTCCTAAGGTCCGAGTCTCTTCTCTCAAACCACAAGCCGATCCTTTGAGCCGATTCAATTCGCAGAAAAATAGATTAACAGGTTCTTTGCCTTGGTTTGGCCTCCGTTCCCCGGCAGCCTTCCCAAAGTCACCCACTCAAAAACAATAGAGGTCATCGTGTTTCCTCGGGAAACTCTTGTCCTTCAACCGAAGGGTTGTCCAACTCCATGTTTTGGCCTGGGCCATGTCCAGCCGATGTCCCAATCCCATTGACACCATCCTTCTTGCCTTGATTATCTGACTCGGCCTTCAAGTTATCCCCATTTGCTTCTTCAACACCTTCATCACCATCGTCTTCTTGTTGCGCTTGAGCCAGCACATCCGCCATACTCTTTCCCTTAAAATTTGTATCGGCGTGGATGTCGGTCTCCGGTTCCGTCTCTATGTCCATGTCCATTTCGGCCTCGGCCTCACCTTCTCGTGGTGTACTGTCTGGAGGTGTTTCGGCAGGCGGCGCCGGCGGCGGTGGGGGTGGAGGAGGCGGTGTCAGTGTCGTTGGAGTGTCGACGTCCAGATTCAACCTTTTCATGGGCGATCCCGTAGGTTCCTCTTCCTCTTCATCTCCAAGCACCATAGAGGAATCATTGTCGTGTGCGCGTTTGCGTTTCAACGTAGGCTCGGTGGTGCCATTTGACGCGATAGGAGTCTGCTCACTGGGTGTGTTGTCGGCATCTTCGTCGTCAGAAATCGACATTTTTACATCTTCCGCTTCATCATCTTCATCAGCAGGAGACACATCCTCTACCTTAGAGCTGGATGGCGCCGCCTGTTCTGACGATGACGGTTCGCCCCGGTGAGTACTGGAACCTTTCTTACTCTTCTGCCGGGCGGCTTTGTCCGCTTCGTGCTTTTTATGTTTCTGGTATGCCTTTTCAAAGAACTGCTTGCAGAACTCCTTGACCTTTTTCTGTTGCTTCTCCTCAATCTTGGTGGGATCTTTGACCCTTCCAGCCTTGTAATCCGACGCGACGAGCTTCTTAGCAACCTCTTTGGCAAAACGTTTAAGGTCGTCGCGTGGGATTTTGTTCTTGTACTTGTTCATAACATGGGAGATGAGCGGGAAAAGCTGCGCGACATATAGTTAGCAGATGTAATATTAACACGCGACACATTCTTGGGACGCTTACAGTATTCTCATACAACTTCTTCTGCTTCTCTTCATTGTATGATTTCCACTTCTCCTCCTTCTTCACCTTGACAGGTTTGGGCGTGTCCGGAGTGGCAGTTTGCTTTTCTTTGTCGTGGGAGGTGACGATATTGTCAATGATGCTCTTCAAGAGATCCTGCTCAGAAGGCTGCTTGGGCGGGGGAGGAGGCTCGTCAGCCGGTTTGGTAGGCCTTGACCATGTTGTTTGTCCATTGGTCGAGTAGTAATACGTTCTCCCGTTATCCTGCGCTGCAAACCAGCCTCGGGGCAATGGCGGAGGAGGTCGAGTGAAAGATGGAAGAGCGCGGCCGAGGATCTTGGCTGCCGGACGCTGTAACGACTTGGGACCGGAGGGCACGCTTGAAGGGCCTCTAGGAGGTGTCCGAGAACGAGAGCGAGACCTAGACTTTGATCGTTTGCGTTCCTGCGCAGACTCCCGTCTTTCGAACGGCGTGGGCTGGGGCTTGACGATGTTTGACGCATCAGTTCTCTTCTTGCGTGGTATTCGGTAGGCCAACTCGAGCTTGGACCATGCATCGAGCAATTGTGACGCCTGGCTCGCGACTCTCTCATCAGGATGCTGCGTCAAAGGTTCCAAGGTTTTATCAATCTTTGCATCGACAATCTTGTTTCTGGTGAGCCGTGGCAGTCGGTTCAGGATATCCAAAATCTGTAGAATGATATTCTCATCGTCCCTCCAAGCAGCGAGCTGGGAGTTGAGTATTTGATAACCGTGAAATCTGACCACTTTGTGCCATGCCTGGTCATCCTCGCATCGTTGTATCCGCTGCAGCAGCTTCACAGCGATCCATTTCTCTTTGCACTGCATAAGTGCAGCCATGACCTTGGTCACGCTGTCAGCATCCAGTGACTTGGCTTCAAGGCTGTCGACGTAGTCTTCATCGTCCTCGGCGACCTTCTTCTTGCGAGGCCGTCTGGCGACGGTGGTCTCCCAGGAATCTGCCTCATCGATACCAAGAGCCTCAATGGTTGCAGCGGAGAGTTTCGTGCCGCGTTCCGTCTGGGTTTTGCCGCCAATGAATCCCGTGCAGTTCGATTCACCGCAGTAACAAGGTTGAGGATCGGCACCATAGCGGTCGACATTGTAGTTGAACACCAGCTCCTCGCCAGCCTTGATGTACCGTTCTGCAAATATGCCCATTCGCAGCTTGTCGCCGACGACCCATTTGTCGACGTAGCAGTTGGGATTGCAGGAGTGGTTGCAAAATCGACCAAGATTACCCTTTTTGGTCGCGTCGATGAACTCACCCTTGCTTAGGGACATGAAGTAGAAATGCTTGATCCCTTCTTCGTCATACTGTCTCATGCGCTTCCGGAAAGTGTTCTCGGGGATGGTTTCGCCAATGTATTCGAAGATAAAGTCGTGAGGCCGGAGATCAACGTTGGTGCGAAGACCATATCCTTTTTTCTCCGTCTTGATGACTGAGACATTGGCCCAAAGACGGCGAAGGAATCGCTGATTCTGGCATGCAGGACCGCAACCACAGTCTTTGGCACATTCCATCTTACAGGCGCGGTTGATGCAGTCGGAATCATCGCCGCATGCGAGATTCTGCTTGGAGGTCGGATCTGGAGATGCAAGTCAGGTTTACACGGAAAATAATTGCGCTCAAGCGACGAAGAGAAACTCACCCCATTCTTCCTGACAGTCACAGTCGAGAGCATGTTCGCTAAAGCCCAGGTATTTATTTTGATAGGTGCAGCTTTCGATGACTTCAAAGGTAGAACAAGCCTCTTCGGTGGCATCAGGAAGGTCGTTGAACAGAGGAGCGACACGAGGAGGTAATTTGGAGGCAGCTCCCCGAGCAGACTTTGTGGGCTTCGGAGCTTCTTTGGCTTCAAGCTTGACGGGAGACGCGGAGGGTGAAGTGTGACCATTCGCATCCGGCTCCTCAGACTCCTTCTTGGCGCTCACTGGACTGTCCTCTGTGTCAGCAAATAATTGCTGGGGCGAGACCGATTGCGAGCTGGACGGCGAGTGCGATTTTATGCGTTGAAGTGTGTCGGAGGAAGGTGAATCTGAGGGTTTGGCAGAGTTTTTCTGCTTGAGGGCTACGTTGGTGTTGCGCGCCTCTTCTGTTGGCTCACCCTCCACGGACTCCTCCCGCTTGACTCCGACCGCCGCTTCCTCTACGGATTGTTGCCCCGACGGCTGTCTGCTCAGACGGCCCATGATCGAAGCCGCTTTGCTGCTTTTAGGGCGATGAGAGGCTGTTTCAGGTTTAAGGGAGGCGCGGAGGCAAGCTGGTGGAAAATTTCAAGGTTTCAGCGCGCATCTGGACGATACGAGCCAGGCCACCATCGACCTCCGATAATTCGGATTTAAGGCCGAACGCGCTCAGTCGTGCCGGCTTGATACTGTAAAGCACCTCTCCGTAATTGTGGATGGATTACCGTAGGATGAGTTTGCCGTCGGACGAGACAACAAAGGTTGTGGGTGGTGGTCGAATCAACGAGCGAGGGGCAGCGGTCGGCTTTCTTCCAAGCTGAGAAGACGGCCAAGTCAAGCTCAAGTGAATAAAATAAATGAGAGCAGGCAATTTTGCAGTGACTGCAGCAACCCTTTGCATACAGCAAGCGCGATGAAGCAGCGGTGAATGTTGGACGTTTAGACGAAGTTGGTGGAAGCGTGGCTCCGTGCCTTCATTTCCGCCACGCAGAAGCACAGATATTCGGGGGATGCACCTTTTGGGCCCCTGTTTTCTCTTCGATAGTAAGGTCACTCACGATAATACCAAAGCAATACCAATGGAAGAATGTTCAACTGCGAGGAGAAGCCTGGAAGAAAGAGAAGATTCTCTGAATAAGTTTGCGGCGTTGTCTAGAGAAGGCAAGTGAAGGGGGCTGCAGACTGGAATGAGATGCCGTGCTTGAAGGCTGAGATTGAGATTGTCAAAAGCTTCAAAGGCGCCAAGACCTTCCCCAAAGCCAACGTGAACATCAACCACTGACTGGCACCCATCAACATTGCCATTGCCCTCACCCCATCACTATCGTCACCTGTAAACCCCCAGCTTCTCTCCCGGAATGCGCGACCTCGCGTCACGGGCAGATCTGGCAGTCGGTCTCCATGTCAGGGCGAAGTCGTCTCGAAGTCTGCCTGTTTTCCATCACCGGATACAGCTTCGGCCTAAGCCATGCGGACTCCTCAGGCTCCTCCGTGTCCTTCCAGTCCGTCTATATCATCCTTACATTCGTTCCGGGGACGGGTTCTCGTGGTCTGATCTCGTTTGGCCGCCACCGCCTCCTCCTGCCCGCAGCGAGGATTGGGGCCTTTGCCTCTATCTCAGTAATGCAAATGTCTATTGGGTCACCTTTTTCCTCAGCGTTGTCAACGGCACCTATAGCATGCTTAGTAGATATTGCAGTGCCTCTGCTTCGCCAGTCAGCATTTTTGACGTGTCCTGCGGACCAACTGTCCTCGGCATATCCCTCGAAAGGCCCGACTTGCGGTCATCGTGGCTGCAAAAAGCACCCAGTCTCTGTGTGAGTGTCTTCGCATGCTGATCAACTTTCTTCTTCCTTAGACCGGGTTCGACGCTTGTTCTTAACCGCGTCCATCAGACCTAGAATTGAAGTTCTGGCCTGCCGTCCCTTATCCGCAGCCTTACCTTTCCAGAGTCCCGCTTGCCTGGCAGACTGCGGGCTGCTTGGAGCTGTCTCTTCTACTGCTGCGCCGGTCGAAAGAGGAGAATCTGATACGGCTGGTTTGGAGGTGCCTGCTGGCTCTGCCTTGTGTTTCGCGCGGTGAGCCTTTTCTACTGCGATCTGCTCCCGCCGTTCTTGTTTTCTTCGTTCGTATTCCGCCCGCGCTGCTTGTCGAAGCGCACGACTAACTTCAGTCACTCGGGCTTTCCTGGTCGAAAATTGAGTGTAGTCCTTAATCTGAGCTTTTGCTTCTTCCCCCATGGCGGCCCATTTGCCTGCCAGACCGCTAATAGCCATCAGCTTCTCGTCGACGCGGCGGGTTAGGTAAACGTTGGGCTCTTTGTTCTGCTCCTTTGCTCGTGCCATGATGCGCTCGATCTCATCGCGGTAGGCGGTCTCATATATATCCACGTCGGCCGCGCCAGGGCTTTCGCTAACAACGTATCCCTCGTCGTCCGGCAGGTAGCCGCCATCATCGTCGGCCTGCGGACTGCTTCCAGAAAACGTCGATGGTCCGATACGGAGGTACAAATGGTCCTCCAGCGGGTCATGTGCATGTCCCCGATGTCCTATATCGTCTGTAGTATTCGCGTGGACCTTCAACGACCGGAACGGTGGTAATTTCTGTAAATCCAGCTCATCAATGTCGCCCAAGGTTTGGACTTTGGTCAATCCTTCATCTGTGTCTGTGCTTGACTCGCTTGCCAACGCCGTAGGACGACTCCCAGCATCTGATTCCTGCGGTTCAGCTTCGGCAATGGTAGTATCATCTATGCTTAGTGTGGGCACTGGTCGCATGTGGAGATGGCTCATACCCTGCTCAAGCTCTTCTCTTTCCGGTAAGTTGTCCATGTGCGCTCCATCAAACTCATGGAAACTGTGAGATTTGTGAGGAATAGTCTTGGATGCTGCGCTGTTGATCGTGGCCGGTGGCTGGGAGAAATGGCCATCCACTTGGTCCCCTAGGATGGATCTCAAAACAGGGGGCTTGTTCTTGTCCAACAGCGCCTTAAACTTCCGGACGGCTTTCATCTTGATGGAGTTAGTAACTGACGCTGCTCCCTTTTCCTTTTGTCTTCTTTTTTCCCCTTCAAGAAAAGCAAGGAAGACTTACGACAGTTAGAATGTTGGTCATGTTACTAGTGATGGCTTCGTTCATTTCTGCCTCCGTGGGCGGTTCGATAAGGTCCGCGGTGTTCTCTTCTTCAGGAAGTAACTTATCCCTGCCCTGTCTGGTAACCCAAGGGTGTGCCTAGACTTTGTTAGCGAGTATAACGAGGGAAAAATCCTTAGAATTACCCTCAGTTCGCGCATTTTGATCCGTTTCTCGGGGTCTTTTTCCAAAATCTTTCCCATCAAGTCGCGGAAGTCTGGATCTTGCTCCTCCCCTAGGTCGGGCTCGTCGTTTTTAATTGCTTCGTATAGCTCAAAGATGCCTCCTTTTTCGAAGGGAATCCTGCCATACTTGAGACAGTATAATGTGACCCCCATAGACCAGATGTCCGCCGCTCGGCCTGAAACATCTCCATGTCGAGCAATGCACAGCTCTGGTGGCAGAAATGCAGGACTCCCCGCCGATTTGGCCGTGAGCATCTCCGAATCCTTCTCAAACATCTCCGAGACTCCAAAGTCTACGACTTTCAGCACGTCATCTTCGGTGATAAGGCAGTTGTCGGGTTTGATATCACGATGCACCACTCCTTGAGCGTGCAGGTATTCAATACCCAGGATCAGATCACGAAACCAATAACGACAAACATGGTCCGGATAGGGATCTGCTCTTTCATCCAGCCCGACCTTCATAACGACCCCCTTCTTGCACATCTCCATGACCATGTAAAGCGAATCTTCTGTGGGATCATCCAAGACTTCGATAAGCGATACCAAGTTAGGGTGGTTCAACTTCTTCATGATGGCGATCTCCTCTTTGATCAGGTCTATTGCGCTCTCCGGTACTCCTCCCTCTTGTCCCACATTTCTGTGCAAGGGTGAGTTAAAGCCTTGTAAAGCACCCCGGCGACGCTGCTGGAACGGTCTCCGGAGTATATGGGATTGAGCGCGTTTGCGAAGCCGAGCCTTGGAGAACTCTTTAACTGCCTGTCGAAGGCTTAGCAATCATCAAGACATTCTAGAAGCAGCCTCACATATTCCTTGCCATATTGGTCGACTGCTAGATGGACAGCTCCGAAAGAGCCACGTCCGATCTCTTGCTTGATAATGTATTGGTTGATGCGATGTTCAGCAACGCCGTCGTCCTGACTCGTGACGTACTCGGACCGAGCATTCAACGATTCCTGAAGTGGCTCGGTCAACAGCTCCACCGATTGTCACAAAGATGGTCTACCTTGACATGCTTGGGAGCAGAGGGTGTCCGACGATGATGGCGGAGAGGACTGCTATACTCAGGACTCGACCTGTAGACAATCAGAAAGAGCCATTGACATCCGCTGGCCAAGTCTCACAAATGTTTGATCACAGGCGGCTTCTGGGAGTTGGTGGAGGGGTGGGCTGGGCTTTCGTCGAGGGTAATTCCATGTGATTGCAGAAGTCCGCGGGGTTGACCTGGCTTTACGGCGGCAGCAAAGCGCAATTCTTCCTCCGCCGACGTGGACGTAGGGGATGCCACGAAGTCCATGAGGCAATCGACATCACAGTTTTTCTGCACAGTAACCCAGGACCCGGTGTGCCTATGAAGCTCAGAATAACTGCGCGGTGGCAGCGGCGGGGAGGGTTGCCGTAAGACGTGGATAAGGCCGCCGGCGTACCTGCCATTTTGGACGCTTGCATTGATGGATTGATTCTTGGATTATGAGGTAAACATACTGTACAGTTCAAGTTCACAGCGCAGTGACTACTACAAACATTCTTTCAACAGCAACTGCTGTGATACTTGCCCTAACATGGTCTCGAAAGCAGTGTAAGGGGAGCTCTCTGTCGGTATCCTGCATGGGAGGAAGAGTGTCGAGCCTGCCTTCAAGTTGTTCATGCGGAGGCTGCCACATCCGCGATGGTCGTGTACTCATTCTACATCTTTGATCGGCATGGTAAGTTCTATATCACCGGTATGGTATTTTAAGAGCACGGGACTGACTCCCCTAGCCGAGTGCATCTACAAGAAGAACTGGCTACCATCTACGCTCTCGTCCTCCGGCAAAACAGGCCGACCGTCTTCGCAGGCATACGGCAACAGTGGAATCACAGGCCGCTCAACCCTGAGTGCGGAGAACGATGCGAAGCTTGTCTTCGGGGTGGTATTCTCTTTACGGAACATGGTGCGGAAGCTAGGAGGCGAGGACGATAGGTTTGTCTCGTCTGGCCTCGAGATGTAACATAACATTAACGGAACGGGCGCAGTTTTCTTTCATATCGAACTTCCCAATACAAGCTCCACTACTACGAGACACCCACCAATATCAAGTTTGTCATGCTCACAGATACAAAGTCTGGCTCCATGAGGATTGCATTGCAGCAGATCTACGTCAACTGCTACGTCGAGTATGTTGTCAAGAACCCGCTATCTCCGGTTGAACATCCTGGTGGCATCGGAGTCAATAATGAGCTCTTCGAACTGAGCTTGGAGCAATTTGTGGTATGTATATGTAGGATTTCTTTGGCGAGTCCGACATTAACCTACAATCCCTAGGACCGTGTCCTCAACGCTTCTTGAATACCACTCGCTACATAGCCGCCCGGACTGTGGCTCGCCGAGATCTGCCCATGCTTATACCGATCCGTTATTCCATTTATCCCGGAGCCGTACCTGTGCAGAAGGAAAATCGCCCCCACAATGATGTGATGAACTTTGGCAATGCTTTGGCACTGTACGGTGGGCTTTCAGGCTACGTCAGCATCATTCTAAGGCCATTCGCGCCTGGGCTTACTTCAAGGGAGGTCTGACAAAGCATGTCACTTGTCTCACAGCCCAGGGAATGTGTCACCTTCGGCCCCAGAAGGCGGCGGCGCGGACGAGTAACCCGTCCAGATGCGTCGTGGAAAGTATGAGCTGTTGATACAGACCAACACGAAGTCGATGTCCTCTGTTCAGGGCGTAGTTCAACGCTCCCGCTCGTTCTGGAACATGACAAAAAACGTGTTGTGGCACAGCGTCTTGCTGCCGAAAGTTCGCCCAATACGCGTCTACGGACTCTCATCCGAGCGCTACTAGGGACTGTTGCGCAGTCAGCCCCGGCAGAGGTCAAATTGAAAAGTGCATCGTGAAAAGACCAATGCCATCACCGAAATGCATGTCTGGAGCATGATTGGGTGGAGGCGGCCTCGGTTAATTGACGCTAGAGCGAATGTGCCTTGAACTTTGGCGAATCGCAATAATCATCTCTGGAAATGGTCCAAAAAGTGCAGAAAATGGCGACCGGCACCTCGAGCCACGGTGCATGCTGATCAGCTTGTCGGAAAAGTCTCTTGAGGGAAAACCCTGGTACGGGGCAACGTCTCCTCGTCAGGATAGTCTTGTCGGAGGGTTTGAGGCAGCACGCGGCAATAACACTCATCCCTGCTTCCATGTGCTGGGTCAGCACCCTCATCGCCCAGGGCCGTTGACCAGAACTGAAAACACCAATTTGGCGGTGAGTGCGGCACAGCAAATTATATTATTGTTGAATACGAGTCAGGTCATGGAGGGGCCAAATATACCTAGTCTCGTGTGTCACAGGGTAGCTGCTGGACGTTACGCCTGGAAATGCGCATAAATCTGCCTACCTAGGTACCTAGGTACCTACCAGGAGTACCTACCAGAGGTGACCCAACCAATGCTGAGGTAGTGCATGTCGGCGGGAAGGGGCAGTAGTACACAGAATAGGTAATGTGTCTGCAAAGAGTCGATTCTAAGCGTTGGCAGACAATATGCACTCCAAGTCGACAGGCTTCCTGGAACCATCGAATGATAGGAGTTCAGCTGGTGCAAATGCAGAATGGGCAACTGAACTCGCTGATGTGCACACCGCAGAAGACGCACAAGTGAAACGCTACACGAGGAATCTGTGCTGGGCCAATGGTGGGGTGTCACCAACTAGTACTGTATATTGTTCATGTCTCTGATCTCAATTAATATTTTGTCCTCCCAGGCCCTAGCGTTCTGGAGAAGTGCCGAGTGTCTCATAATTCAGTTCCTTGAAGTCAATCAAGAGCAGACGGCACACACTGGCAGGCCAGGGACTCGCGGTCCAGTGGTGGCCCGAGGAAGGATTTCGCGTGACAGAACGGACCGATGCTGACAGAACAGAACAAGGGACTTGTGGGGAGGCTCATGGCGATCGGGACGGGATCTTGTGTTGACAGGAGACAGCTTGCAGCCAGCCCATTTTCATCGGGGCCTGTCAGATTTCGTAGCATTCGAGTTTTACTTCCTTTTGGAAGAGCCAGCTGACGTAGCAGTATTCTGTTGACGGCGTTGAGGAATCTCCTTCGCTGCACAAGCAGTCTTTTGCATCGTGCTCGGTAGGGCACTTGTACCCACAGCATCTACCTACAACCTGGTACTAGGTGTGAGGTGGTTGAGGTACAGGAGTTGTACCTAGGTACAACTGAGGGACCATGTGGAATACAGGGTCACGGTGTTATGGCGAGGTCCCTGGTTCCTCTTACTACTACTAGTAGGCTCCGTCGACCTAGTACAGTGTAGTAGCGAGGGGCATGCAGTGATCTTGACACTTTGGGAAGCGCAGGCTGTTTGGCTCGGCGCAGACCGAAGTCAGAGCCACTACTACAACCTCTGGTATAATAATTAAAACTGCAACTGTCCAATAACAATAGGACTAGACAGGTAGTAATTTTCTACGCTGCAGCACGCGAGCTCTACGTCGCCCAGTAAAGTGGCCATGGACATGATATCTCAGGTCCAGTACAGAGTAGGATCAAACAGGTAGACGAGTATCTACCTGAAGGGAGTAGGAGATAGGTGATACGCAGCGTATCCCTCTCCCAGAGACAACGGTGACCAACGGAGACATGAAGCTCTCGACTCTCGCCCTTCGAGCACTGATCTGTTGCCAGTGTTGGAGCTGCCCCGAAGAAAAGCTACCTTGACCGCGTCCGCTCAAGGCGTACTCCCTTCGACGCCTCTTCGACGCCTCTTCTCTCCTGAAACCATGAATCGTCGCACCCATGCTTCTCTTGGGATGAAAGCCGAGCAGAGAAAAAGTCACCCACTGTGGCCCCTGGAGTCTGTCCGGCTAATCCTCCCTTCTGGGCGATTTCGGGCTTCCACACAGCAAAGAAAAATATCATGGGGTCAATCATTCGACCGCCGTTGGAGCCCTGGCTTTGTTAGCGTCTTGGATCTCGATTCCTGCTGGGCCGGTGGCACCCCGGATGGTCTGTACAATTGTACCATTGTACAGCGTAGTGAGAGGCGCGCGATGCCCACTACTGCATGCCGTTCCTGCATCGCCCCTGTCTCCGACCCCGGTCGCGTGGTCTGGCACCAAAGTCGCGTTCAATTCGATGAGACGTCGCATCCACCGCCCAATCCTACGTAACATCTTGTGCTTCTTGTGTTCAATTTGCTCCCACTCTGGTGCCTACTGTACCTCATTGCAGTCGAGTCCTGTTTCCTCAGCGGCGGCTCTACCAGTTGGTACGTGGACGAAAGCCCATGAGGCGTCTTTAATGGATGATACCGTCAACAACGGCAATTGGCGCGAAAACTGGCGAGAAGGATCATGATGAAAAGTAATAGTGCTACAAACCCCTTGGCCAGTTGGATCTCGTCGTCAGTATTACTTTTTCCAACACTAGTCCCCAGCTCTGTCACCTTGGGACCACTTGTTGGCGGCAGGGCTGTGATGGGCTTGTGGCTACTCCAGTCATACAGAAGTGCCCTTGTCGTTGTGCCTCACGGTGAGTCTCCTCCACTCCGCCGAGGATCGCTTCCTCCCCACCAGCTACCACGACAAGGTACTCGTATGTGACCTTCTCTCCCGTAGCACGGAGTACCTGGCTTGGACCTAAGACACCGCTAGACGGCCGTTATTTCAGTAAGCTGCAGGTCCCAAACTCTCCAGGAACCCGTGTTGCCAGCTAGGACAGGTCAGGATATCATCCGCCGTCTACCAAGTCTGCTCCATCCTACCGAATCTGCTGTCCTGATCCTGCTTTCCAGGGTGTACCCTGACACACATTTTCTCCTCGGTGGTCGGTACTGAAAGGCTACGCTTCTTTCACGTCTGAGCATGCTCTCGTCGTCTTTTCCCCTCTCGAGATTGCAGATCTAGACTTGAAGGACTGAACCTTTGATATTCTACCCCGTCCCACCCACCCTCCATTGACTCTCTCCCACACCATCTCCTCCTTCTATACCCAGCCTTGACCTCGTCACGCGGATTGCTCGGGACGACCGGCCTACTTTCAGATAGCAATTCCTCAGACAATACGAACCGCGGTCATGAGATTATAGAGCAACGGGAGCTGGCTTGTTGCCTTGCGAGAAACTCAAGATGTCTTCGTTGTCAGATCTAAGGGGCCTATGCCCGGCTCCGTTTTTGCAAGAAAGCGTCTTTCCAGACACCGGCGGATGTACGTACCCAAGTGGCTAAAATCATCATCGCTCGCTCGTTTTCTCACCGTTTCCAGTTACTCCAGGTCGCTTCTGCATGCCTCTACCCGATCTTCACAACTTGACCTGCTGTTTGCCCTGCCCTTTGTCTGATTGGGCATACTCGGATGGTATGCTACGCCGACAAGTACAGTTTTATTGCGCAGGCTGACTCTACGGAGGATTCGAGAGCCGGACGGAGATTGCCAACTGGGTGAACGTAGCAGCCTTCATTCTTTCCGTTTATCTTATCCTGTCATTCGCTATCCTGCCAGTCAAGTTCACCCACAGGCATTACTTGAGCGTTTGCCTCACTTTGGGCGTGGTCTTTCTTGAGGTCTGTACATTGCAGGTTTTCGGATGAGGAACGATACTGACGGATCCCATCCAGCTTGCCTTTATAATCCCGCAGGCCGCGAAGCCCGACCAATGTTTCAACGAGATCACCCCCAATGACATGCACTCGAGTGGTGTCTGTGCAGTCAGCGGTGCGTTCTTATTGTTTGGAGGATGGGCCATTGTCATTTGGGTATTTTGCCGAGCTCTTGCACTTCACCTCCAGATCTGTTGGGAAGTGGTACCTGGAGACAAATTCTTCTACACCTCATTGGCCTTTGGATGGGGCATACCCATTGTTGGCCTTGCGCTCACGCTGAGCCTGACAGGCGTTTCCTTTCGCTTCGGTAATGTCTGCCACATCAACCATAAGGATGCTTTGCAGGATTTCTGGGGCCCACTGTTGGCCTTTGCTGCATTGGGGTTGGTACTGCAGTTCATCACCATTGGCTATTGCGTCCATGTCTATATGAAGAGCATCCTCGATGACAAGCCAACCACCAACGACAGCTCCCAGGCTCCTCCCACTTACTCAAACAGTATGAGGACTGTGTCTGCAAGACAGACGTATCGCCGGGTGAAAAGGGTTGTCCAGCTACAGTGGCGTGGTGCAAGCATTGTCCTTGTCATCACTGCGGAGGTTGTCTTCTTCTCGGTGGTGTTTGTGTCAATGGATAACAGCACCCAAATCAACGAACAGCTTCTGCGCAAGGCTACCCCGTGGCTGAATTGCCTGGCACTCGCCCAAGGAGACAAGACCAAATGTCTGTCATACACGAAAGGACTGGTAAAATCAGAAGGCGTGGTGCTGGCAGTGCTTATTATCCTCGGGGTAAGGACTCTCAAGCCTTCGCTCGTCGTCTCCAATCTAACCAATAGATTTAGCTCAGTGGCTTCTGGTGCCTCATGTTCCTGGGCAGATGGTCGATGACCCATGGTTGGATCGAATTTCTGCGCAACAAGTTCCCACGGCGGAAGGAATTTGTCTCGGCTGATGCCAGACGGCTCTCGACCGACCCTCGTACGTACGAAATGCTAAGCGGAGCCGGGCCACAACTGAACCTTCAAACTCCAGATCGGGTTATGACCAATCCCAATCCTCGGACAGTCCTCTCTCCGGACCCGGACACAAAGCAGGGCTACTTTGATTCCGCGCAAGCCTATATCAGTCCAGTCTCGAGCCACTCCTCTCCCAGGTCGCCCAGTCGAAGCCATAATTGGAATCCGAGGTCCACATTTGCCGGTCCGGCGGAAGTTGGGAAAGAGACTGGCACGAAAACATACCTAGGTTGAAGACATATGTCCCGGCCTTCTGAAATTTATGTTCCGGAGGATACCTGCGCGGTTGAGCAATGGCGTTGAGGATTGAATCAGTTCTTTCTTGTGCGACTCGGCTTTGTCACCTTTGGGAGCATCTGCTGTTCGAAGGCATAGATGCCCAGACAACAGCGCTGGGTCTCGCTTTTTCTTTTTTTGGGCAGTGGTCCATTACCAAGAGGAGTTGCGGCAGAAAAACTCCAAGGTTATGTGTTACAAGGGATGACATTGTCCACCGCCTGGAGCAGTGTTATTTGCAAATTGAAGCATGGCGATGAGGTGGGACAGTTTGGAGCGGTCGGTCTTGTTTTCCGACAGGGTTTACGGCTCGACCAGATCTGTGGATGAGATGAACAAACGATGGAGCTGACAGGACGGTACACCCCAGACGACCGAGGTTACAAATGTACAAAAGCAAAGCCGGCGCGGAGATACCCAGATCATTCTTATAGGCGCGGCAATGGTGGAACGACTTTCTGTTTTCCCGGTTACTAAGGGTGTGGTTTGCGCTGTAAGAGTGTGCCTTGGTTAACGAAGGCGCCGGTTGAGGTGCAAGCGAAGTCCGCATTCAGATATTCCCAGTATCAAGAGCGACTGCTCTGGTCGGACAGGCATACGTATGTATAATATGTTCTCATCAAATCCTGTTACTCGAATTCATGTAAAGATGAAAGACAATTTGAACGCCCTGTTGAACTTGAAGTTGACAGCAAATGATGCTGCTTTACCAAGCTTTGGAAAGGGGGCTGTCTCCTGCACGGCGGCAGCAGGCTCTCCCATGATAGGCCTAGTAGACTTGGCACAGGCGGGCGCCTCGCGTCCAATTCAAGTTCAAGTTCGACTCAACAACAAACACATCAGACTCCGTGCATAGTACAAACACTGTACGCCGTATCGTACCTGAAATACTTCTCTCATTCATTGCAAAAGGGCCTGTTGCCTATTGCATTGCCCTGCGAACTCACGCTAAAGTCTTACAAAACATTCTGGGCTTTCCAGACCACCGAAGCCAATAGTCACAGCCCATCCATCTCGCCAAGGCCGTTGCAGTTCACACCTATCCAGGCCATGGTTCTTGGTAGAATATGAAGCAATGCCAGTGCTTGACAAGAACCAACCCATGCAGACAACCAGGCAGCATCACACGTCTTTTTCTGCCTCCCTACCCAGATCGACTCCAGCCTGACGAATTGTCCTTCTCACTTGTCTTTTCCTGGCTGATACGAGTCAACGTCTCTTGTGTACCCAAATGGGATACCGCTATGGCCTCTCGGAGGACGATAAGTTGATGCGGCAGGAGCAGGCGGACGAGGAGGAAGTCGGGCGATTTCTGCAGCTCTTATCTCTGCCTGGGTGCGTTTCTGAGCGTCATCTCCAGGACCACCGCCAATTCCACCATCACTGCCACGAGGATGGCCGCGGATGCTGAATGCTTGAGTATGCTCGCGACCAGGACGGTAGCGATCGCCTTCAGCGGGACCATCACGATCGCGGCCTCGGATGGCCTCACTACCAGCTGCAGTAGCAACACCACCTCGACCGGGTTGCAAGGAGGATGACAAGGACATCATTGTCCCAAAAGAACCAGATGCATAGCCAGATCCACGTCGTTGGCGGCGAGTTCTCTTCTCAGGGCTGTGGCTACCAGGACCCATTCTCATGCTCATGTTTGTGCCGAAGCCAGGTCCGCGCGGCGCATCTTTTGTCTCTTCCTTGCTGACATGGTCGAACTTGCGCTTCTTGCCTCCTGTCAAAGAAACCACGGTGACTTTGGCCATATTGAACGTCGCCTCAAGGTCGTCCATCCTCCCTGTGTCGATGTATTTGCCCTCAACATACTGCAGTGTGTTCTCAGCGGTGTCGCGAAGAAACTTGGCTGCCGGGATCAAATTGTCTGGTGGGCAGTTGTTGTTGGACAGATTCACAAACTCTTGTTTCGCACTGCTGTACAAATCCCAGAGGCGTTCCAGTTTTCCGTCTACCGTATATGATGGTACTCCGTGGGCGACGTCGGTCATCTTCACGTCCTCACTGGCACTCGCAGTTGCACTTGGCCCCTTGCTGGCATCGAGACCAGCAGATGCTCCCGCCTTTGCATAATCATCAGGCAAGACAAAGCTCCCTGGCACCAATCTCTTCTTTGGGCCCTTGTTGGTGGCTGCTTGTTCCGATTTGTTGGCACCAACCGCTGCTGGACATGGGACAATGGTCAGAAAAGTCTTTCACAGCACACTGGGGGGAATGACAGCGAATAGGAAGCAAAGAAACTAGAGGTAGGAAGTATCCACAAGTTGGAGTGCATGCACCAGTGATGATCTCCAAGCTCGGACAAGTGAATGCAGGAGAAAGCAACATGAGTGTCTCCAAAGGGTTTGAGCAGTCTTCACTTCGCCAGGTTGTTTACTCACCACCTTGTTTTTGGCTCTTCCTCAATCCATGTGATACAGCCACAGCCATCCCGAGGTTGCGTTTGGTCTCGACGGCCGAAGTCTTATCGTGGATATTCAAGTAATGCTCACAGAAGAACTTGACGACTGCCGGTGTCTCCAGCTCACGACCATTATTAGTCAATTCCACCAGCGCCTTGTCGAAGACGGTGACCTGGCTGTCTGGAAAATCCGGAGATCTGCCTTTGATCAGTTGCAACTGGCATCGGATGAGAGTTGAGAAGAGCTGCTTGTTATGGCCCTTGTTGCCCGTCATGAAATCCGCCACAAGGGGATTCAATGCAGTGACTTTCTTCGCTTCACAGACCAGAGACGAGACATCATCTTCCGGCCCCTTGCGCTGGGCTTCACCTGGAGGTGGGCTTGCTGGTAGCGATGGCGATGGCGATGCGAAGAAGAGGCCATCGTATTCACCTGCATCTGTGTTTATACCTGTGCCTGTGCTTGTGTATGTGTCTGTGTCCTCGACTGGGCCACCTCCTTCAGCTGGATGCGACATTGCTCCGTCGGACTCCGGCGAGTCTTCGAAGAGGCCACGGCCGTGACGTGAAGCCATGATTTTGAAAGGTGGTTTACGCCTATTCCAATTTCAGTGTCCCAGATCAACGAATTGATGGCTAGAGATAGGTAGGTGACTAACCAGTTGGGTTGATATAAGGCGCGAAGTAGTAGGAGTTGTTCGAGAAAGGAGATCAGTGACCTTTGGGGTGCCGCGTTGATTCGCGTTAGGACTGTGGAAAAAGAAAAGGTGAGATAGGGTAAGGCAGGGCAAGGTCTAGTACTCTGGAGAGGAACAAACCTAGATCTGACGGGTTACGACAACTTTGAACAACGATGATTGCGACGATGATGCTGTTGGCCGTGGACAGCAGTGATGATATCGTCCGCGAACGGCTATGAGGTATGATACGTCAAGAAGGAGGAGGAGAAGCAGGAATTGAACCAGTCGATCTACCACTAGGTAAGTCTGCGAGCGTCTCTGTCTCTATGGGTGTGCAATGCACTGAAAAAGGAGAAGAGAACTCGCAGTGACAACGACAGTAGCAATTGCAATGATAAAAAGGAGACGCGCAGCCTGAGAGAGTACTGTCAACAATGGTGGTTGTATCTTGTTGTTCAAGTTGTTTATCGCAGGTTAAACTGCTGCGCTGTTGTGTTCAAGTTGTGTCTGCCTGCGCCCTCTCCAAGGTGGATTGGGTATGTTGCCGTGTTGTTGTTATGTTGTTGTTTTTCACTTCACTCTGTAGTGTTGTTTATCGCGACTGTGAGTGAATTCAATACTACTGGTACTACTGCTGGTATTGTTACGGGTCACTGGTACTGGTACTGGTACTGGTACTGGTACTCGTGCTGCTGCTGCTGCTGCTGCTGCTGTTTCTCCTACTCCTATCATCAATTCCTTCTGTTGCTACTCTTTCTAGTGCTATCCCGTCCGCTACTGTTGCTCTTCTACCTGCTGTATATGATGGTCCTCATCTACCCAAGTCCCCAACAGGCCCGGATCCAACGAGCCGTATCAACCAGTCAGTCAGCCGGCATGGCATAGCATGGAAACGCACAGTACATTATCATATTCCTGTCTGGTAGAAGGTTCGAATTGCACAACGGTAGAGAAGAGAAGGGAGAGGATGAAACCGGACCAGACAGCTGTGGCTTCCAGCACAATACTGTAGAATAAAATAGATCGATTCCCCAGGTACGTTCATCTTGCAAATGCCTACCGCACGCAAGGCTGGCTGTCTGCTCAGCTTCATACATTAACCGCAGCTTCATACACCCGGACCCCCTTTGGGACTTACGGCTCGGTTGTTGTCCGTATATAGATAGTTACAGTAACAATTTCATCTGCGTTGGTTCCAGACTGCGTGCCACAGAATCAATCTATATGCGCCTTTGGGTCCATATAAGGTTGACGGAGCCAAGCGAGGCGAAACATGATGATGCAATATAATATATACTTACTACAAGTCAAGCTAAAGCTAAATATCATCGACATTGCAGTCGACCCTGGCTTATGCAAGCAGTACCCGCGCGTCCACTACATAGAAGACTTAGAACTGGGTAGCCTCCAGTATACTAGTAAACACCACCATGGGATTAGACGAACAGTCGAGACAAAAAGAATCAAGATGAGTGGTTGATCTGTATTAGGGGACATGCTATTGCTAATGCTATCCATGCAGGTGGGCGGACATGCGACCCCTATCTGTCTCGAGTTTTCATGGTTGAAAATCCCAGAGGAACCAGTAGCTGACAATACATGCCCGTCCTGCTGCATGGAAAGGCAAGAACTGAGGAAAAAGAAAAGAGCATATTTCCAGTCTATCATACACAATAAAACCCCATCTCCATAATCACCGACCCACCAGGGACAGAGGGAAATCGAGTCACGAGCTCAAAGGAATGACGCCGTTCGCCTGCACACCAGGTACCAGCAAGCCACAAGCCCTGTGTTTCCCAGCAGAGCTCAGGTCAATGTTGCCTATCAAAACTTTTGAGTACAGGCATATCGCCCAAAATGAATAAAGTGCAGGTGAGCATGGCAGAGGGTGAATGTTCCGTGGGAGTCGAACACAAATTCCTCAAGCGGCAGAGGCCTCAGCACCTTCAGCCTTGGGTGCCTCTTCCTCCTTGGTGCCATTGGGACCGGCTTCAGCGTTACGGCTCTTCATGTAGTCGTCGTACACGCGGAGAGCCTCGTCGACCTTGGAACGCAGAGCAGCGTCATCATCAACCCTGTGGCACCCTGTTAGCGGAAATCCAAAAGTAAAGAAAAAGGACCGAAGACTTACAATGAGAGAAGCTCGGAGTTGTCCATCTCCAAAAGCATACCAGTGATCTTGCCTGCAAGTTCTGGTTGGATCTGTTGGATCTTCGGGTAGATTGCTTCGCCGAGGATCTGCTTTTGCTGGCTCTGGGGCAGAGATGCCAGGTTGTGGAGGCTGCTGGGGGTGTTGATCTCCTCACGGTTGGGAATCATCTGACCTCGTCCCTGCGGCGGGATACGTCCAGCTCCTTGGCCACCTGGGATGTTCTGCATGCCGCCTCGGCCGCCCTGAGGGAAGTTTGGTCCGCCACGCATACCACCCATGCCCTGCATGTTAGGTGGCATACCCTGCATGCCTTGCATCTGGCCACGGCCACCTGCGCCACGACCCATCTGACCCTGCATCTGAGCCAATGCTTGAGGGTTGTTGTACATGCCGTTGACGAGAGCCGGGTTCTGAATGAAAGGCATCTGTCCAGGAAGACCAAAGTTGGGAGGAAGCTGTTGACCTTGAGGGATGCCGCGGCCTCCTTGTGGGAATCCACCAGGGAACTGTCCACGTCCGCCTTGCATTCCAGGGATGACCATGCCAGGTTGGCCTGCGAAGGGCATGCCGCGCTGAGCACCCGGAGGAAGGAACTGCTGACCGGGATAGAAAACAGTGGGTTGGATGTAACCTTGAGGCATGCCGGCAGCTGCGGCTTGTTGCTGTTGGCGAAGGGTGTTCCGTGCTTGGATACTAGCCTCGAGTTGATTTCTGCGAACATCCTTGCGCTGGGCGAGAGCAACGTAAAGCGGCTTGCCATTAACCATCTTCTGGTTCATTTCCGAGACGGCCTTGGAAGCCTCATCGGGGTTGCTGAAGCAGACGAAACCGAAACCCTTGCTCTTGCCCAGGTTCTTCTTGTTCTCTTTCTTAGTCTCCTTGGACTCCTTAGTTTCCTCCTTGGACTCCTCCTTGGATTCATCCTTCTCTTGAGATTCAGCCTTCTGCTCCGACTCGCCCTCGGTAGTTTCGGCCTTCTTGTTCTCCTTGTCTTTGTCATTGGCAGGAGAGGCGGTGCGCTCGGCACTGTCGCGCATGACCTTGGCCGAGGTGATGGTACCATAGCTGCTGAAGAGTTCACGGAGCTTGTCATCATCGACATCGTCAGTCAAGTTCTTGACGTAGAGGTTGACACCTTGGTACTTGGAAGCCTTCTCCATGCGAGCGGCCTCGTACTGTCTCCGAAGTTCCTCCTCACGCTCATGTTTCTTCTGAGCACGTCCGACGTACAGCTTCTTGCCGTGGAACTCTTTGTCATTGAGCTCCTCCACAGCCTTGGCTGCCGACTCGTGACTAGCGAAGTTGACGAAGCCAAAACCACGGCTCTTGCCATTCTCATCGCGAGTGATGGTGGCCGAGACAACCTCGCCGTACGGCTCGAAGAGCTTGGTGAATTCTTCATCCGAGACTGACTCGTCAATGTTCTTGATATAGACATTGGTGAAGTTCGCCTTCATTTCCTCGAGCTTGCTCTGGCGATCACGCTTGGCAATGTGGTGGCCAACAAAGACCTTCTTGTCGTTCAACAACATGCCGTTAACGGATTTGATGGCTTGGTTGGCGGCCTCGGCGGTCTCATAGTGGACGAATCCGTAACCCTTGGAGTTGCCAAGCTCGTCCTGAGCGACTTTGCAGCTCAGGATGTTGCCAAACTGCGAGAAAGTGTCATGGAGCGCCTTGTTGTCGATGGCCGCATCCAGGTTCTTGATGAAGACATTACCTTGTCCAGTCTTGCGTAGGGCGGGATCACGCTGAGACCACATGATACGGCAGGGACGGCCTTTAATGCTGGTGTAGTTCAAATCTTCCAAAGCTCTCTCTCCGTCGGCGGTGTTGTTGTAGTTGACGTAGGCATAACCGAGCGAGCGACGAGTGACAGCGTCGCGGCAAACGCGGATGGAGGCGACTTGACCGATGGACGAGAACAGTTCGAAGAGCATAGCCTCAGTGACGGAGGGATCCAGCTCTCCGACGTACAGAGACGCAGAGTGCTGAGCCGCGGTAGACGGGGAAGCCGAGTACGGGGTGGACGCATCGTTGTCGTTGCCAGATTCAGACTGCGCAACGCTGGTGTTGATCGCAGGCGCGCCATTCTGGGTAGGAGCGTCCGAGGCACCGTTTTGGCCGGTGGTAGGGGCAGCAGCGTTCACATCGGCTGCAGACATGTTTGCTGCGAAGATGTCAGTCTACGATCTCAGGTTTGCTTACGGTCGAGAGGGGATGTCGCGGGATGGTTCCTCCTAGGCAGACGCTTGCAAGTTTTCTTTGTGCGCGCCTGCCAAAGGCCGAGTGTGCGAATAAAGGAGCGGCGCTCACCTATTTTTCTGATGATAAGGACTTAGGTTTGACCAGGAAGAAGAGATATCGACAGGAGAGGTACGCGATGAGGACAAAAGTACTGTTGCAAAGGATAGGCGAACGGGTCGAGCGCTGTGAACGAGTTAGTTGGGAGCGCAGTTGAAAGGGTGCGTTCGTCGTGAAAAGGATGCGCACGGCTCTGGCAGGGATTATTACTTACGGCACGACCCAAGGAATTTGGCTTTGATTTTTCTGATTTTTTTCTGGACACGAATGTTTTCGACGGGGACGGGGCAGAATTGCAATCGACTGCAGGGTAAACTGGCAGAAGATGCAAAAGGAAGATCTGAGCTGAGGTGTGTCGATGCGGTGGTGGTAGGAGGAGAGGGAGGCGGCAGCAGTAGATTTCGAGCGACCAAAAAAGTCAGGCAATCAAAGAATTCGGGTTTGGCGCGCTATGCCCGAACCAGTAAGTGCCGCTGTGTGACTAAAACGGCGGGCGGCGAACAAAAAAGAAGACTTCGGGTCTGCTTACAAACAAAGCCTTGTTGATCCCACACGGTTTCTTCACTTCAACCTTGGTACTGTACAATGTTTAAAGGCACGCGTGGCTGCTGAAGTACGGTAAGTCCATTCATTGGTGATACTAAAGAGGTTGCATACCTGCGACCACCACAAATGGTTCTATACTAGCATGCCATTGCACAGCGCTATAGTGTGGTCTATTGTGTAGCCGCAGCCAAGAATATACTTCGACTTCCCATGGTAGTCTTCCTTTCTGCCAGCGTCCGCACTGCGTGGCCTTCTAGGGATGACTTTTTCCTGCGTCACACATCTTTCGAGACACCACGACCCCTCGCAAGCAGGGACATATCACCAGGGGTGTTGCTAAGACGCACAAGTCAGGACATACGGCGAACAACAGGGGCGACTAGCAACACTTACTCGACCATCCCAGCGCCAAAAAGTGCCACTCTGGCTCTTATCCCTATCAGCAATGACCTTTAACATCTTTTCGACACTCTCATCAGGCTTGATGACTCCTTCTACCTCCCATTCGACATTGATATTGGCCATATCTCTGTGCAGAACACAAAGAAAGAGTGAGGTCAGTACTTCAAGCTGTCTCCATCATACCGACTGGCAGGGTAGGTTTCTTTCGGCAACTCACGTCTGTACTTCTCCCGGATGCATTGCGAGCACACACACATTCTTCCATTTCCCTCCTTTCCTTTTCAGCTCCGCAGCCATATGCCTGAGCATCTGGTTCAGCGCGGCCTTGCTCGCACCATAGGCCGCGAACCCATCTTCATGCTCTCTGAAGTCCGCGGTGGATCCAGAGTCCGAGGATATGAAAACCACCTTAGAAGGAGGACTGTCACCACTGATGTTGAGCAATTTCTGCGCGGCAATGATGGGCCCAATGGTGTTGGTGTGTAGATGCAGGGCAAAGTCGTCAAAGGACCTGTTTTTGCATGCATACATCAGCAAAAACCCCTAACCTCTGAAGAGCTCAGATGTCTTCCCAGTACATTTCAGTTGCTCGCTAAATGAAAAGAACCATCCGTTAGCTTTCTGCATTTTGTTCCATTGGAATGGATTGGAATTGAATGGCTCTCGCACACACATTGGGATATTTCAAAATACCGGCATTCAAGACAATGTTATCAATCTTCATCCCTTTTGATACAAGGCTCTTCATTCGGTCTGCAAATGCCTGTTACCGAATCAGAGCCGTCCGGTGGGAATAGTGTACAATCGACTCACATCAATGCTTTTCGGGTCAGTGACATCGCATTGTTCAATCAAACAAGCCGCCGGTCTCGCTTCTTGCTTCGCACCCGCAGAGAGCTGCCAGATACCGTTGGCCGTCTCGGGGTTCCGCACTGCCGCAATCACCTGGTTTCCTTGTTCGAGCAGCTGCCGTACGAATTCGAGGCCTATGCCTCTAGATGCACCGACGATGACCCATGTCTCGGGTGCCCCCATAGTTACTGCCGAACAAGACTGCAGAGGGGCCGGCTTGCTGCTCCTTGGTGTGAACTGACTGATCGATGCCGAAGGACCTACAATATACCACCGCCGGCTTTTGACCAAAGATAGATAAAGATAGAAACGTCACGATATCCTGGTCTTGAATCACGACCGCGTGTGATATATAAGCTACAACTTGCGAAATGATATAGAACTAAAACAAGAACAAAGCTCCAAACTGACAGCAAGGCATTACCTAGGTATTTCAGCAGGGGAGGATCCTATGTAGGTACCTATGGACCCATGCTGTGCTTCGTATCGGTAACAATGCATTATTAGGTACATGATCTCCCTGGAGCCTCTCAAAAAACTGGAAACTCTACCCCGGTGGCTGGCAAATCTACAATGCTACAGCATGAGCTAAACAGGCATCTTGCAGATTGTGGCTGCTGCTGTCTCGGGAAAACCTGCACTTCGAGCTGGTCCATGGAGAAGACCGTTGGGGGCACCATTGAGACTGAGACCAGCAAGAGGCATCGCTGCCACATGCCATTCACCAGGTTGCTAATAGTCTGACAACAACCATGAGGTATCGTCAATACACTGTAGCTAGCCGCCCATTTTCTACATTCCGTGTTGCGATTTCTCTTGTTGACCCATCAACGTTTACAGCGGCATGCTCCTCAAAGACTTAACACGCCGGAAGAGAGAAATTTTACATCTATCACTCATAGTGAGAGTTCGATGATCTGCCAAGTCTCTTTCATTTGTCTATGTAATTGTGCGGTAGCATAAATTCACATCTCCTTTCTTTATGCCCGGTTCCTCAATCGGATTTTGGGTTCAGAAATCGTTACGCTGGCATAAAACAGCCCCCGTTGTTTCGCATCCATTTAGATAAGTTGCTGGAAGGCACGGTTGACTGGGGAACGAGGCTTCTGGCCCTTGTAGAAGTCAACTGTCGCGTTGGCACGCTTGGCAATACCCTCTGGAGTGAACTCGAATTTCTGCCATTTGTTAGTGAGCACAACTAGTTGGGAGTGGAGGAATGCTTACCTTGTACACCTCCTTGTACGGGCCAGAAGCGCCGAAGCGGTTCAGACCGAATTGCTCGTGCGAGTATTTCTCCCAGCCAAGAGTAGACATGACCTCGACGGACATGGCTGGAATGCCATCCGGCAGAACCTGGAGTTGATACTCCTTGGGTTGAGCATCAAACACCTCAGTGCAAGGCATCGAGACCACTCGGGCAGTGATGCCATATTGGTCCTTGAGCACCTTCACAGCCTCCACACACAGGGACACTTCAGAACCAGTAGACACCAAAGTGACGTTGGCGTTCTCCGCCTCCACTGCAACGTAGCCACCCTTGATGGCCTTCTCGATGGTCGAGTTCTCCAGTTGAGGCAAGTTCTGTCGCGTCAATGCAAGGATAGAAGGAGTGGTGGCTGACGTCAGTGCCACGTAGTATGCTGCCGAGGTCTCGTTGCCATCTGCCGGTCGCCAAACCATCATGTTGGGGAGGGCTCGGAAGTGAGCCAATGTCTCGATAGGCTGATGAGTAGGACCGTCCTCACCCAGACCAATCGAGTCGTGAGTGGCAATGTAGATGACTCTCTGATGTGACAGGGACGAGAGACGGACGGCGCCAGCAGCGTAGGACACAAAGTTCAAGAAAGTACCACCGGCAGGGATGAGGGTACCATAGGCAGAGATACCGTTCATGATAGCGGCCATGGCGTGTTCTCGCACACCGTATCGAAGGTAGCGTCCAGACCAGTCACCAATGCCGAGCGACGGAGGCTGGAAATCAACAGCGTCCTTCCACCGGGTGTTGTTGCTTCCAGTCAGATCTGCAGAGCCGGACAAGAGCTCAGGAATGACGCTGTGGATTTCCTCCAACACCTTCTCCGAGAGCTTTCGAGAAGCCACGGCGGCGTCGGTTGGCTTGTAAACGGGCAGCTTCTTCTCCCAGCCCTCGGGCAGTTTGCGGGTAAGACGACGGCTAAAGTCGGCAGCCAAATCTTTGTATTCGTTGCTGTACTTCTTGAAACGGTCGTTCCAGGCTTGTTCGGCGGCCGCGCCCTCGGCAGAGTGCTTCTGGTACAGATCGTACACCTCCTGTGGGACGACAAACGACTCTTCTGGGTTGAAGCCAAACTTGGCCTTGACCTGCTTAGCATCATCGGCCTTCAGCGGGTTGCCGTGCACACCGCCAGTGCCTTGCAGCTTCGAACCGAAACCAATGGTGGTGGTCAGCTTGATCATGGATGGCTTGTCTTTGACCTCCTTAGCCTTAGCGATGGCAGCTTCAATGCCTTCGAGATCGTGGTCGCCATCCTTGACATGTTGCACGTGCCAGCCATAGGACTCGAATCGTTTGGAAACATCCTCGGTGAAAGCGCACTTGGTGTCACCATCTATTTTCGTTAGCTGCCTTAACCTGCAGAAGGTGGTTCGATTGCTTACCAATGGAAATGTGGTTGTCATCGTAGATGCAGATCAAGTTGCCCAGCTGGAGATGTCCGGCGAGGGAAGCAGCCTCGCTTGCGACACCCTCCATGGCACAACCGTCACCAAAGATACAGTAGGTGTAGTTGTTGATAAGATCATATCCTGGCTTGTTGAACACGGCGGCAGTGTGGGCTTGAGCAATCGCCAGACCAACTGCGTTGGAGAAACCCTGACCCAATGGGCCGGTTGTCACCTCGATACCGGGGGTGTCGTGAGCCTCGGGATGGCCCGGGGTGATGCTGTCGACTTGCTACAACCAAGTCAGCTTCCCGCAACCTTTGAATCTGATAGGACTTACTCTGAAGTTTTTGAGGTCATCCATGGAGATGCCGTAGCCGAACAGGTGCAGGAGGGCATATTGCAACATGCAGCCATGTCCGTTGCTGTAGGAAGTTAGTGAATGAACTTCCCCGGACGCCAGACTTGCGACGGAAGATAAAGGGACATATAGAGACTCTCTTCAGACGGGACTGGTGACCAAAGGCCCTTTGTTTCTGGCTTGTCCACACATCCCGCCTCTTCCGGAAGTCTCAGAAAGGATGATGGGCTTGGAATCTACTCACGATAGGACAAATCGGTCGCGGTTGACGAAGTGGGGGTTCTTAGGATTGAAGGTCATGAATTTATTGAACAGGACGTGTGCCGCAGGAGCCAGGCCTGTGTACTTTGGTTAATCAATGCTCACAACGAGTCAACGGGCTGGTTACTCACCCATAGGGGCTCCTGGATGGCCACTGTTTGCCTTGAGCGTGGCATCGACCTGGAATCCGAGCCGTCAGTCCACGTATCGTCAGGAAATGGTGGGGTTCAGAACACACCGCAAGCAGCCGGACAGTGTTGATAGCCTTCCAGTCGACGTCGGAGTAACCCATCTTAACGATTCTGATGATATTCCGGCTAGACAGAGGGTGAATGAAGAAGTACAGAAAGGATTAAAGAGGACAACAGGCCGGTGAGAAAATTTACAGAGCAAGCCTAAGCTGTTGAGCGAAGTTGGGGGGTGCTTTTCGAATGGTGGCTAATACCCTTGACGTTTTGGCGGGGCAGTGAGCAGCTTCTGAAGTCACCGATGCCTGCGAGCCACCTTCTCACTGGCGGACTGCTGTGCTCCCGTGGGTTCGGCTGCTATTGCACCTCGCGGGTAGCACTGGCAGTGTCCTCCAGTGTTTTGGCAGTCCCCCAGCGCCTCTTTTCCGTCCTGCCAATCGTGGCCGTGGGCACTGGTTCCGAAGGGAAATATTGCGGTGTCTTTCCACTGCACCCCCGATCACCTCAAGGCTTCAGGTGGTCAGTCAACCGCGAATCTCGAATCTTACTCGTGCACGCTGCTGAGCCTGACGGGTATACCCCACTGCATCATGGTATAGAATTGCCCTTCTAGGTGCCCGTACCTTATCTACCTAGGTAGTGACCTGCTTACTACGCTGCCAAAGCACAGTCATCACCTATCCTGAGAGCCAATCCCGCTTCCCTTTTCCAGCGGAGTTACAGTAGTAATAATACCTTGTATATCATCCCGACCAAGGTCAAACCTGGTGGCGTTCATGCTACGGCTTGGACCTGCGTTCTCTAGGCGAAATGAAATCGCTGTCGGTATATTTTCAGCACTCTGGAGGACGAGTTTCTTGACCAAAATAAGCAGGTTCGGTTACTCTTACAGAGGCCTCGGAGCCTAGTATCTCTGCTGATATCGGCCAGCAAATCTGAAACTTCAGATGAGACAACTATGTCGCCTCCAGACATCGTCCTACCAACCTTGAAGTCATGCCCGTCCAACGCCTCGCTATGCGAATTTTAGTCCCCAAACCCTAGTAACCATAACCACCAGCACCGTAAGGAGTTGCGCCGTAAGGGGTTGTACCGCCCCTCAGCCCGCCATATGCCTCGTATCCTCCATTTGCAGGAGCAGGCTCGTACCCATCAGGGCTCTGGAGGCCGTTCATCGCGTCTGCACCTGCTGCCTCAGCGCCTCCCAAAGCTTTGATGGTCTCTGCCAACTTCTTCTGGATGACCTCAATCCCTCCCCGCACAATGTCATCCGGCTCCAGGGTACCAACACCTTCCACGTCGAAGAAGAACGCGCTCGGCACCGCGTCAGGGTCGAATGAAGCATCCGCCGCCGTATCATCGCCTTCCCATGTGGCATTGCGCTCATCTACGGGCCACTCTTCCTTTGCGTCCGTCTCGTACCAGTAGTCAAGATGCTTTAACTTGTTATTCGGGTCGTACTCGAATCCAACTGCAGCCGTCGGAGCCCACTTCGCGTGTTCTTTTGCGATGCCCTTTTTTGCGATACATTCTAGATGAATCTCTTGGCCTTGTCTCAATTTTGCAATCAGTGGCCCGGTGCCATTAACATCCCGAATCACTGGCTGGCCAATACCATCTTGACGAGGATCCGCGACCGTCAGGTCCCGCGCATAGACCATCATAGTACCGGGCCTGGTACATCGAGCGTGGAGGCGCAAAACCACAGAGCAATACTCGCAGTGGTCATCACATCGATCACAATCTCGTGTATAGTTGAGGTTTTCTCCCACTCCCTTGCTCGCGAGAGGTATTAATGCGAGCCGATGCGCAAGATATTCATCAGGAAGAACGGAGGAGTTGGTGATAATGTCAACAAGGTCGATGGCAATGGTTGGGATTTCTGCTAGGATGGCGCGGCGCAGTGAGTTCGCCAAAGCGAGGGAGCATGACTGTAGGACAAAATCACAGCGATCTTGCTCAACCTGTTCATGTCAGAAAACATATTGAGCAGCAGGAGCCAGGCTACGGGCTCACCTCTCTCACGGTCACTTTAGGTCCCGAGGTTTCAACGCCATCCATACCATCTTCACCAAAGCCAGCGAAGCCATTGTAGGCCATGACTGCCTAATGGCCTATCCCGAGCGGGCAGACGCTCGCTATGACCTGTCCACTCACAAACACGTATGAGGTTGATCGGATTCCTGCAGGTGGTATGGCTGGATCACCCCAAAGTTTTTGTCGTCGCGATCTCTGCAGGTTCAAGTTCGAGTATTATGGCTTCGTCTCCACGCCGCGGCGGCGAGCCGCAAAATAGTACGCTAGCTTGGCAGCGCAGTCACGTGAGTACCAGCCTTGGAGGCAAGGCTGCGGAGTGACTGTGCCAGTGCCGGTGACTGCCATGCAATTGGAGGTGGTGAACCAGGACTCGGAGAGGTCTGGCGAGGCCAGAATAGGTACAGTCACCACTGCACTGGCATACTACTACCTAGGTATGTAGGTTCAAGGTTTCACGCGGATTTCAAGTAGGCGCGTCTTTACCTACCTAATAATGGTACCTTCAATATTGGTGCTATGTGGTAGTGACTGTCAGTAAATACAATCTTGTACAGGCATTTATCTTCCTTTTAAGGCTTTTCGCACCGGACGACTTCTACAGCCGAATACGATATTATGAAGAAAGTACCTAGGTACCTATCTTAGGTAGCATGGATGCTATTCTCTGCCTCGAATTTACGGTGGGCGGACTTTCTCCTGCACGAGTCCTGTACCGGACGATCATCATATCGATTTCGAGAATATTTTACTGGCCACTTCCGCACTTGAAGGATGCACGATTGGACGGGGCGTTTGTTTACTACCTAGGTATTTGTAGTGCTAACTTGATGGTGTTATGGCTGCAGCGAACCTGCACAAGTACTAGTAGCAGGAATTATTATTATAGTACTATAGCAGTAAGAGTGGCTGTACTGCTACTCGTCACCTCCCACTTCATGCCTGCACCGCCAGTGGCAGGGTCCAGACTGGGGTTCAAGGATGCAAAGTGCGAGCATACCAGGTACTCAAGCCCGCCTTCTTTCCTACTTTCGCGCTTTTGCCTGCGCTTCATTCTTCCAGTAGCTGATCCTTGCACATCTCGACACTCCTTCGTCCGATGCGCTGAGTGGTTGCACAACAGCCAAATTGCAGACTGTCAACCGCCAGAAGCCTACCGACGTCTCTCTCGCTCATATAACATAGAAGCGCTACCGGACTTGCTTCGAACTCGTCGCCCAACGTTGCTTGCAAGCAAGATCTATACAGTGTACCTCTTACTCACGATCGAGCGCTCGCCTGCCTCTTGCCCGCCACACTAAAGGGTCCATTGACACCCTTCAAAGGCACCGATTCCCTAGAGAGCGCTGTCATATGCGCCAGCCTTAAGAGGGTGGAAATGCGTGGGGATTTGCGCATAAAAGGGAAATCTTGAGCTTTGCGACAAGGTCGACCAATGTAACATGGTATGATCACAGTCTCAACAGCCCGGTGCGGTTTGCTAATCGCTGGATTAGCGCATGGTTTCATGGACGCAATGGACGGAGTATATCGTAATCGGCCTCCTTTCCGTCACATCTCTCAGCCAGGCGCAGTTCCCTCCACCTATGGAAGTGGCGACTCGGATTACAACCCAGTCCTCCATCAACCCCGACATCACAATCAGCTACAAAAGTGTTCCCGCTGGGACTTGTACGACAGTTTTTGCAACACAGAAGCAGTTCACTGGCTACATTACACTGCCGCCCAATGCGTCAGACCCGAGTCAAGGAAACTACACCATCAATACATTCTTCTGGTTCATTGAGTCGAGACAACTTCCTGAGTCGTCCCCCTTGACCATCTTCATCAATGGAGGGCCGGGCTCGAGCAGTATGGTCGGCCTCTTTCAGGAGGTGGGCCCTTGTCAAGTCGTTGAAATCGCCAAAGATCGATTAGGGACCGTTGCTCGAGACTGGGGCTGGGACCGTAGCAGCAACATCATCTTCATTGATCAGCCGGTACAGGTGGGATTCTCATACGATACGCCGACGAATGCATCTCTCAATCTGCTGGATGAGTCCACTGTCACTCCGCCGGCGGATGTGCCAGCCACCCAGCCCGTGTACACTTTTCTCAATGGGACATTCGCTTCGGGAAATCCATCTTTTACAGCAAACACCTCTCAGATTGCCGCTCAGTCGATATGGCATTTTCTGCAGACATTCTTGACCTCTTTCCCGCAATACAACACTGCCCTGCGCAAAGAAAACACTACTCCAAGTGCAGAGGTTCACCTTTTCACCGAAAGCTTTGGTGGCAGATACGGGCCTGCAATGGGCTCATTCTTTCAGGCTCAAAATGCTCGTCGGACCACCGATATCGACTTCGCCAACCGTACAATTGCCCTGGACCTAGTATCCCTCGGCATCATCAATGGTTGGGTTGACCTTCCGACGCAGATTCCATACCATCCGAAGTTTGCCTACGAGAACACATATGGTATTGAGGTAATATCACAACTGGAGCAATTGAACGCCTTGAGCGCGTACAATGGGGCGGATGGCTGTCAGCAGCTGACCGCAACATGCAGAGCGCAAGAGGCAGCTTTGGACCCCCTGGGGACTGGAGACATAGATGTGGTCAATGAGGCCTGCTCTCGTGCGCAATTGTACTGCCAGACAAATGTTGTCGGTCCATACACCCAGTCAGGACGATCTATCTATGATATTTCTCAGAATCTGCTGGATCCGTTCCCCAGCCCTCTGTACCTCGAGTACCTCAATCAACTCTCGGTGCAACAGGCAATTGGGGTCCCTGTGAATTACACGCAGGACTCAACCTCTGTATTCAAGGCGTTCAATGCTACTGGAGACTATGCGCGCGATGGCATGATCCAGGATCTTGTGCAACTCCTGGTATCGGGCGTTAGGGTCGCCTTGATCTACGGAGACCGAGACTACATTTGCAACTGGCTGGGAGGGGAGGCAGTTTCTTTTGCCATAGCAGGTCTTGTCGGCGCGTCCTACCTGCCCTGGTATGCAGCCGGGTATGCCCCGATTGTGGCCAATAACTCATACATCGGCGGAGTTGTTCGGCAATATGGAAACTTGAGCTTTAGTCGGATCTACGACGCAGGCCATCTAGTTCCTGCTTACCAGCCAGAGACGGTCTTTACGGTCTTTTCTCGCATTATTCAAGGCACTGACATAAGCTTGGGTAATCCGATAAACTTGTCAACCTACGCTTCCTCCGGAGAGCAGAACTCGACACATCAGAATTCGGCACCCCCAGCGGCCGAGCCGACCTGCTTCCTGCGAGCCGTAGAGGAGACATGCAACACCGACCAGAGAAACATGCTGGCTAACGGGGATGGAACTATTATCAACGGGGTCCTCTACGAGAAGAAGTCGGACTGGCAATCGCCTGATCCAAGCATCGTCACAATGGCCGGTGTACCTGGAACGGAACCGGCCAGCATAATCGCCAGCGCACCCGTCTCTCATCCCACAACGGACCGGGCATCGCAATCAGAGTCATTTCATAGCAGTTCAAGCAAGACTGGCGACTCCAGCAGTGAAAAGACCGCAACCTCCAGGGTTAAAAGCACATCCGCTCTTCCCACTGGTGTGTATACGGCTACAGGGGTGCCGGCTACTACCTCCAGTAGCAGTGGAGACAGTGGAGGATCGAGCAATGCGGCATCGTCGACGACCAAAGCCAACAACGTTCTGACTTCATTTCCTGTTTTTCGAGACACCCGACCTGGTACCGCCACGGCGGTGTGTGTCTATATCTATGTTTTGGGGGTACTGAGTCAGGGATGGATGTAGCTGGGCTTACGCAAGCGGAACTGGCGCGTCCACTTAGATATGAAGAGGCATGGGCCACAATATGGAAAAGAAGTCTTACCGGTCTCGTCGGGCACTGCGGTTTAGAATAGAGCATAGAAACGGACATTTTATGATTTGAGTTCAGTGGTGCTTGATGACACACCAATGTCCATGCGCCTGGGATAGTAATGCACACCAGAAAAGGCCATTTACGTACACGTCAGGATTACCAACTACAAAAACGCTTTTTCTGAGACAGGCGGTCGGACTTTTTGCGGGACAGGCTCTTAGTGTTCCGAAGCTCCCGGACATTGCGGTCTTTGGGTGTAGACTGGATACAAGACTTGGTTGCAGGGCTCAATATTGCATTCAATAGCGGACAGCAGTAGGAAAAGTAGTGAGGCAGCTCTTGACTCTACAATATGGTATTAAGGGTGGCTGGTAAAGTTCCGAGAACGGCAAAGCGACGGGACCGGTTCTTATAATTCTGCACCAGATGATTGGTGAGCGTATTGGTGATATCGGATTGCCAGCGAGTAAGAGAGAGGAACCATGCCTTGAAGAAGGTATCCCAATGTGCGTCTGGGTGTTCTGGAAATGAAATGTCATGTCAAGTGCTAGTAAGGTCAGTTAAAACGGCTTGGCCACACAGATTGAGGATATACAATGTGCAATACGCCCCTTCACAGGAGCAGCGATCGTGGTGGTGAAGCTCACTCAAAACACTGCACTGGCAGCAGGCTGAGAATTGAAGGCGGCCGGCGTACAGGTTGCGTGCGCCTCGGCCTCCAGTGCGCGGCCCGAGCATTTCGTCCGGCTTAGTCACAACCGGAACCCGCGGGCTGTGCTGCCCCTAATAGGATTGGTCGCCAAGTGGTGAAGCAGGCTCTAAATGACGCGGCGCCCCGAGGAACGTTGTTTGATTGGAGGGGCGTCTCATAGTGGACACCTGCTGGGCTACTTTCGGCGGGCGCAGTGGCAGTCGCAGTGGCAGTCACGTCGCGGTGGCAGGTGCGGCCACAACTGGCCTCTTATGTAAGGAATTTCTAATCCGCCTCTTCCCGCTCTTTTCCCTTTTCCTTTCATCTCCGTCGCGTCTCTGCGCATAGCAATTTGGACTCGACTCGGATTACTTTGATTACTACGGCGGCTTCTGCTGACAAGTGCTAATCAAGCTGAAGTTGTCGTTTGCTTTCGTTTCTCTGCCGTTCATCGCGACTTGAAAGATCCGAGTCGGAGCGCCTCTCTCTTTCTTACTCATCATCCTCTCCTTTCACCTCAGCCTCAGCAGCGAAGCCACCGCGCGCCGCTGACACTGCACGTGACGGTCGTCTTGCGACAGCGACTCGAACTTCACTCTTTCGTCTCGCTGACTGGGCACATCGTTGCTCGAGTTGTGCAGTGCAGCGCCAGAGGATTACACCCTGGTACCTCATCAGTCGCATTCACCGCGGCCCATTCAATCCTCCGATACCTCGAATACTTCACGCGCTTCGCAACAGGCATCTTGCCCTGGACGTTGCTGAAGCCTATTATCTCGCTCTCAGTTTCGAATTCATCACCATCCTCGCCCCTGTGTATACATCCACCTTGCACGGCCGTTCTCGAGTGACGGAGCTCGCTGCTGCTACACGTCCGAAGTCTTGACCGAGCGTCTCGTACCCACTCCACCAGGCGGCTGCAAGCGATATGCAACCGGCCCTTGCTCCTCGCACCGCTGGCTCTCCTCCGACCATGTCTCAGGTAAGCAACCACGCCCTTCTTACTCGTACTCCTGCTCTTACCTTGCATTACCTCCTTTGGTGCCATCTTATGTTATCCGAGCCCCCAATGCCCACATCTCACCCTGCAGTATGCGCGTGGGATCGAAGAACAAGCTTATGCTGTGATGCTGGCTCCATGTCCAATCTGTTCTCCGCTTCCTTCTCTCTTTGGGATCTGGCATTTCTCACTTGTGATTGTCATGGAAAGCATTTCTGACCCGTTTGAGCCACAGGATCAAGTTAAAGCCGAGCAAAGTACGTATAGTCATCCTTGACCCACATGTCACCGTTTTATCCACCCGCTTCCTCGTCATATCCACTACCACTACCTCCCCTTCCAAGGCGTCGTCTGCATCATGTCAATCCTTTTACATATTCTTGGTTTGCGCATGTCTCTCAATGGGCGTTCTCACCATTTCCCTCATGCCTTCTTCGGCCTCGCACGAGCACTTTGCCCGGACATGTCATCCTTCTTCCCATATTTTCTGTATATGTAGCCTTTCGTCTTCAAGCTCTTCTACCCTAGCCTCGTATGAGCACAGAAGGTTCATGTCTACATCCCATCCCCGTATCACGTTGTACATCACCACTCCTTCGGACCATGACTTCCATTACTCATCTACTTTCACCGTTGCCTCTGACTAAGCATTCACTAGTGCTGCCCCAGCAACAATATCCTCCGCCGCCTCAATCCTCAACACTACCTGAGTCTATGGATGCGATACCGCAACAACAGCAGCAACAACCTCAGCATCAACCGCAGGCTTCTTCACCCAACGCCTCGATCAACAACGATGGTGTCACTGGTAGTGCAGAGAGCGATGGAGCTGACACCAATACCGATGGGCGGAAAGGGTATGGCAAGCGGGAATTGAGCACTAGCAAGAGAGCTGCGCAGAACCGGGCTGCACAGGTATGTGGCTTTTGCTCATTGTGTCTCTATGTTACTGACTCCTTTCGTCTGCCAGCGAGCATTCCGTCAACGAAAAGAAGGTTATATCAAGAAACTTGAGGAACAAGTGCGAGATTACCAAGCCCTGAGCGAAAACTTCAAGGCCGTCCAAGCCGAGAACTACCAACTCCGAGACTATATCATCAACCTGCAATCCAGACTCCTGGAATCGCAGGGCGAAGTTCCACCTCCACCTAGCACTGTCGACGGATTGCAACCAGGAAAGCCAAGCATCGTTCAGAATCCCTCACTGCGCGGGCTCACCGAACTAGCTGCCGTGCCTCCGTCTCAGGACGGTGTATCCCAGGATCCTCCACGTACCAGTGCGTACCCGGATCCGACCTACTCGGAAGCACCTGCAGCGAAACGGCCTCGAACAGAGTCTTCGGAAATGACAGACTCTCAGGCGGCGCTGCAAGGCTCTACAATCCTGTCTCAATCATCTGCGACTGCGCAGTAGATGGACGGCCTGCGAGGAAGCTACTGAGCTTCTAGCCACTGCACACGGGTGAAATCTATGGCGTTTGGGTGGTGCTTGGCTTCGTGGAGCAACTCACTTTGGTAATGGGCAGCATCAAAGCGGGCCTAATTGTGAACATGGATTGCTTGCTGTACTGAATATGGGCTGTACGGCGTTTTCATTTTGAGCTGGTGGCAGTCGTCAAGGGGGCATCTTGCTGAGGGGCATCGAGTCGACCTCAACAGCAGGCACAAAACAGCGACGAGGAGCTCCAGGGCAACGGGGAGATGTGCGCTAGAATATTATGAGAGGCACAGCACACGCGCGGCGTGGCAACGAGGGGCACAGTGACCTTGACCCTGAGGAATCGTCACATGTAAGCAGCCAAGGTTCTCTTCCATGTACACAATCACGATCATCGACTGGCAGCCGGACTAGAGTCTGGTGTAGGGGCTTGCCGCGTCAAAGACATACTCCTACTAGTAGTAGAGCCTAACGCACCCGAGTGAAGCGCGAGGCGACGTACCTTAGTATGCACTGCATATCGCTGGGATTACTAATCTATGCTCTACTATGTTGTAAGGAGTACCTTTATGCTACATACCTGGTACACTGGTGCTCAACATAGCGTCAGTACACTGGCAGGCCTTAATGCTGTATTATTAATCAACCCGTACCGATCCCGCGGCAATCCCGGCGCTGCCGCTCGAATCAACCACTAGTATCGTTGTTGACTGCCAGGGCAGTCCTACAGTAGAACGGATTGACACCGAAGACATCCCAGAGCAGGGGCAGGAACTGAAGGGAGTGACTTGACGGGTCGATCGACATCATGTCGACGGGACGTTTGGTCGTTCCGGGGGATATTCTGTGACACAAGATCGATATGAATGTAGAACTTTTTGTTTTTCTTTGCAAAGCCAGGCTTAGGCCGTCTTCTATGAGGACTGCAGGTACTCGTAACTTGTAGTCCTCGACTCCAGCCTCAACATGAAGGCGCCTGAGGCGTAAGGCTGGTCCCCTCTGACACAGTCCACCTACCCAGGCCGACCAGTCGCAAGCCGTTATCGCGACATGACATATCCAAACGCGGCCAACAGAAGGGCGTTTCATGCACATAGACGTCTATCCCTTTCGTTTCAGACAGACACTGTCACTTGTCCAGGGTACCTTACTTATTCATTTTCAAACACATTGATCAAAGTGCCAATATACGGCAAAATCTCGACCGCAAACTCATCACCCGCCTTCAGGGTGACTTTGGGTTTCCGCACAATCCCGACTCCGGCAGGCGTCCCCGTAATGATCAGCGTCCCTGGCGGCAAAGTAGTGCTTTGAGACAAGAAACTAACAAGTTTGGGAATCGAAAAGATCAAATCGTCGGTGCCACAGTCCTGCAGAACCTCTCCATTTTTGAGTCCGCGAACATGCAACTTGGACGGGTCGGGAATCAATGCGGGAGACACTAGTGTTGGTCCAATGGGACAGGCGCCGTCAAAGCCTTTCGAGAAGGACCATTGACTCTGGGCGAATTGGCTGCTGCGGCTGGATATGTCGTTGCACGCCGTGTAGCCGAGCACGTAGTCCATGGCTTCGGATTCAGAGACGTTCTTGGCGGACTTGCCGATGATCACGGCGAGTTCGGATTCGTAGTCGGCGCAGTCGTCTTGTTGGCTGAGTTTGGGGATGGGGGTTGGCGCGGGCCATGGGTCGGCGAGGGATGTGTTTGGTTTTCTGGATCGTAAGTCAAGATGTTCTGAGTGGAAAATAGGAAGATGTTGAAGATGGAGGGTTATTGGGTGACAACGTACAAGAAGACAGTTGGAACCGTGGGAAGAGCCATGTTTACTTCCGCGGCATGTTGTTTGTACTACTGACATGATTCACATCAGTCGAGGAGCGCCCAAGAAAAGGGCGGGATGCGAGAAGAACTGAGGCGATTCTGGAGTCCAGTCGCGAAACACTGAAGTCCGGTTCATTCCTGCTGTAGGCGTGGCATCACTCACATTCAAACCAATGCATCGAATCGTGCCGACTTCAGACACGCTCAGCGGCGACAGAACACGGTCGATAATGGCGCTCTTGCCCGTCTCCTGGCCCGGCGAGAGCACCGAAGACCCAGAGAAGACGTTGACAGGGACATCTTGGCCCTTTCTCAAAGCAACTCCGACGTCCAGGTTGTCATCTTGAGGTTGGCCGATGAGAACCTTGGACGGGTCGGAGCGAGGGACGAAGCGGACAAGTCCTGTCGGGGATCAATGTCAGCTTTTTGGGTCTGTTACTTTTTTGATGCTCGATATACTAATGAGACTCACGTCTAAATGAAGGAGCAGAAGAAGCCATTCTTCTTAACATGCCGTTGCAGAATGTTTGGGTTCAGTTGTTTGGACGCGCAATAAATGGGTAGAAGATGGGTTGATGTTGATGCGGGATTGGACCGGGGTTTGTGCCGGCGGAGACTTTGAAGCCCTCGGGACTCCAGCCGATATCACATTATTGTTCTCCGCGCCGTGGGAAAATTAAATAAATCCCATCCGCTGCTTTCGTCGGGACCGTAGACGTCAGAGTGGACATGGTAAAGCAGCAGGCAGCCGGTCGATAACAAGACGGGACATTGTTCCCTGTGCCTGCTTCCCGCTCAATCTGCCGACCACCATCAAGTCCTGTGCCCCGTTCCAAGCAACCCCGGTGCCCCCCATTGAAGCTCACTGCTGCCCCACGATGCTGGCTGGACGCGTGGAGACCAGATACTACTGTACAATGATTGTTTTTCCGATATGGAGTGCCGAGCATTTTCGATGCTCCTCTACAAGAGCCCGTGGCCGTCTTTGAGATTGTCTACCACAAAGAATGGTGGGATACTTTGCTTTGGCATAGCTTCCCATACAAACTCTGCTTGCGGAGTGTAAAGCATAAGGAAGAATCAAACACCAGCAAAAGTACAAGACGATCCATCACACACGCCAGCGGTCACATAGACCCGGTGGATCGGACCGCCGACTTGAGCACACCATGGCAGACCATCACCATCATGGAAGCGAATATCGCCAATATCTACCCGATCTGAGCCAACCTCGCTTTACCACGATGGCCAAACAGGATCCTTGGGTATACGCAAAGGAGTTCAAGGAAAAAGGCAATCCGCCCTGGCTGCACGCACTATATCTGCACTGGCTGGAATTGCTGAAGGAGCCGTTCAAAGGGGTGACCAATGATGGAGTGGTGCGACCAGGCCTGTTTCCCGTGCAGGACGAAGGTATTCCCATCGACACCATTGTCGCCACGACACAGCATGCAATGTCGCTTCTGACCGCGGAACAGCTGGCGAAGCTGTCTTACCACATTGACTCGCCAGAGTGGCGGACATGGTCGAACCCGGAATTCCTCCTCAGCGACAAGGGCGTCCGGCTCGACAATGTGACGCCGCAGGTGCGGGATAGCATCCTGGCGATCCTGCGTGAGACGTTGTCGCCGGAAGGCTATGCCAAGGCTGTCGGGGCGATGCGAATCAACGGCTTCTTGGGCGACTTGGTTCGCTCGCCGGCGGTCATGAATGAATACAGTTATAACTTTGTGCTGTTCGGCGAGCCTTCGAACACGCGCCCATGGGGCATCAGCTTCTACGGCCACCACCTGTGCCTCAACATATTCTTCTACCGTACGCAGCTGGTCGTGTCACCCTGGTTCACGGGCGCCGAACCCAATGAGATTGATGCGGGGCCATACGAGGGAACTCGCATCCTGCAAGTGGAAGAACAGCTCGGCCTCAAACTGATGCAGTCGCTGCCGTCGGAGCAGCAGGCCAAGGCACAGATTTACAAACAGATGGTAGACCCTGCGATGCCCAAGGGTCGATGGAATCATGACGACCAGCGCCATCTGTGCGGAGCATACCGCGACAACCGAGTCGTGCCCTATGAGGGTATCCTCGTGTCGTCCATGACCCAAGACCAACAGTCGCTGGTCCGCGGCATCCTCGAGCAGTATCTGCTGTACCTCCCACAGCGGGCGAGGGAGATCAGGCTCAAACACATTGAGTCACGTTTCGACGAGACATACTTTTGCTGGATTGGCGGGTTTACGGACACAGACCCCTTCTACTACCGCATCCAGTCTCCTCTAGTGCTGATCGAGTTCGACCACCACTCGGGCGTGTTTCTGAACAATACACATCCGGCCAAGTTCCATATCCATGCCCTTTTGAGAACTCCCAATGCAGGCGATTATGGTATGGCTCTGCGCCCACAAGTCGAAGGGATCAAGCAGGAGTTTGTGTGGAGTCCGAATGAGTGAACATAGGATTGGGGAAGCAAGAAGTGGTTGGTGCATCGCATCCATTGAACAGGGACACTGCATGACTTGATACGGTTCGCAATGCAGCCAAGCAGTCGTGCGTTTGGTCCATGGAGACGAGCTGATACTCTAGTTTGTACCTACCTGCAAAAGGGCATCGGGTAGATATACCGCACATGGCAATCAGCAGCGAAGGGGACAGCGCCCGAGAGCGCCAGGGAGGTGGGGCCAAGTACACTACAGATGCACACTGTAGTATCAGTCGACGCCATGTTCACGGTATACTTTCTGCCCTAACAAATGTCTGCAATCAACAACGGACTGTTTGACGTACTCTTATTGCCTTCTTGATCTCCAACGCCGGTGCTGTACTTGTAGACGCAGCGACATTCAACCGCCCTGCCTTGGGAAAGACCACGAGAAACAGGTACTGCTAATACGAGTACTCGTCGACTTTGATATGATTGACTCTCCCTGTTCAAGTCTTTGCTGACAGTGCAATTGGTACATCAATTGTGCCGGATCAGTCAAGACTTGTAATGGTCTCAAGACACTTGAACCCGTAGCCGATCGACAACCTTGCTTGCAAACCGGGTACCTAAGGTCAAGATCGGTCAGAAATCATGACAACGAATTGCCACTCGCGGTGCCCGAGATCTGCTTGGAATACCGCTAATTTGGCCAAAGCTTCGCGATTTCGGTGCCCTTGCTTGTCAAGTCCATCTTGGCGGAATGCAGAACTTGAAACCCAGATGAGAGCGGCTGGAAAACGTTATTTATCAGCAGAGTCTCGATCCCGAGAGTATGCCATGGCTCCAGACCGCTGGAGGGCAAACACAGACCAACCCGGTCTGTTTCTGTGCGCCACCCCGTCGCAGCGCGCCGGAGGTGGAACTCCGCAATGCTCAACCTCGTGTCAACGTGCTGCGCAGGGGGAATGGGCGGCGAGTATACATCAGTATTCATGGGACGTGAACCTTGATTGATGAAGCTGAGAAGCTGGCTTCCACGATATTCGGTTCCTACTAATTAAGCTGATCTTCCCCCACCAAGAGCCTGAGAAGCCAGCAATGTTTGAAAGACACCCAGTGCCTCAGCTCGTTATGCCTATGCCCTACAGTATCGGACAGCCTTCTGTACAACGTGGACCCTAACACCATGTTGCAAGAAACGGTGCGGTCAGAAGCAGCTTCCAGGCCACTTGCGCCTCGATCAGAGCTGCCCCAGCGGCCTCGACCACGCGATCATCGCCTCCGTGTATCCCACGCGTGTGAGGGTTGTCGCCTGAAGAAGGTTCGATGCAATGGCGTGCGGCCAGCCTGTGGCCGCTGTTCTTCCTTGTCGTTGGAATGCCAGTATGGCTTCGCAAGATTCGCACGGACTAGGCAGTAAGTTTGGCGGTCATCTCATCTCCTCTGCTCTCTTGGCTGATCCAAGTTAGACTGATCAAGGACCTCACCACCAAGGTTGAGCAATACGAGAGCATTCTGACGAGTGCAAAGGGCGGAGTCTCTGAAGAAATCGTTGACGCTCCATTGGTACAGCCGCAGCCGTCAGAAACACCATCATCCAACAAGAGTGTCGTCTCATCCGACTCACCAACTTACGCCTTGGCCAAAGATATCGGCTCAAACCACTCTGAACGAGCCACAGACAGTCTCCGCAGCACCCGTTCAGGTTCTTCGTCCGAGAGTTCTTCAGGTACCGACTCGCATGAGCTGACACCACAAAGCAATCCTCCTCAGCATAAAGCAAATCCAAATACATCCACCGGCCCATATGATGGTTGTACAAGTCGAAAGCCGCTGCCCGACTGGGCCGCCAATCATGCCCAAATGGTCGAGAACCTGCTAAGGCCGCCTCGCCATGTTTTAGAGGAGGCTGTTCGCTGCTTTCTGGATGGCTCAGCTATATTATTCAACTATTTCAGCGAAGAGGAGCGCTCATCACTTTTCGACATCGCCTACTCCGAGTCCTTGTCCGCGGAGCAATCGATTTCACCGACAGTGGCACTCTGTCAATTGAGCGCCGTCGCCGCCACTGGCTGCCAGTACTATCCCGAGCACTTTGACGATGCGACAAGGACGGCTTTCCTCTCCATCGTCAAAGTCACGCTCGATGACTGCATCGAGGCGTCCGGTGTCGCTGCTGTGCGGGTCATGGCCCTGTTATGCATGTACTTTACATTCGAGAAACGCATCAGTGCATTGACGTACGCAGAAAGTGGACTTCGCATAGCTCGAGCCCACGGCATAGTGGACGACCGTTCAAGAATATCGGATTCCTCGCCATGGAAGAGGATCGTCAGCAGCCTGGTCTTTTTGGATTGTTGGATATCCGCCACGACGGGTCATATGCCGGAAGCCCTCAGTTCAGGCGAGACCCAGTCCCCGCTTCTTTTCGAGCTTGGAACCAGTGGCTTGACAATAGACATTGTCCAGAATGAGATGACGAAGGCGGCCGTTCTGTCGGCGCTGATCATGCGCGATGTCCATCACGCCAAATGCGCCATTGTGACGAGAGAGACATTGGCCATGTACAGGAGCCGACTGGAGGAGTGGCTCCTGAACCTGCCCGACTTTATGAAACTGGCACATCTGGTTGACGGCGTGGAAACCGACAAGAACATCCGTGCAGTTTTCTTGGTCCATCTGCTGTTCATGCACACTCTCATGCTACTCTACCGGTCGGAATTGGTGGCATTGGCTCACACTTCTCAAGCCGAAGCCAAAGCCGAAGCCGAAAAAGCCTTCATTACCGCCCAAGAGTTCCTTGATCCCTGTCTATGGTCGGCGAGGCAGGTCGGCAGGATCCTCAAGATTGCCCAGTCGCAGGGGCTGGTTCTGAGCAAGTGTTGGATGTTTATCAATACGTCCTACTGCACGGCCAATGTTTTGCTTTACTTCTCCGCCAACCGTCTCCTATACCAGCAGCCAAACAGTGGTGAGATTGAGACGACCACCACGGTCGAAGACGATCTCGCAGCTACTGCCATTTGTATAGATGTGCTCGAATTTTGTGGCCGCTACGACGACGTGGCTAAACAGTACCTGGCCACCATTGCACCTCTCAACAACGAACTGCAGGATATCTTCCGCCGGTTAGCCGCACAGAGTTCTAGTATTCCCGATGAGAGTGACGCCGAGAGCTTACGTCGAGTGATTTCGTCGAGCGCAAATTATTTAATTCATCCGTCTCCATCCAGCACCAGCTCAGGCTCAACTGTCGGGTTCCTGCAGGGGGCCAGATTCAATTTCCATTCTCCAATGATGAAGTGATCAGGTGGTGGCTAGGTGTCACCTAGGTAGGTAGGTGGCTGTATGCTAGAAATGAATGTGAAAGAATCATTCAGACTTTTGCATTGCATGGACTTGCTTTCTTGCTTGCCTACTCTCTCATGCTGGCCACTCTAACAACAACGGAATACACACCGCACGCTTTTTTGTTCGCTCTTCCTCACTCCCTTGAACACTCGACTCGACTCGACTCTCACCAGAATAGATTATCATCCAAACAATCTCCTTCATCAGTCACGGAGAATCGGGATTCTCTCCTCTCCAAGCACCACATCATTTGTTCGTTCCCTCGTACTTGTGTCTTCAATTTCGTTCCTACTTCGTTCTTCTTGGTCCAAACTGGTTCTTCCCTCCACGTAATCAATCCTCCAATCCCTATAGTAGACTCGATCTTTCAAGGAGGAACACTTTGCAACAGACCTAGGAAAGCCCAGCAACATCTCTGTACAAATCGTCTCGCCCCTTCAATTCTTAAGGCAGTTTTTCTGTTGGGCCCACTGCGCCGCACTGCCATACAAAGTAGATTGTGTACTGTACACTCGCCAGGTTCGGTGCGATGGGATAGTATGGTTGCAGCTAATTCTCCTGGCCTAACCTCCATTGGCCGACTCGAGTACGCGGTATGTATCAGTCACGGACACAGACAAACACATCGATCGCTCCTACCACAACACCTCAGATGGTCATGCAGGAGCAAAGCGGTGGTTGGGAATTCTTTTCTGTTGTGATCCAACCACCTTACAATCGGTGCGACTAGGAGCCCTTTACGTTGCCTCAAGTTTGCAAGCATAGCTTCTTCTTCTTTTCCTAAATGAAATCGGCCGAATACGAAAAGCCTCTGAATTCTTCTTGATGGGCCGGTGACAGAACTGCAACGCAAACAAAGATTAGCTTTCAGTACTGACCAATTTTTTGAAACATGCCACAACTTACCACTCTGCACCGGGGTTAAGACAGGAGTCACGCTCGTGAATTCCTGGTCGAAGTTGCTCGTATCCTTCTCGTTCTTGATGGTAGGTTTGAACGGCGTGGGCACGCGCTTGTGGTAGATATCGTCCCAATTGATACCCTTGAAAAAGGCATGGCTCATGACTTCCTGGGCATCACCAGGCCCACTTCCCAGACGCATTTCGGGCTCTCTCGTCAAAAGCTTCTGCAAAATGGACACGCTGTCACGGGGCATATGGATGGGATACAAAGGTTCGTCGGCCAGAATCGCGTCGTAGATCTCGTCCTCGTCTTCGCCGCGGAATGGTGACTGCTGAAGAAGCATCTGGTAGATGAGCACTCCGAAAGCCCACCAATCCACTGCACGACCATATTTCTTGTCCAAGAGGATTTCGGGCGCCATGAACTCGGGAGTTCCGCAGAAAGTCGACGTCGTAGATCCGTACCACATGTCCTCCTTACACAGACCATAATCGGCAATCTTGATGTGGCCATCCAATGTCAACAGGATGTTGTCCAGCTTCAAATCTCGGTAAATGACGCCGTTCTCGTGGAAGTACTTGAGTGCCAGGCATACCTCGGCGGCATAGAACTGAGCTCGCTTAAGGCCAAACTGTCCCCGCTGGATGTGCAGCATCAGGTCGCCACCAGAAATGTACTCCATGACAAAATACACTCTTGTTTCGGTCTGAAAGCAGGCATGCAAATTGAGCAGGAACGGATGTCTTTCTTTGTTGGCGATCAGGAACACCCGTTTCTCCGATTTGGTGGATTCAACTTCGTCGTTTTCAATAATGAATTCCTTCTTCAGCACCTTGATTGCGTAGAGCTTCTTGGAGCTTTTGGCCTCGGCAAGCATGACTTTCCCGAAGTTACCTTTACCCAACACGGCGAGGAAGTTGAAGTGGTCAAGGCCGATGCGAGGCCCCGAGCCCCGTCCCGACACCGGTGTAGCAACTTGCTGTTGTTGTTGTTGCTGCTGCTGTTGTTGCTGTGATGGCGCTGGTTTGGCCGGAGCAGGCGCATAACTGGGCTGGACTTGTTGCGGTCTCTGCTGTGGCACCACGGCTTGTTGTGGTGGTTGGTGTTGCATTTGCGGTGGTTGTTGCTGCTGCTGTTGCATCGGCTGTCGATCGTACTGTTGATAAGCGCGGGGATCATAGGAGGCGTGCGGCGGCTGGGCCTCGGGGGCCGGTGGCCGTGCATTGGCGTACCGATCAACAGCCACTTTTTGCGGACCATAATCCGAGGCGCCGTGACCGTACGGCTGCGAGGGAGGCCGACTGGTGGCGGCGGCAGCCGCTTGAATGGCTGTCGCCGATACTGGTCGGTGAGGGATCGGTCGTTGTGGCTGTTGTGACTGTGCTTGTTGGGGATGATTGTACATCAAGTTCTGTGCCGCGCTCTTGGCCGCGGGCGAGGGTTTTGTTTGTTCGGGATGGTAATCGTAGGATTGGTTGGATATCTGCGGTGTCAATGACGCCGCATCGGAGGTGTAACTCTGGGTAGGAGAGGCGGGTCCCGGCCTGCCAGAGTTGGGTCGCAACGTTCTGCCGCTCATTCCAGAACTAACGGAAGAGGACTTGTTGTGGTGCTTAGTTCTCTGGATGGTCTCCAGAATCTCATTAGCAACAATCATGGACATGCCGCAAAAGTCCGGCACCAGATGCTGGCAATGAGCATGGCATGTGAGACCACACTCGGAGCATCTCTTTGCATTGCGCCGTCCCAGCGGCAACAGGTAGCCACAATGACAACACCAATTCGCGCCAATGTTGGAAAAGTTGTCGAAACGATGCGGGATACGATGGTTGATTTTCTCTTCGTCCGGGTCCGTCTCGTAGTTGGCCTTGCTGATGCATTTGGTGACCACCTTGGGATAACACTTGGTGTGGCACGTGTATTTGCAGTCTGCGCACTGCATGCCAGCCGAGTATTTGAGAAACTCGCCGCAAAGCGCGCAACGCATGACATTGTAGAACTGTTGCTTGACGAACTTATGCCCTTGCTTCTCGTGCACCTCTTCCTTCTTCTGACGGACAGCACCTTGCCTGTTGAGGCCGATATCAAAGGGCCGCCTAGCGCCTGTCTGCTTCTGGAAACTCATGGTGAGGTGTATTCTACCCGCTGGCTCCAATGAGAACCATGAGTCAATCATGATGGGTTGTGCATGCTGAGGGAAACCGGCCGCTGAACCCGCACCGGCAGAATCACCTGGAGGCATGAAAGGAGCAGGTTGGAAGTCGGAGCCTGGCGGTTTACCCGTACTGCCTCCATTGGCCATCTTGTCCGCCGATACCCAGCCATTCTGTTGGAACTCGGATTCAATCTTCTTCCGACGCATCTCTTCTGCAATGTCTGAAATGCGAATCCAGAGAAACCCAATTGGCGTTGGTCGATCTCCAGCCTTGTCATAGACGGTCAGCTCGATTTCGTTGGCTTTGTCAATGTCCACGTGATGTATTTCCTCCGTCCACTTGTCGGTGCGCGTCGCTCGGGTTTTGGCTCGGATGTTGTCCTCGACTTTCATGATGACGAATGTCTCTGGACCTCTGGAAAATCGCGAGGACGCCGCGTGATCGACGTCCTTGATGGCGTGGATGCGCATTTCCAGATGCCCTGTAAGAGGCTTTCGCATGTTGGGGGCATTGAGGCTGTCATCTGGGCATACTGTCAGTCTTTTGTCTCACTACCGCGGCACGAGCCCATCTACTCACCATCTGCCCCGTCTGAGGACTCAATATCAACGTGCAGATCCATATACCTCTTCAAGGCCTGTTTCAGCAATTGGACTTTTTGGTTGCTTTCTATGCGACGACCTTCTGCATCCAATCTGCTTTTCCTGTCACCTTCGTCTTGATATAGGCGCACCATTTTCTCGATGCCTGCCTTGTATTGCTTTTCTACGGAGAGCTTGAATTCGAGTTGAGAGAGCATGAGTTGGATCTTGGGGCCGAGGTAGGGGGTATCGTATTTAATCAAGTCTGCGACAATATGTTAATACAAGCATGCATTGGGGCCATTGAAGCGACGTACCTAGTTTTGAGAAGTTCGGGCGCGCTTTAGGGATGGGCGTCTCGTAAGGTCTAGGGTCGCCATAGGGAGCTCGTGGTGGCATCGTGCCTGTGCCGCCCTGACTATACCCGCCAGCGCCAGGATCTCCATAGTCTCCTCTGTCGCCGGAGAAGTAACCTCGTTGGTCTTTGGGAGGAGGAGTCGGGGCGTTTCCTCCAGGATAGGGCCGCTGGCCGCGTGCAGCAGATGTCTGATAGCCCGCTCCGCCGTGGACAGGCGGTGCAGGTGCACCGTCCTCGTTGGGACCGCCTTGTTTGCGCAATTGCAATTCTTGGAGTTTATCTTCTAGATAGGTAATGTTCCTTCGCCCATCGCGGATATTGCTGTCGACTCGGGCCTGGACTGCGGCGTTGTTGGTCGACTGTCGCATGTGCGTGGCGGCATTGATAAGAGCCTTTTCTCGTTCAATTTTGCGGTACACCTCCGCGATTGCCTGGTCGGTGTCGGCCATGATGGCCGAGTGACGATGCCGAGGGTTGTTACGGACGGAGTGCGTGCCTGTCGGGCTTCAATTTGCACCAGAATGCAGGGTCATGGGCCAAGTCGTTCGCGGGTGAAGTGACAGGGCCGGGGTGGCATTTGTTGATGGAAATCGGCAGGCTTCAATGAGAAGAATGTGCTCGCTGTCTCGAGGTGCGGCAAGGTCAAAGGGAGCGGTACGATAGCCACAACCAGAGGAGGGTGAGGGCGGCGGGAGAATGTATTCAGCAGGTTCAGGTGGTCGCGCTGTTAGCGAGCAGAAAGACGTATGCAATGGTGCGGATTGGTGTTATTGTTGGTGGTGGCAGTGGCAGTGGCAGTGGCAGTGGGAGTCGTAGTGGAGGTTGCCCGTGTGGTGTTTGGTCGTACTACTCAATCATTAGTAGGCGTAAAGATTAGGCGTGTAGTAGGTGCAGCGTAGGTATTGTAGCAGGTGTAGTAAGGTGCAGATAGGCTGTAGTGCGCGGTGCAGCGGCGTGATCAGGTCAGTTAGACAGACGGTCAGACGCTGGGCAAGTCAGTCCAACAAGTCTCTCCCGCCCCGGTCCACTTCCGCTGTAACTGCACCTGAGCCTGCGCCGCCTGCGCCTGCGACTGACGCTGATGAGTCTGCCACTCGCACGCTGAGACTTGCTGAGACGGCGCCCACTCGACTCGACTCGCTCGTCCACTCACTCAACACGGGTCAAGTACCTAATTACAATCTACCGTCGCCGAATAGATCCAAACTCACCGCTGTACAACTACTCGCCACCCTCTCGTGCCTTTGCCACTCTGGAACTGCAAAGCCGACACACCTGGAACGGGCTGATTTTGACGATAACAACAAGAATGATAACACCCTCGATGGCCAAAACAAACCAAAAGTACAGGCATGTTGTATATTTCTACTCAGTAGTGTCCGGCTACCTTACGCATCGACAGGGAAGCAGGTCCAAGACGTCAGACGGGATTACGCAGTGACACCTGGATGTGATGATCCTTCTGCCTCAGGTCGATTGCAGTGGTGGTGAGAGGCAACCGGAATCAACCATGTCGCTCCATTGCAGCCCGCTCCCTTCCCGTATCTCCTCAGCTACAACTACACTACTATCCGACTTCTTACTGGCAGTACATTGGAGGCTTGCAGTTGGATTGTCCGTGGTCGATTGTTGTTACATGTTCCCAAGACTCCACAGATCATGTCAAGCACGACAACACCACATGCACAGCCAAAAGACCCAACCTCCAAACCCACGATGAGCGGTTGTGATTGGGCTTGCCGGGCTCGTTGCTCCGGCGTCCCTGTCGATATCCTCGTCGGTCAGGGATCATCCCATTGTCCCTCCCCTTGGTCGTTTATTGTCGAGCCATTGAAGATCCGGCAAACCTTGGTGTCCATTGTAAGCAGTCTTTAAAAGCCTACCGTCAGATTCCCACACCGAGTCAGACCAAACCCACCCACCGGCGATTGTAGTCCGATCGTCAGGAAGGACAAACACGAGGTTCATTTGTCTTTCTGTAGTGCCAGGCTGATACCATCGCGCCATACGTGCCCCCGCTGGGGTTTCTCACATGGCAGCCCTACCACTGTACAATGTTTGCGGTGATGGACCCTTCGCAACCGGCGTCACAGCCGCTCCACTATCTTTCGGTTGCTACAATGCTCCTGGCGTCTTCCTACAGTAAAAGTGCTGCTATCATGCCAATGTGCTTCGCCCATACCTGAAAAGTCACGAAGCTGAAGTTATTCTGGATGCCAGGCGACCTGACTTTGCTGTCGCCGCCTCCCGTCGAACTAGCTTCGGACTAGTACGCCGCAGCTGCCCTTGCTGTGAGGAGGATGCGGCTGAAGAACCGGGTCGAAGGTAGGGCGCACTACAGCAACCAGGGTAGGGTTGTCCCAATGCACATACGATAGGTGGGTGCGGCCCTGGAATTGGCCGGAGGTAGCTGCATCGTCGCCGTCGTGTCCCTCTGGGCTTGAAAACCATCCATCCTCAGGCCTGTTCAAAACTGCCATAGTAATATGTCTGTTGGCCTTGCCCTGTTGACTTTCCTGAGGCATGCGCACTTCACGGTCCAAAGAGGGTCAGTCTACTGTCGGTGCTGTGGTCATGACTCCCCGCCCGAAGAACTCGGCCACCGTGCCGAATCGGTGGTGACTCCTTTCCAGCGCTGCTTTGAACAAGTCGTGTTGCTCGGTGCTCTCCAGTTGCTGCCGTCGGATTGCCCTTATCGTGTCGTTGCCTGGTTTGCAAATAGGACACTCCACATGATCATCCCCTTCCACCCCTGCGCCTGGGTTGTTCAAGCATTCCTGGTGGAACGAGTGCTTACACATGAAATGAACTGTGGGCAGTGTAAGGTTTCGACTGCATGACGAGCACCGCCGCGCCTGAAACACTACCGGTTTCGAGTTGAGATCGGAAAGCTCAGACTTCTTGGCGGCGGTCTCTGTCCGGTAGGAGTCGATTAATCGTCGGTTGGCCTGTATTTCCTTGCGCTCCCTAGATATGTTGTCCGACAGGTATGCTTTGACCATACCCATGGTTACAGCGCCGCCTTGCGACAGCACTTTCACCACCTGGAGAGGCGCCATGAGATTCTCCTGATCGATCTTCTTCAAAACATTTTGCAATTCTTCCTTAACTCCAGGTTCCTTTAGGACATCGGCGGATGAGGAGAAATAGCCAAGGGCAAGCGGGTACAGCGAGGGATCCTTGGATCCGTATTTTCTGAGTGATGATATCGCGCCAGAGGTGTCTTTCGCCGAAGTATAGGACCGAAATATATCGGCATACAAGTTTTCCCGTTCTCTCACGAGTGTCGTACCTGCCGGAAATTTGGACAGAGACGAGAGAAGGAGGACATTTGACGTGTCAATGGAGGATTCGTCCAACGACTCTGTTTGATTATCAGCGATCAGGCTGATGGCCTTTACCTGCCACTTTTCTTTCTCTGCGTTGTCCGTGGCCGTGTTCGCGGCCTCTAGGTACATCTCGAACAAAGTGGTTGACAGATCCGACCTGTCCTCCTTGGACAAATTTTCTTGGAGAATTAAGGCTTCTAGAAAGGTGATGAATTCTGATGGATGAGCTAGGAAGCACGAAAAGGCAGTCCGAGGCTTCGGTATCGTGTAAGATGGAGGCTTTTGTTCAGCGGGAGCCGAAGCCTCATCGCTGCCCAGTTGGTCTTGGCTTGCCGGAGCCGTCATCTCCGAGGTAGAAGACCGGGTCATGAATGGTAAGGTCCACAAGGCCGAGAGTGTCTGGAAAGCACTTCCACCGGTTTGTGCCTGGACTTCGGACACGGCCGGCACGTCTTTCCTTGGAGCATATCGCCCCGTGTAGTACTCGATGAAAAGCTTGGTCGTGTCTTCTGGACAGTGTTCGATCAGGCTGCGTGCGTACTTCATCAACACCGGATACGCCAAGTAGGGGTCAAGACGCCAGATATACTGCAATGCTTCCGCATATTTCTTGGAATCTTCTATCAGAATGTCGATGACCAATTCATTCTCGCCATGCTTTGTGGCAAGATATGCGGCCTGGTCAAAGTATCCTCCTTGTCGACACATCGCAATTGCCGTCTCGAGGTCAAACTTGGCCGTTCCAGGGGTTCGTATGAACGCGTCCAATTTGTCCGTATCCTTCAATTTTGCATAGCAATTCAACAACAACGTCGTATGATCTGCGGTGGCTCTGTCATGCTCATGCAACTCCTCCAGATAATCAATCAGATTGTGTATTCTTTGAGTGTCGAGGAACCGTCGAATGACCTGGGACGGTTCAGTGTTCTCAATCGCTCTGAGATACTGCTGCATCGCCGTGTCGTAGTCGCCTTTTTGATACAAGTAGTCACCATATTTTCGAAAGATGATATTTTGTTGTGTTTTGTCAGCCCCGGCCTTTTGTGCCAGGTTGATGGCGTAAAGGTAGAGATTCCGCTCATACAAAATTTCGAGCTTCTGCTGCAGCGTCTTCTCTTGGTATTTGTATAGCTAATCTCTGTTAGCGCAAAGACCACGATGTCCTGAGCGGTGAGACCTACCTTTCCATCCACGGTCAACAAGAAGAGCTCATCCCATCCTGCAAAAACGTCTTTGACTTGCGCAGGTAGCGACTCGTTGTGTGCGATGAACTTCAAGTCAGTGTCAAGCAATGTAAAGGAAGAGCTAGAGAATAGCTCATCAATCTCGTCACCTCCAAGCTTCCTGAAGGTTTTTGACTTGGATACCTGTGCAACCCGAGGTGGACAGACCACAGCGACGTAGTCCTTGTACATTTTCACAATCTTTTTCGGTCCCTCGAAGGCATAGCTGGGTCCGCGTCCGCTTGGACCGTAGTAGTATATGGCATCTGCGCGCGCAACAACGATATCTCCAGTTTCCGGGTCTTGTGTTATACAACCGACATTGCAGCCCCGATTGTCGACCGTCCGTACCGGTTGACCCTGGCCTTTGCCCGAAATGATAAGACTGCAGATTTTCGCTGTCGTGGCGATATACAGAACCTTGAGGGAGCCTTGTCTAACCTCTAATCCTGTCACCGGATCCTCGGACTCGAAGACAATCCGTTGTTTTGTTCCTCGATCGTGGACGAAGTCTCCGCGTATGACAGTGACGGATCCATTTGCAAAGCCAACTGCCACTTGGCTCAAGTCGTCCAAGACCACCAGAGCGGACACCTGCGATTTTCAGCGTCGGTTGAATCGTGTGAAGGTGGAACTCATACGGGAAACTGCCTCCGTCCATTCTGGACTCCTACTGTGCAGAGACACCGCGGAGCACCTGTCTTCTTCTCCGTCTTGTCCAAAGCCCAGACTTTGAGCAATGGGTCGCTGGATAGATTCTCCGAAATAGTAACAAGGAAGGGAGTGTCGGGTATTTGTCTCAGATGTGTGACTGAAGCATCTACGGCGTCTGCGGCGCGGAAACTGCGCACGACTTTGAGGGCACGGGAAAGAATACGGACAGAGCCGTCGGAAGAACCAAGGAACAGGGAGCCAAAGCCGGTTGCTAATGACACGACATCATTCTGTGGCATCAGTTAGGGCGTGCGACGGCTCAGCAAGGTTGTGAACGTACATCAAAGACGTATGACCCGTCCTCATCAGCGGGAACAGGTACTTGGGCAGCATCAAAGAAGGGAAACTCCTTCCAGCTGGTGAGCGCCATGGCTGCCTCACCGTGTGTCTTTCCGAGTAGAAGTAGAAATGGCCATGACCCCTGGAGGAGAAGATCGGAGACACACTTTCAGGAGATCTCGAGAACAGCGTAAACAACTTGGACTTGCAGGTACTGTTCGTTGGATCTGGATCCAGATTGCGGCACGGCTCACGTCAAGATGCCTGCTGATGGGCAGGATGAGTTTCAATGCTCCGCCCGAGTCAAACTTCGTCGGGGCACCAAGACATTTGTGTGCTTGACCGAGAAGAGCGGCATCCAACAGCCCACTATTACCTAGGTACACAACTACAACATTGTAGTATTGATCAGTGAATTGAAGGAGAAACATAAATGATCCTCCGGAGCAATTAAGATCACTATTTAACACGTTCATAATATTCCTTTATACACGCTGAAATCAAGAAGAGGCGATCACGCAAAGGGCTTTTGGGCTAGACCTCCAGCACAACCCGACCACGAGGAAAATGTTTGAAGTCATTCGACATCATCAAAACATAAGCAACGACGCCAGAAGTCGTCAGAGGCGGCTTACTGTTCCCAGCTGAACCGTGCTCCTTGTTGTCCAGTTCTTGGGGGCGTAGTAGTCTGCTCTTCTCCCGACCCGCCTAGTCCTTCTTCTCGAAACCGGCTTCCGGTGCTAGGTGAGCGAGACGGCGGCCGACCATTCAGCCGCGGAACTAAGAGACTATCAGTTCGCGATGGGCTTGTCTGCGAGTCGCGTAAGCTCGGTCCTCGAGTTCTGTGCATATCATCGGGAGATACAGGACTCGGCAAACTCCGGTTGTTGCTATTGCTCGAGCCCATTGAATGACCGCCGCTGCCAGCACCAACTGGGCTGATACCCTGCTCTCCAGAAGAATGTGTCCCAAGGCCATGGCTATTGCTGGCACTGTACGGACTGATACCGTTGCTGAAAGGATGGTTGTTGGCCGCAGCTGGAGAGTACGGGGGTGCGGGAGACCTTGACCGCTCACTGACAGCTAGGTCATCGCCCTTCGTTGTCGAGTCGCGGTGCTCGAGCTCTGCTGGTTGTCGCGTGGAGTTCCTCGAGCCCCGAGAGCCAGTCTGGGTACTTGCGAAGAAACTCGGCGACACTGGTGCAGCTGGCATTTCCGCTGGCGTATCTCCCGAAAGTTCGAATCGAGTAACGGATGAATCTGCGGGCACTTCTGTGGGATGGCGCTTGTCACCAAGCAGCTCAGAGACCGATGTCTTCGAACCTAGCGATCGGTTCAATCTGGCGAGGATTCCCCGCCGCTTGGGCTTCTCAGTCGACACCGCTTCTTTGGCATTCTTTCGGCGGAAGCAGAAGAGCCAGAGGAGGACCGCGATTGTTAGAACTCCGCCAGCAACGCCCACCCCGATTCCTGCCTTCGCTCCAGTGGAGAGACCGCCATATTGGCCTCCAGATTCCCCGCCACTTTCAGGCACGGGCCATTTGCTATTGTCAGGAGCTACAATGGCGCTGAGGTTGACATGGCTGACCGCATCTGATGTGAAGACGGCCTGTGAGACGGAGAAGTTGTTGCGCTCATAGTCGACTGTCAGATAGGTTTCCTGTAGAAAAGCACGTCCAATGGTATACTGGCTCGAGTTTGCAGCTCTTCGTAGAGGGAAATAATTCGTGGCTGGTGACGTGAAGTTTGCGTCGAGGTTCGGAAAAGGGTAAGAGAGCTGAAGATTAAAGGCGTCGTACGGTAACTTGAATGTGATACCCTCAGGTGAGTTTGGCAGCTCAGCAAGCGTGAAGCTGAAAGTCAAATTCAGAGCTGCAAGAGCTTCGGGTGATGAAGTACTATCGTTGGGGAAAACGTAGAGTTGCAAATCATCATCATATGTCAGATTCAAAGCAGATTCAAAAGCATCACAGACTGTCTCCGGCAACCATAAGAAAGGAGTCGAGGAGTCGATTGTGAACAAGGCAGCCTGGGAGCTATTAAGGAGCGTCTGGGGATTGGAGTCCCATGCGTCCGGTATGTCGATCCCTCCAGAGTAGACATCAATGGAAGTGATGGCGACGACGGGCGCGTAGTCAGAGCTCAAGGAGAAGGTGAAACTGTTGGGCGTGAAGCGATTTGTGTCCACGCCTCCAAAGATTAGTGAAGCCGGGACAGATTTCAAGCCTGGAATTTCTTGTCAGAGCAGAACACGCCATTAGCTTGTGAAGACTTACGATAAGAAGCTCCAGCAGTGTAGCCATAGCTATGGCTGGGTATCAGGATCCTATCTTGAGCCAGGCTGGAAAGCAAGGGCAAATAATTCGACGTGCCATTGAATCGTGTTTCTTGAACCCCAAGTCCCAGGCTTCCGATCCATTGCTCAGTCGAATTGACTACCGCAATAATCTGGTCAGAAACTGAAGTCGTATCATCGAGACACAACGTGTCCAGCCCGTAGTTCCCGTATCCCGCGTTCCCAAGCTGAGAGTCGAAGTTTAGGTCGTAGAAGCCAATAGGCTGAAACGTGGATGATTCATTTGCGAAGAATAAACCTCCTCTTTTGGACTCGCAAGTGGTGGTTCCATCGCAGCCAGCTGGTCCTATCACCCACGTCTCTTGACTAAGTGTGCTCGGAAGGACATATAACCACTGTTCCGGTGTGCCAACACGGATAGTGACGGCGGACCATGAGCCATCGTACCCGAAGAAATCAGTGCTCGTCGTCGCAACGAAAGGCTCGGAAGATGCGTACGCGGCGAAGCAAGGTCGCAAAACATGGGTGATTGCGATCAGTAGGTGGCAATTAAATAAACGAAGGACCAGCGATGGATAGACCCCATCGAGGAGACGCATGTTGATGCGATTTCACCGGCGCGGGACGGCCATAGGCATATCAAGGACTTCAAGGTCCGGCAAACTAGTCGGCGGCAGTCGCGTTGTGGGCTTGAGCGCGGGATAGACGCAAGACTGATGTCAGGATAAGCGCAAGGAGCGAGCGGGATGTCCAATTGACCAGGACTTGATTCCGGTAAATAAGGGAGATCAGAATATTGGACGATACTGTACAGCGTTATAGATGTACGATTGACAAACAGAGAAAGAGAATGTGTGAATTGTCGGATGCCGCGAATATCGGAGAAGTAGACGGGGTTGTCAGAACTTGAAGGGGGACATGCGTACGATGTCCCCAGTCAAGCACCCACTACTGGACTACAACTACAGTCCAAAGTTCAGCACAGACCGTGGGTGCTTGCGACTTCAATTGGAGGCCACGACAGCTTCAGGGTTCGGCTTTTTCCAGGCTGCAGGAACAACCCCACAGGCACAGGCACTGCATGTGGGTGCCCATAAGGAATTGGGATCTGGCCTACAACTATAATGTTCAAGTTGTAGAGACATCTCTTCCTCTTAGCGAGCTCGACATGCCTCCCTACCGGTGTAAGGCAACGTTGTTGATACAGAGGCTGCAGCCTGATATATATCGCAGGCCTTCACGGGTCCTCCTGGTGGGATTTAGGTCTACCTATGATTGTACGACAGTCACACTGCAGTCCACAACTTTCCTCCTCGCCTCGTAGTACTGCAGTGCTGATTTTTCTCCTTTGGCACTACTCCGAGCAACGCGTCTAACTTGAACGACCCCCCAGATGCTGTCCTGAAGGCAATGAAGCCCCGACCAACGAGGGTTGACTTTCCAAGCCGCACTTCCTATCTGGAATACTAGAGGGCCGTCCTGTTATTCGCGATCTTGAGCATGTACCTACCTTAGATAACCACCTACGTCTTTCGCGCCTATCTCCTGGAGCCGGCTCCATACAGGCTGTCTCTAGAAATACCTACCATATCACGGGAGATGCTCGGGGAGCTTGCACCTCACGGTTTCCGACTGACAGTCGTGTCATTGTCGCAACTTCGCTCGCATACAGTATCTAGGCAATTTGATATCACTGCTTGAAATTTCTGAGTATAAATGAACATTGGCAATCTGTGTCACTGGGGGGAAAAAAGAGAGCATGGGGGTATTAATGATTCGGACAGAATTCTGGCATGACAGTCGCATGTCTCAGGTGCGGCATCGACATCAGCAAATGCTGTTCAGGCATTGGAGTATGGAAGCTTTGGGTGAAACGGCAAGCTGCATAACAGACTGCAGAGGCCGGGGGCTGGTAGGCGAAAGACGCAGGACTACCTACCTATAGGTACGTATCTGGGTAAGGTAGTCAGCACTAGCAAGGCTCTCACTGCCTCCAAGCATGATGTTTCGCGTCTTCCAGGTTGAGTGGCTACGGTAGTCGGCCAGCACCAAAGCCATGCGTGAACGACCTACAAATCTGCAGGTAGTAATCAGGTCGCACTCTGGTGGTCGAACACCCAAGTTCTAGGTGGCATGATAAAGCCTCAAGGTGACGAGTACCCAGCCAAGGCGACCCTGGGCCTGCCAATGCAGTGCCAACGCAGTCTGGCGGGTGCCCCTGGTACCTCGCGCACTGCACTGCAGGGGACATCATCAAATTCACCGCCCACCGGTTAATCTTTGATTTTAGCTGCTCCATCCGGCTGGCTGGACCCTCGATCGCTAAAGCCTAGCGACAGGTGTCTGGGGTGGAGATGGATTACTATTTTTCCACAGCTTGAGCTTGATGAATTGGATGACGACCTCAGATCACTAGCGGATGGCCGGAGCTCTGCCTCGAAACATCCCTGCCACCCACCACCACCACCTACAATGTTGTACAGCGTTGTATACCTGCACTGACCGTGTGCTGTCTCCGCCTCGTGGCCTTTTGTTGGCTCCTTTCCTACAGCCTGAACCTAGTTCTTATTTTTCTCAAGGTCTCCCTTGCTGCCAGCCCGCTGCCACTCCACGTCCCAGCGGGCCTCCCCTTCGACAGCCCGACGTCTTTTCCGTCCGATTTGTTTCAGCTGGGCCAACCAAGTTCGTAGTTGACCTACTTCTCAGTTCGGGGTGTACAAATACCTAGCAATTGTGGTTTGCGTCGAAATACTGGGTCCAACACTGGGCGCGGTGTCTGCTGTCTTGACAGGACTTCTCGTGCCTTTTAACACACTCCATCCCTGCCTCGAGTCCTCCCGACCTCAGATCGGTAAATGTCCCTCGAGTTCCTGCTGTCGCCCACGCGTCGAACTCAACGTTCTCATTATCCTGCCCGTCCTGGACCGGCGTTGGCCAACATTCGCTCTCGGTATCGGGTCATGAAGAACTGAAGTGGTTTTCTTGATGCGCATTCGCGCGGTCGCTCGTTTTATACAATATTTCTTGATTGCGGGATTTTTGAGTCCGACTAAAGGGGAGGAACAACGTATGTTCACCTAAACGGATATGCACATAATCTGGTCTCTTGTGTCCTTAACTACCGCCCTCGCTCATGCGCAGGTGCCGACATGGGACAGAAGGCTTCTTCCAAGATTCGTCGGAAATGCTCGACTATTCACCAACACAACCATTCCAAAATTCTTCGCGAACACAAGCACTGTCACAACCTCCTCCTTTCCTACTATAGAATCGTCCACGCCGGGCGGCTCCATGACATTTGACTCGACAAACATTTCTACTACTGCATTATATACCGACACATCCACAGACTCTTCAACATGTACCGGTTCAGTCACCTACTATGGATCGGTCCCTCCCACCGTATATCTGACCGTCACCGAAGGCTATACGGTAACGGTCACAGCCAGCAACGTCTCCGTGACAGACACGCCTACCCTGATTACGCCGTTACCGGCTTGTGAAGCCACCATCATGCCCTTGCTAGGGACAATCGATCCTAATGTCATCTCTACTAGTATTTCACAAATTCTTACTGACGAATCGACGGAAGGGAGCACTGCTCCTATGACCATGAGTCTGAATGCTACCGCCTCCCCTCTGCCTCCGGGTGCGCCTGCGGCTTCGCCTCTGCCTAGACCTCCGATTCTGTCGCTATCGGCACCGGCATCGGCTTCTACACATGCACCATCACCATTGGAGTCTTTCCAACCAGGAGCATCTGTATATACCAGCGTTGCTTATACGAGCACAGTCATTGTCACCAAGAAGACCCCGGTGCCGGTTGTTGCGCCTCCATCCGCTCCGCCGGACTTCAATTTCCAGTCGACAACCCAGCCCCCGTCAAGTCCTTCCGGGAATACCGGCATTAACTCTGCAGGAAGTGGTGGTGGGGACAGCGGCAATAATAACAATAACAGCGGAGGCAACAATAATGGAGGTGGTGGTAACAGCGGAGGCAACAACAATAGCGGGAACGGAGGCGACAGCGGAGGCTCCAGCGACAGTGGAGACAGCAACAACAATGGAAGTGACGGTAACAACGGCGGAGGCGACAATAACAACAACGGAGGCAGCACCAACAACGGAGGCAGCACCAACAACGGAGGCAGCACCAACAACGGAGGCAGCACCAACAACGGAGGCAGCAACAACAACAACAACGGCGTCGACAATAATAGCGGCGGAGGAGACTCGGATGGTAACCAGAACCCACCAGCCGGAGCTGCTTCACCCCAGTCGGGGCGTGTTGATGGACCAACCCCAGTGTCAACTGCTAATGATGGCACTCTGGCGTCATCCAACGGCAACGGTGCATCAATTCCAAGTACTGCTGCTCCAGTCCCTGCGGGCACCACCAAACTGGGCAATATCATCGCCTCGATTATAAACTCGCCCTTTGTGACCGCATCGGCAACTGGCATTCCTCCTGCGCGGCCATTTTCCACCACGATAAACAACGTTCCTATCTTCATTTTCCCTTCTACCGTCGTCATTGGAAGCCATTCCGTTGCGATTCCGACTTCCGCTCCCACCACTATAGAAGCCAATGGAGCAGCATTTACTGTCAGACCCTCGGAGGTCGTCGCGCCAGGAACAACCATTCCCATTTCGACAGCTCAACAAGAAGCAGGAACAGCTACCCCTTCACCGACAGCCACCGTTGTGACTGCTGTGGGAGATTTGACCTTTACCATTGGCCCAACTTTCGCAGTGATTTCGGAGACCACGTACAGGATTGGTCAAAATGCTCACGCGACCACCATCATCGTGGACGGCACGACTGTCTCGGTAGGCCCAGACGGAGTGGGACTGCCCAGTATCACTTTAGGTCCGGGTGGCATTGCTCGAGCACCGTTTGTTATGTATACCGCAGCAGGGCTGACCCTCTCTGTGGACAGCAGCGAGGCTGTGGTCTCTGGCACCACATATCGCATCGGATCTGATGCTCCTCAAGTGAAGACCACCATAGGCAGCCAAAGTGTGTCGTTTGGACCTGGCGGAGTTGGGCTGCCATCTACCACCATTGTCCCGACGGCGGCGTCATCTTCGGATGCTGGGAGCTTCTCAGGGTCAATATCTGCGACTGGCGCCTCTGCCAAAAATACCTCGCCATCAGCCTCCGCGACCTCTGCTTCCACTGAGAAGAATATGTCACCCCCGCAACCGTTACGACGTTGCCTACTAGCAATTCCTGCTGCTTTGCTTTTTCTCTGATCTCTTTTCAATGCCGAAACGACTTTGGAACGGAGTGGGTCTGGAGGGTATGGGGAAAACTATTTGGCGTTTATGGAACGGAAATCTTGGATGATCTGTTGATGAAGTGGATGCTCTACGATACCCGCGTTAAGCAGATAATCAAGAATGAATTATATCGGAAGGGCTGGCGCGACCGGCGCGACCGATTCTCGGTTGGATAGCTTATCACAATGTAATCTATAGATGGAATATTGTGCTGTGATAGTCTATTGAGAAATGTGAAAGTAATTACACCACAAGGGTATCTCTATCAATTTAATATGAGTTGCCCTGCAAAAATTCCTGCCACGCTCATGATTGAAGCCATCAGGAGATTTACCTGGTTGTTGTCCAAAATATCATGACCAGAGTCAATGATTCTGCTTTCATCTCCTTGTTTTGTTCCGTCGCTCTGTTTCAGTTCATGGTTCAGGCCGCCGGCAGGAGAGGTCTGGTGAGGCTTCGTCAACACCCTCACCCCACCAGGCCCTTCGACAATTTTCCCCGACCGCCGATCAACCACAGATGCCTGCAGGAAAGCACCGAGAAGCGAGTCAACCAGTGTACCGACCGTACCCAGAGCAGTCAGGAGGATGAAAGACTGCCACGGCCCCAAGGGACTCTTTTCACAGAAATTGAGCAACAGGACGCTCGTTGCTGATATGGCTGCGCTGCCTCCAATACCGGCCAGCAGACCGGCGCCGCTCACTCCACCGTTGGTACCCGGAGGGACAGAGCGGAGAGTCGTGATGAGGATCGGTCTGCTCTTGGACAAGATTCCCAACTCGCTCGACAGTGTGTCTGCTGCCACGGCCGCATAATTGCTCATGATACCCAGTAGCAAGAGATCGGCCGTCTTGTCGGATTGGGATCCCGCACCACCAAAACATGTCGATTTTTGCGAGTCGATTCCATAAAACCAAACGTGCAACAAGACCAACAGGGTGGCACATCCGCTGTTGGCAAATACTTGGATGCTGGTTCTGGGACCCTCACCGCCCGCGTGGCCGCTACTCGACATGGTGAGCGTGGCTTTGACATCGTGCTTGACTTTTGTGGCGCTCGTCCCGAGCAGGAAAAATGTGCATAGGAGAGTGAATGGAATCGCTGAGGGATGGAGGGCGTGGATCGTCGCCGTCAAGCCTGCTGCGAGTATGCCCAGCGGTGTTAGGGATTGGCGGGTATATGCTCGTAGGATTAGGAGAAGAGTCACTGGGCCTGCTATTATGGCACGCATGGTAGCTGTTGTACCTGGGAGGAGAGAGGACAGCCACCGATGGATGACCTTTGAAGGTGAAAGTATCTCGAGGCTGAAGACTGGACAGAGGTACAATGTATAACTACCCGGTATATTTAATTGTTGTTGATATTTCTTCAATTCCGCTTAGTTTTCTGCCACTAATAAACTGACCTGATGTCGGAGTTGCTATCTCCGGTTCCGCCGCCCCCCGGGTCTCGGGCGGCACATGCCACTCACCGGTGCTCGAATGACGTCGTCTTGCGGCAGCCAATCGTGGGCTCGATGTTTCTGCTTTCATCCATGTCCATCTACAACAATTACCACATTACTCGGTATTGTTCTATTAAATAACAAACCATTGTCATCATCTCATGATGACAGTGAGAATGTTGCATCTCCAAATGCATCGACACCATGCTCAGATCACTCGTAGCTAGTACCCTCGCGAAACAGCCGCGGACATTCAGTCGTGGCTCGGCCGCTCATCTAGGCAGATCCGCCCGACGTGGGCTTCATCTGGCTCCTCCGTTCTTACTCGACGATTACATCCCTAGGTACCATCTTATCACCTCGACCGAAGCCGCGAAGAAGCGCTCCGCGGCCTACGCCCACCTTCGACAATGTAACCTCTGTCCTCGACTCTGCAACGTGAACCGCTACGAGACCACCGGACAATGCCTGATTGGAGCGGAGACTGTCAAAGTGTCAACGATTGCGCCCCATTTCGGCGAGGAGCCTTGTCTTCAGGGCCACAATGGATCGGGCTCTGTCTTCTTCAGCGGATGCAATATGCGCTGCGTCTTTTGTCAGAACTACGACATTTCGCACCAAAAGGTCGGATTCGACCTGACGCCCGAGGAACTCGCCGAGTGGATGTTGAAGTTACAAGAGGTGGGCAAGGTACACAATATCAACTTTGTCACACCCGAGCATGTGGTTCCACAAGTGGCTCTGGCGATCTTGACGGCTCGGGAAATGGGGCTCAACATCCCTATCGTGTACAACACGAGTTCTTTTGATAGCTTAGAAAGCCTCAAGCTTATGGATGGCTTGGTCGACATATACCTGCCGGACTTTAAGGTCTGGAACAATGAGACAAGCAAACGGTTGCTCAAGGCCGATAATTATGCCGATGTCGCCAAGGAAAGTATCCAGGAAATGCATCGGCAGGTTGGTGATCTATGCTTTACTCCGGATGGAATCGCCAAGAAGGGTGTCCTGGTGCGCCACCTGGTCATGCCGGGTAAAGAGGAAGAAGGCGTACAGATCATGAAATGGCTGGCTCAGACACTTGGGAAGGACGTTTTTGTCAACATCATGGAACAATACCATCCGGATGCACACGTTGGAAAGCCCAAAAGAGGATCCAAAGATTCCGAAAAACGATATGCAGAGATCAACCGAGCTGTAACGCACGATGAGGTTAGTGTCGTTGAGAAAGCGGCTCGTGAGGCCGGTCTTTGGAGGTTTGTGGAACCTGCTCGTCACGGTGGATGGAATATATGAATTCAAAACAACCTCACGCAGGTGAGAACAAAGAACTACATACGGCTTGTTTGGCGGCGACGGCCCAAGTTCTTTGTTGAACTCATGCATCATCTTCATGTCGTCGTCTTTGTTGGCGTCTGGTACAATTGGCTTGCCCTGTTTCTTTGTTGCCGCTGCTGGCCAAACACCAGCCTTCACACAAGGCCACGCCAACTGATCCCGTATTTTATATGATGTTCTCGGGTCAGGACTTCTACCGCTCAATTTATGCCTGCAGTACCAAAGCAGTCCACACGCAGAATGATGGGGTTACCATTGAATGGCGGTGGTCCATTCACCACGGCACAACCTGTACTTTGCACAGAACAACACTCAGTGCTGCAGCAAGAGCGATTGTATCTGATCCAAACATTAGAAAAAGAGGAACGACGAAAAACGACTCTAGCAGCAAAATTGAGCAAGGCCGAGGCAGAGTTCGAGACATCCATGGTCCATGATTCCCCGGATTTTGTCAAGCGCACTCAGAAGAGCATCAAAAAGCTTCGTTCCAAGTTGAACAGATGTGAGAGAAATGAGCAAACATTGTCCATGAGCCTGGCCAACGTTGTCGAGAAAATGCGAAATTTGGAGCAATGTCAATGGAGCAAATCTCATCCAAATCACGTTCCTCGCAACCAGTGTCAAGCTACAACTCTGCCAACTTTTGCCTCCAGCATTCCAATTGTGGCTTCGCAGTGGCCTCTTAAATTTGACGCAGACCCAGCTCAGGTTGACGCGATTCCGGCCATGGCTGGCAGATCTCTCCGTTTCTGCCCGCCTCCCTTTCGTCCACTCGAGACGGTGATGTTCAATAATGTTCCTCAGGGGCCGATGCTGCGACCAATGCAACTTTCTTCTTGGAAAGATTGTGCCAATGATGGGCATATTCATCTACCTCGTTGCGAATATAACAAATCAAGATGGGCTGGTCTCGACTGTACGATTACTAGCCCCACCGACACCGTGTCTACATACGATCTCAGTCCATCGGCCACGATGGCTCAGCACTCAGGTTTTCAACTTCCTTCAGACTGTACCATGCTGGTAACATACATTTGAGCGAATGCCCCGGGCTAGTGCTCCAGCCAGCTTTTGGTGGGTTTCTCAGCGGGAAGCGCCACCACTGAATCTATTGGGAGTGTCCGATCTGTTCGAGCAAAGTCTATCTTGAATGGATACAGGTAGCCACGCTCCGGCTGGCTTTTGGCCTTACGAGAGAAGCATAACAACAGAGAAGCCATCCTAATAGATACAATATACCAGGCAAGGGAAAGGAAATGAATCTGTCCATAGTCTTCTTATTATGCACCTTAGCCACGATGAAAAGAAAGTGAACTGAAGTGAATTTCCAATGATTCGAGTCACGGTCGTGGACTATGGCAAGTGATCTGACCTGGAGTTGGGAAGTTAAACATATGTGCTACGAGAGATCTTTTTGATACAATCAATAGTACTAAGAGCGCCAGCTTCTTCCCATACTGTACTACTGTAGGAACTCGCGAAACACACTCCGCCGGGATCCGGCTTGACTGCAATGGAACGACAGATGCAAATTTTAGAGTACATCTACGTCCTGGATGAGCATTCGCATCCGCATCGGGAATGAGATAGAGATAGATTTGGTCATGGTTGGTTCTTATGTCTCGCGATTTCAGATGTACATGTCCACATGTCCGCTATGGCTCGCCCTGGGGTGTGCTCGGGATCCCGTTTCCCCTCTGGCCTTCACACTTGATAGTAGAGTATGTCTTTGCCACTCGCATTTGAAGCGGGCCGCATTCCCTACTTACTATTCTCCTTCCATGGCCATGGATGAAGCTGGAGTCGCCGCTGCTGAAGATATTTCGGCTTCAACCTGGCCAGCCTGAGAAGCGTCTTCTTCAGGTCTGAGTCCGACTAACACCTTGGGCCACCCATCACCCGCAGAGGCGAGAACTTCAGCAAAGTCGAGACTCTCGGGAAACCATCTATCGCGACGTGTGGAAGCCTTGGTCCCGCCCTCAAGCGCAGCTCGAGAAGCTCTTGTCTTGCGGGGCCGTCTCGACGGGCCGCTACCACTGGTCTGCGAACCTCCTCCCACGCCTTCCAGCTCATTTCGCATTTGTTCCAGTCGCAGATCGTGCTCGACGATGATTCGAACGTAGGGCGCCACTTCCGTGACAAGGGACAAGGCCATGTTATCGAGTGATGGCGCCTTTCGGCCAGGACTTGTAGGGAGACCGATTCTGTTTTCTTCCATCAGCGGGCCCAGAGCATTGGCAATGGTCGACCTGTCCACCAATAACCCATTGTAACTCTTGCTGTTTTTCTGTTCCAGGTAGAGTCGAACAATCTCCTCACGAGGATTTCCGCAAGGATGGCCCGAAACAAAAGTCTTGTTCGTCATCATAATCCCAGCCATCAAACATGCCACGTCGGTGTCAACCACGTCCATGACGCTTCGAGCATCGGAAAGAGCCAACATATCGTCCAATGATTGCAGGTGTCTTTCCTCTTGCTCGACAACCTGATGGTCCTTCACCCAATCCAATGGAGATAGACCCAGGCTCTCTTCAGAGTACTTGATCACGTCCTCAGGGTCGTATAATTCTGTAGGATAGAGATCCAAACCACTGATAAACGTGTCTTGGCTGACAATGCGGGTCACACTCGTCTCCTGGGAACATTGACGGCCATGCTCATAAGGTAACATCCAATCCAGCCCGCCTTGCTGAGACCCTACCGTCATTTGACACCAGAGGTTGAGTTCAGTAAGAGAAGCTCGAAGATCTCGGCCTTTGCTGAGGTAAAGATCTTGGAGCGCTTGTGGCTTGAGAAGATGTCCTTCAGCCGCAGCGGCAAAAGCGAGACGCTCGACAGATAGCTCCGTGTCCGGGCGGTCAAAGTGCAAGATTGTGAACAGATCCAGGTCGTCCAGCGGAACGGACGCTATATTGTTGCAAGTCATGATAACCGGCCTTTTCGAGGTGCGGATAAGAGATTGTACTCCTGCCCAGAACCCCTTGTCTTCGTCAAAGACGATATCGACCTCCTCGAAGAGAATGAGGGACTGCTTCTGGGCTTTAACTTTGACCTCTTTGCCGCTGGGCTCTTCAGAGGGTTTAGTGTTTGCTCGTCCCTTGCCCAAAGTAATGAAACTGCCCATGGTTGGTTGATTTGCTGGGAGCGGTCCAGAACATGGCGGGACAACGGTTGACTCGTCAAGAGACATGCTTGATGCTCTGCTCAGGTTACTTAATGAGCTTGCCTGTTGCACCAGATGGTTCTGGGTCATGTCGCCGACTTTCTCTTGGATATCCCGTGCACTTCGCCGCATGCCTGCATGTATTTCGAATATCTCAAAGCCCAGCTGCAGCGCGACTGCAAATACAGCTGCAGTTTTCCCACAGCCGGGTGGTCCTGCTATCAAAATAGCATTTTTCCCGCTCGGTTCTTCGTTTTCTTCATCGGAATTCACGATGAAGTCGTCCAGCTCGTCTGACCGCCTCTTGCGTCGTTTCTTCATGATCTGCGCCTTCGCCTTTGGCACAAGTTTGCCGCTTTGGATTTGGTGGACTTTCAGGGTGCCCAACCAATCATGGAGGATTTGGGCTTGAGGTTGTAAGACATCCTGCCAGCATGTGGGTGCGTAATCCTGCGGCCACATTTGGGGACCTGCTGCAATCCCCTTATCAAAAGGACTAAGGTCTAGTTCAATGCGTGACTTCAACGATGAGATATGGGGTGATTGTCGGCTTCCTGTGCCCAGTTCAGCGTCCAATTCCGCATTCAGTGCTTTCCCACTCATGACCTTCCGCGTGGGTAAGTGCGGCGAGGTCAAACCCAGAGGGTCATGCTGCAAGTCACGAGCGAATATCCAGAGGACATCCTCAGCAGGATTGACACCAGATACCTGATGCTTCAGTTTCCGCGCTGAGGCTAGGTCCGGTAGAATTGTTCGTGAGATGAGTCTGTCATGGCTGGGCTCAACCAGTTGCAGTGAAACTGGAGGCCAGACAGGGCTAATACCTTCCAACACCTTACTCTGGAACAACGGCCGGTTTGTAGAGAATTTAATTTCATCCCATGGTTTCGGTGCTTCTGCAGCGTTTTCGTTGGTATCGTTATTCATGGCTGGTCTTCCAGTAGAAGCCTCGGTCTTGACATGCGACTGCTTCGAAGCTTTCGGAGCTAGATTGCCCAGGAAGAAAGGATGAGTTGTCTTGACTCCTTTCGCGACACTATCGGCCGAAGGGACCGGGGGGCCCTGGGCCACTGTGCCAGAAGTGCTTGGCTGTTGTGATAAAATCTCCTCGATCTTTTGGCCACAATTTGTCGATCTGTATGGCAAAGCAATCCGCAAGGAAGGAACAAATTTCCCATTTTTCACCCCAACCTTCCTTGAACTCTGGGAGACTTTCCTGCCTCCATCACCCTGGTCGCTCTGGGCTTTCTTCTTCGTTCTAGGTGAATGTCGGGACGAGGATTGGGGCAGAGTTGTGAGTTTGCCATTGCTGCCGATCCGCATGGTTTTATTCTGGGGTGTGGAATTCTCCTTATCGACCTCTGCCAAGGGATCCATCGTAGGTGAATCGGTAGCTGAAGGAGTAGGATGCGCATTTGTGGAAGATAACACTTTAGGCGTGAGATTGTCGCGTTCGCGCTTCTCGTCACTGACATTGGTCGTGCAGGCTGCTTCATCTGGTTGGATGTCGCGGTGTGTATCACTCAAAAACAGTTCCTCTCCCAACTGCCCAGACCTTGTTTGCGCCTCTTTTGACGTACTGGGTCCAAGACCCGTTGCTGCCTCCTCCAGCTGTTCATGCCATGTCCTCGTCAAGACTGTCTGCTTATTCTGGCATGGCTGAGCTTGTGTTTCTCTCAAACTCGACGATAATCTTCGTCGTTTCCTTGGTGTATTCTCATTTTCGAAGTCGTCCCCGTCTACAACACTCCAGGATTCCGGGCGACGAGGCTCAATGTCCGACATCCCACCAGGAGTCGTGGTAGCTCGGCCATAGCTAGCGGTTTCGGAACTGCAATCTGGCCCAAGAGAGGGAGTTGTACGACCATTGTCTGACGTGCCGTCCAAGCCCAGATGGGAGGTTGATATATTTTTCGCGCGCGTGTCATTGCTCATGGCCACTGCAGACATCATCAGCCGACGATAAGGAGGAGGAATCATAGGCAATCACCCTGCTTGAACAACGGATGTACTGGCACAAGGTGTCCTGGCCCATTGTCACATCCCACCAACGCAGCCATTCAATACCACTGGCCTTCAATGCCAGTTCCGGTATCACAGGTTTTTGGGCCAGGACGGCACAGCAGTCTGGTTGGTCAGATACCGGACATCACATCTGGTGCATGGAGTCGTCACAATTGTTGTCCTTAGTAGTGGTTGCACTCCAGGCTCATTGATGTTGCGTGTAGATGAATGAGAAGTTGAAGCCGTACATTGTAGAACAAGAGCGCGTCTAGTGACGCGAGTGCCATAGCAGCGCGCATAGTGCAGGCGAAGTGGGCGGCATTAGCACTATAATGTCTAGTCCGGCGAGTGATCGCCGCTAATGTTCTAGCATTGTTCCTGGGGTTTTCTTTCGGCGGAATTTGAAGCGCCTCCGCTCTCTCAAGCGATTTTTTTCTCGAGGCTGCACTAACATCGTTGCACCACCTACAATCGCGTCGCTCGACCCTTTCGCCTTTTCCCTCCAGCACGGTCAAGTCAAGGATGCATCCCTCACGATGATGGAGCTTACAGCCCCAATTGTTCTCGCGAAGCTCCCTCGCACCACAAAGCCGGACGCTACAACTGAATTCGGCAGTGTCTACTCCGTGCGTGATGATGGCGTGAAGAAGCGCAGGAAGGAGATTTGCATAGCGATCGACGGCGACTCGCTCAGCATATACGAGGTGTGTTAGGCTTGATATATTGGAAATGTCCTAGTCTGATCTTAGTCAAGGTACAAGATGGAAAAGTGCTCGTGTCTTATCCTATTCCGCCGTCCTCATCTTTCTCCGGCCCGCCATGCTCAATCCGTTCGAGCGCCGATGGTCAAGCCTACCGTACCACCTACTGTACAATAAAACGCGGCGACCTACAAATACAGTCGTTCCAGACATACGAAGGTCAGCCACAAAGTACGAAGACAAGGACCAGCTCAAAATTGCGCGACCAACAAAGTCCCGCTGTCTACCTCGAGTTTGTCCCTAAGTCAACCGGGGGCCAGGTGTTGTTGGTCCAGCAGAATGGAACACTCAACGTATTCTCAGACGACCTCACGACTGCCCTGCTTGACCAATCTCTGCAACCGTCTGGTCATGGAGCGATCCATGTCCTAGCCGTTCATCATCTTACCTCCCATGAGGCGCAGAAGACAATTTTGAGAAACAGACCCGATCTACGTGCGGAGCCTTCGCCTGAGACATCTTATCTTGCGGTTGCCTATGAGAGAAAGGATGACAAAAAGGTCATCTATGCGGTCTTCTCCATTGGCACTGCGAGCTCAAATGTCGCCCTGCCGGAACTGTCAATCCGGCCCTTGTTTGAGCATCAGCTTGGCTTGGGGACTCAGGAACCTTCGTCGGCTGGATCTAAGGAGATGAGCTGTTCGTTCAGCCCGTCAGCTTCTCACCTTTACGTACGTAATGGCGCTTCCTTTTTCAGCTACGACGTATCGAGGCTCGTTCCTGTTGAGGTTGCCTCCCTACACACCGGAGTTACAGGCAGCCATGAGATCATGGCTATTTCGCCTGCTTTTGCGATTTGCTCATTCCAAGATGCGCTTCGTCTGTATGACGTGAAGTATCAATCGGTTCAGGCATATATCGACATGAGGAAGACCAATTTGAAAAGGAAACGGATAAGAATGACGTCCGAATTCCAGAGTGGTCCAATTGATTTCGTCACATATTTTGCCAACTCAGCGCGTGTTATTGGAAGACGGCGGCATCAGCTACTTGCGATCGATGTCAATCTAGCCGGTTCGTCGAAGAGGATGCTCAACCTTGGGAGCAAACTCCTTCATAATATTGGCCGGGGTATCAGTGATCCTGAGTTGACATCCCAATCAAGCAACAATCTGGCCATATCAACGATTGGTACGGCAGCAACACTAGCCGCACCCAGCGCGGAATGGCAAAATCTTCGAAAGCGACTAGATCAGCTGGCGCAAGCTGGTGATGTGGCTGGATTTGAAGATGCTTTCGTTGACACTGTTCGCCAGGATTCATTCTCCGCTACTATCTCTCCGAAGATGATAGACGGACTGCCTGCGACTCGTCTGGCTGTTCCAGATTACAAGATCAACTATCTTATTTCGAAGCTGTTCCATGTTGACACAGGCGCTTCCGGGCCCAAAGATGACTTGGCTGGTGCGACAAAGGCTTTACGCATCCAATTGCCATCCTTTCGGTTGGTAGCATGGTTGTCCCATGTGGGATTGCTTTCGACTCGCAGTGTGGAGAGAGCTCTTGCAGCTGACCTTGGTGGTGCTGACACCTTGGCCGCCGGTTCAGTTACACACGCGTTGCTGGCAGCGGATCCTGAGAAAGGCCTTCTTATGGAGTGCCTCGGGAATGGCTTCAGTCCATACGTAGAGGAGCAAGCAGCCATCGTCCAGATCCTTATTGAACAAGCATTAGCCTTGTTCTCTGAGGCTGGCACTTCTCACATAGACAAGAGCACCGGTGAAGAGGAGGCTGTCGAACGGTCCAACCTGACATCAGAGCTCGATGTGCAGAAACTGTCTACGTCAACATCCGATGGCACATGGTTGCCATCCCAAGTGCAGCGGGCTCTAATTCTTGCCCTGGACAGATTTGGAAGTGCCGCAAATTCCAGAATTTCGAAGTGTCTACGGGACATGTTTACTCAGACCGAAGTCCTGGCGTTGGTGCAATTTTTGCGTCAACAACTCTTCCAAGGAGGTCACACTCGATCTTATCAGAGCCAGTCTACCACGGAACCGGAGGTGAAGGAGTCGCTGCCAACAGTGCGACTTGACGCTATCGTAAGGATATTGTCCAGCTGCATCGACGCTATAGGGCCACTTGGTTTTTATGGAGGCATGGATCATGAAGATTTCGTCGGTAATATTGTACCTGACTTGGTCACCGAAATCACCCACGCACAACAGAGTCTGGAAGATGTGACCGAGCTCCAAGGCATACTCCGCGAGGTTCTCAGGTACCAGGAGTCACTCCAAAAACACCGAGATGCTGGTGCCCGGATGCTCCAGAGCGGACCTCGGGCTGGCTCTGAGCAGGAGGCGGGAACGATCGTGACGTTGTATTCAGAGGCGGCGGAAGGCCCAGACGGCCTTCGTACCTTGGATGGACTGCCTTTGAGCCTGCGAGTCGAGAATGTGGTCAATCCCACCAAGGTCAGAAAAGGCGGCGGGCAGACCTCAAAACGGAGCGTGCGAGAGATGAACATGTTAGAGCGGAGGCAAAAGGGGCAGTATTCATTTGAGCGGCTAGTTTTGTAATTAGAGACAATCTTGACTGTACTCAATTCTGAGCCCTCTATACCCGTTTCCTAGTTGGTGGTTATCTCCGTTTACAGATCGCAGCCTATACTCGATCGAAGCGAAGCGAGATCAGATTGTTCTCAACTTGTAAATCATGGTGGTAGACGCGGGTTGGGTACCTACCGACACCACCCAACGAAAACCCTAGTCTGACAAAAAGAGAGCCGGGGCGCAAAGCCGGAGGTTTCGCGGAGAATTTGGCCTGTCAGACGCTCAACTTGGATCATCTGGTGGCCCAGTCCAGTCAGGGCGCCGCGCGCGTGGTCAACTGCCAGTGTCCATCAACACATATCGGCTGCCGGTGGTTACAAACAACTGCCCTTCGCCCACCTTCACAGTTGTCTGTTGTGCCTTCGAGACCACTATTTCCTCTGCATTTTGGATGCAACGCAATAGCCGACTCCCTTCTGACCAACGCGGCCTATTTGGGCAATATCCATCTCGGTAACACCGTACTATTTGCCCTGCGATCCACCACCAAAGCCCCGTTTCCTCCTTACGCTACTCCACCAGCACGTCGAGTACACGAAGCCTCAAGCTTGGGCTCAAGACGACCTCTCTAAAGCCCATATCCTGCCTGGCGTTTGATCAAGCCAGTCCAGGTCCACGACTACAGTGGATTCTGTGAACAACAAAGTGTCCGTCGTGGTCCGCAGCTCGGCCTAGTCTTTTTGGTTAGGACCACGACAGGACTGAAGGCGCCGCATGCTGGCCAAACCACTACAAGTATGGCCTTTCCCGGCGCGACCGCATATCACGCAGACTCGGATGCCGACGATGAATACGAGCGGAGCGTTATGACCTCTCCAATACCGTTGCACAGGGACTCCGAAACGTCGTCAGAGCCCGCATCAAATGAACACACACCAACTACGTTCGACAACTCTGGAGAGGATCCAAGTTTGCCCAGGACCATAATGACAGAATGGACACCCGAAGAATGCGCACAGTTTATTTCGAGCTTGAATCTTCGGCAGTATTGCCAGGCTTTTATTGGTAAGCGGCCGCTTACTGGGGGTGGAAGAAGAGGGTTTTGACTGACTGGCTTCACAGACCATGGCATTGAGGGTGAAGCGTTGGTGGCACTCAAGCACGAAGAACTGAAAGAGATGGGTATAACAAGCGTGGGACACAGGCTCACCATATTGAAAAATGTCTATGACATGAAAGTTCGGCAGGATATTCCTGTACAACCAGACGACTACATTCCTCCAAGTAAGACTGGGCTTCTTGTATAGACCATCTGCCTCCCTTTCTAACATGCTGTGCAGCTGCCGAACGGAATCCGCAACACGAAATGGCCACCAAGGAGGAGATCGCGCGGCTAGCAAGATCCATAATCCGACTGCGAGACGAGCGCATTGCCCAGGCCGAAGCGCAGTTAACAAGGCTGGCGGACGATTACCGCAAGTTACGACAAGAACTGCTTCCCGTGTTTAAGATGGCCAAGGAACGTTCCGAGCCACTCCCATATGCGCCCTACCAGAACCCAGCCATCACTCCCGAGTTCTATCAACAGGAAGTCGTTTCAACCCCGATCACCACACAGCCGGCGCAAGAGAAGAGTAGTCTGACGCGGACATTCTCGAAGAAATTGGGCCTCAGTTCGACGCCGAAGAACAACTCTCCCACGCATATACCGAGCACCATTCATGAGGGTAGGACAATTGCAGAAAACACCTCGCTGGATCCCTCAGCAGCGGCTAGCCTGGCTTCGAACTCACTAACCGCGTCAATGTCAGGTGGCATGTTACCTCATCCCTCTCCTGGTGTTCCTTCGCCGACTTCACCTTTGCCCTACCAACATCAACCTCTGGCCCCGCGCTCGTACCGTGAGACCAACAGCGGCATCTCCAGATACGACGGTGCCGACGAAATATCACGAAACAACCAGACAATGACCGATCGCGAGCCGCCCACTTCGGCCAAATCCGCCTCCGCGAAACTCAATCCCTCCAACTCCTCGATTTCCAACGCATCCACCTTAATACCTTCGCGAGAACAGTCGGCCTCGGTGCCGCCGCAGCTGCCGTCCAGTGCTGCCGGCGGACACACTCCCGGTGAGGCTCCCTCGGTTGAGATCTTCAAGTCTTTCCGTGTCGGACTGGAAGATCCGTGCTACAAGGTCCTTCCGGCCGCTCTACGGAAATACAACATCCAGGCAGACTGGCGCCAATATGCACTGTACATTGTCTACGGGGATCAAGAACGTTGTGTAGGCCTCGACGAGAAGCCCTTGGCCCTGTTCAAAGACCTCGACCGCGAGGGCAAAAAGCCCATGTTTATGCTTCGGAAATTGGCCAACCCCATCGTCGACATGCCCGGGGCCACGGGCGGACTGAAACCGCCGGGTCTGGGCGGCGGTGGAGGGAGTCTTTCAAGTGCAGCTTCGGGCAGAACTATACCTGCTCAGAATCTGCCAGGCGGAGTGCTCTAGCCCAAGCCTGTGTACTTGAATGCGTCCGGCATGGAAACTCTAGACATTTCTATTGTTAGGTTGGTTGGTTGGCTAATTGGTTGGTTGGTTGGTTGGCTGGTTGGTTGGTCATCTGAAGGATATATCTCCCTCGCTACTAGTAGGGAGCCTCGATATCCCAGGGTACAATGTTTTGGCGTAGTTGTGGAGCGACCATTGTGAAAAAAATGTTAGGACTATTTTGTGATGAGATGATGAGATGAAAGAATGGACTACTAGTAAGAGCAAGCTTTTGCCATTGTTGATTCAGATCTCGATGCCTTGATCTTCATTCTCATGTTCCTCCGTCATGGAGCCCCTTTTTCCTGGTCACTCCGACGTAGATCTACCTAGGTAGCAACGACTTTCCTAGTAATTTCATAAAATCCATGTACACGCCCCTGAACATTGACTTCCCCAACTTAAACGCCAGCAAATGCCGCTTGATTGTGCTAGTATCCTCGATATTTTTTCTCATGGCTCTTCAGCACTCCATAGATCTTCAGCAATGTGTTGAGTTCATTCATCACCGAGTGCAAGAGCGTTGTGTGTTTCCCTGCGGTTGCTGTCTGGTGTTATTCAGACATTGTCTGCCAGTGTATGCCGACCGGATAAAATAGCCATAACGCCCGACCTGACACGGCTCGAGTGAACTGAACTCAATCACTATCATCATCGACAGGCTCAACAGCATCCTTGATCCTCTCCTTCAAGAAATCAACGCCAACCTCGACCGTGGCCTCCGGTATGCTCACATCCGGCAACCCGTCCGGACCGCCCGACCACTCTTTGCTGAGTGCAATTGCCTGGCTGCCATTGAGTCCATTGGTTGTGTTTCCGGCGATGCCATTTGTGGCGGTAGTAGTTCCATTTTTTGCATTTGCGTTTGTGTTCTTGTTGTTCTCGGCGGACGACGACTTTGGAATGCGGGCTCGTCGAAGGACTTCGGACATGAGTTCGGGAAAGGTGTCGCAGGAGCCGTTGCGCAGGAGTTCAAGCGACAAGGAGCGCACGCGGTCCGTCCAGCCTGTGCGGGCAAGGGAATCGGCGAGGACGGCGCTCAGGTCCCCGATGCTTCCTGTCGCTCGGAGGTGTGCTATTAGGGCCTGTGAGGTCGCTGGTGGTAGTGTGGGGTTGGTGCTGGTGAGAGAGATGGGCACTGGGATGGTGATGTGGTTGTTGTTGTTGGTCTCTTTGGCAGACGACCCGGAGCCATTAGGCTGTTGGGAACTTGAGTTTGTGGTGGTTGCCATTGTCATAGAAAATGGTACTTCAACAACTCTGTCCGGACAATGTTGACTGACTGCGGGTCGTGTTCGTTCAGTGGTTGAAACACGTGGAGTGTTCTGTTGTGTTCTGTTCAGCTACTGACCAGCAGTGCTGTGCCGACTTGACTTGGACGGGAGGAAGAGATGGAGGAGATTGGAATTTCTGATAGTTTGCTTCGGATTCGAGTTGAACTGGTGTTGATTTTTTATGTGGGGGAGTTGGTGTTTGAGGAATGACCAGGTCAATCAATTCCGTTCAGCCTTTCCACAGGAGCGCATGAATCGGACTTGGACTCGGAGATGGTGGAGGTTTGCCTGTGCTGTGATCCTCGAGCCATGCAGAAACGCCTGCGATTCTTGCTAGAGCTGAGATAGTAGAACTGGTAATGGTAGAGGAAGTCGTACAGTAAGTGGTGAGTTCAAGGGTTCTCCGCCGAAGAGGAAATGAAACTTTTTGGAGTCCAAGTCCCAAGCGGGAGTGGGACTGCTCAACGGTGCCTCGGAGCGGACTTTGGCATACTCAAGAACACAGGGACCGCTTATTCAGGAACGGGTCCCTTGCCAACAGTACCATTGTACAATCAGATTTGGTACCCATACTGGTGCGGCCCCATAAACCCATTATTGAAAGGCATGATAGCGTCACAGGGCACTGCAGCCTGTGTTCTTGACCGTGATGGATTGTACTCCGAAGGTTGCCTTCAAGTATCTATTCAATCAAGTGCAAAAGCTGTGCATGAACACAACTGCGAGGAAGGTACCTAGATACGTAGACTATCTGGTGTTCAACATGTATTGTGCGGGTGTACTATTGTCACAGATACCACAATTGTTCTACTGGAGAGTCACTATTGCCCTCCTCATACCGAGTATTGATATCGGTTACAATAGGTAAGTGGTTACGGTGAATGTGTTGAGATCCGAGGCTCAAAGATGAGCAAGTCACCTTAGGTAGTGGCAGTGGCTCAGCCTTGTGGTCTGGGGAGCAATATCAGAACAGGGGACAAGTGAAGTACCAGTGACTGCACGATAAGGTTGTATGGAAGAGTTGAGTCGCCGTTCCTCAGTAGGACAGCCTGGCTGTGGTCAGCCTCGCCGCCAAAAGTAGAATAAAGATATCGAGCTTTGTGGCAATACTATTGTAGTAGAGATTTATTCTATTATTGTAGATTATTGCGTGCCTAATAGCAATAGTAATTTGAAGTTTCGATGCGCTTCTCTTTATTGCGGGCGGTACGGGTTTGCCGTCCACTACAGTACGGCCGCTGCCAGTGGCACTGCAGTGACAGCGACTCCAGGTTCAGGCGACAACGTGAAGACGCGGCGCGCGCAGCCTGAATCGCAGTGGCGGCAGGTCCAAGTTTGACCGTCATTTCAAAGCAGCCGCCAAGCCGCCTCAGCGTCGATGCGTCCTCAGCGACCTACATCACTCCCCGTTGCCTTCCAACAGCTTCAGACCTCCCTTACCTTTTGATACCTCTTGCTCTATCATCACTTTTTCCGTTCGAGGTTCTTCCCCCATCCGAAGTTCCTTGATCCCTCTCCGTCTCTTGTTTGCACTTGTTTTCCCATCTCCATAACCATCGCTTGTTCTGGGGATCGTAATCCCGGCAGCGGCCACCTCTTCTCAACCACCGAATAGCCCGCCATCTCAGATCCATCACTCCTAGACAAAATGTCTGCGGAACCTGATCACGCCCACCACAAGGGCAAAGTCAACCTACAGTACGTGAAAGAACTCGATGAAATCCTGAATCAACTGCTAACCCTGCTACAGTGATGCCTCCGGCGCCGAGAAGAAAGATGTGAGGACAACCCCGTCCACCAGTCGAGACAACGTGGCAAGACCAAACATACTGACCGATGTCCAGGAGCTCGACACTTCGACCGCCATCCTGAAGAAAAAGAAGAAGCCAAACTCGTTGATGTAAGTTGGACACACTGTGAGCTGCGATGAGCCGAAGGGCTAACAGATGACCGCAGCGTTACCGACGCCACCAACGATGACAACTCCATTATCGCGTTATCCAACAACACTATGGAAACATTGCAGCTTTTCAGAGGTGACACAGTGCTCGTCAAAGGAAAGAAACGTAAAGATACTGTCTTGATCGTTCTCGCCGATGACGACCTGGACGACGGAAGCGCGCGCATCAACCGAGTCGTCCGCCACAACCTGAGGGTCAAGCATGGCGATATCATCACGGTTCACCCGTGTCCCGACATCAAATACGTAAGTTTGCTTGCTCTGGTTGTTTCATACTTGAGACTAATTCCGTCCGCAGGCCAAGCGCATTGCTGTCCTCCCTATCGCCGATACCGTTGAAGGCCTCACAGGCTCCCTCTTCGACGTCTTTCTCGCTCCATACTTCCGTGAAGCATACCGACCCGTGCGACAGGGCGATCTTTTCACAGTCCGAGCTAGTATGCGACAGGTGGAATTCAAGGTCGTCGAGGTTGACCCGCCTGAGTATGGCATAGTTGCGCAAGACACCATCATCCACTGCGAGGGTGATCCGATTCAACGCGAGGATGAAGAGGGGAATCTCAACGAGGTCGGCTACGACGACATTGGTGGCTGCAGAAAGCAAATGGCACAAATCCGGGAACTCGTGGAGTTGCCCCTGCGCCATCCTCAGTTGTTCAAGTCTATCGGTATCAAGCCTCCGCGAGGTATCCTCATGTTTGGACCGCCCGGTACCGGTAAGACTTTGATGGCTCGAGCAGTTGCCAACGAAACCGGCGCCTTCTTCTTCCTGATCAACGGCCCCGAGATCATGTCAAAGATGGCTGGTGAATCAGAATCCAACCTCCGGAAAGCGTTCGAAGAGGCCGAGAAGAACTCTCCAGCCATCATCTTCATTGACGAGATTGACTCCATCGCCCCGAAGCGTGAAAAGACCAATGGTGAAGTGGAGCGAAGAGTCGTCTCGCAACTTCTTACCCTCATGGATGGCATGAAGGCTCGTTCCAACGTCGTGGTCATGGCCGCCACCAACCGACCCAACTCGATCGATCCAGCTCTCCGACGATTCGGCCGTTTCGACCGTGAGGTTGATATCGGTATCCCCGATCCGACTGGACGTCTAGAAATCCTCCAGATCCACACCAAGAACATGAAGCTGGCTGATGATGTCGACCTTGAATCGATCGCCGCCGAGACTCACGGTTATGTTGGCTCTGATATTGCGTCCCTCTGCTCCGAGGCAGCCATGCAGCAGATTCGTGAGAAGATGGATCTGATCGATCTGGATGAGGACACCATTGATGCCGAGGTCTTGGACTCGCTTGGTGTTACCATGGAGAACTTCCGATACGCCTTGGGCGTGTCCAACCCATCAGCACTTCGCGAAGTCGCCGTGGTCGAAGTTCCCAATGTTCGCTGGGACGACATTGGTGGTCTCGAGACCGTCAAGCGCGAACTCATCGAATCCGTCCAGTATCCCGTCGAACACCCCGAGAAGTTCCTCAAGTTTGGACTTTCTCCATCTCGCGGTGTCTTGTTCTACGGACCGCCTGGTACCGGTAAGACTATGCTTGCCAAAGCCGTCGCCAACGAATGTGCAGCAAACTTTATCTCAGTCAAGGGCCCCGAGCTTCTCAGCATGTGGTTTGGTGAATCTGAGAGCAACATTCGAGACATTTTCGACAAGGCCCGAGCTGCTGCACCTTGCGTGGTCTTCCTTGACGAGCTTGATTCTATTGCCAAGTCTCGTGGTGGTTCGGTGGGTGACGCTGGTGGCGCATCTGACCGTGTTGTCAATCAGCTTCTGACTGAAATGGACGGCATGACCTCGAAGAAGAACGTCTTTGTCATTGGCGCTACCAACAGACCAGAACAGCTTGACAACGCCCTTTGCCGACCTGGCCGTCTCGATACCCTTGTCTATGTTCCTCTTCCCGATGAAGCATCTCGCGCTTCTATTCTGAGAGCTCAGCTCCGCAAGACTCCTGTGGCCCCCGATGTCGACATCGATTACATTGCGAGCAAGACGCACGGCTTTTCCGGTGCCGATTTGGGCTTCATCACTCAACGAGCAGTCAAGCTTGCCATCAAGGAATCCATCAGTGCCGATATTGAACGCCAGAAAGAACGTGAAGCGGCCGGTGAGGATGCCATGGAATCCGACGATGTTGAGGAGGACCCAGTTCCCTGCCTGACCAGAGCTCATTTCGAGGAGGCCATGAAGGCTGCTCGCCGGTCAGTCAGTGACGTGGAAATCCGCCGATACGAAGCCTTTGCCCAAGCCATGAAACAGAGCGGCGGCAGCGCTTTCTTCAAATTCCCGTCTGCCGAGGAGACTGCCAACGCTGCCAACGGCAATGGCTTTGGTGAGGCTGGCAACGATGACAGCTTGTACGACTAATTGCCCGCGGTAGGGGAAGATCGTACCTTAGCACTCACTGGTTGGACAGTGCCCAGCATAACGGCCACCTGCATGTGTCTGAGAGGCGAGGCGCGACGGGTGTACTACCAGCACTTGCGGACGGAGACACAAGGATCCGGAGTCAGTGGTGGCCAGGTCCCATCTGCTCAAATGGTCCACAGAAATGTATTTTAAGTCTTAGAGAATGAAGTCCCGGCAGAATAGAATGCTTGAGAGGTCAATACTGGTCATTGCTGCTTCATGTCTTCCCTTTCGTGCCCATTAGTGTCGATTGGTGTACATTACCAGTAGTTCAAGGGATGTCGGCGTAGAGGAGTACACCGCCTAACCATTGTAATCTAGAATGGACACTGAACAAGTCCGCTGCCAGTGCGTGACCAGCTTTTCGTGGTGTTGACGGCGCAGTCCCCAGTTGGTCGAGTTCAATGGTCGGCGGAGGAAAATTAAACATTATTACTGGACCCGCTGCGGTTCCCGGCGTCGCCGCCTGATTATTACATACATCCTTTTTATCACTCCTTTGTCTTCCAGTCCGCCTCCTCCATCACATCACTTATCACCGCATTGCAACGACCTCTCTTTGAGCCGATTGCTACCCTCGAGCTCACATCTTCATATATCCTCCCGCGGCTCTGGGTCGGCAGTGCCGAACGAGACACCATGAGTATCTCCGCGCGCTTGCTGCGCCTGGCACGGCCCAAGGTATGAGAAACAGACCTCTCCCTGTATACAACATAATTCTAAATGGATGCAGCGATTCCTGTACTCGATGAGCCTGTCGACAGGAGCCAGCTTGATCACGCTTTCCCTACTTCTCAACAAACTCGCCGGTCTCTACGGTATCCTTGCACTTTTGACGGGTTATGAACTATCGCCGTTCCAGCTGAGCATGTACATTTATTCCCTCATCGCCTTAGTCCTGACCGCCTACCTTTCGCCGCACATTCGAAAGCAGTCGCCCTTGCAATGTCTAGCGCTAGCTTGGTTCTACATCCTCGATAGCATAATCAACATGGCGTACACAGCGGCCTTTGCCTTGACGTGGTTTTTGGTCCTGGCGCAACACGATGGTGGTCCGTCGGACAAGGCAGGCCCTGGGGCAGCTACAATGGAGGGAGCGAGCGGCTTCACCGACCCGAAATACAATGTCAGCCGGGTCGAGGTCGTGGCTAAACCTCAGTCCGGAATTACCGGTGGACAAGATGCCGTTGCGGCTGGAGTGCCTGCAGCGGGACCAGCGGGAAGCGGGAGCAATGGCGCATTGCAACAGGCGGTCATGGGCACGGAAAACATGAACAGCATCGGCATCATGATCACGCTCTGGACCATCCGGGCGTACTTCTGCCTGATCATGCTCGCCTTCGCCCGCATGGTTATCCGTCAACACATCGCCGCCAACGGTCTCAAGTCCTCCAGCAACAACACATATACTTCCGCGTCGCCAGACTCGAGTCTTGCGGAGAATCCCTTCTCCGAGTCCAAGCCCGAAGGACGTGGCTGGAGCGGGAAACTGGGTCGGATCATGATCAGCATTGGACGCAGTTACTGGCTAGGAAGCGATGACGACGACAGCTGGATGTACAACATGAAGTTTCGCAAGAGTACGGAACTGGGAACTATGCTCAACAAGATCGAGTCTGGACCGACCGAGAGGGAACGCCGCAGAAGATCCGGAACCGGTCCGCCTGCTCTAGCTACGGGCGTGGTATCGGCCAAAGAAGGTGGTGGTATGACCTTACAAGTACCGACTCAGAATTTCTGAGCTCGTGAATCGTGTGAGTTGGTAAAGGATTGTACTCTTCTGTTGGGGGATGTAATACTACCAAAGAGAAAGAGAGGGCCAAGGAGCCATTCCTATATTACCAAGGACGGATTCTCGGGCACAGCCAGGGGCGTTTGTGTTGTACACTACCTGTTTTAGGCGTAAGGTGGTCGATATTATATAGGTAATGATGGTTGCTGTCTATCTCTGGAATCTAACAGGGCACAAGGCGGAGAGCGTTGTCGCCAGGGAATCAGTCAATATACAAATACTTCATGCACTCCTGACAGGATAATCTTATAAGCACATCATTGGGTAGTACTATACCACGTTCTTTTAGCAGAGTAATGGTCAAGGCATTCAGTTTGGTGCCTTACTAGGATATCTAGGTATTTATTTGGTGGTACTAGTTGTGGTTGCGAGGCAGCATAATAAAACGGGATGGTGTGTGTCTGTCAGTCACGCAAAATCCTGTGGAAACAAGCGCCGCCTTCGTGTCAGACCCGAATATTTTCTTCCTCATCAGGGGCTCTCCTGTGTTGAGGTCTCCTGCAGAAAGTGTTTAATTGTCTGCTTCGACGGGAATTCAACTTTTCAGAATCAGATGCCGCCAACGGAGGCGATGGCCGTGGCCGCGTCGGCACCCGGCAAAGTCCTTTTCGCCGGCGGATTCCTGGTCCTTGACCGCAAACATACAGGTCTGGTGTTCGGCCTCAATGCCCGGATCCACGTCCACGTTCAACCGTTAGGTTCAGAAGAGGCCACCATAAGGACGAGAACGGCGAATACTACTAGTACTGTGCTGGTGAAATCTCCTCAATTCCTTGACGCCAGCTGGCTGTATGAGGTGTCTGAGCACAAGTCTGAGGGTCAAGATCAGCAGGCACATGCCAGTGACGGCGTGGCCGTCAATGTACGCCAGATCCAAGATGACTCAGACTACACGCAAACAGCCAACAAGTTCGTCGAAACGACGCTGCTGTATGTCTTGACGTACCTCGCACATGTCCCGACGGGGAGGCGGCCCAGGACAGATTTGAAGATCACCATTTTGGCGGATAATGACTACTATTCTCAACCTACGGAGTCGTCGTCGTCGTTGTCTGATCTATCTGCCAGTGGTACTACCACCACCTTCAGCAATTTTGGAGTCAAACTGAGCGACGCTCACAAGACGGGACTGGGCTCATCCGCCGCGCTGGTTACAGCCCTGGTCTCCGCGTTGCTTGTGTTTCATGGCGCCGCTGCTGCTAAGCGGCAGTCGTCCAAGAGTATTGGGGCTGCCGAGCTTGACCTTGACCACCGAATCATCCACAATCTAGCCCAGGCCGCTCACTGCGCAGCTCAGGGCAAAGTCGGATCTGGGTTCGACGTCGCGGCTGCCGTGTACGGGTCTTGTCTGTACCGACGGTTCACGCCTACGATCCTAGAGGCCGTCGGAGAGCCTAGTACTCCTGGATTCGGCGAACGGCTACACCGATGTGTCGACGATCTGGAGCTGGACTCGGGCCGTCAATGGGACGTCGAGGTGGCTAGGCAGGTGGTGCAGATCCCAGACGATTTGGTGTTAGTCATGTGCGATGTCGACTGTGGCTCGGAAACACCGGGGATGGTGCGCAAGGTGCTTCAGTGGCGTAAGGAACGTGCCCAAGAGGCCGAAATACTGTGGAATGCGCTGCAGCAGGGGATGGATGACTTGTGTCGAGAATTAAAGCGGTTGGCTGGGACGATATCGACATCGTTCGCCGCTGCTGCTGGTAAGGATGGTGGTGAGGGGGGTAATGGTGAGGATGCAAAGTTCAAAGACCTGGCGGATATTCTCTTGACCATCCGCAGTCTGGTCAGAGAAATGTCGGCCAGATCTGGTGTCCCTGTGGAACCGCCCGTTATCACGGAGTTGCTGGACTTTTGTACGGCTTTGCCAGGTGTCGTTGGCGGTGTTGCCCCTGGTGCGGGCGGGTATGATGCCGTCGCGTTGCTGGTCAAGAACGATCCACAGGTTGTGCGGCACCTTCATGACCGTTTGGATGGTTGGAGGAGTCGAGATGGTGGTTCTACTGGTGCCACGATCGGGAAGGTCAGGCTGTTAGGGGTGAAGCAGGAAAAGGAGGGAGTCAGGTTGGAAGACGGCGCGGTGTACAGAGGTTGGGTGTGATGGTGCAGGAGTGAGCGAAAAAGAGAATATGTTGAGAAGAGGTTAACAACACTGGGAGATTCTACTGTCTAATCGATCATCGCATGGGTTGGTGTTGGACTGAGCAATCGGAGTCTGAAAATAGCAAATTTCGTGCTGGACAGTTTGTCGGTGCCCTTCACGTGCCGTGGATGTGGTATGATTTCTGTTTACTTTTGCCTGATCTTGAAAGAACCTCAGCCTCGTGATTTTCGGGCTTGCGGCTGAGGATGCTATAGTTTACAGCTGAATATCATCCTGCTTGGATCGGGGCTTAATTGTCCTGATGTTCATCACATGGCACCCCAAAGAGGGCATCTAGATTTCGGCCTTTTAGATCGTACCGGACCTGCAGGAAAATCTGGTTCAGGGGCACCGGAGGGAGGTTCAGCTGCTTCTCTGTGCATGATACTGTCGTGCGGGAGCCTAGCATCTGGTGTCTAGACTTCAGCTCGTAAAGTACCTGGGTACCTGGGAAGCATTCCCATGTACCTAGATACCTAAGGTAGGAGTGACAGTGACATATGCCCCCGAAACAGACATTTCGCAGCCCCAGGCTCCTAACTTAGTTCCCCGGAGTTCACCTTCTTGTTAGGCGTGCTTGTTGACAGTTAGGGAAGTCCAGGTACCTACGCGACAGGTAGACCCGACAGACGCGGGTACCTGAACTTGAAGTGCCTGGTACAGTACGCACCTGTGGCTGCCAGCGGCCAACTCCACATGCTCCTCCTCCACCATCATCGATGTGGTCGTCTATCAAAAGAACCGGCGCCGCACCCCATATTGCTGTCATGTCTCATCTTCCAGTATCATGGACACCGGTGACAGCCTCCATGTCACTGATCTATTCGATTTGTTCAAATGCACCGGCGATTCCGAGCACGCACTCTGTTGCTAAATTGATCTAGCTACTCCTCGCCCCTTTGTGACCCCGGGCGGCCGCCAATTCAAATTCAAATTCACCGTCGACTTCGAGTTGGCAGTGGCAGCTACCACTACGTTGCCGTCTAACCGCATCAGACCAACAAATCTGCCGCAGTCGCCGGCGCTCCCCCGGCCCTGCATCCATTATTGCTACCGCCATCCATCCTCCATCCACCCACCACGCACCCACCCACCCATCGTCTACCCATCCATCGTTGTCCCATCAAGCGATCGATCCCGTCCGAGTCCATCACCACCCATCCGATCAATTCCTCCCGTCATCGAACCCTCCGAGTCCTTTGGTTCATCCCTCCTGCTCTGCCAAGTAGCTCCGTTTCTGTTACTCCCTCACGTCGCCGCATCCTAGACCAGTCCTCAATTCCAGTACCGGCTGCGCTAGCCAGTCAGTCCTCCTTGGACCCTGAACGTTCTGCAAACACGAAGACCTTTCGACTATTTGTCTCGACATCCTGTTTCTTTCTGGTGTAAATTTGGGCGCAGTCCACCCTTGCCATTCGCTTCATGCTCGATTGCCCGCCCTGTACACTCTGCGTGACTGAGGGTTTCTGTTTCTGCTTAACCCACTTGAAGCAACACTGCGCCGTTGGAGGCAATGAATCCAAGTGGTCTTACCGAGCAAGCCGACCAAGTCTCGACGGACACACGCTCAATAGCGCAACACACTCCGCAACAGCAAGAACAACCACCGCCGCATTCACAGGACCTCCTGCCCTCTCCTGCGGTCGAGATGTCTAGCCTTCCTTCAGACCCTGCCGTTTCTGACTCGTATGTTCATCCTTCTTCCGAATCATTTGCGACTTCGGATGCTCGCCGATCATCTTTGCCACCAGTCGCCGGACCTGTCAGAATGGACACCAGCGCCGCGATTGATCAGTCGATAAACCCGCCTCCGCCGCCTCCGTCAATTCCAGAAACTCAACCAGTGACCAGAACCTTTTCTACCGCCATTGGACCCTCGTCCGATTCTCCAGTCGTCGCCCCCAAAGATAGCGAAACGACAGGTCCCGTACTGACTGTGACTCTACTGTTGACATCGGGAGCGCGGCATCCATTCAGACTAGATGGAAAATACTTGACAAAACGCAACGTTGATGTGGCGAACAACGACCCTTTTAACCTGAGTGTCTACAAACTCAAGGAATTGATTTTGCGCGAATGGCGCGAAGAGTGGGAGGCCAAACCAAGCAGCCCCAATTATATCCGGCTGATTAGCATGGGCAAGTTGTTGGATGACAAGGCATCGCTGAAAGGTAGGTGATCCTTTTCTCTTGGTTGATGAAATATGCTGTCAAGCGGTACTGACCTGTTCACTTTGGTTCAGACTATAAATTCGGTGCCGACTCGCCCAACGTTCTCCATATGACCATCAAACCACAGGATTATGTCGAGGAAGAAGACGCCAAGGGCGGCAAAGCCAACTACACAAACCCTCAAGAGTCGGAGCGCAGGAGTCCCGGCTGTCGTTGCGCTATTATGTGATAAGGTCCATCGATCTGGATATATCTCTCCTCCCGTGGTCAATTACGAACATGGTTTCATCTGAGTGATTGAAGATACAACGACAACACCTGGCCACGCATACGGAGACAGATCCGCGATGCAATTAAGAGAGTTGTAGGAAGCAAATCTGTCAGCTTGGGACATTTTTGTTTCTCAGGAGGGAAAGCATGGACGGAAAGTCGCTTCTCTACAGCTGAATTCACCCGCAGTTTTCCACGATTGGGGGGCCATGGGGCGCGGCATGGTCGCATTACTTTCCTTATATCGGCGCGGCGTTGGTGGTGAAAAGGTCCAATATGATTTCTTTTGTTCTTCATTTCTCTTACCTGGCGTTGGACCTTTCTGGAATGGGGCGTCCATATATGGCTGTATTCTTTGGAGGGCTTTTACTTTTGATGTTTGTTGTGGCTGGGTTTTTCCTCATTTCGAGCTGAGGCAATGAAGAAAGACATGGCCAACTTGAAGGGCGATGTTGTTATTATTCCTTGGTTGGCAGCAGTACTATCATGACCTTGATTTATAAAACTTTACTCTGCCCTTCTTGGCCAATGTTAACAGGAAAGGAAGGGGAGAAAGAAGACAGAAGAAGGGAAGGAAAGCCGTTCGTGTCAATGTTTGAGTGACACCCAAAGATGGGCCGGAGAAGACCAGGACCACAAGACGATGGCAGGAACTTGAACTTTTTGAAAGGTGGAATTGGAATCGGACTGTCAAGCCTAGGTATATTTAGATGCCGGGGTGATCAGAGATGAATTTGAAGAAACTTGAACAACTTTGAAGCAAGAGATGGCTCTGGTCCGCTCTGTTCTGTTTTCCTTTCTACTGGGCCTAGGGATATCCTTAAACAACTCGTAGGTACTACAATCCAGGAGGCAAGGTAATGGGTACCTGATAAAAGCGAGACCAGTAACTGCCAGTATAAAGTGTCGTTTGATCCACGTACCTAGGTAGGGAGAAGTTGTTGCAGCACAGGTATATGGTAGGTAGGTAAAGTACGGTACCTCCTGTATCTCGCTTATATTAGGGTTCTCTTTGTTCGGTCCTTTATTGGCGTTTTCCTACGATCTCTGAATCTGGGGCTTGCTCCGGTATTGAGTTCTACGTGAGCTTATGCCGATATCCCCCGTTTCGGTTGAGCCCATCTTGAAGAAGCTGGTGGCACAACTCGACTGCCAATGGACGAAGAGGTAGGTCGTGGCATTGAGTTCCATTACCCCCATCACTCTGCGGGCCCCTCAAGTATCGATTGAATCGGGAGAAAACAGTAGAAGTACATTAAGTAGGGTATTGCACCGCGGCGGTAGCTGTGCGTTTATTCAGCTGCAGTGACTGCAATGTTGAGGCTCCCGTCCGTTGTATAACGCAAGGCAGTAGTGTGGTGTAGTGTAGCATAGCATAGCATAGCGTAGCATTTGTCTATCACTATTTGACCGAACTGAACTGAATTGAACTCGCAGCGGCAGTACAAGTCCATACAGTACAGTAATAGTAGGTAATTTCTCTACCACTTCCCCATGCCCAGTTTCCGCTCCATCTCATCCGTCCACCCAACAGCCTGGCCATCACCACCAGTCGACAAACCCAAACGCAAACCATCTTGACCCTGATAGACATCTTCCCAGGTGATTTCGGTGTCGCGACCCGTCAAAATCTCCTCGTGCACACGGCCAGGGGCACCGAGCACCGTGGGGCGGAACGAGTCGGCCTCGCGCACCATCTTCAACTCCATGCCGCGACGTAATGGCTCGGCGATGCCGAAGTTGCGTCGTAGCAGGTTCATCCGTGTCGATTCTTGGGTTGCTGTCCATTGCGCGAGTCGGGCTTCGAGCGGGTGTGTCGATGTGATTTTGCTGGTGGTCTCGTTGTCATTGTCCGTGGCTAGTAAAGATGATCGCAGGGTGTCGTGAACGCCGGGGGCCGATGGCGCGCCGCGGTCAAGAAGTGTGGTTTTAGAGGAGGAGCTGCTCGATAGTTTGCTTGTGCTGGTGTTGGTTGTGCTGGTTGCGTGCGAGGATGGGGGAGCCACGCGGAGAGACTGGTGTTTTCGTCAGCATGGAGAGTGTTTTGGATTGGAATGAATGGTACAGGGAGAAGGGGCAATGATAGTGGGAGGGTGATAGGTGTGGCTGAATGTGTGAAATAGTGATGAACCTACCATTGTGATTTTAATCCTTCTACTCGGGAAAGAGACTAGAGCAGGTGAATGGGAGTGGTGAGGTGAGATAGATGGATAGATGGATAGAACACGACAAGAGTCGGTCGTAAATGGATGTTGCGGCGGTCGCTGTAGTAGTAGCCGAGCTTGATCTTCAGACTGTAGCCGTAAGGGGGACGGTCCGAAAGGAGCGTGGTGTTCAGGGCTTCAAGGTTGAACCGTAGCCGTTTCTGGTCGCAATTCGATGAAGTCGGTCCTCAACTCTAGACGCTTGATGGATCCCAGGTAGCACAGCTGTCTGGCTGTATTGGCTTGGGTTGTTAAGAGATAACGTCCTGACGGAGGACAACGGGGCTCAAACTGATGCTCTCGCCGTAGCCGCGGTTAAGCTGGAATAGTACAGGAATGCGTGGTTTGGAGAAGAGTGGTTGTATCTTGAAGTCGATTGTAATATCCGCAGGCGCAGGCATGAGAAGGTGTCGCGTCTCCTCGCAACCAATCAGACAGTGCCAATGGTCGATGATAGTATGATTGCGCTTGGCGCTTAAATACTCCTCTGAATCTTATCCGAGCCATATACGGTCAAGCACATAGTCCGGTCACTGTAATTTGCCCCCTGACGGCTTCTCACGTAGGTACTATTGGTTGATATATCATCCCTATTCCTTCCTGGTCGCTGTAGTCGTATAGTTGGTACCTAGTATCCTCCTGCAAATGTATCTCACTCTATCTAAGAAGCCTCAGATGATCCTCTTGCAACGAAAGGGGGGAACTCTGCACTTGCCACGCACGCGAGATACGACCGACCGGCGTAGGCCAACCATGGTCGATTGCGTCGCGAGCCTGAGGAAGTCTAGCATTGCCCACAACTCACCCACTGCCAGACTTCGCTCTTCTTTGCTTAGGATTGCACGGGGTATGCTATCCATTGCCAGGGGGCGTTTATGCGCCCTCCAGTTCTCGTGCCAATGCCCTGTTCCACTCTCAAATTCCACGTATTCAATCGCTTCAGGTACACTGATGTAGGATGCCAGTGGTGTAACTGGTCCAACACTTGGGCAAGGATGAGGGATATTGCATTCAGCTCTGCTCGTAATCTGGTGCGGCGCCAAATACCTGCGACCAATAACAGGATGAAACGCTCCAGCACATCGGCAGAGTGGTGCTTTTGCACGAACAATGCATTGCATTGGCCTGTGCCTGTGCCTGCTAGTCCACGAGTGCCATAGACAGATAGAGTATCGGATGGCTTTGCGGCGGCTTTCCGGCGGCTTTCCAATATATTGCTCTGCTCTGGTCTTGATGAGGTGGGCTCGAGCAATGAGGCAGTTGTCGCGGTCATTGAGACTTTGAGAGATCTCGGAAAGGTGACCGTTTCGTGAACGCCGGGCTAGCAGCCAAAATACCTTTCCTCAATCCATCGTTTCTCATTGTCTTCCACGACGTTCGCGGCAATGACCTTGATTTTGGGAAAGACAGTCATTAGCCTCTTCAACCCGCGTTTCCCAGCCAGGCAGGTGACAAAGACAATCCGCTTCTCAGCAACACCATGGTCGACAAGAACTTTAACCGCCATTAGAGCGGCTCCACCATTTGGCATCTGCGGATCGACCAACATGACCGTCTCATGCTCGTCTATATCCGGGAACAATTTCAGATAGTGCAACTCGGGTTCTCCAGTGCGAAGGTTCGACTGGATCAGGAGGCGGCCGGTCAAACAATCGGGAAGAGTTCTCTTCAATCCGGTTTCCATACAACTTCCGCCTCTCAAAATGACGACAGCAGAGACCTTGCCGGCGGACTTCAACCCGGAATATCTGCAACCTTGTGGTGTGATGACATCGGTGGATACGTAATTATGGCAATCAAGGGCCTTTTCGATCAACAACGCGGCAAGTCTGTCGAAGTAGAAGATAAAGTCGATCTGGCTGGTCACCGGATTCCGTAGAATGGTCGACACTCCAGTGATTTGTGGCTTTCCGGCAAGGATGATTGCATTGTCCGAAAGCGTGTAATCTTCGATCTGCTGACCTAGCCTCTCCAGTTCTGCGTTATGCCTTATCGACTTCTCCTTTAGTATATGCCGTATTTGGTTGACGATCATCTCAATGGCCATTTTATTTTGCATTCCTCGAGGAACGATGAGATCGGCCGCCTGTTTCTGTGGCTCAACATAGCGCTGAAAGACCGGCTTGACAAAAGCGAACCACTGTTTGATGGTGCCTTCAATAGTCCGACCCCGTTCACGAACGTCCCGAACAATTCGCCTCGACAGACATAGGTCTGCGTCCGCTTCCACAAAGATTTTCATATCCAGCATCTCCAGAACTCTGGGGTCGTGTAAGGCCAGGATTCCTTCTAGTACGATGACATGCGGCGAGTATATTGAAAGAGTTCGGTCTAGTCTTTGATGCTCTTGAAATGAATAGATGGGGATGTCGGTTCTCTTTCCTTGTTTCAGGTCTCGTAGTTTTTCCACCAGAAGGTCGAGATCTATCGAGCTTGGCGAATCCAGATCGTATTCGTTCCTGTGAGCCGCCGCATTTTGCTCCGGCGTTAAGGATTTGTAGAATGAATCGATGGACAAAATGATCACCCAGGGAAGGTTCAGAGACTGGACAATTTCCACAGCAAGACTGGTCTTTCCGGACCCTGAGGATCCAGCTATCCCAATAATGCTCACGTCCGCCCAAGGCGGAGAATAATGTGCATGATGCGTGTCATCAGTGTTTGTTGCCGTCGCGGTAGTCGCAGTAGTCGTTCCACTTGTTGCTTTCTGTGCAGAGGCTATCACAGATGATCTTCTGAGGTCATTAAGCCCCGACATCGTGGTGTGGGATTTCTGGCAGGGTGTGTTGGTCGACCTATCCCTCAGTATGCAAGTCGTGTAGGGAACTTCGTAGCCACCAATGATACTACAAGGGAAAAAAGCCAAATATGCCCTACCCTGTAAGCAACAAGGCTGGAAGTCTCCCAAACGTTCCAGTGAGGGATAGTGACGCCCAATCTCCCTCAGTCATGCAAAGTGGGAAGTGATATATGGATTTTGAGCTGCTCGCGTGTCCAGAGTATCGTCTGGACGTCAATATTGGAGTTGTGATGTCGTTGGAGATTGTCGATGCCAGTGGTAAAAAAAGGTCGCGGATTGGAGAAACAATTTTCCTCCGCAAATGCGGCAGATCTTCGGCGGCTCCATGTTCCTGCGTCTATCTTCGAGAGACTCTTGCCAAAAAGTTACGCTTATGATACAAACGACCCTACCATGAAATGGACCTGAGTAGTCTATCCTCCAACTGGAAGAAATTACAGGCCTCTCTCCAAACGACCGAGAAGAGTCGAGACACTCCGAAAGCTGTGACCCAACATGGAGTGAAACGAAAGCGCCAACAACCACCTACCTCCTCCAAGCCACCTGCGCAGGTCTCGAACCAAACAAAAAAACCACAATTTGGGAAGACAATGGCGCAGGAGGGACATTCTTCAATTAAAGAGTTGGAAATCAAAAATGGGATTCCCCTTCCTAGACTACCAGATCGTGCAACCGCTGAGAGTGTGAATGCTGGGCTTTCTCCTTCGTTAGTTCATACCCGCACCTGTTTACTTACATCTGGCTAATGGGTTCGCAGGGTGGAAGTGGGAAAGTATGTTGCCATTGACTGCGAGATGGTTGGCGTAGGTCCAAACCCAGGGAGACAATCCGCGCTGGCTCGTGTGAGCATTGTGAACTACAATGGTGATCAAGTCTATGATTCATACGTCATTCCCGTGGAAACTGTTACAGACTGGAGAACACATGTTAGCGGGATTGCTCCTAAGCACATGAAGCATGCACGTCCGCTCGCCGAAGTTAGAGCAGATGTGGAACGAATCCTCAAGGATCGCATCATCGTCGGACATGCCATTCGACACGACCTGGAGGCTCTAATGTTAACTCACCCGAAACGAGATATCCGCGACACGGCTCGTCACCTGCCATATCGGAAGCTAGCCGGTGGTGGCTCTCCACGACTGAAGATACTTGCATCAGAGCTGCTTGGCTGTACTATTCAAGAGGGCGAACATTCCAGTATCGAGGATGCTCGGGCAACCATGCTCCTTTTCCGAAGAGACAAGGCTGCTTTTGACCGGGAACATGCAAAAAAGTGGCCCGCTCGGCCTGTCGCCGAATCGCAAGAGTCTCCCAATGGCTCGGAAAAGCCTCGCAAGCCCACCAAAAAGAAGAAAAAGAAACGATGATCAGCGACACGCCAAAAAGTGACTGTGTACATTATTGCAGACCTGTCTGCTGGAAGAGGTCACAAAACAATCTGACTATTTGCCTAGGGGGCACCATTATCATTCCCCAACTCCTCGCGAGTTGTTCCGCCAAACGATAGTGACTCGGGACTAGGCGTGGCAGTCAGTTACATCCCAGCATCCTCAACTGTGTCGAACCTTGGCCCTGGCAAGCATTCTCTGAGCAAGAGGGATGAGCGTATCTTTCGCCTTGGGGCTGGACTGGCAGAGAGGGGAGGGATGCGACTGTTCTAGGAGTTTTTGTCTGCTTATGGCGCTATTTGCCGGCGCTTCTGATACCCCACGCTTCTGACGCATTTTGTATGAATAAATTCCTAATGTGATCTTTGATTCTGCAGTAGGCGTTTCTTCTCATCCTCCATTCCGCATTTCCAACATCTATAGGTGGATACTCCTGGCAGCGATTCACAAGACTAGGTGATTAATATACCATCGTGGAAACCGGGGTCGGCTGGGGATCTAATCTAATCTCCAAACCATTAGGTGCTATCTCCGACGCGTCGCGTCTGCTGCAGGGTCCAGGCTCGAAGTGGGACGCGTTGGCGACGCGACTTCTTACCCAGACCCAGCAGTACAACGTTGTAGTATCATTCTATCAGCACTGGATGACCCGAACATCATTGTTGCCAGAATCTGTTGCGATCATCTGCGTGCTGGCATCATGCTCGCGTTGAAACGACCCCAGGACGGGTTAGATAGTTGTACCGTCAATGTTTTACCCTGCCGCATTCATCATGATGGTCCTACCAAAGTGACCAAGAGGTATTGGTGTCCGCAGATCGAAAAAGGTACTTCAACCCCTTCAAGTTTGAACAGACTTGCTAGCAGATCATCTGTACTTATCCCTCAACAGACGGTACCCGAACTGCCTATTTTCGTGGTCGGAAACTGCGAGGCAGGGTGCTACAGTTGCCAGCCGGATATCAAGGTAAGTTGCTCAACGCAAATCTCGCGCGAGTTCAACATTGAAGGCGTGTCAGGAGTCGTCGCGAAACCTACCAATCAACTTGTACAAACCTTGAAAGATAATTCAAGACCTACGTACACAACAGTAGACGACGATATTCAAATTCAGGACAACGACGATGAGCCCGCCGAGCCAGTTACAGTGCTAGAAGGACTCTCTTCGTTCGATGAGGTGGTTGTCTGGGGTCATGATCAGGTCCCTGCACCTGACGATGCATTTGCAAAAGGTTTCAATGAGTGGATAGAATTCGCCCAAGCCATCCATGGCAGACCGGACAAGCCAACCCAGCAAGGACTGGAAGACGATACTTCCCAACCCAATGCTTGAAGTGCAGCAACCACACGAAGCACGACACGCCAATATATGAGACAAGTCCAATACTCCAGTTCCCCCTGGATCGGAGCAGACTTTCACGCAGTGAGATGCAACCCAAATCCACTCTAAGAGAAGAGAAGCCCTGCGGTATGGCAGTGTTGTCCGAAGCGCGGCACTGCATGCAGAACAGCTCGTTCTCCGGCCTTTACTCAGGTATCGTCCGAGGAACGAACAATCTGGGCCCGGGTAAAGTCTTTCTTTGACTTTGACCATTCCTGCTTCAGCTGGAGATACCTTTCTGAGCTGGTACATCTTCTCCAATACTCCTTGAAGATTTCACTGGCCTGCTCCTTCTCCCTCCGCTTGCCGTCGAGATCCTCTTCGGTCCAGTTGGGCAGCTGTTTCCCATCGTCGTCGTATTTTCGACCTCCCTTATGATTCGCGTACCGGCGCGCACGAGTCATACCCATCTGAATGAATTTCCGAGTCATGTCTGCACCGACAAAGTCGCCTCGTTCGAGATAGGACTCGAATATCGACCACAAAGCCTCGGCCGATTTACGTGCGATGGGAACAGTCCGGAATGCCCAGTACGGCAGGATGAGGCTCTTATATGGCTCGAATGACAAGACGCCCATCTCGCCTCGGGCAATCTGATATGAATAACACAGCTCATGATCTTTCAAGGCTGGTGCTTCTAGCGGCGGGTTTGGTGGGACCAGGCTTTGCTCGGTAGCCTTTGGCATCTCGTAATCAACATGGAATCATACTGCGCAAAGGCGGGGAGCCGGCAGATATCGAACTAATATCGGATGCTCAGCAGGCTAGAGGAGAGTCTTATATTATTATCTACTGTGCCTTGGGTACTACTTCAAGAGGATGACGCGCTCACTCACCCGATTTGGATAGCTCTTGGCAGGTCTGTGTGCGGATGCCCCAATAAACAGACTGGAATGCTAGGTAGGCAGTGAGATACTCCAGAATAGAGAGTTAGGGCTTCAAGTTCCGTATTGTGGTGATCAGAAAGAATAATGGAGTCAAGAAAGGGTCATGCGAGCGACAACAGACTACACAGTATGCAGAAGCGAGGACAGCCTTTCCGGCCCTCTCCCTCAGCTACTACCAAACCACAACACTACTACTAGCAGCGCACCTCAAGCGACAGGACCCTGCAGCAGTACAAATGCCACTATAGCCGCCTTATTATCGAGTTCCATGGCTGTGGCTCGGACGTTGTCGCACCACCCAATCAGATAGGAGCCGACTTCTTGATGAAGGGCGACAACTTGAAGAGGCATGTAGCAAACTCATTATCAGAGGCTTGCTATATACACGAAAAAGTAAAAACCGCATCTAGGTAAAGCCTCTCAGATGCATAGTACGAACAGGTCAAGGCTCTGATGGGGCCATAACACTGTACCAGGTAGTACTGACTTCGTGAAAATGGTGCCGGGAGTTGCCATGTCAGGTCTTCCATACTGTTATTTTATTCTTTTCAAGTTCGCTGCTATCTGCCAGGCTTAACTTAAGGTATTCATCATCCCAGCCAGCCTGCAGCTTGACCGTGCACCCAGCTAGGGATATTGAATATTTTTGACTGTTTTGACAGTGACTAAAGTGGTCTTGTCTCAGAGCTCCAAGCCAACTGAAGTTAACCGTGCAAATAACTCAACCTTGCGAGAGCCGAGAAGAAAATTGGCAGTGCACCACCGCAGGGGAGAATTGACCTGTCGCTCAGCCTTGTTCAACCACCAACAATAAATACAATTGCTTTGAAGGACACTCGACCTTGACACCACCTCTACTCTCAAGAACAAAAAGTACTCCATTCTTCTTTCGAAACCCGCGTGATAAAGATTAAAATCATGGCATCGCGGCCTGAGAGCAAGTCTGAGGCAGAGGCTCTTGTTCCTCAATTCCAACTTGAAAGGGTATTAAATCAAGGTAAGGGTTTCCGGGATGTGGTTTATGGCCGTTTCTTCCTAGGTCAAATACCCAATATACCATGCCCTACTGACAGGCCTCAGACCAACATGGTCGGCGAATATCTGTGCTGGGCACGATTGCCTCCCAACCGGCACTTATCATTCTTGAACGGGCGGCATTCCCTACGGAGCCCGAGCTCATCTCGAGTCTCCTGGAGTCTCTTACAAACACGAAAAATCTCGGCGCAAACGACATTTACAGGTGGTATATGGCCAACCGGACCGTCAAGCCATCATCTACTCTGACGACTCTTACTTCGACCACGGCATCGTCCAACGACGGCCACTCAAGCTCAGATCCCAAAGTCCCGGACCTGAAACTCAACCTCATCTACCCATGCACACCTCAACATATCCGGAAATACTCGTCACAGCGGATACGCATGGTCACCGAGACCCCCAAGATTTACGCCACGCATATCAAGCCATATATTTCGCGTCAACGAGCCGCCGGCCGGCTGGACTGGGTGTTCAACATCCTCGAAGGCCGGACTGAACAAGAGGACGTCATCGCGCGCTATGACTGGGATTCACCCTCCAATTCAGGCTTTTTACTGCTGCCGGATCTGAACTGGGACCGCAAAACAGTCCAAGGCATGCACCTGCTGGCCCTGGTGCAGCGGCGTGACATTTGGTCTCTGCGTGACTTGAAGAAGAAGCATGTCCCCTGGCTCAAGAGCGTCCGTGACCAAGTCGTCACCGCGGCGACCAAGGTTTTCGAGCCCGGCCAGGTCGACCGGGATGAAGTCAAGTGTTATGTTCATTACCAGCCGACTTACTATCATTTTCATATCCATGCCGTGCATGTCATGCTGGAAGCCGGCACGACACAGAGTGTCGGCAAAGCGTTTGGGCTAGGTAATATCATTTCGCAGCTCGAGACGATGCAAGGGGACGAGGAAACGGGTATGGATTCGGTTGATCTGCTCTACTTCGTGGGCGAGGAACACGAGTTGTGGAAACGGTGTTTCGGCCGGCTGAAGAACGGTGAGCCGGTCGATCTGAAATAGTGAAAAATGACTATCGATGACCCATCTGAACCATTAAAGCATATGTCCCAATACTGTTCAGGATATACAGGATGTGCAGAGTCGTCGAGTAGTGTTGTCTGCGTACCGGCGTCTTCACCCTCGTAATATTTCATCCTGATGTGTTCGTGTTGATTGTGCTAAGATGCAAATTGTTCCGCCGTAGTGCTTCCTCTCCTTAGCCTCGGCAGTTGTAGGCCCAGTGATACTACTTTCGTACTGTTCGTTCACAAGCAGGGCGTTGAACGTCCAGCTGGTATGATGTGGTAGTGTCTATACCTACTATCAGGCATCAGCATCGCGACTGTTGGCGATTAGACTTTGCGCCTACACGTTGAAGCGCCGCGCGAGCCCAAGGCAGTTGTTTGTTGCACCTCAAAGATTTTATAATACTGTATCTATCGCGCGCCAACCATGGAATACATCGCAGCGCTTCAGTCGCCGGTAGACGACCTCAAGCCGTCTCTGTTCGAACTGCTCTCCGAACAACAGCTCGCGGCCCTCCTGCCCCCGACACTTCGCTATCTCCTTGCTCTGGCCACACATCGACACCCTCGGTATCTCCTCCGAATCCTCAACAATTTCGACGAAGTGTACGCCCTGTTAAGTCTCGTGGTGGAGCGGTATTACCTCAAAACCTTTGGAGGCAGTTTCACGGAGAATTTTTATGGCCTGAAGAGAGAAAAGGTGCTGAGCATCAGAGATGGGGAAATCAAGAGGACACAACTGGCCGTGCCGGCAGAAGTACGCGAACGACTCAAGTTGGGCGGTCGAGACATCTGGAAGAACCTCGCCGTGCTGGTCGGTATACCATATTTGAAGAGAAAACTGGACGAGAGTTATGATATACATATTGCGCCCAGTGCGAGCTTGCTCATGGGCGGTGGAGGTGGTCTAGGGGGACGCCGATATCTCGATCGCGACGCATTACCACCCAACCCGACCTTCAAGCAGAGGCTGTTATACTATTACAAATGGTTTTTGCGGAACGTCTATCCTAGTCTGAACGCGGCCTACTATTTCAGCATTCTTGCTTTCAGTCTGGGGTACTTGTTTGACGGGACCAAGTATCCGAATCCTTTTCTGTGGTTGATTGGCACCCGAATCAGAAGGATGGGGTCGGCCGACTATGGAGCGATTGATGCGGCTAAAGAGGCTGCTGAGAAAGCAGCAAAGGCCGCGGGAAGACCAGGACAAGGCTTGAGTGGCTTGCTCAATCCGCGGACGTTGTACACTCAACTTCTGTCGAGTCTCAGGCTCCTTTTGCCCACGAGTATCTTTGCATTGAAGTTTTTGGAGTGGTGGCATGCGAGTGACTTCTCGCGTCAATTGAGCAGAAAGGCTTCTGAAGGACTGGAACTCCCGCCTCCCATTGTTTCAGGCATGGATTTGGCCCGGATGCCAGTTTCAGAACAACAGCAACAACAGGGCGTTCCCGCTTCAACCCCATCTGCCAACAGCGCAGTGAAGCGAAACCCGCCCGTATCCAGCATCACCTTCCTTCCTATCTTCACTGTCCCGCCGCCTCCGTCGAGCGACCTTTGCCCTATCTGTCTTCATCCTGTCTCCACTGCCGCGGCCTGTCAGACAGGATATGTGTTCGACTACAAGTGTATCTTTCAATGGATAGAGGGCACGCACGAACGGCAAGAGGCTTTCATGAGAGGCGAGAAGATGAGTGAGTGGGAGGACGACGCTGATGAGGAGAAAGGGAACCAGGACCTGGAAAACTCGGACGACTCGAATCGTAAGGAACCAAAGAGTCGTGAGGGCTCCTGGGAAAGCGGGAAGGGCCGTTGTGCGGTCACGGGTCGACGTGTCCTTGGTGGCACGAGCGGGTTGCGCAGGATCATGGTGTGAGCAGAGGAAGAGAGTCGAAAGAATGGTCCAGTCTATTCTTTGTTGACATCCCTGGATGGACTTCCGCTACATGGTCTACATGTTAACGTGGACATGCTGCTCTCGGCGTTTCCGCCCCTTGATGACCGAAGTCCTGACTCGAGCGACTGATGCGTCAGTTGGGTTATGCACAGTCAATGGGTTGTGGCGTGCTATTGCGCAAGGGTCAGACCAGGGCCAACAGCTGCGATTTGGGATGGTCCCTGTTCACTTGCTTGCATCACCTCAAGACGTGCATATCAGGTGCCATCCTCAAGGACCGGCTCGTATCAAGCATGGGTCTCCACACCGGATGTCCTTCCAGACTGTCAAGTACAGCACAGGCTTTTGAACTCAGGAGTCCGGAAGTCCTGCCGAATTATGCGTGGGTGTCCTCCTTCTCGCTAATTGCTGGGTAGCGCCGTGGTAGCCCGTCTGTCTCACAACGCCTTTAGGACAGGGCTAGGCCGATGGTTTCATGGTTGCCACGTGTGATCAATCCGGACTTTGGCACAAAAGACGAATAGCTTCCCTTTCTCTGTGGTGCTGTCCGTACATACAGGAGTAGTAGCTGGATTTATATCGGCCAGGGTCGATCTGCTTCAAGGCAGCATGATCCTGGTCTGAATGGGGCTCGTCCCAGTCTTAGAGGCGATTTCATTGGTGCCGTCTGATCCTCTCGGCAAAGCAGCGCCTTGGCAGGACGACGTCGCTCCGCTGCTGTGTTTCAAGTTTCTTCTCCCTCCACTGCTACCACTCGTTGTCTTAGAACTACTGATATCAGCAGATTCACCATTGTCAACAGGCTCGGTCCATAGATCAATCCATGGTCCTGGCTTCCGCTCTGGAATCACAGAGCCCAGCCCTTAGGAAATCTCGTAAGCACACCACACCGGAGACTTCCTCTTCCGAGAAAGAATGGGGGTCGAGGAGAGCAGCCCCAGTCGACTGTGTCCTCTCATTCCCCTTTCTTGGTATGATGGCCGCCCAGAAATGCGGCGGCCCCTCCTGGCCTCAGTCCAAAACTATACGTTGTAGTGGTACCTGGAGGTCCATGTCCGCCACGTTCAGGCTGAAACGATCATTTGGCCTTACTGAACGCTCAGCTTTGATGGCGCCGCACCAGATCGGGTATCTGTGAGGATTCGGCCCTTTGCGATCTGGTTTCAGAACCAGGACACATTTGAATACGAGCTGCCCTCACCTCTAGCAGCCTCCATAAGTCCTGGGCATGGCGGGCCAAGTTGATTCTTGGCTGCCCAGAAGTATCCATATTCTCCTATTCGTCCCCTGTACTTGATGTCTCCATTCTGGTCCTATTCACGCGCTGCCCCAACATGAAACTCGCCGTTCCCAGCGCGGTCAGTCCAAGGCTGAGATTACTTTTTGCGTGCAAGGATTGGCCATGTTGAATATCACAAGCAATGGAATATATATATATGTAGTTAATGTCTTGTGTTGTACCTCCTCTTCTCTTTTCTTCAGAGCATAGATCTCCCTCCAAAAAAGCACTCAAGCAGGTCTTTCCTTTGACAGGTCAATTGACCATTTCATTCATTCTTTCAGCATTCCTTTTCTCAGGTTTCATTGACTGAAACCACAGCCCTTATCACTCTTTTGAGGACTCCTTCTGTTTTCGCAAGCAGCACATACCGATCCCACCAAAAATTCTTTCTGACACCCAGTCCATCTCCCGACTACGCGTCAATTTTACAATGTCTCTACTCAAGACTACCGCCCTCCTGGGTGCTGCCAGCTTGCTTTCGCAGGTTTCTGCCCATGGAATTGTCCAGGGCATCGTGGCCGGCGGTGTATGGTACTCCGGATACAACCCAAGCTTTCAATACCAAAACCCTCCACCCGTTGTTGCAGGATGGTCAATCCCGGAAGACCAGGACCGCGGCTTCGTCAGCGACTATACCAGTCCCGACATCATCTGCCACAAGGGAGCAACTCCAGGCGGAGCATATGTCAAGGTGGCGGCCGGAGACACGGTCGAACTTCAATGGACGGAGTGGCCTGAATCCCACCACGGACCCATGCTGGACTACCTGGCCTCTTGCGGCGACGACTGCACCACAGTGGACAAGACCAAGCTGCTCTTCAACAAGATCGACGAGGCTGGCCTCGTTGACGGCAGCACCCCGCCTGGCCACTGGGCTTCGGACGACATGATCGCCAACAACAACTCGTGGGTTGTCACCATTCCTTCCACCATCGCTCCGGGCAACTATGTCCTTCGCCACGAGACCATTGCTCTGCACTCGGCCCAGAACGAAAACGGCGCCCAGAACTACCCTCAATGTGTCAACTTGGAGGTGACTGGTTCTGGCTCCAACTCTCTCACCACCGGCACCCTGGGAACCAAGCTGTACACGGCTCAAGATCCGGGTATTTTGATCAACATCTACCAGAAGCTCACTTCTTACGTCATCCCTGGTCCGAAGTTGATTGACGGCGCCTCTTCTGGATCTCAGCCTTCGGGGTCTGCATCTGCATCTGCATCTGCAAGTGCCACTACTGCCGCCGCCAGCACGACCAGCGGCGCCGCGTCGATTTTGCCTACAGGTCATTTCACCAACGCCACAGCAACAACCTCCCAGAGCAACAGCAAGAGCATCGCCATCACCGCCACTCCCACCAAGCCTGCCAACGTACAGACATCTCCCGCCGAGACCGAGACCGAGACTTCTGAGACTGCCGCCGCATCGAACAAGGAGGCCACCACCACCGCCGCCGCTTCCTCAGAAGTCGAACCTACCCCTACTACCGCCACGTTGACCCAAACCGAAACTGCAACTGCTCCTGGCAATTTCGCCGCTTCAAGTGCTTCGCAGGGTCAAGCTCAACCCACTGGCACTGGCAGTGGCAGCACGGACACCACCAGCCCCGTTTCTTTCTCCAGCACCGTCACCGGCCGGATTGGCAAACCGACCAAATTCGTCTGCTATCTTGAAGAAGACTAAATCTAACAGAAGCCTGAACGGTTTGGGCACAATTTAGCCGACGAGGAAGCCGTGTTTTATTATTTCAAAACCAATATGGCGAGGGTTTCTCTCCACTGAGGAAAACAGAACACTCATTTTCTGGGTGCCAGTCTGCCAGACTCTGACATCTTTCTTGGCCAGGGTGGTTCAACCCTTCTTGTTGACAGGGGCAGGGAAGGGACTACATCTCGGATGTACGACTGTTGTCAGCAGCCACTTTATCTTTCTTCCAAGACTATGTATATATCATTATTTATTTCAATTCAAATCCTGCTTTGAGGAACAAAACCGAACCGTTTTTCTACTGTAGATTGTTTTATGCTTCGAATGGTCTGGTTGAGGGCATGCACTAACTAGGCCTCAATCGACATTACACTCTGTCTGAATGCGTAAGCGAAGGAGATAGCACTGCTAGATGTTTCCATCATGTGCCAAAAGTTAGAGGAAGGACATAGTCGACCCGGAATAGACGCCCGCTTCAATACAATTTTTTGTTATGGAAATGCTCAAACTGAACGAGGTCTGTAGGGTTCGGTTCTGCCATAGGTGCATGGCAGCATCTTCTTCTTCAGATATAGTAGGTGATCTGATCATATTCGCCCCTTCACATCTCAATAAGACAGTGTTTCCCATCGTATTCATGTTGTCGAGAAGTACTCTCTCGGGATAAGGTATTGTGTATGCATGAAACATACTCCTGACCCAGAAGCAAAGTGATCTTGATCTTGATCCTGAATAAGCGTATTGGAGACAAAGAGTATTAATACATAGGTATATAGCTCCAGGATGGCTTCAAATTCCTCGCCGATAGGTGCAGATAGATTGCCTTCAGAACCAGCCACCATAGTAGCCACCACCGAAACCGCCGTAATTATCAAAGCCTCCTGGTCCACCAAAGGCCTGATATCCGTATTTTAGCTTTCCGCCGATCCAAGTGTCTACCGAACCACCTCGTTCGTGCGTATTGCCAACTTCGATAGCCAATTTCTTCCTCTAGGCCGAGAGGTCTTTGACAGCTTTGTCAAATTTCTTCTCATACAGGGTTTGGTCTGTAAGCCGCAGTTTGATCAGCTGCTTGGCCATGTCAGGCTTCTCCCGCAGGGCATCAAGCGCCACTCCTTTCAGGTTTCCCGCAACTTTATCATTTCCCGAAAAGTGTACGTATCGCAGCTTCGGGCAGTTCTCAAACAAACCAAGCAGTGCCTCGTCGCCGAGGTGAGTTGCACCTTCAAGACTGACGTGGATCAAATTCGGACAGGCTTTGGCAAACCGAACGACTCCTGCATCGCTCATTCGAGCGCCTTGACCTGTCTCTGCATCGCCTGCTTCGAAGTGCTCCAAAGAATGGCAGAACGAAGAGCCTGTGGCGATAATGGCGTCAAGGTGGACACTGTGATTGGTGAACATCTGAAACTCTCATCCCGATTTCTTTGTATCTGGCGCTGTAGGATGGGATAAAGCTTGCTTACTCACTCAGTGATAACAAAATCATGGTCGAACTGGAGCTGCTTGACCCCGTTGATCAATTGAGAATCCCGACCTTCCCATGACTCCGCGGTGTCAAAATACGCGCGCTCCTTTGTGAATACTCGGTCGGCGTATAAGCTTTCGTTCTGGGGTTGGTGGTTCGACGGCGAGGCTTCGCGGCGCTGCCACTGCCATTGCGAGGAGTAGGTGTTCCCTTGGTGATTCCCCCTCTAGATCCAATTCTGCGATTCATGGCTTCTCTCTGTCCGCCGGACTCAGGCGGCTTTTTGACTGGGCACTACGAAATCATGCGCAGTGGTCATATAAGGCGAATTGCGTTGCGGACCAAAGTGCTATTGTTTTGTAGCAACTTCAAGCAGGTGGAACAGCACTTGAATAGGAGTAGAGGAAGCAATTGAAGAAAGAGGGATGAGTAGAAGGCGAAGAAGCAAGGGGGAGGGAACACAGTCTATGAAAAGAAGGAATGCAACCAGGGAGCGATAAGACATACTGTACGAGGAGAAACCGGCAAGGACATACCTGTCAACAATATTGCAGCCAGAGCTCCTTCGCTGTGCTCCGTAGGATTGTTTGCTTGATGATTTTCAAACTGGTCGGGATCAAGATCGGTCTGATTCCACACATTTGTTACCCCTTAGTAGCCGGTTTCAAATTCTGGGCCCGGAGAGTCTAGATGACTGTGAGTGCAAGAGGAGGTGGACGATCGAAGGTCTCAGCTGAAGGCTTTCGTATACTGCAGATCTGAAAGACGTGGTAAGTCGGGATTGAGGACGAATCATCTGTCGACCTGTGTACAAGCTGAAACCTTCTGGCTTCAGCCGCTCGGCACGGACCCGGGTCACCAAGCGTTCTATCTCGAAGTACATTACACAATATGAGCCGGCATGCTGTGAGGTCCGCCAATCTCTCCAGCCAATTCTTCAATTCGTTAGAAGATGCTGCTGAGAAGGCCAGTCGATGTATTCCGAAGATGTGTGCAACCGTGGATGCCGATTTGTAACGTCACGCACCCGGCATCCTGGCGCTCAATATTCCCGTCTACGCAAATTGCGTCCATGGTTTCTGTTTCAGGCTTCAAAATAGGATGTAATCCACATACTTCAACTCATGTGCTCTTTGGAAGCCGGCAAGAATGCGTTGCAGAAGTCCAGATGTGGCGCAAACCATACACATCGATTCAGGAGGTCTTCGAATGTTCGGGAAAGTCGGCGACAAGTCCAAAGCCTGAACACGTCTCCGTGATCTTCTGGGAAGACGACGAACCAGCAGACGTGGCATGGACTTTTCCGATCCGGGACGGGGAGGATGTGCTAAATACTTTGACGAGGTACGTCGGGACCATGAGACGCGACGCAGGCGATGAGTATACGGACGCGTTTCAGCGGTTTGTCGCTGGGCTGGTTGTGAAGAGGCTATCTCTCGACCAATATGAGAAGATTCTGAGGAATGCTGTATGCGGTAAAAGCAACGACACGCATTCGGAATATCCAAAGCGGAACCCCAAGACTGCCGTCGATTCCACCAAGAGACTGCCTGGAAAGGCAAGAGACGAAGAGATAAAACTGTGCTTCCGGGAAGGTCAATCTCCTTTAGACTTGGCGATATACCTTGACAGGACGCCAGAGTTTGTCTTACGCGAAGCTAATCGTCTTCTTGGGGAACAGGAGTTGAAGCACCAGATGAGATGCAATAAAAAGGGACCGTGGTCTGATGGTGAGACTCAGTGGCTTATTTCCCAACGCAATGAAGGCCTGCCGTTGAAGAAAATGGCCAGGTTGCTCCGAAGAACGAAGCCGAACGTGGAGAAAGAGCTTCGACAGCTTGGAGCCGAGATATTAGAGACGACTGTTGTGGAAGGGCCTCAGGAGGTACCGTTTTGGTTGCGAGAAAGGCTTTTTATCGCGCGATTGTTCGAAATTTGGAAAGGCCTTCTGGAGTCTGATATGACCCCGACTTGGAGAGAGGCTCTGGCGGAGAAGTCTGCTGAGCGGTGGCTTAACCACATTTCTGAAGGAATCCCAAAAGATGTGAAGAAGGTCCTCGGAGGCGTGCAGCCTCCCACCTATGATGAACTCGAACGTTTATCGCCTGTCGACTCGACGGATGCTGGGGTGTATGCTAGGCTAGTCACCTCTCGCTATCCGGTCCAGACAGCCAGTGATCGATATTTGTATGTTGGTTCGGCCAGTAAGGAGGGCAGTGGACTGACGGGCAGAGTAAGTCAGCACATCAAAAAGAATCCGAGAAGAAGATTGGATCGGAATATAAGAACATTGGACCTCAAAGCGCCAGGCAGTTTTGTCACCCTGATGACCAAGACGATGAAGAGCGCTGAAGATGGACACATCCTGGACGTGCGAAGGACGGTGGTATTAGCAGAGGCGATCTTGACGATATGGCTAGGCGCACTCCAGTCGCCATGTCTTCATCTGTAAAAGTTGTGTCCATGGGATCCGCAAGCTCTAGATTACACGGCGTGGTCATCGCACAATCCTTTGACGGTAGATATCGTTCTGCCCAGCAGTCCGATGACTGGGAGACCTGTTTAGCATGGGAGATGATTAGTTTTCAGCAGCTTTCCCAGAGCCAGTATTTTGCACAAATGCGGACACGTGTTTGCCCGAGGCCAGTTCACCATACACTTGTTTGCTTGGATACTAATGTCTCGCTTTTTCCGGAAGCCTCTCTCTCCCCTTCTGGGAGAATGGAGAATATAAGGAAGCCGGCAGGGGTCGTCCCTTTAAGCCCCGGTGGCGCGATAGCTGGTATCATAGTGCGGTCACAGGTCTTTCCAGGGAGTTGGGACTTGGACAAGCCATGTTTACAGTGCAGCTTTCTTCGCATCGAGGGAGATCTGCCTCCGAAAGCGGTGGTACAGCCGTCAAATTCGGCAGGAAATTTCCGTGCACCTTGCGTTGGGCCGTTCTGGCCGAGACAGTAGACGTCCAAGGTAGGTACAGCTGAAGCAGAAGGTACTGTACCAATAGTAATAATGCAGTGGTACCCTTTGTAGGGTAGGGAAGACTAGTAGCACCCCAAAAATAGCGCCATCCAGCCCAAGGGGGGCAGGACATGTTTATCTTATTTAATATGATACTTTTTAGTATGACTGAAAATGAGTGTCGGATTGCGCTCCAATCAATTCGCCGATAAATTTGACACTATGGCCGAGTGGTTAAGGCGACAGACTCGAATCCATCAATGGGACGGTTTAGATCTCCTGGATGCACGTGATCTGTTGGGTTCGCCCGCACAGGTTCAAATCCTGTTGGTGTCGGTTTCTTTTTGGTCATTTTCCTTTTTTGCACGCGAACTGTTACAGCAGTATATTTATCTGGTTAGCTGAATACTTTTTTGCTTGTTCTACGTACAGAAGGACGAGAATCAATCATTCTTTTAGTTTGTGTACAGAGGAATAAATTCTCGGCATACTATAGGATAGCGCGTTGGTGCGCATGGTATTCATGAAAACTCGTCTGGATGAGATTCCAGTGTGGCTAAGGTATGTATGTATAATATACCTGGTATATATTATATTTGATATAGAAATCCCGTAGGACACGGTCAAGATGATGTCGGGCTCAAAGATCTCCAATGCGTCCATTAGTGACCGACGCGACGACTTGCTCTTGTTAAACTCTTCAACAACCGCAAAACCGGCATCCGACAGCCGACCAGAGACAGCCAGAGTGATTTTGAGTTGTCGAAGATAGGTCGATTCAGATGCCAACGTATCGACAGAGGCTGGTCCTTCGGTCAAAGATGAGCAATCACCAATATTGGCATTGGCTACCTCGAAAGAGGAAGATGTCCTGTGCATCGGTGATTTGGAAGGTAGGGCCAGTCTCGCAAGCCGAAGGCGTGGGCATCCGGATGTATGATGAAAGGTAGATAATTGAATGACAGTAGAGTGTGACATGAAACACAGTCCGACCAGGATGGGATGGGAACTTGAGGCGTCAGAAGACTTGTATGAGCTTCAATCCGTCCAAGACCCGGCCATCACTGTCCGCCGTTGGTTCGGTCGACTTCGACGTGGCTGGCACGTGCGAGATGTGCTGTGCATTGGTATAAAAAAATTGCTTCTCGAGCGGCCCAGGAAGGTTGCTCAGAGCATGAATGTCCCTGTGAAGCGACATGAGAACTGAAGAAAAGTATCCAAGACAAATGCCATGCCCGGGGCGAGCCGATCAGATTGATGTCCACTCTGGTAGGCCGATGGTTTTATGTGCTCATCCTCCATGTTGCACGAAGGAAAGGGTGAAATGAACGTACTTGCAAGATGCGAATAACTCGAAAAGAGAGGAAGGAAGGCTGCATGTTGAACGAGCCTTCGCCGTCGACGTTAAAGCAGGTTGCCTTTCAACGCCGCGAGGGTGTGGCGAAGATGACATCGTCAGGCGAATGCGCCGCAAAGGTTGCATTCATGATAGCGGCGCTGTTCATGTTCGCGGATGGTCGGGATACTGTATGTCAACTCAAGTGGTCAGTATATATCCTGGTCGAGTCCAGTGGCTATGGAGAAGTGGGAGAGTCAGAAGGAATGATGCATGCGACTCACACTTATTTGCGTTGCACGACGCAAAAGTATCCCATCTGTCCTTTCTGGGTGGCCTTTGTCTGCTTCTGGATGGTGCAGAAGTAGCCCATCTGCCCTCGACAGGTGGTGCGACTTTGCTTTTGGGTGGCTTGGGTCATTGCTTTTGAGTGACAGGTATGGTTAGACTGGTCGATGGATTGACGGAATGCTTGCGGAATGGTGGTATAACGAGTGTGGTATGGCTTTGGGTGGGAACTGCAATGCCCCGAACAAGCAAGGCCATATCTATATGTAAACAGGTGCTGGTCCCACCAGCGCCGCAAATTGGCAAGCTTTCATCAGTATCGTGGGCATAGAGAAAGAGACTGCGGAGAGGAAAGACAACATGAGACAAAGAAGGGGAAATGGGGTGTGCATTCCGACGAGGCTGAGAAACCCCTTAGTATTGTTCTTGTGGGCTTAGTATTGTTCTTCGCCGCACAAAGCCATGTTCACATCCCTCGGCATTCGCTATGCAAACAGAAACAGAAATGACTCGACTCAAGGGGAAGACAAGGATATACGGGTTCCAGATGGGGTAGGGGCCCTGTTGGCGTGGTCAGCAGTAGAGCGGCAGACTGATAATCACCGCAAGCTTTTCGAGCCCAAATATAGTACGCTGGTCAAGTAGGTGGCCAAATCTTAAGATTCCATTCCGCATGGTCAATCCTCTGTATGTATCTTCTATGCTAGAATCTGGTATATGGCAACCATTTGCCTCGCAGATTGATATTGACCTGACCCTCAGTTAGCTTCTTCACAGCGGTCCGCGTGACAACGATCCAAGTATATGGATGGCAGACTCACCCAAGTGTTGCCATCCTTGTCCACCTCTTTCTCAACATGGGTCGAGAAAGAAATGGCGCTCATAATGCCATCGCCGAACTTCTCGTTCAACACAGCCTTGTAAGCATAGCCATAGTTCTGCACAATCTCATACAGCCGATAGATCAAGGGCTCTCTCGGTGGCATCTCAATACTCTTTCCTCGATCTGGAAAGCCGCTCATCTGCGCTTCTAGCGTGGCATGGTCGATGTCCAGATACTTTGCTAGGTTCTTGATATCATCTGGGGACGCTTTTGCTTGTCCATAAAACAAAGCTGCCACTGCAACCTCGTCTCGGCCTATCTCTTTTGCAATCGCCTCAAAGGTCACTTGCTTCTTTGCCTTCGCTTCGAACAGAGTTACCGACGCTGTGCGCAGATTGGGGTGTTGTGAGACCTAACAATAGTGTTAGCTGACACTGTCTCATCGGCCAGGAGGCATGGAGATGACATACATCAAGAGTTGCTAGAGACATATTGGAGGCTGCTCGAGTCACTTGTAACGGAGTATGATGAGGCAAGGGTAGCACAGCCGGCCGAGCCCTCGAAATAAGGGCTGCGTTTGTGAGGCGTGGCAGAGAACGTAGACGAGCGGACATCTTTACAGCAACAGGGATGGCTTTTTGTATACCCTTCCACGCCAACTGGGCACTTGCACACTCCAAGCACGGTGGAGAGATGATGCTGAACGACTTGGCCTACCTGATAGGTGCAGCGGTGGTCTGCTGTGGTTGTCCGTGGACAGCAATGGAGGGGTGAACTGAGATACCAAGCATGTCCCCGCATGATTGCATGATTGCAATCGACTGTGTCATGGAGACCTTCGGCAGAGAGGAGCAGGAGCTTGGGCTTGGTCCTCGACTTGATTCGGGTCAGGGTAGGCCGGGGTCGATAGAAGCGTATCTGCACAGATGCTGTTCACCTTATTATTATCGTTCGCGGTAGACTGCGCCAGCCGATGGAGGCAGCTCAGAACGGGCCGTCCTCGATCGCCGCGGGGCACGTTGGTTATAGCGAGCTGAGTCTGGGGACTTGGGAGGGTCACGAAATGCCTGTGCTCGTAACCCTCCCTACCCCACGGTCCGCAGGCAGTGGCACCCAGCATCCTTACCTTAGTACCCTGTGGGTTAGAGCCAAACAAATAAATCTGAGCCTTTATCGGTAAAGATTTGTAGTAATTTAGGGATCCTACAACCCTTAGGTAGTTATGTCCATTGAACTGGGGCCTTAACCAACGATTGCGTGCCCTCGCTGCCACAGTCTGCTCGCAGTGTCGTGTTTAATTGGTGCCACGAGTGCCTGGAGGGGCTCTGGGAGTCTCCGTGTCCAACGGCTGCAGTGACGCTTGACAGTGTGGCTGAGCGTGTTGGACTGTCCTCGTCTTGGACGTCGACCACCTGCATTCACCGTGACTGGCACAGCCTGAATTGGTCAGGTCACTGCATTGCACGAGTCTTTTCAGCTGAAACCAACGACTAGTACCTAGGTACTATGGTGAGACGTCTGCTTCACCGCATGTCATCGCCTTTCATATCACAATCCTGTTCGAGTTGTTCGATCCTTCGTCAGCTCTGCCTCGAATAAAGTCGCCAATGCTCTGCAGTCTGCTTCCCCTCCAACCTGCTTCTATTCCTTCAATCGCTACAAGCCGAGATGTCTCACCCACCACCTTACCAACAACCGCAATCATCAGATGACGATGCCCTGGCTTACGGAGAAGACTACGGTCAATCCCGAGGGGCTGGTGGATACGAAGGAACGGAGAGATCTATCCTTGGTGACACCTATCGCAAAGTCAAGTCCAGCTATGACAAGTACAAGACCCCATCATCTCAATCCCAACCCTATGGCTACAGCAGTGGTGGTACTTCCCAGCAATATTATGGCCAGCAAGGTTCCGCAACCGATTATCCCCAACCAGGACAATCTGCCTACCCTGGAGGTCCGCCTACGCAGCAGCCTCAAGCGAAACCTGATTTAGGAACCAAGCTCCTCGGGACCCTACACAGTACTATTCATAACATCGGCTCTGACATTGCTACTCTGCTTGGCCCGGACGGAAAGCCTGCTCAGCCCTCAAATCAGCCCTACGGGCAGCAGACATCAGGACAGAGCCCCTACCAAGGCCCTTCTAACCTCCCAGCCTCGTCCGGCCCGCCCCAAGGCCAGAACCGCTATGAGAGCTTCGCTTCAGAAAAGCCCGGAAATGATGTGAAATGGTTCGTTGATGGCTGCGGCTATTTCTGGGCTGTTAGCGAAGCGCTCGAAGCTGCGAGAGAGTCAATTTGGATCCTGGACTGGTGGTTGTCTCCCGAGGTCTACCTTCGTCGCCCTCCGTCTCAGAACGAACAATGGAGACTCGATCGAACTTTGCAGCGAGCCGCTCAACGTGGCGTCAAAGTCAACATCATCGTTTACAAAGAAGTGACACAAGCTCTGAGTGCGTACCTTTCTCCCATTATGATCAATTATCTTCATTCTCTTCTTCCACAGAATGTCAACAGCTTGACGTCCTTTCTTGTTGCACTGGGGCTACGAGCAACTGCAACATCTCTTCACTATACAGAAAAAGAGAATCCACTAATTCTTCCTCCTCTAGCTTTGTCGTCTGCGCATACAAAACATGAGCTCGAGAAATTGTCACCCAACGTCTCGGTCTTTCGTCATCCGGATCATCTTCCTGACGCTCAAACAGCGCATTCCTCCCTGATATCGTCCCTGCAAAACCTCAAGCTTGACGCAGCTGGGGTTTCAAAACTCGGTGCAGATGCTTTAAAAGGGATCTATGGTTTGGACGACGATGTTATTTTGTACTGGGCTCACCATGAGAAGCTGTGTCTCATTGATGGAAGGACTGCATTCATGGGTGGCTTGGACCTCTGTTTTGGAAGATGGGATACGAACCAACATGCGATTGCGGATGCCCATCCTATGAATGTCAATGACATTGTCTTTCCCGGACAGGACTACAATAATGCCAGGTAGGCTCAGCAGTTCCGCAGACCCTTTGCAGTGTGGTTCCATGTTGAGGTCACTGACAAACATTAGGGTCATGGATTTCAGTGATGTTGCAGATCCATTCCAGAACAAGCTGGATAGGACGAAAAGTTCGAGAATGGGATGGTGAGAGACTGCAGGATCTGTGATAGACAACATCTGACACTCACTACCAGGTCCGACATTTCTCTGTCTCTGCATGGCCCATGTGTCCAAGATCTTCGTCACCACTTCATTGATCGTTGGAATTTCATCTATGATGAAAAGTACAACGTTCGAAGGGATGCACGTTACTCTCGACTGGCCGACGAATATCCTCACTCGACATCTGGCCCTGCACAGCGTCCACAAGCTCCACCGCCCTCCCAAGGACACCTCCAACCACCTCCCACAGGAGGGGCGTTCCCACCACCACCAGGTAGCCAACCATACACCGAACCTGCATGGCATACTACGAGCAGGCCACATACTCCTACCGGAGACCTACACCAGGTTCAACCCAGCCTTGTATCAGGGACAACCGCAGGTTCATATCCTGCTCCCCCAAGCCCCCTCCCGGCGGCCGCGTTGTCTCCGCCTGCGGAGTCTCAGTTCTCCTACGGTCAGTCCACTGCGTTTGCGGGTCAGCCCACAAGCCCGTACCCTCAGCAAGCCTATCCGCCTCCGCCTACCGGTCCACCCACCGAACCAACACCCTCTCCAGGACCTGGTCATGATTACACGGGCTACCAGCAGCAGAGTACCTCTACCCCAACGTATGCGCCATACTATCAAGGAGCCTCAGAGCTCGCCACCCAACCAGTACCAGGCCAAGCCTATCACCATCAGCCATACCAAGAGCAGGCATCACCGCCGCCAGGTCAGACATATCAGCCACAAAATTATTATCAGTCCGCTCCGGAGCAAAGTCGAGGGGCTGGCGATTATGACACCGAGCACAGCCGTGGCTTTGATGACTACGGCTACGATGATGGCACCTCACGAGGGGCTGGCGGTGAGCGAGGCCTCCGTGGGAGAATGGACCAATACCGAACCGAAGGCAGACGCATTGGGCAGGAAATCTCCTCTATCGGTAACATCGTATCTAGCGGTGTGGAGGGCAGGATGCACCATATTCAAGGCAAGTATCTCGGTGGACCAGGTTCTCAGGGTCGACCTTACGGTCAGCCTAGGGGTCCCATGACCTGTCAGCTTCTCAGAAGTTGTACAAAATGGAGTAACGGCACGCCCTTGGAGCATTCAATTCAAAATGCCTACATCGACGTCATCCGCAACAGCCAGCATTTTGTCTACATTGAAAACCAATTTTTCATCACAGCCACCGGTGACAAACAGAAACCGGTCAAGAACCTTGTGGGCCAGGCCATTGTTGAGCGCATTCTGAGAGCTGCCAGAAACGGAGAAAAATACAAGGTGATTGTGGTGATCCCAGCAGTTCCAGCCTTCGCTGGCGACCTCCGTGATGATGGATCTTTGGGGACTCGTGCCATTATGGAGTTCCAGTATTTCAGCATTAACCGTGGTGGAAATTCCATCATGGAGAAGATCGCCGAAGCCGGGTTCAACCCCATGGATTACATTCGTTTCTACAACCTCCGCAATTACGACAGAATCAACTGCGGTAGCACGATGCAGCAAGCCGAACAGCAAAGCGGGGTGCGGTACGAAGATGCACGTAGACAACATGATGATGTGATGGGCGCTGGGTATGGTCCTTCTGGGGAGAGGACTGGAGCGAGCCAAATGTCGCAGGCGACTCAGTATCAGCAATACCAGTCTGCGGCACAAAACATGTCGGCTTCTCCAGGGAGTCGCTGGGATACTGTTTCGGAGTGTTACATGCTTGGAGGCCAGGACATCCGCTCCGTGCCTTGGGATGGACCGCCCGAGGCTGAATTGGACGCGTTTGTCAGTGAGGAACTCTATGTCCACTCGAAGGTGAGTAGCTCTGTTCAATTTCACGTCCAAGGCTAACCGTATACAGTGTCTTATTGCAGATGACCGGGTTGTCATCTGTGGTTCGGCCAACTTGAATGACAGGAGTATGCTCGGCTCGCACGATAGCGAGATTGCAATCCTGATCAACGACCCTACACCCGTGCAGACGTACATTGGCGGACAACCATATCAAGTCAGCCAGTTCGCATCGTCTTTACGGCGGTATTTGACCCGCAAACATCTTGGACTGATCCGACCCCAAGACATGCGAAGACCAGATCCCAACTACCATCCTGTCGGTGTCCCCAACGCGTATGACTGGGGTAGTCCTGAAGACAACATTGTCTCGGATCCCTCAAGCGACGCTTTTCAGAGTCTTTGGAATACGCGTGCCCGTACGAACACTGAGGTCTTCCGAAAAGCGTTCCGAGCAGTACCCGACGACAACGTCAACACTTGGGCAGACTATAAGGAGTTTTATGAGTACTTCTATCATGCTGATCCCAAAGCTGGCGGCAAGGAAGGGGAGAAATTGCCACCGCGGGTGGAGTATGGACATGTAGTGCGAGAGGATTTCCCTGGCGGGGTCCGCGAACTGAAGGAACTGTTGAGCCAGGTCAAGGGCACCTTGGTGGAGATGCCGTTATGCTTTTTACAAAGTGAGTGCCCGCTCGTTCTGGATAACAGTCTGGTTGCTAATGTTGTTGTAGACGAGGACATCGCCAAAGAAGGGTTGACCCTGAATGCACTGACCGAAGAACTCTACACTTGAACGAGCCGTCGGCTGGAGGGCTCTTCTTGCGTGATTGAAGGCCGAAGTTAATGAATGATGTATTACGAGCTGATGATGGGTTAACGATGATTCGAGACATCTTTGATGCACTAGTGATAGAGAGCTGGGTCAACCATAGCAAGCTGATGGATGAGACTCGAACAGTAAGGGGCCGGTCATTACAAACCCAGTGCTCGCCCGTAGCAGGTACCATAAAGTTTTACAGTGGAGCGCAGATCGGCGACCCGCAATATCATCTGCGGCTTCATGTGAACGACTCGAACCATCGGTACAACTTGATAGACACAAGACTAATAAATTGCTGCCTCGTCGGATCCTCCTCATAGAGCTACATTCAAGTACTGGCGTGTCGAGAAGCTTTGCTTTTCAGTGGCTTGCACTCGCGTTCCATGAAGTTACCCAAGTCTACTTCATTAACGCAGCTTTGAGTGGTGGTCTCGGCCAGCGATCCATCCAAACTCAGCACGCGTCCGTCACCCAGGTTGTTGTCACGCCGTGTGCTTTCCTTCTCTCCCACTTAAAGACCGTCTGTTTCTCTTTTCACTTCACTCTCTGTTTCACCTTCACTTTCTTCATCACCTCCTCCTCAAGTCACTCCTCGAGCAGAAAACTCAAGGTCATTGAAAAGCTCTCTTCCTACCTCTCCTCAAGTCACTCCTCGAGAAGAAAAGTCAAAGCCATTGACGAGCTCTCTTCCTCCCTCTCCTCCTCTACTTACAACTACCCTCTTACAACCACGACATACTTGTTCTACCAACCACGCCGAACTTGATCAACAAGCCAAGATGAAGATCAAGTGCACTTACCCAGACTGCTTCCGGCACTTCTCCTCGAGAGAGGCCATGACAACGCACAAGATCAAAGATCCAGACCACAGCTACTGCGAAAAATGCGATGTTGACTGCGAGGATGACATGCTACTCTTTATCCACCAACTCGGCTCTGCTGCCCACAGTAAGTATTCACCTACGATGTGGCCTTTCTCATGCTAACATTGTCTAGTCTGTTGCCCTGTCTGCGCCCTGGAGGTGAGTTCTTGCCGGTCGACCTCTCGAGCAAAGTTAATCTGATTTCATTAGTTCAAAACCGCCGCAGGCAGAGATCGACACCTTGAACAGGTATGTCTAAGAGTCATACTCCTGCAGACAACCCTGCGCACTATTCTGACATAGTTTAGAATCATCGAACCGCCCAAAAGCTCGACTGTGCTGGCTGTCAGGAGAGATTTACTTCTGCCTCGGCCCTGATGCACCACATTGAAAACGACGAATGCTCAGTCATCAGACAGACGGACTTTCAGATGCAGCGGGCCGAAAAGCAGATTCACAAAGATGCCTTCTTGGCCAGCGGAGAACCATTCAGCACCACCGCCTCCGGCTACTACGACCCTTCCAATCTAAACGCAAACAATGGTACAGACCTACTCGGCGCTAGAGACGTCCACGATTCGAGCAGATCTCTCAAGAATGCCTTGGGGGGCCCGGTTCTTCCTGATTCGTACGAGCAGTTCCCTCCACTCTCAAAACCAACCGCACCATCCCAGGCAACCGAACAACCAACCCCAACAAAGTCTGCTCTTGGTAACAATGCGCACGACACAGCAACCAACCTCATGGATTTCGATAAGGTCGAAAAGGGCATGGCTGGCTTGGAGGTTGGCCACAATGCTTGGACCAAGTGGGCTCAAGGTGGAAAAGCGGCAGACAGCCAAGGTTACATCAAAGGTTGGCTCGCTACGATGAACAGCTCGAGCAACCCGCCAATGGACAATGTCAGTGAGGTGGCTTCCATGTACGACAAGAAGGCTGTCTCGACCGTCTCTGCAAATATTCCTCCTAGTGTCGCTCCGAGTGTCCCTCCCAGCGTCACTCCTAGTATGCGGCCTCCTAATCCCAATCCATCGACGGTTCACGAGCGCATCATCCATATGCCGGCGCACTCGATCGTTTCCACCAATGCCCCATTGGATATCGAGCTGTTCTTCGATTCTCTGCACCAGAAATACATCTGCCCGGGCCAGAAGTGCGGTCGACAATTCGCAACGCCTCACAACTTCCGACAGCATTTGCTCACATCGGCTCACGTCGGCGGACAAGTTACTTGTCCTACTTGCTTGAAGCGATTCGCCACCACCTTCGCATGGGTTGCTCACTGCGAGTCGGCCAGCAAGAGATGTGACATTCGAAACAGCACCAATTTCAACCACGTTCTCCGTGAAATCACTGGTGGTGTCTTGGGCGCCCAGGGATACATGGAGGATGGTACGGTGCAATATGTCGCACCTAAGATTGAGGATTGGTAGGAGCAGTAGAAATGCAGGCATCCAATGTTCGCAGGCAAAACACGATATGGCACGAACGCGGCGGACATGCAGACGATTCCCATTCATCAACGAGCTACGAAAACGTGCATGGAGAGGTTATGACGACAACATTAAAGCTCCTGGGCGATACTCCTCATGGATAATGACAAGACACGACAGGGAAAGCTGGCGAGAAGGCGTTGATCCAGGCTATGGAAGGCGCCAGGCGGAAGGCGAAATGTTTCGAGTCTGGCACTAAGCAGTGCTATTATCTAGTTCTTTGCTGGTGCTTCTTTGAATACCAGCATGGTGGCAAGCGTGGTTCAATGGGGCTGGCATGCCACATACTTCGCTCTGTACGTGTGACACACAAAACGAAGGCAACATGCAACAAGCGACACTGAGCTGCCAGGAACAGCCCGGAGGGGCAGGATCGAAGCTGGCTGCAAGGCAGCAGACCAAGTGTAGATAAATATTACTGAGCCAGCAATGAAAAGCTTTCCAGAGAGCGAAAACTATTATGTCGTCGAATTTGTTTCACTCGCTTACGGTATTTTCCCAGTAAGATATCAAAAGCCAACCGCCCACATCAGCCAGATATCCAGAAAGGCTAGTATGTACGACGTAAGGTAAGACGACCTTTGCATAAGGCGCCACTGTTCCGTTTTGCTTCTCAATTGTCCATCAATATACACGATATCACAATACCATGACAGAACTGACTGTGTGTAAACAAGCACCCCAATGCCAATGTCACGCTTCCGTTTCCGTTCTCGGGTCCAGCGAGCAGCTAGTATGTATCTCTCTGGAAGATATCTCCCACCATCCTACAATTTACTCACCCTCCCATCCATCCCAAGCCTACACAAATACTCCTTCCCAACCCCTTTGACCTCCGTAACCCCCGCAAGGCCCATACACAACCTAAACTCATCCATCAACAACCTGAGACACGACTCAACCCCCGCCTGCCCCTTATACGCCAATCCCCACAAGATAGGTCTTCCAATCCACACAAAATCCGCCCCAAGGGCCAGAGCCTTGAACACATCCGACCCATGTCTCACGCCGCCATCGACATGAACAGGAATCTTTCCCTGAACCGCATCCACGACTTCAGGCAACGCATCGAGTGTCGCAAGGGCCCCATTAAGTTGTCGACCGCCATGGTTCGACACGATGATTCCGTCGACGCCGTGGTGGAGTGCCAAAAGGGCGTCTTCGGCCGTCGCGATCCCTTTCACCCAGACTTGCATTTCGGAGCCGCATACTTGGCGAAGCCAGGGAATCGATTCTTCCCATGTTAGTGTGGGATTGGGCGCGTGCGTGTGGAATGTTATGGGGCCGGATGGAGGCGATCTTTTGGATTTACGGACCGAGGTATCACCCTCGGTATTATTGTTGGTGGTGGTGGTGGTGGTGCTAGCGGTACCAATACTACCACGATCTTTCGTATCCACCACACTGGCATCATCAACATCATCTTCGCCCTGTTGCGCAAAATTGGCAATCTTCAAATGTCGCGGTAACTTGAACTGGTTCCGGATCTCGAGGTTGCGACGACCCAGCATTGGCGTGTCGACCGTCAACAGCACAGCTTTGTAGCCGGCCCGTTTGGCGCGGTTGATTAGTTTGAGGCTGTGTTTCCGTTCTTCGAAGAGATAGAGTTGAAGAGCGTAGGGGGGATGATCAGCACTTCTTTTTGTGCCACTGGTGGTAGTGTTAGGGTTGCCGTCGGTCGACTTCCCTTCGGTCGTAGGCCCTCCGGTGGTAATAGCATCAGCAACATCCTCCAACGTACTCGTGGAAAAACTACTCAACCCCATAGCCACACCCTTGGCACGACACGCGCGTGCAGTGGCGATTTCGCCATCCTCGTGGGCCAGACATTGCATTGCCGTGGGGGCCACGCCAAAGGGGACGCTGACGCGGGTGCCAAAAACGACGGTGCTGGTGTCGATGGAGGATATGTCGCGGAGAACTCGGGGTCGGATCCGGTACCGGCGGTAGGCGGTCATGTTTTCCTTGAGCGTGCTGCCGTCGTCGGCGCCTTCATTGTAGTAGTCGCGCGTTTGCTTGTCCATGCGCTCGTAGGCGAGGGTTTCGAGTTCGGTGATGGTTAGGCAGTTGAGGTCGTGGGCGGTTGATTGTGATGAGGAGGATGATGATAGGGAGGATGGTGAGGATGATGAGGAGGGAGGAGAGGGTGAGGTGGAGTTGGTTCCTCCTCCCGTGGTCTGAGACTTTGGTTTGAGAAGCGTCATTTTGCGTAGATAAGGTGGTCAATGATGGTTCTTTTTGGAGTGGTTGATTGTTCGGTAATTTGGGGTTGGGTCTGGGTCTCGGCTGTACTTGAAGATGGATTGGATTGTAGAGATGACCGGGAATGCCACTCTGGTTCTTGCGGGTGTCTGATAAAAACAAGAGCCCGCTCTAGCCCGCTCTAGCCCTCAGAGCTCGAGCTGAGTCGAGAAGTTGATTTGACTTCAGTGCCGAGACGTCTGGTGCGGTGTATGCCACAAGCCGCAAGAGGAATGTGTATGTGTATGTGGCAGTGTGTTATAATGTATGATAGTATATGGTTATGTCGTGCAAAAGAATATAATCGGAAGATGTGGTGAGCGGAGATGAGCAGAAAGGTCAAGGCTCAGAAATATCACTCGTCAAGGATGGTCTCATACACCCACAACCGGATTCCGAATAGATTTGTCCAAGCTCATAAAGCACTTATAATATGACTGGAGGTTCCAGAGCGGTGTTTTGAGCTCTCAGGTGTAGTCTGCGCGGCCGATGATAACAATGAGAAGCTGTGGTTGATACCTGGCGCTCAAATTGATGGTGTTGACGGTGTTAATGATGACGTTGACACTCCCCGACACTACTACCTACCTTAGGTAGTGCTAGTAGCAGCAACAAACGTATAAAACAGCCAGATGGAGAGTCAGACAGACGGGCGGAGTGGTAGGTACCTAGCTACAGTATGTGTACAGCTAGGTAGTATACCTATGTACTTGTACCTTGTGTCCTTGTAGCACAGGCTCGTAGACGAGTACCAACATAAATACAACTGTAGTCAAGACTTGCCTGTGCGTGACCCTGAGGCGAAGTCGGAGCTGAATGTGGAGTGCGGAGACTGGAGATGGAGCGGGAAGCCGAGTCGGACATGGCGGCCGATTTACGGAGCGCGCGAGATGATGGCCGGACCTCTCCCCGATGGACAGATGTACTGTGGACTATGACAATGGCCGAGTCATTCGATAAGCGATCAAGGGCCGTGTCAATTGTCCAAGTATTCACAGCGGCGTAGGTCATGTCCTACCACGCGTGATCAGGGCGGTATGGACGAGAAACGGTATTCCATATGCCGAGGGAGACGGGGCAAATCAAATCAAGGGAGGCCTTGCGAGCCCAACGCTGATTCTAGCCTTTATCGAGACTCAGCTGTAACATAAATAAAATACATAGGTATACAAGCACTAAATAGCAGTATTCTCTGCCTATTTCGTAATCATGGGCATCTCCACCATCGCCGGTCCTGGTTCAAAATCCGGATCTGATTGAGGGATCAAAGTATGCGAGGCCGAGCGGGACTTGAAAAAGCCAGTGCAGAAATACAAATAACAACCCGCTCCACCAAGGACAATGCCGACAAGCCACGCAGCAAAGACGAGAAGGCCGCCCAAGGAGGAACGGGCACCCATAAAGCTCAGTCTCTGCAGCAGTCCCTGGGCACGAGTCGGCGCCTTCTTCGGCGTGACTGGACATCCGCCCCGGACGACATTAGACATCTCTGCCGTCGCTTCACCACGACCCTTGGCATTCTTACACCCGGACTGATCGCAGTTCTGTGCGAGGAGCGGAGACGGAACAAACGTCCTGACGCCGTTGTCTGCCGACTTGCGGAGCGACTTGCCGTTCTTGTCCAGGGCCTCGACCATACCAAAAGACCAATGCCCAGGGGCGTTGAAGCTGGTCTCGAACCCGGTCTTGTTGACGGTGCCCAAATTGGTCCATTCGGCATCACAGCTTTGTCGGCCATACATGCGCCATTGAGCCACTTCCGTCGCGCCATTCCATGACATGTAGAACATGGTTATGGGAGCACTGGCGCTCAACGCGTAGGTGTATAGAGCCGGGTTATCGATCGGGTTTGATGTAAAGTTGAACTTGTATGATCGGTAGATATTGGCGCCGCTGGCGTTGATCTTGGCTTGGAACACAATCTCACCCGTGGGCAGGTGCTCGGTCACGTAGGGCTGTTGGCCCCAGCCCAAAAAGACGTTTGCCTTGGTCACGTCCTTGTGCTCTCCCAATAATTGCACACTGCCCTGCGTGGCTGCGAGGTCCATGTCCTTGGGACCGTAGAAGACCGACATCAGGCTGGCTCGTGGAGGCGTCGTGTCATACTCCAACTTGATCATCTTGCCGGATGACCTGAGCGCGCTCTTGTGGAACCCATCATAGGCGTTGTCAAAGAGCGTGATGATTTCCGTGGTGGCATTGGACCATCGCCATCGAACGTGATGTTGGTAGCCGAACAGGACGCCCGATTGTAATTTGAAATCCGACTTCTTGCCCCCAAGCCGCCAGATGATATGTCCATCCTTCCCACTGATCTTGTAGATGGTCTGTGTATGCCGACACGATATGATATAGTCGCCCTCGGGAGTTTGATCCACCGCGTTGAGATGGAGGAAATCCCACGCCCCGCCAGCATCCAAGCCATTGCCGCCCGCGGCTCCAGACGTGCTGCCTACTGGTACGTACGACTCGGACGGGTTGACGTGGTCAAGGGCAGACCATTCAAACAGCAATTCACCAGTCTCCACGTCGATCTTTTGGAACAGTCCGTCTCGGATCCAACCTTCACCTTCCGTGATTCCATATTGGCTGAGATCGTATCGTTCAACTTGGTAGATATCCACAATCATAGACCGGCCATCGTCCACCAGATTGCACTCGTGCATGTCGATTGGAGGTCGGCCATTTTGCGACTTGACCGTCGCCACCGGCACCAGCTCGTTGCTGTAGATGTGGACGTCGCCGGCGTAGAAGGTAGACCACGATTCACCACGGAAGAAACAGAGATGATCCTTGCCCTTGTACCGACACACCTTGAATGAGTGCATGTTGCCGCCTCCCATTGAGGACAAACTGGTCCAGATCAGGTGGCCATGATTGTCATAGATGGCCGCTCCGGATCGTCCGATATGATGCGGAGCCACGAAAATATATCCAGGTGTGGCGCCCTCTTTCAAGACGTCGACCTGTAAGATAGGTGGAACGAGTTCTGGTCGAGAGTGGAAAAGCTGGTACTCTTGCGCGGCCGACTGCCGAAGAAGACAAAAAAGCCAAACGAAACAGAAAACGAGTGTCGGAGTCAACATTTTGCTGTTGTGAAAGAAAGTACGATTCAGACAATGGTGGATGGTCAGCCACCAGATCAACAGAAACGAACGACGACAAGGAAATTCATGAGAAGAAACGAGTGTCCATAAACCGTCTGGAGAGAGCCATGTGTTGGCGGAGGCGAAGATAAAAAGGACTGCCGACAATTAAGGTCAGTGCTGTAGGTCAGTGCTGCTGGGACCCCATTTTCCATCTAGCCCCGTCAGTTAGAGGTCAGAGTACAACTCAAAAGAAGCGAGGCTCGAGCACAAGCCTCGCTTTGAGGGGAACTATCAGCACATTCGTACAGCCCTATACCGCAAAGAGGCGCGACGACGGGCGCGCACAAATAAAAAGGAGGCTTTCTCTTTCTCGTGATGGTCTGGGCAGGGGCTTTGACACATGACAGCTGTCAATATACGCGGCTGGTATATCGAGGCTGTCACGGTCGGCTTTGCCGTTACTGACCTTTAGCTTTTCGTGAGACCAGTTGAGGGATAGGCACGATTTTGAAAGTACGATTTTGCTTCACCAGCAACTTGCCGTGTCTTTCTTGGGGTCTTGCCTGTACTGGCCGACTCCCCCCGAGGCAGCGTTAGGGTGGAGTTGCAGATCGACCGTTGTGGTCCTCGTAGCCTGTAGAGGACCCTGGGGCGGAGACTCCGCTTCGTATCACCATCGTCTCCCTAACGGCGTAAATCTCGAATGTGGCTTTTTGCCCCGATTGCCGTCGGCGCCCGATAACCGCAACGGAACCACTATGCACAGAGATGGACAACTATGTGGCACTGTGTGGTACGTAGTTAGACAGCCTTCCACCCCCAATGATGGCTTGGCAGAGGCGAATCAAGGGATTGATGTACAGATGACAGGCGGTATGGTCTCGCTAAAGCAACATTCAGGATCAGCCTGGGGTGAGTCCATACAGGAGTACAAAGTTGTACCTCAGGGACTGATAAGACGGTCACGGGTGGCGGGGCGACGAGGACACGACGAGGCTCAGGAGGTGCAGCCATCGGAGCTTGAATGTTTTGCCGTACTAGCATTGGAGTCCTACTGCTTCGCCGGACAGATCCAGCTCTAAGGGTCGGATCATTGTCGGGCCGGTATCGATAAGATTGTGGGCAGAACACGTTCAGGTTCCAGCTCAGCGCAGACGCCGTACTCTAAATGTTTCCGTACAATGTCCCTAGGTATGTCCACCACATATTGAGCAGCGACGTCGTGGGCAGAAGCTCTTGCTGGGCCGTATGACTACGCTATCGACCAGTTGAGAACTTCTCAGTAGCAGCAGTGTTCAAAGCCCCCCGAACTGCGTCACCTCTTATGCTCTCCAGATTGCTGCCATGAGCCTTGCAACCTTTCCTCTATGCGACCTCCTTACCAACACTAAGCACACGAAATGGATAGCGCCATTGATCGTGGCAGGGGAGGCTGCCTTGTGCGGGCTGATTATATGGAGGGTGCCATGTGCGTAGACTCTGCGTACTCTGTGTACCACAAAACCTAATCCATAGTGAACAGACACGGAAATCGATTTCACTACATACATGGCTCAGGTCAGCATGTTTCTCGACGGGGAGAGAGATTATAGCAAAATCACGGGCCCAACAGGCCCTCTCGTCTACCCGGCCCTCCATGTTTACATATACACGGCGCTGTACTACCTGACCGACGAGGGCACCAATATCCTGCGCGCACAATTCATCTTTGCCGGCCTCTACCTCGTCACCCTGGCTGTTGTCCTGGCCTGTTACAGACGAGTCGGAGCGCCGCCATGGCTCCTGGTCCCGTTGGCGTTGAGCAAGAGGATGCATTCTATATTTCTATTGAGACTGTTCAACGACTGTTGGGCAACTCTGGCCCTGTGGACTGCGATCTACCTACTACAACGACGACAATGGCGCAGCGGTGCATTGATATGGGGCTTGGGATTGGGTGTGAAGATGACTCTGCTTCTCGCCGCACCGGCCATTGGAGTCGTCGTACTTCAAGGAAGTGGGACACGGCAAGCCATATGGTCCGGAATATCCGTCGCTCTCCTGCATCTCCTGTTGGCATTGCCCTTTCTCGGAAAAGGCGCCAGTTCCCAATATTTCCAGCGTGCTTTCGACTTTGGAAGACAGTTCTTGTTCAAGTGGACGGTCAATTGGACGTTTGTCGGTCCTGAGACTTTTGCATCTCCCTCTTTTGCCGTTGGTCTGCTGCTCCTCCACGTTGCCATACTCAGTGTCTTCCTTCAGAGCAAATGGACCAAGCCCAGTGCCTGTGCCATATCAGATTTTGTTAAGAAATATGCAGGCTCATTGCGAGAAGATGAGCACCTGCGGATTTCTTCCAAAATCACGCCCACCTTCGTTATGGACTCGGTCCTGGGCAGTATGGTGATTGGAATGCTGTGTGCCCGGAGTCTCCACTACCAATTCTTTGCGTATCTCGGCTGGGCAACTCCGTATATACTCTGGAGGGCCGGGGGTTCGCCTGTTTTGGTACTGGCCAACTGGGCAGTGCAAGAACTGTCCTGGCTGGTTTTCCCCAGCACAGATACCAGTTCCATGCTTGTGGTGGCGGAGTTGGCGCTACAAGTTGTATGTGCACTGGTTGCACCAGCGGTGGATCATATCAGTCCGCCGAAGGCGCATGACAAGACCAGCTGAGAGGCAGGCTCTTGGCCAGATGATGAGCAATGCACATGCACTCAGCCCTCCTCGTCCTCACTATCTGATGGCGGCATCTTTCCTACTAGTGATTCTTCCTCGTCACTGTCCTCGGATACCGTCTTCTTGACGAACTCGGACGGCCAGTAGGGTTGCTTGCGCCAGGCTTTCTCATCCCGAACAATGTTCACAATGACTCCCTGTATTTTGTTCGACCGATCGCTGGTAGAAGTGTCTACCAGAACGTATCCGCCCCGCTTGACGAAAATGGCGTTCCGAAAACGGTTTTCGAGTTCGACGAGAAGGGTGGAGGAGTCTGGGGTTTGCACCGTATACAGGTCCTTGCCGTGGAGCTGGACGACGCGGGCAATTAGTTGACCGGGAGTCAAAGAGTCTGGCGGGGCGAGGGTCTCTTCGGCCGTCTGACGGAGCTTACGGCGAGACATGGCGCTGGGCAGACAGAGGAGGAGAGTAAGACTGGAGAGACTGCAGAAGTAGCCCGACGCGGCCGGATAAATCGGGGCGGGAGTGAGGACCTGACGCTACTAGCACTCGGGACGGTCCAGCTGACGAGCTGCACCAGGTACAGTAGTAGGTATCAGGGTATATTTGGCACTGCAGCTGCAGAAGATTGGATTGATCATGAGTGAGTGATGGAATTGATGATGGATGCTGAAAGTTGCATCCACGCCTGGCGGCAACTTGCCCGATATGGCAACCGGCCCGATGTCTGTGCTGTCAATGGTTTCCGCCATCTTCAACTTTTTTTGCTGTCAGCTTTTCAAGTCGAGGTTCTCCACTGATCAGAGTCGACGGCAGCCTCCCAACCCAAACATCCAGCCTTTATCTCGCATCCACCATGGCGCATGCACAGGCTAAATATTGCTCAACGGCTCCTCCACTCTTGTCGTTCCCTGCAGACCATGGCAGAGTTTTCTGCGAATCAATTCCATTTTGCTTCTATTTGGGTGCTCGTCGCGATCAGTTGTCTTCCTGATCCACACCGCATGCAGCCCGCTTAGGCCACATCATGGCTCCCACCGGCCACGCTGGTCCCTTGACTCCAGCACATGCTGATGATATCAAACTCTAGTACGCGCTGTGCCACGTATCTATGCCATCCCACACTCTAGCAGGCTGAAGCAGTGTGGATCACCGTGAGTCCAGACGAAGATACCGGACCCTGTATATCAGTAGTGTGGTCCGCTCCGCATTTGCCTTCTTATTACTACGTCCTCGTATGTCTTTACTTTTTCTGCTGTGTTTCTCTCTGTTATCTCTTCAACCATGGCAGCTCAGACATTCGGCGCCTTTATCACCCATGAAAGCGATCCCAGTTCTCCCCTTGCAGGACCTCCTCGGATTGTCCCCAGAGACAAGATCACGGCCGCTGCGCCTTCAGAGTATGAGCTGAACGAACTGCAATGGGGTCGTCGTCTGAATGGCCCCCAGCGGGATTACTCGCGGGATACCTCCCCCATAGGTCGATCTCTTCCTCAAACCCCTGGAGAACTCGAGCAAAGTCAACCGCCAACCCCGAAAAGAGATCAAGCCGTTGATGCATTGATTCAGTCTGCCTGGAACCCACCCAAAAACCGATGGAGGCTTGCCTCGGCCAGTCTTGCATTCTTTCTGATGGGAATCAATGATGCAGCCACGGGCGCGTTGATCCCGTATGTGGAGGAACAATACAGCATAGGTTATGCCATTGTGTCCCTGATTTTCGTCACCAATGCTGTGGGATTTATCAGCATGGCTCCAGTCTCCCAGATGATCGAGGCTCGTCTCGGCCGAGCTCGTTCTCTGATGATTTCAATGACTTTGCTGAGTATTGGCTATCTTGCCATCATATGTACTCCGCCCTTTCCTGTCATTGTTGTGGCCTTTTATTTCATGGGATGTGGCATGGCTCTATTTCTGGCCATGACCAACGCCTTTATCGTCAATCTCTTGAATGGCACAGTCATTTTAGGGTTTTGTCACGGTCTGTACGGGGTGAGTCGTTCGACGTCCAGACTTTCGATTACAAAAACTAACTCCGAAACAGCTTGGAGGCATAGTATCACCTCTGATGGCCACGGCAATGGTTTCCCATGGTGTTCATTGGGCATACTTCTACGCAATCCCCCTGTCTCTTTCGCTATCGTCCATTATATTCGTTGGCTGGTCTTACAGGGGCTTTGAGAATGACACTGCTGTACGACTCCTCACCAGTCTGGAACGTACAGCTTCACGCCAGGCTTCGGCCTTGGGCGAGCCTACCAAGCTGCAATTACTGAAACGGGCACTAAAGAACCGTACCACTCTTCTCGGTGCCACCTTCATCTTGTGAGTAACCCTTGAACGACTTGAATGCTGCAACCTGATTATTAACATGCCTGCAGTTTCTACCAGGGCAGTGAAGTAGCCATTTCAGGCTGGGTTATCTCCTACCTCATCCACTATCGAAAGGGAGATCCTTCTCAAGTGGGCAACGTCACCTCAGGCTTCTGGGCCGGCATCACTGTGGGCAGGTTTGTCCTCACCCACTTTGCCCACAAGATGGGCGAGAAGCTGTCGGTCATGCTTCTCATAATCGGCGCGGCAGTTTTCCAGCTTTTGGTATGGCTGGTCCCCAATATCATTGGAAATGCCGTGGCCGAGTCCATTGTCGGATTGTTCCTGGGCCCGGTGTACCCGTGCGCCACCGCGCTCTTTTCACGGCTGTTGCCTCGCAGCATTCAGATCAGCAGTCTGTCCGTGGTGACCTCGATGGGCTCGTCTGGAGGCGCCCTGGTGCCATTCATTACTGGATTGTTGGCCCAGAAATTGGGCACTGTGGTGCTGCATCCGATTGCCTTGATATCGTTTGCTGCCATGTCGGTGGCCTGGCTGTTGTTGCCTCGGGTGACAAAACCGACAGAGTAGACGTGGTTTTGACTGCTGCATGTGAGAAAAACACGTTCATGACGACCTTTTTGCTTGCTTTATCTAAACGTGCGGAAGAACTTGCTTGGGCTCAGCGTTGCATTCAGCAAAAAAACGATACCGTGGTTGATTTATGGTTTTATGGCTTTCTTTCGGGCGCGACAACTAATAGCAGCTATGCTGGTGAAACGTGGTTATGAGGGAACGGCGTCCATGGCGTGTTCTAGAGACGGCGGATAGAGCAGTTACTATTGCCAATGCTCAATGACATTTGATGTGTCCTTCGACGATCAGTAGCCAAGATGGAGCCAGCCGCCTTTTCGCGTTCCCCATGATGCCGAAGTCGGGGAACGTAGCATTGCATGTGCAATTCGATCGACACCATCTGATCTGCACCGAGGCTTCTCTATACCCACCTCATCACTGACGTGGTCTGGTTACATCCATTTAAGCGCCTCAATGACAGACCTTCTTATACAGTAGGTGGTTTGCCCGACCTCGTGAACTGGCACCCTCGCGAACACAGACAACAAGGAAAAAGACACAAAGCCATGGCTTCCGACGGACATAATGCTCAAAGTCTCCGGCAACGGATGCATCACTGGACGAGCAAAGGATTGAATCGATTGTTCGACAAAGACACAGATACTCCCGACTCTTCCGGTGGTTCAGGTTCGACAACCGCAGTCAACGAGAATCATCCCGCCCACAATGCACAAGTTGGAGTTGGAAGTACAGGCGATGATACGAAGACTGATCCGCTTCGCCTACGGTTCAAGGTGAGCAAGAATTCTCCTTGCTTGGGCTATTCTCCGGCCTGAATACTCAGACCTTACCATATGCCAATGTTGTTCGTTGTCGGCCAGCATGGCATACCGGCTACGGTGGAAGAACTGTCACCATCCTACAGTACCTATGTGCCATTCCCTATCCTATCCCTTGACACAAAACCCACTGGCAGCATCTGGAGATAAAGCATAGATTTATCTACCTGTGGATGACTACGTCGACGCTCAACTTCGCCGTGCGGCGCGGCGGCAGTGAACTCACCAAGAGGTCCCTCTCTGCTCAGCTCTCTGCCCAAAGGAAGGATTAGGAGTTCATCCACTACCATCTCCTTCTGCCCTCTTGACTCTCCAGCGTCTACCTCTACCTGCCTACTTATTCTAGTTACCAACATACACTCTTCTCCTCCCCCACAAGATCAGAGCAAGATTTCCCATCCCTTCCGGATGGATGAAGATCGCTATCCTCGCTTCCCCTGTCTCTGTCTCTCTCCCTCTCAGCCTTTTGCCTTCCTTAGGCAGCTTCTACAATCCAACCCATGTCTAACCTAACCCAACCTAATCCTCTTATCTCTCCAGACTCCTTCTTCTCCTTCGACAGATGACCTTTCGACAACCCCATCCCAATCTCAGAAACCATACCCCCCAACCATCTCCATCGATCGCGTCGACTTCCTCGGCCCCGTCCACAGCGCCACAACCCACGTAAAACGCGACTTAGGGTTCCAAGGCCGATTAGGCGACTACATCCTCCTCAGCTACGGGGACACATTATACTCCAACCCTGAACTCAGCGACGACAACCAATTCCGCGGCATGACCAGCGACTCGTTGGCCCTAGCCACGCACGACCCGTTGGTCGTAGTCGATCCGCCCGACCTACTCAACGAAAACAAATACCCTAGACAATTTTGTCCGCTCGACCCTAATGCGGGAGAGGTTCCGTCCGAATATGCTGTTGGGATTACGAATGTTGTGTCCATCGATACCACCACCGATACTACGACCACCACCACCTCCGGTACTGGCTCCGGTGCTGGTGCTGCTGCAAAAGGTATAATCTACTACCTCCTCAACCACCGCCCCGGAGGGAACAACCACATTCTCGGCGCGGGCGTCGCACTAGTTGAACTCGACGCCTCCACCTCATCCACAGAATACCCGCCAACACCGAGGATCAAACGTCTTCCGTCTCCCCATACTTCGTCCACCTCCTCACCATTGTCCAAACACCATCTATGGTTCGACGGCTCCAGCGAACCATGGTACGGCGACATCTGCGCCCTCCGCTGGCACAGCCACATCTACGCCTACGGCCACGGCGGCGACGATAATCCCTGGGTTTACGTTGCCAGAGTCCCCGTCACTGACATCACCACTCGTGGTCTCAACACCTACGAATACTGGAACGGCGAACACTGGCAGAAGAACCCACTTGAAAAGACTTCCATCGGCGAGAAAGAAAGTGTCTTTTGGCAGATCAATCAGGGACAGGTCGTTTATTCGAAGTTCCTGGCGTGTTTGGTTTTTGTGTATGTTGGTATGTATTGTATACCTTTGTACACCTTACCTACCTTGCCTATACTCCGACACTACAAGTCTACAACAGGACCTTACACCTGACTGTGTCACTGTCATTGTTGTTGGTTCTTGGGTCTGGGACTTTACTTGGCTACCTACCTTACATTACATTAGTACCTTCTTTCCACGTGCCCTTTTTCTTGAGGTGTCATAAGCCCCAAACCTGACCCAACTCGACTGACTGTGAATCTTGTTTTAGACAACTTTATGAATTCCCGCGTCCATCTCAAAACCTCTCAAACCCCCGAAGGGCCATGGTCAGACCCGCCTGTCATGCTGTACCAGGCCACACCTATCCTGCCAAAAGAGAAAATGGGCTGTATTTACGCGGCCGTCCCACATCCTTACTTTGACGAGTCGGGAAAGACGCTGGTGGTCACGTTTACGAATCATCCGAATACGATCCAGGCGGTACGGGTGGTATTCAAAGATACAGATACCTAAGTAACTGGTTCAGTAATCTGACATTTATGACAAAAGACGGCTTTTCCATTCGTTCTATGTCGATGTTTAGCACCATCGTTCACTTTTACAGCCTGGCTGATCTTTGGCGCCAATCGCGTCTATGTACGTAAATCAGCTGGCAGGCCTACATGGCTCAGCGAGAACTTCTCCAGCCTACCTCGATCTTCCAAAATCCGGTGGAGGCGATGGCTTATTGTCCAAAATCTCCTCAATCTCCTGCATCGTCTTGTCATCCAGCTTTTCCAACAACTTCAATGCCTTGCAGTTATCGATGATCTGCTCGACCTTGGTGGCTCCGAGAATGACCGTGCTGACGTTGGGGTTCTTTGCAGCCCAAGCCAAGGCCAGTTGCGACGTGTTGGCCCCCAAGCGTTCAGCAATCGTGGTCAACTTGCGGACCTTCTCAATCTTGGCTTTGCCTTCAGGCTTCTGTAGAGCTTCGATAGTACTACCGAAAAAGTCCTTGTGGTTGGCCAGACGGGAGCCCTCGGGGATGCCGTCGTTGTACTTTCCGGTCAACAGACCAGAAGCCAGGGGTGACCAGATGGTCGTGCCGTACTTGTATTCCTTGTACAGCGGAGCATATTCGACTTCGAACCGCTCGCGGTGGAAGGCATTGTATTGCGGTTGCTCGGCTATCGGAGCAATCAGATTGTACTTCTCGGCAATCAAAGTGGCCTCCGTGATCTGAGCAGCACTCCATTCAGAAGTACCCCAGTAGTAAGCCAGGTTGAGGTTGCGGATGACTTGGGTGAAGCCTTCGACAATCTCCTTCATCGGCGTGGCGTAGTCCGGTCGATGGGCAAAGACAATGTCGACGTATGGCTGCTGAAGGCGCTGCAGGGAGCTCTTGAGGCCTTCAACCACATGTTTGCGAGAGAGACCTCGGGTGTTGGGTTCCTTCCGGCCTGTGCCAAAGAAGACCTTGGTCGAAAGGACGTACTCGTCGCGCGGCCAATCGAGTTCCTTCAGGGCATTGCCCATTTCGATTTCCGACTGTCCATTGGCATATACCTACCAATATGATTGTCAGCAGTGTGATCTTACTGTTATGAGGGCCATGCCCACCTCAGCGGTGTCGAAGAAGTTGATGCCATGGTCCCAAGCGGTCTGCAGACATCTGTAGAGCAATTATTAGAGGTTGTCGCCGGATTTAGCTTGTGTATAGTCACATACTCCTTGACAATGTTGCCCTTTTGTGTACCACCATAGGTGAGCCAGCCGCCTGTGCGCAAATATGTCAACTACTGTCTCCGCCTCGAGTTGCAGTGTGTCCTCCGTAGGAGTGGCCGTTCACGTACCCAGCGAAAAGACGGAGACCTTCAGACCTGTAGGGCCGAGGTGGCGGAAGATCTATAAAAGTTAGTTATATGGCGGTCGAGCTGTTATCTAGCGGTCTGGCACACGAACCATGTCCTTGGGATCAAATGCCGATCGGACAGCCATGTCTGCGAAGGATCTGCGGTGTGATACGGCACGAAGAATAGAGGACGACTTGGATGCGGGGTTGAGGGCCGAGCGGGTGATGGACGAGTATAGCGTGAACTGTCTAGCTGGCCGAACACACGTTTGCATGGGATTATCAAGAGAACAAAAGGAAGAGGAATTTGGTGTTATTTGTACTTGTAGTAAATACAGGGCAGTCGAATGAGGAAGGTGGGATGTACGTCCACGGGGGAAGGAGCGACGGCAATGCAATTGAGTACCTCGCGCGGGGGAAGGCGCGATGACGTGACTTGACGTTGAGATTGAGTTACCGCGGATCACAGTACACACAGTAACTATTCTCTCTATTACAACAGGACCTTCAGACTCGGCTACTCATAGACATACCTGTAGCCACAGTACTCAGGTATAGGCAGTAGTATAATGGTCATGATAACGCGTACCTATGACAGGAACAAACGGAAAACCGCAATGGACTACAACACCCCTCGGTGCCACCTTACGCATGAATTACTAATGCACATTATTGACTGACCATCAGGATCCTCCAGTGCCGGGTCCGCACAACGGTTGTCATCCGCTGCCACACGGTGATACCGGGCTTTAAGAACTTCCACCCGGTCCAGTCAAAACCGCCGTCCAGATCAAGTCATGGTCTCGGGCAAAGTCCCCTTGCCCTCCACCACCACCGGTGTGCTATCAAGATGGACCAACAATAATCTCGCCGGTTGCGTGTCGCTGGGGTTCTTCCATCGATGCATGGTTCCACGCTGAACGAATAGATCCCCCCTGGGCAGCAGTCTCTTCTCACCGGAATCCAGCTCCAACTCGACCTCCCCTTCCAGCACGACTCCGTAGTCTAGTGACACCGTACGGTGCATGGGCGATATCGTGCCCGGAGCCATGTCGACCACACGGAGGACAGATCCACCCTTGATGGTGATTCCCGGATGGCTGTGCAAGTATTGATAATATGCCTCCAGATCCGCGTTGGCCTTGCAATCCGCGGGAATGGTCGGCGTTGCGTACGCCAGTCCAAACGCTGACCCGGGGTAATTGGTCCACGTCGGGAACGTCGATATGGGCGGAGCGGGACACGATGTTGCTGCCGCCGATAAATCTTCAGCGTCGGGATCGGGCGTCTGAAAGACAGCCACTCCGTCGGCATCATGTGTCGTGATGTGGCGCGAGAACTCGGGCAGCCCCTTGACGTTGGTCGTACTTTGGCTCATTTTGTCGCGTTGGTGTTGTGGGGTGTTTTGCCGTCAGTGATGCAATCGAGGGATATCTCTTCCGGCGACGTTATGTCTGCCCCCTGTATAATAGATTGAAGGGCTACAGCAAACTCCGAAGAAGTAAAAGATCTGGGCATCCCTCTGCGAGAGTCCTTATCTTGACTTGCTGCCGTCAAGGTAGCCTAGACTGCGATCAACTTGCAATCTGGCACACGCGTTGAAGTGGGCTGATGATTATGAGCTTGCCCAGTCTTATCTCGATCGGCACACCGTCCATGCGGATTCTGGGGTGGACTTCGGGCGACGTGGGGCACCTGGAGGAAGATCGCTCCATACGCCCCCACACGGCCCAGACAGGGAGCACTTGTACAACCTTGTACAGTTGTCGTGTTTTTCGGCCGAAACACCGAATCTACCGCCGGGGATACAGCCGTGGCTGGATTTCGGTTCAATCGACGCTGACTTTCCGCATATTATTTGGCGACGCTCAGGGACAGGTCCACGGCGTATATGCTCGAATCCGGACCAAAAAAAGTGGAAATGGCAAAGATTAAGGCGGCGTCATCAGGCTTGAACTCGAAGAACACCGTATTGCGGCGCCGCACCTGCAACGCCCACCTCCTTCACATACTCATCCCAATGTTTTAGAAGCTCCTGAAGCTTATCCGAGAAGGTTGCTCCCAAATCATCAGTCTCGCCCGGGTCTGTTTCCAGGTTGTACAGCTGCCACTTTCCTGGCCCATAAGGTTCTGGGATCATGACGGCCTTCCACTCACCCTTGCGGAGCGCTTGTCTATTAAAGAGCTCCCACCCCGTCACTGTATCGTCACCATGGATGTGACGATGTGCATCGGGGTTAAAAAAGTACGGGACCCAGGACTTGCCACGCATGGGCACGATGGGACGACCTCTGTAAACGGACCCTGGATGCTTAATGCCCGCAAGATCAAGAAGGGTTGGCGCAATGTCCATGACCGTTGCAAACTCTTTCTCAATCGTTCCGGCGGCCCTTTTCGCGGTGAAAGCCGGGTACCTTATAATGAAGGGGACGCGGATGCCCCCCTCCGAGGAGAAGGACTTGTACAACCGGGAAGGCGCCGTGGCGGCGGACGCCCAGCGAGGCCCGTACCAGACATAGCTGTTGGGCCGGCCAATGTTGTCCAGACTGTTGTCGTAGTAGCGGTCGATATAGTCAAAGATGTTCTCCTTCACTACGGGGTAGGCTTCCAAAAGCAAGCCCTCGGCACCATTGTCCGACATGAAGATGACCACCGTGTTGTCCAATTCACCCGTCGATTTGAGATAGGAGAGGACCCGACCGATGTTTCTATCCATATTGTGCACCATTCCCGCGTACGTCTCCATGGTTCGTGAGGAGAACTTGCGCTCCGAATCTGTTAGTTTATCCCATTCACGCGTGAGAGGCCGGTCGACGGGCGGCGTGATAACATCGTGCGGTTTTGTGCCTGGTGCGATGATCCCCAGTTCCACCAGGCGCGCGAGCCGCTTCTGTCTTAGAGCGTCCGGTCCCTCGTCGTACAGACCCCGGTATTCCCGGCAGTCTTCCTCTGGGGCCTGTAACGGCCAATGTGGTGCCGAGAAGGGGAGATAGGCGAAGAATGGCTGCGGCCGTTGGCGATCGTCTCGCTGCTCGAAATACTGCAACAGCTTGGTGGTGAAGGAGTCGGATGAGTAGAAGTCCTTGCCCAGATCTGCCGGGGCAATTGGCGTGTCGTCTTCGACATAAAAACTGCTGTTTCTCTCAAAAACCCTAGGGATCTTTTCATGGACCTGCGGTTCCCAACCGTAGTGGTTGGCGGCGCCCTGGTTGAGGGTTAGGTTAGCAAATATTGACCGAAAGCAGGTTCCCGAATCGTTTCCAAAGGGTAATTTTATAATCTATGGATCGAGCATTGCGATGATATAGAGGGCTGCAAACGCGGACTCGTACGTACCGGCAGCAGACTAAACGACCGGTCAAAGCCCCGACGTGACGGGTACCGGTCCGGCGTCATCCCGAGATGCCACTTTCCCGACATGAAGGTCAGATATCCAACGTCGTGGAGAAGCTCCGGGAGCGCCGCTACCCGGTCATTCAAATACCCTTCGTAGCCGGGCTGCCCTTTCTGAAACTCTTGGACCGACTCGGCCATGGCGCCTAGCCCAGCAATGTCTGCAGAACCGAAACAAAAAGGGAGAGTCAGCATGGAGTGCGGTGGTGGTCTTTCATTCGACGCAGAGCGGCAAGGATTCAATGCTTTGTGCCCGGCAGGCAGACGGGAAATAAACGTAGAAGCTTGGTGGTGAAGGAAGAGGTAGGTTTGTAGGTAGGGTTACTCACGGTTGTCGGTGCCGCTGAGCAACATTGACCTGGTGGGCGAGCAGGCCGCCGCGGCATGAAAGTCCGTTAATCTGATCCCGTCGGTGGCCAGGCTGTCGATGTGCGGTGTCTTGATTTCCCCCCCAAACGCCCCGACGTCCGAAAAGCCCAAATCGTCGGCCACGATGACCAGAAAGTTGGGCCGTTTGGGGCTGGCTCCGCGAGACGCGTCGGCGCCTCTGCTCTCACCCATATCTGCGGTTGTTACTTTTGTAGGCTGGTATAATTGTATGACCTTCCAGTCCCTGAGTACAGTCCGCCCCAATGCGACGTACAGTAGCTAGAAGATCACGAGTCTGACGGGCGATGCACTGGCAAAGATGTCAAACTGAGCTTACGACCTATGTCAACATCGAAAGCTTGGCGTAAATGAAAGGATGCAGTGGCCTTGCTGCAATGATGAGAGAACCCTTCAGGCAAGGGGTTCTAGTACATTGACGAAGGATGACAGTATTATATATATTTCGGCATGAGGTGATAGAACAGACGTATGTCGACACGTCGTCTAAAGTGGGTAGTCTGTGTTTCCCACATTAACATACCAACTCCACGCCGGGCACCGAACGCGCTGCGGCTGCGGGCAGCAGAATCCCCGGCCGCCGGTAAGGGGGCCTGCCAGCCTTGCACCGTGTGTTCCAACAGCGGACAAACTTGTAGAGGCTGTCAGGGAGGCCAGTTTGGTAAAGGTTGAGTATCAAAAAGGATCCATATGAGGACAATGCATCTGAATCCGAGGGATGTACCTGGTACCTGGCAGTAGTAGTAGGGTCCGATTGCCTCCTGTACTAGTACACATTAGGGCAATCTGGCCTGGGTTGTCATTGGTGTGCCCCATCACGATAGGGCCATGGCAGGCGCCCCTAAGCCCGCCTCAGGCACTTTTCCAATCAAAGACAAGCCCGAGGGCCCCGAAAAGAGGGGCACATTTGTTTTTTGTCATAAGTCAAACAAGCTAAATTTTCTTTCAGAAATCGCCCACAAGTTGGTCGGATGGTGTAGTTGGTCATCACGTCTCCTTAACACGGAGAAGGTCCCGGGTTCAAGTCCCTGTCTGATCATTCTTGCGAGTTCTCTTTTTGCCAATCTGTTGGCTCCCACCACAAGAAATAACTGTACAGTTTCGGTGTGCAGATTTCTCTTTTTGGGTGGGGAAGAATGGGAGTCTCTGGAAGGAATGCCATTGGACGCACGGAGACGGCTGGAGGTTGATGACTAAGCGTGCATTGTCCGGGCCAACCTCAAGTCGAAGTCTACAACTTGAAACCTGGAATATCTTCCTCCTCATGCTTGTTGTCTAGGAGGGGAACCGTCCTCAGATGTGGTCTTACTCGCGAGTTGCAGGCTGACGATCAAGTGGCGTGGCAATCCATGATGGCGAACCTCGTTGTCAACCTACCTGCGTGGATGACTATTTGGTTTGAGTTGCAACCATAGGGTACAGTATTTCAGTCAATGATATGTAAAGTGCATATCTTTTGTCCCTACATACGAGGCTGAGGACTGGCCCGACAAGCGGGCATGGGAGATTGCTAGTATGTTGCACAAGACTGGCCGGATCGTCGAAACATTTCTTTGTTCACACTGACCAGAGGTTGAGACAAAGGCCAACAAGACGCCTGCAAGCAACATGCAACCATCTGTGAACCGGTTCGGGGCGTCAATAGTGCAACATGTCTTTGTTGTTGCGCTCGATGGCCCCAAGCAGGCAGTTTAAATATCCAAAGAAGTACACCTAATCCGCAGTCAATATACACCGCACTCAGTCTTTCGACTCCTTCTTTATACGGCATTTCGTTCGCTTTCATTTCTCACCCGTCGAATACTCTCCTTCGCCATGCGAGCGTTCAATCTAGCTTTCTCGCCGCTCCTTCTTGCCGCAGTTGCCGGCGTGGTATCCGCGCAGGACGAGGCCACCGTCTACGATACCCCTGTTCTTGCCGAGGCTAGAGAGCTTCAGAAACGTAGCCCTCCGGCAGGCGTATATGTCTGCGACCAGACCAACTGGCACGGCAAATGTGCCTGGACCAAGCTCAACGAGGGGGTCTGTATGAACTTCCCTTGGGATGCAGGCACCTCTTTCGGCGTAAGTTGACTTGGTCTTTCTTTTCATCTCCCGCTCCGGCGATTGGTTTTATCGCCCATTGCATTGCCGTGATATGGTTGCTGACTTCTGTTGTGCCACAACGTTTTAGCCTCCTCAAGGATGGCAGTGTAAGATCTACTACGGCGGCAAATGCACGGGTGCCATGACCGACGGTAAACTCACCTATCCCGGGACGCCCAATATCGGGGCTACGTACAACAATCGGTTGAAGCCGGCTTCGTATAAATGCCGTCCTTGCCCTGCTGGATCTCCTTGGTAAGTTTGGAACCCTGTCCCTTCAGAACCGCGAACCGTGGTTGCAATGCGAAGCTATGTTGCTGACCGAGTGGATTTGATGCAGTATCAACGGCAATGCTCCAGCTTACCTTGAAGCCGTGAGCAAACATGGCGAGAAGATGCCCAACGGGAAATGTAAAATCTTCCAGAGCGGCGACGTCCACGAGGTCCCTTGTTAGATGGTTTTCATGTACAGTTACCCTGGGTTTCGATGGGCTGCCTGGAGTAGATATTGGAGGCATTGGGCTGGCTTTCTGAAAGACTTTCGGAGTAAAGGGGAGTCTGGATAAGTGGTGGTCTCATTCTTGTCGCTTGGTTATGGACAACAATTTTACCACAATAAAGAAATGATCAATATCGGTGGCAAGTTCGGCTTCGTTTTGTTTATTGGTACAAAAGTGGAAGCTGCTGACAGAGAAAATCCGGGGAAGAAAGCGGAATAAATTATTATAATTTTATTGACGTCAGGCCGGCGGGACAGAAACATTGGCGTCCCGCGCGTCACAACACTGGCATCACTATTGTTGCAGTTATACCTTCTCTTACTGTGTAGCACAGGATGTACCATGGGCTGTTGCTCAAGTATTTGCTGAGCATTAATCCCAATCCCAGCCTACTACGTCTATGCTGGTGCAGCTGAAATGGCCTAGTCTGAGCCCGGAGCCAAGCGAGCACTCGTACTCGGCGATCGATTGTCCATCAGTTCTTCGTAGTGGTCGCAATGCCCGCTACCACGCGGAGCAAAACAAAGCAGGCGCGCCTGGAGGACTTCGGAGCGGGAGACTCAAAAAGCGAATCTGGGAGCAAGAATGCGACTTCGGGAAAGACTACAAAGTCTGAGGGCAAAGAGTTCGAATCCAAAGACTCCGCGGCAACAACAAAAGCGAAACAGAACAAAGCAAAGAAAGACGCCCCTGCGAACAAGCGCAAATCAACTGACAGCAATTCAGATGACCAGAGTAAGAAGTCAAGACCGGCTAAGAGACGGCATGTCAAAGCAGAGCCAGAGCCAGAGCCCGAGCCCAGCGAAGGGAAACAAAGCCAGCTCACCAAATCCGGCGAAGTCAGCCCTCCTGACACTGATGCGCCCGAACACAAGCCAATCATGATCAACCGTGCACCCGTCTTGCAGCTATGGTCAGCCTGCGTTGCACATCGCCTGTATCCGGAGTTATCATGGGAAACATGCCTTGCAATTGGGTCAGCTATTTCAACTTTATGCGCCATCTCCAAGGGTCGGTCGATCGGGATGATTGATCCTCCTGACACGGCCGACGAAGAGCGCAAGCAGCGGAAAGAGGCACAGAAGCGGCGCGACGAGGCCGGGGCCGACGACGAGGTCCAAGTCATGGGCTTTCGGCTTCTTGTCAAGGGCGAGGACGTGTTGCTCCAGGGCAAACCGAAGCATGGGAGCGAGGCTCCTCTGAAAGGCAAATTTGGCGGTGACGACGACTATCAACGAGTCAAGGACGCGATGGATACGGCGCTGGCTAGGTGGACAGGCGATGAGGAAAGCAAAAAGGAACTAAACAAGCGCGCTTTCCACATGTACGAGTCTTTCCGTCCAACTGTGCAGAGTGGCCAGGGCGGCTGGGGCCGCAAAGGCCCCTTGAGCATCGACAAGATCAAGGATGTGGTGGAGCGAAAGTAACATGTGCGTGATTGCGAGCAAGCGGAGCATGCAATGGTTCAGCCCAAGCACATAGTGTTCCCGGCTTGGGCGTCGAACCACTTCGGATACCAGACCACGTGGCACGAGGGTATTTCATTGAACACATCGAGACTATCTCTGGCCGTGTATACTGCAGAGGATGTACATGGTAAGTTGAGGTTGGTGAAAAGTGAGTATCAGCTGCTTATCCATGTGAGCCCCCAATCATGTCAAGTCATTGTCACTCACAGTTTCCGGTTGCTTTTTAACAAGGACCTGATTCGTTCTGCCGGTATATATCTCTAGACACCATCCGCCTGTCGAGGGCGGTTTGACTATCCCGCTCGAAATGTACGACTGCCTCGCTCCGGGTAATTTGGTAAGCTGGAGGGAGAGATCTCCAAAAGAATGTCGCTGTGGGGACATTGAACGACGTCCAACAACCACCTCCTTCCAAATCTGATTAGCGCCTCACCTCGGAGAATCGCCGGTGGTTAAAGTCGATGGATAAATGTCGAACTAGGGATACTATGATCATCGTCGCGATCGTTGTCAAGATCCTGCACGAGAGTACATAATGCTTTGTATTGGCAAGATGTGTGCTATCTCGATGCTCGTACTGAGGTGGTGGAAATGTCAATCTCGACACCGTCAAGCAGCCAAACCTGCCTGATCTGAACTGCCACTGCAGCCACCGCGGCCCAGAATCATGAAAGACTTCCTTCTGGCAGTTGCCGCCGTCGCCGTCGCCAGCAGTGGACACTCTTCAGCATGGAGCTACGCGCCCAACACGACATACTCAGCCAAGATCCAAGTCAACACAGCCCAAAAACACCAGACCATGATCGGCGGCGGCTGTTCCGGGGCATTCGGGATAGCATGTCAACAATTCGGATCAGTAGGCCTGTCCTCCGACAAACAGGAAGAAGTCACTCAGATCCTATTTGACGAGAACGTCGGCGGCCTATCGATCGTGCGCAACGACATCGGATCGACTCCAGGCCATGTCGCCGGGGATGTGGCGTCCATCCTACCAGCATGTCCAGCAACCCCAGCAGGACCGTTCAACTACGTCTGGGACGGCAACGACACATGTCAACTACAGCTGACGCAGACGGCGCTGAAATACAATCCCAACATCTACGTCTATGCCGACGCATGGTCTGCGCCAGGGTGCATGAAGACCGTGGGGACCGAGGACAACGGCGGCCTGATCTGCGGCGTGCGAGGCAGCGACACCAGTCCCAACTGTACAGCTGATTGGCGCCAGGCATATGCCGACTACCTGGTCCAATATGTAAAATTCTACGAACAGGAAGGGATCGAAGTGTCGTTGCTCGGCGCGTACAACGAGCCCGACTTCAATCCCATCACCTACGCCAGTATGGAATCGGACGGATACCAAGCCAAAGACTTTTTGGAATTTCTCTATCCGACAGCTAAAAAGGCTTTTCCCAATATCAGCGTTGCATGCTGCGATGCCACGGGCGCCAGACAGGAGCGGAACATCTTGTACGAGCTGGAGCAGGCCGGTGGCACAGATGTCTTTGATGTCGCTACTTGGCACAACTACCAAAGTAACCCGGAACGACCGTTCAATTTGGCCGGCGGCAAACCGAATCTGATGACGGAATGGGCCGATGGCACCGGGCAATGGAACCCTTATTGGGATGTCACTGGCCAGCTGGCTGAAGGGCTCCAATGGGCAATGTACATTCACAACGCACTCGTCAACTCCGACACATCGGGCTACGTACACTGGTGGTGCGCGCAAAACACGACAGGCGACAACGCCCTGATCCGTTTACAGTATGATGACTACTTTGTCTCGAGGCGTTTGTGGGCATTCGCCTCGTATTTTCGCTTCGCGAGACCGGGAGCCGTTCGCGTCGATGCAGACAGTGATGTCGAGAACGTCTATGTTAGTGCCTATGTCAATGAGAATGGTACTATTGCCGTTCCGGTTATAAATGCTGCGCATTTTGGGTACGCGTTGACTGTGAATGTTGACTTGCCTGGCTTGGAAATTGGAGTTGGGAATGGCAATGGCAATGCGACCATGAGGACCGTTACTGCATTTCTCACGGACAATGAACATAACGTTACTATGGTGGGACAGACACAGACCGGCACCAGCGACGGCAGCGGCAGTGCTGGTAAGTTGGTCTCCTTTGAAGCCATGATTGAGCCGAGAGCGACGAAGACTTTCTTTCTAAGTTGATTTCAGGGAAGAAGCAGCGGCGGCAGTGGCATGCGGCGAAATGGAGTGCGAGAGAGACTGGGAGGGAGGACGAGGACTCGCGCGGTAATACTACCAGGGCCACGGTGCGAAGCATGTCCACGTTACGTTACTATTGATTGTGCAGCCACTACAGCCATCTTTGACATACATAGCGGCGGGATGGGCAAAAGCCAGCATTTCATTGTAATAACAAGGTGTGGCCATCACGGTATAAACGCTGCCGACCTTGAAGCCTCCGGGTTTCCCGTAGGATGGATAACATAACAAGCCCCACTGGCAGCTAACCATCTCCAGCCCCGAAGGGCTTCTTCGACGACGTTGCTGCCGCCGTCACATTGAGGACGAGACTGATCGTGATCGGGACCATGTCCTTCCCTGGACGAGGCTGGATACCGGGGAGCATAAGTGCTTCTGTCTTGATGAATGACAGATCTATTCGTTCTCATCCGCTGCGTGATCATCATGATCATTTTCATGACCGTGCTCGTATCCCATGGACCCACGTACTTATTTCATGAGCCTACAAATGTGAGGTTTGTTGTCCGGCGCGGCTGGCTGCCTGGAGGAACTGCCCGGATTTGCCTTGGGCACACTTCCCATCGTAGTAGCAGCATTGTCGTGTCCGGCAAAAGCTAAGCCGACATTTCACACCGCTGCGGCGCCAACTGATCGTTCACCATGCTGGATAACACAGTGCCGTCTCGATAAGCACGGCCGGGCCCAAGTTTTGCGGGTTGTATGAAACCCATCTTTCGCCATATCCGGCAATGAATACACATGCCCCCGGTGGAGCTCAGCATCATCCTCCAAATCCATAGAGCGGCGAGACAAAGTTGCCCAGCTCATGTTCCTATATCAAAGTCAGCATTCTTGGACAAGTAAGCTACAACAGCAGAAAACAGCAAACATACCTTGATGTAATCGCTTCCTTTCTCCAGATACTCTGCGCGGGTAACAGTGGCAGCTTCTCGACTAGGGGTATCGGGGGAGTTCCACCAGCTGGCCGCGCCTTTCCAAGCGTCAAGGATGGGGTCACTGGCCTTGCGCACATTGATTGTGAAATCATCCGGCATGGCAGCGACCAGCTCTGTCTTGAGGCGTTCCTCAAAGGTCGGGAACATGGTATTGCCACCGGTCAAAAAGACATCCGTGAGCAGCGCTTGTTGTTGAGTACGGTCGGAAAACCGGCCCATGACGATCCCTTCGATGATTTCCACCAGCCCGGCCTGGTCGACACCGGCAATTCCTGGCTGAAATACAACCTCGGGCACGCGGATCCGTTCAACGTTCAGGTGGATTTGGTTTGCTTCCCGTTGACTGTCGGGGTCGGCAGGCCTTGCTCCCCGAAGGAATGCGTGCAATACACTCTTGGTCCAGTCATTCTGGGCTTCAATCGTGTCCTTCTCCGAGAACTCGGGATCGAACTCTAGAAGCTCACTCTCCACGGCCTTCAACGCCTCCAAGGGATCTTCTTCGGGTTCCTCGTCGTCACTTGCTGGCTCGGTAGCCACCGTCCGATAAACTCCCCAGTCCTCGTCGTTGGCACCAAAGTCATCGTCGTACTCTCCTCCACCTCTGCGCTTTCTTTTCGGTCCATCTGCGGCCAGGTTGGCCAGGGTCTTCATGCGCATCTGCGAAGCAATGCCTTTGCGGTTTCCCGAATCCGCCTTCTGCCTAGCTTGCTCCTTGATCTTAGCCAGGAGCTGGTCTCGTTGCCGTCGCCGACCCGCGAGCCATTCGTCAAACCGAGTCTCTCGCATCTCAATGTCGCGTCTCTCTTCCTCGGCGGCACGCGCTCTTTCCCGCTCCTTCTCTTCCTTGGCTCGGATCCTGGCCTCGACTCCAGACTTCATCAGTCTTTGGTGCCGCTTTTCCTTGAGCCCCTCCTCGTCCAATTGATCATCCGGCACGTCAAGCAGGGGAAACTTGTTCAGCTGTTCTTCGAGCTTCTCTTCCTCTTCGGGTGCCCCAAGTTCTTTGTTCCGCGATTTTCGGATCGACTTGTCCAGGTCCCGGATGACCCGCTCTAGCGCGGCTTCATCCTTGAGCTCTTCATCGTCCAAGATTCGCCGTTGCTCTTTCTTGGTAGTTGCTTCCAGGTATTGTTTATGCACTGATTGATAGTATTCGAGCTCCTGCTCTTTTCTGATCAGTTTCTCCAGCCGCATTTTTGCAGCTTGCTCTTGCAGACGACGTCCGGATTCTTTCTTCCGCTCCGCTATCCTGGCGAGTTCTTCGGCCGATTTTTCAACCACCACCTGTTCGGTGTAAGGGTATTGGATGATGATATCTCGTTCCTCTTCGAGCCCGGTCCAGTCCAGATAGGTGGCGATTTCCGACGAAAAATCCCTTGACAAATAGCAGTACTGCTTGATGTAGGTTTCCATCTGTTCCATGGTCATCTTGCCAGGAAACGTGGGATACTTGAGGCGCAGAAGCTTCAATAGAAATTCCTGAGCTTGAGAGCCTCCCCAATTCAGGCGGGTACATGATTGCATCTGAGGTTTCCGATCCAATACAGGAATCACATGCGTCGACGTGTGGGAGGAGGATACAATCAGCCCGGATGTACCCTTGTTGTAGCGATAGGAGAACAAACTGTCAATGCCCATGGTGACACTGGGAGCACCGTAGCACTCGAAGAGCATCTCATTCATCATCCTCCTGCTGTGAGGCAAGTTCGCGACGGCCTCCGTGACCACCAACGGTCGACCCACGCTGCCCTGGTTATCGACCCCGAGCTTCAGAAAGATATAATCGTAGATCCCCTCCATAATGTCCCAGTTCGTCGGGATGCTGGTATTCTGCTCGAAGGCGGTCCTGATCTGACCACGCGTCGTCGCGTCGGCATATGCATCGTAGCCCACATAGGCACAGTATTTGTTGTATTTTCGGTCTTTGAACTTGGCCACGATCGGGGGCACGAGAAGTCGCGGGTTCTTGTCGAAGGAGAAGCCGGCTTTGATCGTATGGGCGCCTGTAATATTTGCGCGTCAGCTTGTGTCCCTCCCTCGAAAATCGAGTCAATATTTGCCTACCATTGTCTATTACGATCGCACTCTCGTCCGGAGTAGCAGCACTTTGTCGCCAGCCATCCGGCTGCGGAGGTTGGTATCCTTTGAAAGGAAAGTCTGGGGCAGGGTATATCCGTGGTTGCGAGCGCGTCTGGCCATCGGGTGGAGGCGTAGGCAACCGACGCTCAGAGGCGATGCGGGAGATGTTGGTGATTGTCATGGTGTCTGATTCATTCTAGAGGCAGCGGCTGCGGTATGTGATCGCCCGGGCAAAGCACCCAGGAAGTCGAATGGTTTTAGCCGGGCAGTGGGTAGTTGTTGGAAGACGCGGAAAGGAAACAATTAATTACAGTGCGACATGTTGGTGTTGAAGGGTGAATGAGGAACTTGAACTGCGGGCAAGAATTCAAGTTGGTGGTTGTTGCGCAAACATCCGCGATCCTTCTCGGGCACATGTGGAGAAATATGTGGTAGATCAACTCGACTTACAACGACGCTTACGAAGAATGCTATACTCATACTCCGACCAGAGAAATCCAGTAGACTTTTGCAATTGCGGTGACATTACACATCTGATCCTTTCTAGACTTGCATATTGGAGGCTTGGGCGGCTCTGCCGGGTCGCTGTAGCGCCTCGTAGCAAGGGACAATATGCCTGCCTTTGACATTTTGAAGAGCGCATGCTACATGGCTTCCAATACATACCAGGTAGGCTATGTGCAGCGAGAGCCCTCAGTCATGTGCCAGCCATCATGCAAAATCAAATCCCCTGTTCTTGGATTCTTTGTCTCCAAACCCAGCGCAGTAACACCAATACGTTGCGGCGTACCCGATTACGGCGTGCGCTGGCAGCCTGCAAACAGCGCATGTTTCAACTGTCAGGAATGCAGTTCGAACAGTAACCGAGACCAGGGCAGCCGTCCAAAGTGAGAGATGGGCCGAGATATGATCCTCATAAGGCATCGCGAGCGTCGTTTGATCGTCGTGGAGTCCTTATTCACTCCATAGGGACATTCTCGTCTGCTTCAAATCGGATCCTTGAGGTTCTCCGTTGCTATACCCCTGTCAACAGTGTCCAGACATGAGAAATCTAGAGAAGGTATCCCTCACCTTCCAGGTGGAAGAGGACATTGGATTGGTAGTTCTTGAACATCTGTGCGACCAGTTCTACATTCATGTTCTGGATATTGACCTCCTGCAATTCCTCGTCAACATGATATTCCCACGCTGCCCGGATCAGGCCATACCTGGAGGTTTCTGTTCATCATCGCCACGGCTTCATTCAGCTTTTCCTGCAACGGTGTGGTCTCTCAGTGACAAGGTCACTGCTGGTTATAGATGGGGTCGACGTACGATGTTTGTGATGATCCGGGAGAGCAACAGGCTCTGCTGTTGTTCGTGAGGGCTCTCCTTTACGCGAGTTAGTCTTGAATATATAAACTCCATCACTGTACCTACCATGTCGTCAGATCAATACTGTGTTAGGAGCCTCGTCAGGCCACGAAGACTTGGAATGGGTTGCCAGTTGACCAGACGCAAGGCACTGTACATCGCGTTCCGCGTTGCGGGGGACAGACGAGGCAATAGTGGTTTGCCGCTTTATCATGCTACCCTTCTTTACTAACTGGAACCGGCTATAGGATTACGCCGTTTGGTAGATGCCTCCAATGTCCCTCACTGTACTACCTTTCAGTCCATCGTGCTTGAAACCTACGGCTCAAGGTGTAGTAGTATTTCCAGGTTTGTTCTAGTGAAGGATCCCCTGAGATTTTTGCAGCGTTGCGCTCACTGTTGGGGTTTGAGTCTCCTGTGGACGGAAGGTAGCACAACGCTCTTCCTATACGGGCAGCGGTTGACAGGCGAGCCCCGCTAAGACGTGATCTTTGATCTACTGGGGCACCCAAGTGAGTGTTGCTGGTATTAATAACAGTTCGCAAACAAAGCTCATCGAGCAGCCATCCTACGGTGTTAAGGGTGCAAAAGAGGAAAACAAAAGAGCGCACACCCCCGACTGCTTTTGAATGCCCACCAAAGCTCAGCCTGATCTGGCCTCTCGATAGTTGGTTTTCCGTACTAGTTCTTCCAGACAGGAGCGAGAACTACCCATTTCAAGCTGCAAGAATGTCTTCCACCTCCTCTTCTGCATGCAAGAAGCTGCTCGTCTTTGGAGCGACCGGGCTGGTCGGGAGCCGCATCATACGGGAAATCGTGCGAAACAAGTCCAAGTTCGAGCGGATCGCGGTCTTCACGTCGCCAACGACAGCTCAAACCAAATCCGACCGAATCGAGTCTCTGAAAAGCCAAGGCGTTGAGATCATCGTTGGTGACCTGACCAAACCCGACGATGTCTCAAAAGCATACGAAGGTGACGCCCCTCCCTGGAAGGCAGTGAACCGAGCCGAATCGGGATGCAAATGAACTGACAAAGTCACCACACAGGTATTGATACGGTGATCTCTTGCCTGGGTAGAGGAGCCATTGAGCATCAACTGGAACTTGTGCGACTAGCCAATGAGAGCCCGTCGGTGCACCGCTTCTTCCCATCCGAATATGGCACGGATGTCGAGTACGGACCGGCGTCAGCGCACGAGATCCCTCACCAGAAGAAACTGAAAGTTCGAGCAGCCTTGCGGTCCTGTGATCGACTGGACCATACTTTTGTCGTCACGGGCCCCTACGCCGACGGCGAGCCGGGACTCTACTTCAGCGCCAATTCCGCCGCCAAAGAAGCCGGAAGTTTTGATGTCAAGAACAAGGCTGCCGTTCTACTGGGGGACGGCAACCTTAAGATCAGTTTCACCACCATGCACGAGTAAGTTTGAAAATCTGTTTCTGTTCCTGAGAAGTTCTAGAAAGTCCTGACGAGACTAGTGTGGGTAAATTGGTTGTTCTTGCTGCCCTCCACGCAGATGCAAGCCGCAACAAAGCCTTGCGAGTCAACTCGTTCACGGCCACTGATGCCGAAATCCTCGCGGAGTTTGAGAAGCAGACCGGTGGCCAGCCGTGGAAAGTGTCATACACAAGCCTCGACGAGCTGAGGAGGCTGGAGAAGGAAGCGTGGGCCGCGGAGAAGCCTTTGGCCACCCTCTTCACGCTCAGGAGGATCTGGGCTGAAGGAGGGACTTTGTACGACAGACGCGATAACTATCTCATTGACGCAGAGGACGTCATGGATACCTTGGCCAATGCGGTTGCCGAAGCCATCAAGGTCCAGACTGCTACATAAGCAGGGTGGCCAGAAGAGGGCTGACTCGACGAACTTGAGATAAAAGCATGATATAAAGGCCACGTCTATCGAGACTACTATTGGTGCCCGTCTACAATACCTACCTGGTAGCTAGCTACTCATGGATTCTGCCAATAGCTACTGTACTGCAAGCGTTATTTTGTCCACTGCGACAATCTGCGGGGACATGGAGAGACGATTTCATACCTAGTGACATGGCCGATGTCGCACGTTGCACAAAGACACCATGGCCGACAAGAATACATGGTATCCGTTGTAGATCCAAGCTCCCTCTCCTAGTGTTCCCTGGTATGCATGACCGTTGCGTCCGGTCGGCTGAATAAGGTACATGCTAATCACTTGCTTTTCCACTGGCATGGCCAGTAGCCTTTCCCTTCCTTCATGTTCAGGTACCTACCTTAGGTACCCTCGGATCCCCCTCTCGAAGAACATCCGCATACGGATGTCGGCCTCCGCACCGCGCATCCACCCACAGTCATGAGACCCTCAACGAATCGGGTTTGAAAAGTGGTCTGAGATGCACAACATTGGCAGTCGTCGATTCGCGAAGCACGGCCAATGGGGGCACCAGCACCGAACAGCAACACTCGGCATTGTCCATTGAAACATTGGCACAAGGTTCCAGCCCACCGGATCCGAGAGTGAGCTGAGTTCTATACCCCTCAATTAGATAAACGCGGTATATATATTAATGTCTTCGAGTACTCAATCTCTTGAAAAAAAAAAGGAAAGCACAAAAATAGTGAAAGCATAATTAGTCGACATCAAAATACTATATCCATCATGAAGGCACTCGTCTACAAAGGTAATGGCCAATGTGCCCTGGAAGACCGTGCGATCCCGCAGATCCAGGAACCTACAGATGCCATTGTGAAAGGTGTGTAAATAAGCGCTGCTCTGATCTTCGTGGACCGTTCCATTGGTCAAGACACGACCTTTCCTGCTCTCCCTCTCATCTCACCGGCTGGGATCTGAACATGGCATGTGGCAGTGGTATACACGACGATTTGCGGGACAGACACCCACATCCTGCATGGCGACGTTCCGACGTGCACGCCAGGTCGAATTCTTGGACATGAAGGTATGTAATACTCCCATTTTCGTGGAAGAACCCTTATAGTTCCACCGTTGAGCTTAACCCTTACGGCATGTCAGACGTCCTCGCTGACTGACCATCAACGCAGGCGTTGGCATCGTGCACGAAGCAGGGGCCGGGGTCTCGAGCTTCAAAAAAGGAGACCGCGTCCTAGTCAGTTGCATCACCAGCTGTGCAACATGCACATACTGCCGACGAGCCATGTACAGCCACTGCGTGAAGGGAGGCTGGATTCTAGGCAACACCATCGACGGCACTCAAGCCGAGTACGTTCGAATCCCACTGGCCGACAGCGGACTGCATGCGGTGCCCGCGGGAGTCGACGAAAAGGGGCTGGTGATGCTCTCGGACATTTTCCCCACGGGCCTCGAATGCGGCGTGTTGAATGGAAAGGTGCAGCCGGGGTCGACTGTCGCCATAGTGGGCGCGGGACCGGTCGGGCTGGCGGCGCTGTTGACGGCCAAACTCTACTCGCCCAGTTTGATCGTTGTCATTGATAAAGACAATAACCGACTCAAGGTCGCGAAGAAGTTCGGGGCCGACCACACTATCAACAGCGGGAACACACCACCCGAGGAAGCTGTCATGAAACTCACTGACAACACCGGCTGTGATGCCGTCATCGAAGCTGTTGGCATTGCTCCCACTCTGGAACTGGCTCAGGACCTGGTTGCGCCCGGCGGGACGATTGCCAATGTCGGCGTGCATGGGAGCAGCTGCTCCTTGAAGATTGAGAAGCTGTGGAATGCAAATATCTCCTTGACCACCAGACTTGTGGATGCAGTTACCACGCCGATGTTGTTGAAGTTGTTTGCTGCGGGAAACATTCGTCCTGGAGATCTGATTACTCATGAATTCAACTTTTCGGAGATGGTGAATGCGTACACGACGTTCAAGGCGGCGGCGGAGCATGAGGCTTTGAAGATGTTGATTTCGGTGTGAGTGAGCAGCAGCTGAAACGGGCCCTGGCTGTTGAAAGAATGGGACGTCCACCACTGCATGTTGATACTGTATTGTTTAGGTGATGCAACAAACGAATTTCCTGGACTGTATTGATAAAGCTTTCCTTCCTTTGTCAAGCATTGAATCCCATTCCTTTGGCGTCTGCATCCCCCATTAAAGCACTTTTGACTTCCTCCTCGCCCACCCGCAGTCTGACTTTGCCTGCTCTTTCGCCCCTGCTTCTGGCCTCCATGGCTACGATACCTGCTTCCACAAGTTCCATGGCTGCCGCTCCGAGCGCCAAAATACGCGGCATTGTCGAGCTTGGGTTTGTCTTCTCGCTGTTGTGTCCATCGACAAGGAGGAAGTCGTGGATGGCACTATTTTCTGCCACATCCGCAATCCGCTTCGCTTCGACAATGACATCGCCGAATGTGGATTCTGCCACTCCCGTGCGTCGTGTACGGGCAAGTATGGCGGCGACGAAAAGCTTGGAAGCAAGCGGCAGGGAGCGAAGATGCTGTGCAATAGGTGATGAAGTCGCCTCGTTGATTGCTTGTTTGATCGTGGCTATTGTGACCCTGGCGAGCTGTTGAGAAGAATTATTTCGCTCCGTCTTTGGTTGCTCAGCGTCGTTGGCTGGTCCCCTGCCTTTGCGGCTCGGTGTTCCTGCAGCAACAGCACCGTCGTCTCCATCGTCTTCATTTCCTGTAGGACCAGCTTCATGCTTTTGTTGGGACTGTTCGGCAATCTCGACGGCCCGGCGGCAGATGTCCAGTGCCCGACGTGCGTCTCCTGAAACAGCAGCGACCTTGCGGCTCGCAAATTGTACGGCGTCCTGGTCTACTATATTGCCTGGGACATTCTGCAAACGAGATGAGATGATTTCCATAAGTTGTGTATGCGTGTATCCGGAAAATGTGAAACGCGTCAAACCCAGACGGGAGCTTATTTTGTTTGACAGCGTTCGCTCCGGCAGATCCATGGTGTTGGCGACTGCCAGGACAATAAGTCGGGAATGCCGCATCGCTGGCCAGTTGAAGAAGTTGTACATGACGCTCTGATTCTTGGTGACCAGCTGGTCCAGCTCGTCCATGAGCACGACGCAAGGAATACGGCGAGGAGAAGGATGCGAGAATTCCTGCTCTAGTAAACTCAAAGCGTGATGGGGGCTGACCCGGTCGCCCTTCAACGCTTCCCAGAGTAAAGAGTAGGATTGGTGTGGTTCCGTGACCTTCATGCCGTTGATCTCGACAAAGTTGAAATCGTCCAATTCTTCGTTCAGCACGGCTTGGTGTAATGAAGCCACTACTTCTCGCACAGTGGCAGTCTTACCTGTTCCCGGTGTGCCTGAGATGTAGATACAAGTTCCAGAGCCGTCCACAATGGCGGAGTAAAGGTGCGAATAGACAGTGCTGAACTCATCGGACCGGCAAGGCAAGGCCGTCGGCACAGCAGAAACGTGAAGAGTCGTGCGGGCGTGTGAGTATGGCGTGGACAGGTATTGAGAAGGAGAGAGGACTCGGGTTCCCAGAGGTGTTATCTCGATGGGCTTCTTGATCATGATTCGTTTGTGAGTCGGTGTAGTGTACTTGGATGCTTTCATGGTGGATTTGGGTGTTGCGGTGGTCGAAGTCGTTTTCCGCCGTTTGTGTGGCGTCCTGGGCTCTTCATTGTCTGCCTCTTTCTTCTGCTCGTACTCCTTATCCTCTTCCTTGCTGGGCAGATGCTTTCTCTTGCCCTTGGTCTGTTCCTTGACGAAGTCAATCAAGTCTAACAGATCCTCTGGTCCCTTGTAAATTTCCTCCCAGACGAAATCCTCCGTGAACTGGAGAGTTCTCTGCTTGACCCCACGCCGGCACAGAATCGTCTTTGAGTATCGATTCGCACCAGACTTGGACTTTGGTGGCAAACCACCAGGATACCTCCGAAAGAAGGCGTCTTTTGACAACACTGTGGCTCTACCATTGATTGCTGTCAAAGGGTTCATGTTGAAATCGGCTGTGATGTATGACTCGTTGGGCAAAACATCAGGTCGGATTTTAGATCGCTTTCCAAACGCCAGCTCCTCCGGGGTGCAGAACCACTGAATGTATGCGCACATCTCATCATCTCCGTCCTCGTTGGTCTCTGAAAAGGAGCATATCAGTCCCACCCAATCTTTCCCTTGTTCGGGAGATTTTAACAAGATAGGATCTCCTATTCGCACGACGAAAGAGCCCATACGTGCACCGATTATAGTCCGCTTTTTGGAGGTCTGACTGATGGCGTTGGCCTTTCGCTTTTTCGTGGGCGGCTCTTCGTCCTCCTTCGTTTGAGGTCCGGCTTCGGATTCGTAGATCCATTGCCAGGGATGATCATCGTAACCCAGTTCGTCATCCGAGTTCTCGCGCACAAGCCCTCCTTTGGTGGAATACCTTTTTTGTCTCTGCATGATGTAGACCTCAGATGTGATCTACTCTGGGCCACAAGGAGGAAAGACCCTTGATTGTGCCTGGTTACTTCTAGCGGCCCATCGATTTGTAACTGGGGCTTAAATTTGATCCATGGCCAAAAACGCGTCAAGACGCGTCTTCTTAGTACGCGTTGCAATATAACCAACTTAGGCATAGTGCAAATATGGCCTGGTACGGTAGCGCAGATGTCGTTTTACGAAGTTTCACACTCCTCTGTTCCCTCAACATATCGCAGCATACCACAGGGAGATGAACCAGCTTCTATATCTAAACATCTAACTGACTGGAATCTTCCGAAGAAGAGGTCGTCTTTGTGGGATACGAGCTCTGAGATAGCCAGTGTTGCAGAAGTACATACTCATTTGTTCTGTTCAGTCGATCTACCCGTCTCAAGACAGGGGTGGACTGTCTCGTGAAAGCACTTCTGGTACGGGACAATCCATATTCACTACCTACAATATCGTGCAGGGGTCAACAGCGAAAGTGATCAATGGGCGGACTACTTCGAAGCCTCTAGAATCTTCGATCGACGTCTAGGACATTCGATTACTATGAAGTGTCCCTTGTCTTGTCACTTCTGGCTGTGTTCAGGCTGCTCTTGATATCACTTTGGTCGCATCAACCCGTGTCCTTTGTTTTATTGTCACCTGCGACGTGATCCAAAGCGACGTGAGCTGCCTTGTCACGCAGAGGCATACACGCTAGCGTGACGCTGTACCTATGGGTATAAAGTTTCGTTCACAGTTCCTTCTTCCTCTTCCCTCTTTTCTTCTTTTCTTCTTGTTCGTCACACCGTTCTCTCAGGTCTCTTAGACTGTCCAAGTGTATGGACACTGGACATTAAAGTCACCTGAAGCAAGACGCGGAACAGCAACCATGAGCGAGTGAGTGTGGGCGAAATCCTCCTGCTGGGTTCATCAGCTAACCGATCATACAGCCACGAGGGCGAAGGCCTGAACCTTGACCGTATGTGCATACATCTGAAAGCTTTTGCGTCCAGTCTAACGTCATCACAGGCTGGGAGGAAGCCAGCCTGCCTGGAGCAACTTCCTACTCATACGCTCCCTCAGAGGCCATCAACAAAGGAATCGCAGCTGTCGATGGAGGCTTTGCCCAACCTGCAGGAGCACGTGGAGCCCGAGCCTATGTGCCCAGAGGTCAACCTGGCGTTGCAGCAGAGACTTCTGGCCGTCCAGCACAACAACATTCCCATGAGGCTCACCAAGTTCGAGGTGGTCCCAGCGGTAGACACGTCGCATCAGGAAGACCCCCTGTGAACAAGAGTGCCGCACAGATCCGTTATGAGGGCGGCATTCCCCCAGATGCAGAGTATCATCTCCCTTCAAACTGGCGAGCTCAGAAGACCAAGACCTTGAGAATGGATCGATCCAGTCGACCACACCCGCTGCGCACGCTACAAGATATCATGTTGAAATTCGGCACCTACATCAAGAAGCCAGAAGAACGAGATGACAGGCTATTCATTTGGGGCACACAACAGCAGATTATCGACACCAAGGCTGCTCTTGAAAAGTGGCAGGAAGAACTCAGCAAGAGTAAAGACAATAACCCGAGGTTTGCCAAATCTACTGCCGTCGACGGTCGCTTAGAGCATCGCGTTGAACGACAGAGCAAAAAGCAGGCATTCTATGACCTCTTGAAGCAGGCCTCGATCGACTATCAATTCGAAGCTGCTTTCCTATGGCCTCGGGAGCTGGACATCGAAGAGTTCGCCAACCACCATGCTGATACTCTAGATCAACTCAGAAGCACCTACAACTGCTACATCGGCTTCCACGCTGAGGGGGTTCAGCACATCACCATCGGGGCGCACTATGAGAAGGATATCATGAACATCATGAAACGAGTGTTGAACCTCATCAAGGAGCTTGTTGGTCGACGAGATCAACTGACGAGCGTCAATCTTGTTCAACTTCCCGACTTTTCAGTCTACCGGGATCGTGTTGGACTCGAAGACAAGGACCCCCTGAGCGACTCCTATCTTCCAACCCTGCATGGCAAGCCGGCACCAGACGAAGCTGAATGGGCGAAGGAACGTCGACTCACTAACATCAACAACCGCAAGAAGATGAAGAAGACAATGGACGCAGCAATCAAGCGACTTCGAATCTCCCAACAACACGTGCGTATGAGGGTCGTGTTTGGAGAGCTAGGGTTCAAGTTGTTCCAGAAGCCGTCCGATGGCTCGACTACGTACTCCTTCGAAGACTTCTACCTCATGGCCACCAAAGGTCGCAGCAAGCTTAGTATGAACAGCCTTCCGGTTCGACAGGGCGACATTACCGAACTAGCCGACATTCTTGATGGCATGGAGGAGTTTCATGATGCGGTCGAATCTTATGGCGCATACTTCGATTTCCCAGCTGCAAACAGCCAGACAATTCTTCGCTTGGAAACCGTCATCAACCCAATCGGCGACGACAGCGACGAATACGAAATGCTAGGACGTCGTTGGGTCGAAATCGATCAAATGGTCTCTCGCCTTCAACTCAGTGTTTTCAACTTCGAACGGCCCGACTACCAGATCACAATGGACGCTTTTCCCATGCACGTGAACAAAGCTCGCTCCCAGATGATGGCACAGTTTGGAAACAACATCAGTTTCATCCGTCCTAAGGATGGCATCAAAGCCATGCCTCATCGTCGCATCAGATATCCTGCAGGACAGAGGGGTCTTACAACCGTCTCGGAGATCACAGTGAAGAAGTGGCGATTCAAGGACACCGACGCATTCTTCGAGCTTCGCCGCAAGGAGGTCTACGATGACAGAATTACTCAGTACTCTCCTCACCCGGTCGAGACCAAGTGGCACGCCTTGTACTACTACCCCGAATGGGACAACCTGATGGGCGAATTTGCAAATGTCCAGGCAGGCGAGGACGTGACCTGGGTCAGATCCGTCGCAACGTTCTTCCCTGAAGGCGGTGTCGACGATGGCCGAGCTTTGCCTCTCGGGTTCAAGAAGTTCGTCAGCGAGGTTGAGGAGCTGCAGGATCTGTTGGCCAAAGCTATGAACCAAATCGCCGCAGGTGCAGGTACCAGCAGTGAGGGCGATGGTGCGACCATGGTCAATGGAGCCAGTTCGTCCACCATGATCAGTCAGAACGGACAGGCGTGAGGATGAGGCGCAGTCAGTCAACGCCCGCGATGGCCTTAATCAGACAAGGAATGGTCCAGAAGCCGTGCTGTGTACCTGGCATGCTTATGGGGAAGGGTAAAGTTGACAAGGGAGAGGCGCTTATCCGTCACAGTTTCAGACGGTTCTGCATGTGCATTGAGACCTTAGCGTCTATCAAGGTACAATCGGTACCACTGGCAAAGAATGCCAGCTATGAGTTTTCTTTTTTTCCTTCCTAGTTGATGAGCGCGAGTGCAAAAGTTTCTAGAATGAGAACAGAGATACCAAAAATGCAAGTGCTTCTAAGCCAACATCGGCCCCAAAGGTAGTTTCACAACCGCTAAAAATGCAAGGGGGTAAGCCAGCAGTGTACCAGGCGCGCTAAGCATAGTTCCCACTCTTTGAGACCGTACAATACCTGGTAGGATGTATGTAGCCCACCTAGACTACTGGTGTTGGCTGATCCCAGTCCAGTCTAAAGAAGAAATTCACAAAGCACCCTGAACCACACCTTCACCACCTAGGTACCTGTATCTATATCTATCCAACAGTCGCCTGGGCGCTCGGCTGGTTTGTCGGTGCCGACCCGGCAGCCTGTTCCGCAAGCATTTTCTGCCTCAGCACTGGAAAACACAGTCAGTAAGTCGGCCGACCGTACAATTATCATATGTCCGTTTGGTTGGGTCGGGTTGGATTTAATGCAACGCCGCAGCAAAACAGGCGACACATGATGAAACCGGGAGAGACCGAGGACAGAGGACGAGAGAGTCTATGACTAGGGTCAACAAAAACTCACCATCTTCAACTACCCTTAGACTCTCATTCTTGCCCCCCACAGCCTTTTCAATTTCCAACAGGTTCTTGCCCAAATCGTCCACTTTGCCCGTATAGAATTTGATCCCGTCCTCGGGAGTCTTTTCGACAAAGAAGCCTGTTCCGATATCGACGAGGACTGTAGATGAAGAAGAAGAGGAAGAGTCCGTGGACGTGGGCGCGGCCAATGTGCCTGGGACGTAGAGAGAGGTCGTCAATGGGATGAGAAGGGGAGTTTCTGCTCGTGTGAGTTAGTGGATTGATTTTCGTTTGGCGGATTGATAGACACCGGGCAAGCAATGTGTTGAGTGATTGTGTTGCGTTGGCAAGAGACCATGGCCACCAGCCCGGCGAGGAATATGGTTATCTTTCTCTGGGACAAGGATCCAGGATGTGTGGATAGTTTCTTTGGGTGCAGTGGGAAAAGAAAGGCTGTTCTGCTCACCTCCGCTCTTCCCTTGGACACCCTGCTGAATGCTCCGGATGCAATCTTTGAACCGGGCCTGTGCGGCCCGTAGACGCTGGTAGGATGTGGTCAGGTGTTCGAGCTCCTGTGACAGCCGGGCCTGGAGGGCCGAAAGCTGTTGGACCGAGAGGGTTGTGATGTCGACTGCGTTTTGGGGTGGTTGGGAGGACATTTTGGATGGTTTGGTTCAACTTTGGTCGATAGTCGTCAATATGGACAGTACTGTACGTTTTCCGGGGATCAGTGGCAGCGGGTTTGTCAAGAATAAGATAGTTCACAAAGGTGAGTTGCGCTGTAACAACATTGTAGTTGTGGACCGGAACAAATCAAGGACTGCGCGTAGCGACATGGTGGGGAAATTCTAGGTACTCCAACATCACAGCCTTGTCGGCAAGGCTGCGCTGCGAGTCTGTGGGCACTGATACTGCAGCACTGAATGAACCCGTGGAGCCTCCCTGGTCACCAACGGTACAGACATGTCTTTCTTCATATGCAGGCTTTGTATGTTATACTGATGAAGGGTAATCTGAAGAGGATGCTTAATATGCGGATATTTATTTGTACACTATCTTAAGAGGAGGGTATCTTCTTTTGCTTTTATGCTCCAACCGATCCAGCTCAACAAACACAACTTGAATGTGAGAGTAGTTGTAGGTTGTCCTCAGAGCTTTTTGAGTCGATCACGCACGTATTCCACCACCCGTTCCAATTCCACCTCCTGCTTGATGTTGAGGCGACGGCACTGCACCTCGACCATGCCCCGGTCAAATCCCTTGCCGAGGACGACAATCACAGGATACCCGATCATGTCGGCATCCTTCAATTTCCATCCAAGACCTTGGTCATGGCGGTCGTCGAGGAGAACATCGGCGGCAACGGCAGCAGGTCCTGGGGCGGACAGCTGATCGTAGAGCTGCTCCGCCGCCTGAATCCTTTTCGAGTCAGGCTTTGCAGCCAGGATAACCGCCTCGAACGGTGCAATCACTCTGGGCCAATTGAGGCCACGGTCATCGGCGAGGCACGACGCCACGGCGGCAATCAGTCGAGACACGCCGATTCCATGACAGCCCATTTCGACTGGTACGTTAGCCTTGCCATCCGCGGACCTTATGCTCAGTCCTAGTTTCGAACTGTACCGAGTACCTAGGTGGAATGTATGGCCCACCTCGATGGCCTTGTGCAACTGGAGCTTGCCGCTCGAACACTGCGGACAAGGATCTCCAGCACGGTGCTTAAGCAGATTGATGCGATCGCTACCATCCTGAGGAGCACTGATGATGTAGAACTTGACATTCTTGGAAGCGTATCGTTCCAAGTCCTGGCCAATCAGGTCGTAAACTGATTCGGATTCGACTCGAAAGTCGAGAAGATAATACACCGACGGGCAATTGTCTGCATCATCATTCGCACCAGTAGTGTCCAGCACCCCTTCGAAGTGGGACAATGGCTGCTGCAAACCGGAATCAATCTCCACCACCCCGTCCACAGCTGCTTTGACGGCATACGGGTTCACAGCAACATGAGAAACTGAACTGTCATTCGTAGTCCGCTCGGAAACTCTTGGTGCCATGGCACGGACAAGTTTACGCCCGTCCTTGCTGACAAAGTCTTGATGGATGAGCATGCTGGAGTCGCTTGCCGGTGTCGACGTCGGGCTCCGCGCTGCGATACCCTCGACAGGTCGGGGAGGAAATGCCTTTTGCGAAACGAATTCTTCGTTACGAGCATAATCGCAGTCTGTGCAGGTAATCACAATATCCTCTCCGGCAGCATTGGGAAAGTGATATTCATGACTGAGATTCCCGCCCATGTCACCCGACTCTGCCCTCGCTTCGATATACGGGACGGTGAGCTCGTTGAGGAAATTGCGATATGCACCTCGAGTTTCGTCATATGTTGCATGTGCCTGCGTAGGTGTCGAGTCAAAAGTGTATAGGTCCTTCATAAGAAATTCCCGACCTCGAAGAAGCCCGCCTCGTGGCCTTTTCTCGTCCCGATATTTACGGGTGACTTGGTACAGCCGGACGGGCAGTTGCTGCGGAGAGTGGATCAGGTCGGCGAGTAAGGTGGTTATTTCCTCTTCATGTGTAGGTGCCAGTAGCCAGTCCGTGTCCTTTCGATCCTTGAACGTGAAGAACTCGGCCCCCGGTTTCCATCGTCCGGATTTCTGCCATAACGCCAGAGATGTTATGGAGGACAACGACACTTTGGAAGCTTTAATCGACCTCATATGTTTGTCAATCAGTCGTTCTAGTTTATCCTGGGCACGGAGCCCAAGTGGGAGCATCTGAAAGATGCCGGCATAGGCCTGTCGTAGATAGCCAGCTCGGATGAGGAGCTGCGTAGCATCTGAAACGGCATCTTGCCTTTGCACGTTCACTGTCGGTACCCAAAAATCGGACAGTCGTTGCCGTGAGTCGGTATGCTGCAATCGAACATTTTGACAAGGTCGGCGGAGGAGAGAATAGCTGCCCTTGGCCGACGCTCGCCGAAGGCCATGGTGCTTCATTAGTGGTTAATCTGGGTGTAGGAGTCCTTCCTCCTGCAGCCACTCGTCGCGTTATTCGGTAGTTTAGACCTTTACATGTACATCTTAAAGACCGCTCTATCGCCTCGCGACAGGAAGACACCCAAAATGACAACTTCGAAACCCGAGCATTGGACGTTCAAGTTGAGAGTATATCAAAACTGCATCGTGAACCGTATGGTCCACAGTAGACCTCAGCCTTGCTTGGTTGCTCACGTGACCATGCTTTTCCCTGAACCACGAGATATCGTTCTCGAATCGTGCTTGTACACCTCCATTCTCGGACTCGATATCTCAAAATACTCCATGTAAATTGGATGGCACGAAGCACACTGTTGTGCTCACGCTACGGCAAACCTCCCACCAAAAGTTGCAAATACTTCAGTGATAGTGAAGTTGAAGGGCCGAGCAACGGAGATAGAAGAACTTGGCAGGTGTTAAATCCGTCAGAAGTCTCAATAATTTTTTGTTAGCGTTTTGGCTCTGGTCGTACGGGTTCCAGTCCTTCCAGTACTGATTGCGCCGTCTTTTTAAGGCGAGCAATAGTATAACACCATGTCAAAGGTCGCATCGCGCTCGGGAGCCTCATCAGCCCCAGTGCCTGACAAGGACGGTGTCAGCAAGTCCACTGAGAATTCCTCCGCCCCTTCGATGGAGAACCTCCGAAACCAGATCCAGGCTCGGTTACAGGAAATCGACCAGAAGGGAAAGAAAGGAAAGAAAGATGTTAAGAAGACAGATGTGACTCCCAAAAGCGGGAAGCAATCCAAACACAACACGGAAGGCCCAGGGCGAGGGAAAAAGCGTGATCGCAACGGCCAGGTACTCGAAGATGACAAGAAGAAGAACACCTCTCGCAACAGCGTACCCCAACATGGCGGAAAGATCAATGATGATGATGAGGAGGAGGAGGAGAATGACTTCCGTAAAGAAGTACAGGCACTAGGTGGCACAGCTGACGACATTCAACTGGTTGCGGATGCACAGTCGGATTCTGAGCTGGAAGGAACTTCGGAAGAAAGGACGTCTCGGAAGTCTAAGGCTGACGTCGAGTCTAAGGTAGACATGGAAGGATTGGACAAGGGGCTCAAAAATATCTTGAAAGAGATTGCGCTTGCTCAGGGAGAGATGGACGACGAAGAAGATGAGGATGAGGACGAGGTGGACGAAGTCGATGAGGCCCCCTCGAGTCGTCAACCTCCGAAGGAAGAACAGAAGCAGGAGAAAGAGAAGCCACAGCGCGGCAAAAATACTCAGTTCGTTTGTGAGCCCAACCCTGACTGGTTCGACTTGCCTGCTCCGGAAGTCGATACTGAAGCGCCCTTGAAATATACACCCTCCAAGGACACGTTGGACCAACTTTATGAGTATGCGAAAAAGCTGCTGGAAGAGGAGAACCAGCGGTTCAAAGATTCACAACAGTCGTCGTCGGCTCACTCGTTCTACAATACTGTCATCACGTCAGGGACGCTGTCTGACAAGATCTCGGCACTTACACTGGCTGTGCAAGAATCACCCCTCCATAACATGCGGGCATTGGAGACTCTGATCGGGGTGGCTCGCAAGCGAAGTCGTTCACAGGCAATCGATGTCCTCCGAGCACTCAAGGACTTGTTTGCACAAGGTTCTCTCCTGCCAGAGTCCAGAAGACTTTATGCCTTTCGTGCCCAACCCCTCCTCCCTCATGTGCTGAGCCAGATTAAGACATGGAGGCAAGGGGACAAACTACCCCGCGGCCTGGAACCAAAGCATCTTGTGGCATGGGCCTTTGAGGACTGGCTGAAGGAACAGTATTTCGAAATCCTCAAAATCCTTGAGGTGTGGTGCAATGATGAGATCGAGTTCTCCAAAGCCCGGGCCGTCAGCTACGTGTATGAGCTTCTCAAAGAACGGCCTGAGCAGGAGTCGAACTTGCTCCGGCTGCTCATCAACAAGCTCGGCGACCCGGTCAAGAAAATTGCATCCCAAGCGTCGTATCTACTGATGCAGTTGTTGATCAGCCATCCGGCAATGAAGGAGGTCGTGATCTCCGCGATTGAGTCAGACTTCATCTTCCGCCCTGGCCAAAGTCTGCATGGTAAATACTACGCGGTGGTTACACTCAATCAGACTGTTTTGAGTCCGAAGGAGGAGGCAGTCGCGCAGAAACTGTTAGACATTTATTTTGCTTTGTTTACACAGTTACTCAAACCCAGCACCGCCGCAACAGAGGAAAAGACGGAAGAAGAACCACGAACTCGGGGCCTTGGAAAAAAGAGCAAGAATACTCCGAAGTCGGGGCAAGCGCAAACTGAAGAACTGAAAGAGAAGCTGACTTCGGCCATTCTGACCGGCGTAAACCGGGCTTATCCCTACGTGGGAGCAGGCGGGACAACGTTCAGCGACCATATGGAAACGCTGTTCAAGATTGCGCATTCGCCCAACTTCAACACGAGCATCCAGGCGCTCTTGCTCATTCAGCGACTTTCAGGCACTCACAGAGCCTCGAATGACCGATTCTACCGAGTGCTGTACGAGTCCTTGCTGGATCCTCGCTTGATCCATGCCTCGAAGCAACAACTGTACCTGAACCTGCTGCACCGAGCTCTGAAGGCGGACTTGAACGTGAAACGCGTCAAGGCCTTTGTGAAGAGGTTAATCCAGGTTCTGTCCCTGCACGAGCCACCATTCATCTGCGGATCCTTCTTCCTGATTCAGGATCTCGAGGCAACCTTCCCATCTCTTGCTGGACTGATTGACCAGCCAGAAGACCATGATGACGATGTAGAAGTTTTCCGCGATGTCGATGAGGATGCCAACAATGATCTACCCGAAAAACCAGAGCAACATCAAAGCAATGTCTACGATGGGCACAAACGAGCACCCGAACACGCCAATGCCGACAACAGTTGTGCGTGGGAGCTTCTCCCTTTCCTCGCACACTTCCATCCCTCCGTGTCTGTTAGTGCGGATCACATTTTGCGGCATGCCAAACTCCCAGGGAAACCCGACCTCAGTTTGCATACGCTCAGTCACTTCTTGGACAGATTTGTTTACCGCAACCCGAAACTATCATCGTCCAGTCTCCGAGGATCTTCGATCATGCAGCCTATGGCTGCTACCGACATTCATGGTGTCCTTATTGCCAACGGTGTGAGCGGCCAACGGCAGTTGCCGGTGAACAGCGATGCCTTCAAGTCCAAGAAGAGCGACGAGGTGGCCGCTGAAGACGTCTTTTTCCACCAGTATTTCGCCAGCCTGGGTAAAGGGGTAACGAAGAAAACCAAGGCTCAGAAGAAACGTGAGAAGAACGAGGATGACGAGTCGGCGGAAGAGGATGAGGTATGGAAGGCCATGATGGACAGCGCCCCCGATCTGGAAGGCGAAGTGGAGAGCGATGAGGACGTCGATCTGTCTGACCTCGAATCAGCCATGGGCGAATCCGAGGGCGAAGGCCTCAGTGGATCTGAAGGCGAGGGCGTGGACATCGAAGCAGGCATTTTCGATGAGGACGAGGACGACCTCATGGAGCTCGATGAGGATGTGGCGGATGAGGGTGGTGATTTCGCAGGCTTCGAGTCCGGCGAGGAGGAAGACCAGAGGCCGAGTAAGAGGAAGAAGGGCAAGAAGGGGGCGAAGGAGGACGAGGGCAAGGCGAAGACGAAAAAGACACTCAAGGGCCTGCCGACCTTTGCGTCGGCCGAGGACTATGCGAAGATGCTGGAGAACGACGAGGACGAGGACAAATGAGCAGTGTGGTCATCGGGCCACTACCGATATCAAGGTCGACCATTTCCTGTCCATATGATACATGGTATGTAGTGTCAGTAGCGTTTCGGCACAGGGCAATAAGCGAGCGACCCAAGCTCATCTCGAGGTTCTTGGTGTTCTTGGTGCTCGTAAACTTTTTGGATGATGGCCGATGGCGAGCTCGGCTGACGCCACAAGTCTTGGAAAGAGACGTCGAACTTCAAATTGATTTACGAGCGCAGAGCTTCGAGAGGGCTGTTTGCGCAATGCTTGAGCATGATGGCAGCATCAAGAATACCTAGATCTCACCCATTACTTCAAGTTCCCGTCTGGATCTACTCTACCAGGATGTGACGTCCTAGCAGCCCTACAGATTGCCCACTTCACGCGACACTGCTCGAACCACCTGCACCGAAAGGGATCAACCAAACGTATCTGGGTACATTGTAGACAGATAAACGGGTGCTAGTATAACGCAATACTCGCAACGACCCGCTACGACAACCAGTAGAACAACACTCAGGACAACTTCGACAGAGCCTCGAACCAGACTCGGAAAGTCAGCGGTGATGACATTGTCTGGGGAAAGCACGCAATCCAACGCCTCGGCGACCTTTGCATCGCAGATTTGGCCAGCATCTGACGACGGAAGACGACGGCCTTAAGGCAAACCGGTTCGAGTTTCTGCTATTAATGCCAACACAAAAGTGATGGCCACAATGGATCACTTACATTATTGACGACAACCGGCTTCATTGAATTTTCTTCTGTCTTTGCCTTCTCCAGTCGTATGGATTAGCCTCGCTCCAGTGTCGCGGGCTGCCCGAAAGCCGCTGATGTGACGCTGGAGATGATGCCACTGAGGCATGGCCTGTGGCTGGCCTGAAAATTTCATTAGTGGGTGCGTAGCGGCCGAGGGCTCCAGGTTTGTCCCTGTTTGTCCCTGAGTCTCCAGCTCCGGGCGGCGGATGGAGGGAGCGAGTCCCTGAAAGTTTTGACGTCGCTCCCGAAGTCTTTAGCAAACTGACATTCTTCTCCACGAGTCGGAGGCCCTAACCGAGTGCAGATGGTGTTGATGCGTCCAACAAGATTGTACAACTACAATGTAGGTTGCGGCAGCAGTATCTCCATCATGTTCCGTACTATCGCCGTCGTCACGACCTCGGAGGCACAGGAGGCTTCTAGGTCGGTTCCTATCGACTCTATGCTACAGTACAACTCGAATCCCACGGACGGAAGCGAATCTGCCGAGTTGTGTGCAGTGCCAATGAAGTGTTTGACGTTTGCCCTGGCCGTTCGCGCACACTAGCAGCACCAAGAAGAAAGCATCATCAGCAGCAACCAAACCACACCAATTGAAGGACAAACGCCTTCCAATGTTGGGTCCCGACGCTCAGATCCCACGGCGTCCATTGGCGTTCGCTAGACCTCTGAATGGATCGCTTCTGTCAGGGATCATCAGCTCCTTCCACCGTCCCATCTCCATCCCGTCCCGCTTGTCGTCACCATGCACTTTTCTTCTCCACCATGGCCAAAAAACCACCCGTCGGTGGTCCCAATATCTCACACGCCCGACATCCTTGCGGCTCCAGCGATCTCACCTGTTCGAGTTTGTTATCTCATGTTATGCTCTCTCGTGCCACATCCCTGCTCCTGGTCTAGCCCTTCAGGCTTAATTCACGGCAAGCTCTCTCAGCACTCCATTAAACAAGCCTTCTTGCGCCTTCATCCAAGAATTTATCTACTGCGCGTCCCTGGTTCCTGACCGACCTGTTCCTCGCATCCAACCCACGGCAGCTTAAGACTGTGGTTACCATTGTCTATCTTCACCCAAAGTCACATGCAGAAGGCAGTTCGTCTCGATCTAGATTCGTTGTTTTACGCCTGCTTTGTCCGGGCCATTCGCGCAATTAAGTGGCGTTGAGCGATTCGATACACGGCTTCTTAAACGCAAGAGTCCATCCTCAACTCAAACCATCCACGCGGCAAAACATGGTTGATGTGCGCGAGAAACCGGAAGCTCCCTTTGGAGCAGGAGGGTCATTCAGGCCCGAAGGTCCCAATGCAGACCTCGAGCGACGGCGCAGCTCCGTCACCAGCGTCCATGGTCGCAAAATGAGCAGAATCGGGCCTCCGCCGGAGAGATTGGCTTCTCTTCACAACGACTCGGATTCTGCTGTCGACGACTACAGCAAATTGGTCGAATTGGAGGCTCACGATGCCATCAAATATAGAACTTGTTCCTGGCAGAAGGTTTGTTTACATGATATTCGCAAGCCCATCAACCATGCTGACCAACCGCCTCACAGACAGCCGCGCTGCTCTTCTCCGAGTACATTTGCCTGGCCATCATGTCGTTCCCTTACTCGTATTCCGTGCTGGGTCTCGTCCCTGGCATTATTCTGACCGTGGTCCAAGCGGCATTCGTTCTCTACACTTCCCTGGTTGTCTGGTAAGCATTATTTTCGACTATCATAGTGAACTCGTCGCTAAGAGTGTGTTCGCAGGGAATTCTGTCTGCGCCATCCCGAGACAAAAGACGTCTGCGATATTGGTCAAATGCTCTTCTGGAACTCCAAGTGGGCGTGGTGGTTCACCGCGTGCATGTTCCTCCTGAACAACACTTTCATTCAAGGTCTTCATGTCCTCGTCATTTCCCGCTATCTCAACACTATGAGTGGTATGTCAACCGCAGTCTTAGCACGGTCCGAAGCAAGCACAAGCTGACTATTATGTCTAGGTCACAGCGTCTGTACCGTCGGCTTCGCGGCCATTGGCGCCGTCGTGTCGTGGATCTGCTCCATGCCGCGCACCTTCAATGCTCTCTCGAAACTGGCCGCGCTCACAGCCGTGTTTACTTTCATTAGTGTCATCCTTGCTGCGGCATTTGCGGGCGCTGAAGGCAAGCATGGGACCGCAGGCTACAACCCGGATCCCAACCACATCAACGCGGCGGGCCAGAAGGTCGGGGGCGAGCCTTTGGTCTTGGCCATTCCGTTGGCCGGCACCACGTTCGTTTCCGGCATGAACGCCTTCTTGAACATCAGTTACACATTCATTGGCCAGATCACTCTTCCCAGCTTCATCGCCGAGATGAAGAACCCGTATGATTTCCGCAAGGCCATTTGGCTTGTTACTATCTGTGAGATCATCGTGTTTAGTTTGGTTGGCGGTATCGGTAGGTTTGAGTTTACCCGTTAAAAACAGGGACCACTGGGCACATGCTGACGGTTTCTTCACACCAGTCTACGGCTACACTGGAACACAATACAACACTGCACCGGCGTTTGGATCTCTCGGCAACGACATTTACAAGAAGGTGTCCTTCTCTTTCATGGTGCCGACCTTGATCTTCCTCGGCGTCCTGTATGCCTCGGTCTCGGCTCGATTTATCTTCTTCCGACTGTTTGAGGGTACTATTCACAAGTCCTCGCACACTGTGGTTGGCTGGGTTTCCTGGGCCGGAATTCTGGCCGTGACATGGGCGGTCGCCTTCATCGTCGCCGAGGTCATCCCCTTCTTCTCCGATCTGTTGTCTCTCATGAGTTCTCTCTTCGACAGCTTCTTCGGCTGGATCTTCTGGGGCGTGGCGTACCTGCGCATGCGCAAAGCCGACCTGGGTCCGGGCTACTATCGCAAACGCGGCATTCGAGGATGGATTGGCTTTTTGATGAATATTTTCATCATTGTTGTCGGCGTTTATTTCTTGGGCGTGGGCACATATGTAAGTTTTGACACAGCGAAGTGGGCGACTCTGGCTGACTTTGAATTCAGGCGTCCGTCGACAGCATCATTCTCGACTACAGAAATGGCAACGTCAAGGGCGTCTTCACCTGCGCTGACAACTCGGTGTAGTCGAGTTTTGTCGAAGTCAAAATACCACGTAAGGTGGGATAGAGACACAAGGTGGGAGCACGCTGGTCTCTAGTGATGATGAGTTGCGGAGATTAGAAGGAGGCTGAATGCTACCAGGCTTTCTAGATTGTTGTTATAGACTGCAAGAAGGATATCTTCTGTGGTAGGGTAATGTTGGAGGGCCGGCTACATGTGAAGTTGGTCATGAAGGGAAGTCTGGAGGTATATAGTTGTTGGAGGATCAATGGTCCGGCTGCTGTTCGTATGACTGATCCAAGCTGAAATGCATTGTCCCCCCTGTAACACATCGGTCATCATTGCTGAGGCTAAGTTCCTATATGGCAATATACTACTAGTAGGAGACCAGGAGGCTGAAGTGAGACAAGGTGTGCCCTTGCAAAGCTCAGCCGTAGCATAAAGTGCCCTCCTGCCACTGTCGCAGTCCTAAAAGGACGCAGAGTTAAGCCGCTCTAAAACAAGTGTGTATTTTTAGAATGGCAAAAAGTTACGACGAAGCAGCGGGGTAATGTCTCCAAAACCGTAAATTGTAGTTGTACGTGTCCCTTTAAACTTGTGTTACGACTTAAACGGCGTCCGTGTTACTCTTCCGTACTGTGCCATCCATGTATTTGCGGAGGACAGATTCTAGCAACTGCTTCTGACAAGTGAAAGTGACACCTGCGTTCTTCTTGTTCTCTTCTGTTCTACGTCTTCCATCTTCCTTATTTCGTCCCGGGTGGTGGCCGTGCTCTACTGCGGCTACTAATTCAGTCCCTAGAAGACGCCAAACTGTCACTGTCTCTGACGGCCGCACTCGCATTCAGTTTACTTCCGCCTCATTTCCATAACCGGACAGGACTTTTTTAATCCACATACTGTTGTTCAACTGAACCAGCGTCGCAGTCAGCTGGAATTCTGCTCCTGCCGCCTTGTATCATCAACTGCCAACCAAATTGGATTCCAATCCTGACGAGCCTTTCGATCGACCCCTCCCCTTCCGCCGAGCCGATTCATGTATTGAGACACTTGACACAAGACTGTTGCTGGACAAGAGTCACACAACCTACGTTTGTGAGGGGGAATGCGTCGAAGGGATGAATAGACACCACGGTTTCACCAATGGCTATGCCGCCAGCAAGAAACGCGACGACTATGGCCCATACAGCGACCGACCTGATCTAGAAAGCAAGTACATCTGGGGCATGCACGATCTCGTCGAGGATGAAAAGACGGACGGCGGGTTTGGCCGTCGCTTCGAACCCCGCAAGAAAGCACTACACTCTCGCTCCCGGCTGATGAGACTGGGCCTGTTCGCCCTGGGCATCGTTGCACTGGTCGTCTATTTCGTCTTCCCTTCAGCGCTACCGGGTCCTTTATTTTCAACCACCGCCCTAAGCTCAGATACCTCCGACATTGAAACCCTTCGATATTACGACCTGTCGGATGCTCAGGGATCTTCCGTGGGCTGGCAGCGCGAGGAGCGGGTCTTGCTCTGTACTCCTCTGAGGGATGCTGCACCGCATCTGCCCATGTTCTTCGCCCACCTACGAAACTTTACCTATCCGCACCACCTGATCGACCTCGCATTTCTGGTCTCGGATTCCAAGGACAATACCGCGGAATTGCTTTCACAATTGCTCGAAGCGCAGCAGGCCGATCCCGATCCTGCCCAACACTACGGGGAAATCTCTGTCATCCACAAGGACTTTGGGCAGGCCGTTAGTCAAGATTTCGAGAGTCGACATGGGTTTGCCGCCCAGGCGAGCCGACGAAAACTCATGGCCCGTGCCCGAAACTGGCTTCTCAGTGCCGCTTTGAGACCGTATCACAGTTGGGTATATTGGCGTGACGCTGATGTCGAGACTTGTCCATACACCGTTATCGAGGATTTGATGAGACATGACAAGGATGTTACTGTGCCGAGTGAGTAAATATCTGAATTTTTTTGTTGTTTTTTGCTAACTTTTTGTCCAGACATCTGGCGTCCGTTACCTGACTGGCTGGGCGGGGAACAACCATACGACCTAAACAGCTGGCAAGAGTCGGAGACTGCAATCGCCCTCGCCGAGACTCTAGATGAAGATGCCGTCATTGTGGAAGGATACGCCGAATACGCCACGTGGCGGCCGCATCTGGCCTACCTTCGAGACCCATACGGAGATCCTGACGTTGAAATGGAACTGGATGGAGTTGGCGGTGTATCGATTCTAGCAAAGGCTCGCGTCTTCCGGGCCGGCGTCCACTTTCCGGCATTCTCGTTTGAGAGACACGCCGAGACTGAAGGGTTTGGCAAGATGGCTCGACGCATGGGGTTTTCGGTCATTGGACTGCCCCATTACACCGTCTGGCATCTTTACGAACCGTCTGTGGATGATATTAGGCATATGGAGGAGATGGAGGCGGAGAAACGAGAACGAGAGAAACAAGAGAAAGAGAATGCGGCCAGGGCCAAAGAGATCCACGAGGAATTCCAGCAAGTCGATTCACAGTGGGAAGAAGACAAAAAGGCCATTGGCGGTAGTGGTGGTGATGATGATACTACCGGACAAGAAGCAAAAGGAGATACGAGAAAGAAGGAGGGTGTCAAAAAGATCAACACCCACAACAAGGACGACGCCGGCACGAAACAAGATGCAGGCAAAAAATCTGATGGCAAAGAAGGTGCCGCGGATGAGAAGAAACAAAAAGCCAAACCCGAGCGGAAAATGGGTCAAGCGGAGGACGACTCCGACGATGATTGGGGAGATCTTAGCATTGATTGATCGACGGACCAACACAAACAAAACCATGGCACCCGTTCGGCTGAGGCGGCCATACGGATTCACAGGACGACAGCACGGGGAAGGAAAGGGATCCGGAAGAAAATAGACAGCAAGCGATCGATCCTCTTCCGAAGTATGATAATCAGCATCTCGGACACGGCGTTTGCTTTTGCTTTTGGTTCAGAAAGTGCAATGACAGATGTGGACAGACAAGGGAAGTGCTACTGGTAGTTAGTGGCTTTGCTTTCAAGTTCTGCATGGGATGGAGAAGGCTTTGGTGTTGCTGTTGTTGTACTAGTACACTTCGACACGAAAAGGTCAAGTTAGTTAGGTTTTTAGTCTGCTCTGCCCGACTTGAAGGGGGCCCCGGGAGTAAGGAAAAGAATTGCTCGTATCAAGAATCCAGTTGATTTCAAGTTGCGAAGCTGCCAATGTGGAGATGATGGTCGACTCGATGCGTACCTTTAGCATCAATAAAATGGACTCCTTCTCCTATACAGGAGTAGTCGTGCAGTGTTTGTTGGAGATCCGGCGACGCGTGAATCGAAAAGAAACGCGTCAGTACCTAAATAATTGTCGTCTGAAAACGCTTTGCTTCGGGCCAATCATCATTGCCAGCTGCCCTGGGCACCTTCAACCACAAACGACGGCCCGGGAACCAGTTGACCGACTCGGACTAGACGACTTCCACATCGAACAGACACGATCAATTCCAGGGTAACTGCTCTACTGCTCTAAGTGAGTGAGTGACTGACCTGCCTGCCGGTCGACGGTCAACACACCATGATGTCGACGCAACACTCTGGGGGATTTGGTCCCGTCGAATTCTTAGTCACGGTCCCGCATCAGTCTCTGAGGTTGATGGAGGTTCCGGCGGAGTTGGTCGCTGTGATCGAGGCGGAGAGGGAACGAGTTGACCAACAGAGGAGAAAGGGAGGTTCAAAGGGGAGAGGGCTGAAGTCACGGTGAGTTGAATTGAGTTGTGGGATTGCCTTTTTCCCCTTTTTTTTTCTTGGGACTGGAGGATACCATCATCTGGGTATCTAGATGCCTGTCTAGCTGTCTTTGAGGACGGGGGTGGAACTGTACTGTCGGCCCTGTTTGCTTTGGTTCTCTTCTCCTGGGTTCAAGACTACGGGTGTGTGTCGTGGGCCTGCAAGAGTAGGACTCGCATCCAAATTCACACTGCCATTCACCACGATCGTTGTTGTTGTTGTTGTTGGTGCTGCTGCTGGTGCTGGTCTCCTATCATTACCGCAACCAGAAGCTAAGACATCTTTCATATCTACAGATTACAATTCAAATCATCCCCCAACACCCCGCATCCTTCGACTTCCCCTTCCGCTCCCGATAAATCTTCATCTTCATCTTCATCTGCTCAACAGGGACATCTCCATCTATGCAGTGACGACAAGGTCTGGGCAGTCAAGCAAGTCAGTACCAGTAATAGCGTATATATCACTCGGACACAGACACAGACACACACTCAACCAGCACCAGCAGTTTTGGCAGCAGCCTCGAGTTCAACAGCAGCGCCCAAAGATGTCGACGCCGACGCCGATGGAGACGCCACGATGGCCTCGGCTACGGCTTCATCAAATCCAACAGCTTCAGCCCCAGTACAGCACTACACGTCACAATCACCACAATCACGCCATGATCCTGCCGCCTCATCAGACATAAACGGTACCGCCCGACCAGGAATAACAGCTCTATCTCAAGTCCGCAACATTCTCGAACTCGTCCAAATCACCCCCTCGGACGCCGAGATCGAAACACACATTCGAAATATCGTACCTGTTTACGACGACCCGGATCGGGAAGTCGACAACAACAACAACAGCCACTTCTCACACTCATCACTAGCATCATCTGCCGGCCTCGACTCAAGTACTGCTACTACCCTCCAACAAGTCCTAGACAACATCCCCGCTTCGACGAATCAGATTCTCCGGGTCCTTCGACATCTATTCGCTTTTCAGTTGCCGTGGCCTTTACCGCCGAGCTCGGGCGAAAGCGAGAGCGTGGGCGTGGCAAAAGCACCAAATGGCCATGACACCTTAACCTCACCAGCCATCTATCTACCAACCACCCACCTCCTCCTTCGAGCATGGAAAACATTCATTCAGCAATGTGTCATTTCCGGAATCAATCTATCCACCATCTTTGGACAATCCCAAACCCCACATGACCAACAAGACCAAAACGTCCAAAAAGTATTCAAAGACATGCTCTCCCAAGCAGACACAACCCAAGACGGCATTCTCGCCGTGACCGTGATGAGAGCGATCCTACGACATTTCAACGATACCCAAACAATCACAAACACCAACACCAACACCAACACCACCTCCTCTTCTTTGACAGTATCCGATACCGACCTAGACCCAGGACCAGAACCAGACCCAGCCTTGGATCTGGATCTGGAAGACTCAAGTTCAACCTGCTCAACCTGGAACAAGAAACTGAAACTAGATCCAGCCGCTATCCGTGACGCTGTGGGCATGTGGTTTCTTTTGTCGCTGAAAGATAAGCTCGCAAGTAATCCTACTACTACTAACACTACTACTGGTGGCGGCGGTGGTACTAATTCAATCACTCTGAACGAAATCACCAAACAATGGGCCGAACTACTACCCGACGTATGGGCGCCCGATTCGGATGACGCCACGTCTCTTATCAGCTCGATCGGGGAAACGTACGGGATGGAATTGCCAAAAACAACGTCAGGAACAGCAGATGACGACAATAACGAGTCTGAACAAGTCCTGAAATTCTCGTCCTCGTTTTCTGCACGCGATGGTGACAGACTTGGATTCGCCAAGCAGGTCGGCAATCGTCCAGTGCCAGCACTGCCAGTGCCATCAGCCGGGGCCAAGCGGCAACAGGCCCAGAGTCAGACCAAAAATCAGGATGCGGATCCGGCTGGCCAAAAGAAGAGGAAATGGCACGAAAAATTCGCCGCGCAGAGAAGGAAGCCAGAGAAATGAACAAGATGATAAATATAGACACCTCAGTCAAGGGGTAGGAATGACAATCGCAAAGTCACACATTCTCATTTAGAGCTACTCACCGAACGCCAACACTCGGAACAGAAGATGAGCTCAACAGAGACTGTTCGGAGAATGGTAGAACTCTTCTTCATTTTGTTTTGCTTTTGCATACTAGTACTGTGCTGAGCTCGGTCACTCATTGCAAGAAAATGCTTCGTTAACACATGAAAACTCCCAAACATCAACTCTTCAGCTATGCTTTTCGATCCTGCCACATCAACAGAATGCTTTATCATATGGTTCCTTCATCCATGCAACCGGTACAGATGTTTTGTCATAAAAGGAATCAATGCTGGCAGTCCGCAAATATAGCACTGTGGGGGTTGATCAAAAGCCATACTCCAGCGGATGACTGTACATGCTCAAGGCAAGAATGAACAAAAAAGAACAAGATGAGAATGACCAGCCGACCAAGAACGTAATACTCGCCAAGAATAACTCAAAGCGGGAGGACGCCTCAGAAGACCTTGCGTGGTGGACTCATTTGCTGGACTGCGAAGTGCTGGTGAGGTTCTCCTTGCCGCTGGCTGGCTCCACTTGGATGGTGACTTTCTTTGGGCTGATGGCCTTGGTCTTGTTTGCGGCGTCACGCATGTCGGGAACGATTGGGACAATAGCTGCAGCCTTGGGAGGCACCTCAATGTATGGATGAGTCGATGGAGTGGCCGGGATGGTGTTTCGAATGGTCGTCGTGTTGGTGATAGATTGGAGTCCACCTTGCATTGGCCACGCCGAGCTGCGGACTGCGGTCGCACTCTTGTTGACGGCGGGCATTTCGCTGTGCAAGGAATCAATGTCAGCTTGGACAGGGAATGCGCTTAGCAGTAAGGCTAAACTTACGCCGGAGAGACTGACGTCGCTGGGGTAAAAGCATTGCTAGTTCCAGCAGGGGACTGGTAACTTCCACCGGGACTGATGTGGTTATTCATGCCCTGAAGTCGAGTCAAAGTCGGGGAAGGGGTGTGCTCGACCGAGTAGCTGTATTCTCGGCTGCGCCAGTTGCGCCGTTCCTGACTTTGCTGTTTGAGCTGCTTCTGAGCCTTGGTGTCGGCAAATCGGAGGAAGAGCTTGACGCCGTCATGTTCGGTCATGACAGAATGGAACTCTTTGATGACACGTTCAGCAATGTCACGAGTCTCGAATCTAGAATTGGTCAGTGGGGAAGGTAGTAGTAATAAGTAGCAAAAGATCAATACCGAGCAAATCCAACTTCCTTGCTGACTCCGGACGGAACATCACGACAGATCTTGGTGGAAACGGCATGATAAGGCAGAAAGTGTTTGGCCAGGTCCTGGTGGACGTCAGTGCAAGTCGCGACTCAGACAGCCATTCCGTAAAACATACCGACTCATTCCAGTCAATGGGAACCCCGGTGCAGTAGATGTTTGTGGAGTTCTTATCTTCAAGATCTTTGAGCCGAGAGTTGCGAGATTTCTATGTTGATCAGAAACTTGAACACATAGTCTGAGATGTAACAGCACCCACCTGAGCATAGCTGGCTTGGAAGCCCAGATGGAAAAAGCCTCTGATGCAGTTCTCCGCGGCAGCTGGTGAGTAGTACATGACGAATCCGAAGCTATGCATGGTCAGCAAAAGGCTCAATCCGGAGCATGGAGGTCATACCCTTTGCACTTTCCGGTGTCTTGTTCGATGATGGCCTTGCAGGACTCGATTTCGCCAAAACGAGAAGCCCAGCGTTCGAGGTCCTCGTCACTGGTATCTGGCATAAAGCCACGAATGTAGACATTGGTGATGCCCTCTGGGTTCTGGAGACATTTGGCGAGGCTCAAATCTTCTTGATTGGTCCAGAGAGCAGGCACCGCGCGAGGAATCGGTGGATCGCGGGACACGAGCTCGTCGAGGTTGACCATTTCGTAAGACTTGTTGTCCTGGCACTTCATTGGCTGAATAGGACCTGGAATGTAATGTTGACTGGCCGCAGCGGCAGGCATGTAAGGAAATCCGGTGTAATAGTCTGATTGACCCTGAAGGGCAACACCTTGACCAGTAGGTGCATTCTCTTCGTTGGAGGACCATGAGCCGCGGCGGACAGCATCGAATCCAGTAACGTTGGAGGACATTGCATAAGGCCAGCCATAAGCCGGAAGGCCAGCGCTGCCCATGGTGGTGTTGCCAAGGAAGCTTGGGAACATGCCAGTTGGGATGTAGGGCAGCTGCGGACCGGCCTCTGCTGTGGCGGTTTGGGTCTGGCCATAGAAGTTGGCGAGTGGAACTGTCTGACCCGATGGGAGGACCATGAGGGGGCTGCTGTACCCTGAACGGTTGACGGTGCCGAGTTCACTGTCAACATGGCCCGACGTTGGAAGGGTAGCTTTGAGGTTCTGCATATTGGCCAGCGGGTTGGCGTTGGACAGATTCATTCCTGCTATACTCTCAGCAGCGTTACCCCGATAAGTATTCCAGCTCTTACCTCCGTTGAACTGTGGGTACGCTGTTCCAGAGTATGGCATTCGAGTCTGAGGATAACCGGTATAGGCGGTGCTAGAGGCGGTCTGGGTGGCAGGCTTGTCAGACATGTTCCGTCGGTATCTGGATTTCAAGTGAGCAAGCTTGGACATGGAGATGGTGGCGGTCCAGCAAACGAGAGCACCGTCGAACAGATCTTACCTGCAGTGAAATTTGCCAAATGAGCCCTTGTTGCCACGATCTTCCCTGACGGCTTTGTGGTACAAGTTTGGTTGACTCGATGAATAGAGCAGCAATGGGATTGTACAATGAGCAAGCCAAGATGCAGTGCAGGATGGATGATAAGGGTGAGGAGGGGCTAACAGCGGGAGGAGTTGAAGCAAAGCTGTAGCTGGGTGCTAAGTGACTTGTGATGAAGAGAGGAGAAAGAAACGAGAAGGAGATCGGAGGCGAAAATATTGACAATTCCCTTTCTGGTCAGGGCCTGCCATCTATTCAGCGGCAGGAGCGACGTCGTGGCATCGAGAACTTAACACAAGCAGCTCGCAGACAACCGGCAAGGGCAACACAGGGTCAGCTTGAATAACAACACAAACCATTCGAAGAAGCGGCCGGGTACCATGTTGTCTCCCACTGCAGGCCTGCTCAACACATATCCCCTGTGTTCTTGGTAGACACTGCCATTCCTACCTATTGGAGTTGAACACAGCAGGTTTCATCATGCCCACGACAATATCAATGCACCCACGTTTGTGAACGTCGACATCGTCCTTGTATCATCCTCCAACAGATCTATGCAATAGTCTGCTTCTCCCGGGGACATTTTAATTTAGCCGGCCAGCAGGAAGTCAGCATTGAGTCTTGCGCCAGCCCTGCTACCTGTCCCTGATATAGCAGTCACAGCGAGCAGCATGTCAAGTTTGGAGAAATGAATGATTCTCGAGGACTAATATCCATCTGAAGCCTTTTTCCCAATGATGATTAGCCCCTCAGCACGAGGGCCGTGACACTCCTCGACAGCTTGTCAAGGGCAGTAGGCAGTAAAGTTGATCGACCGCTCATGGTGTGAAGTTGGTTGCGGCATGAGAGGCAGTCGTTCCGCAGTAATTGATATCCAGCTCTGTACGGCGGATCATTTGGAATTTAGCACCACTTTCGGCCCACTAGAATTTCAGCCTCGTCATAAAGATTTTGTTAGGAAAGCAAACTGCTGTGAATCCAAACCGTTTGTGTATTGCAACGTTCCTTGCCCCTCTCTGAAATATTTTGCCAATATGGCGGAGGGCACGGGGTCGGAGGAGAAACTATGGCAAAGTGTAGGTTCTGGTGGTCGAGCTTGAGCAAGCGCAAGACTGTGTAGAGTGACTGATCGATTTCGTCCGCAGTTCTTCGATCAGCACCAGTCACTCGTGTCACTACTCGATACACATGCTTCTCTGCTGGCGGAGATGCGCAAGCACTGCGCCGATAGTGCCGCCGTTAAACTGGTCGAAACCCGACTCGTAACTACCGAGAACTTGATTGCGACTTTTCGAGAATCTACAGAATCTCTGGTAAGACGATTGTGTTAGAGAATTGGAACGGGGACTGATACACCCCTTCTAGAGAGAAGTCTCGAAACAGCAAGAAGCCGTGCCCAAGAAGGCAGACAACTTCAATCCAACAATGCCTTACCCCGTGCCTGCGCCCCAGCCGCATATACCAACTGAGCCTATAGTAGATCCAAGCGGTCTCTTCACGGTTGACACGAATCCCACTCCGCTCGACCAGTTATTCCAGAACAAATCGAACCCCACCAGCGCAAACAAAGCAAAAAAGCAGGGCAAGAAGAGGAAAGCCAGCGACTCGGGACATGGCCCTACCGCGGGCGACGGCGGGTCTGAAAATACCCCAGAATCCAAGAAACTGAGATCGAGCGCGGGACAAGAGCATCAAGAGGCTGCGGGAGAGGATGATTCGTTTGTGCGGGGCGTAGAAGAGCGAGCTCGCGCGAAAGAGGAACGTAGAAAGGCTCGGGCGGACAAGAAGAGAAAGCGACAGAGCGATGGTTCGACGAACAGCTCGAGTAAAGGTCCGAAGAACAAGAAGCAGAAGCAGAGGCACATGGAGAAGCTCGCAGCAAATGGTGACGGACCGGCTCCAGGAGGCAAGCGAGCCAACGAAACACAAAATAGCCACCCAAGCAAAAAGCGCAAGAAGACTAAAAGATAGAGCTACATAGCGCTCCAATCGAAATAATGGTCCTTCGTGTCGAATCGTGTGTAATCAATTTGTTGACTCGCCTTCACCTCGCCTTCACTGGATCCTCACTTCGAGATTGAACAAGACAAGCTAGGTTGTCTGATGTGCTGCAACCTCGTGCTGTGTCACCCACTGACACACTGCAGTGCGATACTGCAATTGCCCTATACCTTCTGGCCCTCCCGCTCTCTGTATCACACGCCAGCCAAGCCGTAAACATACCAGACCGCCGTCTGTTTTCCACGGCTAGAGGGACCTGCACAAGGAAGAGCGCATTTGGACCCTTGCCATTGTGTCCCCGGCCTTGTTGTACCGTGACATCAAAGCGTGAAGGTGAAAGACTTTTGACCGTTCACCAACCACTCTGCTGCATCTCGAGATCTAACCGTGCCCCGGCGCAACCCACTTTCTCCTCCAAACACTGCGTCCTCTTCAAGCACGGCAGTGAGACCTCGCTACGTGCCATGACTTCGGTGAGTTTGCTTCGTAATCATCTCGACGGGATGCAAAGAGCTGATCATGGACAGAAATGAGCGACGACAAGTTAAAGTCCAAACTCTCGTCCATTTTCCTTCCCAAATCAACGTTTTCGGCGGAGAACATGTCAACATCCACATCCACGTCAACAAGAGACCCTGCCGTGGGCTCACTCCTCCAGCGCAGCAGGGCAACATCTGGGCCATATCGTGCTCCAATCATCTTCAGCGACCGCGACAGGTTGCAGAGGAAGCAGCAAACGAAGGAGAGTGAGGAGGCTCACGCCGAATTGTTGAGGCATGGAATTAAGGTGCGGGATTTCCAGGAAGAGGCTGATGGTGAGGCCAGGGCTCACGACAGCACCGGCAATTCGGTGACGGTAGATCACAGGCAAGCACAGGAGCCGGCTGGTGATGGTGGCTGTCGCTCTGACCAGAAGGCGACAGGGGAGCCGGAGATTTGAGCAGATCAGAGAGCTGAGCTGGCTCCTTGCCTCTGACTTGTGTTCGGTTGCAATCACAACCTAGCCACGATTTAACAGCAGCAAACAAGCATGGAGGAGTGCCTGTCCCAGTCCTTAATCAGGTCCCGAAGCATCTGCGCTTCAAAGGGCTGTGGGAGGACACAATGAATCAGACAGATGATTACCCAGTCACCCAGTCTTATTTTGCTTCTCTGCAACACCTTTGCTGGCCGCATTTTTCTCAGGCTCTTCTTCGTCCTCATCCTTCACCTTCCCCCAGTTCCACACCTCCCAGATCTGGTCCATGATCATGGACCCATATCCTTCGCCATTCGCAAGTTTCTCCTGCTCTTCCCGCAACCGGCGCTCTTTCCATCCCTCGGTCTCTCCACCCATCCACAGTTCCTTCGCTTTTTCCTCGAGTAACGAACCACTCTTTTTCTGCGTCGTCGCAGAAGGAGACTCTTCAAGCAGTCGCTTTTCTTCTTGCGCCCGCATCTTGAGCTGTATTTCTCTCGCCTGCTCCGGCATTCCAAAAATATGTGGCATGCGGGCCCGCTCGACGATCCCTCGGCCCGTCCGTTCTTTAAGCTGGTAGTTCGCTGACACGACGAATGCTCCAGCCAGCGAAAACGAGTACAGGTCGAGTTTCCGAGGGGGCAAGGCTATGATGACCGGGGCGAGGACGCACGTTGCAAGGGACGCCGTGGACAGGAATCGGTGGTAATCATCTGTAATGTGCTGGCGCTGCTGGAATTCCCCCGAAGCACCATTGGGTTGAGCACCGGAAGAAGACGAAGACGCTGCCATTGTTCACTACTGCATCAGCATACACCATGCGAATAATGCTTTGAGGGAGCGAGTAGCGGTTGGTTCCACAAGTACAATAAAATAAATGTCGATGCTGGTTTACCGATTGATACAGCACGCTGTATGCATATCGTGATCATCCATTTTCTTCAAGATCTCCGCATTGGATCTACACTTACGGTTGAACTGCGGGCCATCCGCCGTACAAGTGTTGGTTGGTGCACCGTAGTCAACGAAACCACAGGCGCACTTTCAGGAGAGGAGCCCCTGTTCGTTCAGCCTCGTCAGGGTTGAGTGGCATCAGCATTTACTGCTCAGCATGGACTGTCTCAGAACACCATCAAGCGCCTCACGGCATTCTACATTGACCATTTAATGAAGGGATCGGAATGGCGGTGCGGTGAAAGTAGAAGTTGTGAAGTCAATTTGGAATATGTAGAAAAGGAGACATAGCTCATGCATCTTACGGAAGGCCTGCGAACCATTTTCTCCCCAGTATAGGCGCCACTTCCAGGGGCCATGGTCGGAGCAAAACGGATAACAAGGACACGTTCACCTCAAGCAGTTTCGTGCACTATCCATGAAACCGGCCGATCACCCGGATTCTTACCACGCACCGCTCCCCGTGGTCAGAAGACAGGATTCGACCATGTACGAGGCGTGATGCTCGCTCAGCTGTGCTGCGGGCAGCGGAGACGCCAAAAGTAAGCTCTCCCTCCGGATATCGCAGTTAGGCGAGGAAACTGACTCAAGCATGTCCAGCATACCCGTTGACCGTGGCCGCTGCCCTGGCGTCCACCTGCCGAAGCTCCTCTTGTACACTCCGATATTGTTCCTGCGCCTCTCTCTCGCGTCTGCTGACAAAGTTGACCTCGTCCCTGAGTCTTTCGAGCCTCCTTGCTAGGGCGCCATCCTCACCAATCTGCAAAGTCTTGAACGCCTCTAATTGAGCGCGCTGCTCCTTGATCTGATCATAAACTGTGTTGATCTTCTGCTTAAGCGTCTTTTGCCGTGCCTGATACCCGCCTAAATGGAGTGAAAGCTTCTTTTCGAGCTTATTGCCGGCCTCGGCCGCTTCAAGAAGACTCTTTTGCGCAGCCTGAAAGGCTTTGCTGTACTGCTCCGGTGCTGCAGCAGCCAATTTCCGAGGGAGAGCCTCAAGATCATTGGTACCAGCATACATGGCATTCACCTCGGAAAGATACGTCTGACGGTCAGCATCATTGCACGCGGCCGCCAGTTGTTGGCGTGCCTTCGCGAGCAAACCATCCGAAAGCCGCTCCAATTGAGGAGGCTTGCCAATAACTTGAGATCCCGGAAGAGGGAACTTTTGAGCGTCGTTTGCCATGAGAACTGCGGCTTCTTGAACTATCATTTGCCGGATGGGATCTGTTATCGAAGTCGCCTCGGAAGCCAAGGAGGTGTAGTTGACGGCAGCTGGCCGTGGTAAACCCCGTTGATAGACCTGGGTCTGCCGTTTGAATTCTGCTGCTGCTGCAGCTTCACGCGCCTCGCGCTCTCGTCGATCGATCTCTTCTTGATCCTCCTTCTCCTGGGCAGTTTCGACGGCAGAGTCGGGTTGCTCTGATGGTGCAAGCTCAAGCTCCCAATCGGTTTCCTTGGGCTTGGGAAGAGAAGCCAGCTTCGCCCGTAGAGAATTTCGTACAGCGTTTTCGGCCAGCCGCATATCCCGGGGCGTCTGCGCAACCATCTGCCGCTCACCCTTTTCGTTGATCGTCAGATTATCTCTAGGCGTGCGCAACGGCGTTGCTCCTGGCAGTTGACCTCCAGGACCAGCTTGGCGGAATGGAGTGGCCATCGGGTTTGGCGTCACAATGTCCTGGCGCCGAGGTGCTATACCATCAAACCCGGTGGAACTACTGCCCTCGTGGAGTGGCGCGTTCTCCCCGCCCAACAAGGACGACTGGGTTTCTGTGAGAGCCCTGATGTTTCTGATCTCATTCGCAATGTGGTCCTCTTGTGCTGGTGCTCGGGGCGTGCGGATAGGCGTGGCTCCAATCATATTGTTATACTTCGAGATAAGACCTCGGTCGTCGCCGTCCTCTTCTCCCACAGCCCTAACTGCCCTTTCACCCGCCATTCCCATCTTGACAATCTCCTCCAGTTCATTCTCGCTGACTTGAGGAGCTGGAAGGTTCAGCGCTCGTCGCTTACTCTGTTGCTCTGCTTCTCGTAACCGTTGCGTTTGTGCAGCTTTTGCGGCGGCGGCCAAAGCGCCAGAGGGCTTGCCCTTGTCCTGCTTCTGCCGCTTGGCATCCAGGTTGTCTTCTGGCTCTCCCTGTCTCTTCCTTGCGAGTTGTTGTTTCCGTGGATCAAACATCTCCCGCTCTCGCTCATTTTTCGCCTCTTCCTCTTGGGTATCGTAAAAACCAGGCGCTGCCTGCTTTTCGAAAGGTATGTCGGCATTGTAATCCATCTCGCCCTTCTTTCTGGTGGTGATTTTGATGTTGATGCCGGCATTCTTGAGTTCTCGTCGCTTTTGCAACACCGCTAGTCGTCTCGACTCTTCCAGTTGCCGCTCGCGGGCTTTTCTCTTTGCCTTCTTTCCTTGTGTATTTGCCAGGCGTGCCCTGGCCTCGCTGAGCATTTCCTTTTCATCCTCGTCAAGATCGATTGTGTCAGGTCGCGCGGGCTTGGACTCTGGATCGGGGTCAAGCTCTCCAGGCCGTAGCTTTCGAACTTGGTCCCCTGTGGGTGCGGCAGTCTCTCCGCCCTCGGGCCCTCCAAGTCCTAATTCATCGTTTTCCCGGGCCTCCGCCTCATCCAGCAGTCTCTGATATCGTTCCAAGCACTGGGTAGCAGTTCGTCCGACGATCGGGGCAATGGTCCGCCATTGTGTAGGCATCAACTTTGCGAGATGCAAAAGCTTCTCGTCCTCCTCCTTTGACCACTCGATCTTCCGGATGCCTGGGTCTAGCCATTCCGTCCATCTCGCCTTGCACTGTTTCGGAGTCTTGCGAGCAAGCAAGGATGAGACCCGAGCCCATTGATTCAGCCCGTATTTGGAGACGGCCGCTTTGAGGATCTCATCCTCAATGTTCGTCCACACGCCTCCTTTGACAACAGGCATGTTGTCGGCGAGGGGATATGTTAGATTTGCTAGTGATTGGCGATGTACAGATGCTTAGGTACTACAGAATCTGGCCGGGCATCTTTCGCCGCAGGCAGATGTTGCACTCTGCTGCGGAGCGGAACAAGTCTTGGCGACATAAGACGAGGTAAATCGGCGGCGAGCTCACGTGGGCACTCACCCACTCGGCGCCGCTTTCATGGATCGCTCACCTCCCACACAAGGACATCGTATTAAGACATCTGAAAGCTACTGAGGGAAGTGAACCCATGATGTCGCCGCATAAGTTTATTAAGCCATGTACGCCAGCGCCGTGGATTTGCGGAATCTCTGCATAATAACTGCTCCGTTGTAGCCCACTTGCCATGCCTATGACTGCGTCTGATCATACATCACCGCTGTGTCCGTGATAATATTTGCGATATCCTGTCTTGCTTTAAACCTCTAGGAGTCTGGGTCGTAGGAGTCTAGGTTGTAGGAGTCTGGGTCGTAGGAGTCTGGGTCGTAGGAGTCT